TGCTCAGGGAACACCAGGTACGGGCGCGAGCACGCTGACGCCAGGAACCGGAGCCACCCAAGGAACACCGGGCACAGCACCAACAGGTGCCACTGGAGCTACTGGAGCCACTGGAGCAACTGGAGCAACACAAGGAACTGGAGCAACACAAGGAACTGGAGCTACACAAGGAACTGGTGCTACACAGGGAACTGCAGGCACTGGAGCTACACAAGGAACACCAGGTACAGGAGCAAGCACAGTGACGCTAGGAACTGGAGCTACGCAAGGAACACCTTCGAGCGGAATATATGAGTCCACTTCGTATGGTACTTTTGGAAGCAGTACGTCGTTCGTCAGTATTAGTTCTTTGGTAACTGTGGAGACAACGAAGACTACAGGTATGTGCGAATGTATAATATGAAGCTGTGCTGGTGTAGTGTACTGGGGATTGATATTAGTTGAAGTCAGCTGTGGATGATGGATTGGTAGGTCAGAAGAAGTTAGTAAGAATAGACATAGGAGGAATGGAGTGTGGGTAAGTGTAGTTGATCGGGAGTTATATGTGGTGTATGGTGGTGGTCGCGAAACGGAAGGTGAGCGAAATGGTTTTTTCGGAGTTGTCGAGATTAGAAGAAGAGGTGATGTGTTGTGACGAAGGAGGGGTGTGGAACTTCTTTGATTATGGTGTTTTGTTGCAGTGACACCGAGTGGAAATCAAACTGTCACAAGTGGTGCCCCATGCTACAATAGTGATGTGATGTATTACAATGATGCAGTTGTACGAATTAAACAGTTGGAAACGAATAATCTGATACCAGTAGCATCAATGCGCGCAGATGCTGCGGGATACAGCTCATTGGACATTGAACGCCCTACATTTTTGGTTGAGTTGAACGAATATGTAGTTTCGCGGATTGTGTCGATCTCTATACCAATGAAGGATGGTGCAAGTAATGTGAATCAGATCGTAGTCAAATTCTACAGTACGAACGGTGAAATTATCCGAAATGGCACAGGGCAATTGTGGGTTGTTGAAACAATACCAGGCGTTACGACTGTATGATTGACTTAAAATGAAGTTGCTGTATGCTTACTTTTTTATAATTTATTTAGATTCAGCAACTGGTACCCCAAGTACCAATTGGCAAATTGGAAATCAAGGTAATCGGCACGACAGATGGTGGTTTACCGAAAAATATTAGTATCATAATAATTGGATGTATTCCATATGGTAAGTGAAATTAGACAAGAAAGTTGTTTATGTATAAAAAGTTGTTTTAGAGGGTGAATCATCTACAACAGCAGCTAGCACTGTGGAAGTGACCGGTGTATCATCTACATCGGCTACGACAGGGCCCAGTGTTTGTGTTAAAATCGAAGCAATGAAATCAGAAGCTACAGTTATTGAAGATATATCAACTACTCCAGAGCTCACTGTTAATGTGAAGAACTTTACTGTAGGTCAAAGTGGCGTTAGTTTTCCTGAAACAGCAGTGAATCCCAATATAACTATCGTATTTAATCGTCCTGGCAATTTGTTTGTTGTCAAAGTGCCTGAAGAGAGCGAGACAAATGTTAATCAGATTGCTGTATCATTTTTTGATGAAAATGATAATTTGATTGTGGCATATACCTCACCATCGGATTCGCCTGCCCTTCCAAGCACTTTAGACGTGAACAATGTTTGGAAGATTGTTATCGAGATCGTATCAACATTCGATGACGAAAGTCCGAAGAACGTTACCCTCAGTGTCATCGGATGCTTCTCTGAAGGTAAACTACCCAGTCTGCCGTTCAGGATTCTCAATAAACAAACTATCTTCTTGCACTTTAGTTACGCGATCGCCGTCAACAACGAAAGTAACTGGCACTACATCAGGTTGCGTTTTAACTCAGTGGCAAGAATGGTCAACGTGTTCAGCTGAATGTCAACACGGTCGTACCCGATCTCGAACACGTTCCGTTATCAGTGGCCAATGCCATCAACCATTATACGAGACAGACTCATGTTCTGACGTATCTTGCGAAGAATGTACGATTACGCGTGAAAAATACCGCCAACAATTAGACCGAGAACCACCAAGTGACGGTAAGTTGAATTCACTTTTTTTTGTATTATCGCGAAGAATAAGAGCAAAATTGACTTGCTTCTTTTGAAGATTTCGTCGGATATTTAATCAACTCGACAACCTTGGAAGTAACAAATATATCAATTAAGATTGATGACAAGATTGATCGAAACGCATCGATATTCATCAATAATTGCACTCGTCTCACTTGTAAACCAAATGGAATAACCAAGGAACAAGTTCCATGTTTAGGTAAATCTAATTAACTTTATTTAGTAAGATATTTTTTGACTTATCTGCTTTTTTTTTACAGAGGACTGCAAATATACTCCATGGTCCCAATGGAGCAGATGCAATGCATCATGCGGCAAAGAAGGATCCCGAATACATTCACGCAATTTAATTCCAACATATCCATACAATCCATTGTGTGCTCGACAAATAACGGAAACACTACCATGCATAGGCGATCCATGCCCATGTGTGAAAGGTGTGAACTGTACATGTGATGTCACTGATTGGTGTCATTGGTCATCATGCTCAAAATCATGTGGTACTGGTCAACAGGAACGTACTCGTCAATTTAGAACATCAGAAAATGAAAATTGCACGGACACAAATCTACGTGAAACACGGCCATGTAACCCACAATGCTGCCGCATCGATGGTAAATTTACAGAATGGTCAACTTGGTCAACATGTTCAAAACCATGTGATTGCGGAATACAATATCGAAATCGATCGTGCACTAATCCAGCACCTTCATGTGATGGCAAAGAATGTACAGGAAATTCATACCAAACACAAGTGTGCCATTCCCATTCATGTGGTAAGTTTGACAACGAGGAAATCCAAACTAGTTATGTGACATGCTTCTATCCTTTCTTTTAAGAATCAAACTGTACTAATGGTAAAATCTATCACGAATGCGCTAACGATTGTGATCGTACATGTGACTCCTTAACATGCGACAATCAATGCCGACGTCCAGATACTTGCGTGCCAGGTTGCATATGTCCTCCACCTAAAATTATGGCACCTAACGGACAATGTGTCGAGCGTAAAGAATGCGTCTGTCGTCTACCAACAGATAACAGTACGTTGGTGAATGGTGAAAGCAATGTACGAGATTCTTGCACTAAATATACATGCAAAGATGGTTGCGTCGTCAAAGAAGATAAGAATTGTACTGTGTGTGAATGGTCACAATGGGGACCATTTACTGATTGTTCGAACACTTGTAACGGCACACAGAGTCGCTTCCGAACATACGGTGGAAGAAATTGTCCAGACAATCGTACAGAAGAATACAAACGATCATGTTCTTCGAATTGTACAATTGTTTGTACTTATAACGCACCAAATGGTTCGGTCATTACATATAAAGTGGGCGAAATCATTCGGGAAACGCCATGTGAAAAAATGTAACTATATCTTTCAAATCTTATTAGTAAGAACACATCTGAATGTTTTGTTTTATCTAGTGTTTGTCGCGAAACAGGTAAGATTGATATTCAACCAGTTAGTGGTGCAAATGTCGATGGAAAATGGAGTTTATGGACGCATTGGACCGAATGCAGTCAAACATGCAAAGGAATACGTAAACGATATCACTTATGTATTTCACCCGAGCCCAAGTGTGCTGGAAAGACATGTATGGCATTACCAGATTCTGAAGTTGATTATGTAACCACTGAAAATAACCACACTGTTCGTCGAGAAACGCAGTATGAACAATGCAATGAGATCTGTAAGTTCAACTATGCTAAATCATATGCAGATTTGATTACTTTTCTTTTGCTCTGTCATGTTAAGGCACTACAAGTCCAGTACCTACAACAACTGTTACCCCACCAGTTACGACTCCTCACACAGAATGTTACGTACAGAATGGATCGCAAGTTATTGTCGTACCAGTAAGTTCACTAGAAGATTTGCCATTCTCTATAGTTCGTAAATGTTATCTTTAGCCTAAGCAAATTATAGTCAATCCAGCCAATCCATGTGAACAGTGTACTTGCCGCCACGGCAAACTTGACTGTTTTACTACATGTGCTGAAAACGAACAGACATGTTTATCGAGACAAGATCAAGATTCAAACTACCGTTACACGTGGATTCCTCCTCAATCTGGCCATTGCTGTGGTACATGTAACAAGACTAGAAGTATGGTCCTTTATCGATTTGTTTCATGATGAACTATAAATTCGTTTCTCGTTTAGTCGAAAGTAAATGTCGTCTGGAAATATTACCCGCCGAGCGTGTTAAAGTTCATAACGGTAAATGTGTATCATTGACCGAAGTTCCACGTGAACGATGTACTGGTGGTTGTGAGTCTGGTGCAAGCAATACATTAGAAATGGGCAATGAGCTCTATTCATTTGGCAATTCGACATGTATGTGCTGTGGACCAAGCGATACTTACACCGAAGAAATATCGATGGAATGTGCAACAGTCGGCGTTCCTCGATTCATTACGACAGCTCTCTACACACGTATCCGATCGTGTGATTGCAAAGCTTGTCAAGGTTAATTTTATCCTCTTATTGTATTGCACTTCTAATTCAACAATAAAGGACATTTAAGCAGCAGCCCATAACTTTCTCATGTATGCATGTCGAACTGCTCTCACAGTGATAGAATTTGTAATCATAAGGCAAAAATATTATTTAATAACATCGCTTCTGTATGTATAATAACAACAAAACGAAAAAAAAAAGAAAATGCGACCGCCGGCGATCAAACAATATGAAAGATCATAAAAACGTATGAGTAGAAGTGATCAATATTCAGTTTTTGGTAATTATCGTTGAACTATTTACTGTATGAACAGATGCATATTGAGTTGTAACTGAAACTGACTGGTTCGCCTTGAACTTTTGATGATACGATATACAGTAGCAAAATGATCGTAATTCATATTTATCCTGTATACAAGCCGACGTTTGCCCGTAAAGATTAACACGAAGAATATCACTGTGTAATTGTATGCGCTTGGTTTGTTCATGATAAAGAAGGCGACTTTCAAAAATACCGCCAGATGGCGAGACCTCGAAGAGAACTGTATATGAATGAGTAAATTGATTTGTGGCATTCTTATTATCATTGACTTTTTTTGGTGCTGCTAATACTTCGACTTCCGCGCGTATAATTACTTTCAATTCAAGTGGAAGACACAAATGGGTATGTGATTTCAATTTAACGTTATTGATGTGATCAATACTTGCTACTGCTAGGTCTTTAATCACAGGTAATGTTATATCGAGTGGAGTACTACGTGAACACGGACAGTATTTCTCTATAGGAAAACCAAAGATTGTTCATTCTCAGTAGTAAATCGTGATGATGTGAAATCTTTACCTGGAATACCGGCCGAAGAACAATTTCGTTCTGGGATTGGATGAAAAAGTGATATGCCTGGCGTTGTTGATTGCCAATTGACTAAGAGTGGATCGAATATATTAGGCTGTTCAACCATCTTCAAAATATTCGCTAATGTCTCAAACACATCCCACCAAGATGTGAGCACTAAATTCAAAACTCCTCTGTTGTTTTCTTGTTCACAGTCAAGTATTCTACATACTTTGCTCATTATTTTTCAGATTCATCATTGCCTGTGGAAATTGTTGTTTATACGATTGCGGAAATAACATGGAAAAAAACGGTAATTTCACCTCGAAACTTCCAATACGTGTCAATCGTAATCGATGTTGTCGATGTCCGTGATCACCACAGACGATTAATATCGTGTTATTCATTAAATTGTTTTGAAATAAGTTCTCAAAGAAAGTTTTCAAATCATAATCGATCCAGAATAACCTCTCTAGATAATCATGACTCATTTCATTCATTTTCATTATGCCGAACGTGGGATAATCGGGTGTTTTGTGATGAAGATGAAGAAACTGCTCTAACCAGTCTAATGAAAGAAAATGCAGCAATTTATTGAGATAGCACGGTTTCGGATTGGAATTGCCAGCATATTTGTTGTAAGACAATGTTTCGTATAATGAGAGCCAATACGGACGAAGATAAAAGTCGGTTGGCTGCTGACGAAAACCGTTTTTTAAGTTATAGAACGCACTTTCACGCCACTCTTCACTGAAAAACGTTGTATAATTTAACCGAGAGAAATTTTTTATGATAAATGGATAATCATCGTATGGACCAGGATAATGAACGATCTTTTTCACTTGATAACGTCGTTTTGTTTTCGGTTCAACCTTTGTTTCTATACGAGTGAATTCATATCGACTGTCGTTGATATTCGGTTTTTGATAATTCGTTGCTGATTGGCCGAATAGTAATGGAACGATATTTTCAAATGTTCCGTCTCCTACGATGCTATGTCGTTGGAACGTAAATAGACCTTGAGATTTTAAATAGGACAATGTTTGAGGCAACGCTCGACGAGCTTGTAGATCGCTAACAGCATCGAGAATGACCATGATTACGGATGGTGGTGAACGATCCGGAGTCGAAGATGACATGAGTTTGGACATCCATGTTGCTGTTTCTTTGTTTAGCCATGTATCGCGAGAAAAACGAGGCTTTTTCAAACGAAACAACGGATGAATATATTCGTAAACTAGATTTGACGGTTTCGCTGTTGTGGATGAGCTTTTTTTATCGACAGGATTGATTTTAACAGTAGTCGAACAATTCGAACCGCTAAAGTACAAAATAGAATGAATGAAAATTAACGATTTCTTCCTAAAGTTTTTCTTCATCGGATGCACTTCGATTTCTATCAAAGAACACAAAGATCGGAAATTCCATTAGATGAAGAATCTTCTCTACAGCGATGATCAAATACTTCGGAAGCCATCACTTCATCGCTGTATTCATTATTGATTGTCATTATAAATGAAAATCAAATTCTCTAATGATTTTACTTAAATATTAATGTAAAAACGATCTCAACGGATGTGTTCATCAATAATAGATAAATTTCTCGAGAACAGCCCTATATACATTATTTAAATGATTGAATATCGTCGAACGAACTTACCAGAAGATGTTGCCATCGAAATGCTCTTTTCTATCATTGTAACAACGAGTTAAAACAAAGTCTACATCTGTAATCGAACCCGTACATCCATTTGTGATCAACATTGGTTCTGATAATGTATAAGACCAATCACGAAATAGTTTCTCCTCAGAATTCCTTCCGACTTTCAAATAGACACAGTGCGTAATCGATGAAGAAAAGTATGTCTGATTGACAGTTTGATTGAACACTAGATATGTGTTGTTAACAACGTTAATCAAGTTTTCTTTATTAGTCGGACATCGGTATCGTGGTTTAATACGTATAGATTTCGCTATACTCTGATCCCATGGATCAAATCGAGGTATATAACAAATGGATGACGATGATAAAGATGCATATTGGTCAGAATCATCATTCAAACTATTGTCGATAAACGAAGCGATGGATAAATCAATCGATGGGCCTGATGGTGGTGTAATCAAAATAAGTCGTCGGTATACGATAAAAAAGAAAATTATATTTAACGTCACGAGTATGTAGAGTACGTGAGAACGTTTACGAAAACGAGCTGACATCATGAACGGTGGATACTTATATAAACGTAAACGATGAGCGAGACTTGGCATAGAATACTTGCCAAAAGATAAAGTCGATTTTCCACCTGAAAGTACAAAGAAAAACGACTGAAATGAAAAGAAAACATAAAAGGTTAATGATCATAAAACTACTATGATGCTACTCGATGCACCGTTCTTTCTGCTTCACATTGATTAAGCTAGATCATATTTCGTAAGCGTATTACAGTGATATATATATAACATAGAAAAGAAAGAAAAAGGAGAAGAGAAAGCATACCACGCAAACATATGGATCGAAGCACATGCCTATGTTGACTTTAACTCAGAGGTGCATGTTCAAATTTCTTTCTCTTTCCTTGGCAAATCAACTGAATTCTAAAGAGACAGATGTCTAAAGACGAGCTTTGTCTCTCGGTAGTATATTCATGTCAGAACCGCTTTTCTACCTGATAAAAGAGAACGAGAATGGAGGAGAAAGAAGAATTTTGTTGAAAAGATGATGATAATAGAAAATAGGCAAGCAAGCAAGCACTCCGTGATATCTCTATTATGTCGACAAATAATTCCTCGTGATTCTTCTTTGACGCACTAAAATAGTGCACGTTAAGGAAATGTTTTCTTTCCATTAAATTCACATGCGTTGGATTCGCTATGAAATAGAACCTTCATGTTCTTTTTCATCGATAAAAGTAGAGCTGTGACACGGATAGAGTTCTTGTTACGTACTTAATTAAAGTAGAACTCTGAGCGAAAACATTGTGAAATGTCTGTTCTAATCTTTTAAACAATAAATTATGTGTCTCGTTCGAGTAGTTTATCGCGTTGATAATTGATTTTGTTTGTCGACTACACAAGTGTTTCACTTTTCTATTGAAGAAACACAATGTTCACAAGATACGCGTTTTTTTTATCTCAATACCTCTTATAATCCAAGAGAAGAAAAATACGCAACAATCTCCATAGAAACAGATTCACAAACAACTTACCGTTGTTTTTCCACTGTGCACATATAACTACGAAATCGTCCTTACACTACTGATATCGATAAGTCGAAGAACTGCTTTTCTCGAATACTCTCTGATACATTCATCTAACAACTATACTATTTAGATGGATTATGTAGATTTCTTTTTTCTTCTTCTTTCTCCTCGAGTTCTTTTTACTGCAATGCTTATCTATCTTCACTCCTTCGATATTTATTTTTAGTAATGCTTGAGAATGTTTTCTTCCTTCTTTTTCTCTGCTTTCTCATTGACCGGATGTACAAAGATGGTCGACGACTAAGAATACATGTCTGCTGTCTTAATGCACAGAACACATAAGAAAATGATGGCGCGTCGCGCGCTTTGTCGAACAACAGAACGTGCTCTAACACATCTGAAGAAATAGATAATACAATTGTTGCTTTATCCTAACCTCGTTAATCTCTATGGAGACGGTTATTAATAATATGTATCGACATAGAAGTTTCTTAATGAAAGAAAAAGGCAAAACCATACCAAAATAATTAAGAAAGAAAAAAAAGAAACTAGGCAGTCGTTACGAACTAGTTCGATTTTAATGATCAGGAGAAAGAAGAGAAAGCAGGCATATGTTTATTGCTTTAAAAGACAGAACGTGGTTTCTTATTCCATCGATGTTGTTTTCATCTTCCTCTCGTCAAATCAATTGCTTGATAGAATTTTGCAAAAGATATCCTCATAATAAAATAGGCATTCAATAAAAATCATTCACAATTGATTACTTTCTGTCAATGTTCGTTGTGAACATGCCAGAACAAAAATGCCGTTCTTCTACTCGATTTTATTAATAATGAACGTGAAAGATTTTCACCATGAGCAATACGCTTAATAAAATCCAAGTAACCGGAGGATGTGCCATTGTTAATGATGATAATCTGAACGTAATTAATACGTCGATTGAAAGATGCTTAATGCACAGGTATATAATCAACTACAATTAGAAAAAAAGCCGTTTTTTTCTCTGTCAGAAAGTGAAATAAACATTAAGATTTAGCCTTCTGTCAGGAAAATATCCTTCGCTTTTTTCAATAGGAAAACAATCTCGAAAGGAGAAGAAATTCTTTTTATCAACTGTTCGTTCATTGCCAGTCGCATGCTCTTTTTTTTTTCTTTATTGAGGAATATTTCTGAGACAACAAAACGTTTATTTGTATTTTTATTAAAATAACGCCAGATATCTACAAAGCGGCGTTTTTCTTTCCGAATTGAAAGTGTATGGCTGCTGCACGTTTACCGAATCGATACGGTAAAGCCGCAGCAACAAAAGAAGCTCGTTTACCAAAACGGTATGGAATTGCCCAAAGACGACCATCCGCAACGTTGATACTGGAGCTACCACCACGAGCTAATTTTTTTGCATAACGTTTGTGGAATACTGGAGACCATATCGCTTGATTGTCTTGATCTTGATAATAATCATTACGATATTCTTCTTCTTCACTATCGTTTGTATTCAAAGCATCATCGTCGTCATCGTCTTCATCGTCATCACCGGTATTGATATCATTGAGGGTATCGTGTTTGAAAGTTTGACGATGTTGATGATTTTCGAGAGCAGATGTTGAAGGACGCTACGATGATAGAAAGATATTCAGGGGAAAGAAAGCTAGACATGATTAGACGAACTTCATTATTTTGATGTTGAGACACTGCGTCGTCTGTTGATTGAGGTATCTTTGTTGTTGCTGACAATGTAACCATGATAAGAACAACAATGGATAGTTGTAAAAAAACGAAACGTGATGAAATCATTTTGTTGAAGAATAGGATATAAAGAATAATATGAGATTGTAAATCACTAAAAAAACAAAGTTAAATAAAAGAATTAGCACAGGAGAACTTGAAAGATGTGAGTGGGACGATCCGAAGCCCCTATAGCTCAGTGGTAGAGCGCCAGTCTTGTAAACTGGAGGTCCGTAGTTCGATCCTGCGTGGGGGCATCTACTTTTTGCAATCGGCTCATTGTGCAGTCAGTGTACCATCCAACGCAGAGCTTAAGAAGAAGATTCTACTACTTCAATTTATTAATTACAAACCATGATCAACAAGTTCTTTCTTCTCAGGCGAAAATAGACAACAATCCATTATCTCTATATTTAGATTGGAAAGTATCGCTGTAAAACTTATACTTCTAATGAGTATGTCTAATCATATTTTATTATCGTAATAGTCATTTGTCGATCGTTTTCCGGGAAAATGACTATTGATGAGAAGATTACCTGAACTAATATGAACCCGTCTGTGCTATGGAGGCAATCACCGAGTTTAATCTATGTGGGATATATAGCTCGAATGATCGGCTATGCGAAGAGAAATGCGACGTTTCTCTCTTCTTAATGTCTGAAAAAAAAGAGAGATTGATGAGAGCAGAAGTAATTGCCGATGATTTCTTCATCTTATTCTTTCATAGTTTTTGTAATCGAACAATAATAACACAACTTGAAATTCTAACGACAATAGCTGAGAGATGAAAAAGTTTCTTCCTTTTCTTTTCTCTCAGTATGATTATTGAAAAAAGTTTCTAACTCAAGATGACAGAACAATAGAGTTGGTGACAATGATGTTCGTTAAGTATATCTCTTGTTCGTTAGAACTAATAATTGGATTCGTTACATGTCAAGACAATTTCAAAGACATAAATAAAGTTCTACGCAGAGTATCTCTCTTTCTATTTTCAGATCTAATCATTAAATATAGCTTTGTCTAAGTACAATTCAAACAGATGCATTGAGAAACCGAAAGTTTGTGATATTTAATACACCACACTAATGAATCTTCATATCGCGGTGAGAAAGAGATCATTCGGACAGCGCATGACTATTTGCGTCTATCTTTTATCGTGTGTAATGCACACTGCGTGTCATTTTTTCTTTTCTCACATGTACGCATGTATATATATATATATGACAATAATCCGAGCATTATAATCTATGGTATATTAGATATCAACTGACCATTGTCCTCGAATCAATATATCAGCGAAGTATGAACTGATTGCGTAGGATGCTAAGAGAAAAAAGCTATTTGCGTGTTTAGTATGGCAACAACGGTGTTGGAAAAACCGTCATTATTGTCATCAACAAGTGGTTCTGAGAGCTATCGTGGTTTTTGTAATCTTCTCTATGTTATTTTGGCTATCGGAAGTTTTCGACTTGTGCTCGAGAATATTCTCAAATATGGACTATTAGTTGAGTTTAATTGGCCATTAAGATTTATCAAAGATCCCACTAATTGGCCATCGGTTCGTTGATAGAAAATATCGCTTGCTTCCTATTTCGATATTTTCTCGTTCCAGGTACTTTTAATTATCTTGGTGAATATTTTTATTCTCATCCAATTTTGGTTGGAAGTGCGATTGAGTAGATGTTCATCACGAATGTATTCCTTTTTGTTTCAAATGATTAATCTCAGTTCTATTCTTATCTTTCCTGCTCTTTACATCAATCATTGCCAACCGAATCCAGCTGGTGCATTTATAGCTGTATGCTCTTATTCAATCGTATTTCTCAAGTTAGTGTCTTATACACACGTTAACTATCGATGCCGACAAGACTTATTCGAAAAGAAACACGATGGCATTAAACAAACAAAAGATTGTGTCGTTTACCCTCAAAATTTAACGCTAAGAAACCTCTATTATTTCATATTTGCACCAACACTTTGCTATCAATTAAATTTTCCGCGTTCGCCATGCATTCGAAAAAACTTCATATGTCGACGTTCTGCTGAGATCTTGATCATTTTCTCCTTACAATATTGTTTAAGTCAGCAATGGATCTTACCAATCTTACGTACCCTGGATCGACCCTTGAATCAGTATTCAATTTTGGAAAATATTGAACGTTTGCTCCGTCTTGCATTACCGAATCATTTTATTTGGTTATTATTATTCTACGCGTATTTCCATTCGACATTGAACTTATTGGCTGAGTTATTATGTTTCGGTGATCGTTTATTCTATCGGGACTGGTGGAATGCAACGGATTTATACGAATTCTGGAATCGATGGAATACGATCGTTCACGATTTCTGCAAGCGACATGTTTACAATCCATTAGTGAATCAATTAGGTTTCAGTAAACTACTTGGTTCATTTGTGGTGTTCGCAATTAGTGCGTTCTTTCATGAAGTAAGAGAAATTCTCTTGGTAAACAAGCAGAAAAAAAAGCGACTTCGATTCTTTTAGTACTTGGTCAGCGTACCATTACGAATGGTTCGTCCGTGGAGTTTTTTGTCAATCATCATCCAAGTACCCATGGCTCTAGCAGTAAAGCGAGTTAAAGCTGAAAATAAAACTTACGGAAACATGGCTGTATGGATATCGCTCATACTCATCCAACCCATCGCTATCTTACTCTACATTCAAGACATGTTCTATAGAGACTTTGTAAAGCATTAAAGCATGTTTGTTTTGTATCTGTGATAAAATACATATTTAGAAATAGTTAGATATGAACTGTGCTGACTCACTTCTCTTATCATGCATTATCATTTTATATCTGATAGTGATACGCTGAAGACTCCATGGAGATTATTCTATTGTTAGCAACGAAGATAACGTACTTTTGACTCTTTGTTTGAGAGTAAATCGCGTAAAAGTATTGTGTAGAGATATATTTACATGAATTAATAGAAGTGAAATTAAAATTTGTACAAAAAACATTTAAAATGCGACAGAGAGAAACACTTAATTTGTTCAACAACATGAAAGCAATTAAACTTGACGATACGAAAAGCTCATGAAAACGTGTATTTTTAATTACATCATTATAAACAAAAATTTGATTCGCTGCAACTTACCATAAATGGCATTTTTTACTCGGATTCATCCGTGATTTTGGTAGACATGAAAATGCTTGAGCAAATTCGACACTATTTGAAATTGTACCAATGATACGAATACGTGCAGGCGAGTGTGGATCATTGATTAGATCATAATGGATAGCATTGGGTGTTTCCAAACTGCACCAACTCTATTGATTACAACAAAATCTTTTCCTTTTCAAAGAAAAAGATCACAATGGCACGGTTGACATACGTGAGCAAATGCAATAAAGAATAGCTGATCATTGTTGTAAGATAGGCCGGGTAAACGAAGATTATTGCCGTTATTTAATCGACGTTGTTTATGCTTTTGGTAAGCGAGATAAGATAATTTTAAGCCACCGTTATCTGCGATGTTTTCACCTAAGAAAATACAGAGATAGATGAAATAAGCAAACGATGTAGTGCAATTAATAAGGAAACAAAACGAATTAGTTAGAGCGGTTAGTCAGAAAAAGAAAAAATCTTACAGCATTATATCATCTTCTTTGATCTATTCTCTCCCTAAAACATTCGATTATACTTTTCATATGTTCGCAATATCGGTGGAATCGAACTGATGACATTATATTTACTTAATGTTCTTTGCCCATTTTCGGCCTGTCCATCCAATGCATAGCCTGAATATTGTTCAACGAAACATTTGGTTCGTTCTTCGAAGTTGTCCAACGCTAATTTAGTCCACCATGAACGCATATTTCCATCCGCGTCATATTCTCGACCTTGGTCGTCGAAACCATGTGTGATCTCATGACCGATAACCTAAAGAAACAAATGATTGACAAATTTCCTACTCGTGTGACGACTTTACTGTGCCAATTGCACCATAATTCATGGAGATTGGAATATCCTTATGAAAAAATGGTGGTTGAAGAATTCCGGCCGGAAAAACGATCTCATTGGCTGATGATGTATAGTAAGCATTTACAGTTCGTGGTGTCATACTCCAGCTAAAAAGCAACTCAAGGATATAAATAAACTATTTTTTTAAATTAAGCGTTTTACTCGGTGAGATCGACTTTTTGACGAAATTTTAAAATTGATCGTCGACGTTCGCGCTGTGAAACTTTGATTCCATTGTTGAAATACTCATTTTCAATCATTGAGTGACCCATGTATCTATCATCGATAGCCAAAAGTGTTGGTTTTCATCAAACAACAATACATCAACTAACCGTTCGTTTAGTTTTGTTCTATTATTAATGAAATCGGGGTATCCAATTTTTTCCGTCATTTTCTTCAATTTTTTCTTTGCTTCACTTTTCGATTGTTCATCAATCCAAGCCATCTGATCAAGATTTGTATCAAACATTTCACGAATATTTGAAATCAATTCATACGCTTGTTGACGATCTTTCTCACCAAAAACCGCTTTCGTATACAGAGCACCTAAAATAAAAAGAATAGTGATCGCATTGCTTTATTACGTAGTTACATACCGAGACCATAACCAAATGCTCCATCGGTTTCTTTGATGCACTGTTCCCATCGCTCAGGTAGGGATTCCATTCCATAGAGTTCTTTCAACAGTGGAAATGATAATTTTTCAAAGGTGGTCGATAAATGCGAACTGAGATCGAAAATTAGTGAAAATAATATATGATCGATAACTATATGACTTTTCTGTGGATTTAATAAGTAAGCTTGCAATATCTTTGAAACTTTAAGCATCATATCGATTGAAAGGACAATGACTTGCTCGTTTTCGTTGAGTTTTATTGGATTTGATGCATTGATGCTTAACATATCATTGAGAAGAGAATAAATATCCACTTTCAATGGTTGATACAAATCTTGAAGTTGCTTTAAGCTCATTAGAAAATATGTTTCATTCGGTTTCTGTAAGACTTCCATCGGTACTAGTTTGAAAACAAGATACGAATGGAATTAATCAACGATACCTTCACTTACAACTGACAATAGCAAGTTCAGTTTCAAAAGCAACAATATCGTTGATACGCTTTTCAGATTGATTCTTATCGAAACCAATATATTGTAAAACATCAGCAGCGACTTTGATATATGTATCCCGAATCTAAAGAATTTTATGCAGAAATGATAAACGCAGCTGCAAAGCGGATTTACAATTTTATTTCGAGCATCAGTCTCAGGATCACTGCGATTATTCGTCGATGAATTGATATAATAATCACGACTATCAAGACCGAGTTGAGGTTGGTTGACCTGGTTTCAATAGATAACAATGACCTTTGAACGCATTTTTATGTAATATCAACTTACATGAAGCACATTCCATGATGAATTCTTATCATCGGGTCCGATTGCGATGGTTAAGAGATATGAAAATCCATATTTCGACAGAAGAATCTTAGTTAATAAAGCAAATTGTTCTTCCCATGTTCGATTTTGATCGATATGAATCCATTGGTTCAATGTGAAATTGAAATTCTCTTGCAAAAATTTTTCCAATGGTTGAACTCCTTGTTGTTCAATATCATCTACATTCATGCAGGATCGATAGAATTTCACTGCTTCATACTCAGCATTGAAATCTCTTTGGGCTCCATCACTTGTGACCTGTTGTTCGAGAATACCTTTCAGTAGAATAAGATTTTTCCGGCTAAGTTCTTTCGTTGTCGACCAACTTGAATGACCTTTCGGAATAAGATTTCTTTTAATCCACTGGCCGCATACGAATTCATGAAAATCATCGCATGGTTCGACAGATTCGTTCATTCCTGAATAGATCGCCGAAGAAACTTGAATACAAGCGGGTGCTAAACACATTTGTTCAGATCGCTCTGCTTTCTTCCCTTGCTGACGATTGTGAACTGATACAAAACTCATGAATAATATAAATAGAAGAAGAATTGTCGTAATCATCAGAAAACGTTCTAAACGCGACCGTCTGAAGAGATAAATTTTCAAATAATCCATATTGAGTTTCTTCGTTGAAGACACACCATTGGATTCGTAATTACGAAGTTGAGGTTTGAATTCTAATTGATTTGGTTCATCAACGTCAAGCTCGGGTAAAACTGCTGCTTCAGGCACATCCGCTGTACTTAGCTCATCGTCGAACTGCTTGTAACGACTCATCTTCTTTCTATCTGAAGAAGTTCTGATCTAATCATATCTGTGCGAGATGAGATAATCAGTTGATTGAGGAATAACGTAGCGCTACAGCGAATGAAAATCTTTGTCGATTGTAGTGACATCTGATCGAATGAAAAATCGATTTTATTTCGAATAGAACTCAAGAAAAAAAATTCTTGAAGATACTCTATTGAAAAATATCGATTAATTTGTAAGTTGATACTAACCAATTGAATTTACCTATCATACCTGGAACAAGACGCGCACCTTTGTATCGATGCAAACGCTTTTCTTCCAGGTATTCCAATGGAAAAATCTCTCGTGCTAATTTATTAATTCTAGATCGCTTTTTTTTTAAAGAATAATGACTGAATATCTTTAAATGTCTTCAACGCTAAATTCTCCTAAGATTTCCACTACAATTCCCATTCTTCATGGTACTAAATATTCTCCATCAATTGAGAAATCTTCTCATTCGCATCGATCATCATTTCATCTCTCAAACTTCTTTCATTCTATAACAAAATTCAGTCGAAATATTCGTACGACAAACTCATTTGTACGTTCATCGTCAACAAATCCAGCAGATCAACACGTCAAACTTGCCCGACGTTCGTTTTCGAAAAATGATTCACTCTCGTCATCAATTAGTCGTCCATCGTCATGTTTCATTCTTCTGTCACCCTCAAAACAAGAACATGAAAACTGTCTCTTCTTTCAAAAACCCACGACGAATACAGATCATGTCTCACCGCCTAAAACCAATTCCAGTTCGTCATTCAACAAAATCAAACGCGTGTCATCGTTTCTCTTACCTTTAAAACGACGACAATCGATGTCATTGAATCATAGTCTCAATGAACGACCATTCAAAGCAAAAGAAGCATCGAAACGACGTTCTCGTCTACTAAACTATTCAATATTCAGATCCAAACCTAAACTTTTCATTCCTAATTTCTCATTATCTGGTTCATTTGGATACAATACACATTCGACTGCATCTACTTCAATTATCTGCAAATTGCACATTCCATTCGATCTCGGTCATATCGATCTTCTTCTTCAAGCCAGACTAAATTGTTCGCTTTATAACAATTATCAATCCATCACTTCTGATAGCCTCCATTGGTCATGGAGTCAATATCTTCGGCCATTTTACGCTGTTCTGATAAATAAACAAACGTTAACTTTATTTCAGCCAAAATTATATGATCATTCTCTTCTGCAAACTGATCACTTTTATGATTTCGTTTACATTCCATACCATCAAACGAAGTATGAGGACAATCTTTCCATTCAGATTGGTTACGATCTTTATGCACCAACCACGATTCGAATTCCACTAAGTTGGATATCTAAAACCGATCTCAACGATTATCATGTCTCTTCTAAGGTTCGTTCATTTTGTTGTCTCTTATACTTGCGTCTTTCAAAGCTGTAGAAAGAGATAGAGAAAAAACACGATTGTTTCACTTCGTATATGTTAACAAAAGTGTGATTACGCACGATTGTCTTTCAATTATTTGTTTGTAAATCCTTTTGATCCATTGCTTTTCTTTTTCTTCTCATTTTCAAGTTCACTACGTTACAATCAACAACTGAACGAAATACAATGTTTATGCATGACAACCATCAACTCTTCGGTAAGTATTCGTGCGTACTTAAGAACTTCGTGAGCATGAGCGCGAACACCGTTGTTTTCCATAAAAGTGGCCACCCGAGAAGATTCTCTCTTGATAAATTTTCTCTCTCTCCTTCGCAGTATGAGGTTGATATTCATTCGTCTAGAAAAAAATCATTTCGTGTTTATCTATTCGAATACAATTGAGCGAAAGAGAGAAATTCGTTTTTCCTTCTCTCTCTTCTCTTCTCAGCCACAGATTGGCTATTCGATTATTTAATCTTTTCTTTTCCATCGCTTGCTCTCGATCATTCCCTCAGACAATCATCTCGTTAACACACCGGATCTTCTCTTTCGCCATTCGAACATGAGAAAAATACGTTTTCGTTACATAAAAGAAAACGGAAAATCAACATCGGTTACCGTTCGCTGTAGTTTAAAACGTAAGTAACATCTCCTTCTTTTTTGTCGTATCTGATGTTAAAAAGCGAATGACATAGTCAATGTTTTTATTGTTTTTATCAATCATAAAAAGTGCTCGTAGACTAATTGAATATCCCTGAGGATAGACGATTGATCGTTGATTGACCAGAGAATGTCATTTGGAAACGAACAAAGTAGAGCAAAGTTTTCGTGTTAAAATATTAATCCGTTTTGTTAACAACAGCCGGTAAGTGGAGAAAGATGCTGATTGCTGTTCTTTTGAATACGCAACACATCAAACGCGAATGTACTAACGTTGTTTTCCTTAATCATCGAAATGATTGCGAAAGTGAAAATAGAACTGACATGCTCAATAAAGATGTAAATATTATTGTTCCATATGGCAGATACATTAGATATAGGCTTCTTCGTTTTCTGCTATCTATCATACAGTTCATTAATAACTACTGAATGGAAAACGAATTAGATAATCAAATAAATAATGACGACACCAAAAGGTTAGATTTTGTTTGAAATTTTACAGATTTCTTGGCGTGAGCACATCAAGAAGGTCTAATCGAAAATGAGCATGGAGCGCCGAAAAGTATTTTCCCATATTTCCGTTTGGAAATTGTATGTCGAGATATTCTTATCGCTCTTCATCAAGAATGTTGATTTTTAAGTATTTAGAAAGGACATACGTGAATGTCAAGATGTTAGTCAAATAATAAAATTTCGAATGTCTCAGTCAATGATGTCATAGATATAGAAATCAACGCATATGTTGATAGAAAAATAAATCAACGACTGATATTTCCGATTGAGAACGGTAGGAAGATTATTTGTCTTGTTTTAAGACTGGAGAAATGTGTTAAAAGTAAAAGTCTCTTGAAAGGCTTTCCGCGTTAATGATTGTTTGTTGATCTTCTCGTCGTTTTTTTTTTCACACAGACATAATGCGACTGTGTGTGTTTTTGTTTCTCGTTTTGAAACATAACGATTAACAAGAGGTCAATCAACTGAGTTCAAATGATTGACAAGATTAGTGGACATGAGTTCATAAGGCAATAACTATCTATCGGTATGTGTTGTCTTTTAATTCGAACTCGATCTGATAAACTTTTCGAACAATACATCTGCATGTTGTTCAAAAGAAATCTTCGCAGTTATTCTCTCATCTATCATATAAATTGACATTAGTTTAGAGTTGTATACAAAGAATAAATAAACAATATGAATAATCGTTATTTAATGAGCAAAGATTTCTTATACACCTGATCAATCGACATAGTTGTTTGAAACAAATAGATAACATTTCCTATCTGTCGGAATGTCATTAAATCGAAAGAGATTAACTGTATAGTATGTGTGTGTGTCTTTTGTTTAGGTAATGGTACTCTCATATCTGAAGCGCTTCGCCATTATCAACGGTTAGAAAATGAAAATCAAGGGGAAAAAATACGAGAAAAAACAGCAAGAAAATCAGATAAACACCGACGTCATTATCAAATCAAAGAATGTCGAATTCGACCAATTATCGTCCAACAAGCCGTCACGCATAAAATTAAAGTTAGTCCTTACATATCTGAACTTTAGTCTGTTTATTATAATTAAAATCTTTTAGCCTACGTCGCATCATTTCGATCCAATACAATTACGTCGAAAGCAATGTTCGTCGACATTGATCGATGAAGAAATTCCGATTCGATCAAATCGAAATCTCATTTGTCTCGCATCAACATCATCTTCGTCTTCATCAGGTTTCCGAAGTCATTCTCGTTCACCACCGATTCCAACATCATCGCTTGTCGGTTGTCTGGCCAATACAGACATCCCTGTCTACGCCAATGTGGTACCGATCGAATCATCGAAAATAGCTTATCACATCTCGGATACGAATAAGCCTTGGCCGAATCAACAAGGATGGCATCCAACCAATGACGGGCGAGTCAAGTTCTATGCGGATAATTTCAAACGTGCAAGTGTGATCAAGGAAATCTATAAAACTGAACATGATTATCTTGTACATTTGAAAAATTTAATCGATGTAAGTTTAAAGAGAAAATTCAAGAATTGGGGTAATAATTCCAATTGTTTTTATCTAGGGATATTTGAAGAAAATGCGGACTCGAGAGGATTTATTTACTGCAAAGCAGATTGAATTGTTGATGGGAAATATCGAAGAAATTTATCATTTTCAACAAGCATTTTTTCAACTATTAAAATTATCAATCAACGAACAAAATCCTCACGAAAGTCTCATTGGTAAATGCTTTCTTCTCTACGTATGTCTTTCGTTTATCTTTTTCTCTTCCACGAAAACATCATCTCGTTTTGATTTTCAGAAAGAGGACTTCAAGAAATATTCAGATTATTGCATCAATCATCCATTATCATGCTTAGAATTAACGAAACTAGAAAATAATTTGGCTTACCAAAACTTTTTTGAAGTAATTTCCCCTTACAAACCAACCCAATCAAGTTCATCTTTTCTTAATTTTAGACTTGTCGCTTACAAGCCAATATGATTGAATTGAAATTGGACGGTTTCCTACTTTCGCCCATTCAACGTATTTGTCAATATCCATTGCAATTGAATGAATTATTGAAATATACCAATCCTGACCATCGAGATTATGAAAATATACAACAAGCAGTTAATACAATGCGTGATGTCGCGTGTTTCATCAATGAGAGAAAACGACGAATGGAATATGTGGAAGTTATTCACAAATGGCAATCAACGGTTGACCATTGGCAGGTAATGAATAATGATTTTTGTCGATTGAATGAAAGGAAAATGATTATTGTTTAGGGTAAAAATTTGATTGAAACAAGTACACAAGGGCTTGGTCGCGCCGATGCTTATTTGTATCAAAATGGAAAAAAAGAACAAGTGACTCTCTTTCTATTTGATCACGTTCTTATCATCTGTAAAAAGGTATATTGAAAGAAAATGAAGTTTGCCGCCAATATTTATCATATATGATTTAGGATCGACGAAATTCATTGATTTATTTCGGACGTGCTGATTTAGATAATGCAGAATTCGAAGATTTGATCGATGGAAAAGGTAAACAGGCACTGATTGAATCTCTCGCCGATTTGATCTCTTCTTTTCTTACAGTATCTCGATTGGATGAAGAAAATCTGGTACATTTATTGTTCGCCTGGCGTCTATACGATCGTGTTCAGAATAAGACATTCTTATTCGCACATCGTACACCATTGGATAAAATGCAAATGATCGATGCTTTAGAATACGAACGTGCCTATGTTGAAGAAAACTTATCGAAAGGCTTAGAAATCCCATTATATACACGATTAGCTACGCTCAAAACTCAACAATATCTAGCAGAACAACCCATACCTATGTCTCGATCAACAACAGCAACTTCATTTCCTTTGATAACCAAACCAAGTACGAAAATTCGTTAAATCTTTTTTGTACGATTCTTTTGAATACTTCCTTCATAGATCGTTCGATATCAGCTATACTTCGCACAAGCAATTCGCAAGGCAATCATCAAACAGTTATATCAGCAACAAGCATAGCTATTGACCATCCTCCAGTTTCACGACGGCGTTTCGTTCCATCACGAAAATCATCCTTGCCACGATTTGTACGCAGTTCGTCACGAGATTCCTCGATTGATGACAGTCTACGTTCGACAAAATCACGATTTCGTTTTTGGTCCTAATAAATAATCTTTTCTACTTCTGTTTATGTGTGTATTTATATTCGGTGTTATTTGTTATGAATATTTGACGACACAGTTCTGAATGAAAAAAAAAAAACGATCTGTGTGTATTACATTTTTGGCTTTTATTTTGCTTAAATAAAACAAATCTCATTATGTGTATATAAAAACACTGCATCTAAATCCTCTCTATGTATTCAGTTCCACTGCATAAAAACAAGGCTCTCCTTACCTTCTGTCCTGGTTTCAAGCAAAAACGACATGAGAAAAACGTGTTAGCTCGGTTGAATAGATTATCAACAGCTTGGAATGATGCAGCTATCGTATTAACATGCAATTGAACTAGCAGGACGTTCTGTGTGTATGATGAAAGGTTATCTTTTAAGGCTATATGAGTCTCAATAAAGAATATTAAATGAGAGAATGCTCGATATTTTTAGATGAATGCTAGAGAAATCTTCTAACCTCCTGCCGATTAGTATGAATTTGTTTTGTCTACAAGGCAATGTACTATCTATCACCAATAAGCACAATATCAACCTCTGTTTATTGTTCGCTCTTCTGATCATATTCATTAATATTGAAACAAAAACATCGTTTCCATTAGTTAGCACACTTCATATTCCATTATCATTGTTCAGATACTTTTTAATATTCTTCAGATGATGAGTACCTATTCTCGTTGATGTTCTTAGAAATCAAAAGAATTGTTTATGATTTCGGATGAGTTCTTCTAAACTAGAAAACTTTGTCAATGTAACCCGCAACCAACGATTGTTTCCGGATGTTAGCTTAATTTCTACAAAGTGCAGAATACTTTGCATGACCTCACTCACAATTTATTTTTTCTAGCGCCTTTGATAAATTAGTTTACAATGTTTACCAAATTTTAAGATGACATTAGGTACATTAATCAAATGATAACGGCAGTGAACTATTTTTATTACTTTATGTCATTCAATTGGATTCCAAACACCTCGTCACTAGTATCTGCAGATGAATATAGAACAACCGTGTCGTTTGACATTTAGAAATATTTATAGTGCCAAATACAGCAGAGAATTATTATGTTACTACTGAGATCGAAGTCCGCTACTCGACGTGACAGATCGAAGTAAATATTATTTTGACCTATACATATATGTAATTAAAGGCATTGGAAACATTAGTCGTCTTCCATTACAGAATAAGATAAAAACAAGATGAGGAAATCTCGAGTCTTTCAAAGCTTATTATGAAACGATCCTCCATTCTTTCTTGCCAAAAACCCGAGCAGGTAGACGATAATGAAGTAAACCTAAATTGCGTGTATTTATATTTCATACGTTATAATCTTACACAATCCTAAGATTACTAATTAATGTCTGTAACATTCAGGATGTTATTGGTCCGATCATCTGATGCAAGCGCTTTCACGTGGCAACAATTAATTCATAGTCAAATAAAGTTCCCTAATGATTATCAGTTGAGTATTAATGTCAATTGAAACGAGACGGCTAAATATAGACTCATTTTCAGAATTGAAGATTGAGTAGACTACCTTCTTTCCAAGTACAATTGCTATTAACTGTTTTTACATGATATATTAATGAGATGAGATAGATTCGTGAGTTACTTTGAAGAAGCTAAACATGTTCAATAGACATCTTATTACTACTCTATATTTTACTAATTGCAATGCTAACAATATCGCAAGATCTCTATTATTTGATAAGAAAAGGTGTTTGTTTTCTTTTGGTAATGGGATAAAAAATGTCCTTCGTCGTTTAATATTCATATAGGTTGACATAAGACCATCCTGATCTAAGATCTCTTCTGAAAATATGTTGACATCAACTGTTGTCCATATGATTATTGATGGAAAAACAGATAATGTAATGATTTATTATTTATTTCCGTATATCTTTAGTGGCAAAACATGTCGACAATATCGAGTCCGAGGATTTCTTCTCTCGTCATCGGCGAACCAGCCATTTCAAGATTTGCGCCTGCTGTTAAAGCTTAGCAATTAATTACAGATTAGGTATGAGAAATCATCTGGCAAACTAAATATCCTCATCGAGCACTTCTCTTTCCGATTATATGTTCGCTTTTAATTATAGTCAGATGTGTATAAATAGAAACGGATGAATATTTTAATAATATGTGACATTTTTTTGTCTCTGAGTATAGAATAAAATTATAATCATAAAGAAAGGTAGGTGCATTAATGTAATGTCTGACACCGCCTATACTTAGTTGAGAAAAAACGCCTCAGGTGACTGGAATATCTAGCCGATAGATTCACACAACAAAGATATTGTCGACTGATGTTCTATTTCTCTCAAGGGCATGAATACGAGTATCGATAATGGTTTTCTTCTTCTATTCTTCGTTGGAAATTGACGTCTATATCTGTCCTAACAACATTGATGTAATTTAATAACAGTTCCTATTCGCTAATAAACAAATTACTAGTTGAAATTCGTTTTCAAACATCTTTTTTTTGCACTGACTCAAAGCAGAAAGTCTATTTTTTGATTTTATTACAAAAGAATGAATCCAATCATAGATTGAATAACAAAACAGTATTGAAACAACATCAAAACAAACAAGATTTCGATGATTTCACATGGACGGGACTATAACAATGATATTGTTTCTATGTCATCGTGATCGATTTCATATCCATAGTTGGTATTAACGTATTTTCGACACCATTGACAATCCGTCGAATTTGTGTCCTTGTTGAATGTCGTGGCGAGCGCCCTTGACCGACTAGAACAATTGGCGGCTTACAACGATTCCTTAGCATTGCTATCCGACTAAGAAATTCTTCACGATAGATTCGTGACAAAAGACAATTGGTATAGAAGCGCGTAGCCGATATCAAATACCACGAAAGATAAATTAAAATGATGAACAGCTGAGCTACTGGAGATCCAGCAACGAAGCTCGAATAACTTTCGAAAAGATATGCTATTTCCGTGATAATATGAACGAGAATAAATGGTGCGACATTAATTGATATTAAAATAATCATTTGAGTATCTAAACCAGCACGTCGCCGACGAATGGTTGTCATACGAGTCAACGGACGACATTGGGTAGGATTGAGTTTACAATATTCGCCATTCGGTGCAGATGAACCAACGTACGAACTTGACGTGCGACTGGTTTGAATTGCCGACGTGATTGTACTTTCAAAAGTTGAATGTCGATTATTTTGAGAAGCTATGCAAAGATTCTTCGCGAATGCATTCGATTGATTCGATGAACGAAAACGTTTTTTTATATGCAGTGTTATTAAACACGTTCGACTAATTGAAAGAAGAATAATCACAATTGGAATAACCATGTAGAGACTTATATAAACAACGTGAATAAATATCTCACAAGTCAATGTTTTCTGTCGACATTTGTCGTTTAAACAGAGAAAAGCGTAGACGACATTCTGAATCAAACTTAATAGTAAACCTATCAAACACAAGTAGAGAAATCGCGTTCGCGTACATAATGTTTGACTTTTTGTCGGCCATTCGACTTTCATCCAACGGTCCAATGATATAAATGCGAATATCCAAGAGAATCCAAAGTACAGCTCGTAGTTACAGCTGAAACGTTATCAAACAAACAATAAGAAACAAGTAGGAGAATTCTACTTACATGGTAAAGAATCGACACCAATGGATTGACAATGTAAATACATTAATATGGTAAATTACTTCGAGAAAATACTGTAAACTAGCGAACAAATTAAAGATATCAACAAATGCCATGATGAGAAATAAAAAACCGGTCGAATGACTACGAAGTTTTTTTGAGCTGAACGTGACGATTGATAGAAAACAACCTGTATAGCCGAATATATACAGAGCGACACATATCATGGCAATGAGGACACGTAAACTGGGAATATGAATAATAACGGCAGTTGTGGTGTTATTCATCCCGAAATTCATGACAATATGTTTTGATTTCTATTTTTTTTTGAAAGAAGATCTTAATATAAGAGAAAAGAAAATGAGCAGAAGGAACGAGATGGATGGAACAGAGAGAAAGAGGAAAAAAGAGTCGATAGATAAAGAGATAGTTTCTCTCTTCGCTTATTTTTTTTCTCTCTTCTCTGTGGCAATTATTCTCATTCTATTTGTAGGCGAAGAACAAAGAACATGAACTACTACTTTTTGTTTTCGAAAATCTCAATGCGCTTTCATGTTGTGTTTTGAAGTCAAATAAACACATCAAAGAAAAATGTTCATAACAATATTTCAAAGTGTTATGTACTCTTGCATGACTGCATCGCATTCAAAGTATGTCGTAGGATTAGCATGATGGATGCAAAACCACGTTTGTATTGTAAATTTTTCAGTACAACTTTCCGAATGATTTCTAATCTGTGTATTAACATTAGTATTTAGTCTTAGAGGTGTTCGCACTACACGCACTCGGAACTTTCTTTTGCTGTTCGGGGGGTATACAAATACAAGTACATTTTTTCCTGAAAAAAAAATTCCGAGTAAAATCTCTACAAATAATTACTGGTTATATTTATTTTTCTTTAGATTTCATGCTAAATTGCCCAGTTGAATTATTCAACAGTCTAGGCGTTTTCTTCATCAATATATTTTTAGTTCTATTTTTCACCGCATATTAAATGAAGAGATTTATTTTCTCCATCGTGTGGCAAAACCTTTTTTCTGTGAAATGTTTATCTATTCAACCTCAATAGAAGACAAAAGAATTTCGAATTCTTTTTATTCACATGCGTATCCATCAATATGAATGCTATGTTCGGTTCACCTTTCTCTGTATAGAACCTAGTTTGATTATGAGTACTAAATATTTTTCTTTTGTTAACAATTCTGCTACTCGTCATCTACCCCAGGGTTAAATGGTATCAGGAAATTAATGGAAAGAAAAGAACCGTTGACAATTACAGACAGATATATCGAGCAATAAAAGTTTATCGGCAACAGGAGTCTTTTATTTTCTAAGAAAAATAGCATCGTTACAAATAATCGATGTGTCTAATCGAAAATCAAGTACTAAATGATTGACAATATGACTTGTGTCCTATGAATGATAAATATCCTACGGATATATTTATATTTGTTTCTTTTACAAGCGAAAAAGCTCGATTTTGATCGAATGGAATTGAACTGCCACGTTTTCATCTCTTCTCCTCGTGGCCAAAAACAGGTCACACTGATAAAAGGTAATGTTTATGTTATTGTGTTCGTGAATATAATTGCTGTCTGAATGTGCAAACGCATTAGCATTTATTGAGTTAAATTATTCATAATAGTCTTTAGGAGAAGAATGAGAAGCATAAAAATACGAGTTTCTTACTGCAAAATCAATTGCACTCTGTGGCATGCTGTGATGACGTACGAGCAGAGGTTATGTATTTACTGATGACGTTCTCAAGTATGCAATGATGATTTCCGAGCTTGAATAAAATAGATATGAGCAATTCGTCTTTTTTCTCGCATAGTTCATTTGAATTGTTATATTCATTGTTTACGTTCGAAATATAAGACATATGAAATAAAAACACAAAATTCTTCCTGACATTGAAGCTGCTAAGTACCAGAATCGCACCCACAGAAAGTTCATATTTCCTGTCTGAAATTACGTCTATGACGACTATTAGATTCGTCTGATTCTATTCTATAATTGATTTCTGTTATCAAGACCATGTTTAATGCAACAATTAGCACGCTAGCAACACTTCCGAACAGGCCGTAAACACGGTACACGGTCTCTATTAGGACTCCATTGTCTTTTCGAATTTTGAATAAGGGATATCGTCACTAGTAGAAAATTATTTCGGTTATCTCATAAAGTGTTGACGTCATTCGACATGTTGTATTGATATTCAAGAACACACACGTAGGTCAATTATAATTTCTTGCATTTATCGTTACCGTCATGCTAACATGTAATTAAGTTGTCATTGTGTTTATAATGATGTTCTACGGCGTTTTCAACCGACTTGGTCAATAACTAATAATGAATATGAAAAAATGTTTGATGATTTGCTTATACAATTGAATTCGTCAACGAGAAATCGATTATCGGAGAAGTAGTTAAACAAATACTAATGCAGATTGTGGGGCTAAAAGTAATTGAAGGAAAAGAAAGAGGAAAACATATTTTCGACCGTTCTCAATAAGAATAGTCGAATAAAAATATTCACCCCGAAGTCGACAAACAAATGGCACGATCATTAGAGTGGTCACAACTCTCGACAGTAGATCCTATTGTAATCAAATACATTCAGACATCGTCGGAAGAAAAAGAAAAAGGATCTTAGCAAATAAAGCAAACTGATTATATGCAAAACAATATTAACATTACTCTATGATAGTCAGAAGAGCACAAAGCCGTACAATGAACTAATCGCTTCATGAATATGTAAACAAAAAGTGATCTGCATTGTAATGTGATATGTAAAATGAGAATAGACATCTAAGGTCATTGTTAGTACGAGGAAACACTATATTTTTCATTAGAGAAATGAAGATTTTGCAAACTTCAATTTGACATCGAGTAAACTCCAATTAATCTGTCATGTCAAGGTTCAAAACAACGTTCACTGACAGAGAAGAACTTTCTCACCTAGAGAATGGGATTACGACGGATTCTTCAAAACCTCCAATCTATATACGCATTTTCTTTGAAGTTCAAAGCGGCTTATTCAATGACAAAAACTAGAGGGCAATGAATAACATTGATCAAAAGCATATTAATCAAGTATCGGTGTGTTTTACCATTCGTACTTTGTTATCTATCTGCATTCGAGTTAATGATCAACTTGAAAAGTAATTCCGTCTTTGCGAATATCTTTTCTTTTTTAATGAGCTCGTAATAAGTTCGAATTTATCTGACGTTGCTGCGTTGGAAGATAAATGGAAGTAAATCTTGTGTTGCTTGAAAGATTCTCATATGCGAAGCGGTAAGACCCTCAATTCTTTTTTCTATAATTCTTCCGTGCCGTGTATGATGGATTCAAATTATTAGCGGTAATTTTCATACAATGATTCTATCAACTGTGAAATTACCCTGAAAAAATTCATTGTCAATAAAAATAACACTTGGAGCAATTTTAGTACCGAAAGTTTCACCATCGAGTCACGCTGAAAACCAAGTCGTATCATTGATGATGCGATCGTTTTTGTGATTAATTTATTTTATGCTAATTGCACAAGAGCGGTTACAACCTAAAATTGTTTGTTGTCTGTCAATACGTCTTACGAGATGTACTTTTTCCAAGCCTATATAGGTACAGGAATTTTACAAAATATCTATCTAATTTTTCCTCTCGTCTCTTGTTGACATAACAGATATACAAACAAAACATTTTAAACTTGTTACGTACGACTTATTTGTAGGAGTCTTGTCGCAGGATGGAAATCAATAATCTCAGTCTTAAATCATTCTTTTCGGTACATATTTTATTTCTCATCATCAAACAACATTTGTATTCCTGCAAACGATTCCTTTAACTACAGTAAGATACTATATTGACACGAAACGTTCTTCTAAAGACACAAGCTCTTTCTTTAGATACTCGACCAGATATATCTGTTCACGACCGGTACTTTGCAGCTATTTCTTACCATGCTCTACATTTGTTTTTATCCCACATCTTCTGATCGTGTCTCATCAACACGTAACATCTCACTTCTCTTCTCTTCTCCTATTTTTAGAGAAGGCAAAGCTGGTATTGCACTTCGCCTCTCTGTCTATGTCACCGATGCAAACAATTGTACACCTTTGGTCAACACACATTCACCTCAAAGTACACGTTGGAATGAATGTGACAAGCAACACTAGTGGAACATACTCATGCGACCATGCGTCACACATGGGTCAGCTGTTCTTCAAAGATACGCTGATTGATTTGATTGCAGTCATGTCACCTTACTCGACACATACGATCGTCCGAACTCGAAACTCTTAAAGTTTTTTAAATATTTCTTCAATGAATAGAAATGAGAAAAAATGTTTGAATATCTTCGTATTAATAAGTGGAAACAAAAGTCTTTTATCGAACGATAGTATCTCTTGTGGATGAAGATGCATATTACACTGTTGTGTAATTTGAAACTTTATTCTGTAGGTAGTATGCTGAAGTGGTGTTCATAGAATTAGAGAAATGCTTCAAGAGAAAAAGACTTGAGCACAGAGGAACTTAATTATCATGTGATTCTTTTCATTACGGTCAACGAATTTACGTCTTTAGAATTGAAAAATCCCTGGAGTGCTGTTCTAGGCAGTACGAAGAATCGATGCTAACACCTAGCTGTCAGTCTTGCTTAGTAATCGAGTATCTTTCAGGTATCAATCGTGACCTATTATGATAATGCGAAAATCATTATTATTCATAGATCTTTGCTTACACCTGACAAGATCTACGACGCAACTTAAATAAAAAAACCATCGAAGCTAGAAAAACTCGATCGTCATTAGGAGAAGTATCACGTTGCTGTAAAATCTATCTACGCCAGCTTAATGACGCTAACAGTACGTAATACACTTAAATATCAATTACATGTATGAAATAGTCGGTACGAAGGTATACAAGCCGACATTAAAGAAATGTTTTTACCAACAAACCTCTTTGTCGGTCATAATTATGCCCTTGAATGGAAGATGCACTCAAGTTTTCTTTTACTGCCTTATTTCTGGTTTCAATAGATGATCATAAAAAAATAAGATTTCTCAATGATTGAAAGCACACCAGTGATATGTTTTGACAGCACGAGTGATTCAGCTACTGAATCAATCTCGTTCCTATTTGTACCTTTGTCAAACATACTCCTAAGGTGGCCTGGAATATCAATTGACAGGTGGTGCACAAAGGCGATTACAAAACTGAGCGACAAAATAATACGGAGACTTGGAAATAGAATGAACACAGAGCTTGACGATAAGTTCGTAAAACTGACATGGAAAATAATTATGGGAATTAATAAATTAACATAAAATAGAAAATGAAATGCGGGTGTATTTACTCTAATCGTTTTCCGTAAGAATCATAAATTTTTGAACAACATATTTAAATTGACAAACAAAACATTATTTGTACAATGATGCTCTCTTTCTTATAAGATGAAACAGACTAAAATCTAAGTACATTTCTATGGAAGACAATACAAACATTTCTTCACTGGATGCTACTCGGCACTATTCTTGGCTATACCTAGAAATACGCATGTCTTGCACCATTAAAAAGCAATTGTTTTTCAAAACGCTTATGCGTATGCATAGTTTCTTTCTAATGTCGCTCGCATTAAGATAAATGACTATTCTGTATATCATGTTTATTCACTGATTGTAGTTTTATACAAAGGTACTTTTTTTCTATACCTGATTTTGACTAACAATCTATTTACCGAGTGTAGGTGAGTTAGTACCGAAACAAAAGTATGTCCTTTTTTCGTTTGATTCATGCACTAATTCCATTAATTCACATACATACACATATATGTATAAAGGCAACACATGTCTTTCAACACTACTCTCAAAACAACAGCATCAGCTGTATACTCATCAAGTAAGACTATTTTTGCTGTTGCCATACGCTAGAATCGAATGTTTTAGGGACAAAAAATCTATCTACAGACGAAGAGATCTTCACGCATACACGCACGTTTTCGTACATAATATCTGCTTCTCTTTGACGCCTTATTGACGAAACTTATTGGCCATGATTATTTTACGAGTATCCATTGTTCTTCTTTGTATTTGTTTCTATCACATATCTTCTGATCGTGTCTCGTCAACAAGTAACAATTCACCTAAATTATTTCATTTTCACACACGTCATTTGTAGCTGCACGATGTAAACGACAGATCAGTAAAGCGTCTGGCTGTATTCTCACACCACAGGCTGTTGAAGGACCGTACTACTGGAATGCTACTATCCGCCAAAATATCACGTCAGGACATCTACTTCTTCAACTAAGTTCGCTCAACGTTCTCTTTTTCTTCTCCTATTTTCAGAGAAGGCAAAGCTGGTATTGCACTTCGCCTCTCTGTCTATGTCACCGATACAAACAACTGCACACCTCTGGTCAACGCACTCGTTGATCTCTGGCACTGCGATGCAGTGGGAATCTACTCGCACTACATCGCAGCGAGTCAAGGTGTTCAAAACGGTGCAAACGATAATCAGACATTCTTCCGAGGTATGTGTCACTTAGTACACTCTCGTCATCAGATGACATGTTTTGCACATTATGATTTCGTATAGGATTGACTCTAACGGATGGAAACGGTATTGCAACATTCAATACAATCTACCCAGGATGGTACACAGGTCGTGCAACACACATTCACCTCAAAGTACACGTTGGAATGAATGTGACAAGCAATACTAGTGGAACATACTCAGGCGGCCATGTGTCACACACGGGTCAACTTTTCTTCAACGATACGCTCACCGATTCGGTCGCACTCATGTCACCTTACTCGACACATACGATCGTCCGAACTCGAAACTCAGAAGATAATATCTATGCCTCATCGAATGGGTCAGTGACACTGTTATCAATCACGCAGAACTCGGAGACCAGTTGGACTGGGGTAGTGACAATTGGTGTGAACTCAACTGCTACACCAAGTGCAGTTAGTAATGGTGGTGGCATGCCACCTAATGGCACAAATATGGGGACACCGATGCGCAACACAAGTGCAGTCATTGCAACAGTTACTGTAACTACATCGGCATCTGCGTTTGCATCTACATTAGTTTTCGGAATACAAGCTTCATTCTACATTTCTATACTAAATCTTCTGTATGTGTTCTTATTAGAAATATAGATATCATTTGTGAGAACGAGATATTTTCGAAGTCGTTGATTTTTATTGCAAGTAGGAAAGCGAAAATGGATTGATGTTGTGTTTTCCTATAGAAATTTTCCAATGACGGAGAAAAAGATATTGTTGGATGAAATCGCTTTATATTCACCCCCATGACCGAGAGAAATCCTTCAGAGCAACGTACAATCAAGCATTATCTCCCCCAGTTGGTAGCTTCAATGCAATATTTTCATCTGTATTATTCTCATCATCAACTTGGACACGCGTCAAGCGTTTTGGTCTTCCCCACGGCCTAAATAAACACAGATAAAATTCGTGGAATTTTTCTCAAAAACGGACTAAATACTTACAGAGCAAGACCCATAAGTTCAACATCATCAACTGTTTGAGGCAATGATTTATTCAGTGTTTCCGGGCAAATTGTTACAAATGATACGGCAATTATCGACGTCACACCGAAAACAACAATCGGAAAGTATAGCCAAACTCTTGCCTAGAAAAGAAACGCGAATCCCGCAATCAATGTCAACCAAACCAGAAATTCTCAAAAGTATTTACTAGTAAATCATTTGATAATGTTCCTGCGATAGCCCCTACGCGAGCGATCATTGAACAAATACCCATACCAGTATTTCGAACTTGAGTTGGAAATAGTTCATTTGCATATATATAGATAATCGCATATGAACCGGTGGCAAAAAACTTCAAAATCACATGGATTGCAAACATTAATCCATTTTGACCTAAATTAAAGGAAAAGCACACAGAACGCGAAAGCTCCGTTTTCATGAAACGACTCTTCATAGATCAATTACCTGGGCTACCTTTGATCATTAATACCTGAACTGGCACGACTAAAATTGCGAAAACTGCAAAACCCGTAGCGAAGGCACAATAAATAGTTTTTCGGCCCCACAAGCGAAGAAGTAAATGAACACTGAAATAAGCAAGTATTTCAACAATAGCGCCAGCTCCAAAGGATATGTATGGATTTGATAACCAAGTGCCTGAAAGAAATATATATGTATTATTTTATTCAACGGAGAAATCAGTTTTCGTTACCTGTATTTTGTGAAACTCCATAAAAGACTAGATTTTGAACAAACCTAGAAAATATCCTCACTGATCAATGTGACGAACAAATCAGCTTTCTCGGTGACTTTACCATTGAAAAGATATATTGAGTGTTATAATAAACATAGTTTTTGATCGAAACAAAATCATGAATCCATGGCGTTTTTCATCAATTATTGCTTCTCTCTAATTCATAATTATGATCGGAACACATTTGTATTATCACGTTCTTCTTACCTTTTTCTCTTCAGTAATAAGCCGTTGATAGGCAATAGAATCAAAACTAGTTTGATTGATTTTTGCTATATGACGAAGGACTTTTTCTCCTCGCTCGTAATGACCTTTCGATATCATCCAGCGCGGACTTTCCGGCAACAAACTACAAAGAAAATCAAACAACTATCATCGAACTATCCACCATATCACACTAGTTACAAGTAGACAATCAAAAATGGTAGTGACAAAATCGCTAAAGTTGTATGTAGTAAATACCACGACCGAAAGAAATACGCAAATACTAATAGTATCAATTCACCTATGGCGAAAAAATACTGGATGATAATACCAGTTAACAATCGTTGCCTCGGTCCGACTAAATAGAAAGTAGACTAATTATCATGCCATTTACAATTAAAATTGAATGAAATAAAGTTCGTTTTTACTAACCGATTTCTACACCTACAAAGATATTGAAGAGAATAAATATAGATAAAGAAAGGACGTCACGTACCAATGACGAAGCCTGTCAAAGCAACACCACGTGATGCACAAGCTAGCAAAAATCGCCCCAAAATAAAAAGTGAATAACTTAACTCAAATCCAAGGCCATCTTGCGGCGCAAATGCACAGAGAAAACTGGCGAAGGAAATAATAAAAAACGAAATACCCATAATTGGTCGTCTTCCAAATCTTAACATAAAAGTTATATAAAAACGAAAATCAGCAGACAATTTCGAATCAATGTACTTGTCCGACAAAACACCAAAGACCAGCGAACCAATCATATAGCCAAAGAAGAATATCATTTGAGACAAACTCTTCCACGATACTCGATCACAGACCATCGACCACTAAAAATAAGAGACTTTATTCCTCTCTTGTTTCTTAACTGCGAAACAAACTTCTTCAACTAATGTTGATTCATAATACGTTCGATCGAAGCTAAAACTCGTACAAGCTTTCAATGTGTTACCATTACTTTCATCGTGATAACTTTTATTTGTACTCAAATAGCATCTTTGACATTCTTGTACGGATATGGTGCTTTTATACTCACGACATTGAGTTTCACTTGGAACATGACGTGCTAAAACATGCTGCGTGAAATCGTTATTCGGATCGTCTTCGGATGATAATTGGCAACGAAAAGATGGAGTGGCTGCTGTAAATGTCCACGTGTAAACCATAATTGGAGGTAAAACGTAAGTAAGACATACAAGAAGATATTTGAGTTTTTGGTATCGACCAAATGACTGAACAGTTTCATAGAAATCATCGAACTGCATTGGGGATTTTGTCCTAAGCTGTCGAAAAACAAGTCAGCTGTTAACGGCTAAAGATGAATGTGAAAGGAAAGAAACTGGGAAGGTTGTTTTTTCTCGAATCGTTTGTTTACAATTTTCGTTCGTCCTGTTTCGAATCAATAGTTAATCACCGATTATTTGAAATAAATGATTACGCACTGCGTGTGTCCATGACTAGCTTACCCCTTCTCTACTCATCAGTCACGGTAAAATATCCATCCAAATCGAACTTACACTATTTTGTTAATCATATTTATTCTTTCAAAGACAAAAAAGAGCATTTTATGTCAGAATAGAGAGAGAGAGAGCCAGAACGTTAAATAATTGCGTACGTGTTGAGATAAAAAATAAGCAGATCTTAATCAAATACTAGTGCAAGCTTTAGAACTGAGAAAGCGTGAAAAATACTTTTGATTGCAGAGCTAGTTGGAAATAAAATAAACATGGATAAGATACAAATAATAAACAGAAAATGATGATCACGCACAATATTTTTCGATACTTTTAGTGGAAAAAGATAGTACCGGAAAGCTGGTGTCGTTAAACACCAGACGATTCATTTGGTACGGTGACCAATTGTTTACCGTTTTGAAGACACGTTTTGAATTGTTCGGCAATGGGAAATTCTTTGTACTCACCATCGCCGAATGGAATGTTAACACTCATTTCGGACGATTTTGATGTGATAAATTCTGTGTCAAGTGACGACGTAGATAAATATATGTGGCAGCCATCGGTTTTCTCAATTTGCAAGGTCGGAACACGATCGATGACTTGAGCTTTCATACTTTTACAATTGATAAATTCAACTAATGATACAACAGATGTGAATTGAAGACCAACTTTCGTACATTGATCAAGAACAATCGAATTCACTTTGCCTTCGACAACAACTGTGGAATTGACGCACTTGTATATGTAAATACTATGTTTCATGTTGGTGTCAGTTATGCGAAGATCATGTTTATCTTTCTGATATTCAACCAACCATTTGTTACCTTCAAGTACTAATTTCGGAGGTCCACTTACAGTGGTCGGTTTCGATGTATTGACCGCTGTCTAACAAAAGTATGAAGATCGTTTTGCAAAGTATAGATGTAAGGTAAATACGACTTACTTGTGTTTTAACAGGTGATGGAGCAGATGCTGGTTTGCCAGGTTTAGGTGGTACAACTGGTTTTCCATCAACAAATTGTGCTGGACCTTTCTTTTCATGAGGAGCTTCTTAAATAACGAGACTAGAAGCTGAATGATACGAGAAAGATGCTTCTGCATACCTGTACTTTGTCTCAATTGCGGATTTTTGTGTGTTTTAAGTTCATCCGGAACTTTTTTCAAATGAGATGTTGCACCTTGGCCCAATGCATTGATGGAACTCATCAGTTCATTACGACTATTATCGACCAAAGCGTTAAGAGCGCTATCTAATTGCATAGGTGGAGGAGGAGGAGGAGGAGGGGGTGGGGGAGGTGGAACTCCGCCTGAAGCAGGTTTGTTTACTGATGTTGCTACATTGGTTGAATCAACATCACGTTTACCATGAGATGCCCAAGCTAAACCAGTAGTATGATGTTGTCTGACGTATGTATGAAGATCATTCAATATTTTCGTCCATAATCTGACCCATTCTACGTGAGTTGGATCTTTGTCTTTGAACTCTTTGAGGACACGATTGGAATAAAACTGAGCAGCTTCTGTCATATCTTTGATATGCGGACCAGGTGTTGGTGAAACAAGAATCCAGCCGAGTGCTGGAATACCCTCGGAGATGGCTGATAAATGATTGAATAATGGAGATTTACGATTTTTGTTTGTGTAATCTATCGATGCAAATCAATCTTCATTCGTTTTCCCTTTCATTTCAAACATACTCGAAATCGCTTCAATTTCGTTCGATTGCGGCTTAATTATTTCCGTTATCTGCTGATCGTTCGGCTTCTTACTTTGAACAGCTCGTTTAATAAACTCCTGTTGAGCAGTAAATAAACGTTGTACGTGATCAGCCATTGCTGTCAGATCTCCACCAATTTTTTTCGAACTATTCAAAAATGGTTGAACCGATTCATTGATTATTGTATCATAATCGCGTAGGATGGGCAAATGATCAAGTTCGTCAGCAGTTCCATTATTCACATTCGGATGTCCATTGACAGCCGACGATGCTGGCGACGAGAATTTTTGAGCAACTGCTTCTAATCGATTGGTAATCGCTTCGAGACGTTTTAATTGATCGTCCATTTCTAGAAAATAAATCCAATTTAAATGACAGATGCGAAAAAGTCGATTCTCTCAACGAAAAGAAACAATGCTCGCCTTCATATTTTCATGAATAACATGAAAATATGTGATGTATACGATTAATAATAAAACTGGCAAATAAAAATGATTCATCTCAAAAACAAGAACGACGATTTGACGAATGTCCATATATAGAAAGTGATTGTGCTTCAATAACAATGACAACAACGAAATCAATAAAATTTCTCCTTCGAATTTCATTAACTAAAAAGGAGAAACAAAACAAAATATGTCCAATTGACTCATTCGTGACTAACCAAGGCATTTCTTTTTTTTTCTATACTCGCAGAGGTCGCCTATTCACATGAGAGAGACGGAGAAAGGGTGCATCAAATGTGAATGAATGGATTCAATGAAAAAATAAATTCGACAAGTCACTGATTCAGTCAATGCGTTTGATTGATATCAAACGCGATCGGCTTGATCAATGAAATTATTCGACAGGATTATGAACATTTATTTCTCATCGGAAGAATTCTCTGAGGTACGTCAGTATGTCAATGATTTATGTTGAGAAAATAAAATAAATACAGAGAAGAAAAAGGACTTTGGAGTACTTTTTTGTGATGAATATTAAACAGCATCGATGACAAATGAAGAAGATTGTTGATGTTCATCAGTTGGTAATGATGATTTGATCTTGGCGGACTGTCGTTGAGCGATACGATCAACCGTTTTTTTGTACGTTCTTTCTGAGTAACGTTTCCACAATTGTTGATGATGATATTTCTCATCGAATTCAGTGTCATTCGGAAAAGGTGTTTCAGCTCGTCGCACTGCTTTCTTGTACTGATCAGAAGAAAGTTGAGTAAAACAATTTTTATCCAATAAGAAACATTCACATTCATTACTAACAACTGTTAATGCTGGCTGATTAGGAAATAGTAAATCTGTGACACCCTGAATAGAAATATGCTCGTTTGTAACTGAAAATAGTATTATAAAGAAAGAAACCTACGAAATGTTGTCCTTCGTTTAGTGTTTTGACATGAACGTAGAGTCTTTTATCTGGGTGGATTAATTGGCATTTTGTTGTTTCCTAGAACAAAATGTTACGAAGGAAAGAACAATAGACGATTCCTTACTTTTATATTTAGTTGATTTGGCTTCAGCAAGGCGTTTGTTAACGTAAGCTTTGTTCCTGTACTATTTATAGACAATGTTTCATAATCAATCAGTTGTATTCGATCTCTTCTATCAATTAATCCAGGAAATTTCTAATATAAGATGACTATTGAATAGAAAATCGTGAAAATATTTCCCAGAATTACCTTATCATCAGGAATGATACTTCGAGATCGCGTGGATAACGCTGATGAGGCACGTCGATCATCAGCTGGCGATTGATTAGCATGAACATCTGTATCGGGACCAATCGAACTCACCAATGAGCTACTATCACCACCCAGATGAATGTCTGAGAATAATGCACGAGTATCTCCTGTTAAATCATTATCAACATCAATATCTACAAGCAAGTTAGATGTTTGTAACAAAGCATGTTCTGCGAAAAGACAAACTTTTCTCGTTTTCCATCCGTTCTGAAGTTGTTTTAGTTGGATCATGTTCATCATCATCGATTGGATCAAGACGTTTCCATATATCCAATGAACCTTTTTTCACAATAAACACATGCTTCATCCGTCGACTATCCTTTGCAATCACTTCCGATGGTCTATATTCGTCAACGATCAATAAATCAACGTGTATACAAACTCATACCCAAAATGAAGATGTTGAATACCATTGGGGATTTCATTTAAGCGATCCAATGGAAAGCCACGTAGAAACGCAATGTGATTTCTGTTCAAATCAAATCAGTTATAGTAGTTTTTATTAGCATTCAACCTTGATCTTACTTCAAGTATCGTAAATCTGCTTTACTACAATGTCGATCTCTCGTCGCAAAAATTTTTTTAAAATCCTAGATAAGACACAAACGACTCAAGTACGTTTGATCATATTCATCTACTTACATCTTTTGATAGAACTAACAATTCCACTTGTGTTCTCGACATAACAGTCGAGTTTTGCTTTGAATCATACAATAAACTCTTATCCTATGTGAAATAGAATGTAGTACAAATCTGGTAGAAGACGAACATATTCGTACTCCAAAGGTCGACCCTCGTTTCAGCACGGGAAGTGTCTCGACTGCACCATCACTGTCACTTCTATACGTTGGAATTGCTGAACCGGAAAGGACGATATAAAAATAAGCTGGTCGCTCATCTTGTCGAATAATTGTACGACGTTCGGGAAAACTCAAACAACAAATGTGAACTAAAGAAATTGCAAAGAAAACATACTTACCATTCATACCAAGCACTCTGTAATAACTGATCCTGAAATACCTTTGGCAACCGAGAGAACGGTCGAACATCCGCTAAACATCTCCGAACCTAGATAAACAACCACATTGTTTTGATATAGTCATAGTAACAAAGACAATATCCACAATGGAAAAGTAATCGAATACTCCATTGAAGTTGCATTTCAAATATTATCATCGATTGAAATAGCCCTTACCGGATCAGCTTTGTTTAGATCGCGTTCACCAGGTATTTGCGTAAAGAATTCCTTCACAATAGGTAAAATGTCTGTCTATATAAACAAAGATAGACGAATTGGACATCTTGTTCAGAATACGTTTGTATGATCTTACTGTTTGAATTTTAAAACTTGATTTATCAAATATAACCGTGTCTTTTCCACCGATTGATTGTGAAAACGATTGATACTTCATTGAACACAATTGGTTTCTGATGGAATGAGAAAAAAAAGCTAGAATAGATTGATTTTTCATGAATGTTTTCTTAAGCAGACTTTTTCCGGGCAAAATTACACCAATAAATAGCAAATAAAACTAAATCACGTGCGCGACGAAATTTGACTATTAAACGAGTTGGGAGAGGCTAAAAATAATAATTTGAATAAGAATCCATTCATTGAGTAGAATAATACTCGGTGATCGCGTGGAGACTGATGAATAGGTGAATGTATGCTGTAACCTGAAACAATAGATTGATATCCATGTTTACCGTGAGACGATCGGTCACTAGGCAGTGTAGTCGCCAAGTTTAATGAGACTTTCGTTCGATTATCTCCTGTACTGGCTGTCGACAGCGATCCATATGGTTTTAAGCGAAGAAGATTTTCAAAGAAACTTCTTGTTGGACGTACAGCTGACGGACTTATAGATGGAAGAAATGTATATCGACTGTCCGTCAATGGTTGACTTTTCGATCGAGCTGTTCGTTTAGAATTTGTGTCATTCTGATGAATGACATTGGCCATTGGACTTGAAAGAGTACTGGTTAACATGTTCTTTGTATCTAAAGTTGGAAGATATAACAATCACTTGGATTGAATTTCATTCACATTATTCAGCAGATTGGATTTCATTTCAAGAATGACAATAACAAAAACAACAACAACAACAAACGAAAGAGCTTACAAGCAGACGTAAAGGAATCTGATAAAATGAAATGTCATGTTGTTATCTCTAATACATTTTTACTATTGTCGTTCGCCAATTTTGCTTTTTCGTTTCGCTGACACGAAATCTCTCTCTCTCTGTCAATCTTCGCTCGTACGCTTTTTTTTGTATATATATATTTAACGTTGTCATCAGTGAATTCGTTACAAAGGAAAGAAGAACGATAGTGACAACGTTTTCCACTTCAATCTAACGAAAAACTACGAAAGTAACATTAACAAATAAGAAGGATATTTTCGTGCCGAAGGCAGAAAAGGTAAGTTGATAGCAACAGCAGAAGAATCGGGCTTCTCACTCACCAAGACAAACACATTTTGTCGCGAGACTTTGTTTCGTTTTTCACTCCATCAATCAATGACAAATCTCACTTCTATAACACACGAAATCACTTCATTGCAATGCCTATCTGACTAAATTCTAATGAGATAAAACATCTTTTTGCTCCCTCAACTGTCCATAATTCACTTATGTGACGATAGTCAAAAAACTCAATTATGAATACGACAGTATTTTTAACTGGTTTCTCACCAAGATAGAAATTGAAGTTTAAAAAATGCACAAAACAAACAATCAATGGAATTAACTTCGGAGCAATTACTGATGACAATGATGAGAACAACCGGCGTTGTCAAACGAAGAAAATCTGTGTTCCGTGTAAATGCGTTTCTCAGTTTCACTAATGACTTACTCTTGTTTTGATCTAATAGCAGAGTTGAAAAAGATGATGAACTTTCAGTCTTTGCTTCTTTCAACAACTGATTATCGACGAATTTTTTTTTTACTTCAATTGAAAGAGTGAAAAAAAACAGAGTGAACTTCAAGGAGAATGCAGTCTGATAGACAATTGTTTATTTAGTTAATTTGTCTTATGCAAGTACATACTTCCAACAAAATGAAAGTTCATTCAATGTTCTGTCAATACAACTTCAACTTCGACATTTGTTCCTCATGTTGGAAAAGAAGTTTCTTCATGGAACAATTCGGTATAAATATCAAATCTTTAATAAGTAAAAAAAGAAAAGAGAGAGAGAGAGAGAGAGAGAGAGAGAGAACAGTCGCTGTAACGAATATAATCTTTAACGCACAACGAACAAAGAAAAAAAATTCTGCATGTATATATACTGGAATATCGAATATTATATAAAGATTAATCCGTATTATTTTCTACTATAACGTACGAGCCATAAGAATCGTAAAAATGATCAATAAACACGATGTGTCTAATCGATAGCTGTTATTATAATAATTTGAATATCCGCTTTGATAGCCATAACTGTTATAGTTATTATTATTGCTATAACCTGTATCGCGATTTGGATACCACGGATTAGCACCGCCTTGACTATAACGATTGTAGTTATTTGTATTCGACCACGAGTTCGGGTTACTATTAGTACCCATAACGCCACTGTACGTATTACTATTCGGCACTAGATTCGTATTGCTACCCATTTGTCCAGTATAAGTATTGCTACTCGGTATTAAATTGCTGCTACTACTTCCCATCGCTCCACCATAGGTATTACTGTTCGGTAGAAGGTTACTACTGTAGCCGTACTGATTGTTGTTAGTATTTGTATTTGAAATAGTACCGTAAAGATCTTTATTTGTTAAAACTTGATTACTATTGGGTGGATAAGCCATCTGTGTGTTTGATGACGTACCACGTGTACCTTCGAACAGAAAAGAGTCCAATGCATAATCTGAAACTAAAATGTTGACGCTATAGTACCTCCTGAATAGTAATTATTTCCATTATACATTGTATTCAGCAGTGATTGATCGTTTGTTCCGTATACCTGTTGCTGTTGAGGCCGCGGTTGATTATACAGATTGACACTACTTAAAGCACCCTCTGCATTTGTTGATATGATTGGATTGCCGAGAAGGTCTCGTGCATCGGGATTGTTTAAACGTATTCCTTGGATATTCGTACTGGCAGGATAATTAAATCCTGATGGCGCACTCGCACCTAGATTTGCATTTGTACCATACAGTGATCCTGATGTTTGACGACGACGACGACGGCGACGATTTGCATTACCTTTGGTATCTATGTCAAACAAAATAAAATCAGGTTTTCTCGGACATTTAACTCTTGACTTCATACCTGGAATGAACAATAACTGTAAAATGAGTAATAACACAAAGGTTTGCGTCCATTCCATGTTTTTATTTGATTATCTACGGTTAATAAAGCAGAGTAACTTTTGATTTATTCTCTCAAGGATCAAAGTGAACGCAAATGGCAAACGTGACACTTTGCTTACATTTATAAAGAGTTCACGCTCGGTAATATAGTTCTAGCTCTTTTTCCGCTCCCAACCGCACTCAATGTTGACATATATATATATTCATCCGCAAAAAGGACGTTTAAACGCGCCTTTTTTCTTCTTTTTTTTCTCTCTTCCTCTATTCTAACAAGCATTTTTTTCTCGATTCTATCATCGCCGTTAGTCCTTCTAGTCCATTGAGATGTACAACATAGGTATAACAACACATTTCTCCTTCTCCCCTTTTTTTTGACATTCTGTACATAACTAGTAACGTACGCGCAATATTTCTCTTTGTTATAGAAGGGTATTCATCGTTCTCGCTTCTTACTTCTCTTTCAAAGGCCTCGAAGCAATGCAATAATAAACATAATCATACAGTCGTCATGTGTCTATACAGTTTTTATTCGTTCGTGATTGCTTCTTTCTGCATGTTGAGTGGAACTTTTTCTTGTCTTTCTTTTTTGATTTTGTATTAAAAAAAAAGCGGTCTTCCAATCGACAAGAGGAAAGAAAGAGAAAGATTGAAATGATTATTATTTTTTCGATCCTTGAAGAAGAATAAATGAATAGTTATCAGCATGGATGTATGTTGCCAAAGACATTTTATGACGTTAAATAAAACTCTTGAGAGTTGTTTGTGAAAAATATTTGGATTAAAAGGACATTTCGGTTAGAACAATCATTTTATTAGATTCATTTTCGAGAAGAATAAAAGAAAAAGAAAGCTAGCTATTTTATTCCAAATGTTTTTTGAAAGAAATAAATCATCTGAAGTTGATCATCCACATAGTAGTACATTTTTGTCAGTTTCACTTCTCTGGTGGACGATTTGCTGTAGAAATAGGTTGATTCTGATTAAATGAAATACCTTCCACATTAGGAACAGGTTGATCTCCAAATGGAATAGGTTGACTTCGACGAAACCAATAGTACCCATTGTTCGTCAATCCAGTACCTGTTCCACCTGTATAATATTGATAACTATTACCTTGATTCCAATTAGGATATTGATTATTAAATCCAGGTATACTGAAACCCCATAAACCACTTCCATAAGTACTGCCTAGATTGGGAAATTGATAAGGTGCACCTGTACCATAGGAATATTGTGTATTATAGGTTACAGGGACACCATAAGGATCGACGCCAGTAACGCGATAATTTGTATCATAAGGTAGATCCGATGAATAGGCCCCATTAGTATAGCCATAGCCAGGAGCACTGTAGAATGAACCTGATGGATAAGTAAATGGAACTGTGGCAGAATAAGAACTAGATCCAGATACTTGACGTCGTTTACGTCGACTACGTGCATCAATTACTACACATAAATAAAGGAAATTGATATTCATGGTCAGTAGGAATTTCATTATCTAACTTACATGTTGATGAGATGATTAAAAGCAATAGAATTACTTTTAACATTTTCGTTGCCATATACAAATCAAATTCACGTATGAATATCGATTTCTATGTATGTCAAATGAGCCTAATATATGTAGAATTATATTAAAGTTTATGTATGTATATCACTCCTGGATTGGTTCGATTTATTTCTCTTCCGGTATGAAAGGACTCCGCAGAATTTTTTCTCCTTCTCTTTCGTTCTCGGTACTTGAGCGCGTTCGTTATAATACATAACGCTATACCTACATGTATCTGGTTATTAACGCGGTGGTCGACTTTCTCTCTTCAGAGTACAGTTTTAAAGACAAAAATGATTTTATTAAGTAACGAAATATGTGTGCACAGATGAAAAAATACTAAAACGAATCCCATGTTTAAATTTCCCTTCGTGTGATACGAAATAATAGCAATTATCAAATAGAGATGTATTCTATTGAAAGTTTAGTTACGTTGACATATTCATTCTGGAACATGTCAAGTCCCTGGTATCTGGACAAACACGATCGGCCACTCCTATGGTTTCGTTGAAATCAGTCTAGAAAACAAAACAAGTGTAATATGTAGTAAAGAAGTTTTCTTTTTTTTTTTTGATAAAACTCACTCCAAAATGTTCATATCGGTCAGTATGAATCGACTGAGTGTCTGCGGAACCGATAGACTGTTCTCGAAGCACTGGTAACTAGAAATAGAAATGTAGTTCAATGAAATGTAATGAAACTGTTCCTCGTAATATTTACGTCAACAACTGGAGGCTGTAGCAAGGGATCATGCTAGATGAAAGATACCAATACGTATTATCAATATTTATACAGATAATTTCAGTACTGTTCGAAATTATCGGTGAACAAACTTATTACCTGATTGATCGTCGTTTGGCTTGCTGACTGTTTCTTCTGATCTATTCGTCGTTTTACGTATCTCCAACAGTAGAAAGAAAATTATATGTAATTCTAATTCGTTTCTCTTGGAAATACATACAGAACAATTAAAATAACTAGTACACCTGCAATGATAACGATTGCCACAAAGAATTTATTCGAAAACAGTGATTCTAAAAGTTAAATGGATTACATAAATCATCAATAAGAATATATTTACCTGTAATTATTTTTTGACAATGTTTTTCATCAAAGGAGTCATCAGTTAGTTTATGATAACAACGAAGACATATTTGATATTCGGTTGACGGTCGAAGATAACTAAGTTCAATCTTATCATTTGAAGTTGCTGTAACGTTCTAAAGAATCATGTTTGGTTCATATCAGTTCATGCATTTTCGTCTCACTGAGAAATATTCCCATCGGTTGGAGTCCTTCTGTGATTGAATGTACCCTGAGCATAGGCGATTGCTCACAGCGCCTGTTTTGTTGTATTTGATGTGAATCGTCGCACGTGTTGAAAGAATGTTTTCTATTCGAAAGTCCACGCGAGTAGTGAACTCTATCAATAGAAATAATAGAGTCAGCGATGAGGTGAATATTTCCCTTCATATGTCTTTACTTGGCCTGATGAAAAATGTGAAGATTGATGAACCGAAACCAGCTAATGTCAGATTGACATTCATCAGAACATCTTTGGGAATGTGACCTCGATCAAGTGGTTTGAAACGAAAAATCAAATCTTCATTATTAACAATTTTGATCAGTTCCGGTACATGATGATAGAATCGCTCACTATAAACAAAAAAAATCGATTATTCATAGCTCGAAAAGCATAAACATACTTTGTCGTCAGTTCCGTAAAATCAAAAAGTTTTCGAAAGCCATTCTGAAATCCGCGAGCAATTACTGGCGCATGCAATTGACATTCAACATAAAGATAATCATATGCACGACAAGGTTCTTTCAATTCAATAATACCAGGTTTTTCTAAGATAATCAAGCATAAATCTTCATATGTACGATAATATTTATGGCACAAATAAAAAAAACAATGATCGATTTACGACTTGAGGAGCCCGACGTTTGAAACAAACGAACAGATAGGAAAGCATATACTCATCATATTCAGCATAGCAAATATCTCAAAATATGTTTTTTATTTTCTTTATTCTCATACCTCCAATAACAAGATCCGCTTTCTGACCATAAGTGATATTGTTATTCCAATGACAATAGATGTAATTCGCACCGATGAAATTGTTCGGTTTAATGAGAATTTTAAGTGTTGTTGAATTATGTGTTTCAGTTCGAAAACCAAATGCCGGAGGCGCTTCTACTGGTTTGCCAAACGAAGCCGTTAGGATTTTACCTTCTGCAGCGATTGGAACTTGACTATTGCAATATAAAATACCCAATGAATCGCTTGAATTAAGAAATAAATCCAACGGTTCTAAAAAACAATCCATTCACTTTTGTTGTGAAGTCAACAGATGCTCATTACCAATGATCAGATCATCGTCTTTTAGATGAGAACGAACTGTAGATAGAAGATTGAGGGAGACAAATATTTTTAGTATAAACATTGGCTCATAGAAGCAAAGAAGTATAACCAACTCGAAAAAGGAAAGGTTCTCTGTAGTTTACAACTTTTCTGAAAAGAAGAAAAAATTACCTTTCTGTTTCTTGGTTTTTTCTCTTTCGTCCTTGGGTATAAAACAATGTCAATAATAACTTTAATAGACATATCGCTTCAGAATCTCGTCAATACGATAAAGAAACTATAAAAAAGACGCCAGCACGTTTTGTTTTAATAGAACGTGACACATCAAAATTCGTCGAATGAAAAGCTTGTTCGGAAGAAGATTTTTTCATATGAATAGTTTTTATTCCAAATAAATACATAGCACATAACAAGAAAGATTTAGAGCAATGCTCATTTAAAATGAATCTTGAAGTTTCAAACTAGAAAACAAAACAAAATTCAATCAAATTTCTATTAACGCTTGGCGAAATCTGTCCGACTTGTTTTACAATCAATAGCCATTGGGATATCCGGAGTAAATTTGATGCCAAGTGAACGAAGATGTTCCTGACAGAGTTCATCCGAGTCGTATGCTAACATCGATGTCACAACTTCCATTGGAAATGTTGGAGAAAACCTATGCAGTAAATTTTCCTTTTCTAACTTGACAATTTTAAGAAATACAAACCCCCATATGAGAATTTCGATGATTTGCTTACGATAAATATCCAGAAAGAGATTGACTAAGCATTGAGCCAGTCTTGGCAAGGATTTGTAGAATACGAACAGTTGCATGTAATTCTTTCGGCGAAAAGCGGAACAGAACTGCAGAGTTGTATTCAAGTCTTCTGTTTTCGTCACTCGATTAATATCGATTAAGATTCGATTCACTCCTAAGAAACATTCGTCAATTCAGAAAAATGATTATCTGCAGTCCTTACTTTTATAATCATTGATTAGCAACGAATAGAGTAAACGATAGATAAGAAATTCAGCTAGGTTACTTCGAGTGCAATCATCACTGTCATACAAAGCTTCTAATTGAGTTTGACATTGAACAAATTGATCACGATCACCCTAAGAGAAACAAAGGAATTCTTCATCTGTCTTCTTCTCGTTTTCTTCAATACCATTTCAAGTGCAAGTCGAGCATTTTCTTCGTAAACTCGCACCGTAAAATTGTTTCGTATACATTGAACCATCAGATCCTGTCGGATACTTTTCAACTGACTGCTTACATACGACCAATCATCGTTTGCTTTATATTTATCCATAATAAACGGAAATGCCTTTTCAAGTACATATAATGGTCGAATTATTGAAGGATCTGGTGCCTGGAGAAACAATCAAGCAAATAAGAGATTTAATCAACAGGTGAACATACACTTGTCAGACGAAGATAGCTTTTCTCTAATGTTTCACATGTACCTATCAATGGTTGGTCCGGATCGATGTTTGATTTGCTCTTGAAGACAGAAAGCGAATAAAAAATATAATCGACGATGTCAAAACAATTCTTTATACTGATTGAATCGTTGATTCATTAGCAAATCGATTTCTTCGGCGTTCCAGTCGTGCGTTTTCGTCATTTTGCGAGCTATTTTAAAAGAGAAATCTTTTAAATGCAAATTCGTTCTAGTTTCGATCAATACTTGAAAGACGATCGAGCTTGCCTCATGGTCACAATTTTCCTTGGTTAATCAAAAGAATGAATTACAAATTCGTCTACAGCTTTTTTCGCACAGATGTCATAATTGTGTGTATCTATTTCTAACTGGTTCATAAGAATCTCCAATCAAGAAATAGTTTGGATAGTTTTCTTTTCAGTTCTGAAAAGTAGGAAAAGAAAAAAAAAAGGTTTTGTCATTATGTGTAATTAGGTAAGAAACTTTCTAAATGAAGGTTATTGTTTTTTTTCTCAAGTGAATTCTAAATAGAATCTTTTGGTCATTTCCGTTGAGTTATTTATTTATTTACATTTGAAATTAACATTTGATTGTATCGACGACAGAAGCGAGAGCGGCGAAGAATAACATCAGTTAAGATCTGATTTCTCGCCAATAAATTTGTGTTAATTTCTCTATGAAATCGTTATTTATCAGTTCTGATAACGAGACAAAAGTCACTTGATATTCCTTTGGTAATTCTAGGAAGAATATTTTGGCATCTGTTTAGTTTGACTGCTCAACGTGTGTGCGGAAAAGAAAGAGAAAAAAAAGAAAGCAAAACACGACAATTAGTATGTGTTCTCCTTGGCTATTCATGTGCGTTTTTTTTTCCTACAAGAAGAGAATACTCGTGCTATCTACGCTGATGATTCTTTTTCTTACAATCTCTTTTTTTTCCTTTCTTTTTCTTCTCTTCTTTGCAATTTAGTCGTGTAAAGGACGATGAAAGGCGCACAAGGGCGAGAGCATTTTTTTTTCTTTTTCTGTCTATGTGTACGCTGTTGTTGCAGAAAAATATCGGGTTAAAAACGAACGTTGTCGTCGACGAGACAAAAGCGAGTTTACAACAGAAATCAATTCTTTACTTTTTATTCGACATATGTACGTATTTTTTTCTTCACTAGTTAAGATAATAATTAAAGCTATGCAGTTATTTTTCATCTTGTTCAAACGCACGAGATCTGACTACGATGAAAACACTTTTTTTTTCTTCTCTATGTTTTATCAAGGATAATTGTTCTTCAAAGAGATTGGCTGTTTTTGGAGTAATTATCTTTGCTTCCTATTCTGGTCACATAAGTCACCTGATGAATTATCTTTCTCTATTGATTGTTAGATATATATTCACCGCTTGACTGCTTTTATTTATCATTTCTTTTTTTTTCCACATCGATGTAAAGAAGAAAAAAAGAGTAAGATAAAAAAAAGAGAATTGATGTATTTTTAAGGTTACCATTAGCGAGCAAAAAGACGCATGAATCATCTTGTTGTTTTTTCCCCTCTCCCCTCTCTGTTCTTTTAGTATCGTCGTCATGTAGTATTATTCTTTTAGATTTATTTATTTATTTACTAATCAGACGATTTATTTATTATTTGACAGCGACACACGCGACACATTTGCTCACCTAGCCTCATACATTCGAAACCACCTACGCTTTATTTATCTATATATACAAGGTTGAATGACGTCGTGCTGACATATTTCAAAGTCAGAATTTCTTCTTTTTTTCCATTTCGTTGAATTCAAATAAATTCGTAATGCAGTTTAAAGTTTAAGTCTTCAATTCAATCAAAAACAACGACACGTTATCAGTGATTCGTTCGATTGCATTTGAATCGATGCATTAGTGATGCTTGCTTTGGTTAGAATGAATCATTTGTCAAAAGCAAGTACAGGCACATCCAATTCAACTTTATCGACCGGGTCCGACGATCAAATGTCGTCGATTGGTAATACGGACAAAATGCTTACTTTAAGCGGAAATATTTCTCAAGAACCAACAACGCCATGTGTATTAAATACACCAAATACTTGTACAAAAAATTCAACATTTTTTTATGAAATTCCATCATCTATGCACACACCAACATTGACGGGTAAGATTATTTTCTTTCTCAATGCTGTTTATCAAATGAAAAAACAAGAGGAATGCTGAAGTAGTTTGAATATTTACATATATCAACAATCATTCGTTATTGACTAAGACTTTCATGTGAATTTTGTAAAATCTCGACGACGATATTGTCTCTCTTTCTCTCGAAGACAGCTAGACAATCCTTGTTAGCAAGAAATGTCAAATGTCGATATGGTTAATTTCTGTTATCTAACATTTCACTACTAGTCATCAAGTGTATACATGGATATGTCTGTCACAATCAAGGCTATTCTTTAAGTTCGACATGTTTCAAGACGATTTCGTCGAGACCATTTCTTCTGTCTTACTTCTACAAAGAAGAAACTGTCATTACTGATCACGTACCTGTCAGTCGTTAGATTTTAGCAGAAAGCAGACAGATTAAATACATTTCGGTTTGGGCTTCGATCTGCACCAACAGAAAGTTGTGTCTGTGGTGTAAAGTAGATGAGAACAATGATAGAGAACGACTCAGTTCAGAATAATAAGCAGAGAAGGAAAAGAGAGATTGATTCGAAACAATATCATAACCTAGAAATCAACAATGTTATTTTGATGTGAGAATAAAGAAGAGACAACAAGAGCAGCCTTGGAAGAGATAATGATTAACAACATAAGTAGGTTAGATGATTGTTGATGGATAACAATGCTTAGACAGTCAGATGCTATCTTTCTCTCCTTCGATTTTGAATGAATATCCATTTGATATATACAACAAATAATTGTAAGTGATAGAACGATTGTGTTTGCCAATTACAATTTTTTTTTCGTTTTCTATTGTGTCATCAACAGGTTAATATTTGTCAATGCGTCTTTATTTGAAGATAAGATGATGATTATCTTTTGATTATCATATTGAGAATCTGTTTAAATTCTTTTACTTCTCTCTCTCTCCCTTCGTCCTCTTTGGCTTTGTATGATCGACCACGATCCGAGCGAAGCAAGTGAAAAAAAAACGAAAACGAAGGAAATCCTCGAACTTATTTCGTCTTCGTTAGACTCCTATTGCTATCAAGTGTATAATCCACCTTTCGAAGGAAGAGAGAGAGAGAGAGAGAGAAAAGAATTGTAAAAGGGCGTGTTTGCGCTGAGCTTGCTGCTTTTGTTGACACGAGGTCTTAGCACAACGAGGACGATTCGCTCGTTTCTACTACTTTAATTGATGTTACTACATCTCGTTTTTTTTTTGGTCGATCGAAAAGAAAAGGTTTCATCATCATCATAAAGTAGAGTAGTACCAGCCGAAACGAAGAAGGAGAACAAGAGAAACAGAGAGAGAGAGAGAATGAAAGGGACAAAAAAGCGTTTATCCATCATTATCATTCAATTGTAATCGTTCGTTCATTCAGTGTTATTTCCGCTGACGAACTAGGCACAGGTATGTCGGATGATTTTGATCTTAGAGGGCGACGTACTGATGAAGGAAGGATTGTCCACGATGATTGAGTAAAATACGAGAAAGATTCACCGAGAGATGGGTCCAGATCATTTAAATTGAATTTGTAGGTAAATGGGTTGAAGAAGAAGAAGAATTTTGCATCTTTAGTTAATGTCGATGAAACAATGAGTGATAATGAATTCGATGTAGACATTTTTTCTTTGTTGAATATTAAAAATAAAGGCGCATTGTGAGATTTTCTCGTCTTCGCGAACATTTCAAAAACATATTAAATGAAAAGAATGTTTTGCTTTTATATTCATCCTGATGATCAAATAAACGTGCTTACATTAAAAACATTAGTCACTGCCGATTCTACACATAGGCGGTCGTCCATTGATTTGACAGTGCATATGAAAAACGGCTAATCGATCTCATTCTATTCATATATTCTTTTCTTTTATGAGTCTCACATCAATATACTCATACGTCATGTTTTCATATGTTTAGAGACGCAGTCAACAAGTGTCTCAGTACTTTCTCAGCCATTAGCCCCACCACCACCTCGACCGTTATCCGATTCTTCATCTTCTCTCGATCTATTGTCATCTCATCAAAGTTCTTCAAATCAACTTTTATCCTCAACATCAATTCCATCGATAGTTATCACTAATAATTCGACATTAACAAACGGTGTTGATGATTCGTCAACATCCTCGACGGATATCAATGACGATACAACAATGCAACTACCACGTAGTTTAATCAATGAAAACAAACCTTTTTCATTTAGTTTACCATCGAAAAAGTCTATTCCACATATAACAACAACATCACCATCAACAACTACGTCGACTTCGTCATTAGCGTCATCGACTACAACCGCCAAAAAATTAGTAGAAAATTCTAAGCTAGGCGATACAAATAACAACAACAACGTACTCGATACCAATAGTGTTAGTGATCAAATACACACATTATTAACATCAAATCCAGTAGTTACAGATTATAGTATCGCTTCTTCGAACAGTACATCATCAGTATCGAATTCTGTCCCCGTTCCCTCGACATCCTCATCAACAAAAACCACAACCACTACCACAGGAGCATCAACGATAACAACCGTATCGACGCCTGAACCAACCATGAATTATGTTGAGCAATCTCATTACGTTCAATACGGAACAAGTCAACAACCTCCGTCCTATCATGAATCAATTGTTAAACCATCGACAACAGCAGTCAATAGTTTTATTCCAACATTAGCCATGAATGGCTCCAGTCTTTCATATGGTAAATCGTCTCTTACAAATGATTGGCCAACAACTCCGCAAAACACGTATACTCTACAAATACCACCATCCTCTTGTATAAAAGATGAACCACAAGACTATATCGCATCTGGCATCAATGGTCAGTCTATGCAATTTGCAAAACCAAAAGCTTATCCAAATCGACCATCGAAAACTCCTATACATGAGAGACCATTCTCATGTCCAATTGAGAATTGTCCGCGACGATTTTCTCGATCAGATGAGTTGACAAGGTAGAGACAAACGAATGAATTTTCAGAGATCAATTAAAATATTATGATTGTCATTTGCGTTTTAGACATATTCGAATCCATACTGGTGATAAACCATTTCAGTGTAAAATTTGTGCTCGAGCATTTTCGAGATCCGATCATTTAACAACACACATTCGCACTCATACCGGAGGTTAACTTGCTAATAATAGCCTTACTTGATTCCAAACTGTATTTTTCTCTTCAGAAAAGCCATTTTCATGTGATATATGCGGTCGTCGGTTTGCTCGATCTGATGAACGTAAACGTCATGCTAAAGTTCATCAAAAACCACGTAATAACAACAACAATAGTCATCACTCTACTGACAGATCATCCCCGTCATCAGGCTCGCGAACACTTTTAACACACAGTTTAGTTCCAGGTATGCATGATGATGACGGAGCAAATGAAGATATGGCTGATGACGCAGATGACAGTTCTTCCCAACATAGTGCTAATGATTCATCCGATCACCAACAACAACACCACCACCAACAACAACAATTCCACGGTCAATCACATTCACTTCATCTGCCAAATCAATGGGTATGATTCGATAGGTCTCAAAGCGAAGAAATAGAAAAGGATGCCGATTCGATTTCGTTTTCAAAATAATAATGATGTTAACTTATAGATAAAAGAAATATTCATTGAAAGAACAGTGACTTGTATTCTCTTTCTTTCGTTTTTTTTTCTCGTGAGTGTATAGACAGTGATACGATCAAATAATGTGTTTATCGTTTTTGTTCCTCTTTTGCTAATATCTTCTCTATTTGTGTTTACAGTACATCTCACAGTGAGCCTATTCTATCATTTTTCTTGTCTCTCTTTCTCTCCTTCTCTTCAATTTTAGCCTGTTTCTGTGTACATTTCATTTTAGTTTTTGAGCGTCATGTATTTTCGTAAATTTTCTTTCTATTCTACACCTGTTTTTTAACTTCAGCAAACATGCACACACTGTTCTTCTACAGTCATCATTATCACTCTCCATCCGAGATTATTATACATATATCGATACACATATACAAATTGAATATTTATTTTCATTCACCATCGCGCTTAAATGTTTTTGTTGTTTTTTTTTCTTTCCTTCTTTTTCTTTAACACATTGTTCACGATGATGAAATGAATCAATTGTCTCTTTCTTTCTCTATATGTTTTGTGTTCGCAGAACTGATATAACAAAAAAACACGTGTGAAAAAATAGGAGCAGAAGAAAACTAACACTTTATGTTCTACACTAATACGACTCGAGTAAAACTTCTGTATCATTCTCTGTTTGTCGATGAATCGAAACGTGGTAGTTGAAGAGTATTAGATAATGTTTGTTGATAGGGGGCTGCTGTCTCCGGTGAGATTCGAGACAGATCAATTGTTTTTACTGGTGGATTCGGAGCGATTGTAATTCTCGGTTGTTGTTCCAATGTGTCTACAAAGAATTGTTCCATCCGGTAATCATTAGTAACTGACGGGAACGTGGATCGATGCGATAAAACATTCGCTCGACACATGGGACAAGTTGAATGTTGAAGAAGCCATTCGGTTAAGCAATTGCAATGGAATATATGATGGCAGATTGGTAATTGTTTGACTTGCATGAGCAAATCGAAATTTTCCAGACATATGGAGCATGCCGGGTTCACCGTCAGGCTCGACGTAGTCACTAGAATTTAAAACTATTTTTGATGGAACATCGATGTTTGTAAAAATGCAAATCTTTTTTTAGAATAATTACATTGGATTCTGCTCTCAAGCATTAAAAGATTACTTGAAAATGAATAAAACTATCCTTAGGCAAGATTATGAATAGCATGCTCGTCAAATCTATTTAATATTTATGTCCTCATTTTTAATTATTCACATGCTCTCACAACGTACTTGTCAGAACAGGTAATTGATCGATATTTTCTTGAGAAAGCGGTCGGAGTTGGTTGTCTTCGCGAAAAATTCGTGTACCCAAATTTTCCATATTCGGATCGAAGATAAACAGTTGCAATGGGATTTGAATTAACGGTACATTCGGTTGGGATTGAGCCGTCAATATTTGTCCGGGTACAAATTCGTTGATATTTAGAATCGGTATGGAAGATGTTGGATTATGACGAACTTGTAAAGGTGGCAAATTGAGAGGGGTTAAATTTCGAAATGGACGAGCAATGCGCTTAATGCGTCGAGGTGGTCGCTTACGACGCGAACGAAATTGCTGATGGGGTGGTTGTATTAACATTGGCAATAGAGTATTTGCGAATGATTGTGGATCAAAATCATCTGTAAAAAGATTTTGAAATTGATGTACTAATGTTATTTGTTGATCATTTTCTTGGCGAGTTTCTGAATCTTCGCTAAACCCTGCTTGGCATTGAACACATCTGGTTCGCGATGGATTTCGTGTGCGGCAAGTCTGACAGGTATAAGTCACCGCAGAAGATTCCTCATTTGAATTAGACATTAAATATAAATAAATATTGAAAGAAATCGATAGAGCGCCATGAATTGAAGTGATTATCAGAATGTGTTCCTTCAATAGATGTCCTTGTCTTTCATCGGAATCCCGAGTGACTTATTTGAGAGGTGTCTGACTGGTTGGTAAAAAAAACTCTCGAGAAACAACCCCAGTAAATCAACAGACGGATAGTTATTTTCAGCGAAATTTAACATGACCGAAACTTCCAATGACCTACATGGCATGGTTCCAGACTCGAATGATACTGTATTGTTGTTGATCGATGTGATCAATCATTTAGATTTTGAAGGAAATGAAGGTTTGTAAGAAATTTTTGGAGAAGGAGAAACGCCTGTCTGTTTCTTGAAATTCAGAACTGTTGCTGGTAGCAGAGGAAATTGGAAAACGAATTGCGAAATTGAAAGCAGCAGCACACAAAGCCGGTATTCCAGTTGTGTATGTGAATGATAATTTCGGTAAATGGAAATCTGATTTTCATAACGTTATTGAATATGTTATTAACGAAAATAAACCTGGAAAACCATTAGCGCAATTATTGCAACCACAAGAAGATGATTGTGAGAAGATTTATAACAAGAGAAAGAGAACGGACGAAATTTTTTCTTTGGATTATTTAGATTTCGTTCTGAAACCCAAGCACTCAGCCTTCTATTCTACACCGCTTGATATCCTCCTCAATCATTTAGATGCAGAGAAGTTGATTTTAGTCGGTTTTGCCGGTAATATTTGTGTGCTATTCACAGCCAATGATGCTTACATGAGAAATTTCAAACTAATTATTCCAAGAGATTGTATTGGATCAAATACGAAAGAAGTACTTTGATGAGCGACTTATTTTCGAAGATCTACAGTGAAATTTTTCTGGTATTTGCAGGAAAATGAAGCTTGTTTGGATCAGATGGAGAAGTTACTCAAAGCTGATACGCGACCATCGACTGAAATCATCGAAGACATGATCAAAAAGCCAAAGAGGAAGAAGACTGATGCCGAACGAGCACAGGAACCGAAAAAAGTGGTTAAAAAATAAGCGAAAAATTTTCATTGTTTTATAAATATTTAATTCAGCTCGTGTGATATAAATAATAATCTAGAGATTAGATTATTTTCTCTTGTTCCTTTCTTGTTGACAGTGAAAGTAACCCAGCGGTGATGATCAATAAAATTTCGAAGTCAATAATTTTGTTTTTCCGTTTCATATCGAAATTTTTTTTATATATTGATAAACACAATAAATAAAGCTTGATATATACATTTAAAAAAACACTTTTTTCTATGATGCAACAATGAGTAAACAGAGAAAGAAAAATATAGATTGAAAATGACAACAGAATAATAGATGCTGCTCATTGACGCTTCGCGGAGGGCACAAGCAGTAAGGTAGGAGTATAAATTGAATGTGTTCGTCAGAAACAGTATAAAACAATCTATCAGGCAGAATTCGATTTATTGATAGTGCTGCTGTTGTTGTTGAACATAGTGCTGTTGAACATCAGGTGGCATCATCTGAATATGAAAACAATTAGAAGTAGAAAAGTTTTCGGGATAAATAGTTTACTTGATTGTATGGATTGGGTGGTTGCCGTCCAACGTTCATTGCTTGAGTGTTTTGCCATTGTTGATTAGACATTGGCATAGGCGCTTGACTTGCTGTTCGATTCATCGCTGGATTGCCAGGTCCAGTATTGTAAACATTTGTCTGTTGATTACTCATCATGTTAGGATAGACAGGTGTTTGTTGTGGCATCATACTGAAAGGAAAAAGATGAAGAAATTCAAATAATAAGAGAGATGCCGGTTTCTATAAGATTATCTGTATTACTTTGCTGGATTTCCAAGCATTTGATTATTCATATATGAAGCGGAAGGCATCTGTCCTTGAGAATACATTTGTGAATGAGATACTTGTTGTTGTTGTTGTTGTTGCTGCTGTTGCTGCTGTTGTTGTTGTTGTTGCTGCTGCTGTTGTTGTTGTTGCTGCTGCTGCTGCTGTTGTTGCTGCTGCTGCTGTTGTTGTTGTTGTTGCTGTTGTTGTTGTTGAGCTGGATGCATATAATTGTTTTGTTGCATGATAACTGGATTTGGTTGATATTGTGACATTGATGCACCTAATTCGACATAAAGATTAGATATCGAGATCTTCTTTCAAGACGGAAAAAATTACCTGCTGTTTGAGGTGGTATTTTTGCTGGCGTTGCATATTGTGATTGATCAGGAGCATAAATAGTAGATTCCGTGAGTTTTCTTTTACCAGACACAGTGGAACTTGGTGGCTGTCGATTCATATTTTGAGCCATGGGATTCGCATTAACTGATGACATCATCATCGACGTTGGATCATTCACATATCCAACTGACATCTGTGATGGTTGTCCTTGTGGTGGTTGCTGTTGCTGCTGTTGTTGTTGTTGTTGTTGTGGTATTGCACTAGGTTGTTGCTGTGGTTGCATTGGTTGATTTGGATACTGTACACTTGTTCGACCAGGAACCATGCTGTTTGGTCGAACGTTTTGCATCATGTGTGGTGGTTGTGGTTTCATTTGCAGCCCATTAGAATATGTAGACATCATAGATGGTTGTTGAGGACCAGACATGGGTTGCGATGGCATCCATTGACCATAAGTGGATTGTGGAAACATTGAGGGATGTCCAGGCGCTTGTTGAGCTCCGTAAACATTCGGAGCGGTTGGAACTTGCGGTTGAATGGCAGCGGCTCGTGGGCCCGTGCCACGCGGCAAACGTTGAGCGCGCTGTTTAGCTGGAGGTACGCCCGGCCCAGGAGCTTGGCCACGCACTTTACGTTCCGGCGTACCACGAGCTGTCGGCATACCCATCATACTTGCATTCGGTTGTTTACCTGACATATCAACCATAGGTGACTGCATAGACATTGGCATACCAGGTGACTGTTGCATCATAGGATTATGCATAGATGCCATTGAAACATAACTACCTGGACCAGTTTGCATTTGATTTGGATGAATCGATGGACGATTCTCAGCGACAAACTCCACTTCGGGATGCTCCGGAGCTTCAACTGGAACACGTGGTAACTCCTGCAGTTAAAAAGAAACGAATAAATACACCTTAGGAGACAGGACAAGAACATACTCGAAAGTAAGTAAGAGGTTTATCAAAAATGTTATGCTTGTGTCGAAGTAATAAACGATATTGTTCTTCATATCGTAACCGTTTACGTTCTGTCTTTCGCGCACAAAACCATGAAAAGCAAATGGATGTTGCTGATTTTGTACCTTCAATCATTTCCCAACTGTTAATCTTTTCCTAAACAAAGAACGCAATCATGTTTGATTTGGCAATTCATTTTTCGTATATTCTCACTTTTCGCGCCACTTGTAAACCATGTTTTTTCATTTCGGAGTTCAATGATCGACTGTTAACACCATCAAATGGTTCAACAACATATATATCAAACGATGGCTTTTGTAATGGCAAGAATCGTTTCACTTCATCTAATGCTTCTGATCGTCTTTCACCAATATCTTTACGGATCTTCCGTACCAATGTCATATATACGCGACTATTTTCAATAGGCCCTTCCGCCGGCACAATTCCATGAACAAGAACACCAAGCATATCGAGTACGGTATTTAATAGAGGCGAATTATTCTTTGTATCAATGACACCTGATGCAATTAGTTGAGCAAATACAGAAATCCATTCTGTTGCCGAATTGTTGTTACGCTAAAGAGAAAAATCGGTGATATACGGAGAAGCAAATTAACTATCACTTACAACGATCGTATCGAACATTCCACCAATAAGACTCAATCGAAGTTGTAAGGATTCAAATATCACTGCTTTCATATTCGGGTCATCTTGAACAATGGGTGCCTAGAATAAACAATTGACAATGACATAATTCATTCGACAACAAGTTCAAATATTAAAAAACAAGAAGTCTACTAGACATAGACCATGCAACAGACATATTCCGATCACCAACAAGACCATATCGATAGAAAAAGCAACGAAGGATGGATATATAAATATAGGTGGAAGTGCAGAGAAGCGATTAATAGAAGGAAAAGATAGAAGCGATTAGGTGTCTATCTAGAGAGATTAATACCAGATTATTTGAATAGATTTGCCAGTCTGTTTTGTGACAATTGCAACGACAATCTGGATATGATCCTCCGCTACCAATACCACTATTACCCCCTGTTGGTTTGACAGTTAATGATATATTTGAAAGATTTTTTCCCGGTGTTGAACAATGTTCACATTCCTAATGTTCATGATAGAAAAATTTCGTTCAGAGATGTTCACTTACTTGTTTATATAATTGTTCAAGTTGACCGCGTAAGGAGTCAAGTAGACCAGTTCGTTGATCATCTTGATCTTTCAAGCAGGAAAGAACGAGAGATAAAAATGGCTGATGACTTAATAATGAAATGCTTCGAAGAACTTGATTTTCTTTGTCATTTTTACTCTTCGACGAATTCAACATCGAATTACCGTTTTCAAGAACACTTCCTAAAAGACAATGACATCCCTTCCATTCTGATTTTTTCGCACAATAATCATGTGACCTACCAGCTATTTGCAATATACGACTTTGTACATTGTCCGGTAAACGTGATATCAACGGTGCAATTAACCATATTCCTTTTCGATCATAATGTTCAGTGTTTTGTGCTAACGCGCCATATCGTCCTTCAGTTTGATGTTGAAATAATTCAATTGTTGCACTAGCTATCGATTGCAACAAATGCAACGTGTTGTGTTCATGTGTTTTAAGAGCTAGTGACACGTTAAAATTTGCATCCTGTGGTCGTTGCGAAGGTGCATTGTATTCTAGAATTTTGAGCATCAATTTTAATTCTAGAGTTGTGGCACGTAATGTCCATTGGTTAAGATTTTGTAATAAAGATGAAATGATTGGTTTTGGTCCTTTATCAAATGAAACTTTAGTCAATTCCGAGGTTGATTTGTAACATATAAATCGGAGTAATTGTTGTGCTTGCCCATCATCTAATAATTTATCACATAGATTTGTTTGATTACATAGTGTATCCGATTCTTTTAAGCAACGTTCTTGAATCCAATCTTGATCACAGCATAATTTCAATACGCGCATAGATAAATCGACTAATTCTTCTGGAACTGGCTCACGATACAGCCGGAATTCTTTTTCGGCTTGACTATTTGCATCGTTATTCGAAGTATTAAACAGACGATCATTGTCCTTATGCCGCTGTGTTGCTTCACGGCACAGTTCATAATAGACTTTACAATCTTTAAAACATGACTGACTAATAATTAATAATGACTTTAGCACACACAAAAATGCTCCAAATGCAACAAGACGATAATTCGATGCTAACAACCGACGTTCACGCGACGAAATCATCATTGTCCACGGGATATGATTTGCACAGAAGAGATGTTCAATAACATCACAAGTAAATCTTGTACCGGGTTCATTTGCTTCTTCACCACTTGAACCGCGTGCACGTAATGACGAAGGATTCGATCGCGATGCTAAAGGATCTAAACGTTCTTTCGGCGTGGAAGCAATTATCGATTGAACACTAACAATAATATAATCATTGATAGAAAGTGCATGACGCGCAATTAAAATTGAAATAAAAACCGACAGATTATCATGTATACATAGATCGTTCGCCTAAATCAAACGAAATAATTTAGAGACAATATCTGTTTTTGAAGAAAGAGACATACATCAATACGACGCAATTCTTCGAAAACATTCGTATGATTTGGTGCATTTGACTGACGATTTGGCGGTGTGCATGTACTAAGAGCTTTAATAGCAAGTAACCAAACTGAACCGAGAGATGCTACTTGGCATGTTAACTCAGTCGCTAAATGCGCGATATCATGTATACTAGAAGAATTCAAATCATTAGATGAGTAGTTAATCAATTGATTGACTTACTAAGTTAGAGTTTTTGCTTTTGAAACAGCAATTAGTGTGTTGATAACAAAACTAGCTCGTGCTTGTGCACTTTCATCCAATTGTTTCGTATGATGGATCTTTTCTCGATCGAACTGAAATTCTGTCAGTGCTTTTCTCGGTTCTTCAATGATGTTGAGGAAAGCGTCAGACTGGTATTGACAATTGGCACTTGCTGCATCTTGTTTATTGTTTTGAGACGTCTGAGTGTACAACTCTTTTTTGATCAGAGCGATTATTTGTGGCACTCGATCCATGTATTTACTCTTTATATAAGGACAGGAAAAGTACGAATCGTGCATAAGCATCAGTAAGGCACGTTCGACTGAAGTTGTGCGAACTGGATCTTGAATATGTTGAGTAATTTGTATCAAATTGTCGAAAACTTGTATCATATTGTTTGGTATTAGTATTAGAACTGGTGTATAAAATCGAAAGATGGATGTAATTTCTAAGTAAAGTTCGAATCGATAGCTACACATTCCTGGACTAGCTTTTAACGAATGCATGGACTCAATGCGACTAAATATTCGAAAAATATCCACGCATGTTTGTATCAATCCAAATAAGTTTAAAGATTTTTCCATTAATTCAAATAAGAAAGCAACATCGTCCAACCATGGTAATCGACTTGTCCGACGTTCGATGAAATTGGTTAAACGTTCAATTAGTAGTTTACTAACACGATTGGTAACATAATATTGATCATGATAAGATAGAGATAAGATTGATTTACGAATTTTTAGATAGGATGCGAATGGAATCGGGCGAGTGAATGGTGGACTTTCACTTGTTGTTTCCAAACAATTGCGTAGTTTGAAGAGTGAACTTAACAGACGAACATTGGCCTTCAATTGCCGTTTTGCTTCATCTCGTTTCTGTGTAATTCCGAAGAGAATGATTTTTCTTTGATTGAAATCATCGCGAAAATCATCTTCTAATGGATATGGAAATTGCTGAAGATAAAACAACGAACGTTTACGATTCTGCTGTTGATTATTGAAATCTTCATTTGCTTGATGAGAGTTACGATTCAAGTCCATTTTCGATGTCTGTCGGAGATGTGTTTTTGGTGTTGTAGATGGTGACGCATTCATCGATTCCAATGGATCAAGATCGATGAATGTATTCGTTTGACGTCGATCGAAACTGGAATCCATATTTAATGTATCATGTCGAATCATTGTATTATAACCATGTGGTTTGTACATATTAGGAGTGGGGTTGACCTGGGAACTATTTGTATTGTCGTGATTCTCGTGAACTATCGGTACGAGGCCGTGAGCGACGAGGTTGCACATAAATTGCATGGGCGAAAAGATATTCAAACGGATAAATTCAGAGAAGAGCATGACGAGTGATGCGAACGATGTTGTTAGATCGAGATCGTTTGTAGATGGTTCATCGATGAATGGAGCTTTCTTTAAGACGTATTCAGTTAAAGATGATTGGAATGGATGAGCTTGAATGATTGTCGATGGTGTTGATTCTTTTTCATCCGCTGCTTCGTTGACTTCTTGTAAACGAAGTGTTTTCAGTTCATTTTGTCGCCGTTCAAGTAAACGTGCAATGAAAAAAGCTCGATAAACACCGTGCCGCCGTGTCGTTATTGCCCAATCGCACATTAGATGAATGACTTCAATTTCGATTTCAGCTGCCAACGATTCTGTTCGATATGAATTTGGATAAATTTTGTTATAAACATTGTCTAAAAGATACTTTTCTTCTTTGAATTCATCGAGAATTTCCAGAACAGAGAGAACACGTGATATGGTTTGACCAGAAATGCTTTGTTGTAACTTTTCTGTTGACCATTTGTGTTCAATCGCTGAACTTCGACAACGAATTTCATCTTCCGCTTGTGTTAACATTTGTTTAACCAACTGTTGATCGATGCCAACGGGTAACGGAAGCTGTGACGGTGCACATGGAAGAAAATCCAATGGTGAACCGTAATTCAACAGTAGTGTATCCGTTTTTTGTTGATCGTCAATTGGATTATTGTAGAGAAGTGCTGCTGGACAACGTAAAGTGATACATTGAATAACAGCTGAAAGCGAGTAGACAATAACGCGATGTTGTGGACATGACGTTAAATTAGCGAAGTTAACTGGTTGATTGATATCCGTATGGTATTGACCGAGACGTTTACAACAATAATACGAGATTTTGCGAGAGAAGATTTCGTACTCAAGAATTTCATTGCTAAATTGGAATACAAGTGGAATAACATAACGAAGATTAAGATCATCATTGTGCTTAATACGATCGATGAATGTATCAACAATCCACTCGACAACTGCTTGCCGATCGAGTAGACCTTGATCGAATAAAATTCGTAATAGACGATTGTAGTAGTCCCATTGTCGACGCGTCTTGTCCGATAAGGGATTGGTTGATGGTGATTGATGATGCATTTGTGGTGTCGATGGCGCGTACTGAGGAGTCATTGAGCCTGAATTCAAGGAAAGTGCATGCTGATCATTCGTTAATTCAGGTAAATGACCAGTTGATATATCAGGAATAGGCGTTGCACGTTGACTTTGAATATTTTCTTTGATTAAACGATCAAAAACTTCCTAGAAAATATTTCCAGGTTTATTCGTGTGAATTCTTTTCGAAATGAAGCATTTTACTTTTAGAAGTTCTGTTGTAATCTTTGTCCATTCTGTGCAAGGATCAGTTGCTACGTGTCTTTTCTTCTGTTTTGAATCGTTATTTGCACTGTGATAGAGCGCCAACATTTTGATATACCAACAAGCACGTACAAGTGATACATTATGTTCATAGAGATGTTGGAAAACATCTTCTTTCTTAAGAATAATGGGCACCTGAAATAGATCGAAATGATGACGAAATGCCATTTTCTTATTCATTTTCATACTTGTTTTCCTAGTTTCCCAAGAGATTCTGTTGATGCTAATAATGATAGCCACTGTTCAAAAGATTTCGCTGTTCGTGGTCCCTATTTTCAATAAAACTCAGTTTGTTTAGAGGAAAACAAAGCATACCATTAATGGCCAAAAGTGTGATTTATTGATTGTTGGTGGTTTTCGTTTGGTACTATCGTTCATCGTATGATTTTCTTCTTTTTTGAGTAAAATAATTCGAAAGAATTCCAGAATACCTTCATCGGCATTCTTGAAGAAATCTTGACCTTTGAAACCTTCATGCTAAGCAGAAACGACAATGAAACTGAGAAGGAACTTTAATTCATCTATTTACTTCCATCAGTGCATCGACAGGTTTGTAGGTAAAACCATTTTTTACCGTTTCAGCCGTTAACTCATCCTGAACAAAGACAAATTGTATTGATTTATATAAAGGTCAATTGAGTTTATACCTCTCGTTGCTTTGGCTCTTGCAAAAACACATCTGGTAGTCCGAAACGTGATCTTCGAGTTGCTCGAGCCATTATTCACTACAAAATTTTCAACAGAATGAAAGTGAAAGGAGGAAAAACAAAACAAAACAAAACAATAATGTTATGTCAAGTCAGTGATACGAACCAATCAAATCTCAAAATGATTTTCATTGGTGGAAAGTTTTTTCATTATTAAAATCTAGTTCACTTCCGATAGATGGATTGGAAATTACCTTACGTGTGTTTAATATTTCAAAAGAAACTGTCGAAAAGGTCATTATATACTGAAAGTTTCCAAGATGCTCTAATTATATAAACCCACTTTGCTAATTAGTCATTGTTATCTCTTTGTCTACACCGGTTGAAACAAATGAACAGAAGAGATTGATGATCGACCTTTGAATATTGTTCCTCGTCACCCTCAATGAGTGTACTTCTATCACACAGAATATCTTTTGTTACGGACATACGTTTGCATCAATTCTTAACATACATCCTGTGTAGTTTTCGCGCACTATCGAGCTTATAAAAAACTTATTTGGCCCATCCATTTTACAAAGATTTCTTCATGGAAAGCAAAAACAGACATGAGAAAACATGATCTTTGTGCTTGGACTGTCATAGATACATTTTCAATATTTTGATGACGCTGATTCAAAGAATGATTCAAGGTAGTTGAAATTTAGTTTTACAAAAGATGCTCGATTCAAACATGGACTGTCGATTAGCTCTTTCCGCCCTGGGAACATGTTAATTAACACAGCAAATCATCTTCTTAATTGATTAATTCGCCTTTAAGATAACAGTTAATTCATTTTATGTTCAGTATATAACAAATAACAAACATATTTTTTGTTTTTACAAGATATTTAAAGTCGTTTTACGTAATATTGATATATGTAAGAGAGACGTTGTCGATATGTGATCGAGTTTGAAGTTTATACAAGAAGCGAACCAAATGACTTTGGTTTGCGTGTCTGGTTCACTTCAGCGAACCATGGTCGATCTTCGCCAAGCTTTTTATTCGATGATGGAATAATGAACGACTAAATACCGGCAAATAGATTTTGGATATATGGTCGAAGTTACAGAAATTACTTTATTTTCTTTTTTGGATTTTGTCAATCGTCTTGACACGGTTTTTCTTGTATCTGCTGAAATATCAAATAGTTTCCCATAATGCTCAACAAAGCAATCGAGAAGGTTATTGAGACACGGGTTTTCATCATGATTGATGGTGATTAGTTTTGCAAAACTACGATGAATCTATAGAACAACAAGGAAGAGTTCAGTTTGGAATATATTTATGGAATTTTACGCGTGATTTAGTTGCTTCGTTCGAACAAAATTGGCTATTTCGAATACATTGTGATAAAAAATAAAGAATAACATAGAGAAATTGTCGATTGGACGAAGTTAAATGAAGTAGTGCAAGTTGAATCAATTCGAATTCGTCACTACTGATCTTTTCTTGACTAGTTGTTGCTGTTGTTGTTGTCGTATCTAAATTTATTCAAGATTCCATGATATCAACTCCAAAACGATACTTACGTTTATTATTAAGCCAATTTTGTATTTCATCAAATGGTGATGTTAATGTTTTGGATGTTACGTGAAACAGATCACATGAACTCAATGATTTTCGACGAAGATTTGTTAAACCATATGATTTGTCATCATCGGATGAGGATCCTTTTTTAAAATCGAAAGTATCAGTACGATGCGAACGCATCGATTGTTTTGATTGACATGGACGATGTTTTAAAGTTTGGTAAGGATTATTGCTTGATCGACCTGAATAGAGTTCACTCGGAAAACAATAAACTGATCGATTTTCATCACGATCATAGAATGATTCCATGGACATTGGATTTCCTTGAAAAACAAATAAAACAGAAATGTTCGCTCTCCTGTGTCCAATCGTTTGTTTACCTTTGCTAGCAATAAGTTGAAATATTAAATCTATAATTGCCATCGAAGACGATAGATATTGTCTCTGCATTGCAAATGTATCAGTAACCATTTCAAATAAATCGAAAATGAATGCCGGATAATCAGGTAAATTACGACCATCGAGACTCGTAGGATCTGTGTGATATAACACATATATATATGAAGCATCTATGAAATGTTTGTCTTACAATCCATAACAATTAACATTGATTCTGGTAACCAATCTACTAGTTGTCCGGCAATGGTGATCGGATCGCCAGGTGTACTGTGATGCAGGTTGGATACAAGTTGAGATCCATCAATTAGTTTCATTTCTTGTTCAATTTGATGAAGAAGGTAACCGCCATGGCGATTTCGTGTTTTTAAGAGATATTTCTCAAGACGTTCGAGAAAGTAATGTTTCCAACACTGGAATAACTCATGTCATTCTTTGATGAAGAAGAAAAGAAAACGAGAAAATTTACATCACTTATCGCAGACGTTGACGATTCTTGTGATTGCTGAACTTGTTGTTCAATCGGTTTAGTTGTATTCGCCGCTGATTGAAATATATTCTCATCTGCTTTTGATAGCAATCTAATTCGAAATTACAAAACATTCGTGGTAAACTTTGTTTCAAAGTTCGAGAACGTTCTCTTATCAAACTGATTAAACAGTCGAGTTAAAACAACCTATGTCAACTGACTCAGTTTCTTATTTCAATCAACAAAACATGAGCCCGTTTGACAATATCATGCGAATAAGTGAGTTATGTAATTCTTATCGTCATTAGTGTCTCTTAATTAATCATTAACACTATTTATCGAGAACAAAGAGATATAGTATCTTTTTTCGCGAATATATTCGTCAATAATCTTACTGATAAATTCCGTTTTCAGCAACGAATGTTTTCTTTCGTTCATTTTTGATCACGTCGGTAAAAACTTTCGATTCATAGAACTTTTCCAACAGACGAATTGCGTGGTGTCTAGACATGAAATAAATGAACTGGTTTGGAAATGATTGTTCACAAACTTTTCAATTTGTTTTGTTTCGAAATTTGGATGTGATTTTAGGATGTTCATCAGACAGTTGATAGCATCGGTCGATGTGAAACATTGATCATGTGTTTGGGAGAAGTAATTTCGGCGATATTTTCGTAGTTCGATTTTCGAACGAAAACTGGCGACAAGTTCATTCCACTAAAGAAGATGGAAAATTGAAATGTAAACATTGAAAGAGAGCTATTACCACATGTGTTGCATGAAAAGATTGTTTTTTTGGCTTGACCGTTGCTGATGCCATGAATGTAATGAACGATTGGATTTTTTCAATCTGAACCAAAATGTGAAACAAAGACCAGTGAGTTGGTATTGTTTGATAGATATTTTCGAAAGTTATTTTCAAAAAACACATTTTTAAAAATTTGAAAATTTTTTAAAAATTTAATTGAAATTGAAACATCTTAATTTCAATGAACTTTTTCGCATTTTATTGGCTACATTCAATGAGCAATCAGATTTTGTAGATATATATATATATCATCCGATATCTAGCAGATACAGAACGAAACGAAAAATGGATATAGGTAAGCAACATTCGATTTCGTTTTTGAACGATTTAAACGTTTGTTTTAGTGACAAATCCGAGTCCTCAGTGGATTCAGGATGAAGCCGAGGTAAGTTGGCAATCAAGAATTGCACGGCAGTGTTTCTATTCAATCGTTTGCTCAGAAAATTCGTTCATCACTTCTCAATGAACTGCATCGAATCGAAAGTGAAGTTAACGATCAGTTTCAATCATTTAAAAACGATGTAGAATTACGACAACAGAAAATGCCGGACACATCACCAACAAAGTTCGTTCTTTACTTGATGAGAAACGGAATTAAATGTACTTTTTAGGTCATCAACTCGGCAAATTCACGAATCACGAGTGTTCGTAGCGAGAAATTCTCTTCTCACAGACTTGTTCGAAATATCGCATATTCAGAGTTTAAGAAATGTCTTCGTAGCAGTGATGGTTATTTTCGTATTGCAAGTTATTATCAACGATCTCGTAGCACATGGGAGGTAAAACTGAGAGTAATTGATTCTTTTGACATCGATAACGAACGATTTATTTCACAAAAGACTAAATTTGGATTTCCATCTGATTTTTCAATGCTTCGGAAATTTACATATTGCATTATCCATTTGGCTTATTATGCAGTTATGTACCGCAGTCCTGGTCTTTATGGGATTTTACTATTGGGCGAATAATCGAGTTTCCTATCTGGCAAATCCAAAAGATTTGAGTACGTCATTGTTCCTCAATTTCAAAGCAAAAGTCTGATTTAATCTTTCAGAAATTTATGACATCGTCTGGTTGACCATCTATATCACATACGTCATTTTATTCCTCGTTTTACCATGTCGGGAAATAGTAAAACATCAACTACCGGTTGCTTCATCGCTCATTGTCTTACTCGAACAAGTAGGTAGTCTTCCGTGAATAAAATCAAATACTATTTTATCTGTAGCTTCGTCAACTGATGAAAATATACTCTTTTGTTCGTGAAAATGTTGAAAAAATCTGTATGCAATGCCGTTTGATCATGGGTTTGTCTTAGAACGTTAAAAAACTACGCGCACATACGAAGATTTTTTGTTTCATTAGCTCTTAGTTTAAAAGCATGATTGACTAGTTTGCTCGAAGAAGATTTTCAATTGAAAAATCGATTTCTTAATGTGGTTTTGTTTAGAAGCCGATCCAACGGATAAGAAAGATGCGGAGAAATTAACTGCACCAGATTTCTCCAAATATTTATATTTTCTATTTGCACCAACATTAATCTATTGTGATACATATCCTCGTAATGCTGTTATACATTGGGACTTTGTTATAAAAATGTTTGGACAAGTTTTCGCCGCGGTTGTTTATGTTTATTACGTTGTAGTGCGATTTTGTGTACCAACTTTCGAAAATTTAAATCAGAATCAAATCACACTGTCGATATTTATGACAGTCTTGTTTAATTCAATCATGCCTGGTAGTCTTTTTCTACTGTTAGGTAGGAAGCAATCCGAAGAGAATGCCGCTGTAGTTAAAGCAAATTCTTGTAGGATTTTATGGGTTTTTACACTGTTGGTTGAATGCATTTGCAGAAATGCTTCGATTTGCTGACCGCATGTTTTATAAAGTGGGACAAGAAACAGAGTTCAGATAAATAGATTTTTACACATTGTTCAATAGGATTGGTGGAATTCAACTTCATTTGCTGCTTATTATCGAACTTGGAATGTTGTTGTTCATGATTGGCTTTACACATATGTTTATAAGGAAGTTTTTGCGGTAAGATCTACTCATCATATTGACCATATTATTCGCAAAGTTTCTCGTCGCGTTTTAGTTAACTGGACGAAAAAATCGCGTTATACCAGCGATATGCGTAGTACTTCTGTCAGCTACGTTTCATGAGTATGTCATGATCTTTGCACTGGGATTCTTCTATCCAGTCATGTTCTTGTTGTTTGGCGTCGTTGGAAGTAAGCTGTCTTTGTGTGTAGTCAAACAAACGTCTACAGTTTTGTTTTAGTGTTGTTTCTATTCCTTCTTCCAAGAAACAAGGGCGTAGTGTATAACATCCTACTTTGGACATTTCTTTTCATTGGTCTTGGTCTGCAATCATGTTTCTATTTCATGGAAGCTTATGCAAGAAAGTCATGTCCAGCGACAGTAAGAGATTTTATATGTGAAAACGTGAAAACTACTGTTTTCTGGCATATCTTTTAGGATAGTATCTGGGACAAAGTTATTCCGAGATCGATCGTGTGCCGTTTTTCGTTACAACCAGGAAAACTTCTTCATATTGATTTGTGATTGTGATTCGATATATACGAATACAAACATTGACTACTTATTCATGCGCGTTGTTTTTCTTTTTTTCATATTTCGTATAAATAAAATATACATGTCTATACATAAAAATAGTTGACTACTTCGAAATATACAAGGCGAAGTAATATTTTGACGGCGAGAGTGAAAAATTACGAAGCCTACACGCACATTCACCTTCATTCACACCCTTACCCACGACTGGGTACTTTATTTCTGTTTTACGGTACAATCCCTGCATAGTGAACACTCCCGTACAGTGAGCAGTTTTGGCAAGAACTCGAACTTTATAAACAGATCATTTTGATATCGAGAAACAAATGCATTTAATGAAACATTACACCCTAAAAATATTTCTATCGAAAGAAAAGTAAACTCCTTCACACCTTTTCCTTTCTATGCAGCTATCTATTTCCACACTCATTAAACCGATTGTAAGGTGTAATAATACTCAATATTCTACTTCTGTTTCTTATTCACATAGCTGTCAACTGTTTATCATCAACGATTTCCTCGCTTCCATTAACATCGAAATATCGAGACATTCGAATGCAATTATCAATCATTTGAAAAAGTTTATTAAAGAACAGAGAACGAGAAAGAAAGAAAGAAAACAAATATCAGACATAAACATTCAACTACCTTTTCTCGAATTCCAGTAAATATTGTAGAATAGCCTTATCATGTCCACAATAAGCAGCTAAATGTATAGGTAGCCAACCATATTTATTCACTGAATAAACCGAAGCACCATATTCCAATAATAAATGTACAGCGTCTGCTTGATTTCGAAGAACATAACGATGCAACAATGGATTATCGTCGTTATCGAATTTATCCAAGAGATTATTGAGCGTCATTAATGATTGCCGTTTCAATAAAAGCCGTGCATCGTCGAGATTATTTGTATCGAGAAGATACATTAAACGATGAAAATCATAAGCTGAATTTGTCGTCATACAACATTACGAATAGTAAAAAATCAGAGGCGAATGTGTGCTTGTGTATTAATGGTGATAGATTGGCATTGAAATGAATATGGGAGAGGTCATTCGCCTTTTCTTTTTCTTTTTCTTTTCTCGAGATATTTATATATACACGATTTGAAAGCAAGGAGAAAAGAGGAAGGAAGAACGAAATGCGATCAAATGTTTTCTTCCTTTCGTTACTGTATTGGTCAGCTGTGTGTTGATAGCATTTTTCATTCTTTCTCTCGTTTTTGACCACTATAATCAGATTCATCAACGATGAGAGATAGCAAACAGCGATAATTCCAGCAAAACGAACATGCCTTCTTTTCCCACCATCGATATTGACGCGTGTTCATAATCGTTGTTGTCTCGCAATTGCATGACTTTATTTAAACAATCCAATTGCACACGTGTGCATGTTTTTTCAAAATAAAGAAGGAATAAGTTCTCCTGTATTGAAAATATCCATATCCTTAAATGAAGGACACATTGTTATTCTAGTTCTTTGATCTGTAAATTTTTTCGTGTCCATGTTTTAATGGGTAAAGAATAAGTGACCATTGAGATCAAGTGATGGGAAAATAGAGCAATGACGCCAAGTTCGATAGTTAGCGGGTGGTTAAATGATACATGAAAAAGACAATTCTCTGCTCAGTTTATTGAATAGACATTTCGTTGCGCACTAGCTTTGATCTTTTTTTGAAGAGAAATAGAATAATCTGTTCAATGAGACATTGATGATATAGACATGCAATAATTTGATTGAAATTAACACTAGAGAGAATAGAATGTGATCTTTTTAACATGGAATGCTTTCAACGCAATTCCTCACGAGATAAAAATATGAAACACGACCAAACTAGCTCCACTGTTTTTGCATACTACCCTTTTCAGAGGTCCGTCGGTACAAGTAGGCAACAATCACTCCGCTGACGTTCGTTTTACCAGCAATCATTTTGCAGATGAATTGATTTATATGTGCAGTTTTTTCGTCCTAAAACTCCGATAATATTGATATAGATATTGCGCTTTAGATGAAATCCTGTCGCAGTCACTGACATGTTCGCCTACATACCCATTGATCTATACGCTCTCAGTTGCATCTTCCCTTGCACGCTCACTGACATCCTTAACTATACTACATTTTTAAGTAAAGAATCAATAATTTTTTTATCGAACAATTCACATCAGCACGATGTTTAACATCGAATTCTTTATTTACTCAATTTTGCAATGAAATTAATTTAAATCAACTTAAGAATTCAATAGATATTCGTCATTATGTCAAAATATCCATTAAATAAAACAATATTTTCTGTCAGAAGGAACTCGATGTCGAATAAAACTTCAATAGTTTGTGTTCTTTTGACCTATTTTTGTAGTTTGATATTCTAAATGAAATGATATCAGTGTCGTTAACTTGATTCAATCGAAGTACAAAGTGAGTCAAAGCCAAACATAGAGAAAACCTTCGACGATCATGAGGGTGTGTGGTGGTCATAAAACTATGAGACAATCTGAACCTTATCCACACCCTGTTTTATTTGCATTTCATTTTTGTTTTGCCACAGCATTCTTTTTGTATATTCTGTCAGAAAATATTTACAAAGAAGAATTATTTCGAATGGTATTCAAGATTTTGTCTCGCAGACAAATTCATCCTGTAAGAAATCCGTTTCAGTAGTGTATGCTTTTCTCTTAAAATGCAAGAAGTTGAAATACTTGAATAGATTTATTGGAAAAAGAATGTGAGTGTCATGATTCACTCTCATCTTAAAATTATTTTTTCATCGATGAAGCAATTAAATATAGATTATCAAGATCAAAATTTCATCCACAGAAATGGCAACATGGTGGTGGCCCACAACACGAGAGACACGCTGAAGCTTCTTCAATTAAGTCAGGAAGAATTGGTTCGCCTACAATTGGTAAACCTGTAATGGGTCCGGGTGGATTTGGTAAAGTGTCCATTGGGTAGGGTATAAATGGTAAATTTATAAGCGGTTTTGGTTTAATTACGAAAGATTGAGCAAAATTGGCAATAAATACCAGGAGAAAAGCAGCAAGTAGATAGCAACGCATCTTGACTTTAATATTGAAGAAGAGTGTAAATCATCGATAGACTTCTGTCGATTTTTATACTCTTCAAAATACTGAAAAACATCTGTATTTGTACTCACCGATTAAATTCATGGGTTTCGATACAATAGGTAGGAGGACTGGTGTCCACAGGAACATTAAGTACTATCTACGCAAATCTTTTATCAATCGGACGATTTACTCGCTTTAAAATAAATAATTGAGTATATTTCTCACGAAACGATATCATACTTATTCTCTTTTTCGTAGCGAAGAGTCTTAGAAACATTGACTGTTTGCTTATGTGTCCGTAGGGTAAAAAGAACATCGAAAATCGATTTTTTTCGAAAAGACATTTCCGGAGGCATTTCAATGCGGAAACTTCGAATCTGATGTTATTTTTTTGAAATTTTTCATGAAAATTTTTTTAAGAAAAAGGACCGCTTTTTACGAAAAAAAAGTTTTTTTGATGAAATTCGACAAAAGGGTTTTTTTGGGTTGAGGAATTCGAATTTGATGTTAGTTTTTTGAAAGTGTTTGTACAAAAGTTTTTTTCAGGCAAAGAGCCGTTTTTTTAAAATTTGATACGAACTGACGGAGAGTAATAAAAGCTGAGGAACTGGAATCCAAGGTTAGTTCTTCTATGTTGCATAAACAAAAATCTTGGTAGCATTGTAGAACAATATATCTACGAGAAAGCCGAGCGAGTCCACAGGCGAGCGTTACTTGTTTGTTTGAGCTTCTTTAATAAATAAATATTGTGCAATACATATAGAAAATGGTGATTGACACTCTAACTTATCTGTAGATATTGGATGATTTCACAGGGCGCCAGAAAATATCTCTTTCTCTATCTTACTTTCAGTCGGAAGACCTTAGCGATCAAGAAGGTAAATGCCTATTTAACGATAAGTGTACGTATTACTGAAGACAACGTGTGGATGTATAGTCATTTCAACCACACGAGATGACACTGCTTGTTTGTTATTTGATTGTATCGCTGTCTATTAAATATCAGTCTTCTTTCGTTATACATATTTGCATGCTTACTGATTAAATTCATATTGTAATGACGAAAGAATCAACATCTTTGTCTCTGTACATTAACTCAAACAAAAATGACTCTTACAATGACGATCATGAGTATAGTCATAGAGATGTAATGGAAAGCAAACGAACGGATTGTTAGATCTGGGATACATGCGTTCAGGAAAGATCGTTGATCGATATTAATCATCAGGTTAAGTTACTCGATAATGAAGAATTAACTTCATTGAAAAATTTTTTTTAAAGGAAACTTTGATCAAAATTAGTGTGTGATGATTTTTTGTTTCTATGTACATTCATAATTTTTGCCTGTCACTCAATATCTAACTGCAATAGCTAGAGGCCGCTAACCAACACTTAGAATTTTTTGCTTTCTGCTTACGTCTAAAAAAGTGATTGGCTAATAAGCGAGCACATTCGTTTATCATTATCAAATGGCTATTTATTTATTTTCAATAAGTCCTACTTGTAACATACAGTACAAGATATTGTTTCGAGTCATTCAGTTCATTTACTCTGGATTGCTTCTGATCGCATTTTAGTTTCCATTGAGTATGTCACTCGTTTCGAAGAATTCTTTCTCTACTTTTTTGCTTATGTTTTTAGTAGAACATTCACTACTATTGTTACGTAACATTTAATCGAAGTTCACAAAGTTAATTGATTCTCAAACTTCATCATGTCTTTCGTGAAACAAGAAGATCCTGATTTCTGTAAGTGTTTCTTTTATTCCAAAACAAAAACACCTACGTATCATTCAATCTACGATTGAAATCATTGAAGTAGTCAATTCAGTTTCAACGAAAGTGAAAACTAAAGCTATAAGTCCGATGAATACAATTGATGAGCTTTGTAACGAAGGCGCAACATTGTTACATTTCTTTCCTGAAAGAAGAATTCGCTGATACTTTCTAGAGACAGTACTTAACTTATCTTCATAGCATGTAACAAGCTGAAATTTTGGACCGGTAGCGATATTTGTTAGTCGATTTATGTATTTCCCTGCAAGCCAATTACTAACGTTCTAGAACATATTATTCGTTTACGAATAGATATTTTTCTGATCTTTATTGAATCTCACTAGCTTTTTATCATCGGATAAACCATCTATTGTGTCGTTGCCAAACATTTTCTTCACGGCGGTCTTTGCTCCCAGAGTTATATTACCAATCCTTTTCGCAATCGCACTAGGCTTCCAGCCAACCCTTTTTATCCTTACATAAACCTTTAGCCATAATCGTACATCTACGATGATTATTTTTCGAGACATAGCAAACCTACAAACGTATTTGACAAACTTCTCTTCACTTCTTCTGAATTTTCCCATCGTGTAGGTCTGCCCCATGATGCAATAATATCATTCGTTATACCGAGTTCTTTTGTAATGTATTCGGTGTAGTTGTCTTTGAGATCTGCGAAACATCTGAGCTAGCTAATGCACCGTTAACAAAATCTTTTCTGTGTGTACCCTGACCGCTGCTATTAACAGCATCAGAACAACTCTTAATGCCGTCTTTCGCAGGAAGAGTGCAACCGCTATCTTCACATACATATCATTCTTGTGCATCGTATCCAATAGCGCATTTGATAGTAGTCAAGCAACCTGTAAATATGTGAACAATTTGTTTCATTTTCTTGGCTGCGAAAAACGTTTGATGTTTGACGTCAGACTACTACAAATGAGATGGTCTCGTTGAGCTTCTGCGCGAAGTACAAATCCATGGAGTTAAGGCGCTTAATTTGCCGTTTGTGTTTCAGACATGGATCCAAATAATGTTTCGTCATCGAATTTGGGTAATGGCAATAATGCTGAATATAATCATCCGTCAACTCAAAGTACAATAACAGCATTTCTAGCAAAACTATGGGCACTCGTCAATGATCCGTTATGTGATGACCTTATTACTTGGGATGTGTCAGGTGCTTCGTTTCATGTTTATGACCAATCAAGATTCTCTCGTGAAATTCTACCAAGATATTTTAAACATAATAATTTTGCATCTTTTATACGTCAATTAAATATGTATGGTTTCAGAAAAATCTCCAATATTGAACACGGCTCGTTAAAAAATGAGAGAGACGACATTGAATTTGCACATCCACATTTCGTTCGAGGACAAGAATCACTTTTAGAATTGATTAAAAGACGTGCACCGGATCCACACCAAAAAAGTGGTATACATGGAGGTATTAACAAGCTCGGTCTCTTCTTACGAATAAACGAATGCATTTTGTTTTAGGTGGTACACCATCTGCGCTCGTCTCGGTTGATTATCTTGACTCCAAGTCAGGTCGTTCTATAGAATATGGACGACTACTTGACGATGTTCGAAATCTGCAATCAAAACAAACGTCGTTGAGTGATAAATTATCTTGCATGCAAAGTGAAAACCAAGCATTATGGGGCGAAATCGGTTCGTTACGACAAAAACATGCAAAACAACAACAAATTGTTTCCAAATTAATGGAATTCCTTTTACATTTTATCTCATCACAGTCGGGCCACCATCAGGATCAATCGGTTGCACAACAACAACTACCCAAAGAAGGTCTTATTGCCAATTCTGGTCATCCAGACGGAACACAAAGTCAACATCATGCGAATAATGCTCCATTAGATTTCAATGAACAAGGTTTGTCACCAGCTTCTCTCAAACGAAAACACGTTGCACTTATGCACAATGACGAGCCGCACAAACGAATGCATACCGAACAGCAACAACACCCAAATGCTGGACATTCGACTAATCTTGGTCGTCAACAAAGTGTAACAATCAATGAATTGACAGATAGCGATGCAAGTGGTTGGCATCCTACAACGAATTCTTCACCAGTAATTGATCTGGTTCCATCACCACCGCCATCAATAAACGATGCAGATGATAATTATCAATGGTCGTCAGGAGCAAATGATTCAAAACAGAATGTACAACAAAATGCAACATTTCAACCCGTTGGCAATGAAAACGATGCCGGAAATATGTTCACACCAGATTTCTATTTGAGAGCAGATAATAAATCTAATGTACATCCAACTAATCAACAAGCCGATGGAGCCAAGTCAGCAGGCACCAAAGCGGTAATTACTCATTCAAAATGTTTTATAGCTATATTGTAACAGTCATTTCTATGTCAAAGATATATATATTCATGTACTTCATTAAGATAATAAAATATATATCTTCTTTTTCAAACCGTTAACCACCTTTCTACTTGCTCCGATAAAAATTCATTTCATAGTGCTACTTTAAAATTGCTTTTAGTATACTTAGTAATCGAATAAAAGTAGATATCGTGTAAACTATTCTTTCTTTTTTAGTCTCAAATCAATCCCATATCATTGAAAGAAGAACTAATCGAACAACCGAATGTATATCAACAAGCAGACCAACAACAGCATAAGCCAGGTCTCCCAATGGGACAATTAAGTTTCTCGCTGGATGACATCACAGGTGATGTTGATCATATTCAATCATCATTGGACAACATTCGTGATCTCATGTTCGAACATTTACCCGATGGTAGCTCAATTGAAGACCTGTTTGCCGGAGAAAATGATCTACTCCTACCTCTTCTTCACGAAACAACAACGAACGGTCAGACACCGAATTTGCTTCTAGAAAATACCAAAGATCAGCGATTATCAACAGGTGACCATATATCAAATGAAATCAACCATCCAACAAATTCACAATCAGTTCCAAATGTAAACAATCAATTGCTTGAACAATTGATGACTGAAAACGCGAAAATTGAACAGCAACAAAATACAATCAATCAATTAGAACAACAGAAAACCTTGTTAGAAAATAAGGTTCATCTTCTCGAACAACAAACAAGAAAACACCGATGATTTTTCATATCATTATTCATTTCCTTTGTCTTCTGTTGTATATTTATGACTAACATAATTATGTTTTTCATTTTCTTTGTTCATTTATTTATAAAACAAGGAAATGTGCATTATACATTTTTTCTTTTTTTTTCATGTATTTCTAGCCTAGCAATGTGTGTATGGATACTGATTTGTTGTAGAAAACAAAAAGAAACGAACATTGAATGTTCCATCAAAGAATGAAAGTTGATTTCGACTGAGATGTTTACTGTTCTCATGAGTAATTTTGGATGTTGTATTTCTCTCTCTCTCTGTGACTCTCTCTTATGGGCTTTATTTAAATAAATACTGAAACAATCGAGCAATTCAACCGTCGTCTTCGAACATCGATCATGAATTCAGATTTCGTGAGAAGAAAAAATCTTCAGATGATTTTTCATTCCATCGACATTAGTTTATAAATAATCGAGGACGAGACAAAAGAATCGTTTTATACGAATCGTATGATTTATTGTTGTTATAAATACAAAAACAGGAACACGCACAGTCAAATATTTGATTTAAATATGTACAAAAAAGAGACGTTCATTTGTATGATTCTTGAGTTGTTCCTTCTATCTGATAAGTAGCGAATTGAAAGCAATCGATTCGAATACATTCAAGCTAAGTTATCATCATCATGGATGACATCAGATGCTTTGAGAAGAAATCGATTAGCAAATGTTGATGTAGGCGATGATGATGATGATGAACTACCAAACGAAAAGAATCGTCCGAAGAAGTAAGCACCATTAGCAGGCGATGATGATTGAGGAACATCGATTGCTTGTGATGCCGTGTTTATATGAGATCTGTGTTGAGCATTTTCGTCAGTTGCACGACACACAGTGAAACAATAATTCATTGAAGCCATTGCGATTGTTTGAATGTGTTTGACTACGGAGTAGATGCTTGTAAGAAATGGGTGGAAACTAGTAGAGTTGCAATCGCATTTATATGCGCTTGCATTGAGGACAAGGTACACGCGCGAGTATATGTTATGCAAGCGAAGACACGATGTTAACGGCTGATGCTAGCGTGTTTTTGTGTACAAGAAAGATGGGGGCGCGGCTGATCTGTATGCATGGAGCAGCGCATGCCCATATTTTTTCGTCCGCGTTCGTCAGGAGAGAAAGAGAACAAACGAGCAAATATTATTGTACGAACAAGACGGATAGCAGCGATTGGTTGGATTTTTCACTCGTCCATACAGTACAGATGTACGGACGAGTTTTACGCACAAGTAAAAATATCATTGAAACATTAAATAAACCGTCGCCACGCTTGGCGTACTGAAGACAAACGAACGAATACTACGTCCTAGAAAAAAAATGAACTCTTAGTTTTGTATACAGCGAGATCACTGTTTCTATCCAAAAAGTGCCGACATTTTCAAGGGAGAGAAAGCATTTTTAGGAAATGAAAACACATTTGCAAGAGAGTTAATAGCTGTCCTTGTACACAACGTCACTGAATATTAGACTTTTTCATGTTACATGTGACTTCGAACAGCAGCGATTAGTTTTCTTTCTTGCTTCCGTGCTCTCTCACTGATTTGATTAACAGCCTGTCCATTAATAATAACTTGTCTTGCTTGTTTCCATATAAATGAATCGTATTAAACAGCTAATCTATTGGAATTTCTCGAGCTTTTTGATGGAGTATAATCAATAACGAGAAAAAAAGTGAAGAAAGAACGAAAATGTTTTCTTTTTGGATATGAGACGAACATCAGTCAAGTGTAAAATAGAATTTGATGGCATGTTATCGTAATGAAAAACTCCAGTGTTCTGTTTCAAACTCTTGAATATGTCTTTGATTTCAAAATTTATAACGACTTCTCGTAAAAAACCCATCCCTGATAGAATCGTTCTTGCATCAGTATTGTTTCTTCCTCGTTCTCAACATATTATCGGAAATGATGTTCATTGGTGTGTGATTGATGTAGCTCATAGATTGATCAGATTCTTGGAAGGATTTCATCGATGATTGGAGTATATTTGAAACGAGTTGAAAATATGGAATCACCTTGGGGGTGAGAACGAATACGATGAACAAAAGCGGCCAAGACAAGTCGAATTAACTTACTAATTGGCATATTCATTCATTCTGCCTAGAAAAGCAAGGATCAAGCAAAGTATACAATGTTTTATTAGTCATTAGTTTGAGTAGAGCTGTTCAAATGCTCTATGTCACGCAAAACAGGAGAGAAAAAGAAAAAATGAACGCAAATACCAAGACAATGATGTAAAAGAAGCGTTAGAGAGTAAAAAAGAGAAAGAGAAGAAGAAAATGAGATTGTGATAGTAAGTAGACTACATCGGCTCTATATTCCGAGAGTAAAATCATTGACACTATTATCGTCATCGTATGCGCATGTTCATTCGAGTATTAGCCGATGAAGGATGCTAAATCAAGATGATGATGAGGACGAGTCGCAAGGAGTGGGCGGAGTCGCGATTAGAAACGATAATAACAGCAATAAGTATTTCATCTAGTCTCGATTGAACTTCATCGACGGACGATTTTGCCGAATTAATCTAAAATATTGCTGCAACGATTGATAAACGTAAGTAGATGATCTTACTTTCAAGTCATTTCAGATAAGATATCGATAAGCATGGCAGCTAATTCTCGACGTCGATTGAGCTTTGTTGATTTTGCTCCTCCACAAGCCTGGCATAAATTAATCGAATACACTCAAGTTACAATTGCATTTACGAAATTAAGTTAGTAATACGAGACGAAATCCGGTTCTTGTCTTGTCTATATTAAAAATTTAGTTACGGATTTCACCAATCAATGGGCGAAAATATGTTTTCTAGCTTCATCTCAATTGCATCAACTTGTTATCGATTTTCGGAAGAAAACTGAAGCGGAAATTCGTGGAAAGTAAATGCTAATCGAATTAAGAACGATGATTTCATTTAATTCCGTATGTTTTCATTAGATTTCAACTAGGCGGCCGAATGTATGATCTATGGGAATCCTTACTATTAGAATCGGAATTAGAATCCCAGGTAAATATGAAAAACTAATCCCTATTTAATCAATCTTATGTTCTTGTGCTTCAACAGGCATTGAAAAAAATGGCTTGTTTCATGGAAAAAGAGATTGCGGGACAGTTGGGCTGTTTTACCACTAGTAAAAACATTCAATTATCTATTAATAAACAATGTCGCAATGATCTGAACAATATCGTCAATAAGAGTCATGAGATTGTGCAGAAAGTAAGTCTGGAGATATATAAATATTTCATTAACGCAGAGGAGATTATTTCACGTCGAGAAACATTGTCTTTTGATACATCGTGTAATGAAAAGGACTTTCCTATTTTAGTTACAAGAAGACTATGCTAAGATATATGAAGAATGCGGTGTAACGCCCGACTTTCATTGTGCGCATAATTCATACGTTTTGGAATTGACTGGCGTCAACAGCCTTCGATCGAAATATCAATATCATGTACTACCGCAACTTTTACAAGTGAAATTATGCTCAGAAAAATTGTTTTCAGATAAAACTTGAAGATGTATTCTAGGGAATGGAGCAATCGCAAGTGGAAATTATTGAAACGGCTTGTCAAAATCTTCAATTGATCGCTTCAGTCATACAAAACTACGTAAGTTAGTCAAAATAAATGCGAAGATCTCTCGAGAACTGGGGACATTTCGCTGCAGTATCGATATCCTTGAGAAAATAAGTAATCTTATAAATAGATGATTTGTCATCTAATCGTACAACGGAGTATCCTTCAATAATAAAGAAAGAAAATCTCCATCTGCATCTTTTTATTCATTAATTGAATTGATCAACAGTTTTGTTTATTTATCCAAATTAACGATATTTTCCTACCGAAGATTTCATTTCAACAACAGACATACGAGAATCGAGATCTCTTTTCGCGTTACTATTAATATTCGATGAAGTGAAAGAAGATAAATTTTATCGGATTTTAGCACGAACAACGACATCGCAGTTTCGAGTCATTCGTAGTTACGAGCAAAACAGCAAATCCCAACGAAGAGCTGGAAAACTATATATGTTCCGTGAATGAAACATCAGGAGACTCATCGGTACCAACAGTTCATATTGAATTCGAGTCGTTTATTTCTCCAGTGGATATTCAAAGTACAATGAATTCGCGATATTTATCGCCGCATACAACCGATCAGTTAATTGTTTATGCTGCTCCAGTACTCCAGTCTCAGTTAATATCACGTTGCAGAGAAACAGGAGAACGTTTAAAAGAAATTAAAAAGGAGAAAACTTCAATATTAACTGCGACTGCTAAGCAACCGATCAAGCAATGCCAACCGAATGACGATCAACAACAGTAAGTAAACAAACGTCGACTTTCCGCAGCTAGCTCCAATCAAAAGCTGTCAAGTATCTTTATGTACGCCTTGAGTTTATATATTTCACACGTGAGATGTTTTCCAACAAATTAGATAACCATTTGTTCGTTACGTCAGCGAAAAGACATACATACATATCGTTGAGAAGAGGAACTAAGAACGGAGTTGGATAAAAAAAGAAGTGTTTCGTTGTAGAACGGAGAAAAAATATTTGAATCAAATGAACGACTGGATGAAAAAGAAACAACAACTACGTTTACTCGAATTGGAAGAATCGGTGTTAGCGGCTCAGGTAAGTGAAAGAAAGTCGGGGTTTTTTGTCGACTAAAATTTTCCTTGCCTTCTTCTTGCACAGACAAAGTTAAAAAATGAATAGCTAAGTGAATAAATAAACTAGTATCTATGACATCTTGATTGTCTTCAGATTGGTCATGACTCCTTTCATCTAATGTTAAAATATTCATTTGAAAAAAAGAAAACCGCTAGAAGTTCTCTTGTGCTCTACTATCATTCATATCAGAAAAACAGATTAAAGATCTAATAGTACCAGTAAATTAGTGAAGTCAAGCGTGAGAAAAGCAATAACAATTAGAGCATTTTCTCCTACTTTTCTTGCCTGACAACTTCTAACTGCCCGAGATCGACAAATCTCAAGATGCTTTTACTAAATGACGCGTCGACTTCGACATGGTAAAAACACATCTAAATTATGCAATTAAGCGCAACAAACAATAACAGAACATGCTTGCATATATATATATATATATACGGACATTAGTAAATCGAAAACTGTTTGATGGGTTCATCAGCTTGATTAATTACTCGTTTTCTTTCATCGAATCGCTGTATCATTGTCTCTTGTCAACAGATTCACAGAACGATTTTTGTTTCTTCGGTATACTTTGATATAATCTCAGAAAGCTAAAGATGCTTGCGCATCAGTATACCAACAACAATAGCTACATTAGATACAAAGAGTGTCGGTAAGGGTAGATACGCTGATTGATTTGATTGACTTGCAATTTGATTTGAACATCGACGAGATATGACGTAGATTATTTTCCGTAGGCTACACGTTATGTCAACTTGAAGAAAGAAGATATTGGCGTGAAAACTGATCTGATCTATTTAGAAGGCGAAATTCTTTAAAGAGATGAATATAAATACATGTGTTGTCTTCCTTTCAATTAGAGTTGTCGCAAGTGTTTGATGGGAAGAAAATCGATTCGCGAAGAAAACAAATGAGAATAGCACGAACATAAATTGGAGGAGATAAATATATTTTCTTTCGAGAGAAAAACGACTATGTTTATTTGTATTATATCGAACATTTCTTTGACAGTTGACAGTTTTGATAGGAGATTGTATTGCGTGAGAAAGAGGTTAACTGAACTTCTTAGGTACAGAATGGGGTGCTAAAAGACATGCGAATTTCTCTTTTTCGTGCAATCGTATCTGAATGATTTGATTGTCTTGTGTTTTTTTTTCTTTCCTTCGTCGGTCTTCTTGTTTCTTGTTATAAAAAACGTAAGCATTGATGATGAAAGAAAGAAATTAATAATCTCCAGAGAAAATATCTCGCTGATTGATTTCTCTCTTGTGTATGTTTTATTTTCTTATTATACCATAAATTGATGCCTATGATGGATATTCATTTTCTCGGCAAGTAGCTCGACGACAAGTACGAATAGTTAATGTTTGTTTCCCGTCGATTAAAAGTAAATCGTTTGACTCCATTCTTTAAGAATCTTTTCTTGAGCGTTTTACTTCTTTTTATATTAATTCATTCTTCTTTTTCTAATAATTCTTTGCTCATGAAGATGTCTGAGAAAGATGTGCAAGCACTAATCATTTCGACACGAAAGACTTAATCTATTATTGAATACAAAAGAAAAGAACAGCTTGTAGTTAACGATTTGAGACTTCATTAGAGAAAGAAGAGAGAGAGAGTGAAACAGACAGCAAAAACGTGATCATTTTCTTTCACAACTCATGTCGATCTCCTGTTGTTGTGTTCGTGTATGCAAATAGCTTCTTCTTTTGTTTTTTTCTTGGGTTATAGGTATACTTTCTGTGGCACGAATTGATTGGTTTTTTTTGTTTTTTAGCAAGAATTGCTCAAGTCTCATCGACACTCGATGAGTGGTGTTGCTGATAGTGAACATGATGCGCGAAAGCGCAATATGAAAAGTATTAAAAGTCTTTGGCACGATGCGTTTCGTTCATTGAAAGCTCCTCTATCATCTTCAACAAGCTCGAGTGGTGGTGAAACGCGTTTGGTAAGTTCTTGAATAGATCTAGCCATAGTTTATTGACGGCAAATGTTTTCATAATCGATCTAATTAAGTCATTCATCATACAGCAACCGTATATAGAGACAAAAAACATCGAAATATATCAAAATAAAATTTCCATAAATATAATCGAGTAACCGAGATCACATCCTGATAGACAAGACTTAATTAAGACTAAATGTGCGTATGCATTAGTAATAAAAAGCTAATGATGTCGTTTTTTCTGTTACTGTTTCGGTTTTTCTCCCAATAAAAAGAAAACGAGAGGCAGAGAGAGAGAGAGAGACACGAGGAGTATAAGAAGATAAGATAATGTGCTTCTGTCATCTATTTTATTAATTATAGAAAATGAGTTTTCATCATCACGATCATCATATTATGACTTAGTTAGAAAAGCGTCATTCGTTGATCTTCATTCTTCTAAGGTCATTAGCTATTGTTCTCTTTACAAAAACACGATAATCTTTGTTTCTCTTTGTCTATCATGCAATATTTACTCTCACTCTTCAGCTGCTACTTCTCCTTCTCCATCTCCTCTTCTTTTTTCTTTTTCGTCTCATTATTTTCTATCTCTCTTATTCGCGTATATCAGATTGCAAAATGTGTGTAGCAAAATTGTCTCTTGTTGTCGCCGTTCAGTTTACTTCCTGTTACTATCGTCTATTCAAATAAAGAGTTTGTAACTTTTCTCTTCTTTCCTCATTCTTCGTTGTTTCTCAGCTCTTAAAGAGAACAGAACTATTTTCTGATTTTCACGCTTGGCTATTTACGCATTAAACAACCTCTCATTAACTAAAAGATTCCCATAATGAACACCTCACTAGTTACCGAAGAAACACAACAGCATTTACATGTTCCATCGCCCCCGACAAGTCGTATTCGATCGTTATCCTTGAAGCCTCAAGAGATTCGCCAAGACTATCCTCGACGTCAATCATCCACCGACATATGCTCATCTCCTGTGAAACGAACTGAATTATCAGCTGACACTAATCACCATGAACAAATAAGCACCCCACCACCGAGACGATCATCAATTGCACGTTTTCAAAGACGTTTCACTGTCTTCTCCTATGAAGAGCAGCCGATGGCATCGAACCGACAACGCCGGATGACCACCGGTCGGTTCTCGTTTTTCGATGACAAATCGAATTCCAATTTACTGAAAAACAAACGTCCCAGTGTTATATCGCACATGGTTGAGGTAGTAATCTAATAAATTTTGTTTCTGCCTGATAAATAAATGCGTGACAACATGAAGAGTTTACGAAGATTTTCTATCGTTGCGTGTAGTTATTAGGATAAAAATCTAGCGTGCTAGCATTTGTCACGTTTAATTATCACCATATTCTCTTCTTTTTCTAGTCATTTGTACGAAGATTTTCTTTGCGAAAAAAGAAAAGTAATAATCATAATTCTGAACAAGGTAATAAACCATTTGCGTTTTCAATGATCTCTCGATTGCGAATATGAACTACTTATTTAGATGAAACTGTTATTGATCCGGTTTATGAAACATTGAAAACGGCAGCTGAGACGCGGAAAATGACATTAGCCAATTATTTGCAACAACGACAACAAATACTTAATAAACAGGGCTCATTGAATAGCCAAGGTTCATCCGAACCGGATATTCAGTCATCTCCGCGTACATCGCGACACGAAAGTCGAGCAGAAACTGATTTGTCACCAACAACATTAAAACCATCCTCACATCAATCAGGACGACTGTCAATAGGTAAACGATCGAAATCAGTTCGACTTCCACACCTTACCGATAGAAACTCTCTTCCATCTCGATACATGTCATTCTACAATCCTTCGACAGACGTGACTTTCGAATCGGGAACGAGTGTCTGAAATCTCACCATCACGATTCTTCCTAGCATGTTCCATCAACGCTTTCCCTCTTTTTGTCTTTGGGTTTCCCCCCATTGATTTGCTGTGTTGTGTGTTTACAGATAATGCACGGATCACGAACTGCTAAAACCTGCATCGACTGACGCCTACTACTTCTTGTCTATTTACAACAAAAGAAAACAAATTTACCAAAGTAAATCCAAACAAACTTTTCCCTGGTATGAAATGTGTGATTTCTATTGACAAGCAAACCAGCACACCTACACTTTCTGATCACTAATATCTTTCTTTTCTGTTTATCTCTTTCAACTGTGTATTGTGTACGTGTTTACGTTTTTAAAAAAACTCATATGTTGTATTGTAAATAGAGAGTGAATATTCGGTTTCCTTTTATTTTTCTGATTGTATTTGTTGTAATTGACAGTCTCTTTTGTTTTGTTTGAAAAAGAACAATTCTATTCCGTTTTTTTTTATTTCATTAAATTTATCTTCGATGAAAACAATTCGATTATAAGAATGCAGTTACATTGCTGCTGGCAAAGATGATGGATGATTCGAGATAGCGTTGGCTACGTTATGTAAACACGACTATTACAATTCTAAGAAGTTGCAGCTGTGATTGTAATCGATGAATGGATATTTGGAAAACATACACTGAAACAACACTCCGAAAAGATGTTGATGAGAAAGCTCGTATGGCTCAATGTTGTTTATTTATCATCCAAGATCGATTATAATAGACAGACACTCATCGGATACTGTTCATTACGTATAGAGAGTTAAGATCAGATTAGAAATAATGGTGTGTTATGAAGTAAAAGAGTGACCTTTGAAACAACCAGATCGATAAAGTAAATTAAAAGGTGAAGAGAATTGATAATTAAAAATTTATTCGCCAGTCCTTATGCATGGTTTCATAGGCATTCATTAATATTGATTACTCTTAATAAGCCGTGTTTTCTCATGTGATATATGAGCAAAATCTTGTCTTTTTTTGTCGAATAGATTTACATATGAATAGACTAAAAACAGAACTGAATACATACGTATTACTACAAAAGATTATTAAATTGCTTTCGTTTTTGTTTTTTTAGTTGTCAACATTGACTATAAATATCTTCTGTTCATTGTCTCCGACGAACATGTCTTTTTACTTAGATGTTCAGCGATCATAGGAACAAATACATTTGGAAAAGAATAAATGAAGGGAGCTAATTCTGCAAATGACTTCTCAACGAGATCAAATGTCATCGAAGTTGATTTGCGATAAACAGGTGCTCCATCTGTAGGGTCTTTGTTTCATTAGCTGTAGAATAACTAGTATTTTTTTATTGAAACATAGCTTTCTGAAAGAAACTGGTGCATATCAGCAACACCTGGATGTGTTTTTGTGTTTAAAGTTTATCAATAGCACACAGAAACGATGCGGTTTGGAATTTTTTAATTTTGTACGTAATATGTGAAGTTGGACTGTAAGCGTTAGGTACATTTTCTTTCTGTGCCCTTTGCATGAAAAAAAATCATGTGATACGTATTTTTCTTCTTTCTTTCCATCCTTTGGACCGTTAGTAGTATATATATATATATATATCTCCAAACTTCGAGATGCGCTTTTCGTACGACGGAATTTGTGCAAAATTCATAGTAGAGGTGTGTATTTTACTTTGTAGATTTTGCTTTGATATTTACTGATCATAAACATGGATACTGAGTGTGTAACTGTAACAAGTTATGTTTTGGAACAAAAGAAAAAATATCCCGGTGCTTCTGGTGAATTAACCATTCTTCTCAATGCATTGTTAACAGCTATTAAAGCTTGTGCAGCAGCTGTAAGAAAAGCCGGTATTGCGAAACTGTAAGTTCGATGAAATATTCACCGTCAGAATCTATCTTTTCTTACAGATATGGCCTAGCTGGGTCATCGAATACAACCGGTGACGATCAAAAGAAACTAGATGTTCTCGCTAATGAACTTTTTATCAATATGTTAAAATCATCTTATACAGTCTATGCCATGGCATCCGAAGAAAACGAGAATTTGATCGAAGTGGAAGTTCCTAAACAGGTATAAAAGCAAATCGATATAAAATTTCATCTTTTTCAGTTTCGACTTTAGGGCAAATATATAATTTGTTTTGATCCTTTGGATGGTTCATCAAATATTGATTGTCTTGTAACGTAAGTGTCAAAATTTAATCGACTTAACTTATTCTATATGATTTGTTTAGCATTGGTTCAATTTTTGGCATATGGAAGAAACCAGATGATGTCAACACACCACTTCAATGCATCTTACAAAGTGGTGAACACTTACGCTATGCTGGCTATGCTGTGTACGGCTCAGCTTGTATGTTGGTTTTAGCTACGAGAGATGGTGTCAATGGATTTACACTCGATCCAGTACGTATAGAGATTTCCCATAGATTTCTATGCAATTGTGGTTGATTTTAGTCTATTGGAGAGTTCATTTTAACGGCACCAAATATGACGATGCCAAAATTGGGCGAAAAAGGTTCACAGAGAATTTATAGCATCAATGAAGGCTATGCAAAATATTGGGATAAAGCAACAGCTGAATATGTGCAATCGAAAAAGTTTCCCGAGGGTAAAGAGAAACCGTTCGCCAATCGTTATGTTGGTTCAATGGTTGCCGATGTTCATCGTACACTTCTCTACGGTGGTGTATTCATGTATCCCGGAACAAAAGAAGCTAAAGAAGGCAAAATCCGTTTATTATATGAAAGTATTCCAATGTCTTTCGTAGTCGAAAAGGCTGGTGGTGCATCATCAAATGGTCAGCACTCGATTTTAAAAATTCAACCTCAGGCTATTCATCAACGTTCACCGGTATTTCTTGGTTATAAAGAAGAAATTGCCAAGATAGAAAAACTTTACGAACAGTATCCACGTGGCACATGGGCCTACGAATAGATCAATCGGACCTTTTCCTTTCAAATTGTTTTCGTAGTTTATACTTTTGGTGCTCCTTATTACTTTTATGCTATTATTCCATGTTTTCTATAAACTCTGATATCTCTTTCAATATATTAGCTCATGACGAACGATACTCCACTTCGTTTGGTAAACATAATACATAGACAACATTTTGAAGAGAATAATCCATATTCATACAGTACAACTTGTATTATCAATAGACACATTCCGTCTTCTCCAGCTCGATTAACGCTACTGGAGTTTCATTTTCTGTTTGTACCTTTAGATATAATCAGTTGCTAAAACTCTTCTTTTTAAATACGTCGATCAAACATGAACTCTCATCAACATGAGAAAAATGTTCGCATGATACTGTCTCTCTTTACGTATGTCATAAATAGACTTCCCATCTACAATGCGTTAAAATAAACTGGCATCTTTGTTAGACTCTCACTAGCGACTTGAAGAACGAAAGAAAAAAAAGAAGTTCTAGTGTTTTTTTTCTTCTTGTCGATAGGTGGCGTTTGATCAATATACACTTTGTTACTTGCAAAAAACCGATTCTACTTGATACATGTATGAACCAATCTACTCTGTCGTCTTGCAAAATCGAGATATCTTCGATAAAAGTTAAGCCTAAAGATCAACACTTCTACAATAGTTGTGTCTCTCCTGTTTTGCTTATGTTAATAGCATACGTGTATTTGCATTAGAAATACATTCCTGATATTTCATTATTCTAGATGTGAAATTTGTTTTTCTTATGATCTGTAAATAGACATTCGATGACTAATCGACAGGAATCCCAACCGACCCCGAATTTACCTGATTATGCATTTGGAGAACGGCTCGGAGCCGGAACATATGGTAAAAACATCTACAAATCGTTGATTTCATTTCGTACAACATCTTCTTCTAGGAACTGTATATAAAGCAAGATTGATATCAGTATGTTACCTTTCGAATTTTGCGCTGATCTCACCAATTGCTTTTGTTATTTAAATTCTAAAGAATATTTTATCCAGACCAAGCTCAGCTGCATATAATCGGCCAACGAGTGCGCGTCCTACGAGTGCTCTGCCTGCCTTCTATGCTATCAAGTGTATCAGCCGAAAATCTTTAACAAAAACCACGGAAGATTTACTCATCAATGAAATTAAACTGCTCAAAGGTATTAAACATGAGCATATCGTCGAAATGTACGATTTCCAAGTAGGTAAAAACATGTTCTCCCTTCATATTGATATCATTGCTTTTTCAAAGTGGGATGAGAACTATATCTACATTATTATGGAGTATTGTGCTGGAGGTGATATGTCCATGTTCATACGTTCTCGGCAACTGTTATCTGAAGCACGTGTTCGGCCATTTGTTAAACAAATCGGTAGGATTCTGCAGCTATCTCTCACCATTTTCAAGTACTCTGTATGTTTTCTTTGTAGCAAAAGTGTTAAAATTTTTATATGAAAAGAACATTAGTCATATGGATTTAAAACCTGAAAATATTCTTTTGACGTCAGTGGAGAAGCCAATTTTAAAGATAGCAGGTATGAATATCTTGAGCGAAACGCAAAACGTTCTATAGACTACCGAGTACTGATTAGATTTTGGTGTGGCGCAATGTATTGGTAAAGATGGCAGTCGAAGTATACGTGGAACACTGATGTATATGGCTCCAGAAATACTTTCATCTCATCCATATGATAATCGAGTTGATCTTTGGTCAGTGGGAGTGATACTTTACGGTAAGTTCACTTTATTTTCTTTCACCACAAGTATCTATCAATTTCGTTAAAAGAATGTCTATTTGGTCGTCCACTTTTTACTTTTACGACGATCCATGATCTTATTGATACAATCAAATCAGATACACCAATCGAAGTAAACTGTCTATTAAAACAATGCTCTCTTGATTGAAAAGTTTTATATGCGAATTTAGATTCCAAATGATGCTAGGATATCTCCAGAATGTCGAAGTTTACTTGAAGGTTTGTTACAACGTGATCCAAACCAACGAATTAGTTTTGTCGAGTTTTTTCGTCATCCATTTATCTTCGCGGACCTCTCAGCTCAAATCGCACGAGCAGTGAGTGCTTCTTCTGTGCTGCTTCGATTTATCTGAACTTCTGCGGAATTAACTTAGGATGACTTTCTACAAAAAGCAATTCATTATGAACAATCAGGTGATTTACAAAAGGCTCTAGATTATCGTGTCAGAACACTAGATGAATATGTCGCAATAACGAAAGGTATTCGGTAAACTGAATTATTGGAAAGAAGAAGACGATTGATTTCTTTTGGTAGTCGATGAGGATGCCGATCGAAAACGAATATTTAAAATGAAAATAACACAAGGTGTCAGTGCTGCTGAAGATCTAAAAAAGCGGATTAGAGAAACAGTTACGAATTCAGGATTGACGCCACCAGCAACAGCAAGTTTATCATCATCATCACTGTCACCACCAACAATCATGAATACGGATCCTCGTACGTTGACAGAAATACTCGTAGAACAAGTCAACTTACTTTATTATTTTAGTTGATTTAAACAATGATCAAGTACTTTTTGATGCCTATCAGAATTGTTTGAATGGCAATCAACTTGTATGTACGATCAATCTCTTTTTTGCGAATGAGAAATTTGTGTTGTCGTGTAGGTGAATGCATTCCGATTTGCTCAAGCTTGTGAAGAGTATGAAAAAGGTTTAACTGTGATGTTTGGCGTAGCGCGAAGTATATCTATCTCTTTTACCTCCTTTCTTCATCTAAATCTGTCCTTTCTCTAGCGGAAATGGATCCTATGAAGAAGCAAATCCTACGTGAAGTGGTAACACTTGATCAAAGCTCCCTTACGATTGTCTATCGATGCTTTCTTTCGTCTTGTACTAGATCACTCATTTCTTGAGCAAAGCTGAATCAGCAAAACAACGAAGTGAAACGCAACGAATCGATCTAGCTTTTCAGAAGATCAAAGAAGATTCAGCAAACGATGGTACGACCCCAGACGAAGTCCTAAACGATGAAAAGAAACAATCAGCAGCAACTCAAACTTGTTGTTTACAGTGATTTCTTTGTTTTCTTTCTTTGAATATTTTATATTTGATTACAAAAGAGATTATATAGAATGGTTTCACGAAGTACGAGATGCAAAAATAAATTCGAATTGATATTTATATGTTCAATAAAACATCATTTTATTATTCGAACTTTTCAAATGTTCAGCGATACTATTTTTTGTTCGAACAAAATCACAGATATCCTTCGAGAGAGTTGCGATTTGAAAAATGAGAACGAACAAAGTTTACGATCTTATTTACCTTGAATACATTATCTATGTAGAACATATACTGAAGTACACCCGAGTAAAACAAAGGTAAATAATCATCAAGAATGTTGTTGATCTACACAAGTATCCTAGTTTTGTTCTTCTTGAAAACGAGTATTTCGACTATTACTTCACTATCTTCTTATGTGTCCATCGAGAAACACTATTTATTACCAATTATATCCGGTGATGATCAACATATTCCACATTATACTGGTTGTAAACCAACTGATTTAGCATTTGATTCATGTAATCCAAATGAACCAATTCAAATTGACCTTCCTGAATCATTAAAATCGTGTGGAAACAATCAAATCCAATCCATTATCAAACAGCAACAAGGGCCAAGAATAAAATTCATTGAATTATGGCCAAGTCTCGGTGGCTATGGATTCTATACATGGGTATATGCGCGTGCGTTGATCAATGAAACACAATGGATATGGTTCAATTCTTCGTCGATCATTTTAGAATCAGCAGTAAATTCTCCATTGAATTCGTCTGAGTATCCCGAACCATATTTTCCTCAACTGCTCGTGACATCGAATCCCAGCGATAATTTCGACATCTTCGCTGATATGTTACAATATTCAAATTTGACGCAAAAGCCTCTCTTTGGGGACTGTTTATGGACATCGATTAATTATACAAACTCGTTGATTGAAAAGCAAACAGCGACGATCTATCCAAGTTGGTTGCCATTCGAAGAAAAAGATGCTATCAAACAAGATCAAAGACATAACATATGTGTTTTATTACCACAACCAGCTCGACTCAATGGTAAATCGTATACATTATTTGTGAGCATCGGAGAGAATAATGAGGTCAATTGGCCGTCAAACATTCGATGGTATAATGTTTCTCCACCTTCAGCAAATGAAATAGATCAAATGAAGCCAAAATCTGACGATTGGTATAGAAATCTTCACTGGTCACATACATTTACTACAGATTGGAAATTTGATATGTATCAATTTAGTGGAAATCAATTGATAGAATCGGAAAATAAAACAAAACTAAGTTTCACTCGGAAATCATCCGTTCAGCCTGATAATCAATTATTAGATTTGATTGATTATCTCGTCGAACGATATACAAAAATGAATGTTGAAACAAGAAAACAAACGTTTCTCTGGCGAAACATTACTCAAGCAAATCTAATTGCTATTCTTCCAGCTGGTGGAAAGCTCAAATGCCGTGAACCTGTTGTTTTCTTTGATCATATTGATACGGCATTTGAGAAAGATACTTTCTATAATACAGGTAAACGGCAAACAACTCCCGGTGCCGATGATAATGTCAGCGGTCTGGTAGCATTACTTCAATCGATATCTATTTTGAAAGAAAGTCAACGAACAGCTTGTAGAGATATTTGGTTAGTACATTTAACTGGTGAAGAGTATCCAGCTGCTAGTTTAGGTATTGTTTATTTTCTTCAGCAACTATTAGTTACAAAACAACCGATTTATATTGGTGTCATTGTTGATATGATTAGTCATCGAGTCAATCGAACTGATCCAATCGTTCAGGTAAGTCCAGGTGATACAACAAAATCAGTCGTATCAGCAAAACTAGCACTTGATTATGTTTATCCTATGATTCAAAACGATTTGATTTTAAAGAATTTAACACCTGTATTACGTTTATGGAATGATCCATATTCTTATTTATACAATACTGACGGTGTCAGACTTGTTGAATATGGATTTTCATGCATTCTATTTAATGAACATATCAACTATCACGAATATTATCGACGTACGGGTTACCATGATACAAAAGATACAGTTGATTTAATCGATTTTGAATACGGACAGACACTTTCACAATATGCTATAGCCACAGTAGCAATGTTAGCCCACGCTGACTGTCAATCATTATCCGTTGTAAACGGTATTAACTTATTCTTACTAGCATTGCTCGTATCATTTACTTTTATACAGAACTTTATCTGTTCGAAGTAGTGCAGTAACATTGAACTGTTGAAAGCAGAGTTTTTTTGTATTGAGCTACCTTCGAGCAATGTCGTTCTCTTGTCCGTACTCATGAATAAAGTGCATTACCACTGCGTAGTGCTGATATTGAGAGGGTAATATTAATGTCAACTACAGATGAAATTCCTCTGATGATAACGAGCATCAATCTGAAGTTGAACATGGAGAAGTAACACACCGACATCCCGACTCGCTTTTGCAGGAATGTTTTCAATACATATCAGATACAAGTAATTTATATGTAGACTATTGCAACATAGGTTATATATTATACTCTCTATAAATAAAGTCAGTTTTTACATATTGAATAACAATAATACACAATAACATGAAAAAACAAAGAAAAATATACGTATAGATTCGTTTTTGTTCAAATACGGAGATAGTTTGACACGAATAGAAGTCTTCTTAAATTGTCTTTGGTCGACATTTCTCGCAAAACCATTTACCTTTTGGTTCCTCCTCAAGTTTCACACATGCGAAATGAAACCATTCGATTTGACATTGAGGATTATCACATGCAATCATACGCCCGAACGATACTTGATTGCATATACAATATCGTGGTTCGTATGGATCGATAGGAAATAAATCCAAACCGACAGGTTCAACTTTGCTCATTTCTTGATGTTGCTCTTTCTTTTTGATTGAAGTTTTATTTTGTACTTGATTCAATGGCTTATCTGTTTTCCGTCGTTTTTTGTTTGAATTCATGTCGTCCGTTGTCGAATTCGTTCGTTTTTTCTTTCGATTATTTGCTGGAACGACGACAGGTTGATTTGCTAATTCTTCTAAGACATCATCCAAACGACGAATATGCTTTTCAACCATTTCATATGCTTGGTTTGCGAGGGTGATCTTCTCATCGGCATGTAACAAACGTCGCGATTGTAATTCATTTAATGTTTGAATAAGATTGTATCTGTCATCTTGAGATTTGGTTTGTTGATATTTTGTTGCGATTGTTGAACATTCCGACTTTAATGAAATACTCTTATCATCAAGTTCTCTTAATAAACGAAGATTTCGACTTAAGTCAATTGGCAGACTTTCTAATGATTCAATGAATTCATCGAAATCCATCTAGAAACAAAAGAAGATTATAAATTACACCACTCGGTAAATCAACAAAGAGAAAAAGGAAAGAAAGATGTATACAAATCACATTGAATTTTAAATAAAAACAGCGATTATCAAAAGAAAAATATCAATAAAGTCTTCTGTTTCTCACTTCTAGTTCTTTTTCATACTTAGCTTGACAATGATAATGAACGATTTTATCATTTGGAAATCTCACAATCGCTTGCATAGCCGTCAGTGGTTGAGTACATTCTGTTCGCGCACATTCCGAATCACTATCGATAACGAATGAATGATTCTCACTTGTAATGCGTTTCGATTGCGTACGGAGCAATCTTGAAAATAATAAATGTCGTTCTAATTGGGAACTTCGTTTATTCTTCGAACATGTTTGTAATGAATGCTCGATGAAATCTTTCATACTGTTTAATTTTAATTGTCCCGGTAAAATTTCCAACGTCTGCACCGGATCGAGACGTTCTGAAGCGTTGTTGACAATACGTAAGATTGTTTTCAAACTGGTATCATTTAGACTGCCATCATTACTTTTCTTTAAATAATGTTCAATCAATTGACGATAAAGATGGCGGGCGAGTTCTTTGTCGTAATTAGCGTACATCGTTTCACAGTAAGCTTCGGCATCAGTATAAAATCCATTTTTCACGAAAGTTTCCAAGGCCAATTCGTGTTGATTCAACTTGCCGAGAACAATTGCGTAGTGTAAACTGAACAGGCGATCATTGGACGACGTTTTTTGTTCATTGAGAAAATATGCTTGTAATGTAACGAAGTCGCATTGACAGTTTTGATTCGAGAGAAATTCTTTCAGTTTGTTTTCGTATTCCATTTGTTTCTTTTTGATCGGAGATGCTGTTGAATATTTTTCCAAATCATCAGATGCGACTTGGGTGGCGTAGACATCATTATCTAGGAAGAAGAGCATGACGAAGATGTTTTAGATGAACTCGATCGATTCTATGGCGATCAAAGAACAGAAAATGTCGAATATGGTGTTATATTCATACCTGTGTATGTTTCTTGTCGATTTGCTTTGATGAGAGGTTGTAATTTTTCAGTTATTTGTTTGATTCGATTGCAATAAGCATAGACAAGTCGATTGTGAATAGTTTGTCGATTTTCACCGAGTTCGGGTTTCAGACAAATGCGTTCTAAATATCGAATAGCGAAATCTTCGTCGATATCCTTGAGAAAGTCGTAAACTTGAATTGGATCGAATTTGATTGCTGCCAATTGAGATGGATCTATCGTTGAAGAAGATGTCGAAACAGATTCACCGACAAACAGTTGTAGAATATCATGAAAAAGTGTTTGATCATTGGGATTTGCCACAGCAGATTTGATCATGGGTTCAATGTACTTAAAAATCAATGGCAGTTGCTGATTATCAAGTTTAGATAAATAATTCAAGATATTTTCATTGGAAGCTAACGATTCAGTATTCGTAATCAATTCTAAAGCTTCGTTGTGTCGGTTTTGTTTTTCATAAAATGAAACCAATTCATTTCGACGATGATGTTTTTTCAGTTCTTTTTCAACTTCAGATGGTAAACAGCAATTCTCTTGATTACGCAAGAGTGCGTTTGCTAATGTATTGTTGTTTGTCGTTAGATAAACTTTCAGCAAAGCCGTTTCGACAATGATCAACAGATCACGAACTGGTTTTAATATAAGACGATTTTTCACCAGTGATTGCACCTGAATCATTAAAAACGAAATCAATTTTGTTTTCTTTCTTGAATTTTCCCGACTTACCTCGAGCCAAGCATCTGGTGAACGTCGGAATATCGTTTGAAACATTCGCCGTGATTCTGTTAGATAGTTTTGTAATTCTTGCACTGCACTTGCAAGTCTTTGTCCGACAAAATCCACCGGTTCGGAGAAATGTTGATGTTGTTTGACAAATGTATTCAATTCATTGTATGAATTCGTCAACCATGTGTGTGCTGATAATGTTACAAACAAAGAAATGATCTCAGCTGGATCCGTCAAGAATTCTTTGAACTCAGCAAATGATCGATCGAATTGTTGTTTGTTGAATAACTGAAATGCATACATTGTTCCAACACGGTAATACTCACACCAAAGATCGGTTTCAGTTAAAGATTGATTTGGACGTGAGGATTGATTTGCAGAGCTTTGACCATATGTAGAACTGTCTGCTGATGACTTATTTGCCACCTGTTCATTTATACTACTATTGAATGTTGTTACTTTAGGCATATCGGAAGTTTCCAAATTTCCTTTCGCATGGCCATCAATTGTTCTTGATTGATCATCCATTGATGAAGAAACAGATATTCCAAGTACAGCTCGGATAAGAATTAATGCTAAATCATATCTATACATGCCTGTATAGTTCTGTAATTGAATACGAACAGGAATGGGTTCAAGAAGCACAACGTCGGTTGGCGTTGCCGCATAAATTCGTTCGGTGCGGGCATCCATCCACAGACGACATTTTCCTGCGGTGGTAGTGTTTTTATGCGAGATCTGTTGGACAGGTACGGATTCTGTACCATTGAATGTACAAACATCGATCGACTGACTCGTTAATGCGAGAACATACGGTTTTGCTTGAACAACAGCAGACGGAACTTCTTTCCATGTGACACCAGTGTTATATAAGGGTTCAAAATCCGAATTTAAAAATACAGTATTGGAGTCGACTTGTATGCACCATTGTGTTCGATCTTGAAGACAATTTATAATAGGATCCTGTGACATTGTGAAAGGCACTTCATTAACGATCGTTCCCGTTGTTAAACTCATGATTACATAGGATCGCCTGTAAGCAGTACAAATTCTGTCACGTGACAGTGCCAGCGCACGTGGATAGTCAAGAAGTTCGAAACTACCACGTGCATCTTTATTTTCTTCCACACGTCGTTGCGAACGAATCCAGCGGTGAAAAACAACTGAACGGCGTTTTGTTGCAACACATATGCGAAGTTCAGAAGGGGTAGATGTTGCACCGTCCGACGATGAATGAGACTCAACATCATACCTAAGAAAAATCCAAGATACATTCTCAAACACAACCATTTCGAATTCTTACCAAGTTGAAAACAGTGTGATATTATTTGTTGATACCGCTGCAATTTCTCCAAGTGAATCTATATCAAGTACACTGACGACTCCATCACCTAATAACAGAGCGATTTTCAATATTGGAACGGTTTCTAGTTGGGTGATGACTCTCTTCGTTAACCGGATTACTTTGAGCAGACGTACGGATGGTGTTACTGATGCGGTTGTCGACGCAATCTCATATGATACTAACAACATTCCTTGTTTCTCTTGATTTCCTCTTCCACATATCAATATAATGTCACCATTGGATGCAAATAATTCTGCAGTTAAGCGAAAATCACGTATCACTGGACGTTTTTGAAAAGCTTGAAAATCATCTTGAACATCAGCAGCTGACGTTGCTGACGATGTTGGTGTATTTGATAATGTCGGCGAACGAAATGTTTTCGCGGGCGACGACATCTAAATTAACAAAAAAAATATTTGTTTTTCAATTTTATTCTGAAAGAAAGAAATATTTTCTTTATTAAAATATCAAAATGTAAACAACGGCAACAAGAAAAAATTTTCATTGTGTTGAATAACTGAGACATGCTTGATGAATGATGTCAACAAACTGCTCATCGGTTCTAACGAGATGAAGAAGAACATTTCGAAAATGTTCACGATTTAATACATTAGCCGGATTCGTTTGTGCAACGAATTGATTATCACTGTAGTCAGCACCAGTTGATGATGGAAATACCGCGAAAGCAGACGGTGGAATAAGATTGATGGAGTTTTGACTTGACGGAAGATTCGTTTCGTTATCGGAAATATTTGCATTTGGAATATTTAATAAACGTTTCAATGATGAAGTCGGATCATTACTGTTCGTTAATGGTGTCGATTGTCTTCCAGAGATATGCATCGCTGTTTGTCGAGAGGATCCTACTTGGGGTACAACCGAATTTGGTCTCTAAATAACAATTAATTTAGTATAGATTAATTTCGCAGAATATAAAATCTTACATTAATGATCAACTGCGATGGATCTTCATTTCTGGCTATTGACTGTTCTTTTACAAGTATGTGTTGAAGTTCACCGGGATTAGTCAAATGATTCTGTTGCTCTCTCATTGATTGTAATAGTTTTTGGATAAATTTATGTATTCGGAGGCATTCAGATTCGCTCGAAAAATGCAAACTAAATACTAAGGATTCGTCATGTTTCTTAACTTCGTAGAATATGCATTGTTTATCTGCCTGTTCAGTCATATCTAACGATATGGGTTGAATTAGATCTCGATCTCCTTGAATAATAGCAAATGCGAAAACTTGAAACATTTGATTGTTGATAAGTTGTTTTCTTTTGTAGAGAAACAAATTTCCTTCAATAGTCGAATGATTTTCCCAACGGAATTCATGCGTATTATAACGAAAGACTTTAACGTAGTTGATAAAATCATACATACGAATAGCAGTTGGATCATGTTTGCATAGAACTTTGCCGAGCTCCACTTGATATTGAGACAATGATGATGTTGGTACGGAATTGACGTTTGTCTTCGTTGTCGATGACGAATTGGGATTGAGAATTGGTGTAGACATGAAGGAAATTGTTCTCGGACAGGAAAATAGATGAAGATTGCTTAGATTTCAACTTTTCGGTACACGTATTGTGAAAAAATGAAAGTAAATTTTACGAAAACAAATTCTTTGTTTTATCTATTACTATTCGCATATTTCAGATTAAGTTGACACAGAGCCAATAGAAGAATTTCTAATTATAGATGTCGCAACGTTTCTGTCTATTGGCAAGCACATGGTTTATAGTTCATCAACAAGTGTCAAAATTCGCCTGAATAAATCATTAGAGATGGTCGCAGAAAAACGAGAACGGAGAGTTCGTCAGTATAACGACAGTTAAGTTTTTAGTTTATTTAAACGTTCTAACTTTGCTTCTGCGTTCGCTAATAACGCTTGTTTATAATTCGGAAAATCGATGTTCGAGGTAAACTGTTGTCGTAAGTTGAATTTCTTATCCAATAATTCACTCGTCGTGGGCTGATCAGTCCAGTTCGTCAATGGGTGATAAGTAATGGATGGAAATAGATTGTTTGAAGACAAGAGACGCTTTTCGTCAGAAAGTAAGCAGCCTTGCACAGGTAAGGGTGCTTCGAGTTTAACTGGTTTGATTGTAGTCGATAGCTATAAAGGAGAGATTCTATTTTTGTTTGTCTTTTAGTAGGACTGGTATACCGGTTCTGCTTCCTTGACTTTCTTTGTATTTTTATTTGGTCTTCGACGAGATTTCGATTGTTGCTTCCCTTTCCTCTCGTACGCTGTTCGTACGAGATCAAACACCTGCGGTGAAGCAAAATCTGTGGCCAAATCAAGTAAATTTCGCTCTATATATATATCATTTCTTGACGGTATACTACAAGATACTATCTCATAACACGTACGTGTCAGATTTTCATGTCGAACATTCGCTCGTTTTTGGAGAAGATAATCAACGACATTGAATGCTGAACTTTCTATCGCACGACTCAATGGTGTTGCTAACGTGATAGACTCATGATTAATCATCGCACCAGCATCTACCAGTGCTCGTACAACACCTAGTTGAGCTGAATGAGCGGCATGATGAAGTGCTGTCCATTTGAATTGATCTTCGAGGTGAACATTAGCGCTAGGGATGCAGAAGAAAACAAGAATCGATCATGAGAAGACTTTCGGTTCTTACCCATTTTCGAGAAGAAATTTTGTTGTTTCTAAATCACCATTGGCTGCAGCGATCATCAAAGGTGTTTTGTAGAATTTATCTCGAATGTTAACTGATACTCCTGGAGAAAACATCTTTGAAAATCCAGAGAAATCAGCGCTATTGATTACCTGATTTGAATGCGTCAATAAGCGTATGTAAATCACCTCGATAGACTGACATGGTACAAAATAGATTGTTTTAGTATGACAATAATAAGTTTCATTTACCTGCATTACTGATATGCACAAATTGAGGATCAATTTTGTCGATGTAATGAACTGAATCATCGTTGATCATATGTGTAGGTATTTGATCCCGACTAAACCGGTTCTGATCGGTAATAAACTGATGTTTTTTTACATAAACCAATGGTGGTTTGCCTTTTGCTGTTCGCGGTCCCTCGTCACGTATTGCAATTGGAATAGGTACTTGTTTCTTCGTTTTCTTCTTCTTCTTCTTCTTCTTTTTCTTATTTCTATCGGCAAATACTCGCATCAGAAATGACTTTTCGATAAATAGCTTTCCAGATATGAATGTTTGGTAATCAATCTCATTTGGATTGGTTTCATGAAGGACAATCAAATCGTTGAGATCATCTGAAGTGATTTGCGTGAAGCCTTCTTCGGCAATGATCTGTTTGAAATCAGTAGATGTAATACGATGTGTCGTCGAGTTTTCAATTTGTTGGAATCGACGGAGAAGACGATCGGATCGTTCTTGTAACCAGTCATAAAACTGAAGCTTATAATCGCGATCAGCATTTGACTTGGTAGAAAATATTCTTCGATTATAATGTTTCTTTTCTACTAGACGAATGTTTTTCTTTGCGTCTTTACTCTTATGTAACTTCGCGAGTTTCATTGGTAATTGATTGTTGATATTCTTCGTTCGAGTTGTCCCACCTCGTTGAACCATAAATTTAATTGCTTTGCCTTGGTTTAGCATAGCAGCAAGATGAACTGGCGTATTCAATGATTGATCTGCAAGATCGAAACGTGCATTGTACGCTGAGAGAATGGGTAGCAACTGATTAAAATAGAAGATTACATAGAAGCGATGAATTTTCTCTAGTCGAATAAACATACATCAAATGTTTTTGATGTTACAGCTACATGAGCAGGCGTTTGCTGTTGAATATCACGAGCATTAACATTTGCTTTTCTCTGTAAGAGTTCACGCACGACTTTGATCAAACCAGATGCACATGCAGCATGCAAAGCAGTTTGACCCGTGGTCTAAACAGATACGTACCGGCAGTGGTAGAATAACAGGTTCAAAGTTCGAAGTACTTTGTCAATAGCATTGATATCAGCACCGCGTTCGATCAACGTCAGACAGATTTTCTCTGCAGTGGCTCCTTTTTCACATGCAGCAACTAACAAAGGTTTTCCTATTTCAGTTATGCCATTCACACCTGGTGTACACTTGGACATAATCATCGAAAAACACTCCTGTTGTCGATATGTACCATCAGACAGACAGTAAAACAGAACATCTGCATCAGTTCATGAACATCAAAGATGACAATATTACTCATTATGATACCTTGCCCTTCAAGATCTCGAATATTCGTCTTGGCATTTGCATTCAATAATGTTCCAACAGCTTCGATATGACCACGTTCGACTGCATGCATTAACGGTGTTCTACGCTTGAAATCAGTTCTGTCTGGGTGCGCACCGAGATGCAGAAGAAATTGTATCATACTTTCATCGTTTTTCTGCACAGCGACTAACAACAACGTTTCACCTATAGTTAACATTTGTTATGACATTCTTCTCAAATATATTTCACTACCATCAGTTGGATGGTTAAAGTTAACAATGCCGTGAACGCCTTTCTGACAAATTCGATAGACTTGATCATAATTTGACGTGCGTACTGCATATAAAAGTTTTCTGATTTGTGCTAGTTCAACTGCAGTATGTGCAATTGTCATAATCGAATTAAGTCAAAGAAGAAACGCGCCAAGTTACAATAGATTTCTACCGACTGTACTGTAGAACATACGATGTGATAAGTTCATTGAATAGAGAATTTTCTTTTATACTGTGGCATTTTATTTTGATTTCTACATCGAAAGACAAATAAAACGAATAGAACAAGCGATTGTTATGAACAAAAAGCAGTTACAATAAACAAATCAATACTAACAGATTAATTTGAATAAAATATTGATAATCATATAATTAAACTAAAACAGTTCACCAAAATTTCACGAAACATTGAAACTAATGTAAAATAGTAAAACTCGTTTTCTTTGTCGTAAGAAAATGTATGTAATACTAGTATCTATGAAGGCTTAATCACAAGAAAGAAGCACATGAACATCATGACGGACAAAATCTAGAGATCTCCTCAGGTATAAAACTAAATGTTTGAATCAAAATATTTGTTTCATGTTCAGATCCTATGCTGAACTTGCGGTATTTCCAGTCACTGTAGAAGCTGCCTTCTTCAAGCTTGTAGATGATGATAAACTCGGTTTATTACCTCCAGCGCCTGTCGATGACGTCCTGCTAACCAGAGTTGAGGGTGCACGAGCAACTGAGCCAGTTTTCGAAAGGGATGAAGTCGACTGAAGACGTTTAGATAGAGCTTTCAAAAAATATCAAAGTTAGTTTTTTACCTTTTGAGCTTTGGTACTACTATCATCAATGGCCGATTTACTTTTGAATAAAAATGAATTGATATGAGGTAGTACACCACCTAGATTCATGCAAAAAGGGCATATATAAAATTTTTGTCATTTTTTGAACTTTCAATTACCTTGAGGAATTGTTACACCGTTCAAAAGCTAATTAAAATGCAAATGACTAAAACGTTCTATTCTGAATAGAGAATATGCCCGTACCTTCTTAAGCTCTTCGTCAATGCTAATGGCCAAAAAGATGTGACGTGCATTAATACGTTGTTTTTTGTGATCTTTAGCTGCATTACCAGAAAGTTCAAGTACTTCAGCAGTCAAATATTCAATCTTTAGTTCGTAAAAATGTTCAATTAATCGAGAGTATAGTCGAACAAGTGTTTATTCTACAAACCACAGCAGCAGTGTAAACTGCAGATGCCATCGTTACACGACTTTTAGGTGTCGATTTTTTAATGTATCGATGGAAACGCGGAACGGAAAACAGTACACCTAGAATAAGTATAGAGAATCCTTGAGAAAGCTGACGCTCGTCAAAACGTCGTACCTGCACGGGCCGATTTCGATTTGCGTTCAGCGCCCTTGCGGACAGGCCGTGTTGCTGTTGTTGATGAAGTCATTTTAGATTATTCAAAGTTGGAAAAGTTCTACAATTGTTCACTTCATAGATTATTTATTTTGACATTGAATACGCGAAAAGTACAGATATGAATATAACCGCGACCCCCTCAGGATGAGGATGTTCAAATACATTCTGTTTACTTGATTTACTTAATAAAGATAAATAATCATATGCGACGGAAGAAAAACAGCGAAGTAAACGTTAAGAGAAGATAAAATCTCAAGCTGTATTTGAATGACAAATTTATGATAGGATATTGTTGAATTTTTTGACAAATCAATGTTGATTTAGGAAGAAAAACAAGTTATATTGACTGTCAACACATTCTACCTGTTCGATTGATGAAATGAGCCAGCGCCTCCATTGAAATACGCGTTTTCTACGAGTCATATTATATTAAGCGCCACTAGCGCTGTAATGTCACATATTTAAATATTCTCAAATGATGTCTTATATGTAGAACGACGTGTGAAAGTATATATCCTTCTCTATGAACTCATCGATCTTGTAATTCGAGAACTGGACATAAATCGGTTTCACAAACGATTATGTGAAACGAAAAGAGATAGAAAAAGTTTTTATTCTTAATGATATTCAATGCCGTTCAAAAGAATAACACTGTTATTTTTCCACATTGTTTTTCTCAGTTCTTGATGTTAATCAATTCAATTTCAAAAAAAGTCTGAATCTCAACACACGATTCATCTAATATAATATATGATGTTTTTACTATTCAGAATTACAGTGACACGACGATTCAATTGACAAAGTTATTTTATAGCCTTTCTTTTTTATTAGAAAGGTGAGACGCGTTAGTTTCTCTATTCCATACTGCTTATACTACATTGGATATTTCAACCTAGCTGTACACCGAAGCCTAATGAAAAAAACTCAAGGCTAGCTGGCAGGGATAATAACTAAATATCAAATATACGTTCTGAGAATCACGGTTAGTATTACAAAATACTAGAGCTGCACACATCTGTGATTTCACTCATTTTTCTTTTTATAAACATGTCCGCTACTATCATTTCCACGTTCAATCATGCTACCAGTTACAGCAATATCGGTGGCGGATTCTTCATTTTTCTTGCTGGCATGATTGGCAATATTCTCAACATCATTGTCTTTACTTCGCTCAAAACATTTCGACAGACTTCGGCTGCTTTCTACATGACGAGCGCATCGTTTGTCAACATCTTTCAGCTCGTTGTTGGTCTACTTTCTCGAATACTCATCACTGGCTACAACATTGATCCCACCAAGACGTCATCGTTTATTTGCAAAGCACGACAATTCACTCTCATTACCACTATGCTGATGGCTTTCAGCTGCATGTGCTTGGCAGCAATCGATCAGTATCTTTCACTCACTCATCCATGGCGTCATTTATGTACAGTCAAAGCAGCTAGTCGATTCATCATCGCTATTTTTGTTGTCTGGATTTTGCATGGAATTACACTCTTCATCTATTCAGATGTCATTTCAATAGAAGGCACTGGTCAAACAACGTGTGGCTTACTCAATACCGGATTCTCAATATACTACTCCCGTTTCTTGTTTCCTGTTCTGCTCGGTGTCCTACCATTGATCATTCGTGTATCCTTTGGTATTCTTGCTTTCGTCACAGTTCAACGTCTAAGCAAGCGGGAAGTACCAGTCGTTCGATTGGAAAGAGACAAACAGCTAACAACAATGGTATCTTTTTTTTTGAGACATAAACCGTTGTAGTAACGATTGATTGTTGTTTTAGGTGTTGGTAGAAGTAGCTGTGGATGTCGTGCTGACGTTACCATATAGCATCTACAATCATTGGTACTCGGGTAGTGTGACATTCAATGATAGTGTTAGCAGTGCTGTGAATCAGTTTATAATTGCTTTGACTAGAGTGGTGTTTTATGGTAATTTCGCGGTATGATGATGAGAGAGAAAACAACTTTCAAGATTATGTTTGTATATTTAGGTGGCTTTTTATATTTATTATTGTGTTTCATCAAGATTTCGAAAGCAGTTAGCTTATGTTTTAGTGCAAATGCATTTGAGATATTGGCGTGAGAAAGGGAATCAAACTCGCAATAACCAAATTGTTCCAGAATCCGCACGGATCGACGAACTGCAATGAACGAATATGTCTTTACTTTCACCCTTCGATTTCCCGAATACATATTCTCATTTTATCCTTATACCACGACTTTTTTCTTATATTCACATATCCTATATCGAAATATATCTCGAAAAAATGCTAAAATAATGGAAAGGTGAATAGTACTAGACTCAAAATTACTCTTGACTTTTGACATTATTCACCGTCGGCAGTTTCTTGAACGGAAGAAAATGAATGCATGAATACTTCATTCATATTAGTTCTCTCTTTTAAGAAGATGATTTTCATATGAATATAATCCATTGTGTGATTATGCCCATGAAGAATGAGAATATCTGATAAGTTTTATGAAACATAAATATTTAAATATAGGAAAGATCGTGTGGTACAACTTTCGTTTCTATAACTTATGCATAGATAAGTAACTCATTTCGTTTATCCATATTTTCGAGTGTACAATAATCTTCGAGACGGTGATTTCACGCTTAGATAAGCACACTTAACTGATTACGGATTATAGAAAAGATGGTGGCCATAACAGATTTCTAACAGAAAATACGCATTTGAGATAAATCATCTAATAAATATTTCAATAGATGTTCTATGCTTTCTTACATTGATACAGGTTTTTTGATAAATAAAAAGAGATAATTATATCTTCATATACGAACAATCTAATGTTCCTGTTAATTTTTTGACGTATATAAACTAACTGGATGTCTCTTCAGCAGATCATGAATTAAAATTCATAAGAGAGAAGATAATGTAAGTATATAATTATTTGTACCAGACTCTTCATCATATCTTCTATATTAATGGTTTTTCTGCAGCCAACAAATTGCGAACTATAGATTAATTATGTTATTTTTCAAATAGTTTACAAGCAGGATTAATAAAAGCATATAAATAAAAATTACAAAATCTTGAGAGCTAAAGATTATTACTTTAAAAGCAATATTAACTATGTCAAGAAATACAAGCGATTATCTAAGGTACGTTACTGAATCTATCGCCATAGATTTCGGTTTCGTTATATTAATCACTGGTTTCATTGGTAACTTACTGAACATCATTACATTTTTAACATTGAAAACATTTCGAGAAACATCCTGTGCGTTTTATTTGACATCAGCATCGTGCGCAAATCTGATTCATCTTGCAGCTAGTTTGCTATCCAGAATTCTCATAACTGGATATAATATTGATTTAACACGTACTTCATCATTTACATGTAAACTGCGTCAATACGTCGCGGTGATCGCTCCTCTTATGGCATTGTCTTGTATGTGTTTAGCAACGATTGATCAATATGCTACGTTGACACTCCGGTGGCGACATTTCAGTCGACGAACTCTTGCTTGCCGATTTGTTGTGCTGATCTTCGTGTTTTGGTGTTTGATAAATATTCCAGTGATTGTCTACTATGACAGAAGTGTGTTTTTGGTCGAGAATCAATGGCAATGTTTGATCATTAATATGGATTATAATATTTATTTTTCTCGATTCCACATTACATTTTTACTTGGGTTTATTCAGTTAACAATTCGGACCGTGTTTGGCCTTTTAGCGTTCATTAACGTACGAAGATTAAGAAATCGTCAAAGCACAATCATTCGTTTGGAACGAGATAAACAAATCACATCAATGGTAACAGCTAGTTTGTTGAAATTTCTTACTAACAGTGTGATTTTCTTTCAGGTTCTATTCGAAACAGTCATCGATGTTCTACTATCTTCACCATTCTTTATCTATTATGCGTATAAGCCATATATATTAATAACAGATGCTGCTGATATTTCTGTCTATACGTTCATTATCACAACTACGACTAATTTAAATTACGCAGCATATGCAGTAAGTGAATGTAGTCTGAAATATTCATGGATTCGATATGCATTTTCTCGTTAGATTGGATTTTATATCTACTGTTGTGCATCGTCACGATTTCGCAAACAAGTCTTTCATGTTGTCGTTGGTGTCCATATGAAATACTGGTGTAAAATGAATGTAACCGGTACTGCTAATCAAATAGCTCCATGTAATAGTGGAAATCGGGCAGTATCGCTAGAAATGGATATCAGAATCGAACAATGTTAATAACCAACTGTATAAATTCATTTTTCTCCGATCAATCTTTCGTGTCATTCACGAATAAATGCATTTGCACATCGCTCGAAAGAGCTCTACCTCCTTTTTCAAATTGAAGAAATACAACAGAATACTTGATACGTTGTGATACACAAGTTAACGATCTTTTCAAGTCATGCAGAGGATCGCGCGAATCACCGTGAGAAAGAAAAAGGCTTTCTTTTGTGTCAGGCTACAATCGAATCTGTTTAATTTTAATAATAGTACAGTCGAAGACAATAACAACAACATCATTCAGAGAAAATTTTATAAAAATAAGAATATTCAATAGAAATCTATGTGGAAAAACACTACTTGGACGCGTAAATCTTTTACGTTGTTATATCACCGGTTGATGAAGAGCATGAGGATGTTATGTCAACTGATTTTGATAGATAGTTACGAATAGATTCGACTAATGTTAATTGAGCACTAGCAAGAGAACTGTTAATAAGATACTGTGGAAGCCAACCCTAATCAAAATGAAAAATAGTGATCGTTCTCGAATGAGCAGTAGTCGATCGATGTTACTTTTAAATCCACATTCAATAGCCATGTAAATCTGCAAGTTGTGTCATCGATTTTTTCCACGATATAAGCTGTCGGACCATTCTCTCCCCTAAGATGTACGATTGAGAAGTTAAGCAGATTTTATTCATCGTGCACTTACCGAACACAACTATAAGAAAAAAAAAACAAGAGTGAATAAGTCTAAACGTGCTTTTGAGAAATGTTTACTTGTCTTTTGGAGGCATTTTAGGATAATCACAAGATTGTCCTGCTAATATCGCGATGCCATCGATATATCGACGAGTGGACACATTGACAAAATCTCGTTTGGCAATAATACCTTGCGCTTGTTCATTGATCAGCTGATAACTTTAAACACACGAACGAGTTGTTACAAGGAAATGTCGAATTTATGGCTTTTACATACGATATATACAAATCAGGATTGATAACTTCTAATATCTATCGAGAAGAAAGCAAAATCTAGTTTTTGTTGAACACCAAGAACTCGGAACGTACTCTACAGTCATTTACAGTTGGATTCCATTTGGACATATCTTCTTGTCTATCGAATAGCATTTCAACAAGTTCCTCGCGAGACGCATTCAGAGTACTCTAAAAGGTTCGATCTCATTCAATATTTTTCCGAAACATGTTCGTAGTTATTACCGTTAATCGAAAAACTTTGCCCCATTTTGGATAGGTTTTAGCCACGATCACATCAAGTCCACTACTACCTTTGGATTCAGGTGTCCATGCATCCTTATCTTGAAACATTTGCCAAACTCTGGCAATAATCTCATCCGCTTGTTGCCCATAACCTTCATCGTCGTCCAGTTCAATGACCGAGGCCGGTGTAGCTAACATTGACTGAGATATACTCGAATCTGCACGAAGAGTTCTTCGAACTTCACGACTAGTATCTTCATCTTCACTGCCTAAAAGCAGCCATTGTCAAAGAAAAGTCACATACGATGAATTTACCGTCATTGGATGGAACAGGGGAATAGAATGATTGTCGTGGCTCATTGGAATTTATAATGGAATGATAGTTAGGAGATACAGCAACTGGAGATGTGGAACGACTCGTATTGGAGCCTAATAATGGTCGTCTATCACCGTTGCTTACTAAAGAGTATGAATAAGAAATGCGTCGATTTATATTCAGTGAACATACATGCTTGGCGTAGACGACGTTCATGTGGAATAACTCGATAGCTAAAAAGAATTTTTGAAGATCTCTGCCCATTAAATTGTATGAGGTCTTACTCGAAAAACCAGATTTCGACCCATGCCAAAATGAATGAAACTATCAAAATGCCATAATCCGTGAATCCTTTGTCTGTTTTTGAAATCTATTTTCATTCAAATATGCTCACAACTGGCTGCACCCTCATCATATTCACTTACAGTAAATACACACGTCTTGGCAATGATAAATCCAGTAGAACCCAATGTTGTAAACTAAATTGAAATCAAAATAAGTTCAGTAATGTTTTCCACGTGAAAATCTCGTCATCAATCGCATCCCGAGTTATTCTTGTCGCGTGATACGCCTACTTACTTACAGCTACAAAAATCCAGTGTGACCATTTGAGTATTGCGTAGGAAATCATTAACAAAATAAATCGTAGACCCGATAAGCCCTATGACAAAATACGGATTTATTCAAACGAAATCATGATTATCTATTGACGGCATTACCACAACATCAAACAGAGATGTTTTAATTGAATATTTAATTACATCATTGATGAAAGCTTCGTCAATAGTTATGTTTTTGATCTAAACATGTTTTCGAACGTTTCCAATCCGAACTTCATCAAATATTCACTTACTTGATTGTAAATAATCCACAAAAGTACCATAAATATCACATCGAATGTGACAATTAGTAAAAATGTTCGACGTACTTGAAACATTCGCTTTTTGTTAATACCCGACGTGGAATTCGATAAAACATTTAAAGACACATTTGTAGACGTATTTGATGTTTGTCTAAGTCATCAATATACAAAACAAATTCGATCAATGAATGGTAAACCTACGCTTGATAAAGATTTCTCAATTCTCCATTGACTTGGTTCAATGTATCAGATCTAAAACAATCGAAATAAGAAAAGTCTTTGTTTGCAAAATCAATTTCGTAGCAATAGCAAAAGCAATCAACGAGATATTCACATACACGGAATTTGTAGTGTTTATACTTGTATGTCCGTTCATCACAGTTACAATGGTCTATAGAAAAAGAAAAACATGCAATACAATAACTATCATATCACCTGTATGACATCATTTACATATTCACAAAACAGAAAAACAAACCAGAAGAGAAAAAAAGATAAATATTTATTTAGAAAAGTGAAAAGTCAGCTGTTGATTTTTATATGAAAGATCCTTGTTCTTGGGCGAAATTACTCATCAAATGGTAGATTAGAAAGTTTTGTTTGGTATATAAAATGTGTCGATTGTGGTTTTTTTGTTGATGTTCGGAATTATTACTCAACGAATTCGTTAACATAGAGGATAAAATTGTCGATGATGAACGGTCCATTTTGTGCGATTGTTTACTCGATGATGAGAAGGAAAAAATCGAGTTTTTCGTGTGCTTATTATTCGACGATGAACCTGAACTAATCGATCGTATGTGACCGACGTTTTTGTTGTCTTTCACGTTGATTTCTAATGTTGATTGAGCTTCCGTTTCGATCGTAAATGTCATTTGTTGATAGGAAAATGAGAATTCTTGTAATTTGGTTAGACGATTAATTAAATGTACACCGACATCATTGACACAAATGTACACGCTTGTTCGACGACCACGATGTTCGTGTTCACCTAGAGAACCGCTCATTTCGTAACTCACATCGATTCCGAAACAAACTTTACCTGTGAAAAATGACGATCCATAACTGGTTAAGTTCTGCGCGAGATTAAGAAATTGCATTTTGAGATAAAGTATCAATTGAGGTCGATTGCGCATGACGTGATCATCAATGAATACTTCCTTATATCGTTTGAGAATCGTCCGACGCCAGTACGGTATTCCCCCACGTTTTAACTTTTCCGCAGGAATCAATAATGCGAGATTATTTGGATCGTTACTGAAGAAATTTTCCCATAATTTGTCATCTAACTGTTTTTCATTGATGCCCATCATTAAAACAGCGAATTCAATAGCGTCTTCATCGGTACACGGATAATACGCGAGAAGATAGTTTTGATAGGCTTCAAGAAATAACAAATGTATGACATGAGGAATGCGAAGACGTTGTTCAAATTCGATTTTAAGTAATGTATCACGTGACCACCAGAGTTGTGCATCTTCGGAATTGGTATTCAACGTCGGAGAAGCTGCGGAAGGATTTCGAAGAGGAGATTCCGATGGAATCGTAGTTAATTCACTGGCGTAACGTTTCCAATTTAATAGAAACTGAACTGGCTTATGATCAGGATTTAGTTGAATTCGGACACTTTTCGAACAGATCCATATGCCAAATACATGGGATACTTCGTTGGGTAAGCGTAAACGTGTCATCATTTGTGAATGCAACTGACGAACATTCGTTTCAGCTGGACCAGAGACAAGTTCAAGTTCGACGGTACTGCCATCAGCTAGACAGATTTTGATCTTTTCTAACTGAAAGTATTTGAAAAATGATGAAAGGAAATGAATGAACGAACGATTCAAATTCTCCTACGGGTTTTTGGAGAAATTTGTGGATCAACTCGGTACATAATTGCCAATCACGATTTGGATTTTGTTGACAAAAATCAAATGCTGTTTTACCATCTTTATTTTTGGCATGCTAAGAGAAATGATGAAACACTAAAAAGTTCGGCATGTTTTTGTCATCATCAGAGACGTACCACATTGATATCTGGACAATCGAGTAGAATACGAATCACTTCAGCACGACCAGCTAGTGCAGCTAAATGCAATGGACTCATATGAGAATTATCGACTGCATTGATAGAGAACCGTTTCGAACGAAGTAATAATTCCACAATTCGATGATGACCATGCCTATACGAAAGAAATTCAGGAGACATGGATGAACACAATCGTTTGTTACGTACCAAGCAGCATGATGCAATGGCGTCCATCGATTCATATCATGTTCGAGTGTAACCGGTGAGAATTCTTGTAATAATTTCCCTACCACTTCAATTTGTCCATTCTGGCACGCGAGATGTAACGGATACTCTCCTAAACTGTTATTTCGATTCCTATTCAAATAAAAACTAACTGGTTGATGTGCTACGAGGAATATTCAAGTGACCTTTTCGGATTTCGTGAACTAATTGTGGACCCCAATCCGCGACCATGCCGTCGTTCACTCGCCGATGATCTCGTTCGTTCATGAGCTACTCTCGATGATTGTACTGAAACAGAATCAAGCTAAAATATACACAATTAAAAACTGATTTCTCCATATCTATTCAGATACATACATGAGTTACTAAAGGTTCTTCGTTCGATGCAAACAAATCGTCGAACAAAAGATTGGAGATGATGATATCACATCGCTCGTTTTCATCGATTTGATCAAATAATTTGTCTCTTGTATTCGCAATCGATGATGATGTCTAGCTAAAGAAAACATTGATGTCAGAACGCTATTTTACTAAAATAATACCTCGGATTTATGCATTGATTGAAAGACAAGTTCTATCTTAAAGAAAATACAACTATCAGTAATGGCCAAATATTTGAAAAGAAACCAAATCAAGAGAAACATGTTTTACTGTTTTTAATTTCGAAAAGCAAAACGTGCTTATTAAATAGTTAAAACAAATAGAATGTGATTATATGTTTGAATAAAGATAAAACTCTGTGGTCATATTCAGAAACACTCATCTGTGATAAGCATACGAAAAGAAAAATCAATCTGTCTTGCTAAAACGAGATTTTTTTTCCAATAATGCATTGCTCTTGAGATAATCAAAAATATTTTCGTTGATTGCGTTAACATATATGTATATATAATAAAAAGATTGCTTTCTGTGTTTATTCTCTCTTCTTATTGTTTAAATTGTAACCACCACCATCAACAACTGTTTCTTCGGATGGATAAACATTTGGTTTTTCTCCTGGTTTTAGTAAACGACCAACAACATCGTATTTTTCTAACAAATTCGAAACAAGATTACCATAATTCGTCCGCAAAGAATAGTTCTACCTCGAAAATCTTCGTGCCAACTTCGTGCAGTTGCTCGTTCTTTATCAGTTAAATCTAACAGATCATCGTATTCATTCGAAAACAACGACGGATCTAATTGCATCTTCGACAATGCACGCGTTGCATCACGGCCAGCAAACAACGAATATGATCCTCCTGCAACGAAGCAAATAAAATACAATCTACGTCAAATATAAACATTCGCTCTCAGTTACTCCTAAAGGAAAGTATGTCGCATGTGATTCGTTCTATCCTTGACATCAAGGTTTCGTCTCCTCAAAGACCGAATAACCTTTGAAAAAAGAAGAACAGCAGACAAAATTACCTAATCCGTACAAATCGCTGCGTTGGCTAACATCAAATATATCCCCGTAGATTGCAGTAAGAATTCGTCCGTTCGATTCGATTCCATTATAACCACGTAATTGTTGTACTGTTAGATCTATCTTGGGCATTTTGGGCAATTGTGCTAGCACACGTTTTTTACTAGAATCGCTTGCTGGTTTACGTTTGACTAATAGTAATTTTACGAGTAAACATACTATTAACACGGTTAAAACTAGATTTATTGGACTCGTCCATATGTCGTTAAGCAAGCGTTGTAATAAAAAAATCGATTTGCTTAAAACTGATGGATCAGCTTGCACAGATTCCTTCGTATCCGAATCCATGATTAATCTAATGTAGAAAAGATTGGTTTTATTTTGAAAAAAAAGACGCAAAACATCATCGCGCTGCGAGAGACATTGAAAGCATGAAGGAAAAACAAGGCAATGTAACGTGATCGGTGTGAACCAATCAAATCATAGTTAGCGCGGATTGGTTAGAAATTATTCCATTGATTTATTTGCTAGAAACTCGAATTTGAAACGTCGAGGATATTTTGTTAACAGATCGAATGACATTGATAACATCTTGTTTGATACGTGCTCGGGGTACATATCGATCCTTGTATCGATTCTATGCGAATTCAGCTACTCGGACGACTGATGTGCATTCGGTAGCGCGAGATTCATCACCATCAACAGCTGAACAACCGTTCCGAACGGCGATCAATGATCCGGTATGAGAAGAGACGCGACAATCTTTTTCTCATGCGAATGTTTTTAGTTGTTGCATACGGAGAAAGACATCGGATTGTTTTATACAGTTGATCCGAATGATTTGAAGAAGATTAGTCCATTTGGTAAAGCACTTCCATTACAATTTCGAGAAGAAGTAAAATCAGGCTTAAGAGCATTTATCTGTTCTATTAGATTGATTTATTTAGTGTGAAGCATTCAATGAGACATCCGTTATGATTCGACAACCCTCACTCGATGTTATTAAATTAATGAAACAAATCAATTGGAATCTACCGCCGTTAAAAGTCGTCCTTTGTGAGTTTCTTCTTCTATCCAATCATTCCAATTCTACGCAAAGATTTCCTCTAGTTCCATCTGAAAGCGGTGTAGGCATGAGTTTGTGTCTTTTTCATGTGTTACATTATGGATTTCGAAAGCGAATGTTACTTGTCAACACGCCAACCGGTAATTGCATTCTTTTATTGTTGTCTCTTTCGATAAACATGATCTTAATATTGACTTTAGCTGGTGAAGTTCTAAAATTAGCACTGGATGCGACACCGTCACCAAACAATGAACAAATGTGGGATACACCCGCAGCAGCAAGTGCCTGGCTTAAAACATTTGCAATTAATAATGAAGAGATATTAAAAGAAACAGATGTAAGAAATGTCTAAGAAATTTCAATGCTTTGAACTGTTCGTCTTTAGTTTCGAACGAAATTCACCTATACGTGGAGCGCTCGAGAATCAACACCAGCTGGAACACATCTTCTCGATCTCATTGCCTATGTAAGTTCGACAGTTGTTGATTGATTGATTTCGATCATCGAGATTATTTAGGCGACTGATCGAATAAAATATGCTTCGGAATGTGTTGGTGCAATTGTCAAAGAAGTAAAAACCCAAGTGAAGGAAAAAAAGTAAATTCTACTTGAGAGAGAGCTTTCTAAATCAATGCAATATCTATCTCTTCTTGTCAGTATTCAAACTTTAGTTACATTTGATACTATCAACAGTTACTATGGACCATCATGGATTGTTAAACCTGACCGATCAACCGTAGGAGTTCTATTTCGATTCAATACATTATATTCATTCCTTTTTTTTCTAAGGTTAAACCGAATGAAGTAACGATGGTGAAAGCATTACAGGAATTATTGCTACCAGATTGGAATAATGCTTTTATCGTTGTGACAATTGGGCCGAAAGGTATACTCATACCAAAAGTTCGCGAAAAAGACAATTGGCTCGTCCATCATCCACATTTTCGTACTGAACATCGTCTACCAGGTGTTCTCATGTACGATGGACCAACGACAGTGAAATCACTATTGCGTACAGAAGTAAAACTACGTCTGAAAAGTTGGAACGCAGATCCAATCACGAACTTTGTTTTCTTTTTCGTTTAGGGTATCGAAGCACTTGAACCATTTGTACCAATTCAAGTACAGAAGTATACCGATGATGAATTTAATAACCAATACCGATATTATCTTGATCGAAATTGGATACAAAACTATCGTGGTCGAGAAGACGAAGGTCGAAAAGAAATTTTGTTTTTTACAGCTAAGAATCCATTTGAAATGGCGAAGTTTGTTGGTTCTCGTTGATAGTGTGTAAATATCTACGATTAGGATGTTTAATTAGAAAAAGAATCAAACATTTTCAAAAATAAAGATCGATGCGATAGAGGAACCATTTCGTACCTTTGATAATCTGCACTGCTCGTTTATTTCAAAAGAATTATACAAAAAATAGAATGGACAAAGTATTATTACTACACATTTTTATTAGACATTCATTGGAAACGTATCAGGTATATGATCTTTCTCAGCTTCAGCCCATGTCGGATGAATTTCTAGAGGTCTCAATGCGCGCGTGATTTCAATATGAATAACACAATCGAATTGGGCAGATATGCTTGCATCGAGGTAGTGCGATTGTCGTTCAGTTCGTGGACGGTAGATCACACCGATGGCACGTTCTAATCGTTGCTTTCGTAGTTCTTGACAGAGTTCTTTCGAAATTTCAATTGATGGATTATTTGAACGAAATAAAAGAAAATATTGGCCATGCTGAGATAATGATGGACTTTTGACTAGCGCTTGATGAAACAGAAATTCAAAACTTTCATTAAGTGCCAACCGTACACGCTTAAAGTCGGGATCGATGTCCCAATTATCCGATGCTGTCACAGTACCGGTATATGTCGTAAATGCAATATTATAAGTCTTTTCTATACCAAACCGTTCGCGGACTAGTTGTCCAATATTAAGTTTACCCGAACGACTTCTCTCAGTTTCACGAGCATCGCCAATATGAGAATTATGTGCCTAGAAACACGGAATAGTCAATCATACCTTTCTTTCATCAATAGATCGACTTACCCAAATGATCGCTTTTGTTCCTGGCCCATGATGTTCGAGTAGATCTTTTAAACAATCATACATATGTGTATCACGTATATTCCATGCGATTTGTCCACCGTCGAGCATATGTCGATAGTATTTTTCAGCTTCACGAACAATTTTCGCGTTTTCCATTGCGTAGAAACTTTCTTCAAGTTCAGTTTCAGTGGATTTTTCATTAGCAACTATCTCAGCATGTCGTTCTAACATTTTCGTCAACACTTTGATTGCTTCTTTTCGACAACTGGTTGTTATATTCGCTCGAGCACACACACCGTACTCATGCTCATCAGTGTATCGATCAAAGCACCGATAATTCTTGCGTGCCAATCTCAGAAGATCTAAACGAAGAAAAATATCGAATGAAGAATTATGTCGGTTGATCGAGAGAGATAGGAACTGACCAGGTGCGTGGTTTCCTAAATATTTCAACACTTCTTCACGCGACGATTGCAAACTGTACAGATCAAGACCGAAAAAGCCGACTTTTGCCTTTCGATCGTTGATGTTTTCATTATACTGTCGAAGCCACGTAAGAAAGTCAACGATGACCTTGTTTCGCCTATGCACAGATCATGAGAGAGTGACTGAGAAGGATGAAAGCTCTACCATAGCCAAGGCGGAAATCGCGTAAAATCTCTTAGTGAATCCTCGGCATCTTTGATTGTTGATGTTGATGTACTCTTTATCCATTGGTTCACACGATATGCTGGTGGCCAATCTGCTTCACAAGCAATAATCGTAAAACCCTATTGATACACATAATAAAGTCTAATTTGACATTAAAAAAAACCAATTCTTTCTACTTTTTCTTGTATCAATCGCTTGGTTATTTCCGCTCGATGTGAGTAGAAGTCATGTGTGCCTTAAAATTCCAATGTAAGAAAACCTTTGTTCAAGATTCAATTGAGAAAACTTTTTCATTCCATATACCATGCGAAGCTTCGCCAATCAGTACGATTTGACCATCACCTATCGCTGATAAAATTGAATCATAGTCTTTTGGTTCATTCGCACGTAAACACTGTGCATTTTCTTCTATCAATTGCACAACTTTTGGATCCGGCTTTGTCATAGTCGACCGAATTCTATCTGGAAATGAACTGTCGCTAATATCTTCGGCATCATACATGTGGAAGAAGAGGAAGAAAATATGTAAACTAGCGCTTATGTCTCATTGGTTTTTCGCAATGTTCTTTTTTCCGGAACGAACGAACGAACGAACTACTATTTTCTTATTTCTTTATCCTTATTGGTTCCGAACGATTTCTTTCTTCTGTCTGATTAATTGTATTTGGCCTTGGGATGCATCTTTTTTTTCAGTTAATATTAACTCTTATTTTTCCCAATGAAACTTTCCATTTTCCCGTATCAGAAGCAGAAGGTCAATCTTAATCCTTCATTAGGCAGAAGGTCAAAGCAGCGATGACCAACATTTGTTCATTATTTTACCATATGTTTCTGTGATTGGCTTTATATTCTCACAGTATGATTGACGTAAATAGATTTGAATCCTGCTGACATTGTCTACACTTATACAACACTCTTACTTCTATAACTATATACGACAGTGAACAGGTGCAGAAATTTTTCTTCCGTTCGACATAATGTTGAAACTTGCGTAGGACATCGTTCAATCGAACGAATTTTTCATCGACGAATCTGCTGTGAATTGCATATCGACATGTGGAAATAATTAAGCAGAAATGCAATGATTGTTTTACATTGTTGTATGTAATTAAGTATTCTACTGATTAGACTAGACAAGTGTGCGTCATTGACATTAGATCATTCGTTCGGATACTTATGTTTTGTTTCTCCTGTTTGTGTATTTAATTGGATGAAGTGTTCTTTACTTCTTTTATATTCTAGATGCGAAGACGTCGACATATTGCTTTCGCATCTACTTAACGAATTACTTGCAATCCTTTACTCGTCATTTTTATATTCCAGTAGTGTGTGTGTGTGTTCGCCATTGAGTTCTTGTTTTGTTTACTTGCATTTGTATGTCCCATGCGACGATATCAAGCAAAGGTCCATCGACCGTTGATTGTGAAGTCCTAACGGGTAAGTATCGAATGATATTCTTCTCATTTATTTATCTAATCGAAATGATTTCATTCAAGGCGAAAGAAATTTTTTGCCTTAATGAATGTCTACTTAATCTTTGTTATGATGAAATCAGAAGCGATTCTTTTTTTCTAATATTTTCTTTTTGCGTAATATAAGTATGCACACGTAAGTCCTGTCAATATCTGTTACATATGTATCACAATACCAAGGATAGGATAGTTGCTTACGTTTCTTTTCATCACATTTGATTAAGAAAAGAACAAAAAATAATACTCTTCAGTTTTCATCTTGATTACTCATTGTTTCTATGCAAAACAGCTACGAATACTTGACTTCATTGATGTACAGAACAGTTCCATTTATCATAGAACGAGTTGCGTACGACTTCTGAGCACGAGACGTACATTCATTACTTCTCTTTTCTCTATGCAAGCGAGAATAATGAGAGATTGATCGATTATTTTTGATAATGAGTGGTAATTATCATTTATTCGAATGATTCTAATTGATATGAATTGTTTTATTTAGACATTCATACTCAATCTAATCTAGCTGAAGTCGAAGTTGTTAGTCTTGTTCAGGAATTAATTCCCCGTTATCGTTTGCGTGCTGAAACTGATTTTGCTTGTTCGAACGAAGATTTCATCCAAACACCGCGTATCGACGGTTCCGAGTTCGAACCGCTAACCAACGAGCAAATTCGTGCACTTCTCGATTATTACGGTAAGAAGGAAAGTAAATTCTTTCTAGTATTTCGCCTTTTTCTTTCAGGATCATCAAGCAATCGAATCAGTCAAATGACGAAAACATATCATGATCTAAGCGCCGTCACTCGCATGTTAGAGGATCGCGAGAATGATCTACAAATGGCAGTGACGTTAGGTCAGACATTACTGGAAAGTAATGGTTCATTACGTAATCAAGTCACGCTACTCGAACATGATATTGAGCAGACAACGGAAATCGTTAAACAGCTGAAACATGATTTGCTTTTGAAGGAACGTTTGATTCGATTTTATACAGATATGGATCAGGAGACTTCACCAACAGAAGCAAAGTAAAGTGAACACTTTCGATAGAGATGTAATTGTATTCGGATGTTGTTTTTTTTTTCAAGTCCATTCGATTCTCACCATTATGAACAAAAGATTCGAAATCTTGAATACGAAAACCAAGAACTACGAGCTGAAGTAAATGAATAGACTGTATTAATATTTCTAATTTCTAGTTTTCTAGACTATACAATTGAAAGTCGATGCAGAGAATTACGAACAACAGGAACAAGCGATTGTTGATCATTTCGCTAATGCTTTATGTAAGTTTTTCGGCGTGTAGTCGTGAAAGAACATCGTATGGGAACTACTTTGTTTAGCGCATGCCAATGCGGATATTGAAACTTTACAAGAAGTAATTGTGAAGAAGACCGATGAAAATAATAAGCAGCAAGATGAACTTGTTCGTCTATCTTATGAAATGCGTGAAATTCATCGTCGTTTAACGGAATTGAAGAAAGAAAATGAAGAATTGAAACTACTTCTCTCATTAGCAGGCAAAACTCGACATGAATACGAAAATAAAGTAAAACAAACGCTGGAATTCATACATCTACGGACATCTTTCATTTAGATTGAAGATCTGGAGAAAAATTACAGTGAATGTATGTCAAAACTTCACAAATCTCAAGAAGAAATCAACTTCCTTCAAAAGAACTTGATAATCAATTCCCCTACATCTCCTATGTGCGATACGAATGCAAATAATCGTACCGTTTTTCTTTCACCAGTCGAATACGCAAACTTCATGAGCTTGGAAAACTCATTAAAGTCAGAACTCGAGGAAATTCTAGAAGATCCTCATCAGCTCTGTCATTCGACCATCAAGACAGGTCGCAGATCAACTCGACGTCGTCGGCTAAAGCGAGGTCAAAGCGATACCGACGGCGAATCATCAATGAATGATTCGGCTTTCAGTGACAGCGAAAGTTTAAGCAGGTAAATATTCGCATGACAAAAGTACATTTGTCTTTTCATTAAATTATCAATGCTTAGCGCTTCATCATGCCGTTTTTGTCAGCGATCTTCACCCATTCCTATAGATGAATCGAAGTATGCATGTTTTTGAATTTGTTGACTGATATCGAAAGTTCGATTTGAAATCTATGTAGATCTGCTTCGGCAAGTAGTGATCGAAGAATGCCAGTGGAAATTTCGTCAAGGTTGAGATTGGTAAAAAGATTAGAAGGTAATTGGAGCTGAGAAATGTTTTGTAGAGAAATATTTTGTTTGTAAACAGGATCCAATATGTTGAAGCGATGGCAAGAATTAGCTGAACCAAGTTTTTCGTCGTGCCTTCAATCTATTCCTGGTGTTTATACGCGTGCTGAAATTTTACATGAAGTTGATGAAACCGATGAAGACGGTTCAGTCACACCGGAAAATGAATCAGAAGGTAAACGAAAAATTAGACTTCCATTGAGCTTTTTAACATATCTTGGATTGGTTTAGAACGACTGTCAATAAGTGTCGAAAAGAATTCACCTGAAATGCCTCGTCATCTTCAACAGTGAGTGCTTTGATCATTCTGTCTATTCAGATGAAGAGGAAAACTATGTTTGTAGTACATCGACACGTCGAATGAATTTAGTCGAACTGTTAAAGAAAGAAGGTTTAACAGCGCGTACATTAAATTCATCGCATGCGTTGTCTGAGTTTGAAAAAACCTTTCTAACTTGTTCATTACCCTCTCGTTTCCATCGATCTACAACAACAAACGTTCCTGACCCCGATGAATCTGACGACGACGATGGCCTTGACGAACCAGCAACACCACCTTCATCTCCCACCCACGATGCTCAGCTTCAAACAAGTGTGCTTCTTCATCAAGCGATGCAACGTTTGGTTAAACTATCTTTACACACCTTCGAAACACTGACAACTTCTTTTACTCCGACGAAAGATCATCATCATGAGAGTGAATGTAACGAAACTGCACAACGACTGCGAACGATAAGCACAATCACTCCGCCATCATCACCTACATTCAGTGGTCTCGTCCCACCCACGCCGAACACAGCAATACATGCAATCAAAACAAGTACTTTTCTACGTGCTTCATCATTAAATCCATTTACTAAGAAATCAATATCTCAAGCATTTCCGACGATTTCACCTGGTGAAACACCATCGATCGTCGACGATCTCATCAGAGGTCATCTTCCACGTTTATAAACTTCGAAAAAAGTCAATCAATTTCATCTCACCTTTGCATGGAACAAGCGAAGTCTTTGTATATTTATTCGAAATATCACTAGGCTTTTTTCATTTCTCCAAGATAATATTAATAGTTAGAATATACTTATGTATCGTATTACTAACTAGTCCATTTGCTTTCAGTGGATCTGACATTATTTTTTTTCCTTTTTCAATGTAAATGTTTTTTTGCGAAAACATTTTTTCGTTATGACAAACGCTTTGTCAATGCGCCCTGTCGCTTTTTTGTTCATTATGATTACAACAATATAACACATAGAATAAACATTAGTTATTCATGTTAAATGAAATTATCAATTCAATATTCGCATCGCGGTATGCAGATGCATGTTTCAACGAATAGCAACTAACGACATCTTACTAAACATTCTATTGATCGATCGAACATTGCATAGACTAGTTACTATACAGTAGTTTCCATTACGTTATTTTTTTACTTAGCTGATTTGAAAGGAAAGCATGTTAGGTGTTCATAGTTTTCGGCAGACAAGTCGATATTTCATTTTGAATGCAACACGATCAAGCTTCTCGACAGTACGACAGGCAAAGCAGACGGAAAGTAATCCAACGAATGTCGATCAGTTGAATACCACAGCAAGAAAAATCGGTGATTATGAAGCAATACCTTCGAACGACCTCTTAGAAGCGAAACGAACCATCAGAGACGAAAAGAATGATCCAGCACTAGTCGTTACAAGTACGGAAAAGTTCGTTACTGGTTTTTCTCCATTACAACCCACTTCATCATTGACACCGACCGGTCATGGACTTTTTCAAGATGCTAAAGCATTTAACACATCGATTTCACCAGGTACACCAGTTGTTCCGAGTAAAACACCCATAATCGAGGAAGACTCACCAAAAAAAGACGATCAAATTCCATCCTCTGGCTTTTCGGCGTTCCTTCGAGGTATTAGTTCCGGTTTACCTTTATTTCCCTCGAGAAAGAACCGCTCGTCTCCTGTTAATATTACAACAACGCGTGAATATTTTCTACCAGTAAGTCGAGTCTTGTGAAAAGAAAAGAAATCAATTGAATTCAATTTCATTGTAGTTAACACGTCCTTCAATCATTCGTTTACTTGCGACTGATTCTCAGTTCATCGACGATGAAGAAGATCGAACTTTATTTCATGAACTTTGTCAAGGTTTCGACAGTGCTGTTGTTCAGCATTATTACCCCATTCTGAACGAATTAAAACATCTCTTCAATCCATTGAATCCCGATGATGAAACACTCGACAATCGTCGAATATCCTATCGCGATCGTTTAGATAACGAATATTGGCTGTTACAAAAAATTAATGATCTACTCCATCGTGCGAACTTCACTGAACTTCCACGTCAAGTATTTTTAGATAAATTTCTCCTTCATCAAGATTCTGTGCTATCGTCGAACCTGAATGTGAAAATCGATGGACACGATTATGATGTTTTAAAATATTGGATACTCGGGCGAGAACATATGCCAATCGAAATGAAATCTTGGTGGAAAAGACTTTTTCGCATAGGTCATTCAGCCACTTCAAGAGATTATTTCAAACGTGTTGTTATTGCTATACGCTTGAAAGGACACGATCGATTATACATCAAAGCATTTCGAGATATTCCACTAGCAAATCTAACCCAATTGTTACCAACGGGAAAGTTACAAATCGGAAATTTCGAGCAACAATTGGTACGCTTGACTATTCTTCTTGGTGCTAGTACCACTGTCACACATTTACTGACAAAAATGGCGGATTATCATGTACCAGGATTGATTCTGAGCGGCAGTAGTTTGACGTTGTTGCTTGGACTTTGGTCAGTCAGTAGTTTTTATCGATCGAAGATCAATTATCTAGCGACGATGAATCGAATGTTATTTTATAAAAATATTGCGTCAAATAAACAACTATTAGCGATGATTGTCGATCGTGCGGAGGATGAACTGAGCAAAGAAATGTAAGTTAAATCGATTCGATATGGCAAATATTCCTTCGAATGTTTTTTGTTTTTCAGTTTACTTGTTTATATGTTTATACTACAAAAACAGCAGAAAAATACTGACTTAACCAAGAAAAATCTTGAATTAGAAATTGAAAATTGGGTTCGATTAAAATCAAATGCACACATCACATTTAACAGTACTCAAGCGATTGAATTCCTTCGTAAAATCGGTATGTAAACAAATTGATCTGTAGATTCGAAATCATCCATCGGAATATTTCGTGTAGGTATTCTTTTACCAGATGACATTTCACGCCCCAATCATTTACAAGTTCTGCCGCTTAAACAAGTTGTTCGTGTTCTTCCCAAAGCATCGCGAACACTGAGTGAGAAAACTGAAGAGTGGGATTTAGTTGAAGGTTATGACAAGAAATATTTCGAATTGGATTGGAAAACCGTATTGAATGAAGAGAAACTGCTTAACAAGGGCGGATGGCAGTGAAATAACTTCTATTCAAAGAATAGAATCCGAACTAAATTAGTGTGCAATTCTTCTCCTGACATTATTCGTTCTTTTTCTTTTACGTGTATAGCAAGTTTCTACACGTTGTACTTTTAGCTAATAAAATGGATCATATCATCAGAAAAATCATATGTGCGAAGTGATAAAGAGTAAAAGGACACATTCAGACTGTGAAAAATCAATCATATGCTCGATCGTTCTGCTAATTTTAAAAGGAAATTTACTCTTCAGTGCGCACTTTCGAAAAAAACATGCAAATAGACAAAGAACTGTCAGGTTGTTGACCTTCACAATCGATGAAAAATCTTTTTGTTTTTTTCTTGCTTCAACGTAGCTTTTATGTGTACACATATCCTCTAATGATCGTATGTGACTTCTACGTGAATAAATTACACTCCAATCAATAACGAAGTTTGCCATTCGATCGGCGAATGTCGAGTGGTAATGATACGTAATGTTTTGCTGTTATTATGATTCGTTGTTTTACCTATTCGTTGATAGCAAGGTTTTTTCTGTCTATAGACGACAAAAAGAAACGAAAGACGCGACGTTTTGTATAATAAGAACGAGAGAGGGAGAAAAAAAATGACAGTATAAGGAAAAAACTGTATCATACAGCTGCTTGTTGTTATGAAGTATGTTGATGACGAAACTCGAACAACTACCGGATGAAATTTTACTGGAAATTTGTCTTTACTTGAAGCCGTATGATGTTATCAATAGCTTTGGACAGTTGAATCATCGGCTTGAACAAACGATCAGTCAATATCGACGTGATGCTGATCTTCATCATTTAACACTGACACAATTCCAACGATGGCATAAACATCTCTTACATTACACATCGAAATCGGTTGTTAACCTTGTGGTGAGCAATTGGAATTCGCCCGGACAAATATATCTCTTCAATCAATTGATGAAACCTTACGCATCTCTGTATAGTTTATTTTCCAACATAAAACAAGTTCGATTAATTGATTTTACAAACAATGATATTGAAATCCTTTCGAAACTCGACAAAATCGAAAAGCTTTTCATCGATGCCGATGCTTTAGTACCATTATCATATTCGACGCATACTTTACTCGATAAATATCTCTTTTGTTCATCATCACATTTCAAAGAAATTCGTCTATGGGGCGTAGAAGGTGGTATTCGATCACAACATCATGTTCCAATTGTCACAAATTTTCATCTGGAACGGTTGACAATCAGCGTTGCTCTACTAGATGATCTGATCTTAATGTTTCGGCGTTCACCAAATCTCCGTAGTTTAAACGTTGAAATAGCTCAACATACAACGAAAGCACTCCGACAAAACGCAACAGTTGATATGCTACCGAAACGCTTGACATTCTTTCATTTTCAAACAACCGATCAGTGTGTACTATCTTCGGAAGATTTAGATAAACTTGTTAGTAATATTCCGAGCATCGAACTTCTTTCATTAGATATGGATACAAATGATTTCGATTATGCCAGTGCATGTCATTGGACAAACATGTTATCATGTTTAACAAAATTAAAACATGTTTATTTCAAACTACGAATTTGGTTAAAATCAGACTTGGTCCCATTCGATACTGAATCCATCATACATGCATTTCAACAAACAAATTTACCTATATGTTGCTATGCCGATACGAAAGTCTTACATATTGATACTGTACCATACAATATGAAACAATTCGATACGAACATGAGTGTAACGACATCGCCGAAAGCAATGTTAGCGAAAACAACCAGCAGTCTATTGTTTAATCAACCTTCGAAACGTGTCCAAACACTGATCGTCGATGGACAACACGATCCGACACACATCAACGAATGGTTATCTGTAATAACTCGTTTTCCAGGTATTGAAATTCTTCAGTTAAATTCAGTTAATATACAAGATAAGGAAACCAGTGCAATCGATCTGAAACATCAGCCATTTCAATTACCACATATGGGCTATTTACATTACATCCGATCGACAAGTTGTAGAGTGCATGTACCATTTTTTATGTTATTAGCAAATAATACAACGATTAGTCCGCAATTAAAAGCTCTCTCGATGATGTATGGTGATTTGGTTTATTTATGTAAACGTTTATCTGGTTGTAGGTTCGAGCGAATAAAAGAACTTTGGTTATATGGAGGTGAAGCTGATGGTCATGTAATTTTACGAGATATTGATTTAGTATTGAAGACGTTTCCTTGTTTATCTCATTTCTATTTTAACAATCAATCAAGCCGATTTCTCAATCGAAATCTTCGGTTAATTATCGAAACAATTATACGCTCATCGCCGGATTTGATCAGTTTTCGAATATCGTGTAACAAAAGTTCATTAAGATTATTATCATCGATGAACAGTGAAACGTGTACTAGTTGGATTCGACAAGTATGTGGTCTCTGTGAACATGAACGTATTCATGTGACTGTTAATGATAAGTTGCTGTCAATATGGAAATGAAATCAAACAAAAAACTTTTTGCTCAAAATTTGTTTTTATTCATTAAGAAAAGATAATTTCGTCAAAGAAACAGGTGATTTTTTTCGTATGATTACTTTTTATTACGATGTACATTGTGAAATATTTGGATTGTAATAAAGAATTTTATTCGCTGAAAAATCAGCAATATACACATCATAATGATCGGACAAAAGAAATCCATTGATACCCGATGTAACTGACCACGCATAGAGAAGTGAATTGCCCCATGGATCGTAAATTCGTATACCAAAACCTGTCACTGCCAACCAAAGACGACCACAACTATCGATCGTTGTTTGAAAAATCTTCTGAGTATCTGTTGGTGTTGTGTTTGGCAATGGAGTCAGAGTCCATGTACCATTCGTGTAGGTTAAAGTCGAAACAGAAGTTAAAGTCGTTGTTGCAAACCATGAGGCAATGTAAATAAATGTATCGTTGACTGCATGAACTGTACAGGGTCTATTTGTAGTGATGTAGGACGGTGTTGACGACGTATAGTTTCTTGTCGAGAAGACATCGAATAAAAGCGTTTGATTGTTCGTATTCGCAGCAACTATGATCAATGAGTTATTGCGAATGAATGCTATTTCATGAATTACAGTAGTTGCCACCGGAATACTGGCGATAATAGTAGATAGATTATTTGTCTTTAGCACATTGATTACACAATTACTGGAACAATTTGCTGAAAAAGAACGCAAATCAAACAATTTATTCTTTACCAATGCACGATTCAGTATGAAACTTACAGATATAATAAAATCCATTGTTATAATTGATACTAGTGGCATCAGTAACTACCGACACGGATTGTATGATATTAAGTGTCGTTCGATTGAATTGAATAAGTGGACCTCGATAACCAAGAGTGACAAGATAATCATTGCCATCAAAAACTAAAAAGGTCGGCTTTGATATGTTGACTGACATTTGAGAAGTTGTATTAATTCTTGTCATTAACCAAGACAGATTAGAGCAGCAGGGCGCAAGATTTTCAGGTGGCAATGGTTTAAATAGAATGAGAGTGGAATTTCCATTCATTTCCATTCGATATGTCAGTGGTAATGCAGTGAACAATTGACAGCAATGGCTGTTGAAGAGAAAGTGCTGGACATCACCATACAAACACATTCACGCCAAGTAGGGAACGACAAAAACCATACAGAATCTTGATTTAGTTGATTCATACTGGTAAATCGCGTATTAGCAACTCGGCCAATAGATATCGAATTTCCAAAGCGATGGAATGCAAGCATTACAATGATAAATAGTTCGAAATCTTGTGCAGACATTTCAGCTATGTTGTTTTTTATTCGAAAATTTTAGAAACGTGTTTACTAGCGTTCAATAATTCGCAGATAATAAAACAAGAAATTGTGCCAACAGTTCACTTCATACTCAAGAAATACTTGTGAACCGATCGAAACTAATGTATCGTTAAAGGGGTTCTATGAGCATTCATTTTCTAAGTTCAATTACCAGACATCTATTCACTGGAATCGAGTGAATAAAATGAGTGTACAACATTTTGGGGAACGAACTCTTTGATGCTTTGCTTACGACATTTATATGATATATTCATCACATGTTCTAAAAGGTGTGCCGTAAAAATCCATCGCTCACGTGATCAATCGTTTTTGATTGAAATTATAGAGACTTATTGACAAGGTATTTTCACTATTAATAATCTAAAATAATCAACAAGTACAATCAATATGTGCTATAGTGAGGTGCGAGCAATTAACAGAAACGAGTACTTTTCTTCATGATATCAATGTTGTTTTTTCCGTATCATTTTACTTTCCACTAATCCGGATTTATTTTCATTTTTCTCAATAAAGAAACGATTACACTTCGATCTCAACAATACATACATTTCGATCGTTCTCAAGCAATGAAACTCAATAGTTTCACTTTGCTGTTTAGTTTTCTAGTAACTCTTCTTGTTACTGAAGCGATTGAAAAAGGTGACATTATTTCACAACATAACTTTGATGGATCTGCTGAACAAACTTATTGGACTGCATCTCTTGGTCCACTCGTGCAACTTGTAACAACAGATCGTGGAAACCAAGCACTTCGTATCGAACGAAATCAACCAAATGGTGCATCGATATGGGCAACTGTCTCTCTGCCAGCGTTCACACTCTCTGGCTCGAAGATTCGAATTCGAGCGTTGGTCAAAGCTGTCAATATTAGTACACCTCCGAAACCATGGAATGGTATCAAAGTCATGCTGCATACACAAGGACCTTCTGGTGACAACTATCCACAACAGAATCTACCACAAGGTACCTTCGATTGGCGTTCTGTCGATTATGTTGCCAGTATTCCTAGTGATGCACGTCAAGCAACGCTCAGACTTGGTCTAGAAGCAGTCACAGGAATGGTTTGGTTTGACGATCTTCTCATCACTGTGTACAGCAAACCTCGTCCCCCACCACCACCTCCACCAACAGGACTACCTTACAAAGGTCATAATCTCACACGACTACGTGGTGCTATGATTGGTGCTAATCTTAAAGAAAAAGACTTTCGAGACTTCGGTAGTTGGAATGCCAATCATGTTCGTTGGCAATTGATATGGGGCGGATTTCCACACAGTCCAGCTGATAATGCTGATATTCCTGCTTATGAAGCATGGTTAGAAAGTGCACTTCAACATCTCGATTCTATGCTACCTGTTTGTCGCGAATTAGGTCTTCACATACTCGTTGATTTACATACACCGCCTGGTGGTCGCAACGATGAAAATGAATGTAAATTATTCAAAGAAAAACGTTTTCAGGATGCGTTTCTTTCCTTGTGGGAGAAAATTGCACGACGTTACAAAAATGAATCCATTATTTGGGGTTATGATCTAGTTAATGAACCAGTTGAAGGAGTAGTTCCTGACGACATCATGGACTGGCATGATTTAGCCATTGCCACTATTCAACGTATTCGTGCTATTGATTCAGAACATGCCATCATTCTTGAAGGAACACCAGGAGGAGGACCAGGTGCCTTGATAGATCTTCAACCAGTGCCTTTCGATAAGATAGTTTATTCATTTCATATGTATGAACCTGGTACATTCACACATCAAAATGTTTATTATGATGTTACTCCTATATCTTATCCAGGTGTTATCGATGGTAAAATGTGGGACAAAAATGAACTACGTCTCAATATGAAGCGTGTTCTGGATTGGCAACGTGCTTACAATGTTCACATCTATGTGGGCGAATTCTCTGCTATTCGTTGGGCACCAGGAAATAGTGCTTATGAATATCTACGAGATGTCATCGACATTTTCGAAGAGAACGAATGGGACTGGGCATATCATGCTTTTCGTGAATGGGCAGGATGGAGTGTTGAACATACTGGTGATAAATATAATACTCAACATGCTCCTATTCCAACTAATCGACAGATTCTTCTGATGGATTGGTTCAAGAAAAATCAACATTAATCATCCAAAGTTTTCATTTTTCTCTTTTCTTTCGTTGCGTGAAAAGTATTCTTCTATTTGTGCAGTGAACACTACAGGCGATGCGGAATCTATCTTAATTGATGAATAAAAAACTCGAGAGAGATTTTCGGTAATTTATTTATATGGGAGACCTATCAGGTGTCATACAAAATGAAAATGAGAGCGTTTCTTCTGGCGAAAAGTGAAAACACCGTTTTTCGTGTGTTCAAAAACACGTTATTTATGCTTATCTCTCCCAGCCTTGAAGATAGACACTAGACTATGAAACATCGCTCAAGGCTATCATCTTGTTCGGATATCATATCCATGACAGACTCTATGTACACACTATATGATGATAATTATCATTGTATTAAACCACCTTGAGTATGTCAGAAAGTATTAGCTTCTGTTCTGTACACAAGTAGAATTCATCGCTTCGAACCTCTATTTTTGCCAATAGTTTCATCACTTATTCTATAATATCTATAGATATCCAATAAACAAATACGTTTAGAAAGCGACAATTTTTTGTTCCTTATCATTTTTGCTATAGTTCTAGAAGATCTGTCTGAATATCTTGTGTATCAATGCACTCCATCGGTCTAATAGATATACATACTTTTTTCTTATCCTGTATACCTTAATTAAATACGTCGGAAACAAGGTAATCACACGTCGAAGAAAGAAAATATCGACTGATTGATTCTCCGGTCAAAACAAATATGTCTATCGCACAATTTGAAGATCTACCGGATGAAATTCTGCTCGAAATATGTATTTATTTAACCACGGTTGATATTATCAATGCATTCGGTCGATCAAATTCTCGTTTAGAACGGACAATCACTCAATTTCGACATGATATTAACCTTCAACAATTAACACTGAAACAGTTCCAACACTTCTGCTATCACGTAATACCTTCTTATGCTGATTGTATTGTTAAACTAACTATTAATACCTGGTATGCACCAGGTGAAATCGCGCTTTTCAATCGATTCATCGCTCCGTACAAATCTCTTCATGAATTTTTACCTTCATTGAAACAAATATGGTTAATTAATTTCAGTAATAAAGATATCGATATTATACCGAAAATTCTTTCTATCGAAAAAGTATTAATTGATTCTGATGCTCAGGTGTCGTTATTACATTCGACGAAAGTTCTACTCGATCGGTATTTGTTTTGTACACGAAATTCTATCAAAGAATTGCGACTGTACGATTCCGAAGAAGGATTTCGATTACAACACGATCTTCCTGTCATGACATGTTTATATTTACAAAAATTAATCATCAGTGTCGCAACATCGGATGATTTAATATTAATATTTCGTCGTGCACCTAATCTAATTAAACTCCACGTGGAAATTAGTCTGTTTTCTACTGATTTACCAAAACAGTATGCAACAACTGACATTATGCCCAGACATATCAAAGATTTCCATCTATGGGTAAAAGACAAACGTTTGTTGATCTTTGAAGATCTTTACAATATCCTCACTAATATTCCAACAATCGAATGTCTTTCACTGGAGATCGAAACCGATGATATTCAGTACAGTCAAGGTCATCGATGGAGAGAACTATTCTCTTATTTGCCAAGACTTGCACGATTAGATATGGGATTGAAAATCTGGATTGGATTTAATAAAGTACCAATTGATGTAACACCGTATCTGCAAACGTTCTCAGAGAATGGTTTAGATATTTGTGCATATGCTGATACACGAGTGCTTTATATCGATGCAATTCCTTATGAATTTGATAGTGCAACAGGTGTGATGACCTCGCCTTCTGCAAGTCGTGCTAAAGCGACGAATATGAGTCTATTTCAGAAACGTGCACGTCGAGTTAATACATTATGTTTTGATGGTCGCCATGAATCGACTTCAGCTAATGATTGGTTTCAGGTTATCCATCGATTTCCTACCATTCAAGTGTTAGATATCATTTCAATAAACGTCACTGATCAACTGGACAGTAAATTTCTTGAAAATACTCGACATTTGAGATTGCCAAATTTAACTATTTTGCGTTATATTCGTTCGACCAAATGTCAAGTTAATATTCCATTCTTCATGTATCTTGCTAATAATGAGGTGCTAGCACCACGGTTATGTTCATTGACAATGATGTACGGCGATTTTGTTTATGTTTGCAAGCGTTTACCGATTGACTTTCAATTTACGCGATTTCACGAACTGCGGTTGTATGGCAATGGTGCAGATGGATGTATTTGTTTGAAAGATATTCAACTGATATTAAAGATCTTTCCGAATTTGAAACATTTTTGGATACATGTACAATCAAGTAGAACAATCAATAAAAATATTCAATTCATAATCCAAGAAATCTTAAGTTCATTAACAAATTTAATTAGTTTGCGACTTTCGTGTAAGAAACATTCATTACGATTTCCAGTTCTACCTGATGATGATCACACATGGATTCAACATGCGTGTAGATTAAGTCAATCGAAACACGTTCATTGTACTATTGACAAAAAAGAAATATCTGTATGGAAATAGTAGATACTGTATTGTTTTTCTTTCAAATTATAAAGTGTCATTTGATTTTTGTACGTTCGAAAGAAACAGAGTGTTGTTAAGCGACATCTAGAAGACAAATTTAAATGGTCAAGAAATGTTAACCCATCTAGACACGTCTGTCATTGATCGCGAATCGAAGGTGGTTGCTAACTAACTCACTAGACTCTCGTTCGGTTAAAAAAAACTAATCGATAATTGAAGTGAACACTCGGTAAGTTTCATGCGTTTTTGTTTCTTTTGCTTTACTAACAAATAATGATGATGAGTAGTGCGTACTATTGTCAACCGAACAGTATGTTAAAATATAGTTTATGAGGTATATAATCAGTAATATTTGTAAAAAGAACGTGAATGACGGAGACGCGTGTGGTTTAATGGTTCGAGAGAATCGATACTAAATGAATTTTTCAAATGGTAAAGAAATCTTTATGAATGAAGAATAGTGTTACCGATGAGGACCTTGATGGAGTATAGTCAAAAGAAATCTGGGAATCGATTTCGTCGTCATTCGCTTGTTGATTTGTATTCATGTTCTGAGCAGGATTGAGTAATTTTCTATTGATGGTGCATCGGTTACTATCAAGAGAGTCTAGTTCAATTTGTGATGTATCATTGTCAACATTAATAATTGATTTACTGGAGGATATAGAAGAGAGATTCTTGTTTAAAAGTGAGACTGTCGAAGAGACAGTTGATATACTCGTCTCACATATTAAAGAATCAGATGATATTTTAGTTAAACTAGATTTTTCTGCCGGCTTGTGCACTGATAGTGTAGGCATTTGAAGTAAATCATTTTGAATTTTAGTTAAGATTTCTTTAAGATTCTCTAGTGTGTGGTTGTATGTTTTTGAGTGATTATCATATTTATCTATTGCGCTGATAGTTGAAGGATCTGAGATTGTATGAGAATTGGAGGATAAATCTTGAGTTTTAGTTAGTTGACGAACAGAAACTGCAAGATTATTCGACGATGAATTTTTTGTAGAAAACAGCTCAGTTTCTTTCGAAAGGTTCAAAGCTGATTCACTATAAATCTAAATATGATAACTTTTCGTATTCAATTTGAATGTTTGGTATCTTACTGGATTGTAATTGTCATTATATGGCCATGACAGGAATGTTGATTGATATGTAGGAGTGTTAGATGAAGATAATACTTCTTGACAAGTGTCGCCAGCAGGGACATTCTTGTTTGTAGGTACTTGTCGACATTTTCTAACATCGATAGTAACTCCTGTAGCATACGTTGAATAATTAGTAGGAATGTGTGATTCAATATCGTTGGACGATATTGAGGATTTAGTATGTGTTTCAATGTTACTGCGGTTGTTTGCGCCACCAATTACATTCTGAAGCGATACACTGTAATGTTTTGTAGAGAATGTTAGATAGAATTCAAGTTAGGATATGCGGCTAACTTTGATCTTTGATACTGCGGTTGTGATAAACAATGAAAACGATCAACATGTGGAAAATGCGGCTCTTGATAAGCTAATCTGAAATAAATGAAATGTTCAATTGATATTTATCCTCATTCTACTATTACAACTGATCAATCAATGGGTCTATTGCGGTTCTGCCATTAACCTCTGGGTACAATGGTAGATGATAATGTTGCCCATTTTTGGCACGACGACGACGACGCCGTCGTCCACATTTGTGACAATGTGACGTGGCATATTGTACGGGCGGATGATTTGTTCTCAATATTTCCATAGTGTAACGAAACGAAAAGAAAAGAAGAAACTCAGCGAAAAGATCAAAGCGCGAAACTTTTAAGTTAATATTTCATCTCATAGAATCGTAATTTTTTTCTTTCATTTCTTCTTTTACATTATATCAATTGCAAAAAGACTCATGACGAATCGATTTTAGTTGCATGTGCGATCGTAGAAAAACTTTAACTGATCCCACCGCGGATTTTGTCTTATCAGGTTACTCATGACTTCATTCTTATGTCTTCTTTATACTTGCAAATAGATTTATTATCGGCAACTGAAGATCTCATCGATTTCTCCATCAATGTATTCGATTCAATACGTTTGCAATCGCATTTTAATGATCGAAATCGACGTGTTAACCTTGCAATGCAGCTTAAGGATGCGTCCGATGCACAACAAACTGAATTCAGTACTTTAACTAACCCAAAAAAGCCATGCACGGTTACGACAACTTTGAAATACGATCTAAATCTCTATCTGGATCGTATTTTACAATCGTGTAAACGAACAAAAGTAAGTTGCTGGTGAAAGAGATCAATGAACGACTTGGATTTCATTCCTAGGCAAACTTGATGTTATTGCGGATATCACGTTCACGTGGTACAAACACTACTCTTCTGCTCGTTGCTTCGACGAGTGTTCGAGTTGATCAATTAGAAAAAAAAGTGCAATTGTTGATGCGATTAGTGAAGGAAAACGGTGGCGATTTTCAAATGAAGAAAAAGAAAAAGAAGAAAGAAAGTTCAAAAACGAAAATTGAAGACGACGTAAGTTCGGATCTTAACGACAAAGAACTGAATATCAGTTTGTGTCCGTATTTTCAGACAAAACCTCCAGTAAAACAAGCAAAACCCGTCAAAAAGCCGCCAATCTCGTCGATATCCAAAGATGACCTCGGTGACTACGTAGAAATCGCCCTCAGCTTTCGAATGGTGCATTTCTCTTCATCTTAATCTTAACTATAGAAGATACTGCTTTCTTTTAGATCATCACCAAATATCGCGAATTCATCCAACACATGCGCGATGCGACAAAATCCATTCTCTCATCAAACGGACAAGCATCCATTGCTAATTCAATCATTCTCATACCAATTGCAGCGAATGCCATCAGCGAATTGAATAACATTTTAAATCGTCTCATTCGCATTGCTTTTACGATCGAAGCTGAATCGAATCATTTACGTCAATTGCCTCATCTTTCAACTGAAAATGATAGTCAAGAATTATACCTACAAGGTACTAAAGAAGAAAACGAACCAGTGCGAATCGCAAGTTCGAAATTATTAGAAAGAGCTCCACCGAAAAAGGAAGACCTTTCGCATTCAAGTGGAACAAGTTTAAAACGAAATACATATTCATTGCTAAAACAAAATGAAAATCGAACAAATTTTCAGAATCAATCAGCTCTGGTATCGATGTCGACTACAGATTCATTCAAACTAACACCAAATATGATTTCTAACATATTCGAAGATTTTTTTGTCAATACAAACGATTCTATTTAGCTATTTATATACATATGATTATACGGACACAACTTCTCTTGTTTTTATAGATGAGTATTAAGAATTACTATAGAGGAATCATAGTTGCATTGAGTTTTACAATCGGTGCGATCATTAAACTTTCACTTTTACCATGCTAGTATGTATTTTGATATCAGAAACACATGTGTATAGATTTCTTCTTATAGTCATTCAACGGATTTTGAAGTCCATCGCAATTGGCTGGCGTTGACACATAGTTTGCCGCTGCAACAATGGTATTACGAAGTGAGATTGTAGTTGAAATGAAGTTTTGTGTTTAACTTTCTTTCTTGAATAGAATCGATCCGAATGGACATTGGATTATCCCCCGTTTTTTGCCCATTTCGAGTATGGACTATCCAAATTTGCTTCGTACTTTGATCCAGCTATGCTCGATGTTAATAATCTGAATTATGCGAGCGAAAAAACGAAATTATTCCAACGATTGACTGTTATCGGAAGTGAAATTGTTTTGGCATTGGCAATTTATTCGTAAGAAGTTCATTTGCTCGTTGCATCCCGAATTTTGATTCATAATACAAATAGATTGATGAAAACTATGCAGATCGGTAGAAAAAATCATGATATCCCTATGCCAATAATTCAACTTCTATTCGCTTTAAGTTTATTGGTTAATTTTGGCCTACTCATCGTTGATCGTACGTTCCTTCTTCGGCACTAGATCTTTCCTAATCCGTTTCCTTTTAGATATTCATTTTCAATACAATGGATTTCTATTAGGCATTCTCTTGACGTCCATCAGTTGCATGTATCGAGTAAGCGTTTATAAATCTCTCTAACTTGTCGGCAATCGGTGTTTTAGAATGAATATCTAATGAGTGCAATTTGGTTTTCAACCTTACTTAACTTTAAACATATTTTCCTCTATATTGCACCAGCATATGTTGTTTATTTATTTTACGGTTTTTGTGTTAAACAAAGTGAGGATATTCAATGTCAAGATGATAGTACAGATTGATTTATTCAGGTTCGAATCCGGTACGATTCTTGGTTAATCTAATTGCTTTGAGCATCGCTACACTTGTTCCATTTGTATTATCATTTGGTCCATTCATTCTGATGGTATCTTCATCAAATGATCATCCATTCGATATATATGTATATATATAATCATGTCGTTTTCATATTAGAATCAACTACCACAAGTACTTGCGCGATTATTTCCATTCAAACGCGGTCTTTGTCATGCATATTGGGCACCTAATATATGGGCATTGTACAACGTTTTCGATAAAGTCTTGGCTATCGTTGGTAATTGAATGGTCAATGGTTTACCTTCGTATAATTTAAATATCTTGTTTAGGACGGTACACACATCTCTTTCGTGTTCGTTCGGTATCTGTATCGATGACGTCTGGTCTTGTACAAGATATTGAACATCAGGTATTACCGTCTATCACTCCGGGAATGACGTTTATTCTTACATTTATATTTATGATTGTAAGAACGATATTTTATTTGCTCATCTATGATGATTTTCTCATGTTTTATGTAGCCGAGTTTAATTCGATTGTTTTTTCGTTGTTCGAAACGCACATTTTTGGAAACAATTATTCTTTGTGCATTGACTTCGTTTCTCTTTGGATGGCATGTTCATGAAAAAGCGATTTTAATAGCCATTATTCCACTCAGGTATTCATCCTCTACTATCGAACAAAATAGTCTATGTTGGTTTTTCAGTTTATTAGCATTCGATAGTCGTGAACATGCTCGTTGTTTTCTTCTGCTTTCGACATTCGGTGGATTTTCACTCTTTCCTTTGATATTCACTGGACCAGGTAATGATTTTCACTGTTACTGGATTTTCTTGACTCACTTTGAGCCTTTCTTAGAAATTCCAATAAAAATTGGACTCTTTGTTGCTTATACGTCGTTTCTCTTCTACACACTCGGTGAAATACATGGGTAAGCTTTCATCTTCTATAAATTTGTTATCTATATTCACCTTATTTAGTGATCATGGTACAACATTCTGTCTACCATTGCTCAATCGACTAGAAACATTTTCAGTAGTTCTATTGATTCCACTTTGTCTCTATTGCGAATGTTTACACACAGTTTTACACATCGATCGTCTCCTACCCTTTTTACCTTTGTTATTGATTTCTATCTATTGTTCGATTTTTATTGTTTACTGTTGGATTCGACTGCATACAATCGAAGCTCATCTAGAAGATGAATTAACAGCGGTTGAATCCACAGTTCAATTTAGTGGAAGATGGAATAGAAAACGAGGACAAAAACAGGAATAAAGTTATCGGTGATTTTAGATTGAAAAGATAATGGCATTGATCGCCGATCATCAACCAACTACTCTTCTAGATCATCAATGGATTCACACAGATCAAGCTGGGGAATATCTGAAAGCAATCAAAGATCGAAATGACAATCAACTAAGAGACTTCTGTACGTCGAAACGGATTTTTTTTTAGAACAAAGCCTTTCATAAGTCGTTTTCTTTCATTTAGCATTGTTATTTAGTCCAGCGCTTTCAGCTGGTCTAGTTGTCAAACAATATCGTTACAAAATTCTTCTTATCGGAAAGACAGGGTCAGGGAAAAGCAGTTTAATCCGAGCTTTGATGGGTAAAGAATTTTCCACGGTAAATGCTCAACCAACACTTGGAATCCAAACGACAAATGTCTACTGGCCTGTTCGGATCAATCAACCAAATAAACCAGTGTTTATGTTTCGTCTGGATTTTTGGGATATGGGCCATATGAGTTCGACAAGATTTGATTATATCGATAATGTATGTTGTGTAAAACTTATCGAATCAAACATATTTTCATATTTAGGATTCGATGGATTCTCTCGACATGATCATATTTGTTGTCTCGGCAGCTGATCGTGATAGTTTTACTGAACTACCCACATTAATCGAAGAGAAACGTAAACAATGCAGTACTACTCGTCCATTTGTCAGTTTAGTGTTCATCACTAAGTAAGATCAGATGGTCTTGTCTTGTCATCTTGTTTCTATTGAATATGTTTAGATTTGATCAATTTGCTGTACTAACTGAAAGCGATGCGAAAGAGTTTCAAACAAAATATAATATACCTGTTTATTTATTTTCCAATGTTTATTCCAACATGCGTCTGGCGACGTCGTATTTGAATCTCATTGCGGAGAAACTGTACAAACGTGATCTCGAACTAACTGGTCAACCGTTATCTTGAAAACGAGAATGTTCAACATTTTTTTACGACGTTTTGAATTGTAATAGATTAGAAGTGTAGATAAAGTTTGCTGTGTACGAATGATTTTAATTATGGTTGAAAAAAAAGTATCCTGTTTCGTAACCAGAAACGTGCCATTCAAAACAATTTACTTTGGATTTTGTAACTGCTAACTAAAGTGCACGTAATCTGATAGGAGATCACTGTACGCAATTATTTTAAGATCGATTTGTTTCTCAAGTAATTTTTGTTGACCACATTGAAGTGATTTCAGTATACGAAGAAACAAATCACGATTGTGTGGGAAGTAATGTTGATATTGAATGATTTTTTTATTACATGCAAAGGTCATTGTCCCAAATTCTGATTTATTTATTCAAACTCCGTGATAACATTCAGGACAAAATCATGAGAGCCCATGCAATTCAATTCTTTGTGTGGTAGAGAAAACTTGAGAAGATCGCTTTAAATTTTAACTTCCTGTCCGCATCAACAGGCACTTTCTAGTCTATAATATTTTTATGAACTTGAAATAGTTGTTGAAAGAAAGAAAGAAAGAAAGAAAATGCCTTTATTGACATTTGTTTCACAAAGTAAGTCTTTGTTTCTTAAACACATAGGAAATATATAGAAGAAGAAACAGATTCCGCTCTTAACATTCTTTGTTTGATCAGTTTTCGGGGTGTAAGATAGAATTTGTCAAGGCAATCATCACTGACAATGAACAAACAGAGTATGTTTGATGTTCAATTAAATTCTACGTTCTTCTTTTCTTCTAAACACTAGAATCGGCAACATTTATTCGAAGTGCCAGTGAAATGGTTCGACGTACTCTTTGCGGGGTGATTGATTCGTCAAGTAAACATTGTCTCATAGCTAACGATCACATTATTATAATTACCCTATGTGATACCACTCATTGCGATTGTGCTCAGATGGATTTTCCTCACATCCCACGTCGACATGTCATTTCCAACGTTACATTAGACGATTATAATTGCTTTCCAATTCCATTTACGCTTTACTACAACGATGGAGAAATTGATGAAAATCTTTGCTATGGAATTCGATGTGATATTGTAAATAAATCGAATGAGATTATCTACACATCTCATCGGTTTATACCTGTGTTAACGAATAAACATCCAAAGACGAATATACACATCGTTGTTGGACCAACAGAAGATGTATGAACAAGCATAAGAACGTATTTTCATACTGAATAAAATTGATCAGTTTGTAATATCTCTCATAAATCATAAAAATACAAGTGTTTCGTCTTTTGACATATGACTAAACAAGTGAATCAATCAAAAAAGGGAAACACAGGACTTTGTCCTCGATATAACGATACATTTTCCTCTCTACACATCTGTATTGTGTATTAATTATAAGAACAATCAACTGGCAAATCATTGTACATAATAATGTCATATACTCGAGGTCATTGCCCTTTTTATTTGTCTACTATTATCGATCAAAAATAAACAAAGTATACTTCCGGCGATGCGCACACAGAAAAAAACAGATATACATATTTATCTTTTCCTTTTCCTTGGTTTCCAAGAAATACCATCGATAATCCTACAAACAGAAAGCGATAACAGGAAGAAAAAGGTCGTTTTCATTGATATTCACGAGTAGACCATAAAAATCAGATTACTGGATTTTTTATTAGAACGATTTAGAATGTTTTCTTCTGATGCAATTGATTTATGTATTGAATGGCTTAGGTACTCTGTCTTTCTCGCAGGCGAAATTCCAAAGTTCGATTAGCGTCGCACGAGAAAATACTGTTTATCATTGATTACTTGTCACGTACATGACATGATTGGTCCGGTATGTCTTTTTAGATGTAAACATCATCTATGGATACGTAAAATGAATGAAGAGGATATACTCCAATCGACTCGGTTTGTTATCCAAGGTTTAGATGCATTAAAAACTGAACATGGAAAGATTCTCGAAACTCTCGCACATTCTCCTGACTACTTACCGGCGAACACGGAGGATGAGCAAGTGGGTATACTGAAGAAATCAATGGATTTGATTGATTTAGGTATGTCAAAAGAAGAAGAATCCTTGATTTATAATTGCTCTTTGGACGATTAGGAATTGGCGAGGCTCAAGTAATGATGCAATTAAATCATCATTTACGAAATTTCGAAGCTGAAAAGCAAAAGCTTCTCACACAAGTTCGACGACTATGTCAAGAAAATGCTTGGCTACGTGATGAACTAGGATCAACTCAAAAAAAGTTACACGAATGCGAACAAATCAATGCCTCCTGTGCAGTTGAATTGGAGCATTTGAAGTTCTTAAAGGACGTGAAATTATTCGACAATACCGACGACGATACTTCCGCCAAAAATCAGCAGAGTAACGGACAAGATCTTGTCAGAGATCTATTTCCATTTGATGAGAACGATAACGAACAAGATAGTAATACAGATGATCAACAAATCTCTTTGAAAAACTGTGGTTCCTACGTTGATTTAATGAAGTTACCAACACAAACAACAAATGGATCAGTAAATTCAATATCGGATTATCACATACCAGATCGATTGAAAACACTACACAATCTAGTTATACAATATGCATCACAGGGTCGATATGAAGTCGCTGTTCCGTTGTGCCGACAAGCTCTCGAAGATTTAGAAAAAACATCAGGACATGAACGTAAAGCGAGCACATTTTTGATTCACTAGGAAAGATTATTTTATTTAGATCCTGATGTTGCTACAATGCTGAATATACTCGCACTTGTCTATCGTGATCAAGCTAATTATGTCGAAGCTACGACGTTGCTTAACGAAGCACTGATAATCAGAGAAAATACACTCGGACCGGATCATCCAGTTGTCGCAGCAACTCTCAACAACCTTGCTGTTCTCTATGGTACATAATTGAGGGAAAGTATTAGCTGATCTACGAATATTTTTTAGGTAAACGTAATAGATTCAATGAAGCTGAACCATTGTGTAAACGCGCACTCAAAATTCGCGAAAAATGTCTCGGCCCACAGCATCCCGACGTAGCGAAACAACTGAATAATCTCGCTTTACTCTGTCAAAATCAGGGCAAATACGACGAAGTCCAATCCTATTATAAACGTGCAATTGATATTTATACCAAAAGTTTAGGGCCATACGACATAAATGTCGATAAAACTATAAATAATCTAGCGTCTGCTTATATCAAACAACAGAAATACATCGAAGCTGAGCAGTTATATAAAGACACATTAGTACGCGCGTATGAAAAGACTGTGCAAACACCGAAACCGAATTCTACACCGGAGAATTCAGATCTACAAAGTAATTGGTATAAATCGATCCAAACGGATGCACCGATAATAACGACAACATTGAAAAATCTTAGTTCATTATATCGAAGACAAGGTCGGTATGACGCAGCTGACACATTGGACAATTACGCATCACGGTCGACAAAAGATCCTCAAGCCATTATTCAAGCCTTCTATTTTGTTACGGAGAAAAATCCATCAGTTTAGATGTCTTTTATTTCATAAGGAGTTACAAAGCTGTAAGCTATTTTTGAATCATAGTAGAAATAAAGGAATTTACAGCAATGAATCCAATGGGTCAGACAAGAAAAGCAAAAATAGTAACATTTCTCTTCGTTGGTAACCTTGCTTTTGAGGCACAGTATCAACAAAAGGTATTTCACGTGGTTCTGATCGAGTGGTGAAGTGGGAGAACGACAAACGTAAATAGAGACATACAAAATCTACTTATCGCTGTTTTTTTTTGTACGAAATACTTGAATCGTTGATGTCTGTATTACACATATGACCGTCTATTCATCCACATAAACACAATTATCTTCGTCGAAACATTCCACTATGGATAATCAAGCTCCAAAACCAATGAAAAAAGGGCATCGAAATCTTCTCCATAAAGTTGGAAAGAAACTGGAAAAATTCGAACAAAGTCTTGGTCTTCAGAGCCCAAATTTGTCGCACGGATTTGCATCAGCAAGCGATTTATCTGTACATTCACATCGTTCGGATGTAAATGATGCCGATGATCAAAGTGATACTTATTCAGTTCAGTATGAACATTCGGACGCATCACCTCGAGCTGTTCTTCATCATAAACATACCAGTTCGATTTCATCGGATGGGTCACGTTTGAGTGCACAATGGCAAGCGAACAATGACGAGTTCGGTAATGTAGTTTAGTTAGAAAAGGAATGAGTAATCCAATGAACTGATTGTTATAGAACCCATTGCGAAGGAATCAAGTTCGCAGTACGATAAACAAATGAAAAGTCTTTGCCAAGATCTATTGGAAGACAAAGTAAATAATTGAACGCGAAAATTCTCGACATTTCTTTGCGGATACAATTTTAGTATGTAAATTTCTACGAATGCCGAGAATATGATAAGAAGATCTCTCTCTTACGCATGGCTGTTTCATTCAATACACCACGGATCACTGTCCCGGTAATTGATAACAAAATAGTTACGTTGAACTCATTCGCCGCTTCTTCTAGGTCATCTTGTATCTTGAAAATACATTATCGAAACCAATCTTTTATGAATTACTGAAACAACATCCATCAGCAGTGAAAAATTACATTAATATCGCAAAACTACGACTTGGAAATGATCATTATATCGCTATGCTCAAGTAAGCCAATCTCTTCAACTCCTTTCACACACACACAAACCTTTCCCCAATAGAGATTTTGATCGAAATGAAGATGTAGCTGTAAGTTAGATAGATGAATCTTATTTGAATCGTAGTTATTCATTTGGTTCAGATGCTACACATTCGACAAGCAATTGAAACGACTGATTCTCATACTAAAATGACTTTACTTGATCAAGCTGCTAAGTAACATCGTTTTGAACTTGTAGAATTACATATTTATCTGTTGAAAACTCTTAGTGAACTTCGTTCTCATCAGTGGTGGTATTCTCAAATTGGTGAATATCAACAGTTACTTCGTGTTCAACGAGAATTACAGAGTGTAAATGCAAAATCAACAGCTGTTCTCTTATAATTCTTTTTTCATTTTAGTCTTCGTCGTCGTCCGAGATGAATGTTCGTTTAGCAGACCGAAGCACGCGTGACGCGTACAAAGCGGCGTACGACGTCGACCTTCGACGACACAAATATCAACGGCATGGTGATAGAGCTACTGTTAGTTTTCTCTTCTTTCAACGCTTGACCTCAAAAGAAAGATCATTCATTTAGAATTTCCGTCGAAGTAAAGAGTTAGAAAGCACACTCAAGGTAACGATAGCTTTTCGGTTTTCATCATCTAATATCTCCTGTGTTCTGTGAACTAGTTAACCGAAGAGATGATTTTGTGTGCGCGATTGTCGGTAATAACACATTGTAGTGTGCGAACGCATTATGAGGACTTTGTTGAGCAAGCAACGAAACAAGTATGAATGGATTGCAAATTAATAACATATCGAAAAACGTTTTCTTTTTCAAGCATCTATTTAGTAAAAAGTATATCATTGCACCGGAGAATTTTGCAGAGATGGTTTACAATTGGATAAGATTAAGTGGTGAAGGTCAAGAGAAGGCTAGTCAAAAGGCAGAAACGTTTTTAAATATGATTTCAAATCCAGGACGACGAATTTATTATGCAGAAAAGTTTCAAAACTATGATGTAGCGATGGATGTAAGTTTAGGTCGTGTGTGATGTATGCTTTCGAATTTATGCTTATTTTTCAAAGACAATTGCGAATGTTCTGCGAGATCGGATGGAATTGGAACATTTACGTCGACGTATACCAAAGGATCATCCATCATATGAACGTGCCACAGCATTATTAGAGGTAAATGAATGAAGAAAAGGACATACATAGGACTAGTCTGTGTTTTTAGAGCGCAAAATGGAAAAATTGAAGGGTCAGACGATTGTTGCGGTCAGATTATTAGTCGATTTTTATTCAAACGGACAGAGACAGGTTTTATTTTCCAATGTAATATGAGTAATGTGATAAAAAACGAAAGTAAACGGGATCACCTATGGTAAAGAAGAGTTTATCACAAATTTATCGGAAAATCTTAATGCTAATGAATTCTTTGTATCAATTCGTTGATGATCTTCAGCTAGATCAAGTGCTGCTGTTTTTACCGACGAACTGTTCATTATCATTATCACCACATAAATAACACCTGCAAGAGCACATACGAGTAGGGAGCCAAAAATGAGAAATAATGTTGCATTATTCATAGGAAAAGTGTAGCAAAGAGAAAAAAAAGATATGAAAAAATAATTCTTTGGCGCCAAGCATCGGATTATCAAGTAGAAGATGTTGGTTCACTTGTATTGACAGCTTGATCGCTATCAGTTGATGCCATACTGTTGAGTCGAATTGCAGCAACAAGGGTAGTTAGTCCAACGGAACCTTGGATTGATTTTTCTCTTCCAGATGATGGACGTTCTATAATTTGTTGTGTAATATTAGGCTCCTTTGAATCAATTATAGTTGATGCGCAGTTTGTCATTGATTCTTGTTGGTTTTTATTAGCTGTTGAAGGTCGAGATGCCGAGAGGCTAGCAGCAGCATTCGGATTAGCTTCGTTCTGTTTCTGATTCGCTGATGGTACTCTTGGGCCTGCTGTCAGTGAGCTCGGCTCATTAGTTGTTAAATCATTTATTTTATTATTAGCCGAAGGAGGTCTTACATTGGTTATTTCCGGATTCTTTGCTTCAATAGCTGATGATGGCCTTGAACTTACAGGAGTCGATGCGAAAATAGGTTCAATGTTGATGACTGATGACGGTCGACTTTCGATGTCTTCGGGTTGAATATCAACAGCAGAAGCAACTTCAACTTGTTTGTTAGCTGATGGTGGACGCGAAGAATTTTTTGATACTGAAATAAGTTTGTTCGAATCATTGGATAATTCATCATTTATTTTATTATTCGCTGATTGCACACGTGTTGTTGATGATGGAAGAGGTGTGGACGACATGTTGTTTAGTAATGACGAAATGAACTGACGATCGTTTATTTTTCCGTTAACTTCTCTGCTATTTATAGAGAAAAAGATGTTAAATTGTTCTAGGTAACGATGAACAAAAACAAACAACTCTCCTCGTCGACAAGATTACATATCATACATGCAGTAATTATTTACTTTGTCTTTCACTGATCAAAATTTCGATTCGGAAAATCTTCTACAAGACAAATTCTCATTCTTTCCCTCCATGAAGCAACCAGAAACGGAATAATACTATTTCAAGCAATTGAATTACTATCCTCTGAAACGTTAATTATAGATCGATTTATAATTTTCTCTCAAAAGTAAAATATGAACGGTCATTTGGCTTTTTCTTCTTCTCTCTATGATATCTTAGGTCGAAACTAGTATTGAAAACTGTTCCTGTAATACTTTCAACTAATCATATTCAGTGATTGCATGACTGAAAATCGTTTCTATTCAAAATTAATGATTGAATATATTTATAAAAGTACAATAGTTTTGTTCTCAATCTCATTTATTTCCAAAATGCACCGTTTACACAAAACATGCTTCATTGTACTTTCTTTCTGAATTAATCAACTGATTTATTTGATAAAAAGCAAAAACGCTCTTGTCAATCTCCATTTGAACTTTGTATGGCTTAGTCTATGCTTATCATATCTATTCCAGGAGCATTCCGAGCGGAAATTAATAATGAGGAAGCCCAACAGAAGCTTAGGAGAAGAAAGCGTTTCTTATTTGATATGAAACTGTTGGATAGGGCTTGACATTCTTTGATATAATTGAAGTTATAGATCGGAATGTTTATCTAATTATAGAAAAAATGTTATCGAAAACCAATAGACACTAAAACTATCGGAAGAAGTCAGTTTCATCGTCGTTACATCGATGAATCAGGTTTTTACATCAATAATCATCGTGGATGGTTCGATTGTTCGAAATTGAAATTGTTCTTTCAATTGCAAACATTCATCGATAGCTCGAACACCGCCATAAGATGTAATATCTTTCAAACACATTGCAGCAACACAAATAGCACAACGTAACCGCTCCTGAACCGGCCATTTTTTGTTAATTCCATAAATTATCCCAGCAGCGAATGCATCGCCAGCACCCACAGCACTCTTTATATATCCATCAGAAAGCAACAGTGATCCTTGATGGAAAGATTCTATAGTAGAATCATTTTCTCGAGCAATACAAACAGCACCACGATCAAAATGAATCGTTACAGTACGTTGAACATGATATTGTTCCATTAAATATCTTGCGGCTTGTTCAACATGCGCAAAAGTACCTTGTTGGAACGATTGATTTAAAATAAGGCCTGCTTCAATCTCATTCAGAATCAAATGATCAACGTGCGGCAATGTTAATTGAGCAATTTTCGAATATGAATCATTGGGAAGACTAACAAAATCAACGACAGTTTCTAATCCACATTGTTTCGCTTGTTTCAGTACTTGTGCAGCCACTGTTTCATTATTGACAATGCTATCCAATTGATCAAGTAATGTTAAATAACCAAGATAAAACACATTGTAACGTTTCTTCTTCATTAATTCAGCAAAATCGAAATGTGTCGCATCTAGTAGAGCGTTTGTGCCACGTTGATTGAAAAACGTACGTCGACCAGTTGATTCAACACTGATAACATACGTATAAGACGTTGGAGTTTCATCAGTTGTGATATGAAATTGTTCAATATCGATATTCGAACTTTGACAAACACTTCGTAACCAATGCCCATTGTCATCATTGCCAACTAATCCAATCAGTGACAATGGTAGATTTTTATCCATTGCGCGTAAGTCTTTGACGATATTAAATGGACCACCACCGCCTGTTTTCGTTTGTCGATGGATATTTGATAGAGAATTTTCTGATGGCCATTGATCAACGATCACTACATAATCAGTTACTACTGTTCCCGCGCAAATAACACCTCCTCCTCCTCCTCCTTCTTCAGCCATTTTGAAATTTGTTTATCTCTCAGATGAATATAGACATGTGATGCTGTAAAGATAAGAAAACAAAAGAAATATTCGACTTTTTTCTTTTTCTTTGCTTAGAAAAAATATTTACAATGAAAAGTGAGATTTCGACGTGTTAATTAAAAACGTAGTCGCTTTCACATACGAGATTCACGCTTGGCAATGCTTGAATCTCGGATTAATTACTTTTTCTGTAAAAGAAAAGGATTCTAGCTTAACCGATGACTTCATCGAGAAGAGACCTTGAAGATAAGAAGAAAAGAATGAATTTCTTCATTCCTGTTCAGCACATGCATCGAATAAAAGAAATGTAATCAAAACGAAAGTGGACATGTTGGAATTTATAAGTACACCATTCTAAACATTATCAATATGCAGTTACTTTCATATTCTACATATAGAATTTCTCTTTACGTAAGTTGTATATCTGTCAAGAGTATTCTTACACATGACAGATGCTTAACCTTGTAAATCTGTCATTTACATGTTTGAAAACTTGTTTGAAGTTTCATTATGAAATCCATCATCGAGATTCGATCGGAACAAACTCGATTTCATACATTCTCCTGTGAGATAAGATGCAGTTCAATCGATGAGTAGCTACAAATCAAGTTTAGAAGTCAAAGATCGGTTTGATTAGCGGAAAAGAAAACAGAATTGGTACTCTCTATTTTGCTTTCTACTGTAAACGCATACTTTGAACACATAGGAAAATGGCACATAAATACATCTTTCAAGTACGACGGAAAAGTGCGAAAGAAAAAGTTTGTACAATACAGAAGAAGAGTGCTCGGATTGAACAAGGACGTGAAAACAAAACTGAATGACAACATCACCGTGAGAATCAAGATTTGAGAAGTGTAAAGAATGAGTACGGCGATAGAATAAAAAGAAAAATAATAATAATCATAGGCAGAAGATTCAGACAAACAACTGCAAGAAAAATAGATTAAACGGTTATTTTTTGTTCAAACAATGATTCGTTTATCGTTATCGGGATGTGGCTCTTCACTTTCAACGACTACATATGCTGTACCATCAGGTGCGCGAACTGCATGATACTGTTCTTCTTCTGTTGGTGCTGGTTGATATGGTGTATCGAATATAGGTGATTTTGACTAAAAAAAGGAAAACAAGAAAATCTCCTATTCAGATAAACAAGGTGAAATTTACTTCTGAACGTCGTGGAAAAAGATTACATTGTCGAGTGACCTAATTGAATAAGAGAAATTATATATGGAAATTGGGATTAAATGATTTTTGACTTACGAAAAAGTAAATTCCAGAAAGCATAGTTGCCAGAATTCCAATGAGAATACCCACGATATAGACGAAGGCGAGGAATTTCTTGTTTACATAATGATTCCATAGTGAATCGTTCGATGGAGTTTTCTTCTTGTCAATGACGTCGGTGACAGCTGGTAACACACGGCGAAATTCTTGTGAGTTTAACTAAAAATCAACAAGAAAAAAAATAACGACTTTCGATTTCTTCCTTCTAAACACATACATCAGTATCGATCTTATCCATTTTCGTTTGAAATTCGTCCGCATTTTCTAAGTAATATGGCATTATCTGGAACGAAGTCATGCCATTCGGCTCCACTGCCGTCACGCTGATCTGCGATGGTTCCAAATTGTATTTCGCTGCAATATTATTGATCAAACCACTAAAAACGCAATTCATTTCCATTTCAAAGAAGATCAGAACAATTCTCACTTACTTCTTAAATGTTGTAACAAACTGCGGATCATTAAACAGTACTGTATCGATTTCAAAGTCATAAACAAAATAATTGATCTTCTCGCCGCTAACTAACTCGCATAGATGTAAGTCCAAATTACATACACGATTTCCATTGCAAGGAATTCTCTATAAATATGAAGACAGTGATGAGTTCTCATCGAAATATTCCCATCTCACTTACTTCACTACATTGAATCTTTTCCGAAACAGGTTCCCAATTACATTCACACATATCGCAACCTTCGCTGTTCTTTTTAAAACCATACATGCAAAACATTCGACATGTCTGAACAGGACATCGATTGCATGAACACAATTGACATCCAACGAAGTCACGTTCGTAGCCATATTTACAAGATAATTTGCAAGTTGTGATTGGCGAACAACCATTGTTCTCATCAGTCTTCTTCTGTGCATCGTCATCGTTACATGAACACGTTGGACAATCTAACAAACCAAGTATTCATAACATATGACAACACTCAATTCGCTTATCTTACTGCTATAATCTTTGCGATAACCACTAGTACATTTATTTTGACAATTTAGTTTCGGGCATGATTGAGGAGAATCATTGCATTGACAAACCTCGCATCCGTTTTTATCACGACGAAAGCCATGTTCGCAAAACATACGACACATAATCGGTGAACATTGAACGCCTGCTTTCGATGGAACATCTTTTGTGTCTGTTGAGGGTTGAACTATACGTTGTATTGTTCCTTCAGATGTGCATGCGCATGTTGGACATCCTTTGGTGTCGAGTATGTAATTTCCATTTGTACATCGAAGGTTACATGTGGTAGACAAATTTGTAGGGCATTCCTTGGTCGGCGCTGGTGGTCCATCAGACCCAGAAACTATTAAGAATAACAATGAAAGAGGAATTGAATCAGATAAAGATCAGACCTATGTTCGATTGTAACAACGCTGAAACGTGATTAACGAGTACTAAACTCGTTAGAACTAGACTAAGTAACTTGATCATTTGAAAATATCGAATGATCTGATGGAAATTAATAAAAATAGTCTATCCTTGGAGAAAAAAGAATCTTGTTATTGTTGACGAGTAAGTAGGAATGACGAATCAATCGTTTGTGTCAATGTTCTTATAAATCGAAGAAAGCGAAGTAAAGAAAAAAAAGAAAGAAATATACGCCGGGCGATTTTTCTCTCTCTCTCTTTTTTTTTTTGCTCACTGAGGCTCTTCCTGTGTCCTCCTCTATTATCACTCTCCTATGAAATATATTGTTCACGCCCGCTCTTTTTTCTTGTTCTTCCTCCAAACAGAATGTTACAGAAAGAAAAATGTCGCGCTGCATTCTCTCCACGATAGAATAACAAAATGTAATATGAATCGATGCAGGGGATCAAATATATTTACCAATATATTTTGTGTGATTTTCGAAATCTATCATGCGGAACTACTTGTTTTTCCTCGCCTGACAATTTGTTATGATACTGGCATAGTCATATCTAATTGAACGTATATCTACCCTTTTCTTGTAATTATTAATCCGTCGTAAAGACTTTTCTTCTCTCCTGAGATAATGTAAAAAGAAAGAAAGGGAAAAAAAACGAGAGACTGTTATGCTGCACGAACGTTCAGCATGCCTAAAGATATTTACTCATGCGCAGAGTTCAACAAGGAAACTCTTCAACATACCTGCTTGACACATCGGCACATTACGTGCATCATTAAGACATCGAAAACCTGGAGGACAGTGAACGTCGTCCTAATTGTAAAAAATTACAGCAATAGATGAGAGAATCAATGAGTAACGTCGAACGCACTTGACACGAAGTTGTATGTTCTACCGGTTGACGTTTTGTCGTAGCACATTGACACAGTGGACAACCATCAGATGATTTAGCAAAGCCAACGTCTTTCGGACAATTGAGACCACATGAAAATGGTGGACATTGATCACTGCATTCGCAAATATTGCATCCAAACAAATCCTTCAAATATCCCGATGAACAATGCTTATTGCAACGATCCATCGATGGACATGATTGACATTCGCATAGGAGACATCCATTGGAATCAGTTCGATAACCAAGACGACAATTGAGTGTGCATGTGAACGCTAATGGACATACAGAAACGGTCTCTAATAGAAAGAAAAAAGAATCGAATTATTAGTTTTCTCGTGTCAACAAATATCTAAATGCAATATGTAAATATTTTCATCAAGAAAAAAAGTCATATAGTGTCGTTCAAGGTTAAAATTATATAGTTCGAAATAAATGAGAATTTCGAAAGGTGATTCTTACAGAATTCTTTGCATGTCAAATCAGTTGTATAGACATGATGCTTATCAGATGTATTTTATCTTTGTTGGATGATCAAGAAACGACTATTAACGAACTTAATTACTTTGTTTACGAGATTAATTTGTTTTTTTTTTTCGGATGGAGAGAAAACAATTCTTACTTGTGATTGGAGTTCGACAGACACGTTGTCCACATGATGCTTCACAACATTTGTGATCACCGGGACAATCCGTATCGAATCGACATTCCGATTGAGTGGTTTTTGTTGGTTCACATTTGTCAACGGGTTCGACGGCTTTTGGACAAATACCTAATTTACGAATTGTATTCGAACTTGGCAGAATTGAATCAATCGGTTCTGCATAATCATCGAGGTATTCATCTTCTTCGCCGAATTCTTTCTTATCTGCAGCTTCAGTTTCATCATATTCATAGTAATCATCGTAAGATAAATCATCGACTGTACTGTTGACTGATTTGCCTGGCAATGAAGTTGGTGCCGAATTTCGATTGTCAGCTAATAATCGTGTCGCACCTGATTTCGCTAAAAGACGCGGTGCTAACGGCTGTTGCTGTTGTGAAATTGATGAAGCAAGTAGAGTTTTAGAAACTGTTTCTTGATTCGAATTATCTTTGAAAGCACAATGATAACATTTCAACGGTTCATCTGGGTTATTATCATCACAATTTGGAGCTCGGCGACATATTTCTGTTGTTGGATGACATTTCAAAGCCTTAATATGAAAGAAAAAGAAAGACATTTATTAAACAAAACTCTGCCGTCGGTCTTTTATTCACTTGACACCGTTGATTAATAAGTACATTTGACTTGTCTGCATCCGCATTTACCAATACAAGGAAAGTAAGTATACCAAGCGAGATTCTAACGACGCAATTCTTCATTGTCAATGTCTTTCAAATAATACTATAATTATAAATCCAAAGGAACATATTAGTCAAATTGTTCTGTGTTCTTCAACCCTCATTCCGTGTACAAGTACTGTTCAACTTAATATTCAAACGCAGAAAAGGCTTCAATAGGTATACATGCATATGTATATGTTTCTCTTTCTTTCATTATTCTTCTCCTCTCGGACGATTTTGAAGTAGCATATAAATATAAAGCAATGTATCACTGAATTTTATGTGTACACTCTCGTGATGTATATACATCGATTAGGTATGCGATACCTGTCTGTGTTCATTACATACGTGCAGAATGAGTGATAAAGATGGATTGGATATGTCTCAAACTTGGAGTAGAAGGAGAAATAAATTGACTAATGAGAACGACTCTCGGTTTTTATATGGTCCACTAAATATTTTTTTCCTTGTCAATGATAATGACGAGTACTACGTGTAATAAGTCATTGTATATAACACAGTTCTAATATAAATATACGAGGCGTAGCATAGCCATGAGAGAAGCGAACTACTTTCGTGTATATTCTGCATAGATCATCATTAGATTCGGTAGAACGTTTTTGCATGTTAGATGGCAATGAGAAGCGCGCGCGCGAGAGAGAGAGAGACAGGGAAAACAGAAAAGAGCGAAATAGACATAATAATAATAATAATAATGATGATGATCATCGAGAATTTATGTATTGATGATTAGCAGACATGTCTTATACTATCTAAACGTCACACATACACTCGAGAGAATCTAATTGATGACAACAACATTGGTACGCGCAAAGATCTGATTAGTTCACTTGTACATCACAGATATACGTTTTCCTTTAAATAAAAAAGCGAGAAATATATATATGTACACGTACAAGTACCACTTCATTTCTTTCTCCTAAGAGTCTTTTTTATATCGAGTTCATGTCGATAAATTGAGCTGGTTTATATTGTATATTACAATAAACATTCGAGTTGGTAGAATAACAATGTAAATGTATGTCTATTTAGTAATGATATTTGGCAATATTGGACGATACTCTCCAAAAACGAAATAACAAGCTTAAACGCGAATATAATTGTTCTCTATCGCTAATGATTTTTCATATCGAAGCAAAAAAGAAACCTATTTTATTACAAGGTGAAGAAAAAAAGTGAATCTACTAGTGTCATTTTTCTCTTCGATGAAATATAGCTGCTTGTACTGATTCATTTGTAGCCTGAGGATATACATAAAGAATCTACGCACTATCTTTCAGAATACATCAAGGCTATTGAAGCGTATGAGGTTCTAGCTGTGCACTACCATTGCAACAATGTAATTTTGTAACCTTTCTTACAGATAAAGAATAATTGATGATAAGATTTCATTTCATTCATTATTGAAAGTCTGTTCTATTTACATTTGAAAAGTATCTGCTAGAAACGATACAGAAAAAAAGCGAAGTATTTTCGTTCTCGTCAATTGAAGAAGTATTAGCGGCTCTTATTTTTTTTGTGATGGTACTCGAATTAGTTCTATTCCCTGTGGTCAACTGATACGTATGCAAATAGTTTGACGATCGGATGTGACAGACATGTGAATTGTCCTCATTTTTTTTTCATTTCGCAAAGCTTACGTCATGTATCTCGATTCAACATTCTATGCCACAAATGTGAGTGTACGTGGATTGGAATAAACACTAAGAGAAATGAATCGACACCGAACTCACCGTTTGTTTTTCTTCACTTTCGCACTTTTTGTGAAATGAAATATCCAGAAAAAAGCACACACACAAACAATGTCTATCACATGAAAATTGAATCGATTTAAGGACGCTGAAGTGATGCCGACAAATTCACGTAGTATGCGTGTGATTGTAACGTTCGAGAATAGGAGTAGAATACTCGGCTGGTTTCTTCGCTTTATAGGCTTTACATCCAGCAGTATGAAAAAAAAAATAAAGGAAAGAAGTCGAAGACAGAACGAGGGAGAGACACAGAGAGGAGAAAAAGAACAGAGAAAAATGTCTAGAAGAGTAAAAGAAAGAAGAACGTGTGCGAGATGCTTACGAAGACACATACTCTATTCAGAAAATATGTTATATTTGATGATCAGCTGTATGTTAGTCCAACATTTTGACATCTCGACTGTTACTATTACACGCCGAACGTATATACATAGCATAGAACAGAATCGATTTCTGTACAACTCGCAATAACACGCTGAGAGCTAAGAGCTGAGAGAGCGATTCAGGGATATTTGATAATACCCTATAGCAATAACAACAACAACAGTCGTTAAACTTAGTAGTATAGTAAAGACGAGAAAGATACAACAGAAAGAATTAAGTTTAATCAACGAATAGAAATGTGTGATATTACATTTGATCTGAAGACGAACAGTTGCTCTTCGATTCGGTTCGATCAATCATCAACGTTGTGTGATGATTTTACTATTACTATTATTATTGTTATTGTTGTTCAATCATTCGCAGACACATTTAAGATAACCAACAGCATAAATACTTTGGATAAATAATATGGCATATACAAAAATAAGCTTATTAACCATCAGTCATAGCATTCTTACATCAGTAAAGGGCATCAATAAGAGGAGAAAAGACGCCGACTTTGAGTTTATTTATTCAATGCCGAATTCGATTTGATTTAATTACATCGAACTCATTCATTCGTTGTTCTCATACATTAAGCGACGTTTAACAAAAACAAATACTGTATCGTAAAATATCGGATGTTTTCTATCAACGGTTAACATAATCATCGGCGAACGTTTTTCTTGTATATGCTTTTACCATTAAGTCGATACTCGTTGCTTCGCCACATTGTTTGTCGTTTCAGTTACGATAAGAAAGAAAAACGTCGATGAAACCTATTTATTCACTAAGCGAAAGATGTCTACAAAAGAAATGTTTTTCTAAAGTAAACACCAAATAACTGTATTCACGGAGAAAGCAAAATCTCATTACGATCTTTTGTCACAAATTTCTATTTCATTTACATTCTCATTTCTCATGTCATGTCACGTGCGAACATGAGGAAATTCAATGAGATCAATCCTATGGCTTCTATTGTCGAATGAAGAATATTTGAACAGGAAAGATCGAGATTCGAAAGACTTTTGTGTGCCATTGGACAATTATGACCAGAGGAGACAATCTTTTGTCAATACTAATCGATTTATTTCGATTGACTGTAAAGTGAAACAGATGTTTAGTTGCGTTTAACTGCAATTTCCTTTCGACATCTGATGGTGACAGTTGATATTAATTGCAGAAGAACGATATCATTCGTGTTCGAAAAAATAAACAAATCAATTTATTTCTTCGCATAATAACAACAAGAAATGACGGTTGACAGATCGATATATCAAACAAAACTTCTGTTCGTCTCTCTTTTGTATAAATGAACTCTTGATCGATGACTTCAATGTCTTCGATTCTCTGATCAATAAAATTATCATATTTGGTTTTACAATGCAAAAGAAGCAGAAGAGCTTTCGTTGTAAATAATCGATTAGAAACACATAACCATCAAAGTAAATCTATAATATTTGCTTGTCAAAGATACATTAACCACTGGCAATGTCAAGGCAGATCAAAAGACGAACGACTTTTCTTTTTCTCTTGATCAATAATGCAGGATATGATTATTGACGTCAATGATATACATTTCTATTCATCAACAATTACTGTTCGAGTCAACCGTGTATGAAGAGAAAAAAGAGTGGTCATATATAAATAAGCAGATGACGATATTAGATATCTCGATTTGGAACAAAACAGAGGTCGATAAGGATATGATGCTAGTTCGAATAGAAGTCAAAAATAATTAAGGATAGGCGGTCAACATCGAGATGTGAGTCGCTAATACAATATCGAAATTTGTAGTAAGTTTCGAGTATTTCTCAGGAGACAAAGCTTATCTTGATCGAATCGATGTTAATAAAATGATTGATAGAGTGTGTTATTTACGAGAAGCGGAAAATGATGCTGTGAGACTATGACTTCATTAATGATCTACGAACTAGAAATCATCTATAAAATAATTATCATAGAAAACATCAATCAGTCTTATCGTCTTGTTTGTTAATCACGCATATCAGTTAATCATATTCTTTTTATCTTTGCTTTTGACAAGCTTCCTTCGATTTCGAATCGCAGGAAGTACTTTCAAGCTAGGCAAACATTCTGTTTTATGTCAATATACTGCGAATCCGACATCTTACAGTACTGCAATCTATAGACGGAATCGATAAAGAATGTTCGACAGCGACCTCTTCCTTTACTGGATCAAAGCTCTAGTAACAAGCCAATGAACAAACGAATTGTTGTTATTTATTTTTGCGATTGTTATTGATTAATCATGTGCTCTGATCTGGTGTTGTTCCTATTCTTACTCATGACGATTTTTTTGGAATAAAACCTCGTTTGTTTTTAGATTCGTTGCTTTTTTTATAATAAAACGAAGTGTTTGTCAACGAAAGAATGACTGATTCGAAGTACTTCTCCACAACACGTAAAGGTAAGCCGAAGTTTGACGTTCAATATCATTCGCTGATGAATCATATTCGTTATGCTTCTGTTTTTCGTCGTTCTCGTCTACTCATGTGAAGTGAAGAGAGTTGAATAAATACGAACGATATGACAACAGAACGGATAAACGAAAAAAGAGAAAAAAAAAAGAAAGAAAGCCACAGGTAGCTTATACAGATATACAAATGACCAATTTTTCTTTTCTTTCTTTTTTTCTTTTCTTTTTCAATGGTTCTCTCTAGTATTGGTCAAAGAAATAAAATGTTGATTGTCACATATTTTTTTTCTCTTCTTCGTTCTTTTCGGAATGAAATTGGAAAGAAAGGAGGAGAATTAAAAGGACTTTTCTCTTTCTTTCTTTCTTTCTTTTCTCTGTCTCTCTCTTCTTCGGCAAGAGGTGACGACGACAGTGCAACGACAAAGTTTTTTTTTTTCATATTATTATTACATACTCATCCTCGTTTCTTGCCGTTAGTCTTCGACGCAGACACTTCTTTTCCTTTTGACGAAACTATCTTTCGGTTAGCTTATCGAATTCATTCGAAATCGTTTTACCCCGAGGAGTGAGTGAACGTTTTGAACGCGAATAGACATGGCTGCGATGTATGAAGCTGAAGCGAAGAAAGGTATTCGTGACAGACTAATTAGACAACCTGAGAAACATCAATTTCATTTCTTTCGTTTTGTAAATTAGGTGAAATTTATGAACTGAAAGCAGAATTAAATAGTGATAAACGGGATCGGAAGAAAGAAGCAGTTAAAAAGGTAATTGGATCCATTCGAAAGAAAAACAACATTTACTCATGGATGGATATTTTCGTTCGTTTAGGTTATTGCAAGCATGACAGTCGGGAAAGACGTTAGTCAATTGTTTCCTGACGTTGTCAACTGTATGCAAACGGACAATCTTGAATTGAAAAAACTTGTTTATCTATATTTAATGAACTATGCTAAAACGCAACCAGAAATGGCTATTCTTGCTGTTAATACATTCGCAAAAGTAAAAGAAAGTCAATGAAATCACTCGACTAGTTTTCGATCATGTCTTTCTTAGGATTGTAATGATCCAAATCCATTGATCCGTGCTCTAGCTGTACGTACCATGGGTTGTATACGTGTTGAGAAAATCACTGAACATTTGTGTGAACCATTACGTAAATGTTTGAAAGATGAAGATCCGTATGTGCGAAAAACAGCGGCCGTTTGTGTCGCGAAGTTATATGATATTAATCAACAATTGGTCGATGATCAAGGCTTTCTGGATATGTTGAGAGACTTGATCTCTGATTCGAATCCAATGGTAATATAAGATTGGACGGAAAAAAAGTTAAAACAGTGACGATGAATTTATTTAGGTCGTTGCAAATGCTGTTGCTGCACTGAGCGAAATTGCAGAGCAATCACCACAAACAAAAGTTTTTGATTTAAATGGTCCAACTATCAACAAACTACTTACTGCACTGAATGAATGCACTGAATGGGGACAAGTTTTTATTCTTGATGCTATTTCGAATTATGCTCCAAAGGTTTGTTGAGATATGAATGAGAAGACGCATTCTATTCATAGACAGGAAATCTTTTACAGATAACGAGGCATAAAGATGTCATATATTTTCTTTATAAAAGAAATTACTCTGTAATGTGATGAACTGATTTATTTTAGGATGATAAAGAAGCACAAAGTATTTGCGAACGTATAACCCCACGTCTAGCTCATGCCAACGCTGCTGTTGTTTTATCTGCTGTCAAAGTAATTCTTTCATCACCGAAGTATTCTTCGAGTTGACATTGATTCTTGTCTGTATGCAGGTTCTGATGAAATTTCTGGAATTAATCGATCAACATAGTGAATTCGTACAGAATCTACATCGTAAATTGGCACCGCCATTAGTTACACTCTTATCAGCTGAACCCGAAATTCAATACGTGGCTTTGCGTAACATCAATTTAATTGTACAAAAACGGTAACTGATATAATTTCTTTTGATAAGACAAAAGAAAAGTTTCGTTCGATTGTTTTGTAGGCCGGATATATTGAAGAACGAAATGAAAGTCTTTTTCGTTAAATACAATGATCCAATTTACGTTAAACTCGAAAAACTCGATATCATGATACGATTGACAAATGCAACAAACATCGCTCAGGTTTTAGCTGAATTGAAAGAGTATGTCGAATGCTCCTGGGAAGATCATCAATGTCGAAACCATTTCGTTTAGATATGCAACGGAAGTCGACGTTGATTTTGTGCGTAAATCAGTTCGTGCCATTGGTCGTTGTGCTATCAAGGTAGAACAATCTGCAGAACGATGTGTTAGTACATTGATTGATTTAATTCAAACAAAAGTCAATTATGTTGTACAAGAAGCAATTGTTGTCATTAAAGTAAACAATCTCTTCCTCCCGGAGATGCTTTTAAATAACAAGAATTAATTGCAGGACATCTTTCGAAAGTATCCAAATAAGTATGAAAGTATAATTGCGACGCTATGTGAAAATCTCGATTCACTGGATGAACCCGAAGCTCGGTAAGATTTTAGTCATGTTTTCAGCTCGTTTGGAACTTTTTCTACGATCTAGTGCATCCATGATATGGATTATTGGCGAATATGCCGAACGTATTGACAATGCTGACGAGCTACTCGAAGGTTTTCTCGATGGTTTCAAAGACGAAAATAGTCAAGTACAATTACAATTATTAACAGCAATTGTGAAATTGTTCTTGAAAAAGCCAACCGAAACACCACAGGAACTGGTGACACGTGTTTTAACACTCGTCACACAAGTAAGTCATTCAATATCAAGTCGTTCATCAAACAAAAATGGTTTCTCATTTTTGCTTAGGAAACTGATAATCCCGATTTGCGTGATCGTGGTTATATCTACTGGCGGCTTCTATCAACTGATCCAAAGGCAGCTAAAGAAGTTGTTCTCGCAGAAAAACCACTCATCTCCGAAGAAACTGATTTACTCGAACCAACGCTACTCAATGAACTTATCTGCCATATTGGAACATTAGCATCCGTTTATCATAAACCACCAAATGCGTTTGTCGAAGGTCGACATGCACTGAAAAAGAATTTGCCGCTCCGGTCTGGTGGTGATGCTGGCGAGGACGACGAAGCAGCTGGTGAAGATATCTTGGGAGGAAATCAACAACAACAACAACAACAACAACCTGTTGTTATCGGTGCCAATGTCGGCTCACTAATTGATGATTTCGACATACTAGGACCCATGCCAACAACGACAACCGCACCGTCAGCTACCACTGTTGGAATAACACCAGCACGAACTCCATCAGCTGTGCCGAATCTACTCGATGATGAACTTTCATCAATTCTCGGGCCGGACATGAATATTGGCGGTGCTCACACACCGCAAACTCAGGTGCCGACAATGCCTGCAACGACAACATCACTTCCAATGACTCAACCAACGAAAAGCGGAAATCTACTTGATGATTTATTCGGTGATTTGAATTTAGGTGGAGGTAGTATCGGCGGTGGTGCAGGGTTTGCCCATTCAGCGACCAACACTTTTGCTCTACCAAAAGAAGTAATAAAAGTCGATTACGATGAGCTTTTCTTCGAATCTCAATTCTAGGCTTGGTTAAGCGCACAGAAAGGTAAAGGTTTAGAAATCTCCGGTACATTCGCTCGTCGAAACAATCAAATCGTCATGGAAATGGATTTTAGTAACAAGTCATTACAGCCAATGAGTGATTTCGCTTTGCAACTAAATCGTAATAGTTTTGGTTTAATACCTGCCCAACCATTACAAGTGACAGGTCCGTTATTCCCAAATCAAACTGTCTCGGCACAACTAGTCTTAACTACGAATGGACCTACTTTAAAAATGGATCCATTGACGAATCTACAAGTGGCAGTTAAAAACAATGTCGAAGTGTTTTATTTCGCATGCGTCGTGCCAATTCACGTGTATTTTATTTTGGATACTGAAATGGACAAAATGGCATTCGTTCAAGCCTGGCAAGATATTCCGGAGAGTAATGAGATTAAACAACAATTACAGAATGTCAACGGTTTATCGATTGATGATTTGCAAAACAAATTACGCTTGAATAATATTCATACAGTTACACGAACGATTATTGAACAGAAAGAAATGCTTTATCAAACAATTAAATTAACGAATGGAATCAGTGTCTTAGTTGAATTGAAAATAACACCGGGAAATCGAACAATAGCGGTAAATTTGAACTGCCAGAAAATAATTGAACTTTGTGTTCTCTTTTAGTTTTCATTAAAAACCAAGATTCCAGACGTGGCCAATTTAGTCGTTCAAGCTTATGAACTCATTCTTAGTAGTAACTAGTCGTTCACCTGCATGTTATCTTTTACAAATGATCAAAGAGTCAACTGTTGCTGTTGTTTTTCTCTTCCTTTCAATGTCTCATTCCTTTCGATGTCTCAAGTCAAACTAAATATGATATTAATAAATACATATATTCACTTTTATCAAATATAATCATCTTCGTTTTCTTGTAGATCGAAAACCGAGGTTAGCTGTTGTTTTTTTTCTATCTGATTACACAGTGGGTATAATAAAAGGGTCATGTTGACATGGAATAGCCGCTTTGTTTATGCAGTTCTGATAATAACGTTGTTGAGAAGAAGATGTTGGATCGAGAGAAAGAAACAGTCGATGATATACGAGAGATGTTTTCGAAATTCGAGATAAATAGCTTGAATAAACGAGAAATTTCCTTTCCGATTATCTTCATAGTGCATGAATCTTCGAATATTTTCGTATATTGTCGTTGATATCGCAATTATTGATGGCTAGCGGTACATGTCTCAATAGTCATATTTACAAACCGTCAAACGCGCTTAGTAAGCAATAACGAGTCGGAGAGAATATAATGACTAGAAGTTTAAACACAGAAACTCAGTGATTCATCGGCAGTGCTTAACAAAATCACTGAATACCCACTGTAGAAATCGTCTATTTCAGATTGTTTAACGTCTTGATCGTGAGATGCCTTCATTATCGAAAACTCCATTTCTTATTGGTGTCTCCGGAGGGCCATGTTCTGGTAAGTATGTTCAATACTAACTATAATAAATCTGAACAATGACTTGTTTAGGTAAATCCACAGTATGCCAACGAATTGTCGATGCTTTACAGCCGGAGAATTCAACTGATCAGACAAAGCGTGTTACTGTGATAGCAATGGAGAATTTTTATAAGCCGAAGACACCGGAACAACGTGATATGGCATTACGTGGAAATTACAATCTTGATCATCCAGATGCATTTGATGAAAAACTTTTATACAGTACTTTAAAAAAGCTACTCAACGGCGAAACTGTTCAAGTGTGTTGATTGATATCGATGAACGATGTTTGACTCAATTCATGCTTGTTTAGATCGCTCGGTATAATCCTGCTAAATATGAACATACCGAAGGAGTATTCGATACAATCGAATCTGTACCAGTCCTTATTGTCGAAGGCATTCTCGTTTTTTATTTCCCAGAAATTCGAGTAAATAACGGTTCATTTGAAAAATTGTGCATTGCTACCCGATTGTTTCATTTAGAATCTCTTTCAAATGAAATTATTTGTTGATACAGATGCGGATACACGTTTGGCTCGTCGTGTTCTGCGTGATATGAAACAGCATGGTCGTAGCTTAGAAAATATCTTAACTGGCTATACAAATCATGTTAAACCCTCATTCGAAGATTTCTGTCTACCAACAAAGAAATATGCCGATGTGATTATACCACGTGGTGCTGATAATCATGTTGCTGTTGACCTTATCATTCAACATATTAGAGATTTTTTCAAAGCTAAATCTGAAAAACATGAAAATCAACAATCAATCGAGAAGACTCTGCCAGCACGACCTCATTAATTTCGTTTTGTTCTTCCTTAATATATATACGTGTATTATATCTGTTTTTATCGAGTAGTCAGATTGAGAATAACCTTTTCTTGTTTTCTTCCTGCGAACAAATTCTCTACCCATTTATAATATTCAGTGCAAAATCATTGGATATTGTCATGTGCCGTTTGTCCTGTAGTCTACTATGTTACAAGTATTGAACGTTTAGTTTTTATTTATGAATGTTTAAACCCGAACTAGTATACTTTTTCCATTGTTTGTATTCATCTGTTTACTTATGAAATGTGCAAAATGCAAAGGAATGAATCAACTAAGTACGCTCTTTATCTTCCTTAATAAACGTTCGAAAAGCCATAAGTCAATATAATGAGCGAAGTTGAATTCGCATATACAGTATGATCTGTATTTTAGATGAATAGTTCATCTAAATCAACGAAAACTTGGACGCTATTACGTTATGCTGTTGAAATTAACCATCATTCACCTTCGTCAAGTCCAAATTCGACGTCGTCTAGCGAGCGACAACAGTTCGTGCTTGTTCTTATCACATAGAAACTGTTTATTCTGCTAGTTACTTTCCTATAGACCACAACGGCAACTTATTGATTGTTCGGAAGGACTACTTTGCTTGACGCTTACACCGAGTCAACAATTGTACGTTATTCGTGATGATACGGAAAAGATTGAATGTGTTGATCTGTTAACAACTGATTCTTCTTCAGTTATGGGTACTTACACCGGCGATAGTCTCCTCTTGACTTATCTTATTCCACATGATAATATTCAGCGAAAATTTTTAGTTAAATTTGCATCAACAGCTACGCTGAATGCTCGACAGCATTGCGAAGATTGTGTCAAGTTGCTTTCACATTCAATTAATATCACTCATTTTGATTCTACATCATCATCATCACCGATAACAACGAATTCGATTGTATCAATTGCTGATATGATTAAATATTTAATGAAAGAGAATCCGATTCAGTTGTCTTCGTATTATAATCAAGAAGTCGTGTTTAATTGGAAAGAAACAGATGAACTATTGGAAAAATATCTATGTGATGAAACATTTCCAGATTTCGTTGCTAACGTTGCATCAGTACTTGAAACGATGAAAGATAGTTCCAAGTAGTTTTTATTCATTTTCGTTACTTTTATATGTGCAGATATTTTTTTTTGATAATAAATAATGAAAGAACTCGATTTTTATTATTTCGATAGTTCCCAAGAGCGTCGGTATTCGATCAGTCGAGAACCTCGCTTTTTTACAGTTTTATTGAGTTTATTCAAAGCAAGAATAAGCAAATTATTGAGCATGGCCAATTTTTATCGCTCATTTTGTATGTTTTCTTGTTTATATTGCATAATAGGTAACTTAAGAACATGTATTCAGCAAAACAGCAACGTTATTATCTTTATTATTGACTACTACCAGATCTGATTTGTTGTCTTGATTGAGATCGTCGAAAGTCAGAAAACATGAGTACCCGCCAGTACCATGCATCGGATTGGTCTGAGAGCTACTATTCCCATTACCGAGTAAGATGCTAATGCTGCCACCAAGGTAAATAATGACGGAGTCAGTAGCATAGTTTGCTACTGCCAGATCTTCTATACCACCGCCAGATCTGTTCTATTGTCGCGATTGAAGTCAGCCAGTGCTATAGAGAATGGAGTCACTCCAGTTAAATACATTTGTTGAGTTCGAAAGCTGCCATCACCGTAACCAAGTAAAATGTTCACCTGTGAACCTATCACCGCCAGATCTAGGTTATTGTCCTAATTAAAATCATTTGACACAGCAGAAAGTGGAGAAGAGCCAGCACTATAAATCCGATATGTGTTGAATAACGATAGGCAAGTGTTTGCTAAAATAAAGAATACGACATGTTTGTGAATTAGAACTAATCATGCGTATGGCAAAAGACACCCAGAATAATACACAGAGAGTTCAAATTCTGTATAGGAGAGGGTTCATTGTATAGTGCACTGTTGTTGCATCAGACGATGTAATATAGTGAATTCTAAGACATTTTTTCCACCTCTCGTCAGCAATTAAAGAAGTTTGTCAACGTTCACTCTCTTATCTTTTGTCAATCACTATGGACTCTTTCAAAAACTTAATCTCACTGAATAACTATCTAAATGTTCACATATATCACAAATAACAAAACCTGCTACTAACCTGTCGTGGTAGCTGTTGTTGATATCGTCGAAGTTACAGTTGGTATACTTGTTGAAGGTGATTTTGTGATGGTGGCAGTCGGTTCTATCACATTAAAATAAAAGTAGCAAAAAACCAGTACGAATTGCACTATTTCCGTACTCAAGTTTAATACCCATCCAGACTTTTCTTCGATCTACACCCTACCCTCAAGACTGTATTTTATTCATACTGACCTGGTGGAACTCGTGTTCTATCCATGATTACCATAGTGGTAGCATCGACAGCAAGAAACATATAGCTTGCTTGACTTTGCACATTTGTAAATATTTCACAGATAGCTACTGTTTCTCGAAAAGTGAATACTTCGCATTGAACTTCAGATAAGCAAGCTGATTGACAATCTTGAATGTTCAATGCAGTACTTGTAGCATATGGTGCACAAGTTGTATTCGCGCACTGAAACTGCCAACCGCTCATGACAGTCAACTGAGCTGATTGTATATCTTCTTGCGCGGACTGTCCACTTACGGTCAGAAGAGAAGAGACCAAAAAGAGGAAAATACTGTTGGAAGTCATTCCCAATTGATTCCCTTTAAAATGACAAACAGAATCGTTGTTACGCTTTATTTTTATTTCACCGACTGGGAGAGATAGTTTGTTCATGATTTTATCGCTATTTGCTGATAGATGGGAAACTTGACTAAATGAAACGATGTTGCTTTAATCAGAACTTTCACTTCAAGTTGAAATGCATGGTAAAATTCAGACGCTGCAAAAGTACATCAGCTAATTCACGAGACCTCACTTACTGTAGTATGTGATAACGAAAAAGTCATGAAATAATACATTTGCACCTTGTACGGATGAGCAAGAGTGGCCTCAATGCAGTCTCTTCAAATAACTTGCAGTATAAATGTTATGACTTTTATTTCTTTTCATACGCAACAATTACTTTTCACGCAACGAAAGAAAAGAGAAAAATGAAAACTTTGGATGATTAATGTTGATTTTTCTTGAACCAATCCATCAGAAGAATCTGTCGATTAGTTGGAATAGGAGCATGTTGAGTATTATATTTATCACCAGTATGTTCAACACTCCATCCTGCCCATTCACGAAAAGCATGATATGCCCAGTCCCATTCGTTCTCTTCGAAAATGTCGATGACATCTCGTAGATATTCATAAGCACTATTTCCTGGTGCCCAACGAATAGCAGAGAATTCGCCTACATAGATGTGAACATTGTAAGCACGTTGCCAATCCAGAACACGCTTCATATTGAGACGTAGTTCATTTTTGTCCCACATTTTACCATCGATAACACCTGGATAAGATATAGGAGTAACATCATCATAAATATTCTGATGTGTGAATGTACTAGGTTGATACATATGAAATGAATAAACTATCTTATCGAAAGGCACTGGTTGAAGATCTATCAAAGCACCTGCTCCTCCTCCTGGTGCTCCTTCAAGAATGATGGCATGTTCTGAATCGATAGCACGAATACGTTGAATAGTGGCAATGGCTAAATCACGCCAATCCATGATGTCGTCAGGAACTATTCCTTCAATTGGTTCATTGGCCAGATCATAACCCCAAATAATGGATTCATTTTTGTAACGTCGTGCAATTTTCTCCCACAAGGAAAGAAACGTGTCCTGAAAACGTTTTTCTTTGAATAAATTGTTCGTTGATTCGTTATTACGACCGCCAGGAAGTGTATGTAAATCAACGAGTATGTGAAGACCTAATTCGCGACAAACAGGTAGCATAGAATCGAGATGTTGAAGTGCACTTTCTAACCATGCTTCATAAGCAGGAATATCACCATTATCAGCTGGACTGTTCGGAAATCCATTCCACATCAATTGCCAACGAACATGATTGGCATTCCAACTACCGAAGTCTCGAAAGTCTTTTTCTTTAAGATTAATACCAATCATAGCACCACGTAGTCGTGTGAGATTATGACCTTTGTAAGGTAGTCCTGTTGCTGGAGGTGGTGGTGGAGGACGAGGTTTGCTGTACACAGTGATGAGAAGATCGTCAAACCAAACCATTCCTGTGACTGCTTCTAGACCAAGTCTGAGCGTTGCTTGACGTGCATCACTAGGAACACCGACAACATAATCGACAGAACGCCAATCGAAGGTACCTTGTGGTTGATTCTGTTGTAGATAGTTGTCACCAGAAGGTCCTTGTGTATGCAGCATGACTTTGATACCATTCCATGGTTTCGGAGGTGTACTAATATTGACAGCTTTGGCCAACGCTCGAATTCGAATCTTCGAGCCAGAGAGTGTGAATGCTGGCAGAGAGACAGTTGCCCATATCGATGCACCATTTGGTTGATTTCGTTCGATACGAAGTGCTTGGTTTCCACGATCTGTTGTTACAAGTTGCACGAGTGGACCAAGAGATGCACTCCAATAAGTTTGTTCAGCAGATCCATCAAAGTTATGTTGTGAAATAATGTCACCTTTTTCAATCGCTTCAGTAACAAGAAGAGTTACTAGAAAACTAAAGAGCAAAGTGAAACTATTGAGTTTCATTGCTTGAGAACGATCGAAATGTATGTATTGTTGAGATCGAAGTGTAATCGTTTCTTTATTGAGAAAAATGAAAATAAATCCGGATTAGTGGAAAGTAAAATGATACGGAAAAAACAACATTGATATCATGAAGAAAAGTACTCCCTGCTGTTAATCACTCGGATATCATTCTAAGGTAATTATTGTACCTATTAATACTGAAAGACTCTTTACACATGGGCGAAAATAGCCAGCGATCGTCCATATACAAAACGTGTTTGATCTTGAAAGAGACGAAAAATTAATCTATCGATCGACAGTACATCACATAACTATTTGGAATCCATATCAGATTGAGACGAAATGACACGTTTAGTCTGGTCCTAAATAGAAGTTTTTGAGAAAAACCCAAAATTCCGTAACATGATTAATGTTGTTTTCATGAACAGCGTCTTTAATAAAACTTTGATTTATTTTCTAAATATACACAAGAACTAGTCATTAAATTATGGGTGCAAATCGAAAGAAGGCAATAAATCTGACAACCAATCAGTAGGTAAAGTATGCAATTAAAAACTAAAATGGAATTCTCCGAAAATAAAATGTGAACATTTATAAAAAAGGACTATCAACATTCGTTCGAACAGGTTGAAGATGCGTTATTGATTGTAATAAATTATTCGAATCCGAATTGTATCGGAGATAAAGTTGAAAAAGAAGTCGATACAGTGTTCTTTGGTTTCCAGAAAGTAAGTCGTTGATTCGGCAATACTGTTCAATCTCGGTTCCAACTAAAACAGAAGAAATTCCTACAAAAAATATCGTTTTTCATGCCTAGATTTACCTTCATTCAGAAGTTGAAAAGCTAATTGAAGGTTCGCACGAGATTGTTCACGTGTAATTGGCTTTTTATGATTATATTTATTTAAAATAATAAATGTATTTTCTAAATGACTGATTAAATAGAGTAAATTTAACCCATCCTGAAAGTCCTGAACATCGATTTGTTTGATATAAATATTGTAACGATTCAAGTGATTGTTGACAAAGCTTAACAGAGTTTTTTCGACATTCAGTAACTTGTCAGGTGCTAGATCAAACAAAGCATCGATGAGATCGTCCTGTTTTGAGGATTCCGTCTAAATAGTCGAAATTTTCTCTTGAGAATTTATGTTTTAAATATCCTTACTGCATTGATTACTTCACGATCATGTTCATCAATAAAACGTTCATGTGCAATTCTTGTCTGCAATATCCCATTTGTTTTTCTTACAATAACCACTTTCAAAAGTAAAGTCTTGGGTAGTTCATCATATATTTTCCTATTGTAGATCCTCATCAAGGCTAATAATAAATGTAAAATAGCAATCAAATCTCGACTGTAAATTTGTTCAGATGTCCACAAAATGGGTTGGTTGTGTTGATTAAAGTACATTTCAAGATAATTCAAAACACGTTGAAGAGTTTTCTTCTTACATTCTTCAGATAAAGGTAATCCATCTGTCAGTAGCTGAACATTTGGTTGATAAAATTCAATCAGTTTACCCAAAATATAACCATCATAAAGATCATCTTCGAATGATCGAACTATGATCGACTCGGCACTTAATGTTGAATTCAACCAATTGAATAGGATGTTTCTCGTTTGTTTGAACTCCGAATTGCTATAAGAACTTGGCTCGAGCATGGAACGTTCGTCACCTTCATCGAGTAGATACGATTTTGGATCGATGTTGAAGAATGGGTAGATGCCTTCGCTCGTCTGTTGTTCCGACGATGACAGAGACGAAAGATGAAGAGAACTGATACCTTCTTGTAAAATTTTGGTCACTTCCTGTCGTTTCTGTTGGCGTCGTTTCAGCGTATTGGAGAGAAATGATGAATTCTCGGTTAATGATGACATTTTCAATCTGTAAAGTAATACACACTAGATATTAGAAAAACAAATCATTGCTCATATGAATAATAGAAAACAAGAAAATGACTTTCAAGTCGACTAGCAAGAACAAATCTTAAACAAACATGAGTATTAATAGCACCAAGAGGCACATGTAAAGAAAACAGTTAACAATGGTCAAACAAGCACACACACACACACACACAGATAAATATTCTTAAATAAGACTTTATAGATCCGATCCATTTAAGGATCAACGAATGAGACCATGATAAATCGTTTGCCTTTCAGAACAGGTAAACCTTCGTGTAAATGAGTTAACCGTCCAGGATGCATTAATGCCCAGCCACGAACAGTGGATGCGATGGAACAATTGTAACGAAGGAATCGACAACCACCACCCTACGAACACGAAGATTATTCAAATCAATCCATTTTATTTCCTCTTCTTACTTCATAATCTTTTCCCACATCATTTAATGCTAAATTAATCGTGTATGTCGATGCATCATGATGTGGTCGTAATTTATATTGATATTCGGGCATATACCGAACGACGAAATTCAATGCCGCTTTTGGTGGCTATTGAAATAAGCAATATAGCAATAGATGGCTGTCAAGAGCATAGATTGACATGTACTTACATCATTGTAATAACCAATGTAGACTTTCTGTTGTATTGGTTGAATAAATTCTTTCAGAAAGAATAACCAATGGTCATTGAAACCAACTTGCGTCATGTGAATGTCATCTGTTGGTACATTTTCGTAGCCACCTGATAAACGTGCATCCTAAAGCATAGACATCTGCATATAAGAATCAATTAAGTGTCTAAAGTAAACATACATTATGAGCTGAGCCCGACCATCCGTTAAATACTTCCATAACTTTGACTAAATCGTAAGTAAATTCATCGGTGGCCACTGGAAACCAGAAGACATCAGGACATGGCTAAAATCGATATAGAATTCGCATTCTCGCGTTCATTTCTTTTTTGACTACCTGTTGAAGTGTTGTATTTAGATCAAGTGCTTTGTAATAATCGGGATGGATATAACGAGCTTTCCAATCCTTGAAAAATACTTTTAAAATTATGCGTACAACTATTGATTAAACTTACATGCAGATTATTGAATATCTCGTAAAGTTCAGGTACAATCAAGGAAGTATTGAAGTTATCCGGATCAGTTTGATGTCCATATTTATGTTCATTATTCAAATACATGAAATAGCCCTAGAATAACGTCAGAGAAAATCACTCTGAGACGGTGTTTTCATCTTACAGCATCTCGTATTGATTGACAAAATTTGACGTCGGGATCGATGCTTGCATCGATATATTTCGGTGTAAAGCGTTTGAAAAACGTTCCATTAATCAAATAACAATGAGCAATATGTGGAACATTGAACGATCCCCTACAATAAAAATGTTCATCGAAGTCTAACAACGAATATTTACTTACGTTTTATTGTAATTTATAATATCCACATAGTCAGGTGAGCGTTTGTAGAATCCTTCATCGGAGTAATCTCCCCAGAAGTTACTCCACGTTTTACCTGGTCTCAGTAACATCGGGGAAATGATTGTTCGATTGAATGAGACTAATTTGGTTAAAGTATCCGGATTATCCAACTGAGAGATCGAATCAACAACAAACAAATAATCACATTGATCTTCTTGACATTCCGTGCTAAAAAAGAAAGGCAACCATCGACTTATCTTCGGAAAACATACAGTTCAATAACATACATGGCTTGTTGCCGAGCTTCACCTTCAGTTATGTCATCATCGTGATTGAAATATTTGACAAATTTATAACCATTCTCTTTGAATTTTGACATGTATTTTTCAGTAAGATTCTTATGATATTCAACCTAGACGAGAAAATTTTCTTTCATGTTATCTTATACAGATAATTCTATTACTTGATTGTGGATCAAAACCGCCAGGCGACTTTTTGGATAGGTTAAATTGAATATTTTATCATAAAACTCTCGAAGAAATGGAGTGGGATACTCGATAAATATCGCGACATAAACCATCGGCCATTGTTTCTACAAAATCGGAACATTTCTAATGGAAAACACAATGCTGGATTTACCTCTTCGATCTTTGTCAGATCAATCACATTCTCTTTCGATTCTAAAGAACCAACCGTTGGTGACCATGCGCGAGCAATGTAATTACTCAAATAATTTAAACTTTTCTACAATAGAAAAAGGACGTTTCACACAGAAGATTCTTTCTAATACTTTACTTTTGCTGGCCCATTTCCATGAATAACACTCGGAACTGAATCTGTCCATGAATTTCGTACATAAACTTCATCATTAAGAATCGGTAATTCAACTTCATCTGTTGCTCCATTCAAATTCATGAAAATTTCCGCACGTTTGTCCAAAACAATCCCCCATTTGGTCTAGACAGAATATTTTCTCAACAGTAAAAACCAAACGCAACTATTCAACTCACTCGCGTATATTCATCAAGAAAGATCTTCGTATAAAACAGTTGATCGTCCTCTGTGTCCTCAATTTTTTCTTTACTAGTGATCATCTCGTAAATATCCCATGCATAACCGATAAAACCACCGGAATTCAAAAATCGTTTCTCGTTGCTTTCAACCAACGGATAATCATACTGAGAAAAAAAAACAAAGAACAAATGTATGAGACGTTCCAGTGCTCTTTACTTGTAAACTTTTATCCGGCCAACAGTAATCTTCAGCACCGAAAACAATCCGAGCGGAGTCGAATTTTTTAAATTTGTTCAATAGAAATTCCGGTGGTTGAGTGAATATAACATCATATGAATCCGTAAAAAGAATGAGTTTAGTTCTGTCGTTTTTGTAACGGGCTAAATTTTCTCGAAGAATGTTGATCTTCTGACCGCCACCTGCCGAGTTTTTCATATCTCCACCTTTCCATGTTTGGCCCAAACCATAAATCTAGACAAAATAAGAAAAAAGTATTCGAGGTAAATGCACGATCATAAATACTTCGTATTTATAGCCATAGATATTTAATGAACGAATGAAACGTCGATAACCATCTGTTTCATCAGTCGCGACCGAAACGACAAGTAAATCATCTGAAATCATAGACATGTTCTCTCATTTGCAAGCGATTTTGTCTATTAACTAACCTTTACTAATCGCTTGAATCGATTTAAAACAAAGTACCAATAGCAGAACAGTCCATTGTGCCAACATCTTGCACATCTACTCAAACAAACGGATCAATTAATGAGATGAGATGAGATGTTGTAACTATCGGAATAGGTCATCAATATTACCAGTCATGTAAAAACAACGCTCTCGATTATTTATATCCAAGACAAAAAAATTCTTTTTATTCCGTTGAAACAAAAACTCATCGCTCATTCATAACCTCAATTATCTAAATGTTCAAGTGCATAAATGCGCTGGTACTCATTAGGACAATGGAGAAAGAGAACAGTACAACAAGTCGTGTCTGTACATATTGATCTGTTCTTATTTATATAGAGAGACATCTTCTCTTTTACGCGCAGATATGAGTACAGTTCGCAGGCAAAGGAAACATATGCATAGATGAAATATGTCTGCAATGTACTGATGATTGAAGATGAGAACAATGACGCTCATCCTATAGATACTTCTCCTCAGCAAAATTTTGTGATGCACTCATTTTATCGTGCTCACAGAGCAGTACCGATATCCACTTGATGTTTATTTTTTGTCAACTGAAGAAGCATAGTTTTATCGAAACTGATTTCGCTAAACTAATATAGAACGGATGTATGTAGTTGTGTGCAGTACGCTGGTTCACAGAATCATTTCCAATACAAATTCGACTGAACGAACTTTTCCTAATAGTCCGTCAATTCAGTCGAGTTCTTTTGATAAGTTGCCAAGGTTTAGACAATCCAATGGGAATACGCCCATACAAAGAAATCTATCAATATGTTGCAATTCAATTATATAATATTACCAAGAGAGCACAGAATGAAAATTTCTTTTTGGGAAAAGAAAATATTCAAATAATCAATTGCGTATCAAGTATGTTAATGAACTGTACTGGATTATTTTTAATGGCCCATAGCAGAATAATAAAAACTCTCAATACTAAAAACAGTTTGTACTGAAAATTGCAGTTAACGGTGAATATTATGAATTTTTATTTGCTTTTTTTTATATGTAAAGTAATGACAATATGAACAAACTGAAATTAATATTCGGTCGAATCGTTTTTACGCAGTTTTGTGTTCTCCTGTGGCATTTTTTGGAAGATCAGGCGTCGATGACTTAAGAAAACTCAACCAGTCGTAATAACCTTTCATCTCATCAGGATGAACTAAACATTATCATATAAATCGATTAGAAAGAAAATCATGCACTTACCTTTAGGTGTGTCATTCAAATTCATTTTCGATGCTGGTAGAATAATGCTATTGGATACATTTCCTTCGACGAGATTTCCCTCTGGAGATCAATCAACACTTTATAAAGAAATATTCAGAAGAAAAAATCGTTCTTACTTAGAATACTAGTCGGAACTAATTCTGTGGTCGATTCTTCTGCTTGATTGTAATGAACATAACTAATTATCAGTATAACATATAATAATGTAATTCTAATAAAGAAAAGCAAAGCCATTGATTGAAAAATCGGAATATTAAACTTACTTGATCATGATTGAATTTCTTGTTTGATAACTTGTAATCGACTGAATAAATAGAGATTAAAAAACAGAATTGTAAACACTCGGTTTTATACGACGAGATATTCTATGGACGAAAAGAATACTTTCGTCTTATGAAAACGTCCGTTGTTGATAGACAAGCACATTTTTGATTCAAACGGACGAGAAGAACAGACGTATGCTCGTCAGAAACTGAAAGAAAACGGATCGATTCAACTGTCTTTGTCTTCATATGAACGATGTCATCTTGCTCGTTGTTTGTTACTATTTATCATGAAGATATTTATTTAACAAAATGACTTTCTCTTTTAAAAGTACATAATATTGATTGGTAGAAATATTTCCTTATTTGCATAAAATACATTCTCGTTTCACTGTCTAGAAATCGGTTTGTTTTACATGTAAAAAGAATTTGATGCTATTTAAAGTAAATGAAACGTGAGAACAATTAACAGTTTGCAAATCGACCATAGAAATCTTCAATTGAATGTTATACTTGAAGAAAAGTATTCTCATCTGTCAACTTGAAGTTGTTTTTCTTCTTTTCCTTTCTTCTGCTTAAGGAGATCTTCGTCTTATTTGTGTTTGATTAGTATAAATATATATTAAATAAATCAAACATTTCTGTTAGCGGATGGCTGCTGTTCTTGTGAGACACAGGTGCGTCAATAGGAAAAACGAGAAATTGAGAAATGTTTGTCGAAGGAAAATAAAGAAAAGAGAAACTAGCAAAATAAAACTTTTCTTCGTTTCTCAGTGTCATTAGGTGGATGACATCGACACTGAGCGGATACTATTTGATTGTCAATTGATTTGAAGAGAAATTATGGTTAATTCGAAGAAGTGCGATCTGATCGAACGTTATCGTTCCTTATTGGAGAATAATCTGGTTCTTACCGATGACTTTCTTGCGTGGTTTCGAAGTAAAAAGATTCTTGCGGAACATACAGTCAATGATATCAAAGTAGAATCTTGAAATCCATTGACGAAGGTGATTGATTTTCTCACTAGAATTTACCATTATCGGTGGAGAGAAACAAGAAATTTCTCAGTCATATTATCGATGAAGGTGATGCAGGGTTTACAAAATTAGTCGAAGGTTTAATTGCAAATGGGCAACCATTTTTAGGTGAACTTCTCGAAAGTGAAGGTGAGTTGACATAAGAATTCAATTGAATATTTGCCTTCGATCGTTCTCAAATGTAACTAAGAATAAATAATATCGCCAAGTAAAACTTTGGTTTTCCAATCAGGATGTTTTTCTTCTAGACAAGAAAGCATCCGCCGATGCTGCACAACAAATTGTTCTTGGGGATGAATTTCTCAAGAAGTGTCCGGGTGTTGATAAACTACGTGCAGATACACGAGAGAAGATGAAAAGTTATCTTCAAGATCAAGTGATAGATGATTGAATGAGACCGACTCTTTTAGTTCTTGTCGTTTACAGTTAGTGAAAGCACATGTAAATGATTCATGGAGTTCACAAAATCAAGGCAAATCAGTAGAATTTATTAATCTTAAACGACAACATTATGAAACACGACAGAAATTAATCGATTCAGTCGAAGAGTAAGACTTGCCAGATAATTAATGAAGAATTTTGACAATTGGTTTAGTGAAAAACGAACGGTAGAGAGTCTAAAAGAAACACTTCGAGAGGAACAGCAAACTCGACAACGAAAAGTATGTGCTTGAGACAAATCGTAATCTATTGAAGATTTCATGTTTCAGGAAGAAGAAATGAAAGAACTTCGTCTTGAATTAAAACGAGTTCAAGCTGATTACGAACAGAAATGGACGAATCAAATCAAAATGGTAAATATTATTCGAGATCAATCCAAAACAGAATATTATTTTCATAGGCCGATGCGAATAACCGAACAGTATTTAGTATGAACGATAAAATGGCATTACTTACTGACTGGCTACGTACTCTTGGTATATGTTTTTTTTTTCGTAGAACTCGAATTGAAATTTTCATTTGTAAAGACACAAGTCTGAAAACGAATATTTCCCAAACGGGTATGGAATTCGATTCGAATGATCAATTGCAGGTTAAACTCAAACGATACACTACAGAAATCGAATCACTACGAACGAGAAGCATTGGTAAATCGAAAAACTTCTTCTACTCATCATCTGAATTATCCTTCTTTCGAAATAGGAACAGAGAAATTAAAAGAAGAGATGCATGAAGCACTCTACACAAGTCGATATTTACCAATTGAGGATCGGAAAAATCGACCATTCTACGATTTCCTCGTTTCTTTGTACGGTTCGAATCAAGTCACTGAATTAGCAAATATATGCACGAAAGATGTCTTGCAATCGAAATCAGAACGTGATCAAGCGAATGAACTTCGAACACGTGACATGAAGATCGATGAACTTGATCGTCGAAATCGAGAATTACAAACAGAAATCGATCGACTGAAAACCAAACCATCGGCATCAACACCCGCAGCTGCAGCAACAGCAGGAGTTGCTGCCAGTGAACACTCTCATACTAAACCAACGAAACAAACCTGGCGTCCAACACCAGCTACAGTTACACCACGTGAAAAGCCAAAAGGTCGACAAACACTGAAACCAATTGCAGTTCAATTCGATACAAAACCTGGTGGCAACTGATCAATCATTCATACGACATTTACACTAAAACACAAAGAGAAAACATGTTTTTTTCGATATTTTCTTTCTTATCAAGAATAACATACACATACACACATATATATTTTTATTTATCTGATGATTAACTGAGTCAATTCAATAAATTTTTATCCTATTTGCTTCTATGAAGGAGAAAAGGATCTTGTTCTTGTTCTTCTTCATCACGTCAGCTTTCTCTGTCTAATTAGATGAACGACATTGTTAGATCCTTCGATCGGCCCGTTATTCGATGAAGGCGAATGAAATATTTAGTATTAAACAAGTATATCCTCGTTCGTTACTTGAACCGGTTTATAATTGATGCATGAATGATGATTTCGCTGCTTGTTTGCCACTTCGATTCTTCTATATCGCACACTATCGATCATAATTTACACATATATTCTCGTTGTGATTAACAATATGCAAAGTAAACTTGTTATACTATGTTGAAGCAGAGAAAAGAGAGAGAGAGAGAGGAAGAGAAAGAACATTTCCTCGAACAGAATCATTGAGAAAAAGAAGAATAAGTGGGTAGAGAGAAGGCAAAACATAAGAGACTTCTTGCGGGCTTTCTATTTATCAGGAACATAGTAAGAAATATTAATAATTGTACTACATCGTGTTGTTAAACAATAGAAAAGCAGGCGACTGGCTAGCATTCTCTCAAGCACAAACATTTTACACAACAATAACTCTTAGGTAATGGCTGTTCTGAAAAGAAGAAGAAGACGAAGGAGGAAGAGGAGGGGGGAATGAATATGATTTTTTTCTTCTTCTTTATATCGCCGTTGTCTCGATCTACATAATTGCACATTTGCATTTCACTCTGTGAAATTCTATTTGCATTGATTTAGTTGCATGATCTATGATAGCGTTTAAGTATTCGCTTTAGATCATTCTTTTAGAAAACGATCAAATCCGATCATGAATTCAACCATCATCTTCGCCGGTATTCTTAGCTATTTTTTACTCATGGTATAGATTTCACGTTTGCTCTTTATGCTAAATCTTGTTTTCTTCCTTTCTTAGTTAACTGCTACTCATTCATTTATATTGTCAGACAAAGGCAATAATGATGAAGATCATCTCCTTCTTCATCAACCGTATGCACTTTCGCCAAATAGATTCATGGCGATCTATCGTGATGAAGCTTCCATGGCAGAAAATTCGGATGAAAACGAAGATCATGAATTAGAAAAACGTCGTTTCAACGCTTGGGCTGGTAAACGAAACGTTTTTACCAAACGACGTTTTAATGCATGGGCTGGTCGACGATAAATTTCCTTCTTTTTCTTAACTTCCATATCTCTAACATATTTCGAGTCAATAAAATGAAATGATGAAAAACTATCTGACTCTCTCTCTCTCATTCACTCGTAGAATTGCGCGAAACGTGTTCATTTGTCATTTATTCCATTGATTATCTCACGTTTGTCATTATTAAATATGACGGCAGATTGTCATTCATTAAATAAAAATAAAGATTTACTAAATCGATTGATGTTCTTAGAGAAATTCATCGAGCTGAAGTCCAATGAATGTGCTTATTATCGAACGAAAGTCCACTTAATGCAAATGAACTCTTGCGAATCGCAACTAATGAAAACAAGTTCGATTAAACGATCGTCTAGTGAAGATATAACTCAGAGCTCGGCTAGTGTTGAATACAAACATCGCACGAGTTCGATACCAGTCTGTTTCCGAAGAAGTTCTGTTGAAAAAAAAGTGGGTGATAAAATCAGCTGGAGTGGAGAAAACTGTTTTTCTTCATAGTTGAGCAATCCCTCGATGCCCTTCGATCGATCAAAACATGTGAAATATCGAAAAGAAAAGAGAAATTCTGCACAAAATCAAAATTATTGCGAAAACAATGATAAGGTCCATCCAGTCAATCGATTCTTTAACTCATACATTAACAAACATTTTCAACACGTGTAAAAGATGTCTTTCGTCTTGAACTTGTTCTTTATTCTTGCTCAATAGTTCTGTCAATCATAAAAACATTCAATGTAATGTAGAAGATCTATGTCATCAACATGAAATTTCTTCTCGAACAACGCTAATCATTCAATTGCCACGTCGTTTTATTAAATCGCTCATAAACCAACAAAATAAGTCGATAATTCCTAAACTCAAAGTTCATCTTTCTTCGGAATTGCTCCATAAGTTATTTCGATCAATGAACACCAACACTTGCCCTTCTCAAGGAGATAAATTTGCTATCCAATCCCAGCTTGGTACCATAGCAGCTTCTATTCATCGTGAAGTTCTCGATGAACACCAAGAGTCCAAAGTGATTCAGGCGAAAGCAGAGGTGAAATCTTGTGAGAAAAATCGACTGACAGTCGTTCGACACATTGCACGAACAAAGGCAAATGATCACGAGAGAGCAAAACACCGGCATCAACGACGAAAAAAAGACACGTTCACAGATTTAGCAGTACATCACGTGAGAAGATCGATTCCAAGAGAAGCTCAAGAACGAATTTGACATCATCAATAAAAACATTCTCATCGTCGAATTGACTGCATAGTTCTATTTATAGCTCTGTGCATGAAGTTTTATTTCATTTAAGGAAGGGAATGAAGAGAAAGTTTACAAAAATTAGTCATAGATTTCATCACCATACTGATTCTTTCGAACAGATGATCTTTTCGTTTGATTGGTAATGATTGGACAGGGTGCCGGATCGTTGGATATGACTGGCAAGGGTGGAAGTTGTTTCGGATCTTGAATAGGTGGAGGTACATCTAATAGAAATCACAAGAGTATAAGCAATAAACGACAAACAACGACAAACCGTTTCGAGGTTTCGGTCCAGCAAATTTCGATGCATGTTCAGCACGATTTCTTTGACGTAAATCATCATAGGTGACATACTTTCGCGTAGTATTTTTATCGGTCGTTTCTATCAGACATTCATTCATTAAACTTTTATTAAAGTTCAGCCATAAAGAATGTTTACCTGGAGGTACTAAATCGACTTGATTTTCATCTTCTACTTCCTGGTTACGAACACCAAAAATATTAGTTGTAGCAGTTTTAGGAACGATCTCTGGTGGTTGTGCCCTTCAAAAATCCGGAATAATCAAAATAGTATCAGATGAGTATATCCATACATATCCGAGATAAGATCATATGGTTTCTGTTCTAACGCATGAGCAAGATTTGAATTCGGTAATCGTTCAATTATCATCCGTCGACATTCGGCTATATACGAAGCTTTTCCCAAAATATAAGCTACAAAACGAAAACTGCTTTTCTCTTTACACAACAAGAAATGAGTTTACCTCCGAGTACTGTACTTGCTAATTTAAATCCATAAAACTTCGGTGGTATTCGACCTGAATTGATCAGCGAAAGGCCCTTTTTATCGAACAACAAGAATGATAATACGTACTAGTAACACGTAGATACGTCATAAAACCCGTGGTGATCGCCATTAGTGGTACGGCTATTGAACAAAAGAAATGTAAGATCTTTATAGGTAGGTGGCGAATGACTCACATCGGTACCAGAAGCTCGATTTTCGACATTCATCCATCAGTGCGCTTTCTTCTTTCGTCAAACGAAGCTATAGGTGAAAACATAGAACCAACTGTGAATCGTTGTCGAAAAGAGTAACCAACCTGTGAGCTTGTACTCGCCATGTGTAAATGTCAAAGAACAATCAATCTAAGTATAATCAATGAAAGTATCTTTTATCTTTTATTATTATTATAATAATTAATTTTTAAAAACTTCGTTTTTTGTTCGTTTGTTTATGTATAGTTAAGGGAATGCATCGTTGATTTACTTCGTCTTTCAGAAGACTACCCGTAGATAAGTAGTATATCATCATAGAAAGCAAAGAAATGACAAACAAACACTAAGGCACAATTACTGCGAATAACAAAGAGAAAAGAAAACAGAAGCAGAATTAGTTCTACAGTTAAATAGACTGCTGACCGACAAATTTAAACTTATCAACAGTGATAAGTCTAAACTATTAATATTTTTAAAAAAAAAGAAAGATTTCTTTGTACAGAGAAAACAAAAAATAACTTGTCACTATAGCCAGAGAATGGATAAGATAAATGCATAGGTCACCGTTGCTTGAGCAGATGAGAAAACTAACCAAGAATAAGACAGATTACAAATGAAAAAAAGAAGAATATTAGTAACATCCTTCGTTCCACGATGCTATTGATTCAGTTACTTGTGGGACAACTCCAGAGCGAATAATTCGAGTAACCATCATATTATTCGATGTTCGAGACGAAGGATTCATTGGCGACGACACTGGCCTAAACAAACAGAAACTGGTCATGATTTAGTTCGAATATTAAAATGCAGGAAAAAGAAGCCATGCGATTAGGAATATGATGTTAGTGTTCAAAATAAACTATTATACTCATGCCTATTTCAAAATCCGGTCATCGTCGTACGTCGTGAAGAGAGTGAATGATGGCTGAAAACATGTTTAACATTACAATTTCAATCAATCAAAGAGCATAGGTCATTCAAACTGAACAATTGATCAACAACGAAGGAGCCGTCGAATGTTTTACTTACCGTGCCACAGTTGCCGTGCTTGGTTTCTGTGGCTTTCCAACTGTTGGAATGCCGCTCTTTCTTCCTTGACCGAGCGATGAGGAACTACGTGTTACAGTTGTGTGTCTATTCAATGGAGGATTTGCTGATGATATTTGATCAACAGATGAATATGTCGCCGATTGTGGTAGTAGAGTACGACGTTGTGGTGCCAAATGAGATCTGACAGGTTCTGTTAATGGTTTGTTACTCACGTCATTGAGTAAACCATTTTCGTTTGATGAAAACGCTTTGGTTGTGTATGTAGAACCGAAATCCGTCGCTGGTTTCTTACCAGTTCTTTGTACTGATGACGGTGCAGTTGGAACTTTTCCATTATTTAGATATGATGTTTGGGAGCCACGATAGGCTTGAATTGGTCGCACTGCTACAGGTGGACGTGTACGAATATTATTTGCAGAATTAGGTGGTAGTACACTAGCACGTGTTGTGAGAATTTTCGGTTCTGTAACTGTTGGTGCATCATTTCCATTGATTTTGCTTGCAGTTATTGTTTGAGTGTTTGAACGAGTGTACGTACTGAGTCGTCCACCATTCCTACAATGTTTGGAAGCCTATATAAAAGGCATGACTATTTTCCGAAAGCTACAAACTTGGTTACTGTTGTTGGTTTGGGTGCAACGGGAGGTTTAGTTCCGGTTCGATCTAATAGAAACAAATGATGATGAACATTTTATTGAAATACAGAACGAGTAAAACAACATTTACATAATGTTCAAACGCACACGCACGCATTTATAATCGATGTCAAAATCGGGTATGAAGGGCATGTCAGCTAAGAATTCGAAAGTATGGAGTTATTGGCGTCTCGCATTCCTCCCTGTTGAAAGCACAAAATTTCAAGTAGATACCGAATAGCCATTTAAAAATAGGATATACTTAGTACAGCTGAATGATTTGTCACAATAAGTAGAAAAACAACGCATTATAGTCGATCGATTTGTTGACATCATCTGTACCTTTAGTGTTACCTCCTCCTCTCACTTTCTCACCATAAATCAAATCGCTGCCTTCTTTCTTTCTTTCTTTCTATTTTATAATTTTTTGTTCTCTTTCTTTATAGCCATACTTTTCATATTATATCGGACTGATCACTGCTAAATATACATGACATACGCAGAGAGAAAAAGCGATCTGCAGACTATTGGTTTGATTTTATTTTGAAGTATGAATACTCAAGCGAAAGAAGTCGACTCGAAATGTCTAAACAAAGTCATGAAAAGTATGTTCTTCTTTTGAAAAAAGCCCTTGATTGATATTTTTCTGGTAGAAATTTATCCGAAGAAATCCAAATCTCGTCACAGTCCAAGACAAACGTCATCAACGAAGTTAACGACGCACAAATATATCTATGCCTACGATAATCTGGCGTATGGTTTTTCGAGCGATGTTAAACAGTCAACTTGAGTTTGAAATAAACTTTTTTCCATGCTGTATAAACGAAAAACTCACTTGTGATCGTTACGCTTGTACCACTAGCAGTTGAAGCAAGTGAAACATTAGAACCACCTACAAAACATAACAAAAGTCAATGGATGATCTCATCGGATTAGGAAACATATGCGAATACGTAAGATAAAGACATTTTAGTAAAGCATTAATATGCGTATGTATATGCGAGACAGAAGAAGAACAACAACAACAACGAAACAGATTAGTGCGTCATAATGAACCTGATATGTATTCCTCCTTCAATAGAAAATCGATCCTGAGTGATGCCCATTGATTTCTAAGAGGTGTACATCGATCCCATCGTTGATAATAATTCGAAATATTCTTCAAGAATGACGATGAATAAGATATAATATAAATCTTTCCTTAATCAAAGAGTTTAACTGTCCACTGACATGAACCATAGGTATTATCGGCATAGATATTCTCGTTGTAGAATCAATAAGACAAAATCCTGAATGGACACATACCAAAACGTTTCGATAATGGGCCTTGTTTTTCAGCTTGACGTAAATCTAAACGAAGATACAGTTGCTGCTGATGTCTAATGGAGTATGAAAATTACTTTCTAGTTGGAGTTTTGCCATGACTAAACAGTCGAAGATGAATTAAGTATAAAGATATTCATGAATTTACCTTCGAGATCAGTATAGTCCATGGGCGGTGTTTTTTCACGTTCTCTTGAAACGTCTCTTGATTTAACAAGATCTGAACTGGCATTCGTATTGCTTTCACTAATATTTATAGCTGCAATCGTCGACCGTAGTGGAGATAGATTCGAAGGCGTGGTCGATCGAATATTGGCAGTTAGTGTACGTAATGGTGAACTCAATCGACCATTTTTCACGGTTTCTACAATCGAAGTAATATTTCTGTGACAACAAGAATCGATGAGGACATAAGCACATGCTCTTTTAAAGTCACTCTTCACTCTCAAAACGTACTCATGTCATGCTAAAAAGTCTTACAGTAACTATTACGAATGTATGATCTAAAACCTTGAGTTGATCATAGAATCCAATAGGATCGATTGATTGTATACCTGAGTGAACTTGTTGATCAGCGGAGTTCTTTTTCAGATTGTCCAATCGTTGATTGTCAGCAAAGTTATGACATGAAACACTTCGTATAGTTCGTGCTAAATTCAATTCAATGAGACAAAATAAGACAAGTTGTTTTGCATACCATGTGACATGTCATCAAGTTTACAAAGAAGTCGATGTTTACTTGCATTGATATCATTTGCTTTGAATTCTTTGTGTACCCATGAAAATATATTATCCATTGACTGATCTTCTTTCTGTCCCTGTTTTGGCACTTCACATAACCTAGATTAGAATTGAATTTCATCTATTTTGTCATGGAGAATAAGTTTAGTATTTACCAAAGATCGTCGGGCTCATTTTGTTCGTCAATCAGTGTTACAGCTTCAATTTTGTCGAGTGATGGACCATCGATTGATCCATCGAATAATGACTTTCTTGAACGACGTTTTCTTTGTGCAGTTGAGTCTTTTCGTTCGAGCTTGACATTGTTCATCATCAATGAATCATCTTGGCCACCGTTAGAGCAAATACTTTCTGTCATCGATTCACACATTCCGATCCCATCTAGAAGGAGACTTGTTCGTCGATTGCCACCCGAATCCGATATTCCGGAAGTTGAAAGACCAGGAAAATGTAAAGCATTAATTGCTGATGTTGTTAGAAGGGTGGTTGAATCGAACGAGAGGTTTCGAGTTGAATCAATCATTGATCCAAGACATTGATCAGCCATTGTGTCAATTAAAGCAATTTCTTTCTGTCTACTTGTCTAGTATAAAAAATAGTTTATATTATAACAGATGTAGATACAGTAGATAGATATTACAAAGTGTGTGACCAATCGATAGGGTTTCGTTGAAATGTTTAGTGACATCTATTTGAATTCGAACGTGAACTGTACATAGATTGAAAAGGTGTATTAGTTAATTGAAAAGGGAATAAAAGATTTCCGCTCGATAAAAATGAGATTCATAATGAGAAATTCAGTGAAGCTTGCGATTTGCTAAAAGAGTGAATCATGTGAAAATTTAACTCAAGAAACTCAAATAGTTTACGTTAACTTAATTTCCACTTCGTATGCCATTCGAAACAGTGACAGTCTGATGACTTCTTTTATCTGTAAAACACGTCGAGCTTGTAATCTTGATACAAGCTCTGAAGCAACAGTCTATTGTGCACAATGCGATTCATTACAATGTGCGCTATGTGAACAACTAGTTCATGGGGACTTTAATGATGAAGAACATGAACGACTAAATTTAACTCAAATTGATGGTGAATATTGTTCAATAGATGAACAACATTCAGCAATCTTTTACTGTACGACATGTAAAGTATCGTTCTGTCATTCATGTCATGAAACTCAACATGATAAATCAGATGGGCGTGTGCATAAACTACAGAAGTTTCGACAAATTCCAGTCTCAACAACACATAAAACGATGTAAGTCACTAGTACGCTTCATTGCTATTACAGAAAATTTTCTGAACCTGTGATGATAAAAAATGACAATGTATATCTAGCACCCAGCATCTCCATAACATGGAAGGTGGTCACTCATCGGATGAAATATCTTTGAAGAACAACCGAAATTCGAACTCTTCAGCGCCTTTGTTAGGAGACATACAATTGATGTCCTCAATACTACAACAACCGATTGTCTCACCTCTACATCAGATTCAAACTCAAATGAACAAACAGACTAGTAATCGTGATAAACACACTCAGGCGAATACCGAACAGTCCACTAAACCAGAACCTGATATGAATGATACGCTTTTCCTTGTCGACGCCCATGAACATCTCACTGTTCGTACTCTTCATGCGCTCATCTTCATTCACACCTTCTTTTCCCTTCTTCTTCATCTAGATCAACAATGAAGACGAGTTCGTTCGACTTCTCAACGCTCCTTCTAAAGATCTCCCTGTCAAGTGCGTTTCCATCATCGGAAACACGGGCGACGGAAAGTCTTTCACACTCAATCAAGTCTTCTTCAACGGTCAAGAAAAGTTCCCCACGTTATCCACAGCTGAATCGTGCACTATGGGCGTGTGGGCAGCACTCGACGAGAACCATCGCACGCTCGTCTTCGATACCGAAGGTCGACTCGGTCTCTCACAAAACGACAACATTCGCAACCGACTGCTGCTCAAGATTCTCTGCATCAGCGACATTCTCATCTTTCGAACACGTGCACCCAAACTACCCAACGACATGTTCCAGTTCTTGTCAGATGCATCCAATGCATTTCTCAAATACTTTCGCAAAGAACTCGAGAATGTCATGCGATCGTGCAAAGTGGATGGACCGATCTCGACTGTGGGACCCACACTGATCGTGTTTCATGAAACACAACACACTGAAGTGTTGAGAGGTTCGTTGAGTTGATGGAAGGAAGAGGGGGAAAAAGTATGTGTTGTAGATCACTTTCAATGCCAAAAGACAGCTGTTGAACAGTTGAAAGAACGGTTCGAGAAGATGAAGCTGTCATACGATGCATACAAGTGAGTGAAAGGCCAGGAGAATGAATGAAGAGGAGTTGTTGTTTTTGTTTGTGTAGTTCGATCGAGTATGTTGGCATTCAGACGTTGGGCGGTAAGCAAACGGATTTTAGCGAGCTGAAAGCAGCAATCACATCAGTACTCGAAAACAACAAGATTCGTTCTCCACGGCGTTTATCGACTGTTTTCAAGTCTTTAAAGGTTCGTAGATGAGATTGATCAGGCATGGAAAGTTGCAAATTAAATTCCTACAATTATTCGTATAGGCATTGAATGAAAAATTCAATCATGCAGTTCCACCAGAAATGCCGTCTGTTCTACCAGACGATTTTTTCACATGTTGCACTAAATGTTTATCTTGTGGGTTAGTACTCTTTTGATTTGTGAATGAAATGGCACAGTTCATCTTCTCATTATAATTGTAGAGCTAAATGTACATTAACAGCCAAACATCAACAAGAGAATATTCCTCATCAATGTCCCGAACAATGCTTTTACGATAAAGAATTAGATAATGAAATATTAAAATGTCTACAATGTCATCGCAATGGACATGATACTGTTGTGCATGGGAAATTAACGGCAGCAAATGATACTCTTGTGCAAGGAATAATCAAGTATATGTGGTCAGGTTTTGTTATTGAATGTCCGAAGCATGGTGAAATCTATCGTTCACGACAGTTCTGGTACGGAAATAACGAGCCAAAAGATAAGACTCATACTGAAGTTACTCATGTCTGGCCAGGAGATAGTAACAGTCGACGAACAAGTGATGTAACACCAAGAAAATTAGTCGAACTTCTTCGTAGTGCTGGAAGGTTCGTTCGATAAATTAAGAATGCATAAAAGGAATGAGCTTTGCTTATGTTTCAGTTGCTTGTTAGCTCCGAAAAAGATGTTAACAGAAATGGTAACTGATCAGATCGCACCAACGTATTGGGCGTCAAATAAAGATGTACACGTAAGAAAGTAATTACTTCTTAATATTTTTAATCACTTTTATCTTAATTCTTCAGGAGTGTTCATCGTGCAAACTACAATTTGGTTTAGAGTACTCCAAACATCATTGTCGAGGTTTGATCGTACACCCTTCATCATCCTACACCAAATTTATTGCAATATCTTTTTGCAGCATGTGGATATATATTCTGTGACACGTGTACAACACATCGTGCAATTGTTCCATTACTTGAAACTACAACACCTGAACGTGTCTGTGATCAATGCTTTCGTAAATTACAATCACAGACACTTTCATCAATTTTTCAAACTAATGATGCCAATTCACAGCGAATGAATTCCCTGGATTATGAAATAAGTGATAACGACAATACAATAAGTATGTATATGAATTGAACTTCGATATATATATTCGTTGTTCTGCTGTGATTGTAGATCCTACGTCGTACAGCATTCCAATGTCTAGGCGTTTCTTGGAACTTGTCACGAATAATGCTGCACCAGTAGTGTACGATTATCCTATAGGTAAGTAAACGAAAGCGTACATATTTGGATTGACTTGCGTATCTAATGAAAAAGAAACAATCTTTTTCTTTTTTTTTTCGTGCACTCAGAAGTGATCAAAGAGCACACTCGACCAAGTTATTGGCGTCCTGATAGTGAATGTCACAATTGTTTCATATGTAAACATTCATTCAATAATACTACGCACCGATTACATCATTGGTATGTGATTGAATTGGACTTGTGCAGTATTGCGACATGTTTGCATTCATATATTCTAGTCGCAAATGTGGTGAAGGTGTATGCGATAAGTGTTCACCAAATAAACGTGCTGTACCCGAGCGGGATTGGATGACGCCCGAACGTGTATGTAAAACATGTGATCAAATGATTGATGATTAAACTTTGCAGTCAAATCACGCTGATCTTCACAATCAATTTTATCGATGTATTTTATAGTAATATGTATTCTTTGACTTCTACTCTGTATATAATAATCATGAACTGTTCATATAACTATTTATATACTTCTTTTTAATAAAAAGAGCTCTTGACAAGTCATAAAATATCAACTAACTTGTCAATCGAGTGTAACGAATGACTATGAACATTCCTTCAACAATTAGCGACATCATCATCATTATCTTGAAGGACATCTACTAATAATAACCAAATCATACGATTAAATTATTGATACTTTCATAGTACATGTTGCTTTCTATATCGATATCATGCCTTAAAAATCAAATTAATATAAACAACCTTCTCGCCAATTTCCTATTGGACGAATACATGAGTCACATTGCTTGCTTGCACTTGATGATCACACACACACAGGCAGACACACACAGTACCACACACACGCAGTGAGATATCAACAGACTAACACAACTGGGAACGTTCCATATTTGAATATGCAACCGAATGAAGCAGCAAATACTTGGAAATATCAACATAAAAACAGTGAAGACTCCCCATCATCAGCAATAAGTGATTTATCGCCAATGAAAGATCTCATTGACAGCTCACCGTATTTCGAATGTACAAAATGCTCAGCGCAACAGCCGAAGGTATCGTCTAGGGCAGTGTGTTATTGTCAACAATGCAACTCATTACAATGTGCTGCGTGCGAAAAAGAAATTCACGAACTTATTGAAAATGTCAAACATCAGCGACTAACTGTTGATGAAATGTATAACGGGCATTGCTCTGTTAACAGAGAACACCAAGCAACTATCCATTGTCCGCTTTGTAAATTATCGTTCTGCCATTCATGCGATGAAACGCAACATGAATGTTTCGATGGAAAGGTACATAAATCGCAAAAATATAGAAATGGACAAATGTTACCCACCAGGAGGAGCTCGTAAGTTCTTTTGGTACGAAGACTTGTTATAATCGAGATAAACTTTCTCTTCTTACGTTATAAGTGAGCAAAATCGAACGGAATCGAAACCAATAAAAATCACTTCGTCGCCTGACGGCTCCAATAACAATCGTATACATACAAATGAACAAACATCGACTCCAAAACAATCAGAATCATCATTTGAAGATATCAAAGTTGACGATAGTGATGAAAGTTCAATCTCACCGCCAATGCGAAAAGAACGACCGCTAAAATCCAAAAATTCAAATACTACCGTTCCTCAACACATCCCACAGCAGCACAATCTTGATCAACAAATGTTACTCGATTCTATGGTTGACTACGGAGATGAAGATCAAACTGATAATCATTATGTTAATAAAAATAGCCATCGTCTTACACAATTGCATCCTAAAACCGCTACGCAAGGTGTTTTCTTACTTCTTGATGCAAACGAACGTCTCACTGTTCGTACTCTTCATTTGCTCATCTTCATTCACACTCTCTTTTACCTTCTTCTTCATATAGATCAACAATGAAGACGAGTTCGTTCGACTTCTCAACGCTCCTTCTAAAGATCTCCCTGTCAAGTGCGTTTCCATCATCGGAAACACGGGCGACGGAAAGTCATTCACACTCAATCAAGTCTTCTTCAACGGTCAAGAAAAGTTCCCCACGTTATCCACAGCTGAATCGTGCACTATGGGCGTGTGGGCAGCACTCGACGAGAACCATCGCACGCTCGTCTTCGATACCGAAGGTCGACTCGGTCTCTCACAAAACGACAACATTCGCAACCGACTGCTGCTCAAGATTCTCTGCATCAGCGACATTCTCATCTTTCGAACACGTGCACCCAAACTACCCAACGACATGTTCCAGTTCTTGTCAGATGCATCCAATGCATTTCTCAAATACTTTCGCAAAGAACTCGAGAATGTCATGCGATCGTGCAAAGTGGATGGACCGATCTCGACTGTGGGACCCACACTGATCGTGTTTCATGAAACACAACACACTGAAGTGTTGAGAGGTTCGTTGAGTTGATGGAAGGAAGAGGGGGAAAAAGTATGTGTTGTAGATCACTTTCAATGCCAAAAGACAGCTGTTGAACAGTTGAAAGAACGGTTCGAGAAGATGAAGCTGTCATACGATGCATACAAGTGAGTGAAAGGCCAGGAGAATGAATGAAGAGGAGTTGTTGTTTTTGTTTGTGTAGTTCGATCGAGTATGTTGGCATTCAGACGTTGGGCGGTAAGCAAACGGATTTTAGCGAGCTGAAAGCAGCAATCACATCAGTACTCGAAAACAACAAGATTCGTTCTCCACGGCGTTTATCGACTGTTTTTACAGCCTTGAAAGTAAGTATCATAGATATACTCTGAAATCGATAATTAGGAAGAGATCAAATTCGCTACGGTCGCCTTTTGTTTGTTTAGGCGTTGAATGAAAAATTCAATCATGCAATTCCACCGGAAATGCCGTCTACACTACCAGATGATTTCTTTGCATGTTTCGAGAGATGCTTGTCGTGCGGGTAGGGACTACTTGCGGCTACATATTCTCACATTAGATTTATGTTTTCCTTAGAGCAAAATGTACAATGACAGCGAATCATCAAAAAGAAAACATACCTCATCAATGTGATAAACGATGTTCATATAATAAAGATCTCGATAATGAAGTATGGAAATGTTTGAAATGTCATCGTGAAGGATGTGATATGATTGTATACGGAAAACTGATAACGAAAAGTGATAGTCTCGTACAAGGATTGTTAAAATATATGTGGTCCGGCTTTGTTATTGAATGTCCGAAACATGGTGAAATCTATCGTTCTCGAAAGTACTGGTATGGAAATAATGAACCAAAAGATGTAACTCGTGCTGAAGTCATTCATGTTTGGCCGGGAGATGATGCTACTCGGCTAGCAAGTGATGTAACGCCAAGAAAATTTATTGAGTTAATTGTCTACGCTGGAAGGTGAGATTGAACATTCGTAGCACAGATGTTTTAACAACGTTCATTTGTAACTTATTTCAGTTATCTTTCGGCGCCAACAAAGATGTTGACGGAATTGGTCGCTGATCAAGTAGCACCATCTTATTGGGTTCCCAACAAAGATGTTTACGTAAGAAATTAAGATGTTTATGTGTCATCATCAAAATGTTAATTTATCTTCAACAGAAATGTTCTTCATGTGAATTACAATTCGGTTCAGACTTCTCCAAACATCATTGTCGAGGTAGATTCAAGTTGACAACTAATCAGAATCAAATGGCAAAGTATTTTCTTTAGCTTGTGGCCATGTATTCTGTGATACATGTACAACTAATCGTCGTATTGTTTCCTGGATCGATACTGAAAAGCCTGTTCGCGTATGCAATCATTGTTATGACAATCCGAAACCCTGTCCACCGTCTTCCACATCCAATGCATTAGTATCTTCGGAAAAAGATAAACAACTCAGTCAGAGAGCAAAAGTCAACGGTTATGAAAGTACTCATAACGTGAATTCAGCAAGTGTTGTCTCATCCGGTGAGCATCTCAGCGATCTGTGTTTAACTCCAACTGATATTTTCGATATCGAACAGCCAGGAGCAGGTATGCTAATGGACTATTTTCTCCTACGTTTGTTCACTTATTTTACACTCCAGTTCGCCTTGTTGAATGTTAACGTTCCTGTGTGCATGCTGTTCCATCTTTTCATTGAAAAAAAAAACAGCTCCGTTATTTCGCTCTTTTTAGTTTTGAATAGTTTTATATACTCAAATGCATGCGTCTGCTTTTCTATTTCAAAGGTCCCGTAACAGTCGATATTCCTACAACCCGCCGTGTATACGAAACTGTTATCAGTGGTTTGGAAAAAATAGGTGCTAACTATCCTATTGGTAAGTATTCGAACTCTACTGTATTGATTTTCATCGAGACAGCTTGGTTTGCCTTGCAGAATTTATCAAAGAAAGTACCCGACCGAATTATTGGCGACCAGATAACGAATGTCGTGATTGTAATATATGTAAACGTGCATTTAATAGTACAACTAATCGATTACATCATTGGTATGCTATGTTGCGTCGACATAGATCGAAATTACGTTTCTACTCTTTTCTAGTCGAAGCTGTGGTGAAGGTATTTGTGAACAATGTTCGCCCAACAAACGCTTAGTACCTGAACGAGATTGGTTAACACCTGTTCGTGTATGTAAAATATGCGAAAAATCATTGAATGAGCCATCCAGTGAACGTAAATAGTTCGAAACAGAGAACTCCTAAAAACTTTTATTTTTTTTTCCTATTTATCTTTTTAATTGGAATTTACATATATTATATGCATTAAAGGAAACTCGCAAGTTTGTCATTTCTTTTTCTAACTCAAAACACGCTCATTTTTGTTAATAGTGTGTGCCATTTGTATAGTTAATTTATTGTATAATTGTGAATACTTCTTCAGAGAGAAAACTAACTATGTATGCCAGTGTACGTGTTCGATAATTCATGTCTTTTTTTTTTATATATGTACGTAAGAAAGAAAAAAGTGAAGATAACTATATACACATACATGTTTATCATTTTATTCATGTGGATTCATCGAGGGAATCAATCATTCCCTTCTCATTTTCTTTCAAACATTCCCACACGTGATTGAAATACCATTTCTTTGCGAAACCGATTTGAGTACAAGCACTTTTTTCTTCTTGGGAAGTCACTTGTAGGATGGAATTAGCAGATCGATCTGACGACAGTGATGCGAGTGACAGTGATTTTGCTGAAGATATTGATGAATATATTCTTCGCATTTATCGCTGTTCGAATCGATCACAGGGTATCAAATTACGCACGCAAGCTTTGAGATACATTGATCAATGGCGTATTCAACAATTGGAACTTCTGGACGAATGTGTACGACAGGCTGGGCAAGCAGTTTTGAATGCTTTTGACGATAGTCAAGGTGAAGATTGTTCGTCATAGTTGAATACATTTTTTGCAGTTTTTTGTAGACAGACAACAAGTTGCAAAGAATTCTCATCGATCAAAACAAGTAGAAATAAAACCATCGAACAAACTGCCGAGTGATAGTCATCATGGTTATTCTGCAGATAAGATTGATGAACAAGTTGAAATATCTGTTAATCGATCGAACCCATCGTCGTCTGCTCACAAGAAAATTGCATTCAATTCGATTGACTTCGGTCGAGATTTTACATTTGAAACTCTTGCACATTTATCGTCACCGTCATCAACAAAAGACATTGCGATGGTTCTCTGTGAAAATCACACATTGGTTTATTCTCAACAGTCAAATGAATTGAATATACTTTCACTCGACAATAATAAACGATCAGCTCGTACACAACTGGAGAAAAATGTTATTATTCGTGATTTATGCTACGTCGAATGGTTATTGAAATGTCTCGTTATTGCTGACGACAAGGTCTACTTATTGGATTATCGCACAACACAATGTGATATGATCGATTATGGCGTTAATTATGTATGCGGAACAGTTGATAATCTTCGTTGTATATTCTACTTGATAAAACACAAAACTTTATATAAATATGATAAAAGTTCACTTGAAACTCTCCAAGCCGATCAATATCCAATTGCCGATGGATACGATTGTCGACGAATTGCACTTGACAATCAAACCAATGATCATTTAGCATTATTAGTTCTCGCTAATGATGGCAAAAATTACATCTTAGTTTATTCCGCAACATCTTTAGCCGATGGTTACTTATACAAAATAATGATTGATGATCGAATTGAACGGGAATGGATATGTTCGAGTGGAAACCACGGTTGGCTAGTCCGAGGATCGTATCCTGGCAGTTCATTTGATCTGAATAAGAATGGTCTTGGTTCTGTTCGCGTCTTTGATTGTAATGAAATACGAAATATGATTCCATTCAATGATCATAAACATTTTATTATTCGTACTAATACAGACATTTTCATATTGACTAAAACTTCACATATTTCGTAAATAAAATCGAAAGTTTGTTTTAGATGTTCATGTACAATGGATATTCATCATATAGTGATGAAATTCAACGGCATAGTATCTGTAATTCACCCTTATCGTGCAATGTACCATCAAGTGTGGCGGAGAAAATCGCTGCACCATATTTAACGCATATCTATGAATTAATCATCAGTAATCGTCCGTTTTCAGTGACGACTGATAAAGATTTTAAATGGACATTAGAAATATTTGCATTCGGCTTTACATGTGAAGAGAGTGCGATCTATCAGCTATGTGCGAATGTGTATGTTGAATGGTTGAAAGTATTTGAGAATTCATCGACGCATTCCAATTCGATTCCGCCGATTTTACGTGATAAAACCGAATTCTACTGGGCACAAATGTTTTGGCATTTGTATCATTTATTCGTTGTTCACGATGGTAAATCAAACATCAATCAATCAGGCTGATTTTTGCTTTCCATCTCTTAGAGAAAACGGCAGATTTATTAACAAAACGAATGTATACGCATAAAGTCCTACGTCAACTACAAATCATGATAAGTCAAACCGAACTCAGCGTTGATCTATGGCACATATTATTACAAGTATTTCTCGCAATCGGTGATACCGTTCTATCTCCGTCCTATCGAAGTAGATTTCTCGGGAATAGATCTCTATTACTCATTTTCATTTCCTAGCAAATGACGAATGCAGCGCTGTTATGAGTCATCGGCTTGTTCCATCAATATATCAAGTATTTATGGCAGCGATCGATAGAATACATATTCCGCCAGGTCTATGGCGAACATTTCGTGATTATGCTCAGACGTGGCGTCATCGACCTGCTGTTGTCTACGGTTTGATTGAAAATTGATATTTGCTATCATCATTCATTTCTATGTACGCATAGATTGGGCTCAGCTCACTTGTGTTCTGACATCGACAGTTGTACATAAGTTATGGTGGTCAGATTTAGTTCCATTGCAATACGTTTGTATGAAATTCAAATCGTTATTGTTATACCCATGATGGCATGTTCTGTTCTGCTTTAGGTACCGAAACAGATCAAGGTGAATATACACAGAAGATAATCGATTCGCTTCCATTGGATAAACTTGTCATAACATGGATTCGATTTTTAACAATTCTACAGAATCCATCGGAATGTGGTGATGTTTCAGTAATTAGAACATTTGGCTAAATGAAAAGAGAATCACGTGGATCTTTTTTTTCGAGGTCTTCCTCCAAATGCCAACATATGCGAATCAATTACAATCGAATTCGAGTTTAAAACTCAAAGATTTTACATCTTTACAAGAACTATCACGAATCTTTGTCAATGTCACAAAAGCAATCGGAATGTTTGTCGATATTTGGCTAGGTAAATGAGATTCACTCATCTATCAAACTAACCAATCTTCTTCTAGGAAAAGATGTCGATCCATCATGCCTGTACAGTCCCAAACCCGTAAATAATCCCGTAGTAATCATAAATGAAAATATCCCATCAACACCTAACAATGTCCAAACGCCACGTCAATCTGCTCAATCACTTCGTGGTATCCCATCCACTGTTCAACAACATCATCAATCATCTATCCCTGCAACATTACGAACAACTCGTTCACAAATTGATAATCGAAAACCTATTCCTTCGTCTCAAAATTTTTCTCCAATGACTCCACTGCTGATCTCTACAAACCGTATAGAAAAGACAATTTTGAAAATCACTCGCACCAATCATCCTACTGTCAATAGTCTAATGCATCTCTATGGTTCATGGATATTAGATTGTTGTCTTTTACAAATAAAAGATCGTCATTCACGTTCATCATTCATTGATAGTAAGTCGATAAAATCTTGTGTAAATAAAACAATAAGAAATAATTGACTCGTTATGTCTCTTTCCCTCCCACTGTTTATCATCGTGATGAGAGTAGATAGAAAAATGAGCGAACAGTTTCGACTATCACTTACTTTTTATGCGCATTCGATTGACACGGCTCAGTGAGCAGCTTACATGCGTATGTTTTGTGCGTAATTCAAACTATTGAAAAAACACGACATGGCTATACGACAGAAGCTTCTGACGAGTTTAAGTAACCAAAGAAAATTCATTTTCTCACAGGAATTTGATGAACTTTCTCTTTAGGTTCACGAGCTAATGAAACAGAAAAAGTGATTGATGTTCAAGTAAGAGAAAAACAAACGTTCAGCTCGAATGAAATTATCTGACTTTAGAATGAACGTTTAATGGATGAAGCATTTGCCAGGTCTTTTGCGACTGTGTGTACAATATTTGGTAATGCACAATGCGATGAGTTCGTCTATCCGGAATATCTCAGTCGATTCTACTATGTTATTCAGCAAGGTCTTCGATTCTATCATGGAGATGAAGTAATCTAAATTTTCGAACAAAAGAAGCAAATTAGTTCCTAGTTTTCTTTAGCAACGCTCTCAAGCAATCATCGAATCAATTCTTTTAAACAGTGGCGATCTATTCCGTATTAACCTGCGAGGTGTTAATATCCTTATTCCTCTCTTTCTCGATGCAATTGAATATTATCTTCATATTGATTTACAATCGTATATAAACTATAATCTTGGCATTGTCAAAGGGCCATTGAATACATCGAATTCTACCATTCGCGACCGTTTCATACGTATTCGTTCGAAATCTATACATATTTTGATGTCTATTATTAGTTTACCATTTCATTACCAACATCTCGAACAACATTTATTTGAAGATTACCTCGAGAAATCGCATGATGTGCAAACAGCAACCGTGAAGACATTTCTAGAATATCGATTAAGAATCTTTCCGTTGTTGTTCTCTGCTCTGCAAACAGAAATTGACATTACCAATGCGCAATTACTCTTCGGTAAACGATCCAGCAGAAAGTTTTCCCAAATCTCTACTTTTCATTTGCATTTTCATAGGTACGATTCGACTAGCGTGTTCCTTAGCTGCTCATTTAGATCGAGAGCAAGAACATAATGGAGACAGTACGAAGAAAGGTGAAGAATTAGTATTTGCAGTCAAATACATGGACATCGATCTTTTCTTTAGACCCTACCGCTGGTTATGTCAGTCATGCAGTAAATCTCATCTGTGAGAAAGGTACTAATGATTCGCAGTTATTCTTAGCTGCACTCGACACCCTAATCTCCATTGCTACCGATCCAATTTGTCAAATACGTACGTAATGATCGGCGTTTATTTGAAATGAAATTGTCTCATTTGTTGTTCAGCTATTGACACATGGAAAAATGTCCTCAAACGTCTCTGTACTTTTGTTGATACACAGTTACACCGAAGTCCTAAAGATCACACGCGAGAAATGCATTCGACATGCGTCGCAACGTACAATACATTGATCACACTAATTATCGAACGACCCATGTTACTTGATGATTATGAAAATCTGTATAAACTATGCGAAATTATTGAATTGGGTATATCTGGAGAAAAAGCACAGGTAGTTTGATATGAATTGCGATTGTTTTCTTCAAGAAAATCAATTCTTTTACCCATTAGTCAGCGGATGGACTTGTTTCGAAAAAAGATAAGGAGTTTCATCCTGCATCGCAACGTGTAGCCGAAGCAGCTGAATATCTAATGTTTATTCTCTTTGAACACAAGGTACGCCAACATTATTTAAGATAATTTAGGCAATATTCGAATACTTTGCAGGCTGTATTGCATTTGAAAGATGATATTTGTCGAAATTGGTTAGATGAATCAATATTCACAAATACAACGTTCAAATATTTCGCAATTAATGGCAATACTTTATTTGCTATGAGTGAATTACCGATTACCGACAATCACGGTTTGTTAACTCGTATCGAAACTTTCCGATTCAATTGAAAATATTCTAGGAATGCAAGCGATTGTTCTGCTCTATCGCGGACTATTCGGAAAAAATGTTTGGACATCGAAATTCCGACATAATCCTCTGTCAAATCCCTTGTTACAACCGAACAAAGTGACACAATTTGATCTTTTTTTTATACAATCGGGACCGTATCTATCCTTTAGTCAATTGAACGATTCGAACATGAAAATGGTAAAAATACCTCTCCACCGACGCCCAATATGAATAGCGACTACAAACATCGGCCGCTTCCCCTGCATGGAACAAAGACTGAACGTGCAAAAAGGTAAACTCTTCACACATGCCACATTACACGAAAGATACAAATGATTTCTTTTGTTGTTAGTGAATTCAGCATTCCGACATTGAATTCCATAATCCAACGCGATGAAGACAAACTGAACTCATTTCGAGCATTGAAAACCAAACAAATATCAATTGAAGAACAGGCGATTGAACGTGCTTATCTTTCCAATGAGACAACACAACCAGGATGTAAACCACCCGAGTAAATCATTTTATTTCACTACCCCATCGTATCAACAGAGGAGCTCGTTTAGATGTCAGAAGCATTTCGAGAGCATTCGTTTATTCTTATCACATTATGGATTCTGTTCATTGGACGCAATGCATCATCTAATGAACGCAAAGCAATGGGTAAGTATCTTGAATAAAATCAACATATGAGCTCGAAGAGAAATTCAATTTCTAGAATGATTCAAAATTATTCGGTCGTTTGCAACCAAGAATTCAATTGTTAAACTCACAAACAGACACATTTATGGATGATATTAGAAAGTTAGATCACATCTCACCAACTCTGCACTGTACAGGACAAGTTTATTATTTGAAAAAGCATCAAGCGACACTGCTTGAATCCTCTTCGAATCTGGTATTGACGAGGAAAGCTTCGAATAGCGATGTGGATCTATTCTGTTTGTTTTAGAAAACACCCGACGAATTGAATCCAGCGTTTTTAACGATGTTTTCACAGTTCGGGTCAGTTGTCGAAGTGAAGCGACATTGCGGTTGGACGGGAAATGCTGCAACAAGTTGGAAAACCATTGCATCCGCTCAATCAGGTACTTCATAGAAAAAATAAAAGTTCTTTTTTTTATCACCATTTCTTCTTTCCAGTAGAGACAAATGCGGCTTCGAAAGTTCTCGCAGAAATCGACGGTGAAGATAGTATCTTATATTGGCTTGATTTGACATCAGAAATGGCTTTCTTTTTACCGCATCACTTTTCTGGTTCGTCGGTTCTTCGTCCTTTCATATCAAGAATCAAGTTATTTGTTTTCTAGTGGATCACCAAAGTTCAGAAATGCGAATCTTGATTGTTTGGCTAGAAGAATTCCGTGACGATCTCGACTCCATTCTACCTGGTTTGTTCAGTTGTCTATTTTCACGAACCTTCATCGTCTTCTGATTGTAGCTCAAGAATCATCAACAAAAGCTCGTGATATCTGCATTATCGGTATTCATCCGTTAAAAACTCACTTATTTCGTATTTTACTCAATTCGAGCGCTCAACGGTGAGTTCGTCTTGTGCCTCAACATTCTAATTGCTTGTTTTAGAATGCAATCAGCATGTGCGAGTATTCCATTACTCGATGGCATGGTCATTCCACTACATCTCCTCTCATTCTATCTTCGTCAAGCTGTATACAATCTAAGTCGCCGAAAGCGCTTAGAAGATAGTCAAAGGTTTGAAGAGATTTCTTCGACGAACATATCGCTTTCTCATTCACTGTTGTTTAGTTCGCAAACGACTTACTTGTTACGGAAAACTCGCATCAGTAAAATCATTGAAAAATATCAACATCAAATCAATCATCTCGACGAATTCTTCCAAAACATCTTCTTTCTATCAACGAACAAATCCGAACATTTAACAGAATCGCTAACTGATCGCAACTCTGTCCTTGATGTAGAATTATAGAATGTCAGATAACTTTGTTGTTCTCTTATATAAACAAACTCGGTGTCTTCTTCTTCTTCTTTTTTGTTTCTTTTCTCAACTCATAAATCAAAGCGACAGTGATATGTTTACGTTTCTTTTTCTTTCGGAATTTTATTTTATAAATTTTGCTTTCAGACTAAATGCGTTTTTCATTGAACGATTGGAGAAAACAGATTGCTTATTTCAAACGAAAGAACTTCAAAAATATTCAAAAAGTTCGCGGTATTGTGAACACTTTTTCGTTTTTCATTGTCTGGGGATACGCAGGCTATTTCATTGCCAATCGGGCAGATAAATCAGCGAGAGAAACAGGTATTCCACATAGCGTTCAAGTTGCGAAACAAAGTGGTGATCGATATATTACCAAATATAATTTAAATACTGGTGAAAAAGAAGTCATCGGTAAGTTGGAGATGATCAAGATTGTTCTGGTCAATAGTGTATGTATGATTTGTTTAGACGTTCATCAAATCTTTGCTGAAAAAGAACTTGAAGCTCGACAAAAGGCTCTTGAAGAACGTCGCTTACGTGAAGAAGCTCGTCTAGCCTCATCACAATCGTCCAAACCCATCTCATAAACATGTCTTCCAATCGAAATTCTCAACTTATTCATGATCTCGACACGACTCTTCGAAGTGTCCTTCTCCAACCTACAATCGACAACATTCGTTTATGCTTCTCTCTGATCCAACAATGTTATCATCGTCGTTTAGAAGAAGAGCAAACCGTTCGAGATGATAGTTTATACGTCCCATCCATCTTACTTCTACGCCAATTCGCTCGTTTTCAAAATCCATCGACATTCGACGAACTTCTTCAACAATTTATTTCATTATTCGAATTAATTCCTATTTCATCACGAAAAATCTTGGATGATTTACTTTGTATAATTAGTATTATCCTTACAAAACGAATCATGATTAGCAATGATGAAGTTCAACAAGATCTATTCATCCGGTTCTTTCGAGCATTTTGCCTATCAGTCAAAAAGAATCCTTCGTTTTTCTATCGAGAATTTCTAGGAAATTTCAACCAAAACTTACCGATCATTGGACATTATATCTCATGTTTACTCCAATTATATGAAAAGATCAATTCATTAGATTATCGAATGAATATCGTTGAGACCATCTGGACAATCATATACACGAATGAGAATGAATATCGAGTCATTATTGGACAGGTGTTAGCCTGTTTCTTACCAGGAATATTAAAATCATTAGCACAAGATTTCGATTCGGTACATCAACGACTTGCGCAGACCAATTTGATCCTATTAAGTTATATTCTACGAATCAGTGTTGTTCGTTCGGCGAAGTATGTTAATCAAACGGATTCTATCAAAGATGAACTTCGCGATCTTGTCGTCGAAAGAAATGAACAATGGTTGACCATTGTCGATACACATTTAGCTCCACTTTTACAGCGATTGACAACGAATTGTGCAAACCATGAAAGTGTTCATGTACGACGAGCTTTGGCAATTCTTATGTTAAACATACTGAGCTTTTGTTCGACATGGCTGAAAATCTCTTCAAATATTGCGTTGAAAACTATGCTTGTTCTTGTTTCCACCATCACGAATGATCAAAATGAGAATAAAATCATCAAAACTCTCCTGGAAAAGTTATTTAAATGTAAGTTACGTCAATCTACACGATCAAATCGCTATTCTAAATATCTCTTCTAGTACCGATTGAAGCAGTATCAGTATTACCATCGTCATCAACATCTATCTTTACCTATGAGAATGAATTCATTTCTGAAATTCTCAATTCATCAACGATCACTGTCTCTGATCATCTTTTAATCGATTGTCAAACAGATTTATTTCAATTACTCGACCAACAACAAGATAAATTCATGTACACTGATCGTCGATGGCGTCTACAACTCTTCATCGGCTATTATACATTCATTCATCATCATATTGATTTTCTTTTCGATATGGATGCATTCACTGAGAAATTATTTCGTTTTATCCTACAAACACTTGACTTCGACACATTGCTGCGAAGTCATTTGAACCTTCTTAATGGATCATCATTACCGAGTAGAGATTATGAAACATTCAATCAAGCTGAGTATGATTCGGTTTATAAACAATTGAAACCGGATGTTCATGATGAAATTTACCAACTAATCAACCTGTTTGTCGCATCACATTCGAAATTTGCGGATTATTTATTCGAGCAAATCAATCGAACGAAAATAACCGATGAAAACAATCCAAAAGTATTCTATTTGCTTTCTATTCTATACGACAAAATCAACTTCGATCATTTTGATGAACACCAACAACTTTTATCTTCACTCACTCAATTAATCTGCGATGATCACAATCAAAGACGAGCCCAACGACGACGAAGACGAAAGAAAGATGTCGAAGAACCGATTTCTATTCGAAATTTTACCATCTATTATCTTCTCCAATGTCTACGCACCTTAACGCCATTGAAACAAACCGTATACTTAATTGATTATATTCCTTTACTTCTTCTTTGTCATTCATCAATCTACACGATCATTCATCAAACTTCATTCGTTTGTCTATTAGCATTTTCAACCGATTTACCGAGTTTTCTCGTCTCGCAATCGGAATATATCGTTGATACATCATTACGAAAGTTACAAACTTCATCCTATGATGGCTACTTGATCTTAATTGAATTCATACGGCTAGGAAATACCCGAGTGATCAATCAACCAATCATGACACATGTTATCGAACAATTATTACTTGAATTATCGTGTTTACCACCTGTTGAATGTATCGAATTAACATTTCAGTTTCTGAATGTATTTTGTCAACAAGTGATCGATATTGTCGGCAAGAAGAAACCAAAAGCAATTGTGAACTCTTCGGTATCGAAATCATTAATTGAATTTGCTCTTGAATTACAACAGCAAAGTCAACCAATGGAATCTTCTGCTGATGAAATAAATGAAGAAAAGAAAGAAGAACATCCATGGCATCGAATGTTAGTATCCGTCGTCGATATTTTCCAACATTTCATTTCTCATTCGAATTCTCATATACGTTCTTATGTTCTGGGCGCATTTCCATCTTTAGCACAAGTGCTTTCAACGGTCGATGAGAATTTATTCTTACCGTTAGTTCATAAACTCTGGCCGGGTTTAATTCATCGTCTGTACGATTTCGACATTAATATTCGGATACGTTGCTTGACAACAATCGAATGTTTATGTCAACTTTGTTCGGATTTTGTTGATCGTCGTATTCGACAAGATATTCTTCCTGTGCTAATTCAACAACTGGAAAAGAATCGACTACTTTCTTCAAACAATGTTTTAGAATTTCGTTATACGAAATATCTTCTTACAAATATCGGCACCATTCTCAATGCTATTACAATGAATATCGAGGATATGGAAAGAATTGTTCTGATTCTACTTCAATATTTACAGATTGATCAGTTAGCATCGAGTGCATATGAACAATTGATGTTGTTAACAAGCAAATATTCGGATATTATTTGGTTAACAATCACTTTACATGATCAGAATGAGTTTCGACAAGGATATTTTCTTAGAATGAACGTTTATAAACCTGAACCCATGTTGACGATTGATCCAAAATGGAAAGTAAATCTATTGACGCGTTAGAAAGGTTTTTGTTTGAAATAAATTTATCCGCACACCCGAACGATTTTGAATATTTCAAAAACCATGTAACAAATCATCTTGATGACTGTCAGGGACTCGAATAAGTTGAGAATTGCATTATAATCCAATGGTCTTGACGAGGATTTCAACTTGCTTCTATCATACAGTGCTTTAGTAATCAATGGTATGGCGTTGATGGGTCATAGAGTCGTATTTCAGTATGAATCATGTTAACTAGCTTGTGTTGCTGTCGCATCAAGCGAAATGCGTTGAAAAGATGTTAAGTTGACATCTGATTCACACTCAAAGCATCTAGATAATAAATAAATGTTATCGTTCTATTACTTTGAAGTTATCTGACTCATAAGCCCGTTTTCTTTTCCCAACATCAGTAAAATACCTTGATCGTGCATCGAGCTCATAAACAATGACGTAACGCGCCTTACGCTTAGAAGGTTGGCAGAGATAGTATAAAAGGAAATGCATCGTACGGATTCTACATTGTTCAACAACTCGCACAAGAAACTTACAGTATTCTCATTACCGGTGCTTTTGTCCATGGGAACAGAAACAAATGAAAACTATTGCAAGAATGACGTACTCAAAAGTACCAGAAAGAATATTCATGCGTTCGAGTCGTACTCTATAAATAGAAAATATGTGATGATCACAATCGTTTAGATACCAATGTCGACAAATAAAGCTCAATGTTTACGAATGGACATATTTTCAACAGGTCTGCATACACCCACATTAGTCATTGATACGAAATTCGAAAATTTGCGTCGTATACTCTTTAAAGAATCTTTTGAATGAGGGTAAATATGAACAGAAAGACTAAATATAACAAACCTCACCTTCAAGATTCTCTCTCTTATTAAACTTTAATGATCCAAATCTCTACAAATAAGTAACAAAACTAAAATGAATTATTTTGTTCCAAAATTGGATTCTTTTTAGTTTTCTTTTTGAATAAACTTCTTCACACATGTCAAATGATTTCGAGGGTGTATAGCACGATCTCACAACTATCTGCTGATAATTGCCATAGATGTTACATTTTTTTGTTCTGTGTTAGTATTCTTTTTCATTTTATCATCATCATCATCATCGTACAACTATAAAATATGATGAAAAAGAAGAAGCAATAACGAACGAATTGTACTATCGAAAGTATCATACGATTTCAATTAGTTCGACTTCGTGATCTATACGTATCGGTATCGAATATTCAAAGTTCAAACGGCATCAAATTGAAAATGGCATCATCCATGAAAAAGCTTCTTTCTTTCTTTCTTTCTCTCTCTTTCCTCTTTTCGATAGATTTGATAAATCAGCAACAAATCGATGTATGTATTCACCAATGTTGTTATTGTTCGCGTTAGTTTCAAATGTCAGTATGTGTCGTGAGGAGGAGTAAATTAAAAGAACACGAAAGGTTCTTTCGAAAAAAAGCACACATATATACAATGAAAGAAAAAGCAAATGAATCTTCTTTTCTCCGTCTTCGCTGTTTCTTTATCGTCGATTTTACATTCAGTGATTGCACTTTTTTTTTCTATTTATTTTCATCGACTGTTGATAAATGAAAACTATCGTTTCGTTCCGCAATTGAACGCAAGATCATCAAATTGATAAGGTGAAATCGATAGATATCTCATTTCTCTTCTTTTTTTTTCATTAATCCAATGCCGTCGAGTGCATGAAACAATTGCAAATGCTCGGTTAACATCATTTTTCATCAATTTCTTTGCTAGTCATATGCATATAAATACTCATCACCTATGTGCCAGTTTAACACACAGAACGTTCAAACAACACCAATGGTATGTATTGCTCGATGTACAATGAAAAAAGGATTTTTCAAGCAAAGGAGAGAGCTCTTCTTGATAATTAGACCAGATATTCAAGACAAATTGTCATGGGGATTGCTCTCTTCTTTCTTCCTTTGCTATCGCCGTGTTTTTCGTTGTATTTGAAAAGGAATATTTGCCTGATGTTCTCGTCAGCTGTTCAAGAAAGGAAGAACAATTTGATGATCAGCAGATTTAATCAAGAACGCTGTCATGGAATTGCTCTCCTCTTTTGTCAGCAGAGATCAAACGATGTAACGAGCGTAATTCTCATCTGCTTGATAAAAATTAGATTTTTATTTCAATGTTCATTACCGGTGCATACAAAACAGAGACAAAATAAATCGAATGTTTGTTTGGTTTTCTTGTTAAATTACAATAAATAGTTCATGCATCATTATTGATGCTGATTATAGAAAATAAAGCCGAGAGTGAAGAGGCAAAGTGCGTAAATGGGTAGTGTGATTTGATTTCGTGGCGATGAATTACAATAATCTGTATTACAACAATCAACGAAAGCACCGACTCCAAATGAGTTTGAGCCACTTTGAGTGCAGCTAGATACGCATCCTTTCGAGATTTGAGGTGATCGATTGACGATACGAACGGTGTTTTTCTACAAAAGAAAAAAACAAATTTTTGTTTTTTGAAACTGTACGAAGAGATTTCAAAGGAGAATCTTACCACACAGATTGTATTCGAGCTTGAACAATTAGCAGCACGAATTGACGTTGTTGTCGATGTGTTAGTGAATGGTTCCGGACAAGGATCACATGTCCAACAGATCAAAGCAGAACCTAGGATAACTCAGAATGACTTTCATTCGATGTTGAACTTAGTCTTCTTACCGAACTGGATGTAAAAGACTGATAGGATCAGAACAGTGATGAGTATTTGTGAGACCTGATTAGCCATAATGTTCTTATTTTGTCGAAAGATTGAAACTGTGTACGTCACCAAATCAAACTAATGTTGGTATGTCGCAAAACGACGAAAAGTGCTTGCTATTTAATGGAACAGTGCAGATAAACAATTTTTGTTGATTTTGTAACTCTTTTCTTCTTTTTTTCTCACTTAAATTTTTGTCAAAAAATTCGTTAATCGAAAGAATGAAAGAAGTTAATGGTGAAGAAATTTTGCCGACGACCGTTCGAAATTGCACTATTGATGTTTTCGTGTAACAAAAACAACAGTTTTCCATTACATTGATGAATAGAAGAAAGGCAAAATAGTTTGAAGCGAAAATATTTGGGCGGTGTCAAAGCAAAATTATTAATTTCGAAAAGAAGTATTGAAATCTGTGCAACTATCGCAATCAGCTTCGAAGGAATTATGCAATAAATTGATTGATCCACATAGACAGATGTGCAATGTTTTTGTTGAGTCGCATTCTGAATGGATCAACTTGTGCATACGTTTGAAAATGATATTGATTATTTCTTCCCGAATATTAGGATAGCAATTCGTCTTTGTCACTATCCTCATTCACCTTCGTGGTATTATGAAGAATTATTATATCGATGTTTGTGTCAGTCTATGGTTTAATACGTGAGTCAACTGTTTTATTCGTATGTAATTTATTGTTTCTTGTCTTGTTATTAATTGTAATAGAATGTTGTTTTGAGAAACCGAAGAAAGTGGGAATTGTGCAAATGTTATACCAGATCGACAGCAAAAAGCCAACGATGGTTCGGAAACTGATGGAGAACAAGACATTGCTCGTTGACTATCGAGTGCGTCAATCGCTGCGACTTAGACGGTCTTTCAATCAGAAAGAAAATCGTTTATTGTATTTAATCTTCCTCTTTGGTTTTCTATAATAAATTTATACATTATAACGAAAGTTCCGTTCTTACAGGTCATATGTAGGTCATTCTAGGCTAAGACACATCTGTATAAAAAGAACACTTGAAGAAATGGATTTATCTAACTTAAGGAAATTACTCGAAACAATAATTTTCATTCTTCCAGGGTAGCCAGACTACATTTCAAATATGTTAGTACTCTTCTTATTTTGATGATTTCGCCTGTTTTAATATTTTCTATCACTGTGCCGATCATATGACAATTGATAATCTTGTTTTCAATTAGTTTTTCACCTGACAACATCATTACCAGTGCATCAAATACTCTCATAATCCCTCTGTAAATATACTTTATATTTTGTGGTATATAAACAGAGCGAATGATTATTAACACAGTCGATTCGTATTTGTCAGTTTTCCTTAACTGTAACATCGTACTTCGCAATTCAAAGAGAAACCATGTATAAATTCGCTGCTGCTCTCCTTGTGCTAATTATTGCTTTCCATGGAACATTCGGTCAAATGTCATTTGGTGGTTATTCTGATCATCCAGAATTAATTGAAGATGATACTACATTGCTTTTGACTGATTTTGCTGTTGAATATTTTTCAGCAGAACAAAATCTTAAATTAACAAATCTTGAGATTACCCGTGTTCGAATTCAAACAGTCTCAGGCACAAACTACAAGATCAACTTTACTGGTGACAATGGTGCCCAAAAAATGGAATGTGAAGTTGTTGTTTTTCTAGGCTTCAATTTTAAGAAGAAAATTTTTGATGCTAGTTGTGATCCACTGTAAAAGAAACATGCGTTTCCCTTACATAATGAAATAAAAAGTTAGCAAGAAAAGAATTGCTCTTGTCTCATGCCGCTACATTACGAAGTTGATTAGAAGAAATGCATACGCATATGTCAAAGTGCATAGCTGTGCTACACAACCTGATTTGAAGTAATCAATGATGAATCACAAAATTGCTTAAAAGCCTATAGATGTATTTTTTTTCTTTTTTACACTATCATTTTCATGAAATTCGAATTGGTGTTTGAGTTTGAAGAGTAACTCATCGTCGAAATTGATCAAGTCGAGTGCCATATTTTTCAGATGTTGGAAAAATTTCTTCTTGTTCGATCAGTGCCACTCACCTGTTTAATATCCATTTCTAAACGTTACGTACGTACAATATCACCCTCAACTCCGACGACTTCTACCGGAGTTTCATCATCTCTATCGGATAAAGAAGATAAAACAGCGATTGATTCCACTGGAAAAGTATTCACATTTCGTCATGGGTACGAATTCATTCAACATTCTTATTCAGATTGCGAAACATTGTCACGATTATATTTAGACCACCTCCTGATATAGTACCAGTCGACGATCTCGGTCCGTATGAGATTCGTTTACAAAATATCGGATGTAAAAATCGTCAATTTAATCGTATTGTCGTTCAACGAATGAAACATTCACCAAATGCCAATGAAATTGTGGAAAATCTCGGTTCATACGATCCAATGCCAAACAATAATAATGAAATTTTAGTTGCTCTCAACATAAAACGACTCAGATATTGGATTGGTACTGATGGTGTAGTCATCAATCCATGGGTGCAGAAATTACTCGGTAAAAACGAAAAAATCTTCTTTTTTTCAGTTTCAAGTTTTGTAAAATCTTTATTTTTTGCATAGGGCGGTGTGGATTTTTCCCTGTTGATCCAGCTGATTATGTTGATGCATATCGAGCGAGGAAAATCGCAGAGAATCGTATAAGATATCCTGAGAAGAAAGACGAAGAAGAAGAAAAACAAGAAGAAACCGCTTGATATTTTGTTTTCTATTACACATTTTTGTTAACGATACAGATTAGAAAAATGTTTTTGTTTGATATCTCTTTCAGATAGAAACATGCCACTTGTGAATTACGAAGGTGATTCAAGTGAAGGAGAAGAAGAAGAGCAGCATGTGAATGCTCAATCAGTAAAAGATAATCGTCGAATTCATTTACCAGCTCCTTCACATCCAGTGTCGAAACCAATCATCAAGGACATTGACGATGACGATGATGACGATGACGAATATTCAACAAAATCAACAACGCAAGCTTCTTCTAATCTATTAGCGAATCTTCCTAAGCCTCAAGCTGTTTCCTCATCTAATGCAACAACAAATCCTGAAGAATTTACCGAAACGGAACTGGAGGATATCGTTCGTGGAGACAACAAAGTATATGCGAAGAATATCCCTGAACTACCAAAACCACCATCCGCTCCAAAACGAAAACGTGATGGGCCAGTCAAAATCTTCATACCCACAGTCGATCAAGTAAAACTACTTCATTTCGTCTGCTCCTTGTTTTACCTATTACCTCTCTTTTTTTAGGATTCAGACGAAGAAGATAAACCTAAGAGAAAACAACCAACGATCAAACGAGTATGTCACTCTATTTCATTTCATATTCAATTTCTCATCATAATCTATTAGAATTGTGCACTGTTGAACACTCTCCCCCCTCCGCTACACGATGAAGACAAACCAACAGCATCAACTTTACCAGTAGTTAAAAATCCATCGAAAACCACACCTCAAATCACTTCATCAGGTTTATTCATTCCCTACACGCTTAATAAAAAATCACAACAGCAGACAGCGAAGAAAACGGCAACCACTTCATTATTAGGACCAAGCAAAAATGACAGCGACGATGATGACGACGACGATGTGAACGATCAATCCGATTTTCTTGGTCTGACAAAAACAAGTCAAATTGAAATTACACATACAGATGTCGAAAGTGTTCTACGTGAAACACTTCCCAAAGCTCGGCCAGTTGTTGTCGAACAACCAATCTTACCTCAACCAACTGAAGATTTTGAAGACCTTGACGAAGACGATGCGCAAACAACTTCTCATCAAACAATTACAGACGATGATGAGGTTAGCCAAACAATGTTTTCATTCGAATTTCATTCTATTATGTCTTTTTAGTTGATACGTTATCTGCCCAAAAGCGAACGTTACAAAGAAATTAAGACTGTACATATTGATTCAATGTTTGCCGAAAGCGCTCGATTACAATTACTGAAAAATGCAACTGAAGAACGTGAAACTATGTTAGCACAAGCAGCTATTCACGTGCCGAAAGGCGAGGCGAAGAAACGATCACAGCTTACCTATCTTGTTGCTAAAGTAAATCGCATAGAATACTCGATTGTCTCTAGTAATCTCTTTGATCGTTTTTCTAGGCTCAGCATGATGATTTACAATTGAAGAATATGTGGAGTCAACAGAAGTTAACAAAGAGACAAACTCAAGCCAAATATGGCTTTTGAAAACAATGGATTTTTCTCTTGTTTATATTTTCTTCATCAAATAGAACTATCTTTGTATTCGATTACTTCATACACAGCGGAAGAAGGAAAATCATGTAGAAATTTAATGTAAATTGTTTCTCATTTTGACAAATACTTTTGTCGATATTGTTCTTCAGCTTCTAAAACTCGACGGGAATAGAATATCTCACGATTGTCATTGAGATCCGTTGCAGCTTCTCTCCCATTATAATGAGCCAGTCGAGTCCATGTTACGTTATCCTTTGCATCATGATTTATATGAACGATAGCGACATATTCTTGTGGAAATCGATTGGGCTCAACAGTCATCTCAACGCCAATATATTCATCTTGATAGACAGGATTTTGTAAACGTTCGGATAGATGTTTTTCGACGAGAGCAATGGTTGGATTTTGTGTATGTCGAGCTACAAGAGGACAATTGATGTCGACATATTTATAAAGTGCACCATCAGGTAACGATTGATTTGCTCGTGTTGCAAATAAATAAGGCACACCATAGCCATATTCATCTTTGGCCGGAACGAAGAGTATATCTCCTTCCTCTCCTTCATCAGTATTTGTGTGCACATCGTTGAAGACAAAGTCTGTGATTTGATGATTCGACCACATTTGTTGAATTTGCGACCAGATTCCTTTTTGTGGTAAACGATAAATGTAGAATGCATTGTGTAAGCGATATCCACTCATTTCAATCAAGTCGCCCGTATCCATCTGATGCTGTTCATCGCTAGTAAGAACACGTGTCAAATCTACTTGTTGATTATCGTTCCGTTGTTCAAGCAATTCTAAATCATTATGCTCATCGACATATCCTACGATAACATAGCCTAGTTCAGGAGAAAGTCATTTGTATAGTTTAAGTTACCTGCGGGATAACCTTGTATTTTGCGGCACATGTCTTTTCGTGCTTGTCGGCTACTTGGAATATAACTAGCAGCTTTTTGAAAACGTTGTTTCAATTCATTAACTTCAGACCAAGCGTTAGTAAGATCAACTTCTCGATCTCCATCTTCTTGACGGCTTTCAAGCAACTTATTCACAACTGCTTGACTGGCAACTATATCAGATTCGATGCAACAATCTTCCGAATTGCCATTGATTTCTTTCAGTTCATCTTCGGAGAATAATTGGCTACAAAGAACTCGTCGAGCCAACTTCTTCCACGATACACGTGTCAATGGTATTTGAGCATTTTGAAGTTGTTCTTCGAGCTTTCTACGGTAATGCGCTAATCGACAAAAGTCATAATATTCTTCTAATAAATTCCAAGCATCACGCAAATGGTCTGACTGAAATGTCTCACTCGACTCGTCCATGAATCAAAAGGTAACACACACGTACACTGCAAAACAACAGAGCGACAACATTTATATATATAGATGAATGGAACGACTATATCTCATCTTTACTCGTTTTATCAGTTAACTACAATTGAGACGAACACATTTTATTATCTAAGATATACATGTTTGTCTCTAGGTTTTGAAAAATAATGATTCAATTGTTGTAAAAAACAACACAACCAAATAAATTTCAATTAGTTTATTTAGTGAATAAAAATTGCATGTAGAATAGCAAAATGCACTTAGCGTCGATCTTCCTTTTCTTCTTTTTCAAAAACTAAAGAAAGTAATTCTATGTTCTTTGCAATATTACGAAAGACGTTATTCCGGACGTTTCTATCGATGATTTTCTTTTTTTTATTCTCGCCACTGTTCTTTTATGCTTATTGACAACGAGAAACAACCGGTGTTCGATCGTCAATCAGCAAAAACGAGAGAACTACTTTCAGGAAAATGTGCAATAATCACTGACAGTAGCAACTGAACATCTGCATCATTTTCCTGATCCTTCCGAACATTCAACGGATGGTAATAGATGAGGATGTTCATCAATTATCTCTCGTTTTCTTCGACTCTCTGGTTGCTAACTAGATGGCGCTATTCCTGCTCGGATCTCTCCGTACAGAGATCGTTGTTAGGCAACTTTGTATATCAATGGCGACGTGCTCGAAAAAAGTCTTATTAAATCAACCCTGAACAAAAGTATTTTATCTCAAGTATTCACATTGATTGTCTTTTTCTACTTCAGCCTCTGATTCAATGTTATGCACCGCCATACACAGTTCATCTTCATCTTTCTAGATTTATTTTTCTTATCGAATGTATCCATTATAACTTCCATATTCATGTATAACGGTCGATCTCATACAACTAATCAGAACGGTACTGTTGCAAAGATAAACCCTGGTGACAAATCTAAGGTACAGCCGCATTCATCGGCAAATGTCTCAGCAGATCTCATGTCAATATTCTGTATTGTAGACATTAGTGACGCCGCCCTATTCAAGCAGTGTCTCTAAGCCTTTAGCCCCGTGGCCTCGTAATCAAGGTGAAGTGTCGGAATTGTACAAAGTAAGTTTAGTTTTTATTGACACATAGACGAAATCTTGTACACGTTCATGTTCAGGTTGTTCTCAATCACGGTACTCATCCGCCGTTAGTTCAACCAGATTCATGGACAGTAGCAGCACCATTCAAAGAACAGAAACATGTTCGCACAGTAGTCGAATCTATAGCGAATAATTTTAGTCCCGACGCACAACGTCTAGATATACGAAAATTACCACACGCGAAACAAACAACGCCTTATCCTGGTGATGGATTTTATCGAGGAGGTGAGTTCTTTTTGTTTTCAGCACTCTCAAGTCATATAACTATTTCCTTCTGTCGAAATCATTCTTCTAGACAAAGGTATATTGAGTGTTGTTTGTGAAACCTTTCTGTTTGAGAAGATAATTCCTCTCCTAATTGTAACATCACTAATTATTTGTTTTATGTTGACTTTTTCTAGCGAATGGTATGTATTCGACTGCACACGCTTATTCTTTCTTCGAACTTAGCTACTTTTGCTTAATTTATTAGTTGATTGAGTGATGTTCATCGGATCTTTTTGTCATTTAGTTGATGAGTTTTTGAAGCGCACACGTGAGGAACCAGCCACACCGAATTCCACTCAAAAGAAACAGAAACGAGCGCAAGATTTTCGAAAGGAAAAGTAAGTGATTTCGACAAGACGACTCGATGTTTCAAGGTTTTAGAACAAACCATAGAAGCCTTTTAAGTTTTCAATGACCTTTCTTTGAATTACTGTTTGTGATTTGTGTCTGTAGAGTCGAAAAATGGATCACGCCTCCATCGCGTCCAGTCTCACCAACCGAACAACTGAATATGCTCTCATGGATGGCCGACGAAGAATCACGTCGTATTCCCGATCCAAAGAAAGAAGAGGTCGAACGATACTGGTACTACATTACCAAAAGTGTGCAATCACGTATGGTCGCACCCGAACCATCCGATCAATACAATCGATTTTGCTCACATTTAACACCAAAACTTCTTCATCCATCATTAAAATCAGTTCATGACGATTTAAAAGATGAAATTCATTCAACTTATGATCTTGCCGTTCGACGCGCTATTGTCGATTATATTCTACTAGATCCAAATGAACGTCAGCGAGTGAAAATTCAGAACGTACCGAAAATTTTTCGCTTACGCACAATACGTGCACCGATTGAATGGCACGACACGATGGCAGATACAAAAAAAGATCTATTAATCACATTGCATGGAAACAATCCAATCATGTCAGCGTTACAAATACTTTGGGATGATGTGTATGCTCATCAAAGATTGATTAGCTTTCAAGATCTAATGGGCGCACCATTTCCAATGATACCGCAAGATTTTGAGAAATTTATCGAACAACATGTCAATCAAATGAGACAAACACTTATGTCGCAGTAAGTTAAAAGTACAACCAAGTGACCAGACCATTCCTTCTCTTATTTTGTAGGTGGCTCAATAGTTGCAGTCGGCTAGTAGCAGAAAATCGACAATTTTGGGAAGCAATGGTTCCAGAAGCAGACGACGGCAATACGGAATTAGTCGAATCATTCTTTAATACAGTTGCTGCTCTTATGGCTGGACACATGCGTCAGCTTGTCAACAATTCATTAGAAGATTTCGCTCGATTTTTCGAAGAATATACCAATGGAAACGATTACCGTTCGAATGATCCCTCAGCTGAATACAATGTCATGAATTTCACACGTAAACCAGTGTTTACTCAACGTTTATACGCTGATGGACCAAAAATCGCCTTCGATCCAACCAATCAAGACATTCGCTCCATGTTGCAACGTTGCATCAAATATATTGTCAACGGAGCTGCAAATCTTCCGCGCATCGAATCTCATCTATTCGATACAAAAAACAAACTACTTATTCGTCATGTACGCATCGATGAGGAAATTGTCGAGAACATCACTCAACGTGTTTTGTATGTCTTAACAAAAAATCTTCCTGGTCCACAATTGTACTTACACGAATACGATCAATATCAAAATTTATTGAACAACAAAGCTGAACTAGAAACAACAGAATTTCTTCGTCATCCGCACATTCTCGAAGAATTCGAAAATGAGATCAAACGCAAAACAGCACTGGCGAATGAAATCATCCTGAAACGTATTTGGGCTCCATTGAATCTATTCAATCTAGACTGTCGAGATTTGAATGAACATCTAATCAAAATCGTACAAAAACTACGAGATAAATCAGTTCAACACTGCATCGAAGACAATTCAAAATTAAACAAAGAAATCGTTCGCGAATACGACGAAATAGCTGCGACAGTCAGTGTTCCTGCAGATGAAATCGAAGAACTAGTTCGAACAACTGACTATCTCAACAAAGCATTGGAAAGTTTAATCTATAAATTAGCATACAAAATCGGCGAAGCAAAAGAACGATTGATGTTTTTATTAGATTACGCACTTATGCCACGTATGTCGTTCATATGTGAATAACAAATTTTACATGTTCTTTGTTTTCAATAGCGGAAGATTTGAAACTCAATGCACAAGTTTTCCATTGGCCGGAAAACATCATGAATATTCTAGAATTGAATCAAAGTCGATTGGCAGCTTTGCGGTAAGACATCATTCGTTGCTTTCGATGATGAAATGAGAACAATGTTTGTCTTTAGTGAGCGAGCTGAAGAACGTTTACGTGATCATATCATTAAGTTCGAAAAGAAACTTGAAGATTTACACAAAGAAATTGATCTCTTTCGACGAAAAGATGTTTGTTGCTCTTTAAATTCTATTTTCTTCGACAATCATTTGTTTCTTCTCCTAATAGGTACTGAGTAACGAAGAGATGCGCATGAATGTTGAAAAATTAGCGGATACGAACAAACTCGTCGAAGAGTACAAAGCTGAAGCTGAAATCATTAATCGCGATCAATCACTACTCGGCTGGGAAGTCACACCATTCCCTAAATTACAAGAAATCATTGCTGCTAAGGATCCATACGAAAAACTATGGAATACCGCTTGGCAATTTTATACTTCATTTGAACAATGGATGAATGGACCATTTCGAGGTCTTAATGCTGAAACCATCAGTGACGACGTACGTTCTTTACTTAGAATTCTCTCGATTTTGACTTTTTCATTGTAATTTAGGTGTCAAATATGTGGCGTACTGTTCACAAATTACAAAAAACACTAACAGATCAACCAGGTCCACGACGTGTTGCTGATCTGATTAAGAAACGTATCGACGCCTTCAAAGTTCATCTACCTTTATTACAGGTCATATGCAATCCGGGTTTAAAAGAACGTCACTGGCAACAAATGAATCAATTAGTTGGCCTTGCTTTACCTCATGATCCAACTGCGACGTTGAGTGATCTAATTGATCTCGGTATCGCGAAGCATGTTGAAAAACTAGACGAAATCGGTGGTAGTGCATCGAAAGAATATTCATTAGAGAAAAATATGTCGAAGATGAAAGATGAATGGAAAGAAATGTTGTTCACATTTGTCAAATATCGTGATACATCAGCGTATATCCTCTCCGCCGTTGATGATATTCAATTAATGTTAGATGATCATATTATCAAAGCACAGACTATGTTAGGCAGTCCATTTATTCGACCATTAGAAGATGAAATGCGGGCATGGTGTGATCGATTAACTTTATTGCAAGATACGATTGATATTTGGCTGAAAGTACAAGCAGCCTGGCTTTACCTTGAGCCGATCTTTGGCTCGGAAGATATTGTCAATCAAATGCCGGAAGAAGGACGAAAATTCGGTAAGGTTTTTCCATATTTTCGAGTGATTCGTTTTTAAGGTGATCTTTGTAGCTACTGTTGATAGCAATTGGAAAGAGATTATGATCAATGCGGTGAAAGATGCACATGTTCTTGCTGCAACAGATCAACCTGGAATGTTAGAAAAACTACGTGAAGGTTTCCGTCTACTCGAAGAAATTCAAAAGGGTCTTAACAATTATTTGGAAAAGAAACGATTGTTTTTTCCACGGTATGATTCACTTTTTCTTCTTCTTTAGTAGTATCGAATCGTATTCTTTTGATTAGATTCTTCTTTTTGTCCAACGAAGAACTTCTGGAAATTCTCTCGGAAACCAAAGATCCGCTACGTGTTCAACCACATTTAAAGAAATGCTTCGAGGGCATCAATCGCTTAGAATTCAATGATCAACAAGAGATCACCGCGATGATTTCGGTCGAAAAGGAAGTCGTACAATTCAAAGGAACAGTCAATCCAAGTAAAGCGCGTGGTATGGTAGAAAAATGGCTGATTCAAGTCGAAGATCAGATGCATTTGTCGATTCGGATGATTATTAAAGAAGCTCTAGATGCCTATGCGACACGTGATCGAAAACAATGGGTTTTAGAATGGCCTGGCCAAATTGTTATCTGCGCAAGTCAGGTTTATTGGACGAAAGAAGTCGAAGAATCCATTTTGAATAATACTTTACAAGAATTTCTCTTGACATCAAATGAACAAATCAAGGATACGGTTAATTTAGTTCGTGGCAAACTCGAAAGTGGACCGCGAAGAACATTAGAAGCGTTGATTGTCATTGACGTACACGCTCGAGATGTAGTTGCTAATTTAATTCAAACAAAAATCAGTAAAACTTCTGAATTTATTTGGATTTCACAATTGAGATATTATTGGAATGCAGAAGCCGAAAAATTAATGGTTAACATGATCAGTAAGATTGCTTCTTTGATCATTTACTTGCGATTCATTCATTAAACTGATTTTAGCTACGGAACTTGAATATGCATATGAATATTTGGGTAATACATCTCGATTGGTTATCACCCCTTTAACAGATCGTTGCTACAGGTAAGGAGAAACATGTGAGAAGCTTTTGCAATAACTGGTTTTCTTTTCGTTTCGTAGAACACTGATGGGTGCTTTGAAACTGAATCTTGGTGGTGCACCGGAAGGACCAGCTGGTACAGGCAAAACTGAAACAACAAAAGATTTAGCTAAAGCTGTGGCGAAGCAATGTATCGTATTCAATTGCTCCGACAGTTTGGATTACAAGGCTATGTCGAAGTTCTTCAAAGGTTTAGCACAATCAGGTAAGTTCTATTGTGTGTCGTCAGATCACTTTCAACTCGATCCATTCTAGGTGCATGGGCATGTTTTGATGAGTGAGTACTTTGCTTAAGAATTGTTATTCTGTGAGAAGCACGGAGATGATGTTTAGATTTAACCGTATTGAATTAGAAGTCTTGTCAGTCGTTGCTCAACAAGTTCAAATGGTCCAACGTGCTATTGCTGCACATCAAAAACGATTCATTTTCGAAGATACCGAACTCGAACTTGATCCTACATGTTCCGTGTTTATCACCATGGTAATTTCACTGTTTCGGAAAGGAACAATCAAACCTTTCTTTCTCTATAGAATCCTGGTTATGCTGGTCGATCAGAATTGCCCGACAACTTAAAAGTACTCTTCCGAACGGTAGCTATGATGGTACCGGATTATGTAAGTTTACTATTCTTCAATAAGAAACTATTCTTTCAAATGCAATTCTTAATTAGGCTATGATCGGTGAAATTAGTTTGTATTCGATGGGTTTCATTGATGCTCGATCTTTATCTGGCAAAATCGTTGCCACATACAAATTATGTTCCGAACAATTATCATCCCAACATCACTACGATTATGGTATGCGTGCTGTCAAATCTGTCTTGACCGCATCGGGAAATTTAAAACAGAAATATCTTGACGAAGACGAATCAATCTTGGTCTTACGTGCTATCAAAGATGTCAATCTACCGAAATTTCTTGCTCAAGTAAAATCAACTGTGACTTTTTTTGCTAAAATAACTTCGCATCCGATTTTTGATAGGACGTTCCATTATTCGAAGGTATTATCAGCGATCTATTTCCCGGTGTTGTTCTGCCAACGCCTGATTATGAAGTTTTCCTCGAAGCTATTCATAACAATTCGAAACATATGAAATTACAACCCGTACAGTTTTTTATTGATAAAATTATTCAAGTAAGTTCAGTTTGACTTCAAATAAGCATAACTGATTGTTATTTTTCCAAGGTTTACGAAATGATGTTAGTTCGTCATGGTTTTATGATCGTTGGGCCATTTATGGGCGGCAAATCATCAGCGTATAAAGTCTTAGCAGGTGCACTGGCTGATTTAGAAGTCGCGGGGATGATGGATGAACACAAAGTCGCCTATAAAGTTCTCAATCCGAAATCTATCACCATTGGACAGCTTTACGGAGAATTCGATAGTAAGATTGATTTGCAATTGTGAAGTTCTACATGTATCTTTATCTTTGCTTGCAGAGGTTTCGCATGAATGGACTGATGGTGAGTTCGTTGAATGTTGAAAACATTTGAATCATTGCTTTTTTTTTTCGCTATGAATAGGTGTGTTGGCAACAACTTTTCGAGAATATGCATCTAGTCAAACTCTGGATAGAAAATGGATTATTTTTGATGGTAAAAAAGATTGTCGAATAAGAGATGAGTACTGATTGATGGATGTTTTTTAGGACCTGTCGATGCTGTTTGGATCGAAAATATGAATACTGTACTTGATGATAACAAAAAGGTATATTCAATGGATTTGAAAGAAACAGCTTCACTTTTATGCGAGATTTTTATAGTTGTGTTTGATGAGTGGTGAAATTATTCAAATGAGCGCACAAATGAATTTGATCTTCGAGCCAGAAGATCTAGAACAAGCTTCACCTGCTACTGTATCACGTTGTGGTATGATCTATATGGATCCGAATCAATTGGGTTGGCGTGTATTCAAAGACTCCTATATTCAATACGAATTACCTGCTTCATTAACCAAAGATGCACGCGAACTAGTCAACGATCTATTCGAATGGTTAATTGATCCATGTCTCGAATTTCTTCGTTTCAATTGTAAATTTCAATTGGCGACATCACCGATTCACTTAACATACAGTTTAATGCGCTTGTATTCATCATTAATGGACGAAATCGCTGGTTCAGGCACAACTGCTCCTGACGGTAAACCCTATCCTGAAATCAATCCGAACACCGTAAGTGACTAGAAGATGAAAGTATATTCCTATGAAAAAGAAAACAACTTTCAGCCGAAATGGCTTGTTGAGTTATTACATCCTCCGCAAACCATAGGTCTTCGACCTGCAACTGTAAGATGCAACAGAAAATCCATCGATTCGCTCGCTCTATCTCCACATTGATTACTTCTTGACAAAGCTATGCCATTGATTCGAAAATTCTTATTCTTAGGTTCAAATAAATGCCATGCAGGTTTGTAATTAGAGAATGCATGCTACTTGCTATTAATCTTTAGATATAATCTTTTTTTTCTTCCAACATATTCTATCACGTCATTAACAATTTCGTTTTTTCTCTGAAATTTAGGTGCTTCTTTGGCTACAAGGTTTATTCTTATTCTCAGTTATTTGGGGCTTAGCTGGTACAATCACTGGCGACAGTCGAAAGAAGTTCGATATATTCTTACGCGAATTTTTAACGAATACAAACCCCGATAATCCTCGACCGAAATCAATCAAATTCTCTAAAGTAAGTCAAAGTCGCCAAAAGCAAATTTGAGAATGAACTGTTGATCTTCTAGGCGAACATCTTTCCTGAACGAAACACATGCTTTGACTTTTACTTCGAAAAACGTGCAGCTGGACATTGGCGTGATTGGCCTGACATGATACCAAAGGAAGATTTAGCTATTCAAGAAGGTGTTAAAGTCGTCGATTTGATTATACAAACCGATGAAACAGCACGGCAAACCTTTTTCTTGGATACTTTTCTGTCACACAATGTTCCACTTTTGTTGGTTGGACCGACTGGTGTGTTAAATTTAGCGTAATTAACGAAGTATTGTGTATTTTTTGCTAGGTACTGGTAAATCTGCGATTAACAACTATTTTCTCGTTCGATTGCCAAAGGAAAAGTAGGTTGAATAAAACGAAAGATAATCAAATTGTATTTTTCCATAGATTTGTTGCTAATGTGGTCAACTTTTCTGCTCGAACATCATCCAATCAAACAATGGATACAATCATGAGTAAACTTGACCGGTAACTAATCCTCTTTATCAAATGAGGTGATATTGGAAACTGATTTATTGTAGACGCCGTAAGGGTGTCTATGGACCACCGATGGGCAAAAAATGTATTATCTTCGTCGACGATTTGAACATGCCAGCGAAAGAAAAATATGGCAGTCAACCGCCAATTGAATTACTTCGTCAATGGCTTGATCAAGGTTACTGGTTTGATCGCAAAGATACATCAGTTATAACTCTTCTCGATCTTGTAAGTTCTAGTGAACTATTAGCAAACGAACGCTGTTTCCTTTGCTCAATTTAGCTCTTTCTTGGAGCAATGGGTCCACCAGGTGGTGGTCGTAATACAATCACTGGACGATTCTCACGTCATTGTAATATTATTTCAATCGATTCATTCAGCGATGAGACCATGCAAAAGATTTTCACATCGATTGTCGATTGGCATTTTGCACGTGGTTTCGAACCATCATTTCAACGTGTTGGTCGTTTGCTTATCCAAGCAACGATGCAAATTTACAAGAAAGCTTGCGAACAGTTCCTTCCTACACCACAGAAGTCTCACTATATTTTCAACTTACGTGATTTCTCACGTGTTGTCAGAGGAGTCTTACTTGCACCAAATACGCACTTGAAAGAAGAGAAGAAATTGTACCGCTTGTGGGTTCATGAAGTCTATCGAGTATTCTATGATCGTCTTATTGATGATAGCGATCGACAAACATTTTTCTCCATGGTGAAAGAGATTATGAATGATTCATTGAAACAGAATATGGGCAATTTATTTGAACATTTGATTCCAGCCAATGCACCACAAAAACAACTTCGCGATGAACATGTAAGTTCTCAACATTTGATAAAACTCTCTGAAGAATTCTGACATCCACATAGATTCGTGCATTGATGTTTGGTGATTTCATTAAACCAGATGCTGATCCAAAGCCCTATGATGAAATCATCGATTTAGCACATTTGCAGAAAGTGATGGAATCCTATCTGGATGATTACAATGCTGTTAGTAAAAGTCCGATGCATTTAGTCATGTTTCAGTTTGCTATTGAACATATCTCACGTGTTTCACGTGTATTGAAACAAGATCAAGGTCATGCATTGCTTGTCGGCATCGGCGGAAGCGGACGAGTAAGACTTGCAATTAAAGACAATAGATCAGACCTATTCTCTTTTCTCGAAATAGAGTTCATCATGTAAAATGGCAGCATACATGGCTGATTATGAATTGTTTCAAATTGAAATTACCCGAACCTACGGCAAGAATGAATGGCGAGATGATATCCGAAAACTATTTCGAAAAAGTGGAGTGGAAGGTAAAGTTATTCAGTAGTTGCGCTTGAAGAGAAATGCTAAGCTAGGATATATCTTATCAAGGATATTCCCTATTGGGGAATACAAAAAATGGGAAAGGAGGTCCTCCTATAGCAGGTATTCGTATATGAAAAAAGATCCAAATCTGTCCCATTGTATTGTAAAGTTCATTTGCACATATCGTACGATTGTTGTTCTATGTCGTCAACACAATGCTTTAAATATCGAGAAAGATCAATGAATGTATTGAGAGTTTTGTTTCCCACGAAAGAAAGAAGCATTCACAATAATCAAAGAATACGTAATCTGCGAATCCTAATCATACTTTTATCTTTCGTTCTAGGCAAAAGCACCGTATTTCTCTTCAGTGATTCTCAAATTGTAAGATTTTTCTATTTCGTATTTTAACGGTACTTATCGTTGATTTGTGGCGTTTTTAGAAAGATGAATCGTTCATCGAAGATATCAACATGATGTTAAACACAGCCGATATTCCAAACTTGTTTCCTGCTGATGAGCGAGCAGAAATCTGTGATAAAATGCAGAATGTTGCTCGACAATTGAACCGTAAAATCGAATCGACACCAATGGCTCTGTACAACTTTTTCATCGAACGTGTTCGATCTGCTCTGCACATTGTCCTAGCATTTTCACCCATTGGTGATGCTTTCCGTAATCGTTTGCGTATGTTTCCATCGTTGATCAACTGTTGTACTATTGATTGGTTCACATCGTGGCCGGAAGATGCATTAGAAATGGTAGCGAAGAAATTCTTAGAAGAAGTCGAACTCGAAGATGAAATACGAAAAGATTGTGTGGTAAGATTTGACGAACTAGGAGAGAACTGATGTTGTATATGTTCATCTAGATCATGTGTAAAACATTTCATGAAAATATTCGAGTTTTATCCGAACTATTCCTTAAACAATTATCTCGACATAATTATGTGACACCAACATCGTACTTAGAATTGATCTTGACGTTCAAAGGTATAGGAGAAAGACAAATGATGCTTTTTGAGATGGAATATGTTTTTATTTTGTAATTTAGATCTGTTGAGACTTAAACGTAATGAAATTCAAACTCTGAAAGATAATTATTTGAATGGTCTGAAGCAACTTGATTATGCTCGTGTAGCAATCGACGCAATGAAAAAGGAGCTGATTGAATTGCAACCGAAACTAAAAGAAACAGCTGTTGTCGTTGAAAATCTTATGGTAGGATTCGAATTGATTTATTTTTCAAGGGAACGACAGAGATTTGTTTTGCTGCAATAGATACGTATCGAACAAGAAACAGCAGAAGTCGAAGCACGAAAAGAAATTGTCGCTGCCGATGAAGCAGTTGCTAATGAGGCCGCAGCCAAAGCACAATCGATTAAAGATGAATGTGAAAATGAACTTACAGAAGCATTGCCCGCGTTGAAAGAGGCTGAAGAAGCACTCAGTAAGATTTTCAGTGATATTTTGCAAAACGGAATTTATTCATTTAATCGTTTTCCAGATACATTGAAACCATCGGAATTGGTCATTGTCAAAGCAATGAAAAATCCGCCAGGTGGTGTGAAACTTGTCATGGAAGCTGTTTGTATCATGCTGGAAAAAGCTCCTGAACGTAAAATCGATCCGTCGACACAAAAACCTGTGTTAGACTATTGGCCAACATCAGTTCGACTTTTAGCCGATATGGACTTTCGTAAAGTAAGTCTACTTTTTTCCCCGTATTCAATGGCTACCATTAATTCATTTCACAGAATTTGCAAACATTCGATAAAGACAATATCAAAGGACAAGTTATCAAACAAATTCGTGATCGTTTCGTTCAAAATCCATCGTTTAAACCAGCTGAAGTCGCGAAAGTGTCAGCTGCTTGCGAAGGTCTATGTAAATGGATTTTAGCTTTGGAGAAATACGACCGTGTGATCAAAGTTGTCCAACCGAAACGAATGAAATTGAACGAAGCCGAAGAAGCTCTTTCCGAACAAATGAGTAAACTACAGGAGAAACAACGGCAAGTTCAAGAGCTCGAAGCACGTTTGAAAGCACTAACAGATGAATACGAAACCAATGTTCAAAAGAAAAACGAATTAGAAGATCAACGAAATCTTTGCGAGAAGAAATTAACACGTGCTGTGCAACTCATCGAAGGTCTTGGTGGCGAAAAAGACCGATGGACAGATCAAGCACGACGATTAGGAGAACGTTATATTAAATTAACAGGTGATATTCTACTCAGTGCTGGTGTTGTTGCTTATCTCGGACCATTTACTGTGAATTATCGAACGGTAAGAGCGTTTTCATTTGAAAATCACATTTTTCATATTGTTTTACATAGGATTGTATTCGTCAATGGATTGATTTATGTAAAGCAAAACGTATTCCGTGTTCGGATGTTTTCTCATTGAATGCAACATTGGGAGATGCTGTTAAAATTCGTGCATGGCAAATCGCTGGTCTACCCGTAGATTCGTTCTCAGTAGATAATGGTATTATAGCAACAAATGCACGTCGTTGGCCACTTTGTATTGATCCTCAATCACAAGCGAACAAATGGATTAAGAATATGGAACGAGATAATCGGTTGGTGGTGATTAAATTACAAGATCCAAATTATAGTAGATCGTTAGAAAATGCGATTCAATTTGGTACACCAATTTTACTGGAAAATGTCAACGAAGAATTGGATCCAGTTCTCGACAATGTCTTGTTGAAAGCTACATTTAAACAACAAGGTGTTGAGGTATGTTTAACATTGAAATTTGCCTGTATATAAAAAGAGAATTCATCACATTTTGTAGTACATCAAATTTGGTGAAAACGTAATTGAATATTCGCGTGACTTCCGTTTTTATATAACTACCAAACTACGTAATCCACATTATCTTCCCGAGATATCGGTTAAAGTGACATTGATCAATTTTATGATCACAACTGAAGGTTTACAAGATCAATTGTTGAGTATAGTTGCAGCAAAAGAGAAACCTGAACTTGAAGAACAAAAGAATAATCTGATCGTTCAATCTGCCGAGAACAAACGTAAACAGAAAGAAATCGAAGATACCATACTCGAAGTTCTATCTTCCTCGGCGGTAAATATCAACAGTTTTCTTTTGAAAACGAACTTCGACTTCTGTTTTTTGCAGGGTAATCTTCTCGAAAATGAAACAGCCATTCAGATATTATCATCGTCGAAGAAGATCTCTGAAGAAATCGAAGCAAAACAAAAGATCGCCGAAGAAACACAGAAAGAAATTGAACTCACTCGCCAGGGATATTTACCTGTCGCTAAACATTCAACAATTCTATTCTTCTGCATTTCCGACTTGGCAAACATCGATCCAGTAAGATCATCTTTCTCAAAACCACAATTTTTTCCTATTTTTTTTCTTTTCAAGATGTACCAATATTCTTTGGTTTGGTTCATTAACTTGTACATCATGTCTATCGAAAATAGTGAAAAATCAAGCGATTTACAAGAACGTATTGAAAAACTAAATGCACATTTCACGGAATCGATCTATCGCAATGTTTGTCGATCATTATTAGAACGGCACAAACTATTATTTTCATTTATTCTCTGTGTACAATTAGCCAAAGGACAAGGACAGATCGATGATAATATTTGGCGATTTCTGTTAACTGGTGGTGTTGGTTTAGACAATCCATATCCAAATCCAGCGTCAGATTGGCTCAATGATAAATCTTGGGCAGAAATCGTCCGAGCATCCGAATTACCAGTATTCCGTGGTTTAATGGCGCATGTCAAAGAAAATAAAGACAAATGGAAGATACTCTATGATTCACCAGCGCCTCATGAACAACCATATCCAGATGAATACAATAATAGTAGTGCATTAGAAAGGTTAATACAGTAGTTTGTTAATTTCTTAACTAGAAAGTTTTGCTTTGCTTTAGACTTGTGATCTTACGTCTCTTCCGTCCAGATAAAATGGTTCCAGCAGTACAGCAGTATATCATTAAACATATGGGACATCAATTCGTAGAACCACCAACATTTGATTTACCTGGTTCATACGCCGATTCATCATGTACGACTCCTTTGATCTTTGTTCTCTCACCGGGTGCTGATCCAATGATGGCTCTATTGAAATTCGCTGAAACCATGGGTGTTACTGACAATAAAATCAAAACTGTTTCACTCGGCCAAGGACAGGTACGAGATTTTCATCAGTTTCTCTTCGATGATAAGTTAAATTGATTCTGTCATAGGGACCTTATGCTCAATCATTGATAAACGAAGGCGTCGAAACAGGTACTTGGGTCGTCTTGCAGAATTGTCACTTAGCAGCTAGTTGGATGCCAAAATTAGAACGAATCTGTGAAGAACTTCTAGTACCTGGCAAAGTTCATAGCGATTTTCGTCTTTGGTTAACATCTTATCCATCGGATCTCTTTCCTGTGACAATCTTACAAAATGGTATCAAAATGACCAATGAAAGTCCGAAAGGTTTACGAGCAAATTTAATTCGTTCATATCTAAATGATCCAATTAATGATGCAACATTCTTTAATGGATGTAATAAACCGGAGCGGTGGAGAAAACTTCTCTTTGGCCTTTGCTTCTTCCATGGTCTTGTACAAGAACGAAGACAGTTTGGACCATTAGGATGTAAGCATCATTTCAAGGGCGATTTCCAAATAAATTGCATTTGTTTCTTTTTTATTTAGGGAACATTCCGTACTTCTTTGAGTAAGTTATCTGAAGGAAATGACTTTAGTGGGAAAGAAAGATGTGTTCATGAATGAATTTCTAGTGAATCAGATCTGCGAATATCTCTTCGTCAACTTCAGATGTTTCTCAATGATTATGAAGATTTTCCATTGGAAGCTGTAAGTTCATTTCTCCTGATTCTCTTACTTTTCGTCATTTATCCCTTGTTAGATCTCGTATCTGTTCGGCGAATGTAACTACGGTGGCCGTGTTACCGATGATAAAGATCGTCGTTTACTTCTTTCGTTATTATCTGTTTGTATCAATAACGACATCGTCAATGTTGAGAATTACAAGTAAGAAGAATTCTATTCTCCTCTAAAGTTAAGAACGAGAGTAGCACAAGGACATACTCAAAAATTTGATTGAAATAAACAAGATGAATGTTCTGGAAATTATCATAACAAGTTTACGTATCTAGTGTAAAGAAATCGAAATCGATTTTCTCGATAACATTCAATTAGAAAGGAGAAAATCTATTTGCCACTACAATTCCAATATCTTCAATAATGTTGAAGATATAATAAACAGATGACCTGTCTGCCTGGTGCACTCCAATCTAATTTCCAATTTTCTTCTGTCTCCTCCTCCTCCTTCTTCTTCTTTCGGAATTTCTCAGTCATTTCTATCAATTATTGAAAATCACTATACAACAATGATCTATCGAACATTTGTCTCTTTAACTTTACTACTGATTTTCTTGGCAATAACGTTCGTTAAATCGTGTCCATGTGCATTAGTCGACACTGACACACCTGCAATCATCACGACAGATTCGTCTTCGGCTAATCAAGTGCTCGAAAACGAGAGCAATGACAATAATTTCGATCAACTTGTGCCGATCAATAAATATGACGCTGTCTATCCGCTAGTTCATCATGCGAAAAGTTTATCAACATCTCGAAAACGTTTCAAACGTCCCAGTTGGGCAACTGTTGGCAAACGTTCATCGATTGTTCTTAAGAAACGACCATCATGGGCTCAAGTTGGCTAAAATCAAACATCGAACAGCATTATCTTCATAAATAAATAATTCCCTAATATACAGAAAGATTTTGCTCCCCCCTCTCTTCTAAGACAACCGAAATAAACATTATTTGAATAAAACAATCCTCATTTGAATGTTTTGCATTTAGATTTTCCGAAAGTGGAACCTATTACGTTCCGCAAGATGGTCCGCATCAAGCTTATGTCGATTATATTCGAACATTACCACTAAATCCACAACCGGAAGTTTATGGTTTACATTCCAATGCTGATATTACCAAAGACCAACAAGAAACTCAAACAGTGAGTGACAGACGAGCGAATTCGAAACGAATATTTGATTTCTTCGTTGTCTTTTAGTTATTCGACAACATTCTTTTAACATTACCGAAACAGACATCGGGAGGAGAAGGACGTACACCATCCGTCGTCATCGATGAACTGGCTGCAGATATTCTGGGTAAACTACCAGCAGATTTCGATACAGAAACAGTAAGCCAATGAGAGATCGATACAATTGAATCTGATCGTTTCTTGTTCAGATCGGAAAAAAATATCCTGTACTCTACAATGAATCGATGAACACTGTTCTTCGACAGGAGATCATTCGTTACAATCGCTTAACGTCTGAAGTGCGCAAGACATTAGCAGATTTACGTAAGGCTATCAAAGGTCTTGTCCTGATGTCTTCAGAACTCGAAGAGGTTTTCAATGCAATGTTCGTTGGCAAAGTTCCAAATACGTGGGCAGCGAAATCCTATCCATCATTGAAACCATTAGGCAGTTACTTGAATGATCTAATGGCTCGGTAAATATTTTTCTGTCAGTTGGAAAGTATTGTCTGTCCTTTTGTTTTAGTTTGAAATTTCTGCAAACATGGATTAATAATGGACCACCAAATGTGTTTTGGGTTAGTGGTTTCTTCTTCACGCAATCATTTTTAACCGGTATGGCGATGATGATTCGTTTCGTTTTGTTCGGAAAAGACCGAAACCTTTGTTTGTGTTAGGTGTTCTCCAAAACTACGCTCGACGATATACAATTCCAATCGATAAACTTAGCTTTGAATTCGATATTCTCGAAGAAGATCATGATATGCCAACCAAACCAGAAGATGGTGCATATATCAAAGGTCTCTTTCTCGAAGGTGCTCGTTGGAATAAAAAACGACATGTTCTGGATGAATCATTGCCAAAAGTGCTCTTTGATACTCTTCCGATAATATGGCTAAAACCGGGCGTTACCGAGAATTTCGCGCAAGTGAACACTTACTCATGTCCTGTTTATAAAGTAAACCAAATCTTTTGAAAATCTTTGCTTCCTCTAGAAACTTCTCTCGTTTTAGACAAGCGCCAGACGTGGTGTACTTAGTACGACAGGTCATTCAACGAATTTTGTACTTTTAATCGAACTTCCATCTGATAAACCTAAACGACATTGGATCAATCGTGGTGTCGCTGGTCTTTGTCAACTTGATGATTAAACTAATAAAAACGGTGATACATTTTATTTTGATAATCTATACTCAAATATCCCGAACGATATCTAATGTTTTTCAACTATATTTTCTTCTTTTCAAAGCACATTGACATGTCTTCTTCTTTCTTTCAGTTCTTTTTTATTCTTATGTCTCGCTCTATATACATTCTTTAAAAACAAATCAAAATAATCAATATGAAACTTGCATTCACTCACTCTAAGATCGAGCCTGGCTTTTTCATCCTCGTATTTTGTATGAAAAGTATGAATAATACAGGCTATGTGCGTATTATACACATAGAAATTCGTGTTTACCTTCTTTCGCTCGTAATCGACGTGTACAATCTAATGTTTTTTCATGCTGTTCTAGAAGTCATTTTTCTCTACATGACATGGCAGTCAAACCGGTAAACTGTCATTGAAAATGCTAATTTATGCCTGTGAAATAAGCGAAACAAAATTAATCTAAAAGACTGAATAGTGACTGTGACAAGGACGATTAAATCAAGATAAAAGAAAATCTGTCGATATACGTAGAAAAACGTGACGAAGAAGGACAGATAGAAGTATTAACATTGTAAATAATAATAACAACAACAACAGCAGCAGCAGCAGCAATAATAAGCAACTGTCGACATTATGAGATTAATCTTATCATATCGTGCTCACATAAACATGTGTCTGAGTGGAAAAAAAAGATATATGAGAAACAATATCCCTCCTCATTTTATGATGGTATGCGAGATAATTGACGAATATGTATCATTAGCATACTAGACGATTTTCTTTCAAAATAGATAATACATGCAAATGATCGTAAACAACTATTTTTTTGTATATGATGATAATAATGCTGAAGGATTTTCCCTCGTTTGGATGAAAATGAAATAGATTGGAAAAATATATGACTCATATTTCATTATGTATAATATATATAAGAGAATAAATCTTGTTTATATCAAAATCTAATTATAAAGGACGAAACTTCCGCTACAATACACACAAACAACATCAATAATGACTGTTCAAAGCATCACTGCACAAAGAAAGTTAGAGGAGAGAAAAAAGGAACAGGGCGAAAAAAGAGAAAGATATGTAGTTCGTTGTAGCTCCTTCGTTATTCTATTGACGTTTATTCTTTTTCTTAAGAACTTCAGTTGATTTACCATAAGTTGCAATAACCGACTCTTCAACTTCACATTCGCCAAAACGAATATGAAAGTAACCATCTTCACCCCAACCTGTACCCCATGAATTAGCTGCGATCCAATAGTTTTCTTGTTGTTGAGTATTGGGATCGATACTTGTACCCCAACCGAGCAAACGAACCGAATGATAACCGGCCAAACTAGCATAACGTGGATTTTGACGATCATAACTTGAACCGCCGCAACGATAAACACCGGACTTATACAAGAAAAACTCCGGAGTAACACGCATGGTAGCTTGTACAGGTCCACGAAAGTGAATTTCATATTTGATCGAACGTGCCTCGTCACGAACACGATAGGCAGGACCAAAGTTAAAATGTTCACCATTGATATTCGACGGACATTTAATATTTGTGACTTTGCGATGTTGAGCAATATTTTGTAAATCACTATCGGATAAATGAAGTTTACATTCCGTAATATTACCTGTGGTTCCACTTTCATATGGATAACAAGCTTCAGTCACAACACCGCGATCTTTGATGTAACCCCATGCATATACAACACGACCGCCATCACAGCCGTCTTTTGCTTCGGGATCAGTACATGAAAGAATGTTCTGGACACTCAATTGTTCGTTTTTCCATTTGATATTTTGAACGAGTGCAAGACGATCAGCAGCAACATCGACAGTTGAAAGAGCCCATGATATACCACATTTACCTTGATCACGAATACCACGAATTTTACCGGCGTAATTTTGATAAGTACGTGCATCAAATGAATCAACATCGTCCATACGAAAGTAATCATTTGGATCATCGGGAGCGTTGTCTACCATATTGCGTAGAGTTCGGTCTGGTATCGTACCGAGATAATGTTTCAATGCATCTTTTACTTTGACGCCATTGAATCGATCATAAGTTGTGCCTGTCCAGCCGAGATAGGGTTGTTTACCGTTCACATATGAAATAAGATCAGGACTGTTCACACAGAGATCTTCTTCACAGGATATGGTTGATTCAAAACCAAGGGTGATACATCGACACAAGTTACAATCACGTAGAAAAGAATCACCTAACGAATACTCTCGACCAGTTTCTGCATCGTAGCATTTACCAGTGTGAATTATTGGTGGAGGGGGTGGTGGACGCTGTGTTGGTCTTGGTGTCGGAAATGGCGTAGTAATGTTTTTTCCTTCACAAAATGCATCATGATCCGGACAACAATCATGATTATCAATACCACGAAAACAGAATGTATCGCAATAACATCGCGAGTCATAATACGGCATAAAACAGTCATCATCTCGACTGTAACAACATTGTGGATTCGGTCGGACAGCGCAATACGGTTTCACCTCTTCCCATTCTGCATAACGGCAATCAATTACGTTCGATGATATGATCAATAGCAACACGAATAAAGCTCTCATCATAATTCAACTAGAATGAAAAGGAATTCGTATAAGCACAGATTATTTCTTCAAATCAAGCATCATTACAAACAATGACCTTTAACAATACATGTTGATAAAGACACAAACATGCATGTGTATTATGAATGTGGTAAATGAAAAAAAACTATTCATATCTCAACATAATCGGCCCTCGTTTTAGGTGTCTGTATTGAAAGTTTACATCTCATACAAAAACAAGCTTTCTCATTCACTTACGAGTATTATTCCTAATGTGGTTAAATGGTGCTGATGATGCACATACAAAAAAATAAGTTTGAAGAATGCTTGAGAAGCAATAACACTCTTCGTCACCAATATTGTGGTGAGAAGAGAGACAGAGACAGAGAGAGAGAGAGAGAGAGAGAGAGGAAAAGGGAGAGGGGGAAAGAAAACAACAAGACAATTTGTGTAAAGCAGAAAAAATGAAGAGAGAAAGAGGAGGAGAGAATGAGAAAAGGGAAAAACGCAAAATGAAAAGAAAAGAAATACCTATATAGACGCAAATCAGCGAAAGAACAAACAAAAAAACACACTGGTATTTCTGATCGATTTTTTGTTATGGATATGCGCTTGTTTTGAAAAATGTCTAGTTACATGCTCGAAATCAATCTTCTGGACAAGAAAAATATCGAAAGTAATAAGACACATGTCAAAATGTATACCAATGATGCTATTCAGAGTCAAGAATCATCCTATCTCGAATAAATCTAAATAAGCATAGGACAAAAATTGGCTCGCGTTACGCTTTACAGGTGAACGTAATTGAAAAGAAGAAGAAAAGACTCCATACGATCGCATAAGTCTACTAAGATACGTTTATCACCGTTTGAGATGATTGTAGTCAACTAAGTTACCTTTTATAACTAACGATTCGTTTCGTGTGTTTTTTCTCTCTCTTTTTCCGAGCATCGATTAATTATCAACTATCTACCATCGTTTTCACGAGCATTTTTATATCACACGCTTTCGTATTCTCTTCCTCCACACCGATGTTCGCCTCCTCTGTTTTGCATATCGGTACATGTGAAGAAAATATTTCAGCAATGAATCAGAACAAAAACAATGAAAAGAAAGGTTATTTAAATTTATTACTTCGACAAGGAATGTTAACATTCGATTGCGAATACTTCGCCATACATTTCCAACATCGGTCGATAACTCTACAGAATCTTTTCTATGCAAACCGCAAAAGAACTTCCCCGCACACATGTACATTTCGAATTAATTGAAATCATCATTTCATTAGACTCGTCTTATTGTTGTCCTTTCTTTGAGATAAATATCTCGTAATCTAACTAGGCGATGCGAATGTCTGCGGTGATGCTAATAGCAATCAAAATAGACAAGGACAAGTTTTTTGTCAGAAATACAAACGTCACATACTTGAGATTTCGATCGATGTATGTGTCTGTCATTCTACTTCGATGATTCGAATAGTTGCTAAGATTAATAGAGCTACTCGATAGATATTGACATGTCGTTGATCTTTTTTAATCGAAAAATATTCTATTGTTTATGTAATAACATGGAAGGATAACTGACTGTTGAAGTGATGTCAAAAAAGAACGGCAATGATATCTAATGTATATGTGTATACGGCGAATATTCTGACACATTTTCAGTGTAAATGAAGATCAGATGTGCGTTGTGTCCGAATCTTCGATCAAAGCAAATGAGAAAAGAGAAGGAGAGAATAAAAACTCTTAACTATGTCGGGAATCTCAGCCATAATGTTGCTAGGACAGGACATATCAAGAATGAATAAGTATTAACTTTCTCGATTTTTCTCTTCTGTCCATGAAAAGATAGAAAGTATACGAAACTAATTGATGAATGGTACATTCCTCTTTCCTAACCATGTCTATTCATGATTGATCAAGTTCATATATACATAATCTCTAAGAGATTCTCTTTCCCGAATGTATACATATATATCGATCGGAGAAAGAATATTTAACCTTCATGCTTTCAACACCTGCCAGACTATGATGTCCAACCCTACCATCATTTTTTCTCTTTTTCTTTATTCGTCAATCAGTAATTTCGACAGCGATAATCTTGACATAGTCGTACTTACATGGTAAGAGTATCAAGGTTAATTCTGCTGGTAGAACAGCAAGGTAGCGGTATTCAAAAAAAGTATACCTACACAAACATATTGTTGAAAGATAATGTCTTCATCAAAAGACAAGCCCTCAGGAAAGAAGAAGGATACAATTGTTTATTTACGTTAAAAATGAAGGTGAAAGATGATGCTACCTTATCAGTCGACGTAATTATCCAATCAATTGTGATATTTATTTTGAATCTTGTTATCAGTTAACAACAATAGGACGTCGAAAAGATTATATTTTCAACGCGTACATCTAGTTGATTGATGGTTCGTTTATTGTTGAAAGAAAAATCAAAACAAGAGCGTATTCAATCAATCGGCAAGGAATACATTGAGTAACATCTGATGTAGAAGTTCATTAACATGACTGAATACTCAAAGACGATCGATCTTGAAATGATCCGTCTCGATGAAATCATGTGCAAAACTCCATCAGACTATCTTGTGATCAGTTTATTACATAACGAGCAACAGTCTGTTATCTATTAGATTCAGTACATAGACAGAATTCAATCTTCATCGGAACTGCATTGAAGCGACAATGACGAGCAATGAATTCCATGCCTACAGCTTATCTCTTACGAAAAAATGCTCGTTTTCCCCCTCAATTATTTACCTCACACTAAACACAAGAAAATTTTACATTCCATCCATTTTCTTCCCAGTGGTAAACTAAATCACCGAAATATTTCGTTCTAATAGGTATTTTCAACAAACCAATCGTATACACTGCGTGTTAATTTTCAATTTTTTCTTTTCAAAGTATCATGAAAGCAATTCCAGACACCCCCATTCAATTGTATAAATATTTGTTACGGCAAATACCACGACTTCCAATTGAAAGTCAACCATACTATCGAAATTATGTGAAAGGCGTAAATATTTGACTCATTTTTTTTGTAAACTGTCTATCGTTTCCTTTAGAATTTTCGTGCCCACGCCGACGAAACAGATCCACAGCGTGTCAACGAAATTGTCAAGAAATTCTACGATGACTTCCAATGGATTCTCAAAAAAGTAAAATTCCATTTTATTTCTTTCACTTCTTATCTCATCTCTGGAACTTTTAGTATGAGAACAGACGTGCAAAATGATCGTTCATTATTATTGAACCTATTTTATCATATATTTTTCTGTAGTTTTCAATGCACAAACTGTTTGTAGGAAGAAAGAGGAAAAAACACTCTATACAAAAAAAAGAAGGCAAAAACAATCTACAAAATATCGATGTACATTTCTGAGATGATAAAATTGACTAATATTAGTATAGAAATGAATATAACACACACGTACACACAGAATAAACGTATTAGATATAAAAAAGACGAACATGAATTCCCAGTGAGAAATGCAAATAGAGAAATTAGATATGATCAAATGCGGGCAAATAACTCGATGGACGTTGTAAAGATGAAGAACGAATTGAACGATCAGGTTTAGTATCGAAGCGATCGTTCTGTTCGATAGATGCAGCACGATAGAGTACTGAACGTTTCGATGCAGATAACGGAGGACGAGAGTACGTCGATGGATTCGTCGACGGTGTTGAACGATAATCAATTATATTGTACTACAACAAAATCATTCACATTTTTGTCAAAAGTATTTATGAGTGAATCACATAGTTGTTATTTTTATTACCTTTGACTGACAGGCAAATGCAGTCGAACATAATCGACTGACGACATTCATGAGATCTCGAGTTTCACAGATCACAGCATCAACCTAGAATGATGATTGGGAAATTACGTTTGAATCTTGAGGGTGAACAAACTTTTGAAAATGTAGACGCTTTTCCCAGAGCAGGAGTTTTGAGTTTTAGTTTCAACTGGTGACACATCAATGGGATTTGTTCTAATTGAATTAGAATTTCGTGTCGGGAAGGTTTATTTGGTATCTAGAAGGAAATTTTCAAGTTGGATAATAATTTCTCGTTCTATTTTTACTTGATTTGCAAATTCCTGAACAATTGCTGCTAGGCGAGTGCCTTCTTCTACGAAGTAATATGCCTGAGTAAAAAGATCTTGGGTGGTGCGTAGTGTGCCTTCGCCCCGTGTGAATAAATACATTGAAAAAGCCATGGATGACATGTTCTTCGCACGCTAGACAACAAAGAGAAAGATAGAGTTCGTTATTTTTTCGTTTTGAAAGATAAAATAGCTGACTTTAGCGATTTCGTTTTGAGGATCGTCCCACTTTTCTGCTTCAGCCTCCATCTCTGACGTAACTAATTTCATTTCCAATCCAACTTTGGCGATTTTTGCTTGTTCATCTGGATCAAGTTTGGTTGGTTTGAAACCTGCTGAAGAACAAACATGCATTCGTCTAGTTAAAATCAGATAAGACTATCGAAAGTACCTTTAGATGTTGTACCATGTTTACCCGGTCTGGGTAACGATAAATAAACCGTCTTTTCACCTCGACCTTCCATGAAATCTTGAATTTCTTTCACAAGGATCGAAAAATCATTGATCTGTTGTTCCCAAAATTGACACAAAACATCCAAGTTTTCTTTCGCTACTCGACTATTTGGATATGAAGTAAGCGATTGTGATGATGTAATGATCTAATTCAAATTGAACTGAAGAATTTTCTCCAAAGACTATTCAACTAACCATAAGAGATAAATTTTGAAAAACCATCTCGTGATATTCACTTGACACTTGTAATTGATCACAAGAACTGATATGTCTCAGGAGTTTACTTAACTAAAATTAATTTTTTCAGATCAGTCAAGTTCATTTTTGGATTAGTAAAAGCAAACCTCAATGGCGATTTCTGCTTGTTCACGGAATTTCTCTACTGAATCTTGCAATAGATCAACTCGACCAGACAAAGAATAAGTTTTTAGTTCGTTGAGTAGAACACTTTCATCATGCGTTCGAAAGAATTCCGATGCTCGAAGCATTGCCATTTGTTCCAACTAAGTAAACGAATTCGTTTCCATTCGTTCTTTAAAGATCACTCACCTGACAGCGAAATTCTCGTGCAACCTGTTGAATTGTTTGAATTGCTGCTGGAAGCGCGTCATTTTGTTTCTAAAAAGGAAAAACTTAGTGAGAGAAAGCTCAAAACAACGACACGCACTTCAGATATCGATTTGGCTATATCAGCAAGTTGATCTTGTAGTTTCTTATGATAGTCGAGAACTTTTTCACGTTGTTCAATGCTTATATAAACGGAATCTGTGAAATCTTGGCTATTATCGATCGTTGTATTGCACAATTGTTCCAATTGCTCTTTCGTAGTCGACGTTGATGAGACATTCAACATTTCAACTGCATACTAAACAAGTCCAAAGAACATTTTTTAAAAGTTCAGTTTTCTTCCTTGAGGAAATACTTCGAATTGTCGAAGAGATTTAACAAAATTGATTTCATTTTTTGCAAGTAGAAGGGCCAATGTTGGTGTTGTATTCAACGTTGTCGAGCCCGAATCATACACAATCAGTTGTACCATATCAAGAGCCCGGCGGACTTGACCGTAGACAAGATCACGACATTTACGAGCGTGCATACACTCAGTATGACGAAGATATGCCTTAAAGGAAAGGAAGTTTTGCAAAATCGAATTGAGCAAACGTTAAGCGAGATACTTTTGATGATGTTAGAATAAGCATTGTTGATTTCTCGAGAATTGTACGTGACGCGGATAATTGAGAACGACGACGTTCGTCTTTGAGATCCTAAATATTAGATTTCGGAATGCTCGATCTAATTCAATCAAGAATGAAAATGTCTAATGAAATCATGCTTTAAACAATGTCAGACAATGTTTCAAATTTGAAGAGTACGTCAAGAAATGCCTCTCTAACACGAGATCTTAAATTGATTAGGATTAACTGATTTTCTTGTCAAACTCTCCAAGGACATGATCGAAGTGATTTTTCTATTTACATTTTGTCGATCGCCTGTTAGATGTGCTAAATCAACCATTTGAGTGCCATAAACTCCGAAGTATTTCACAAATTCGGAAAACGACATCACACCTTCCAATCGATTCAATGTTGATATCACCTTAAAAAAAACAGTGTAACTTCGTTAATGAACTGGATTTTGCTTAATTTCTGCTTACTTTTTTCTTAACAGAGATAATCTGTTTGACAACGACCATATCAGCAAGAAGTAAAACACGTGTTACAGCACTTAGTAAACCTCGAGCAGCTTGTACCATGCTATGCCGATCGGATACGCAAATTGGTTTGCCTAACGTATCGAATTCTACGCAAGTAATTCGTTTAATCGCTTCGCCTAGAAAAAACTCGATGGAATTTTTTTGTACAAGTCAAATATTCAATGTACCTGCTGTACGCGCTTCACGACATGCATCGATTAAGTCAGATTTAATTTCCGGATTTTCATTTCCGATTGATTCTCCTTTGTAATGTAAAAAAAAGAGCAATGCTTTCAAAAGATTAGCAATTGATACGTACCAACAGAGACAAAGCGTTCCACTGCCATATGTACAGCTTCGCCAACTCGATTGATGGCATTGAGAGTTTTCTCATTTGTCGTCGATAATGATCGAGGCTTCTCTTTGAAATTGACTAAAGTTGAAATTTGGGTGACAAGTGGTACAAGTGTTGTCTCGATTGATTTTGTTTTGATTTCTAACGATTTTTGTGCTGGATGTCCTTTTGAATTTGAAGTCATTTTCTTCTTCACGTCGTCTTTCTACTACATGATGATGATCATCTGAAATCAAAGCGTTTGTCGAACTGTTTTTCTTGGGAAAAGACACTTCAGTCGTTTAGCCGATCTACAAGGCTACTCATAATAAGTCTATGATATAAACTACGCAGATAAATGTCAGCATTGCCGGTATTCTTCATTCATGGTCATTTATAATATTGATGTCAGTTATAGACGAATGTTTATTGATTTGTTGATCTTGTTTTTCATTGGTCGATTATCAATGCAAATCAAATCTTTTGTTTCAACCTTTACCGGCAATGAGAATCGAACGCTACGATCGACAAGTGTTTTGCATTGACTGTGTCGCGTTGAGATTCGATTTTATTTCTATTATACTATGTTAATATAATATAATCGTATTATACTCATTGTCAGTTTAATGATTTTTTTTCTTCATGTTACCAGTGAAAAGCTCGTTCTATGATTTGCATCGACGAAGATCTGTCGTTTTCAAATCAGCTGACCGAAAAAACATATTTGTTTTGTTAATTGAGGGGAGAAACAAAAATTTTGTTTATGTTGAATATCTTCTCTTCGAGTTATTTTCAATCTCGGATTTGCATATACATGCTCGACAATAGAACACTTCGTGATGACAAGAACAACGATTGTTTACATCTAATATATCTAATTTCCTTGAAATTCTAATAAATTAGTTCTTTTAGAGTCAAGAGATTAATCTCGAGCAGATTATTTCCTGTCTATGAAGTGTAACATGCAAAATAGAAGTGAAAATCCGCTGTTTTTCTTTATCATTCTCGACATGTGACTTGATTAAATTTTTCTTTCAATGAAATTAAATCATGTGTCTCTTAGTAGGTAATATAGATACAAGCGGAAGACAGCAGTCGTTCAGCATCTCGATCATAATCCAATGATGTACGCACAATAGTTGCAGTCGTAGTCAATTCTTGCGCCCGAGTGTTTTTTCTATCAGAGAAAGAGAAGAGAATAGCGTGGCATATAAATATGCAAAAAGAAAAGAAAAGAAAAGCAATATTGATGTCGAGTTCCAACACATCAAGACGACTGTCTATGTTTTTAGATGAAAAAAATCCTTATAATAGATCAATCACTCAAGTCATAATTCTAATCAGATTAATAGAAGCATAATGTCATTGAACAATGATGATTCCGAGTATGACCCTGTGGCTAATTTAAACATGCAACCCGCCAAAGGTATTCTGAAATCGACGAAAAGCGTCGACGATGCTGGTCAAGATCATCAACATGATGTCAAAGCAGCAATCAACCATGCGCCCAATACGGGAATGACTCGATCAGAGAGTAAAAGGTAAAGAAATGTTTCGATTCCTTGGCATTTCGATGTAGTTCAGTTGGTTTCTAGTCATAAAATTCCACATTTTGACGAGATGAATATCATCGCAACTTACCATCCGGCTGATAAAGACTATGGGCATATGAAGATCGAAGAACCTAAGACACCGTATGCGCCAAATGATATTATCGACGAAGAAGCTGAATCAGAAACTCCAGGAGTCGATCCTGCTAAACTCGCTCAAAGGTTTCTTCATTTTGACTCATTAAATATTGTAATTCCGCGCAAACTTGCACTTGTAGATTAAGTGAATCAGCACAATCTTCAACGAAATTACGCACAGATCATATAACAAGAAGATCAATCGATGAGGATGTGGAACCGTCATCTGATGACATAGGTGGAATAGATCGAATGTTGGGATCATTGTCAGTTTTTTTGTTGTTCTGAATTTAGAACATCGACAAGAATTCGAGCATCATCGCAAGAAACATTACAACGAATTCGAAGTTGTTCGTTTGCGTAAAAAGGAAATCGAAGAAGAACTTCGTGCTCTTGAACGAGAAGAAAAACAAGAAAGTCTTTCCTCAGGTTCTACCGAGCCAGAAAATGGAAGTGGAGGAAATGGAACGTAAGTTTACTTTACTTTTATTTATAGGAAACGAAGACAAAAGAATTCCTATTAGTTTATCATCATCACGCTCATCTGTTGATTCGATCAAACCGATTCTTGTTCATCATCCATCGAAAGATTCAACGACACATCATCATCATGTTCACGTCGAAGATGATAATTCTGACGGACAGAATTCAACGCCCGAAGAATTAGGTTCGTTGAAAAAGTGAAAAGAATGGAATCCATTCGTAGAAATCATTATTATCTTTAGAACGAAAAAAACAGTTCGAGCTAAAACGGAAACAGCATTACAACGAGTTTCGTGCAGCACGTATGGCTGATAAAAGCGATGACGAACCCAATTGACTGAATAATAATTTCTCTTCTTTTTTTTGTAAGATGTCTATGAAAATGCATGAACTTATAAGATGGACTTCTTCTTCTCCCTATTGTATTTTATTGCAAAAGTGTGTTTTCTTTGATTATCTGTGTATGCAACAAAACAAAAGTCATAATCCTAAAGCCTTTCGATAAAGATCTCATTCTTCTTTTTTTTGTCTTCAAGATGTTATCAAGATTGAATCTTCTTCGACGAGGATATATTCTTCCTCAAATTATCCTAACAAAATCTCGACCAATGCAGTTCACTAGATCATTAGCGACCGTCAATGATTCGCCATCAACACCTGCCCCTAAGAAGACGCAGCCAACCATACGTAGTTCTATGTCCGCAGGTGAAATCTCTGAACTTGTTCTTCGGCGACTTCATTTTCGTGAACAACGTGGATTAGTGAAAGCGCTGATCATCGGATCGGGAATCGTGATCGTATCGACTGTACTCTTCCTATACGTTTTTCGGACACCGCTAAAAAACCAAACAGTCGCACAAGTAGCCGATGTGGCTAAAAGTAGCTTAGAGCAAGGTAAAATTTCTCTGCGATGATAGACATCATTTCATCTGTTTGTTTCGTTGAAGATAGTGTTAAACAACAAGTGAATCTGTTATCTCAAGAATTGATCCAAAATTTACTATCAGATCCGAGCATCTTATCGAAATCGTTGGTTTTTCTCGAGCGTGTTATGGATAATCCATCGACGAAAGACACATTAATTCGTCTTCTACAACGTTTGATGACTGATAACGAAATGCAGAAAAATGTTTCAGAATTTACATCCCGTATCATTTATGATGTAATGAAAAAGCCTGAAACTGAAATGCAATTAGGACAATTACTTCGTGGTGCTATCCTACAGAGAGATAATCAAGATGCACTACGTATCTTACTGAAAGATTTTATTGATGACGAAAGAACGAGACAAATGTTAGCCACTTTAGCACATGATATTGCTCATCAAGTGTTAAATGATGAGAGTGTCAAAACAGCAGCGACGACATTTGTTAAAGATATTCTTAATGATACTGGCTTACAACAACAAAGTGGCGATTTTGCTTGGAATGCAGTGAAAAATGCTTTGAAACCGAAATGGTTTACTAGTCATGCGAAGTCGCCAGCATCGAGTCAAATTGACAAACAAAAACTCGAGGAGAATCTTTCGGAATCCGATTTTGAAAGTTCTATTATTCTTCCGCCGTTCTCGCGATCATCTTCATAGGAACTTTACGTCTTTTTCTAACAATAAATTGAATTGAATGAATTGTTTCTTTGTTGGCAAATCGAATGTTTTTATATCGTTAGGCACTTATGTCGCTTCAGGCAACAGGAAATGGTAAATCAAACAAATTTCTTTTTCCTTCTAGATGTCTGCATTTTCAAGTTCGAAATGAGCCATAGCCGACCTTATGATTGTGCGTCAATGACTCATTTGGTTGAGTGGAAAATCGACAATAGCATTTTAGACAACCTTGCAGATTTGAAAAAACTGCATAGGCTTTCCTAGGAGTATTTCAGTACAAATTTTCATGTAGTATTCTACTACCCAGACCTCTCCACACTCTCACGTCCTCATCTGCGCCCTCACCCTATCTGTAGACAGTTTTTTAAATCCGACAATATTGTCCAAATTCCTATTGTCGATTTTCCGTTTTATCACTCATTTGTATATAAATATAAACTGCTGGGACCGTACTTTCAACTGAATTGAATGCATGTTTGGGGGAAAACGGACTAGACAACTCATATTTGCATAAAAGTCACTTTCTAAATGTGTCGGATAGATTCCGCACTTTTACTGATGATTTCAGGATTAAAGGCCAGATTATATGCTAATTTGAAGGCAGAAAATCGCGACAAATTATCACATACATTTCGAATTCCAGTGATTTATCCAACGTAATCCTTTCGTTTTGCGTTTTAGATTAATTATGAGTCATCTCTACGGCCCACAAATAATTAAAGATAAAATTCTTACGAATCTATCGGCTGCTATTCGAGAAGTGAATATTTATGACTTTGATTGAAAGAAATAAGGAATAGTCTCTATTTAGATTCATCGTCTAGCTGTTGACAACGAAGACCAGACCCCACGAATTATAACCAATGATGATTGGCAAGTACATTGTCTACTGGAACACCTTGACTTTGCTTTACTTTATGGGTAGATCTAAGTTGACCATTAGCAGCAGGCCTTTTTTTGTCTTGATGATTTAGATTAAAGTATGTTCAAGATGGTTATTATAAATGTGTGTCGGAGTTTACTCCAAAGTTACTGTCAAAACAGATTGAATCCTTGTTAAATATTGAAACAAATATTGGGCGTGGACGAGCATGGTTTTTCCTTGCACTTAATGATAGTTTAACCGAAAGTTACATGAAATGTTTTCAAGATAATAAAAAATTAGTGAAGAAATTCTACACTAATGATTCGATCATCAATGATACTCAAGTGAGAAACAACGTTTGATTTAGAATCAAATTACACTTTGTTTGCTATTTTTGATTTTGTAGAGATTGATCGCATTGATAACATTATGTTCGGGTTTAGAGAATATTCAATTCAATCTGAAATCCGTATGATTCAGAGCAAAAATTGAGTTTAGTAAATGGAATATCTTTGCCTAGGATTGTGTATACTTTGATCGAAGTTGTTGGCCCGCATATTTACAAGTTGACGTGAAAGAAACAGAAAAACTTGCCTTACCAGGTGTACGAAATGACGTACCATCATTTACAACGTATCTTTCAAGATATGATGTTCAACATTTACCTTCATCATCATCAGCATTGAACAACGCAATTGCCACGTCGAGTAAGTTACATTTGAACGCTTGTGTAAAACAAGTCTTTTTCTCTCTAAATAGAACGTATGCGTGTTCCGAAAAGAACGACACGTTCTTCCACGACATCATCGGTTGTTAATAGTTTTATATCATCGGATATTCACCCCGCTAATCTTTCTCGTTCCTCTTCGGTTAGCTTTGACAATCCATCTATCGATGGATCGTCGTTAAATGAAGAACACCAAGGAAACAATGCTGCAAATTCACCAGTACTTTTAGCTAATGTAAATCCAGGCTTAAATTCAAGTTTAAGTGAACTTGATCCGATGTTAAATGGTCGACCACGAACACCATCACCATCACCATCAACAATGATTGCTGAATCATCAATTATCTCGACAATTCCTGATAGTACACCATCTGTGATCGACTTCAACGAAAATCCAATCGAAACTTCATCACCGCTCGTGATTGAACAATCGATTAGTGTATCCGAATCGACCGAACATTCTGTACCCTCATCATCATTAGCGTCGATCGATAATGGAATACATGAACTAAGTATTGAAAGAAAAAACGATGATCTTTTTCAAAACATTCCAGAAGATCCACTTGACATGCTGTAAGACCACTGCAGCTATTCTTTCTGATGAAATGATTTCTGTTTATAGCGCTGATGCGAATATGCAATTACAATTTACGCTGGAAATTTATGAAATGGAAAATAAAGAAAAATTCATCAAAGTAAGCAACAAATGAATGATTATCATGTTGGAAATTGTTTTTGAATAGCTATTTCCGACGATAATCGGTCATAATAATGGCAATCCCGAAGTTGTTTACCTTCTTGTAACTACGCTCAATGTATATTTACTTCGGCAAGTAAATGAAATCAATGGTTCATATCGCTTGAATAAAATTGAAAGTGTTCGAATTGAACAAATTGATTATATCGAAGTAAAGATTTGTTATAATTTCATCTCATCTTTATGAAAACCTGCTAAACACTTCATAGGTTGGTCCAAATGAACAATTTCTACGTATCATTACAATTAAACATACAAAACTTCGTTGTTTAACCACTGGATCTGTGGACTTGACAAAGTAATATTCAAATGATAACTTTCATTCGAACTATTATTTCTGATTTAGAGCGATATGTGCAAGTATTCGTGAAGCTGCTGATTATGGGCGTTTTCCTCAAGCACAAGTGCTACCTGCAACTATGCAAGAAATATCAATAAAAAAAGAGCTAGCAAATGATTTAAAAAAGAATGTATGTAATCACTGTTTCGATTAGAAACTTCCAGTTGTTTCTTTCACTAAAGAGTGTACATGGTGTCAAATTACTCGATTATCACTATATATTTTGGGAAGAACCACAAATGTCTGGCCGGAAATTACGTAAAGAAGGTTATCTTTATGTGAAACTTGTTGAACCACCGTCTGCTATAAAACGTCTGAGCGCAGCTACTCTCAAATCTCATCGACAACCATTTGAAATTTGGCGAAATGTTTACGTCACTCTAAGGTTAACATACAAATAACTATTGATTTCAAAAGTGAATCTTCTATGTCTTTCTTTTCAGAGTCGATCGTCTAAACATCTATTTGCATAAGTCAGATACTACTTCAGCATTATCGTATACCTTACTGTAAGAAGTTCTCGTTACCGAAATGATATTTCGATAGCTTTGATAATTCTTCTTAGCGATGAAAACTGTCAGGGATGCCGCAGAAATCGTAATACTGATCGTCCGTATGCTATTGAAATCATGTTTGCTAACGATGTCAAATTGATAATGGCAGCCAAGACGAAAGCCGAACAAGACGAATGGCTAAATGCGATTATGAAAGGTCTTTCTCAAGGAGTAAGTGTTGTCAATCGCTCAAATATCATTCCATTCATTTGTTCTTTAACATTTAGCGTATGGCGACGAAAGATGAAGAAAATACAGCGAATACAGTTCCATGCAGTGTAATTTTAACTGAAGAGAAGGTTTATGTCTGTCATGATGAACAGGACAATGCCCTTATTCGTCAACTCGAATCAATCAAATTGGAATATATTGCACGATTATTAATTGATTCAACTTGTCCATACTATTGTGTATTAGTAAGTGTGATGGTGTTTCTCGGAAACCTAGAGTCTATTCATGTGTTTTGCTTTAGTCTATTGAAAATGCAAGCCAAAGTTCAAAATCTTGGATTTTCTACTTTCTATTTGCTAAAGAGATGACCCAATTTATCAAATCTCTGCGAACCGCTTTGTCCAACACATATCAGGTAAAATTCCGAAGAAAATAAAGTATTCACTTGCAAATCCAGATTTGTCTGTAGGTTCCTATCGATATTCAATCCTTAAATGATCTTTCATTTCAACGTGAATGTGAACGCACTGCGAAACTTCTTCTTCGTTCGTATCGTCCTCTACAATTAATTTCATAAAATATTTCTCTCCATGTACATCTTTACTTTGGTGCTATCTATTTTGTTATTTCTCCCTATCTTTCTCTTTTTAAATGAACAAATGTATGCATTTTCTCCACTAGACTGTGAATATTGCTTTCGAGAGTTATATTTTTCAATAAAAGAAAATATATCTGCATGTCCAATTGATAGAATTGACAAAAGAACACAAAGTACGACATCTACGATTGATCGACTCAGTGTTACTAAGACAACACATTCCGAGAAGAGACAACAAGATGGTGGAGATGTAGAAATCAAATACATTCATCAGTCATAGAAAGAAAATGTCGCGTGCAATTCCGCCGTCATCACGAAATCCACAAAGTTTGTATTGATTATCTCGTGCAAACAAATCGATGTTTGATTCGTTTAGTGCCAGGTACTAGCAGTGGTCGTCCCATTGGCACGGCTACTCGCTTGACAACTGCTAGCGGAGTGAGTGTTTGTAGCTGTGAAGATGATTTCATGTTTTTCGTGGATTTGATAGCAACGTCCGGTTAGTCGAGGTGGTCCACTTGGTTCGAATATGCGTATCAAAGTCGAAGACACGCCGATGAATCGAGGTGGGTTAGGAGGCATTCATAATGCATCTGGATTTGGTGGTCGTCAAGTACAAGATCGAACATATTTCGTTGGTCTCGTTCGGTAAATCTTTGGAATTGTTTGTTCGACAACTGAGAAATTCCTTCTAGGTCGAAGGTAACGGAACTCGAAGCGGAGATCGAACGTTTGCAACGTGAAACAGATTCATTTACCGAAGATAACAAACAATATTTTGCGCTGAGCAAAGCGTTCGTATTCACCAACGAAACCATTAATCGCGGCTAATTCTATATTTTGTTTGTAGTGCCGAAGATTTATCACAACAAATCGAAAGTTTACGCAATGAATTAGGCGATTACAATATGGTAACTTCAAATCATATCTAAACTTTGATTCATTGAACTGTTTAGATCATCGATCGATTACAAACAACAGGTGAAGTGGCTGAATTAAAGAAAGAATACGCTGATTTAAGTGCACATAATCACCACGTTGAATCGAATATCGATGAGATTTATCTCGAAAAACAGAGGTACGGGATTTCGACAATCATCTTCATTTGTCTCATTCGGATTATCTGCAGGAAAGAGGAACGCATTCAACGTTTAGAACGTGACTTGAACGAAGAGAAGAAGAAATCTGAACGACTCTTAGAAAATATGGTACGCCTACTCTTCTGAAGTATCTGTGCTTGATCAAATCTCATTTAGAATCCTGAGTTTAAACAACGTTATAGTAGAATTAAATCTACATCGAATCAACTACAAAGTCAAATGGATTCAATGCAAAACGAGATCAGTACTCTCGAGAGTCGTATGAACAAAATGCGTGAACAAATGTCAGGTGCAGTTATCAAACAAGAAGCGTTATCTTTAGTTGAACAAATTCATGAACTCGAATTAAAACGGGATCATCTCATGAACGAAAGTAAAAATACCCTAACTCCTGAACAAGAGCGACAGAAACTAACTCAACAAGTTAAAGAAGACAATCAAGAAGTCGCTGCAATGGACAAACAAATCAATGAGTTAAAGGAACGAAATGAGTACTTGAAACAAGTCTATGAGACTGACGATGCGCCCTCGTCGTTATTAGTTGAACAACAGAATAAAACATCAACGGTCGATGATGACACGAAGCAGAAATATTTAGAATTGAAAAAACGTGAACAACAAATCGATGATTTTCAAGTGACATACGAGCAACAACATGATCAGCATCTCAGCGACATGAAAGCGATTCAAAAGAATAATCTGACATTATTAGGAATAATCAGTCGTTCGTTAGTGAAAGGTGATCAAATGTTAACCAGAGACGATTATACTCAATTGAAAACGAATATTGATCAGCATGAAGCGGAGAAGAAGAAATCAAACGATACATTGGCAATTCTGGCTGAACAGCACCGCAAAGTCAAACAGGACTATGCGAAGTTAGAAACACTTGATCAAAAACTAACAGATGAATTGCAAGATTTGAAAAAGCAATACGCGAAAATGCAGGAAGATTTAGAGAAATTCAACGATATCGAAGGCTTGAAACGAAAAGCTGAAAAACGTAAAATACAACTGGCGGCAGATAAAGCTAACATGGGTAAACAAAGACAAGTGACGAAAGCGGAAATTCAAACTTTACAATCTCAATTCGAGGCGGCACAAAGCCAATTACGCGATAACGAAACGCATCAACAAGTAAATACACATGTCATCATTGATTTTCTCACATTGTTTCCTCTTCGTCTAGTTAATTGGCCTTGAAAAGAAACTGCAAACTATTGCACAGACATTGTTTACTCTGGATGAATCTCTTGCCTCACAAAATGCAAGTGGCCAGTACGAACAGGTGAAGCGACAAGCACTGGAACTTGTTCAAGCTCATAATCGTTGGTTAACGCATCACTATCAAAACTTTCCTCTAGCTTAAAGAACAAACTCTTCGTTTTTTTCTTCATTGTATGATTTTGTTTTTATTAATGGCACCCAAAGTTGCTTTTCTACATAAAAAAAGAGAGGACAACAAAAGAAAAACTAATAAGACAAGAACAAGAACAACACACACATATGACAAGATTTGATTGCACAGGTTGACAGTTTTTATACAGAGAAAAATAACAAACATTCCACATAGATATTATATACATAAATGAATACATCTTATCAACGAAAAGATATCTGACATAAGCCTTAGTAAAAGAAACCATGAAGAAGAGCAAGTAGTTAAAACATGACCAGTAATTCACGAGAGAAGAAATAAATAATAAATAAATAAAGTGGATGTTATTTAATCAATAAGCGTCGAAGATTACTTCGTGTTTTGTTAGAGAATATTGGAGAGATCGTAGAACGTTGACGCCAAGGAGATTTGATTGGACCTGTTGTTGTCTTACATGGGCTTGATGGATGGTACGGACCCGAACAACAGTGACAAAAACTATTTCGACAAAATGGATTTGTGCAAATACTAAAATTACGAATCAAAGCTGCGCTGATCATTCCTGAAATTCGTTTGAACATACCCGTGTTGATCGTTGACATCGACAATGGAAACATATGCACAAATTGGACAATGTTTCGGAACTGTTGGTCCATGCAGATATTTCAGATATCCATATCGAAATGTCATTTTACTTGCTGTCAGACCAACAGTATCATCAGGTGATGGGGTCAATACTTGTTGGCATGGTGTCGGCGGAAGAATGTTTTCATCATTGGTTGTTGTTGCAATAATGAATGACACATTCGGTTTCGTATCGAGTAAATTTGTTATTGTTTGCATCGGCTTATTTGTTACTTTACTCTTTCTCATCGGAGTTTTGTTATCAATATGAAATAGATTTCGTTTTGCATTGCTTATTTTCCTGCGTCGAGAATAACCTTTTAAAATGGTGTGCCATTTACGGCAAACATTGGCACAATGATAGAGATCCTTATTTGATAGATTGCAAAGAATATGGTCAATCAGATGATGAGCATTACGATGATAGATTTGCGTTAAAATATCGAAATGTTTTCTTGTTGTTCGATAAAGTTCATAATCAAGTGAAGAAACAAATTTTTGTTTGGCGGCATTTATCGGTGATTGAACATCATGCTCAGATATCGGAGAATCAAGTTGATGCAGAATAACGCTTGATGGCGACAAACGACAAGGTGATGTTGTACATGGAGATGAACATGTTAAATAGCCAGAATCTAGACGACTGCCAATAGGTATAAGTGTAGAAAGACACTCGGTAGAATAACTATCGTTATTTTCATCACCAATGTGGCTCGACATTCTACGATTTAGACTTTAGTCGGCCTGTTGGAGTGAATGAGTACAGAAGAAATTGATCTAAAAAACATAAGTTCACAATAAGTTTAGACTTGTTGATTGATGAATAGGAATTAGAATACAAGTACTGTCTATCTATTACTACAAATTAGCTCTTTGTCTTTTGAACAATGAGTGCCATATACCGCTTAGACAAAGACAGGATCTTCATCTTCGAAAACAATATTTTCTATTCTTTCAAAACATCCGTCTTTTTTAGATAGTTCATTGTGGATCAATACAGGTCAATTTTATCACACGTAATAATACTTGGTATAGGTGTCGCACACAGTCTGTGTTATAATTGGCTACTTTTATTTCTAAATTTTTTAGCTTGATTCGATTTACTATCTATGTGTACGCAATTCAGGTGATCGAAAATCGACATGTCCACAGCAGATAACACGTTGACTCTTCTCGAAAAAGATGCCGATAAAGCGATTGAATCCGTTGAGCAGTTTTACAATGAAATCGAAACGAACATGAACTCGGTTATCGAACAAATTCAAACACTGATTACAAATGTGTCCGCTGATCCAAACACCAAAGTCAATCTTCGTGAAACAATCAAGCCATTAGCAAAACAATACAGTGATAAACACAAAGAGTTGCATGGTTCGATATCAAAAATCGGCAAGACGATTGATAAATGTTTTCAATCCGATTTTGGGAACGTTCCGATTTTTGAATTGTTTGATAAACCAGAAAAATTGAAAGTTATATATATGATTATATGCGAAGATCTTTACCGACAAGGACGAATGTCCATTGCCCAACAGTTAATCAAAGAAACGAGTTTGAATGACAACGAATTATTTAATGTCGAAAAAGAATTCTTAGAAGAAATCAATTTAATTCTCGAAAATTTACGGGAGAAAAATCTCTTACCTGCATTGGAGTGGTGTAAACGAAACCGCAATGAACTGAACAAAACCGGAAGTCTATTAGAATTCCATTTACATAAAATGCGTTTCGTACAATTGTTAGAATCAGGAAACTTCGAGCAAGCCAAAGCATACCTATCCAATCTACGACAATACTCCATTTCAAATGGACAATGCGAACAGGCAGTTAACGAATTGATGGGCTCCTTAGTTTTTGCTCAAAGAGATCTGGCTAAATCACCTTATAAGTATTTACTTGAACCACATCTTTGGTTACAATTATTGGAATTATTTATGCAACAAGCATTTCAACAAGTTGGATTAGCTCAAGACAGTCCACTGTATGTCGTGATGAAAACAGGATTTCAAGCCTTACCCGCGCTGATGAGGTAAGCAATAAATTGAGAGAGAATTCATCGTACAAATGCTTCCTTTTCACATAGTATTGTCAATGCAATGCAAAATACTCAAGTGTGCCATATTCTATCGAAAGATGAGCTGCCCATCGAAATTGATGTTGGACAAGAACATCGATATCACAGTGTTTTTGCTTGTCCTATCCTTCGACAACAAACCACAGATCAGAATCCGCCGATGAAACTTGTTTGTGGTCATGTTATATCCAAAGATGCATTGAATAAATTAACTCTACAGAACAAACTGAAATGTCCATATTGTCCGTTAGGTAAGTGGAATAAAGGTGAAAACATTGATTTATTCATTCAATTTTAGAACAAAGCCCGGCAGATGCGCGACAACTATTCTTTTGACCGTCGATGTTGCGAGCATCCGGTTGTTGTCTTGTAGTGCATTCTTCGTTTTTTCGTTTTTCTTCTCTTTTCTTTTCGTGTGCCAATGATAAAGATCAGTCGTTTACTTTCGTCTTTTTTATATGTACAGTTTCAATGTTTTTCGTATTCATTTCTTCCTTTTCATCTTGTAGATTGAAATGACATCGAGAAAACCTTTTCATCCATCGGATTATGATTTACCAGATGACTTTCGTCTAACGAGAGTCTCTGATCTCAAAGGATGAGGTTGTAAAGTTCCTCGGGATCTGTTGCACCGTCTGCTCGAGGGACTTGATTCGACCAATAAAAATGGTTCTAATGACGGGCAAAATCAAGCCAGCCATTCGGTACTCACGCCAGAGCCGAAATCAACACCGGTGGTTGGTAAGTTCATTGAACCCTTAAAGTGAATATCTGACTTTACTTCGAACTTTCCAAGGAATTGGTCTTGATTCTTGTGTACTTCCATTACGTCATGGGGAACTTTTTTTAGTACAATCAACAGATTTCTTTTATCCACTTGTCGATGATCCATACGTGATGGTAAAAACTGATCGATTTATACCATGTAGAGATATTTTTCTATTGTTAGGGAAAAATTGCTTGCGCAAATGTTCTAAGTGATATTTATGCCATGGGTGTGACTGAAGTCGATAACATGTTAATGCTATTAAGTACCAGTAATAAAATGAGTGAAAAAGAACGTGATACAATTATGCCATTGATGATACAGGGATTTAAAGTAGATAAATTGCTCACAAATCTTGGGAATGTTAACTTTTAAAAAAAAATATCTGATAGGATTGCGCTGAACAAGCCGGTACAGCAGTACAAGGTGGTCAAACAGTTGTGAATCCATGGTTAATAATCGGTGGCGTTGCTACATCAGTTTGTAAACCGAATGAAGTTATAATTCCAGAGCATGCTGTGATTGGTGATGTGCTAGTGTTAACAAAGCCACTGGGCATCCAGGTTTGTTGTTGTTGTTGTCTATATTTTAAAGCCAAAAAATCAACCGTATTTTGTTTTGTAAATGAAGGTAGCTGTGAATGCGCATCAATGGCTTGAAAAGCCAGACCGATGGGAACGTATAAAATCTGTGGTAACTGTCGATGATGTTGAAAAAGCCTACCAACGGGCAATGAAATCCATGGCTCGACTTAATAAAATCGGTATGTTAACGACCTCTGCAATTCCCTTCCCTAGCAAAATTGTTTCATGTTCGTTTTAGCTGCATCTCTTCTGCACAAATACGATGCACATGCTTGTACCGACGTCACTGGCTTCGGTATACTGGGTCATGCTCAAAATTTAGCTCAACATCAGAAAAACGAAGTAGCATTCGTTATTCATAGTCTACCCATTATCGCTAAAATGACAACGATTAGCAAAACTTGTAACAATGCATTTAATCTGTTGCGAGGAACGGCAGCAGAAACATCAGGTGGTTTATTAATAGCGTTACCATACGATCAGGCAGCTGGTTATTGTAAGGAGATTCAAGAGAAAGAAGGTTACCAAGCATGGATTATCGGTATAGTAGAAAAAGGTGATCGAACAGCAAAAATTGTCGACAATCCTCGAGTTATTGAAGTACCAGCACAAGATACAGACGGTGAATTATGGTAAATGGCTTGGAAGCGTAGTACTGGCGTGATGCGTTTCTAATCTGATTTATCCAAAGAAAAGCATATGGGAGAGAAAAAAATGAGTTTTTCTATTCAATTTCTTGTTTTTCTTGTTTTACAACATTGCTTGACAAGGATGTGTATGAAGAATTAATAGCTCAAGACTTCAGATATGATTCTGTGGTGGCTATTAATCGGAGTTTTCCTGTTCAAGTATTGTAGGACGATTAACCTAGATTGATACATTTTTTTCTATCTCTTCTGCTTTGAAACAGTTTTTGAAATATTTTAGATAAAATGGAAATTAATAAAAATAACATCGAAAAGAAATTACGCGATGCATTCGAACCAACCTACTTAGTAAGTTGAAAGGATTGGTTCCTGACTGCCAGTAACGAAAATTGCTTATTGATTTAGAACGTCGAGGATTGCTCGAGTGGCTGTGGTTTGAAATTTGATACAATAATTGTATCGCAAAAATTCGAAGGTAAACAACTGCTGGCAAGACAAAGGTATGTTCAATTCTTTGACTTTGGCTCATTTTTGTTTTCAATTTGACGTGTTTAGATTAGTCAATGACTTGCTGAAAGATGAAATGACAAAAATTCATGCATTTACTCAAAAGACATACACGCCTGACGAATGGGAGAAGAAACAAGAGAAAGCAGCCACAAATCCTGATTGTCCAATTAAATCAACAAGTGCTTGTACCGGCAATTGTGGAAATTGCCCAAAATAATCTTTTGGATTTCTTTCTTTTTCATTAATAAACAAGAACAGTTTTTCTCATTTCATGATTAGAGGTTAACCGGTCAATGAAATCAACTCTTTTCCTTTGTTTACTTTCAGAATGGAAGGTGAAGATTTAGATGATTCAATGGACGAGACTCTTGCAGAGAAATCTGCAGATGCATCTCAAACATCACAACCTACAGGCCAACCGAAAGTTACTCTTCGATGGACAGTCAAAGGCTATTCCCAGGATAAACGAAACCATACATTACCAGATGGTTGGTGTGAAGTATTCCATACTAGTGGATTTCCATTGTACTTTCATAAACAAACACGTGTAGTCACATTATCTCGTCCGTATTTTCTTGGTTCAGTTAGTGTTCGTCATCACTTGATACCGATCTCATCAATACCATGTCTGTATATGAAACGACTGCAGGAAGAACAAATAGAAACAGGTGAATCGGCAGCAACAAGCACTGAAGCCAAATGTCCATTTAAAATGAATGAACAAGAAAACTCTTCATCAACGATAAATCGTAAACGAAAACGTAGTGATATGGATAACGAAGATGTCGAAGAAGGTGAAATCTCCTCTCCTCATCCGCCGACACAAGTCAACGGCGAAGATTCTTCATCTTCTCTTTCCGCTCACCCAACATTGCAACCGGTGGATCCATTACCAACTGATACAACTACACCATCGACTTGTCCAGCACAAACACGTCCACCTAAACCACAGCAACTACCAGTTTCTTTACAAATCCTATCGAATACAACACTAGACGATGCTCTGTACTTCAGTACGTTAACATCAGATGAACTACGTTCGTATTGTCAACGTCGACTAGCATTTGAACAGCGTGAATTCAAATTTTTCCCATCATTAAGTGACAAGTGGAAGTACATTCGACAAGCTCAAATGAAACGTCGTGAAATGAACACGCCAGCTGATACACAAACCATAGAACTTCAGCCGTTGACAACCCCCGATCAATCAGTTGTCGTTTCAGCGACATTAAAAACGACTGACGGACCATTATCAGCACCCTCTCGCCCATCAACAACTTTCGAATCAACGAACTCAACAAATAAGAAAGTAACAATCGATCTCTATCCGAATAAAAGTCCCATAGCACTTTTACAAGAGTACGCACTCAAACGTTTGAAGTTAATCGTTCGATATGAATGGTTTACGACCGATGAATCCAATTCCCCATTTGGCTGTCGTGTTTTTGTTGGTGATACTGCCTATGGCACAGGTATTGGTCGGAACAAACGTACTGCGAAACTGAAAGCAACAGAAGAATCGCTGATTATTCTAATCCCTCAATATAAAAAACTACAAGAACAACAGCAACAAACAGGAAATAAACAAACCATTATCGAAGACAAAACACTCGAAGAAGGTTGTATCGACGATGACGAACCATCGACAATTGTAAATAACACTGCCAACCATCCAGACCACACCAACAACAGCAATGACAATGATAACAAAACCAATTCGAATGAAGAAGATCCAGTCAGTAGTTCGTTATTAGATGAATACAACATTCTAGATGCTAATCTATATGATGTATGTACCGCGTTGGGTAAACCTACACCTTATCAAATGTTGGAAAAGAGTATAACATACAATGCATTGACACGCGGAGAATCAAATATTAAACTAACAATGACAAAGAAGCCGATGTTCACACATATTACTCTCGAAATAGGTAATGAACACAAGGAAGAAGCCCAAGCGAAGGATAAAGCGCATGCGAAAAACCTTGGTAAAATCTGCCATTAACTTTTCTTTCGAAATCGTTGCATTTTGTCTTCCTCTAATTTTAGCTGCTCAAAAACTATTAAGAAAACTCCACCCGTATTTACCTGCATACGGATCATTAATTCGTTTGTATGAAAAAAATGCTGATACTTATAAACGTGTTCGCGTCGACGATGAATTAGCTGATATCGTTCGTGCTGCGAAAAAGAATGAACCAAATCACGCTCTATTAGCTAAACTTCGTGAAGAAATGTTACGTTTGAAAGCCAATAAAACTTCTTCCTCGTCGACATTCAATCACTATGCAATACATGTCGTTGATGTGAATGATGAACTTCTCGGCCGTTCATCATCCACGTAGGAAAAATTCAGTATTTTATCTTGCCTGTTATACAAGAGAACGAATGTATCGTTTTTTTTTGTTTCTTATTGATTAATAAAATCTCACATGTACAAAAAGAACCAGACAAGAAAAGAAGTGATTGTTTATCTGAATGTCTTAATTAAAATTTCGATCGAGCACGGTGATATGCTTTGGAATATAACCTTGTCGTCCATCCCCACGTCGTACAAAACGCCAGTCACTATCACATTGCGTCGTATTCATAAGTGTCACGACTTCAGATTCAAGTACGCTGATATCACCAACAAACTGCCGTTGATAATTCTCGATCACACGCAGACGACTGTTGGAATGATAGACAATCGGCTCACTATCTAACACGCTGAATGATAAACTTTTACATGGAGTTAAATTGAGTGTTTCATAAGCATCGTGATCATAAGCATGGAGTGACATGTTGGAAATTTGTCGAGATAGATTCGATTGGTCTTTGTTCTGACGAGTGTATGTTCTCGATTTGTTTACACGTGAACATGTTAATGATGATGGTTGATCGAGGTTGAAATGGCATGGACCGATTGAGGAAATAAATCGACCAGGAGTTGGAGGAGTCGACACGCTGATCGCGGAATGAGTTTTCGGCTCGTAGATGCTTACATTTAATAAACTTAAATTGTTTTGTGAATTAGTTTCGACGGGTGCGTCCGATAGTCCAAGGCAATAGATTGGTACGAAGCCAGTTTGACCTGTTTCATTGATTTCAATGAACACCCAATTCGAAATTGCATAGAGTGCTTTCACAACTGTATCTAAATAAATAAAGAAACAGTGTTTAATACTTTATCTGTACAATCGAATGGAGAGTTTGATAATCAAGGTGTGATCTGTTAACAACAACAACAAAAAAAATCATCGCCATGATTTTCCTTGTGTAACGAATGTCTAGACTCAAAAACAAATTAAACGTCAATGTCAATGTCGATCACACCCAACGTTCTATTTGTCTCCAATTAATATGACAATCAGAAGAGATGTTCAATGTAAATATCTATCGTTTCTTTCATTATCGGCTTAGCTTTTCTACCTGTTTGTATGTAGACAAAGATTCAGAGAGGAAATATTGACTTAAACGATGATTGCCTTTCACATTTAGACATAAGACGAAAGCAGAGCAAAGGTGTCAAGAGGAAGAACGAATGCAATTAAACAGTAGTCGTTCAATTAAAATTTTCATCAAACAATCGAAAGAATTGTTGAAGTAGAACAAAGTGGCAATATATTACCTTTTGTGACAGCAATCGTGTTTCGATTGAATTGTGTTGACTTAGCATGTAAAGGTTTGTACGATTGTTTTACAATCATTCCTAGATTAGCTGGCGTGCTTGATGTTGCGTGTGCCAGATGTTCAATCGGTTGTTGATCGGTGGAAACGATATTTGCCGAAGGCGATGTCGATTCAAATTTCGGCCGTATTCGAGTCGATAATCGGCATGCACTTTTACTTCTTTGTTTATAATTTTGAATTTTCGAACGCTATACATGAAAAACGAGAGAAGCAATCAAGAGAACTGCTCGTGATGATAAATCATACCAGAATGTTGAATTTCGCCGATTTCTTTTGTGTTGAAAGGAGATTCGATGTTGGATGACGATAATTCACAAATTCGTAACAAGTATCTTTATTGATCCGCTTACATGCGCTTGTAAGTTCTGAAAAAACATGACAAGATCAAACATTCGACATCGATGCATGACTAACTGCTGAGTTCAATCATGTCTGAAGTGAAGTGTGCTTCTCTCGGTGAAGAACCGTTTAGATATCTTCTCTTTCATATTTAAATTTCTTTCCTCTTTTCCCGACTTCCGCCTTAACACTCGCAATCTTCACGGACACATGTTGATGTTTACAAAAGAGATTGTGTGTACTTATGAATACATAATTAGGAAGATTTCGACGTTTATGAACGAAATTAGAGATTATCAAAACATTGATACTCACTGAAAATATTACAACCAGGCCACATTACATGCAAATGAATGAACGTAACAAGACGTTTTCTTTTCTCTTTTCTACTCACAGCAGGATAGGCTACAGGGCATGTCAAAAGAATAAAATTACATATTATGAATCCCATCTGTGTATTACGAGAGAAACAAAACGCGCATTTCGAGACTATTGAACGCGAAGACTTATTGCCATTCTTTCAATGGATTAGATCATCTATTTCTAATTTCAAATTGATCGAAGCTATTTACCTTTGACATGCTTGCGAAATTGTAAGGCACGAAAAAGTTTCGTAAGAGCTGTTGATTGTTCCATGATGTTTTCAAATGATGCTAGTCGTGTTAAACAGCATCATTATTATATATATATATTCTAATCAATCTGTTTGATTCAAATCTGAGAGAGAGAGAGAGAAACAATAACACCTGCTCGCTCTCCTCTTTTCGAACCAATCGCGAAAGAGAGAGAGAAAGAGAAAGAGAAAAGAAACTTTCGTTCTAATTGAAGATGATGACCTTCAATAAAGTTCATATATGATATTTTTCTTTTAAGTTACTCATACGTGATAATGAGGATAGTTTTTATTACCCATGCTGAGAAACGATCAATATCTCTGATTATCACGCATTAAGACGGCTATATTTATGTTCAATGAAGGAAAAATTTATCTCATGGGAACATGATTGTTATCACGCATTTCACATTTCCAATGTGGTATAACTGTTTAGCCTTTGTTAGCCAAGTTGAGATAACTTGTCAGGGAAATCAGGGTATAATTCGATCTCATTAGTGAATATTTTTCCAAGAATTTCGTGCAAAACATCGCCCCCTTTTTTATCCGAATTAAATGAACCAGAATAACAAATGAGAAAATTATCTTTGAAACAAATGTTTTCTATTTACACAGTTACATCAACGATATCTTTCAATAAAAACGATTGTTGACGGTTGAAAATTGTTTGTATAGCATCAGTCGATAATCGCCGCTTTATCCAAACTCGTCCTTTCGAATTTTCTCTCAACGATCGATGTGAATGATAAAGCGGATGAAGTCTTGACGCTTGAGTAGACTGATCAGATTTGTTATCTGTTACTTGCTTGTTTTCAACTTCTTCATTCATCGATGGCGAACGTAACGGAATCGTCTCGTCAGTGGGCGACTGTCTGAGTAGCGGAGAATTCGTGAGAGAATGATTTGATGTGCAAGATTGATGAATAAAAGCCGACGAATTTGAAAACTAAACAGGAAAGAAAATCAATTGTGAGACTAATTTCTAAACATGAAAGAAGAAATGTTTCTTATCATTCGGATAAGGTAATGATCAAAACAATCAGATATGATTTATTTTCCCATACATTTTCGTGCTTCATCAATCAGCAATCGAAGTTTGTCGAAGACAATAGACATCTTATGTTAATACTCAAGACGATTTATTTTAGGACTTAGTAGAAAAGGTTTTTCAACGAACCTTGTCCTTCTGTTCATTAATAGAATGAATAATTCATTTGATTTTTTTATGAATATTATTATTTTTAGGTTAGACAAGAGCATCTCGCCCTTAAACTTTCAATAAGCTTACCGTTTCAGTACTTTGTGTCGAAAGCATTTGTGAGAGTTCATTTCTATTCTGTTGATGTGATTTTAATTTCGATAAGAGTATTGTCCATGACGGTCGCCTATAATTCCGCATTGGTGTTCGGCTTTTGGCGGAATATTTAGCAAATCTGTTATTTAAATCACTGCTCTGATTCGACAGACCAGCACTGAGCTGGTGTCCGTGTAAAGAATACGTTGACGACACATTGTCGAAAGAAATCGAGTATTTCGCATTGTCTTTCGTTAATTTCCAATTGGGGTCATTGAAATTGGCACAACGTGTGTAAATAATAGCAAAGCTAGACCGACATGTCGAACGAAATCGACTAGAAAAGCAACAATATAACAGAAAATTCATTGAAGCATTAATAGCCACTAAACAATTGGCAAAATTATTGTAAATAAGGACTTCAGAAGTTTGTGCGACGACGGGAAAGAATGATTGTAACGTTAGAGAGATTGCTTGAGGAATTTGACAAACAGTGAAAACAATAACCACACCAACTAAAACGAACGTGCTTTCTTCAATCGAACTTTGTAAGAACATGAAATGAACTTACTTAACATAATTGTGGTTTTCCTCTGTTCGCCTTGATTTCCGCGATTGTGTCGGCGGAGTTGAATACCTTCTTTATTTTTATGTTCTTCTTGTCTTGAACGATGGACGTAAATGATAAGAATGGTGTTGAATATGATGAGGAGCAACAAAGGAATCCAAATGATAGCAAATCTGTAGAGAAAAGGAAACAATATCAAGTGGGTTCGCATAATTTACTAGTGTAGAAAATTCAAAATCACGGAAACGTGATTATTTCAATGTGTGAAGAGTTGAAAATCGAGTTGATTGCTCGATTTTTCATTTGCTCAAGATGTATGTGGGAAATAGTAGATTACATCTTGTAGTAATATTTGATATGTCATGTCACAGATTGTCTTTGAAAGATCGGTTCACATCGGAAGAATCGTTTTGGCTTGGAGAGAATATGCAAATCATCAGGGAAACAAAATGATCTTGTTACTTGTCTAGAACACACGCGCTCATCGACACAATTCTTTATACGATCTCTGATTATCAATAAATAAGATAAACTAACGGGGGGATTAATCTAGTCGACGCTTTTCTGAGATCGCCAGATAGATTGGACAAGAAGAACTGTTTTTTTTAGTCCTTTCTAAGTAAATAGAATTGCGCTCGTACGATCTTATTTTTCGAGATATGATGTCTAACGAGAGAGACTTACGTGACAAAGTTGAAATAAATTTGATGGTACAAAAGACTACTTCCCAATGCTGTTGCTTTGGCGCGTATTCGACTTTTTACAATAGGTTTCTCGCTTGAATCTGTTGAGTTTTCGATTTCAGTCACTCGTACAAGTTTCATTTCGAATGCAGATGGTAATGTACATATTAGGGCTGCACATAGTACACTGAGAATGATTTTTCGTGCTCGAGTAACCGTACACCAAGTGCGACTTTTCAACGGATAAGTTATTGCTACCCATCGTTCAACCGTAAACGTGACTGTTAACCAAACACTGGTATTCGATGATAGATCGGCGATAGGTCGACAGATTGTTGAAAGAACGTCAGATACTGTAGTACCATAAAAGCAAGGATGTTGTAATGTAGTAAGTATAAGTGTTAGAATCAGATACGCAATATCTACAAGTGCTAATGCGACCAAATAATTGTTCGTTGAAGACATAATCATTCGTCGTTTAGTTAAAACAATAATAACCAGGATATTTCCAGTAACGCCTAATTAGATAAAAAATAATGTTGTTCATCGTTTGTGGGCTTTTCCGTACGAGATACTCAATGAACTTCAATGTGCGGAGTATAGCTTCGGAAATTTCGATTACAGACAGTCTTTGTGCCTAATTATTAGACTTACCAAAAAAAGTAATTATGGGCCAGAGCCAATTTTTGACTAAGGTACGCACAAAAAATAATTTGGGATCTGTAACTTGTCGGGAGAGAAGTGAAGCGTTACAATGGACAAGTCCAAACATGGTTTGATTTGAATTGAGATGTCGTATATAAAGAATGTTTCAGTCGTATGGCAATATTCTAATGACTTTACTCATATCACAAAAACAGTATTATGACTTCGATGGTTCATATCTAGAACAAAATAGAAGGGCGGATATTGTCATGAAAGATAAGACCGGCAGACATAAGAAAAATTATTGATAAAAGCTATAATTGTTGATTTGCGTGTGAATTAGTCTGACGACGTAATCGAATCGCTCAGAAATCAATACGAAATCAAACAAAAGTACTCAGAATCTTCACTAGCTTGTCTTGTGATAAAAAAGGGAAGAAAAGAAAAAAAAGCTGATGAGAATTCAGCGTACTCTTTCCTTTTTCTCGCTTCGAGTTTTGTTAATGGAAGATGTCAGAAAGGGTTATATTATAATAATAGATCATCTCTTTCTTTCGTCATCTGAGAAGTCAGCTTTAGACTGAACTCGACGATTCACTTCTTTAAATACTCTCAAACAGAAAATACTAATCTGGTCTTCGAAGATAATTACAACTCCGTCTTTATCCATGCATTCCATCGATCATTACACATAAAACACTTTATCGGAAATCGTATTCACTGTTGTGTATTTCCCATAGAGACGAAATGATACAAGTCGCAAGTATTAAAATCGCCGACAGTCAGAAATCTTTCGGTTCCGAAGAAGTTACGGCATCGATGGAATCTAGTTCAAATAAAATTCATTGAACGTCGAAAAGATTCCTCTCAGTATCAATTTAAGCAATTTTAAACAATTCACAACTAGTTCCCGTGAGAAACACAATCTTATTATTCGAGTAATTACTCATTCTTAAGTGCTTCGTCATTAAACAAAAGCATAATTTTTCCACTTTCTCAACTGTCATATAGAAATCTTGGTCAACATACTTTTCTACTCATCGGTTCGATGTTTAGAATGTTCTCACGAACTTTTGTCTGCCTGGATGTCTGATTGAATCTAAAATTACAGCACTCATTACAGCAGTTTTCGTCTTACCAGTATTCTAGACTCTTCCTTTTTACACACTAGTGTTTCTGTTCTTATTTAAACTATCACGTAAGAAGTTATCTTCGAGCAAGCCGTAAAGAAAACACACACATATGACAAAGACAATAAAATTTTGCAACCAAGGAGAAGAAAAAGGAAACGCTGCGGTGCTCTTTATCTACCTAGCGACTTTCAATGACGTGCATTCAAATAAGAATAATTGAGATTCTTCATAGAGCTCGGAATTTGCGTATCAAGAATCGCTTGAAAATACGCTTTAGTCTAGTATATCAAAGATCACTTAGAAATATTTCTACGAATGATGTGAGTACGAAGATATTAGCCGAACATCTTAACACATAACTTATTCTTATATAAAAATTAGTATACTTTGGAGAAAAACATTCAACTGTGATAAATGAGTGTATCTGGTGAAATCTGCATCGGATAAATTATGCGGTTGATTTCATTAATGCATTGGGAGAAAGAGAGAGATATAAAAGAAGAAGGAGAAAGGTTGTTATTTCAAATATGAGAATTCAGATCTCCGTTCTACTACGCTTCATTTACCTAATATTGTAAACAAAAGATTTGACTTTAGATGCATTTGTCTATTCTTGCCACGGAAATCTTTGTCTTCTCAGTTTTTGCTCCTGATCGATGGGCTATAATTGTCAAGAACGCAATAAGTCTTCTCTCGATTATCTTTCACAGTTTGATTACGAAAACAATCCTATAAAGCATAGACTGTTTTCGATGATAATTGTCTCTTGACATTTTCTGATTGATAGCGCTTTCGAAATCGTCTGCATGATCATAAATTGTGACATAGATGAAGCATGAAGTGTCTATCTCAATCTAGGGAAAGTTAAACAACGAGAAAGGCAACTGTATAATAGATCGTTGATAGACACGACTTTTCCTATTCAATGAAATGTCATACTATAAGGAAATGAAGTTTGATTCATTTTGTCTATTTCAACCGAGTTTGATCTGTGTATGGAAAAACTTTTCGATCTCGACAATATCGATATAATTTGATTTCGTTCGCTTATTAAACTATGATTATTCTACTGTTAATTATAGTTGTTATCGAAATAAAAAATAGATGCTGAAAATGGATATTCATAGTTACTGATCAACTAATCGGCCCTCCATGCTGGCAGATCCCTCGAGACGTGTAACATAACTAATACTAAACATTGCCGAAGAAAACTGATAGTAAGCCTTAGGATGCTTCTATTAAAAACATGAGTAGATGAAGCTTTTTTAAGCTGCTCACCGACTTTGAGCTCAATCCTTTTCTTAAGTTGAGTCATAAAAATTCAGTAAAATTTTGCAAAAACCCTGCCTAGAGCATTGAAAAAAAAGCGGGTCATCTCTAACGTGCAGCTGTTCGCACTATGCTGTCTTTCATTACTGTTACTATCCGATTTTTAAAGTATCAATTATGCTGTCAATCAACTTACCATGTTAGTAGTACCCGTCCGGGTATTTAGGTCATGATTGAATCTAGACAGATGTGTAGAGATGATCAGAGTAACAAGAGAAACATCGTAAGAAAAACAACACAAGAGTTGTTGAGTACAACAGTATTACTTGAGTCGTCTCTTTTCCTTTCTGCATAAAAAAGCGATCAACCGCCTTTTTTTGTTCTCTCTCAGCGTTCTATTTCATGTCTTACAGAAGAACTATTAAGAAGTATGAAATCTCTGCGAATACCATATTCATCTGTCTAGCTGAAGGCATAGATATGTTTAAAATAATAAGCAAAATATAGATAAAAAGATCTAATGCTCAAAGACACATCCCTCCTCTGATATCTTATAAGCGAAGTTAAAATTGAACGTATTCTTCATAATGTCAAAATTATTTCTTCAATGAACTGTACTCCTTCTTTACAAGATTATCTAGCTTCTTATTAGTATACTCAACGGTCTTTAGCCCTTTTCTAATTAAACAGCTACTGTCGTAATATGATTAAATAGATTATTCTTCCAGAAATCACAATTCATAATTTCCCTTCCCTACCAAAGCAAAAGTAAATTATCATCTTATTCAAAACCGGAGCGACCTGGTATGTCTTATTTCTGAAACTACTTGTTCCTATGAAATCTATTTCTTAAAAAATCAGTTTTTGACAGGCTAATGTCTATTATCTGGATGTAGCTTGATGAATAAAAAAACAACAATGACATACCTATTAATTATCCAACCCGCACTGTACGCACGTGATCTTTATAAATGTTCCTGAATGATTAGGGAATGTTCTGCTGAAAAAAACTCGATAAATAAATAGCTCGAAGTTAACTAGTCGGTAAGTGAGAACAAATTAAACGTGACAAACAAGATATTTTCTACTTTTAATCACTAGTTAGGATAATGTAATTATTTCATGCGAGATTCTTTTTATTCAATCAAAAAGATGTGCTTTAATTTCAGACAAGTGGAGTGTTTATCAGTGTGGAGATAAGATCATAATTAAATTTACTCCGAGTCTCAAGCAATTACAATGTTCGATTGATTATAAATTAAAGATTTGTTATCACTTTATTTTTCTGCAGTTTGACACTGATTAATGTTGAAAAGGGACGAATTAGTTGTTGGAATAGTGCAGCTAACTAAGCACTCCCTTGTTTTCAATCCAATTTGACTAACTATCAAGATTTCGAATGTTACATTGAGTCTTAGCCGGGCGCAGTGGGATTAGGTTACTCGAGCGATTAGCATACAAATTGAATATGAATACAGAGACAATCAACAGTATATTATATGTTTGGGAGGATGTGAGCAGACAGACTACATAATCAAAAACTGGGACCAACGCATATTTCTGAATATTCGAGTAGAAAACATCGCGCGTTTTCGGCGGGTTCTTCGAAGAGGAAAGTATTGGTTAATTTCTCGTAAATATTTCATGTCTTGTGATAACATTTACAATCTAAGCGAAGAATTTATGTGTATGATTGAAGGCGAATTTCATGGATGTAACGGATCAATCCGACGTCAATTCCATTCTTGGAAGAGATTAATTTACCTACATTTAGTGACGTCAATCTTGTTTATGTAAGAAACGCAATCTCAACAATAGAGGATTAGATTTTCTTTCAACCACTGAAAACATTTTATTACAGTTCTAGGCGAAATAATAACGTATGAAAAAATCATTGAATTACAAAGGAATGTACCTAGTATATGTCTTTCAGTTCATTTTAGCTATTGTAAATATAAATCTCGATCTATTCAGTTCGTAATAAAAGGAGCAAACAGTGCAGAAGATATGCTTTTTTTTCATTTACAGTTATTGTTCCCCGTAGGGCTGACAGTTAGTACACACCTTAAACACTTTATACGAGAAGCAACGCATTCTCTGTTTTTGCTTACCTCTGTACATAACTCAAAATAAAAAAAGAGAAATAAAAGTGAAATATTCTTCTCGTAGACTCTGCATGTGAGTGTTGAACAGTATTGTTGACATATACAATAGATGAAGTTAGATATATATGAAGTCAATAGAATCATGACTAAGAAAAAAAGAAGGCATGAATATAACTTTGAATACAGATATAGTATAGGATCGTTCAAGCTGAAAAGGAGTTTATCAATATTGAATCTACGTGTTCGTATTTCATGGAAAAGTATAAAAGAGGCGCGTTCCCAAAAATAGCTTCTAATTAAGAAACTTCGATTGTTCCATCGCCCAGGATGCATAGCTGAATATGACTACATGTTTTCTTTTACTGAAGAGGCAACCAGGAGTGGACTCATGTTGTTTGATTCGAATAGAACGCAATTCTACAACTCTATTTGTCTGCTTCCTGGACCATCTTTTACTTTGTAATCAAAGACGCAGATCATCAATTTGAGATTTTGCTGTCGTCATAAGAATAAATATGTACTCCAGATACTGACGCAAACAAGCGATGGAAGTCTCTACTCTTAAAAAACGAATGTGCTAATATTTATTAACACTTAACATATTTTTCTAGATTCTTACATTGAATTTTCATTGCTACATATTACAACCCAATATAATCAAATCAACCATAACTTACTGAAAATGCATCTTGTTGTTTTTTGACCCAATTGATGAAAGTAGTTGCAATAATATATTAACGAGTACGTCATCTGAAAAGGCAAGTATCTCATGAAAAATAGAAGAGAGAATTTCATTGAAAAAGCTTCTCGCGACTTCCTTCCGTCTAACAGAAACGCTGGAAAATAAGATAGATTGTTGACTTGTTTATCTTATCACTATGTACTCATACAAGACGTGCGCATACTTGACCCACATGAAAGAAAAAGTTCGATCGTTGAATGATCGCTGTAATACAGATTTAGTACGCACGTGAACGCGACTGGCAAAATGAAACTTGCTTTCATAGAACAGACTACCGATAGCTACACACAATTTATTGGATGATTATTTGTTATCTTTATTCACGCTCTTATTTTAGCATTTGATGAAACTGTTTTATTGTAACTCACATAAGCAATGATGGTTGCCTGCAAAATTTAACGTTAGAAATCTAATCTCGTAAAAAAGGACACTTGAAGTTCAGAGAGACCTGTTAATTGTGTCATGTAAAGAAATGTTTTCTCATCTAATTCCGTGACACATCTTCCAATTAGGGACTACCTTCATTTACAGAAAATAACTTCTAGCGAATACATAACCTGGATTAATAGACGATTCGAAGATATAAACATCCTGATGGTTAAACGAGCTAAGTCGTGCGAGCATACTAATACTAGTACGGCCTAATTAAATTCATCACTCAGCCGATTTGTGAAACTGGGTACTTTCACAAAGTTTCCGCTGTCAGTTGTATGGTAAATGTCACGAACATAAACTTGCGTATGCACGTTCAGGTTATTAACAATTAATAGTATGTTACTGTGCGAACAAAAGAAATATTATGAGCTCGTTTCGAGATCATATGTACATATTTTAACAATAGGTGGATTATTTCCTCAAAAATACGACTACATTATGCTGTCTCAGTTTAGCTGATTTATATGGCACGCTATTTTTCGAGCACTCCTCCATCCATTCTGTACAGATAAATAATTAACATACATACGTGAAAATCTCTTCCATCTATGTAAAAGCAAAGAAAAAGTAAATAAGTTCTGGCATGCATCTCAAGAGAAATCGAACGATAAAGAGCAAGAAATGAGGAATTATTCTCGAGCTAACTCGATTAGCGATCGATATATCCAGGAAAAAACTTCTCTTGATTTGATTATATAATCGACGAATGAAGAGCGCAAATCCAACAATTGTCTCCTGTATATTCACGATACAATATGAAGAATTACGAGTACCAAGCGTAGATGTACGCATGATCAAATAAAAATTCTCTTATATACTTTGACAAGTGATATAATCCTTTTATTACTAACTAATCACTGAAGATAGACAATTCGATATCAATCAGCCAGATCCGATTTGAATTCTTGATCAACACTTTCAAAGCTTTCAGTCGGTGATAAATTCCGTCTAAAACGGTAAGTGTAGTCTTCTGATGGCGGTGGTTGTTCAGCCTGTCGAGCACGATATTCAAAGTCTTGATGTAAAGCATGAATCGATGCTTGTCGATTCAATATATCAAAGCCAATGTAAGCTATTTCCAGCATACTAAGCACCACATACGTAAACAAGTTTTCCGCACGCACCAAGTGACTCTCAATATTGCATTGTTTAATATTGGAATTATCTCGTTCATAAAGAATGACCATCAGAAGTGTATGCAATGCTAAGGTTAACAACACGAGTAGTTGAATCGCTCCGTACCATGTGATACCGAGATCATGTCGAACTTTGGAGTTTTCCCATTTACGGAAAACGATTGTGATCAAACAGAAGTAACAGATGACAATGATAGAAATAAAGATTAGATGAATCGCTTTTAGAAATCGGAGTTGTTTGTGTTCATAAATACAATAATTCACCGTAGTAAAGCAAGAGTAAATACGCGAAGAAAAATTGTAAATCACTGGTTCTTTGTTGTAAGACTTATAGATATGAAGTTCAGGTGCTTTAGCATGAATACTGTTGAACACCAATGCACCAGCTTCGACACAAAAGAGTACAATGATAAACTTCGGATCCATTGTCTTTTGAGGAATCGTTGGCAGACTATGGAAACTTTGTCGTGTCACTGATAACGGTCGATGCAAATCCATTTGTTCGAATCTACAAGGAAGTAAAAATCTACCGAATGTTTCCGAATTCGAAAGTTTGCACTTGTTATTCTAGTCGTGAATTAAAAGACAAATACGTACCTGTTGATATCGATACCTCCTTCAATATGTCTTGGAGATGAAGAAATGAGATTATAACGTTTTATTACTCGATTATCTCGCATCTCTCCATCGAAAGGATATTTTATCAGTAATTAACTATACCTAATTGTGAGCAAATTCTGCTCGATAATTTATTCTTTCTTTAACTTTATCAACTTGAAGTACAGGCAACTGGCAATGGATATATTTTATAATGAAATCACTTGAACAAAAAAGGAAATGTATACGTTGACAGAGATGATTCAAGCGAAAGTAATTCGGCAATCGAGCTGCTTCATCGATTGTATTTATTTTTCGATGCGATATACTGATTTATGGCTTTCAATGGTTTGCGGTTGTGTTTGGACGACTTTGATTGACATCGAAACTTTCACTGGTTTCATCATTCGTAGATAAGCAAGTGAACAAACAAAAACGATCAATCAGTGTTCTGAAAATTGCTCCATTGACATGACTTAATTTTCGAAAGACGCACAATAGGGCAATCAGTTCTAGTGAAGAAAAGTGTATCGGAAGTGTTGATGTTATTTATCAACTGTTTTATGGTTTTACAATCCATCATACTCAATTCTAATATCTATGAGTACGCTCGCGAGAAACATCCCTCATTCAGATGAAATCAATTCTCTTTCAGATTTCCAGTTTACTACGTGTCGCCATTAGAAGAGTAATCGTAGTACATAGTTTTCGATCCTGTCATACTAGAACATCTATGTTAATCACTGCGCAATTCATAATAGTAGTATGTTTTCGAATTGTGTTCTTATATTTCTGTTTTGCAATCTGAGCTGAAGACAGATGAAGATTTGATTTCTTACTCTTAGACAATAAATCTCCTTCATCAAATATGTATGTTTACGTATATACGCATTGGCATCAAGATAGAAAACAGAATTTCTAGACAAAATCCTTCACAGGATGTTAAAATAACAGCATTGGAAAGTCATGCATTGATTTAACCTTTGTATTTTGGGTACAATATGTTCCTAGTCTATGTTAGATTGCTGATTATGTGTTGGATTTTATTTGCAAAGAAGTGGGATGACTAGCTGATTGAAAACAAATGAGTAAATATGATACAATGTTAAAAAAAGAAGAGAAGTTTGAAGTTTTTAGCTTAAGAAGTTCCGTTTCTTGAAGTTTATTTACCACCGGCTTGTGCTGCTGCTCGAGCTGCCATAGCTTCAGGCATCATAACGAAATGTTTGTAAAGCGATTGAATATATGTAAAGACACATTTCCAGTCAGGTTTATCACCCATCTCAATCATATCATTAACTTCAAGTAAAGGTGCACAGCCGTTATCTCTATTGAACAAGAAATCTGTTCTCTGATAGTCTTTTCTTTTGATCAAACTCACTCGGCTGCTTTAAATGCAATTTCAAAGTTTCTCCTTCTATCTTTTGGGTTCAGAGATTCGTAATTAATCGCGTTGGGTAGATAATGATGAATCAGAGCGCAAAAAGCCATACCATCTGCCCATGACGAGGAAAAATTTGTTACATTAACATGCTGATGAAACGAAATAGATGATATATATATATACACTTCACCAGTCAAATATTTCCTCCTACTTGATGACCCTTTGTGACATGTTGACACCAGGCGAGAAGACGATCTTTAATACTTGTTGGATTGGTTGGCGCGCCAGTGCCCTGCTCACTATGAAAAGGAACTTAACTACATTCGATCATTGAATTAGGAAAGAAATACCTGCTGACTTTGCCTGTTCCACCGGCGGCAACGTCTTTTTGTTGAAACATAGCAAATGCTGCTTTTGAGCTACCAGGACCTCCTACAATAGTCGATTTTTATACCTCCAATCGCGACTTATCTCTCGTGCATACCTCGAACTAAAAAGAGAAAAAAAAAACAACAAATCATGTTTATAGCTGATTTGATTCGATTTGGTCTCGTCTTGCTTACCGTTTCTTCCGCTCATTATCGTTTGTGTTCAAACTAAAAGCAAAATTTAGATGTGTGAAATCCATTTAAATCAAAGTATCAGATTATGCAGATGTACACTTCATCTATATCATAGAATTTGACACACGCACAGGTAAAATCACTTTGTTGTTCTTTTCGCGCATGGGAACTCGCATTTTTTTCATATATAGTAAATGTAATACAAAGAAAGGAAGAAAAATGACACGGTTAATTTGTATCATATCTAAGTAAATTATGAGTTTTGAATTATCTGATAAGATGAAGAGAAAGAAAAATGTCTTCGCGTTTCTTTTTTAAGACGATATTTACTTAAGGAATAAAAGATTGATGTTGAATATTCGTGTAATCAATACTGACACTTCGTTTACAATACTCAACAGGTAAAGTTTATTGCTTGGACAAACACTCCTTATCTCAAGTTTACTTTCTTCTTCGTCGAATTTAATACAGAACACGAGCTTACCGACAGTTTTAACGAATAGTTATGGAATCTGATGATATGAGTGTTTTGATCTGGTCGAAGCAAGTATATTTCAAACAGTGGCAAGCGATAACGAAGAACAAATTAGGAGAAGAAGTTCTATATCGTTTTTTCCTATAGGAAAGTCGGCGACACTTGGTAACCTTCGTTACTAACTGTCCTTATTTGCTTTTTTCCTCGGCACGAAGACAACTGGCAATATACAACAAATATCAGCGAAGGAAAAGACGGATAAGAATATCTCTATGCCTTTTTTAGTTATACCAATGGAAAAAACAACAACAAAATAATCAGCAGAAGAAAAGAAGAATATCGACACAAAAAAACTGTACGTTCTTTATCTTCTTCATCATCATCATCATCTTCTTCTTGTTCTTCTGTTGCTTGATGATGCCAGTGCTTGAAGAAAAGGAAAGAAATACGCGTCATTCATTCTCTTACACATCTGTACCGAAGAAAGCCTACTAGCAAGGACAACCAACGGCATATATCTAGTTCTAAATTAGGAAATACATTCACATAGACAGATATATGTGTAAGCATCTGCAACGTTGTTGGAAATAATCGATAATGGATCTAGCGATTACGCAAAAAATCAATAATACCATCATATGTCAATCTTTGACTTTGAAAGTTGATGGTTCTCATTCGTCAAAATATCGATATGAAATGATGATGATTTATTAAGTTGAAATAAAAGAAAATAATTGTCGCTGAATTGTAACATACAGTCCACTGTTCAGATGTGAAGGAACGAAAAAGGGGATAACCGCATGAATTATAGGATAGAGTAAGAAATGAATAATGTAGTTATAAAGATCAGTCGAAAATTTCATTTTATCGCAAGATTATTCCATATTTATCTATGTACACGTACAATAGCAGGGAGAGAAGAAAAAGTCATCGTACTGCTCGATGGTACAGAATTTGACGAGAAAATATAGTAAACGTTTAAAGTTGAGGTTAGAGAAAAAACAAAATATCAACTGTGTTAATAATGATTATGAGATGAGCAAAGAAAAATAAAACAGCCGAATATTTTCATTAAACAATTATATATATAAGGTCATTTGCGATATGTTTGTTTATCTATGCATATTCAGTGCACTTCAGGTCCTGGAGGATCTTGATGATTATCAGGACGTCGATCCTATGATGAAGAATTACAAGCATGATCAAACATTTTTCATTCTATTCACTTGATTATCCTGTTTGCCGAGAGGTTCACGATTATTGCGTATCGTACGAGGACGAAAGATGAAAAGTAGAAAAGCAATAGCAAGCCATATAGCTAACATTAAATACATATTCATTGTTCCTGTATCACCATGACCTTCACCGGTATTCGGTTGACCAGGCACTAAAAATATTGGTATTAGAACATAAATATTTACAACAGTCCGTCGTTTCATTCTTACATGGACTAGTGAAACATTCCGTATCAGTACATGTCGTTTGTGCATTTCGAAGCATGTTCGTCAAACGGTTCATTGCATGTTCATGATTCATTTGAAACATATTCTAATATACATGGAATAATGTTTTCAAAGATAGGCAAAAGCAGCTCATCCTACGATGCATTCACATGGATCAAAACCGCCCCCTGCATCACCTGGATTACCACCAGCGCCATCCATAATCTACACGAAGATATGAAAAGTCGAGCTTCGATAAGTTCGGTCTAGTGTATAAATATCATTACTGACTTTGAAAAAAAATAAATATTTGAAATGAGAATAGAAAACACAAATGTTTTTGCTCTTTTATGTTTATATGGAAACGAAGAATAATGGAATGAAAAAAAAATGCAAAGTATATAGTGTCACTACTGTTGTTGGCGCATGATTTTAATATGATCTAAAAGAAAGAGAAGGAAAAGTAGAGGAATTTCTTATCGACATTTTAATATTGATAGTAGTTTTCCATGCAAATGAGTTTTTTTTAAAACAGAACGAAAGGAGTCGCATTGCATAGTATAGTATACTATATTGACGATTGTCAGACTCTAGATGAGTCATTCTTCTGTTTACAGATTGTAGACTTCTTATTTCTGACCATTTATGCACTTTGTATGACTTGTTCTCAGAATTGATTTTATTCTACAATATATGCATGAAGAAGTTGTAGATTCGATTTAAAATTACCAAGGATATATTTTGCAATCGGGAAGATTCCATCATCTTAGGTTTAGACGCAACAAATCTGGTTTGTGTTGCCCTCTACAAAAGTGTTACACGATCTAGAACTATTGTTTGGAATCTATTATAGAAAGCTGGTGATAATAGAGAATTGTGAAAGATATAAAACGATTTTGTGACCTTAATAAATGGATCATTTCAGTGCAATCGTGCCGTTCTCATGAACATCAACCAATTATTATAAGATTTGTCTTTCAAATGTATTCTTTGTTCTCGACTGCAACGAAGTCGATAAGAAAGATACAAGTTTTCAAGTTCGTTGGCTGCAGTTAGAAGATGGTTAGGAAGAAGCCATCGATCTAGAATCAAAGATTTCAAACGATATGCCGGAGCGGAACAGAGTGTTTATATCCAATGCGTTTTCCTGATGCCTGTAGAATTATTACTTCTCATCAGACCGAATTGTTCGAGACTTGACACAAAGTCGAAAGCTCACCACTCGTTCGTTCGACTCATTCTTGAAAAATCAACGACGAGACAAATGAATGTACATAATGATTAGCCAACAGATGACGCTAATATTATGTTTCTCTTTTTACCTTGAACAAAAGAAAATGTTTTTTCGTTATTTCTGATTAAGATCATCGATTATTAATCATACATATATTTATAGATATTCGATTCGTTGTGATAATGCTGTAGTGACTCATCGTCTTTGATTGGCTCGTTTTCATCTAATGTCTGCATCAAATCTGTTCCGTTTCGTTTCTTTCCTTCTCTTTTCATTCTAGCAAGACATTTCTCTTGCTAAACTGTTCATAACAATGGCTGTCAAATGGTTAGTCACTCTAGGAATTGCTGTTGCCATTTTGGCATCGACTATTCATCAAATACCAGAGGGACATGTTGGTATTTACTATAGGTACATAACTTTGCTCATTTTCTTTTGATTATCATCGGTATTCTTCTTGTCAGAGGAGGTGCTCTTCTCACATTAGTCACTTCACCTGGCTTTCACGTGAAAATGCCGCTTCTAACAGCAGTGAAAATTGTTCAAACAACTTTACACACTGACGAAGGTATTGTTGACTGATGGATGAACGTATGTATGTATGACTTTTGTTTCTTAAGTAAAAAATATTCCTTGTGGTACAAGCGGTGGAACAATGATTTACTTCGATAAAATAGAAGTGGTGAATATCTTAAATCGTGATGCTGTTATAGAAACTGTCAGAAACTACACGGTCAATTATGATCGACCGTTAATCTTCGATAAAATTCACCATGAAGTCAACCAATTCTGTTCGGTAAAACTTGAAAATATATGATTTATATCGATCCAGAAACTGATCTATTCTAGTTGCACACACTTCAAGAAGTATATATCGATTTATTTTCAAGTATCGATGATCATTTGAAACGAACGTTACAGAATGATTTGAATGTGCTCGCACCAGGTCTTTTTGTCAGTTCTATTCGAGGTAAATTCATTGACATTTCTATTTCTTAAAATAATCAATCTTTTAATGACTTCTTTTTCAGTAACAAAGCCGAAAATTCCTGAAATTATTCGTCGTAATTATGAAACAATGGAACAAGAAAAAACACAGTAAGTTCCGAGAAGTCTTCATACTGAATTGCTGGCGAACTTTTCTATTAGATACATGATAGTAACTGCTCATCAGAAAGTTGTTGAAAAAGAAGCTGAGACCGATCGTCATCGTGCTGTTATCGAAGCAGAAAAAGTCGCCCAAGTCGCTAAAATTCAATACGAACAAAAAATTCTCAGCAAAGAAAGTGAAAAACGTATAGCAGAAATCGAAGCTGAAATACATCTAGCACGCGAACGTGCATTAGCCGATGCTCAAAAATATCACAGTGACACCGAAGCCGAATCGAATAAACTCAAACTAACGCCTGAATATCTTCAATTGGCAATGTATCAAGCATTAGCACAAAATACAAAGATTTATTTTGGAAATTCAATACCCAAAATGTTTATCAATGCCAATGAGATCCTCAGTAGTGCAACAGATTTTCCTTCGCAAACATAACGAAAAGTCTCTTCCTTCTTTTCTGAATAACCTGTGATAAAATAATCTTTTAACTTACACTTGTTTCTCGTTGCTTTACGCTGCGCAAACGTACTTTTGCAACGCTTTTATTTTTCTATTCTAGATGTGATTTGACTCACTCAGGATATTCGTTTAAGCAGAGGTAAGTGTAACAGAATGCTCAAACGAGCAGTACATTTTGTTTTGATACGCATATGTCAATATACATGCGATGATTACCAGTGCGCATCGACGTCGGTCTGTTATCATCTCGTATTTCTTCGCATGTTCTTTTTTTGCCATTTCGTTTGCGCTTAATGATGAAAGAAGGGGAGAGAGAGAGAGAGAGAAAGAAACCGAATTGATTGTATAATCGAAATACGCGTATGAATGTTTCTTAAACATTCGATCGTAAAACAACGTTATGGAACGAAGACGTTTACAACATCGACGAATGAAACAACAAAAACGAATCTGTACTAGTCAACCAGATTTAACCAAAGACGATCATCATCAACAACATCGCCAAAGTCTGACGGATCTCTCGTCGACATTGGAAACTTCAATCAATCGATCTGTTTCCCAATTAATTAATGAATTCGAGACACGTGCTCTTAATACTTCGTCTTCTTCATATACTCAAAAACAATTACCAATGGTTAATGATATTGTTTGCCGTAAAGTAGAATCTAATAGTCGACACATGTCCATCAGGACAATGAATATCAAGGATGGTAATAATAATGACAGCGACAGTATCAACAATACCGTCTGTTCGTCGATTTCTCATGTCATCAAGGCTGGCAATTCGAGAGTTACATTTGGAATACAACGGCACCAACACACCGACGACGATAAGGAACGAGAGAAAGGAGAGCGAGTCATACATCAAACATTGAATAACGATCGTCATAAACAAAACCTGCCACTATTATCAATCTGCACCATTGAGAACAAGAATAACAATCATCAATATCCAAGACAAATGTTGACACGAAGTACGGATATTGATGAAGCTGCATTAACCTTAGGCAAACGACATGATATTCGTTTTCATGATTTAATTATCAAAGAAGCACAATTGAATAATGCACTCGCTGATTTATTTTCACTATCAAACGATGCGGATGAGTCTTCTTCAATAAACTCGTCATTAAAATCTACTACTCTTACTAACAATGATCATCGACAAAGATCGAATAACAAAACGAGTACAATTTCGGATAGTATCGATTTATTAAACAATTTACTGGAAACCTTAGATTCCGATCACGAAACGTTTACGACTAAGAACAAAGCAACGAAAGAAATCAAAACGAATGATAAATGTCCTTTAAAACCAATCAATATGTTTTGGTAGTTAGAAGAGATAGAGAGAAACTTCGAAATACTTTTTTTTTGGAATCTTCTCTTTGAATGATGTTTATATTTTAGTCTCATGATGTCAGATAATATCTGTGCCAATTGTCATCAGTCATTTGCCACGAATGAACAAATCGTCAATGCAGCTGGACAGATTTGGCACACGCATTGTTTTGTGTAAGTATTTTGACTAGAACTATTCCTTTGATATTCCTCATCGTACGTTTATCTCGACTGAAATGTCCTTCATTGCATCTGGATATATACTTCGTATATTATCAAAAAGGTCATGAAATAGAAAGATAAAACTATGAAAGTCTGTCCAATTTTATTTGATGTGTTTGTATTTATAGTTGCACTCAGTGTTTTCAACCATTTGAGAATGGCATCTATTTTGAAGTAGGTTCATTCAAAGAATGTATTCACTTTGTTTGAATTCCTTTTATCGTTGTAGCATGAAGATCGAAAATATTGTGAGCGAGATTTTCAAATGTTATTCGCACCATGTTGTGCCGAATGTAGTACGTACTGATTTCTGTATTTCTCTCGTCTTTATCATACATTTGTACGTTAGAACAAGCAATTGTTGGTCGTGTTATTCGTGCAATACAGAAATGTTTTCATCCTGATTGTTTCCGCTGTCAATCATGCCAGATTCCGTTGATCGAAATGGGATTCTCGAAATATAACGGAAAGTATGCATTGTTTTCGCTAGTAAGAAGACGAAATTCAATATTGAATTTCATAGGGCATTATGTCGAGAATGTCATACGAAAGAGAAAACAAAAGATCTAAGTATATCTCAACACATTTGCTCCAAATGCCAGTAAGATAGACGAAATGCAAAAGAATTTTTATTGTCGACTTGTTTTTTAGTCAATTTATTGATAATAACTGTTTAAAATACAAAGATGAGTTCTACCATTCGTATCATTTCCAATGTACAACTTGCCAGTATGTTCGAAATATTCTTTCATTGAATCTCTATACTTGAAAATTTCAGAGTCCAACTAGATGAGAATGGCCGAGAAGTACGAGGTTTATTGTATTGTCTTCCATGCCATAATAAACTCGATGTACCTGTGTGTGCTGCCTGTCGCCGATTAATCGATGATCGAGTTATAAGCGCGTTGGGAAAGCAATGGCATGTTGAGGTTTGTTGTTCGAACTTTCATTCCGATGGATTGTAGTTCGATTTGTAGCATTTCTGCTGTGCACGATGTGGTCAACCGTTTTACGGAAGTAAACATTTTGAGAACAAAGGTTTACCTTATTGCGAAGCAGATTACCATCTTTTATTTGGTTCGTCGTGTTTTATCTGCAATACACTTCTGACGGATGGTGGTAAGTGAATGGAAAATTGAAGTATTTCTCAAAGTTTTCTTTAGCTTTCACAGCGTGTAACAAGAAATACTGCGCGGAACATTTCGCCTGTTCATTATGTGAAAAGCAAATGAATGAGAAGAGCAAGTTTTTCGATGTGGATGGTACACCTGTGTGTAAACAATGTTATGGGAAATTATCTTCGAAAACGCGCAAATCGCTCGAGCAAGATAAGAAGAAAATTCAGTTATCGTCGATATTCAAACAGAGTGCTGTTTAAATTTTTGTATTTACAAGATACAAATGTCCATAAATAAGCAAATACATTGACATATCAATTTCATCACAAAATAAGCCCAGATTGAGCGAAAATGTTGTCAACGACCATTCACTTTCGAATTGGTTATGTCGACCGAGAAGATACAAACGCGAACGACGACGTAACAATGCAAAACATCGATTTAGTTTTAATGTAAATATACGATAATGTTGAAAACGCTTTGAATGAATAGGTTTTGTTTTAATTATTAATTGTTTTACATGTCGACAAATATATTGAAAAAAATCATTATCATCTAACAGATTCCATTCATTGGCATTGTCGATATCAATTTTCAGAATATCAATTCGTGTTGAAAGAGAATCTAAATGAATGTATTCCGCTAGTTTACCGATTGTCATCAGATTCGAATTGTCATCAACCGCAGCCGATGGCGTTAGGCCAATTCGATAGAATATCCAGTTTGATTTGAGAGTAATCATTCGATCGGATGAATTTGTTTGAATCGGTTGATAGTAAGGATCGAATGTAAGTACACGACATCCACTCCATTCGTAAAGTTGATTTTCGAATGAACTATCAAGTCGATTATTGTCCATTCCGATCGTCATGATTAAACAAGAGTTACGAATCAATGGATCGAGACAGAGAACATGTTCGTGATTGTCGAATTGTTTCATATCGACACATTTGAACGGCTCGAGATCTTGCGGACGAATGAATTTACTTTGTGCTTGACACCATTTTCGACTTTGTTCAGGTCGCTGATCGTCATTATGAGTAAATTGAATGCGAGAATGGATGAAAGGATCGAGATAGCTTGCGGGTGTCACTATTGACGGTATGGCTAAGGTTGAGTCAGTTACGTTCAATTTTGTAATTAGTAGATTTTGTAAAATCTTCGGCGACAAAGATACATGACGTCTTTTCGAAGATGCATATGACAATGAAGGCTGTCGGTCCGAAGAATTTTTTAGAATGATAACAAAAGTAATCAAGGTGACTAGCAATACAATCGATTTCAGTATGAAATAATGTTTCCATTGCAGACATCGAATCAGTGATTGCAGGAAATTATCAGATAGAGTTGACATGAGGATGATGCTGTATGATAATAATAGTACAAATATACATTTTTCTTCTCTTTAGTCATCTATGTATACATTGGAAAAGGCCAAATGTATACTCTCTATTCGTTCGCCGAGGATGAGATAGCGAGCGAGAAAATTTCTCGTTTTCTTGTGGAAATAGATAATATGTCATGCTCATGGTTGACTGCGGCAATTTTTTCGACTAATTATGAAAGTAAATGGATTGTGATGGAGTGTCAATGAAATTCTCTCGAATAAAGTTCAGTTTGACTACTTCTTCCTGTCTGATCTACTTTCTCCTATGAAGTATCATATATTGTGAGAGGAAAAAAATGACAATACACGCGTTGTTTTGAAATTATGGGCGTATCGTTAAGCTAAAACAGAATTGATTTCATCGATCATTTCGTTCGATGCAGCAACTTGGCGAATAGGTTTGTTATTTACACAAAACTAAATGAAAGAAAACGTTTTTTAAAATAATATTTACACAACATTTTGCTCGCTGCTTGCTTATTTAAAAGAAATTTCACTTCGAAGCATTTGCATTTCGTATTTCTTGTTTGTTACTGCTCAGATCTCTTTACGATGCCGCACGCTGTTCACATATGCTTCGTCGTCGTACTTCTCTGTACGATGGTCAAGGCTCAATGGATCACAGAGAAAATTGTTGAAGGAATTATCGATCGAGACGATGATTATTGGGTTGTCAAAAGTAAGCTTTTCTACAATGATTTGTTTTGTTACAATCACGTTTTCGATCTCTTTAGCTAATGGATTAGTGAATCGTCCAAATTTCCCGGCGTATATTCGTTTCTATAATACGCATACACGCAAAAGTGAATACGAAATCGACGTTTCGAGATCCGGTCAAATTCTCTATTACAATCAACCACCACAAATCATTTTTCTAACAACAGGTCACTACTGGTCCGAAGGGGATTCGTACTATATCACGCTCGATGAAGGTGTACTCTATTCGAATGAGGTCGAAAACTCCACTGAATATTTAAGTCCGAAATTCTGGCAATTTCAATGCGTTCGACCAATGTACCAAGAAACCTGACTTCTGCACGAAACTTTTTTTGAACAATTCTTTTATATTATAAATATATAAGTTTTTATATCTACAGGCGCGTTTCTTTACTTCACTATGATAGACAACGAGAGTTTGCTGAATGATGATGATGATGAATATGAGTCGAATGACCAGCACTCTCGTTTGTATATAGATGAGAATCGTTTCCCTTCTTGGGATAATCAACAGCAAACAAAATCGACGAATACGGGCAATCCTTTTGAATTAGATTTTTTCTTCGTGTCGTCTCTCAACCGTTTCCAAACACGGGCGTCTCAAACGATTCTTACGTCAGATACGAGACGGTCGCGAAAACGACATCGTGCAACGTTGTGTCAAGCAGAATATTTTGCAACCAGTACGCAAGGAACAAATACAACGAATGGTGATGCGAGTGAAAAGAACGAAGAAGAGCGAATTGAAGTCAGGAAAAGACCAAGAATGCAAACTGACTGTGAATCAGAACTTCATCAAAATTGAAAATTTTCATACATGTCCTATTTTATAGTCAATTTGTTTCTCAAGAAATTATATGTAAATCTATTCTTGTTGATTACAGTCATTGATATAGAGAAGAAACTAATTCATTTGAATGTATATATTCTGGATCGATAACTATATTCTAATGTACGTTTCTAATGAGAGAATCGAACGTAGTCGAGAGAAAAAAATCAAGTCAATAATGTACGGAAGAAAGTATTAAGTGAATGTGAGCTTTGTTTGTGAATTTGTTCATTCAAGTTCGATCAAGATCTTTCCATCTTCGACTGTTTCACCTTCTTTTATACCGACGAATTTGACCTAAACATACAGCTCGTATACAATAGAGATTTTCGATCGAACAGATTCACTTACTACTCCTGCTCGACCTGCTGTTAATTTGTTTTGCATTTTCATTGCTTCAACTACGCACACCTCTTGACCATCAGATACTCGTTGTCCAACTTTAACGCTAACAGATTTGACAATACCAGGCATGGGTGAAATGAGAACAGACGCGTGATCGATTATCTTCTTAGCTGGCATAAGTTTCATGTATTTGGCGGCGCGCGCTGGTAAAACGCGGAGATCGTACTACGAATAAATCATTGTCAGTATTTGAAAACTTAGTTTTTCAAAAAGGAAGTTACTTTAGTTCCAAGGTAGATCAATGTTACGTTTCCTGTAGCGTCCATTTTGAATAACTAAATGAGCATTTAGTAGGAAATTGATGTTTCAATTGGAAAGTTGTTCACTCACTTGCATCGTGGAAGGTTGACCATCAAAATCAACATTGAGAACATGATCGCCCAATTTGAAATTATCTTTAATAGTTGATTTTTGTTTACCATCGATATCAACCTATTGAAAAACGCCATATTCTAGATGAATTTCATTGAAAACAGTACGAACTTCGAATTGTGAAACGCCATTTTTCTCTACGGGTGTTACACGAACTTTGCGTTTGAAGTCGCTTAGTGTTACTTCAAATACCGAATCTTTCGGTGTATTAACCGTTGATGCTTGAGGGTGTTGTTTGAATGAACCATCTCGTGCGGCTTTCTTAGCAGCAACACATGCGGCCAATGAGATTAAATGATCTCGTTCTTCAGCTTTTAGTTGTTTGCCTTTGAAACCTTCCGGATAGACTTGGGGCAAATATTTGGTACTGATGTCTCCTTTAACAAAACGGTTTTCAGTGATGATATCTCGTAATAAGGAAATGTTGTTTGTAACGCCTTGACAAAAAGAGAAAAGACATAGTTTAGTTTTAGAAAGTCGAATTTGCTTCCTACCGCGAATAACATAGGAATCTAAAGCTTGAGCCATGGTTGCCAATGCTGCTTGGCGATTATCTCCGAAAGTGGTTAACTACGAATAAAAAAAAACCGCTCTATCTCTATCAAATCAATAACACTGATTACTTTGCAAATCAATGGATCGTAATATAAACTAATCTCGCTACCTTCGGTGATACCACTATCGCACCGAACATTTGGAATATTACTTGGATCTTTGTATGATGTCAAACGACCAATTGAAGGAAGACCAAAAGCTTTGTAGGGATCTTCAGCGTAGACACGACATTCTACAGCCCAACCTTTGATACCAATATCTTGTTGTTTGACTTTTAGTTTGTGGCCTAGAAAAAAGATTGAATATCTATATAAATGAAGTACTATGTTTCGAAGAATAAAACCTTTGGCAACTCGAATCATCTGATGAACAATATCAATGCCAGTCGTTGCTTCAGTGATAGGATGTTCAACCTAAAAAAGTACAAGAGGATGTACGAACGAACGAAATTGAAAATGACGCCACGTACTTGAAGTCGAGTATTCATTTCAAGAAAATAGAAGTTACGTTTCGAATCAACCATAAATTCCACAGTACCTACAGAAACACGACTTTTTTACGAGATGAACATCAGCTTTGTCTTACCAGCTGAGTAATATCCTACAGCATGAGCTAATTGAACAGCTTCTTCACCCATCTTTCGTCGTGTTTCAGGATCAAGAAACACACTGGGTGCTTCTTCGATAACCTTTTGGTTTCGTCTTTGAATTGAACATTCACGTTCGTTCAAATAAACGATATTTCCGTGTTTATCTCCAAGGATCTACGTGAAATGCCTCTACTTCTTTCAATAAAACAACTCATCCTATCGAAACAGACTTGAAATTCAATATGACGAGGATTATCGATGAATTTTTCCACCAACATTCGATCATCGCCAAAACTTGATGCTGCTTCACCCTTACACAATCGAAAATTTTCTCGAGCTTCCTTATCGTTCCAGGCCACACGCATGCCTTTGCCACCACCACCAGCCGATGCCTTGATCATAACCGGATATCCTAAGGAGAAAAAACATCCGATGAAACCCAACAATGTTTCTTGAAAACAAAACTCCTAGCATACCAATATCGTTACTGACACGGACACATTCCTCTTCATCCTTGACTTCTCCATCATAACCGGGTATCATGGAAATGTTGGCTTTTCGTGCAATGATTTTGCTATGAATTTTGTCACCCATAGCTTCGATCGATTTACTTGATGGGCCAATAAATTCAACATTGTGATCGGCCTGAGTTGATTTATGTGAATTGATCATTCGTGAAACAAATCGAACTTACAAGTTTCTTAGCAAATTTTGTGTTTTCGGAAAGAAAACCATAACCGGGGTGAACAGCTTCTGCGCCTGTTTTCTTAACAGCATCCAATATAATGTCTTCTCGCAGATAACTTTGTTTTGCTAGAGCAGGTCCAATACAAACAGCTTCATCAGCCATTCGTACAAATAACTATACCGAACACGATCATATTCAAATCTTTATCAATGATTCTATTAGTCAAAGACATACTGAATTTGCATCGACGTCACTGTGTACTGCTACTGTTTTAATACCCATTTCATTACATGTTCGAATAACACGACAAGCGATTTCACCTCGATTAGCAATCAAAATCTTGGAGAATTTCTACAAAGAAGAATAACTTTCGCCAGTGTGATTTCTCTCTGAAAAGTCTCACCGATTCGCTTGGATCGATTTGATCTCGGAAGTAATGTCCGTTCTTTCCATAGGTGAAGATGGATTTTGACGATTTCGTAGTGCTCTGCGTTGATTGCAAGCGTTTCAATAATAAAAAGCGACTTGTCGCTGACGAACGAGCACCAATAGTCCAGAGAAAATGCATATCTGAAAAATATTGCGTTTTTTGGTCTGTAATAACGAATGGTAAAATAAATTAATGAGAAAAATCTGACTGATAATCAAAGACTGGAAGAGAAAAATGCAATAATGCACAAACATGAACAAAAATAAATCGACAGAATCATCTTGTAAACGATTATCAGTTGATAAAGAAGAGGGAATCGAAATCTATTCTTCGTCGCTGGTTTTGGTAAAAATTCTAAAACGAAAATAAAGTCTTTTCACAAGACACTCTTAGCGAAAGATTTACCTCTGCAGTTCTTCGAATGAATCTGTATAGATTTGTTGAGTGAGATTATTTACAACAGAATCAACCGTATTTGTTGGAGATGTATTGTTATTTAGTATAGAACGAAATGCTGAGGATGAACGATGACGTATCTGATGAAAACAACTTGCTTGTAGTTCCGTATTTTCGTTAGTAACCAATCGAATAGTTTCTATTGATCGCTTTTGGCTTTTTCTTGTATGTTTTTCATCGTCTGTTAGAAGAGATTGAGAATAGATTTCATCACCTGTCAAAGTTAATAGAGCGTCCGTAATAGCATTCTCTACAAGACAATCTGATATGTGCACGACAATATTATCCGTGGAAAACGACATTTCCTCAATTGATTGTTGAATAGTCTTATGAACAAATTGATCAGCATAGGAAGTAATCACTTGAATACGTTCAATAGGAATAGACGATGGTGAACGATCAAACAAGAGACAAGATGTATCATCTTCATAGGTTGAAGAACTATCATCTGTTATATTTTGGTAATCGATCTGAAAAGAGAAAGACAGGTTTAGCAGAGAATAATATCCAGAAATTACCTGTAGGAAAGCAGCACGAATTGAATGTTCGATTAGTTCATTGGCAAAATTTTGAATATTTAGTAGGTGGTGGTGTCGTTGTTTGTCAACTCTAGTTGACCATGGTGTATTCAAACTGAATGAATATTGAATATCAAAAGACGGTTGGCGATTGACGTTATGAGAAGATCGGCATCGTCCATGAGTTGATCTTTTCGATGTAGATAGATGTGATTCATAATGAACAAGATCATTTTTTGTAGCTGGTAATGAACAACGTGGTATCGTATGGTGAAAAGGTAGATTTTTTTCGCGACGATTATTTCGACTTGACGATCGACATCGAACAATGATTTCTGGTTGAAGTGAACGATTCGGAGTGGAAATTGATGAATTGCGACATGGTAAAGAGGGTAATGATGAAGATGATGCTGTTGGAGTAAGTGAAATACATGGCGAAGAGAGAATTCGTGTTAAACAATGTAAGGCACTAGAGATTACTTCATCCACTTGGTTCGTTGCTAAATTTAACAGCTCTTCAGAATAAATATTATCAAGTGAATTCTCACTAGTCGACAGTTCATCCATCTGAAAAACAAGAGAAAACAAATATATAATGGCTTGTCTATCTTGACGAAGATTTCAAAACGGAGGGAGACGTGACTAAGCATCGATGTTCAATGAAGCTGCTGCATATAGATTATTGATAATATCTAAAACTATCGGTTGTTTTTGAAAGAGAACAGCGATTGCGTCATTCAGATTATGTTTTGTTTCGTAGTGCTCAACGAATGCATAGAAAAATGAGCCATTGAGAAACACATGTGCAGGTATTTGACATCGAAATGGTCGATTGAAGAAGTCATTCGCTTTCAATGTATAAATATAAATCGTTTGCAAACAATTAAATTCATGGATGATGCTGCAATCAAAACTCTTCGAATGAAAAACTTTGCTTCTCATGGTTTTAAATTTCGATAGGATTGCTCGGCGAGTATCTTCTTCCATTCGTATCGAATTGTGTTTATCATCGAGAGGTAATGACAACGGATCGATATTTTCCAAGAGATCGGTTTTCTTCTCTTGTAAATAAATCGACTTGACGAATGAAATGATTATCCCATAAAGATATACAGGTGTTAATTGACGAATGGAATACCAATAATGAATACTTAGTAACCAGAGGTGATAATCCGAATGAATTTGGGAATATCGTTCTCGTGATGAAAAGGGAATTTTCAAACATTTATAAACGAGATTTTCGCGTTCGAGATTCGACAAAGAGCTCAGTTGATTAAGATTGACGGTTTCATTATAGTCATCGAGTGAATATGTGCATGCTTTCAATTGTCTTAACACTCGGTGATAAATGACAACAGACTGATTATCCTGTTCGTCATCCCATTTGAGTAAAATTGTCAGACAAGGCAAAATGATTGGAATAGCATCGACATGAATTGATGATTCTCGTTCTAACTCAACCAGTGCAGAGCAAATCAAACGACGATGGATCAGGACTTCAATAAACGATTCGGAAAGACGAAGATCGGTTAAAGCATCGAATATATAATTTGGAATTGAATGATTACATTTACTTTTAATTTCGCATGAAACTTTGTCAATTTCATTGCGAATTTGTTCATCGTTCTAAAAGGAAAACCTTATTTGATCGAACGAACAGTTTATCTGTATGCATTACCAAATCAAATGCGTGCAAATATTCTTGAGCTAATCGAACAAAATATGGATTTTTCAGTAGATTTTCATTGGTCGACGAAGCGAATCGATAAATTAATGTATCACTTGGATTTAAATAAGATTGTAATGCAGATCGAAGTTTCTTTTCGACCTTCGTTCTTTCTGAAACACCCTGAATAGGTTCCAATGATTTTTCTAAAGCTAATTCGACATTGTCAAACTGTTTCATCCATTGCATAGCATACCAATGTGTCGTCCGGAGTGTTTTCTTCGATTTTTTCTCGATTGCTTTAGTCACCGTTTCCATAATATGATTGAAAATTGTTTGTACTACCTGTGGAGCTATATAATCATTTCCACACAGACAGCAGGCAAGTGAAAGCGTGGAATGGTTCAAACCTGGAAATTCGTCAAGCAGATAATCGATTGTAAACAGTCGAGCAGGTAAATAATGGTACGAATCTTTCTCGATTGGATTTACATCCACATAATCAAACGGAACATAACCTCGATGAAGATTATAACAATAATAATCACTGTCACGTGCGATTAAATAACAATCTAAATGATTTGCTAGTGAAACACATTCGTCATCCCCTTCACCGAGAGCTGATATATATGGAATATTCATTTCATCGAGTATATTGATGAATGTTTGTCGTAGCAGCAGTGGACTTAGATCGATATTCACACTTAGTTTTGTTGAATAATCAATGCGTTTCTTTGACCTTTCGAGAGTGGTGGCCAATTTTCGATCATCAAGTCTTGCACCATCGAAAACAACGATCACACTGAGGACAGAGATAGAAATCATCGAACATATGAAAAGATCTAAAACGAAACATACTTGATTTGACAAAGACGAAACGATTCGAATAGCTGTTTGCAGTAAACATAGAATTTGTCATATTCACCACCGAATAAGCAAGTCAAATTGCATTCTTTGTACATTTGATGATAAATCGAATTGCCATCGAACAAAACGTTACAATTGTACAATTCAATTTCACGTAGTAAACCTAGTTTTTGTTCGATGAAGGTTTGAAACCCTCGAATGCCCATCTTCAGATAAAAACAAAGATAAATTTAAAGACAAAGATATTTGTATATATATTAAATACGTAAATAGTGTTCATGAATCTTTCGTGTATCAAAATGATGAGAGCAACAAAAACAAAGAAGAAGCATATGTACAAAAAAAAAAGACTTGTTCGAATGCACATTATCAATTGTAAGTAACCAAACAATGTACATTGTAATGTATTGCACGATATGAAAAAGAGATTTGTTACGAAACGAAGAAGAAAAACATAGGTTATTGGTTTGTCAGGCGTTACTCAAGATACATTCGAGAAAAAAAGTTAGTAAGTATGTTGAATTCGGACTGAAAGCACACATTCGCACGCACGCAAAATAAAAGAAAGAAAGAAAACAAAGCTTGGCAGCAATCTGACGAATACATGTGTCTTTATTCAATGATTTAACAGTGCACAAGGTGAATTTCTACCAAGCATCAGTGTAGCGAATGTCGCACTCTTGTAAAGCAGGTAATTTTTCCTAGAAAGTACAAAGCAATCGGTTAGAGCTTCTTTTTACCCATCGCATTAAGTTTTTTTTACTTTCAAAGCTTCAAATGTCAATGGTGATAAATGGGTTGAATTCAGATTCAATTTTCTGAGCATTTTCATACCTAAAAGAGCGCAGAACATGGCTTGATTTCGGAAGGCAACTCAGCGATCATCTTACATGCAAGATAAGCAAGGCCTTTATCAGTCACGGGTGTTTCACATAGATTCAATACTTGCAGTCGTGTTAAATGTTCAGATATCAGTTCTAAGCCTGCATCGCCAAATTGTGTTGACCAAAGATTTAAATATCTCAAACCGGGCAACTTAATTAAATGTTCGGCGCACGCACTTGTAACATTCGTGAATGCTAAACTTAGACATTCGAGATTACCAAATGAGCCACTTGATAATAATTTAGCTAAGTCATTATCTGTTGAACGTGATGGTAATGTTAACTTCTTGGGCCCGCCTTTTTGTTGTAATTCTCGTAAGGCTATCAATCTCTCGCATACTTTGGCATACATTTTCAAACCGGTGGGTGTTGATTGTAATGTTGATATTAGTTGCAGTTTGTTATCACGGTTTTCCACAGCATCTAAGTCAAGCATTGCACATAGAGTCTAAAGAGAATGCCGTTCGAAATCATACGAATTGTTTTAGCAAAGTTTACCTCTAACGAGCTTTGATTTTCACGTAATGCAAGCAACATCAAAGCTGGTAATAGTTTGTTAATACTTAATAGAAAGCGTTTCTTTCGGCAACAGCATGAGATTAACTTGCTGAGCTACAACGAAAATACACAAGACATATTAGTTGAAAACGGAACTATCTTCCGCGTTTACCATCAATGAAAACATTTCACCGTCGTCATCACATGCAATACCACCCAAACAGAACATTTCAAACCAGCCTTCTTTGCCTTCGCGGATACCCAAGACTGTCTGATGGACTTCACATCGACTATCTTCCACGACGTGCTTGACGACATTCTTGAATATTCTAAACGAAAAACGTTCAGCAAAGAGAGATTTCTTTTCGCGGTTTATTACTCGATGAAACGATCGTGTGCCAGAGCTTCATCAGGAAATGGAATCGATTGAAGAAGCAGACCGAGATGTGGTCGCCAGTCGTCAAATGAAGACCTAAAAAGCAGGACAAATACTAATTCAAGTGAACTAATGGAGAAAAGTAGCGCATTCTCTCTCATGGTAGCAACTACTTCTTCATGCCGATGTATATTGACCGACAAACGCATTGAGTACATTGCCGTTTTTAACCCCTTCGACTGTCGACAATGTCGTATTCAAAGTATAGGAAAAGCAAAATAGTTGATTGGATGTTACATTCGTAAAAATGGCCAATACAATTTCGTTTTTATGATTAACTAATTGGATGCAAATTTCGTAGAGCATACTATACTAATGCATTTAGTAATTTGATAAAAAAGTATATTTCTAGTTAGATACTATGTTGAGATCAGAAATTATCATCTGAATTTACCTCGTTAAATATTTTTTATGCGTTTCTTTCACAATCAGTCACCTCTGTCATTGTAATTATCATATTTGTTAATAACTGAACTTCCTTCCATCCAATCAACTGTTTATTCTCTATTCCGAAGAAGCTGTCATACCGGCTTCGTGCACAGTCAAATATATCCTCGTAGCTATTCATCAGAGATTACATCATGTTGTAATCATTTGCTTTTCTATTCATAACCTGTCAACATATTGTGACACTTCACGCCGTGCAGCGTTCAACCAGAAGTCAGTGATAATTAATATATTTTTGCAATATATACTTACATTGTCTGCAACATCTTTGTATAACAGACTAATTGCGTTTCTGTTTCCTCTTCATACGCTCGGCAGCTGTCTTTATCATCAAAACGAAAACTGAAAAACAGAAGGACAGATGAACTTTGAGAGGAAAGAAGACATCTTCCTACTACTTTTTACGATCTTCGAAGAAATTGTAAATTGCGGCCAGGCAAACTGAGACAAAGTTTGAGAGAACACGTGGGAACGGACAAACCATTGTTGGGCCGTGAATGCTAAAATAGCACATACCCAATGATCCTCGAAAATAACTCTTTTCTGCTTACCGTCGAATAAAATCTTGCACAACACGCAATCCATCATTTTGAGAATTAAGTGCGAGAAGATAATCTTGGACAAAGATTCTCATTCGTGGATATTTACCAAAATCCTTGGATTTAATTAAAAGTTTCATCTTTGAAACCCTACTTCCAAACAAAACCTTACCGTATTATGTTTCAGTATTCTTTGCACGACAGGTGTGAACATTTCAATGACAATCTGAGAACGTGGGCTATCACGGCAGTGCTAGCATAGAGACAGGAAGAATTATTCATGGAACAAAATAACATGACATGATTGTCATACTCGACTGAAAAAGTCACAAATTTCCGGCGATGGATAGTTCTTTTCCAATAAAGGTGCCAATGCCACAATCACATTCTCATGGACAAAACGTGGTAAATTATATTGTTGCTGAAAGAAGCAAGACGAGTGGTGAAACGAAATGAAACGCTACTGTCTACTTGTTGTAGAATTTCAGAGATGATTTCCGTGGGAAAATGATGAACTTCAACATCTTCGATGGGTGTTGAGAGAGCAAAATCGATCATATTCTAAATAGATAGGTTTATTCGAATTGGACAGAGAATCGAAAAGTTCAAATTACGGTCATTTCTTTCAGAAGTACTTCCGGACGATTTGCCGAGCGTAAAATGCGCTCAAATTTCGATTTGTTTCGCTGAAAAACAAACAACAAACGTAAAACAAAAGTGAGTACAACACATTTGTGTCAATGACGCACCTTCCATTGAATTGAATAAAACCACTGATCTCTCAAATAGAGTGTATTGACCTAAAATAGTAGTGAAACATAAGAAACAGACAGAAAACGACTAGTATCATCACTTGAAAGAAATAAATACACTCATTGGTGACTATTCTCAAACAGAATCGGCCTTCCGAATCGATCACTTTAGCTTTCGACCAAATCGAGACATCTTCAGTTGATGAATATAGTATCGGCTTATCCATATAGCCTTCATTCTACATAGACAAATATCGTCTTTCGTTTCTCAATAGAAAAAGTCGGTTCAACGAACGTTATCTGATATGATTCCATTTTGTCCAAGTTGAATATGATGATCTTCCCAGCGACGAAGAAAACGCGAGAATCGTATTTTTTCAATGATATTTTTTGCGTGTGGAACGCGGCACACTTGAACAACACCATCGGTTAATAGTTTATAATGTTGCTGAACTCGACGACCGTTGATAAGCATACATAGTGCACTTGGTGTTGTTGCACTCGTTGCTGCAGCAGCAGCATAACTTGTTGCTGGTGTTCCCAAACTGATCGAATCATTTTGACTCACGGAATAATAATGACCACGCGTGTCTTCAATCGATAAGGATAGAGAACTGATAGCATTACTTTTGGCTGCTAATCTTAAACGATTTTCCATTTACGATGAAATCTAATTGAACATATTGGATCTAACGATTCATTGTATCTAATCTTATTACCTGCTAGAACGACTGTGATGAACTAAAACGAGCGATGCAGCTTGCACACTAATAGAATCTAAATAAAAGTCATCTAGAAAAGAAAAATACAGAGATTGAACTAACAGCAAGTCAATAACATCTGCTAGCATGAATAGAGCACGCAAACGTGCCATAATCAAAAGCTAACTGATGTTGTTAGTCAATAGAAAACAAATGACTTTGAGAAATTTTATTAAAATATTCTCTCTGGCAGCGATTCAGCGCAGAAAGAGAAACGAGCATGGTCAATATACAGCTGTCACACGCAGATAAATTAAAGTTGACAGTTCTTGATGATGATCATCATCTCTGGTTCACTTAGATTCATTAATGATTCGAGAAAGTCGAAGAAACCTAGCTAGGATTAGATAAACGAAGAAGTGGTGAAGAAAAAGAAGAAAAACGATGTCATCAATAGCGACATAGTCAGCTCATTGAAATATAGATGCAGCAAAGACATAGTTCAGAAGAAGAAAAAAAGAAAAAGAGATAGAGAACTATGTAGACGACATAAAGGAAGGAAAAGAAGAAGAAAAAGAAGAGTCGCCGAGAACAACGTCGACCATGGAATAAAAATCCCGATTTATGTGCTTCGACATACATTATTTGATGTAATACAACGATAGAAAAAAGAAAACGAAGAAAACTGTCGTTTGTAACCAAACAATAGAAAAAAGAACAAGAGAGAGAGAGAGAGAAAAGGCTCAGCGAACTACTTGTTTTCTACTCTTAACATCATTGCAATTCCTTTCTAATTATTGAACTTTTTCATAAGCACTTTACTTATTTCCTTGTAAACAGCACAAACGGTACTTTCTCGTTCTGTTTCGAGTATATTTACTTATCATTAATAAATACCCATTTCACGTTTGTGCCTTGTATTCAAACAATTACTTATCTTTTATTAGATTTATCTAGACAACAAAAAAGTTGTTTTATGAATTATCAAAAGTTTCTTTCATATGCATATTTTTCATGAAGAAATCAAATCGACAAAAAGAACACGACATATTCATGTATTTTAATTCGTCTCTCCATCTGCTTTGCCATGGCATACAGATCTATTCTTTTCATTATTGCTTAGCTACATCAATCTAATATGAAAATCTATCTGAAATAAACAAAACAAGAGATTCATTCGAATAGAAGAATCCTTTTCATGTTACATACACGAAGCTTCCTTCTAAAAACGTGTATGCACACACTGATGGAGATAAACATCAGAAATAAAATTTAATATTTCACCGGATGCTCACACATACACATATATTTAAAGTAAATAATTAGCAGGGAGAGAGAAAAGCAAAAAACAAAAAGTTGAAATGTAGTTATTCTCGTATATTATGTCGTAAATATATGCTCTGCATCCGTTGGCAAGATCCAATAAAAAGTTCACATCTGACCGCTAAAGATGAATTGAGAAAATTGTGCACTAGTGAAAATAATCTGTTTCACTTCTGTCCATCTGGATCGACATTACTGGTTTTAGCATACACATGTCTTTCTAAAAGCGAAGAAGACAAAGAAGTTTTTCAATGATTTACATATCGAATGTCTTCACTCACCTTTTTTTCTGCAAAGCATATAAATTATAAATATAACTAATGGAATTATTAATAACAATCCACTTAGACTGAATATAATTATAACAATAATCTTCGATTCATCATTGGACGGTGTTGAATTCGTCGAAGGAATTATAAATGATAATTTCGACGAAGAGCCTAATGAATAAAAAGAGAATCTTGTCCTCAAATTTTCTCTCCAATTCTTCTCCTACTAGTTTCTGTGGACGATGATACGGAAATGAGACCAGCAAGACAGTCAGCATCACAGCTTAGTTTTTCGATCGAATCAGGAATAGTCAAATCGTTCGAATCCGATTGTTTATAGAACTCATTTTCATCACATGTGTCATATGTTCGACACGTCTATGTATAAACAGGAAGAACGTTTTAGTATGATGATAATGAAATGCTTACTCCATGACATCGGCGAATAATAAATTCGACGCGACTCAACACAGAATCGTCAACAAAAAATACAATTGTGTGCGTGTTATTTTCAAGGATTTTGACAGAAGGATGAATACATCTATACGAATTCAGTAAGAAAGAATTGCATTTCCAAGGAATGATTTCTATTCGACATACTTTGGCAAGAACCAGTAGTTGATTGAATAGTGAATTTCTTCATGAAGTCGTCTAGCCCAAAGGATTTCAAATGATTCATCAGGATCTGCACAAGTCGAGAAATGTGTCACAAAGGATTTTATTCGTTTTCTCTTACTTAATCTAGTGGATGTGATATTGATTGTATAGAGAACAGTTTCAAGATGATTTGTTTGAGTAACCAATATCGAGGGTGCAATAGGTTTGTACTAACGTAATCAGAACTTCGTTTTATCTCATAAAAAATTCTTTAAACTTACATTTATTCGACAGTAAATACACGATGTTTCGCGATGATCCGATGAGATCTGGAAAATGCTCGAAACGATGTTTTTCTCGTTGAAATTTTGTCGATTGACTTACTAACGGAACTCTGAGATAGTGTTGCTCAAAACGCTCGACTCCACACTGATTAACTTGTGCTTGTTGTGTGCCACTTTGATTACAGATAGCTGTTTGATTAGCAAATTTCCACTTCAATACATCATTCTAGACGACAGAAGCAATTTAGTTGATACATCGATGAAAGTTGCCTTGATTACGAACATTAATTTCATTGAAGACAAGAAAAGTACTGTTACATTGGATATCAATATCTGAACCAAACGATAATGTTTCAATAAATGGACAGTAGGTTTTGTCAGCATTTGACAAAAGTATATTTTCTCCTAAAGAAAACACGACGAGAATAGTGAATTCTTCGGCGAAAAAGAACAATCATTCCTACCTTGACATTCGCCCATAAAAACACTAAGAAAAATTAATATTCCTTGAAAGAAAAGAGTTTCCAATAAAGAATAACAGGTATACATCGAGAATCGACATCGACAGATGACTATTGTCTGAAATGCAATAAAAAGAAATATTTACAATTTTTTTTTCTTCTTCTTGCCGGCGGAGTTATATAATCAATCGAAGAAGAGATAGAACAATAGAAAACGATCTCATTGTAACTATTCATGGTCAATCGTTCTGGCTAATTTTCGCCGTTGAATGATGTATGAGATAGTTACATATTCCTCGGTTAGTTACACAACTATTACATGAAAACAAAACGGCGTTTAATTTAAAAAAAAACGCAACTGACAGAGAATTTATCATTTTATAACAACTGTCGTGTTGAAAAAGAAAGTTTTTTTTTTTTTAAAAATCTATTAGTGACTCTCATTCAAATATGAGAATATTGTTATGAGTTATTTAAAGAAAAGTATGAAAGCTAGGGGCTTTTTCCCTCAATGATTTGTCGGGAAATATTTCTACGTTGGTCAAATGCCACAAACATACTGTTGCTTTTGTCAGAAGTCACTCTAGTTCTGTGTATGCTGCTTCTTTGTATTTATACATTCTTTTCTTCCTTTTTTCCATTCTGAAAACTGTCATTGACGATCGTATTTATTCAACGCCGATAAGAAAAAATGTTACAAAAAGAGAAACAAGTTTGTGAAGCAAAATTCTCTATGTTATTACAAATACATACTTACAAGTAATTATTTATGTACGGTAATCACACTATGAGATGATAAGAAGAGAATGAATCATTATGTAAGAAGAAAAACGAGCAAAATAAAATCTGAAATGCGAATTATGTAGGACAATTTAGCGATTGTTCTGATTAGAGTAATTAATTCGAAATGGAGTGTAACAAATTTCAGCTAGTCAATCTTCATATATTTATATATGATGTAAAAGTCATGAATGAATAATAGATCATTCCGAAAATCATGTGACAAGCAAAAATTGAACAAAACACAGTTTGTTTTGTTAGTAAATATTAACATTCTAGTTGCTTTTATCGGAAATTCATGAAATGGAATTTGCTTTTTTCCTTCTTCTTCTTCTTCTCTTCTCCTATAAAACATTTCATCGACATATTTATGTAGATAACTCAAAAGTCACACATAATCGTTTGGATGAAACTAACGTACTGTTCTGACTAATTAATTTCTTTACACTGAGTCCATGTGTTACAATGTTCTTTCATGGCAATGTCTGTACTCTTTTAAATTTTAGAAACGATTAAAAATAGAAAGTCTCTTTTGGCTGAAAATTTATTTAAATTGATGTATGTCGAAGTGACATTTAATTCGACCGAAAAGATCTATGAGAAATCCTTCGTTGAATCACTTCTAAAAATACTCTGCACAGAACCCTATACCATCGTTCTATATACAAAGAAAACGATGGTTCAAACTGTCTGTGCCTCTCAACTGATTTCGTGACGACAGAAAAATTTCGATAGAAGAAACTAATGAATTAAAAGAAAATGTCGAAAGTTTTATTCGTAGATGTACATTCCATTCCTATTGCATGTTCCATCATTACAATATCTGATGATCCAGATTTTACTTTTTCTCCTTCGCATTAGAAAAATGTTGTGGTAAATATTTTCACATAAAAAGCAATATTTGTTTAATTTAATGATAATTTCCAAGATAAATCTATTTAAAAAAGTCACTTATTCATAAAGCGACATCTGTGGTGAGATTTTTTATTTCTTTCGGTTCGAAGAAATTGTTAGTGGTGAAGAACGCAAAGATTATTTGTGTATTTTTCGTCTAGAGAAAATCTTACTTTAGATTCATCATCTGTTTTCAATCCATCCATCCATCCATTCATTCAAAGAATGTCAGCATTAACTCGTCTTACAATGTCATCACCATCGGCTCTATGCCGTCTTGGTCAACTGTTGGCTAGCCGACAAGTTATCTTTCAACAACAATTACCAATCTTGAGTATGGCCAGTTCAATGATGGTGCCAGCACAACGCACAATTGCCACATCAGCTGTACGTCGTGACATCGACTCAGCTGCTAAATACATCGGAGCCGGTGCAGCAACTGTTGGTGTAGCCGGTGCTGGTGCAGGTATGACTCTGAAGATGTTGTGAGCCGAAATTTCTTATTGTTAATTTTCATTTAGGTATTGGAACAGTGTTTGGTTCATTAGTCGTTGCTTATGCACGTAATCCAAGTTTAAAACAACAACTTTTCTCTTATGCCATTCTTGGTTTTGCTCTTTCTGAAGCCATGGGTCTTTTTTGCCTGATGATGGCTTTCATGTATGTTTCACTTTTGACTGATATTCAATTCGAATTTCATTTCATTTCATTTTAGGCTTCTATTTGCTTTCTAAAACCAATGAATAAGAACAAAACCACGCGAATCATCAAAAACAATGCGCATTGAATGTTTTCTTTTTTTCATATGTGTATTGCGTATTTGGTTCTTGTCTCTAGCGTAATTTGTCTCATTCGCGTGTGACTTCTTTAGTGTCTAGTTCTATTTTTCTCTTTTTTTCCTCTCCGAACTCTAGCACTCCGGTTTGTCTGTCTGAAATTTCAACATCAACAGCATTTTTTTGTAGACAGAGTTTTTTTCTTTGCATTGAAAACAAATTGACAGACTTATACATTCTCTTCATTCATTTGATTGCCAATCTCACCAAGCAATTAATGTCTTTCTTTAAGATATGGAAACATTTGCTTAATTCAGTTTGAGTAGTGAGTGGGAAGATTTTAGAATCACTGTTCTTTTCTCTAATCTCGACTTCTTTGTTTCTTTAAGAAAGGTAAGTTCAATGTTTACCGTTTCGAAACAATTCACTGGTTTACGTTCGATACCGTTCCGTTCGATTACGAGTGACATTCTTCGAATTGGTTCCGTAACTCGTCCTGTACGACCTACGAACGATCAATCGTTGATTCCAGTACTTTACTATGAAAAAGCTCTTTTCCCACCGTCATTCGTTCGTCATTTGGAATGGTTAATGAAAAAAGACAATCTCGGACAGGATGCTTTACTAGTTGGTCCGCCGGGTCCAGCTCGTCGACGTCTAATTCTCGCTTACCTCGAACTAACTCGTAAACCGTATCAATATATACAACTAACTCGAGACACGACCGACTCCGATATAAAGCAACGGCGAGAAATTCAAAATAAGACAGCTTTGTTCATTAATCAAGCAGCTGTGACTGCTGCGATACATGGTCATACGCTTGTTCTTGATGGTTTGGAAAAGACGGAACGGAATGTTCTACCAATTCTTAACAATCTTCTAGAAAATCGAGAAATGAATTTAGATAACGGCCAATTTCTTGTTTCCACTCAACGTTATGATGAACTATTAAAATTTTATACCAATGAACAATTAGAGAAATTGAATTTTATACGTGTACACGAAGATTTTCGAGTCATTGCGTTAACCCTACCACCCTTAGCAGAATATAAAGGAAATAGTCTTGATCCACCGTTGAGATCACGGTTTCAGGTAAGATCTTTTCTTACTATAGATCTATTTCCTAACGAAAGCTTCTCGTCAATAGTTGCGGGATATTGGTAATGAACCATTAACATTTTCTGAACATGCCTCGCTTTTGAATTCGCTTCATCCTAACGTTGGAAAAGAATTTATTGAACAATTGTTGTCTTTTGCGTCTTTAGTCAATTCAACTGATTTAGAAGCATTGAAATTGATTCATTTTCCGTACGATCGTCTTGATCTTGCCGTCCGTTTAGCAGAATCAATACCAAATATTTCTCTAGCTGATTGTCTTCACCGTATTTATCCATACGACATCTTGTATAGGAATTCCAAGGAATCCAAACAAGCGGTTGAGCATATGTTTAAAAAATTAGCTCTGAAACGATCAAATGAGAACGCGTCGAAGAAAATCCATCATATCAATCAGCGGGAAACACAAACAATTGTTGAATATGAACTGAATGGAAAACGAAATCAAATTACCGTACCTGCACACGATCCCTCATCATCGATAATTCCGCCAACATTCATCAAAACGCCTTATCATGATCAACTGCTGTTCGATTTGATATTAAGCCATTCGAGCGGAGATATTTGTCTTGTTGGTCCGAAAGGCTGTGGAAAGAGTTTGATGGTCGATCATTTCGCGTCTGTACTCAATTATCCAGTCGAATATTTTGTCTTGTATAAAGATTTATCAGCACGAGAGTTGCTTCAACAACGAATTACAAATGAGCATGGCGATACGCTATGGCAAAATACGCCACTAGTCGAAGCTGCTATTCACGGTCGATTACTTGTACTTGATGGTATACATCGTTTGAATAGTGATACGTTAGTTTCGTTGCAACGACTTCTTCAAGATCGAGAGCTCTTTCTACCTGATGGCACTCGACTTCTTCGGTAAATCGAGTTGATCGTCTCTCAATGTAACTTATTTTATTCTATTTTTAGTCATGATCGGTACGATCGTTTAGAAAATCCATCAAAAAATCTTCGTCGAATCCATCCATCTTTCCGTATAGTTGCACTTGCCGAACCACCAACAACGACGAGTACTGGATCCAGTGAGAGTTCGCCATCAAAGTCTTCAAGTGAACAAAACTGGTTGAATGCTGAAACATTGAATTTGTTTCTCTATCATGAAATGCGCTCATTAGACTTGTCCGAAGAACGTGAAATTGTTTATTCCTTACTATCATCTTCAAGTCGATCGATACCAGCGATTGAACATCTTCTTCAATTCGTTCATGACTTACGAAATTCCTCGGAAACCCAATTGAAAACGGTTGCCCGATCATTGTCCACCCGAAATGTGCTACGTATTGCTAAACATTTAAAAGACCAAACTACGAACTACCAAGTTCCATTGCGTGAACAATTAATTCGGCAAACATCTGCACCATTTCTTCCACGACTTGTTCAGGATGCTTTCTTCGAAGCTTTAGCGAAATCCGGTCTCGAAGACAATCAACAACAGATGGTTTCATCAGAAATTAATTGGAAACAATCGATGAAAACCGATCAGCAGTTGAAAACATCGTTTGAATATGCTGCTAAAATTCCATTTACCGTTTTTTACGAAAATCCAATTCATAGTGAAATTATTCAACAAATGCATAAATCGTTCTTACTCGGTGAACATTTACTTCTAATTGGACCTCAAGGGTTAGTTTGCAGATGTTGATTTCATCGTTCTGAACCATCTTTCTAGAGTTGCAAAGAATCGAATCGTCGATCATTATCTTCAAACGCTGAAATTACCTCGTGAATATATTCAACTACATCGTAAGAAACAAAGTAAAAGAAATAAATTTGTTCAATTGAGTTATTTCAGGTGATACAACTGTCCAGAGTTTGACTATTCAAGCGAATATCGTCGATGGACGAGTCATTTATGAAGACAGTCCATTAATCAAAGCGATTAAGGAAGGTTCGGTTGCAGTGATCGATGAAGCTGACAAAGCTCCAACAAATGTCACTGGTATTCTGAAATCGCTTATCGAAAGTGGTTCCATGTTTCTTAGTGATGGTCGTCGTGTTTATCCGAAAGAGTTAGGACATATTTCAACTATTCCGTCCAATCTAATCATTCGTACCCATCCAAATTTTCGTATGATTGTTCTGGCAAATCGACCCGGTTTTCCATTTCTTGGCAATGAGTATGAAGAAAGCTTTCACTAATCTAATCCTTCTCTTCCTTGCTCTATTTCTAGTTTCTTCTTGAGTTTAGGCGATCATTTTTCAACATTTCCTATCCTCAATCCTCCTCGTGAAAGTGAAATCATCCTTCTTCAAAATTTTGCACCCAAACTCGAACGGCAAAAAATCGAACAACTAGTTGATGTGTTCACTGAATTACGTCAGCTGTCCATCGATGGAATCATCTCATATCCATACAGTTTACGTGAACTTGTTTCGATAGTTAAACACTTGAACATGTTTCCAAATGAATCACTAGCCGATGTCGTTCGAAATGTATTTGATTTAGATAATTATAATACGGATGTGATGGACAGAATTCGAGGTATTCTTCATCGACAAGGAATTCCGTTTCATGTCCAAAAACGAACTGTTAATTTAACAACAAGTCATCCGTTGAAAGTCGTACTGAATCGAGAAACATGGTCGATGAAAGTGTTTGATGAACAAGACATCGAACAATTGTCATCGTTGCCGATTGTTTTCAGTGACAAGCCAACGAAACAGTCGGTGAAGATGATCAACTCAATTAATCGGAGTGATTCGAGAACGCAGAATTTCTCTGAAATAACGTATAAATATCGGCTACCAATAGACGAAACAACATACGTGCATGATTTGAACGCACTAAAGTCAAATAACAATATTCTGGTATTAACTGGAAATCCACTTACACTATGGTCATTCAAGTTAGGAGAAAATCAAGCCAAGAAAATCGATTTAAATTCAGTTTTTGTCAACAGTACAAACCGATTTTCCACACCAAACTATCAAGTAAGTATCCTTCGACTCAGAATCATCTTATCTGATCTATCTTTGATTTTTAGCTTTGTGTCATTCCTGGAAACGAGACACAAGTTGTTGTCGGCGATTTGACCAGTCAAGCCTGGACATTAGTCAATTTAGATGATGGACAATGTTCATTGATTCAGTCATCCATTGTTCCATCGTCGCCTCTAACCCAAACCATCTCACGTAAATTTAATGAAATGCTCTCTCAACGATCAACGCCAATATCCCGATCGACATACAATCCAACTAACGGACAGCTTCTTCAGTACATTTTCAATCAAAACTGCATACATATAATCGATTTTATTAAGAAAACATCTCGACAAATCAAACTTCCCATCTCTGTTCGTCAAGTCATTCCATTTGGTGATCAATGGATACTTACCGATCACACTCAACAGTCGTCGTCTTCATATCTTTTCAATAGCATGAATGAACAAAAGCCAAGTTTGTCAATGATTGAACACCATGTTGATACGATTGGTTTAGCCAGTAGTGGCGGACATATCAGTGAGAATTCATTATGGTTTTCAAGTCTATACGATTATCTGGCGAAGATTGCCACAAATGATACGAATCAGCTTACGATCGAACGATTTAAACGATCGAAACCTATATCAACAGCCGACGCACCACCACAAGAAGTTAACGAGAAAAGACGACTACAAACATTTATGAATAAACAACATTCGTTAATCGCTTCATTCTTTGGAAAAAATGATATCGATAAAAAATTTGTGTATGTTACTGAATCTTCATATTTTGAATATCCTCATAGTTTTGATTGGTTTTTAGCAGTAAAGATGATATTCCTGACTCGATTATCCTAAGCTACATTGAATTGCTCGATTTAAATCGCCACCTAATTACGTATATTCCCATTCTTCGTTCCCAAGACCCAAATGCTCGTACAACAATCTCTCAGCATGAATGGCATATGCAAACTAAATCAAGTGCAGGCGTTCTTGCTACTCAATGTGATGATGGATCACTGATAACAATCGATAGTCGTGCAAATATTCATCATTGGGAAATAGTACCGACACATTTACAAATATCATTGGATAATTGGAGTAAACAAAATCGTCGGTCGGGTGAGCATAGTCTTGATGTTGAATATATGAAAGGTGGTAAAACGGATCTAAGTGAGCCAAAACACGGTAAAGTTGATCCTAAAAATGAACCACACGTCGGTGGAAATCAATGGGCTGGTGGAACTGGTGGACGAGATACTGCAGGTATATCTTAGATAATAATAATGATAATAAAAATAAACGATTTTGCTTTGAATTAGGACTTGGTGGTATCGGTGGGCCATATCGATTAGACGCGGGTCATCAAGTGTATCAAGTACCAGATGATGTTAAAGCAGCTGTGCCAGAGCATATCAGAAGGACAGCAAAAGAATTAGGTCAGAAGGTGTTTAAAGAGCGCTTGAAAGGGATTGAAATGTCAGAATACGAACATGAAACTTATGAGAAGTATTTGAACAAAATCTCGAGTGAAATTAAAATGCTGCGCTCAATCATCGAATCCTTAGAAGCAAAGTCACACGATCGACAATGGGTGGTAAGATAATTTCCTTTCGGAAAGACTAAAATTCACGAATTTTGTCTAGCGTCATCGCACTACCGGTGATTGGGATGAGAGAAAATTAATCGAAGGCATTATTGGAGAAAAGTCCATCTATAAATATCGTGCTGATGTTCCACCTGAACCTGGCAGTCCACAAACAAAAGCTAAACGTCTTCGTTTAGTCGTCGATCTCTCTGCCTCCATGTATCGTTTCAATGGTGTTGATAATCGTTTAGAACGACAATGTGAATGTGTTTTGATGTTTCTTGAATCCTTAGCTGGTTTTGAACATAAATTTGTCTATGATATTATCGGACATTCTGGCGATGAATATGCGATCGAACTTGTCCGCAAAAACCAAGCACCGAAAAACAATAAAGAGCGTTTGAAACTGCTTAAACTTATGTATACACATACAATGTTTTGTAGTTCGGGCGATAATACTTTTCCTGCATTGAAGAAGGCCATTGAAGATCTACAAGCTGAACCGGATGATACCGTCGATGAACGTTTTGTTATCGTTATATCAGACGCCAATTTTGATCGATACGGTTTATCGCCGAAGATTTTCGGAAAAATGTTACAATCAAACGAGAATGTGCAATGCTTTGCGATGTTTATTGGTTCGCTAGGACCACAAGCACTACATTTACAACAGAATTTACCATCCGGAAAAGGCTTTGTCTGCTTAGAAACCAATCAAATACCCAAAGTATTAAAGACTATTTTCACTTCGGATGTTTTGCATTAATTTAATAAACATGTAGAATCAACTCGAATCTTTTGCATTAATTACTTGATGACATTGAGACGAAGATTAGTCATTTTTATTCAAATTCTACCTTTTGTTTTCAATACAACGCGCAGGATGTATTTGATTAATTCTAGAAAATATGACGCACATTATGTTATGTGATTCATATTACTTTCTATTTGTCAATCTTACTCAGGGATAGTTATTTCTTTTAAACGCAGGGAGGAGAGAACGATGACGTCGTATCAATGCAAGGGAATAATGCGAAAAGACAAGGGAGAACGTCGATACCGTATTTATCTTGGTAGATGTTGTTGATTCAAACGACAAGAGAAAAAGAGAAAACGATAGAATGAAAGAGAAGAGAGAAAAAACACTGGCGTAGGAAGAAAAGACGAGTGTTGGGTTATGTATTCCGTCATTACTTCGAGAAAGAGTGTATAAATAAGGCAGCTTAAGTCTGTATCGTACATTGCTTCAAAGTTATTTTTGATCGCTAACAACAAGACAATATTATGAGTAAGTGTATATCCGATTATATTAATTATAGTTTCAGACGAGTATATGATAAGCTAATGAATAGATTTCGTAGACGTAATTATTGACTTGATATTTAATCTTCAGTGAATGTTTGAAACAAAGGATTTCTTTTCGAAAATGTCAAGATTCTTTCAAAATCCTTATGATTGAGACACTCAGTGCTGCCGAGTAAAATCGTTTTTTTTTAAAACAGAAATCTGACGATTATTCTACTATTTAGACTTTATTACAAAACAAGTTGAAAAGAAAATAGGTGTTGACCTCAATGGCGATGGAGTTATCGGCTCTGGTATGTTTTATCATGATTACTAATGCAATTAATTTTCTTTTATACGAATAAAATAGGTTACAGACATGGACATGGTGGTGGAGGTGGTCTATTAAATCAAATAGAAAGAGCTACTCATATGGATCTCAATGGAGATGGACGAATAGGTGGTGGAGTTCCACATTACAATCAGTATGGCGCTCCTGGTGGTTATCCTCCACAATACAATCAATATGGAGCTCCACCTTGCCAACCAAACTATGGTCCATATGGTGGACCTGGATATGGCCCACAATATAATCAATATGGTGCTGCGCCTTGTCCGCCACCATATAATCAATACGGCGCACCTGGTTATGGACCAGCTCCACATCAAGGCGGTGCCGGTGGTGGCTTAATTAATCAATTGGAGAAAGTGACAGGTATGGATCTCAATGGAGATGGACGCATCGGTGGGCACGGTTATGGCGGACAGTATAATCCGTATGGTCGTCATTATTAAACGAATACTAGCTGTAAAATGAACATCTATCTTTTTTACTCTCGGGTTGTACATCTTATCTCGTCGTTTGCATACTGTTTTAAACTCTTCAAATGATCAATATTGTATATTCGTAATTCTCTATTTAAAATCAGCGGAAAATATATAGAAATTATTTAGCAATCGGAATCAATGTTAGACCGTCTCAAGAAGAAAAAAAAAACATCTCCCTCGAATAAGTTACATATGCAAAATAGTTTTTAAGTACTCAAGTGCTTGAATACGTAATCGTATGGATTAGGTCAGGATAAAAAATTTTAATCTTCACAATGAATTTGATCGCTGTATGTATCTTCACTTGAATTCTACAAGTGCTCACATAAAAGTTCGATCGTTTCGTATTTTATTTTTGCCCATCAATTTTATTGAAAGCTAAGAAACAAAAATAGTTTCAACACTATTGTTTATGATTGAAATACACTTTACAACTGAAAGAATGAAAGAGAAAACCACCATCGAACAAATAAAATTCATCACTGCGTATTTTATGAACAATAGACAATTTGATAGAACAAGGCCGCATCTACCATTATCTTTGTTCAAGCAGTGAATTTTCCAAACAGATAAGGACCATAAAAAGTGGTAGTAAACTTGTACAATATTCAAATTCTTTATGATTATTGAAATCAACGATTTGTTCTCGTCGGATGAGTGTTAATATCATATGAAGAATATTTTTTCCACCAACTTTGTCTTCGAGATAAAGACGTAGTTTGAACATGATTTCTTCAGGTGATGCATTGACTTTTTGCGCTTCATGAACGCAGTGTAGACCATCGAGATAATCATCGGTTGTTAACATTGGCATCGGTGGGGTTGACGATGATGAACAACAAGCAGATGTATGAACACTTTCTGTTGATGAAGAAGGATCATTCATGTTAGGACTTAAAAAACAAGTTGAGTAATTAAGTAGTCTATTTTCGGATTTTTCAAAAGAGAGTTACAGTCGTCAGATAAGCATAGACGACGATCATAGCGACACAAATGACTTCGCCAATAAACAGATAGCAAATGCAGATGACAGTAGAAGACGAACGACTATTGTTGACAGTATTCTCTTTAATCAAATTTTTATACAGAAAGCATGAATTAAATCATCATCGATCGCTTCGCTTCGCTTTGCGACATAATTCAAACGACGATTTTCAAAGAAACTGCCTTCTTCTATTCGACATACAATTCGAAACATTTTCGCCATTCTGTACAGCTAAATAGAGATATCCATTTGACTCAACCTATTGTACTTCGCTATTATGAGTAAACGATCGTCGCGTACATATTCATTCAAGCATAACTCTATAACTGATCTGTCGTGTGTCTTTTTCTTTACAATTCAAAGAGTATACTCGTTGATATAGCATATACTACTTCATATATGTTCTTACATTCTCTTCGTGCATTGTTCATTTTGGCTTTTGCTGCCATTATTTTCGTACCGGCGTTAATTATTGGAGCAATCGGTGCTCGTAATCTACATGTTATTCGAGATGAACAACGAGTTTATACGAGCACCACATGTTTTGTTTCACAAATTTCTGACGAGCAACTTTCCTATGATTGTAATTGTGATGGATGTCATCCATCTACATGCTATGCTGAACATTTTTCTGTACGATATCTGATTTTTAATGCAACATTTGTATCCAGCATGATTCACATCGACGAGATACCAACACGATTGCAGGTGAAGGTAAATACTTTCGTCTTTTTTTCTTTCGTCACTTCTTTTTGACCTTTCTTATTTAAAAGGTGAACAATAGTTACACGTGTTTCTACGATCGAACGAATGTCCAAAAGGTACAATGGTTAAGACCTAATGAACGACCAGCAATAACATTACTCGTCGTTGGTTTTAGTATCGCTGGTGTGATCACTATTGGAGTAGTTATCAGTCAAATATGGTGGTTGATACAACAGAGTCTCGTTTTACCAGTTGCACATGAACGACTTTGATTTCTGCATTTTTGCCTTGTTTTTGTTAAATAAATACATTTCGAGTTGAACTCCGTGTTAACAACGCTATCGATACTTGGTTTTGGCGAAATAGATTTATCCTTGCTTTGAATACAAACTTTTGACATGTATAAAATTAATAATTGCTAATTCGAGCAAGATTTTCTATCAGTCATTAATGATTATTTTAATGTTACAAATGCTATTCTTGAAAAAGACTTGAGTCGATACATGAGTAGTGCTACTCATCTTCTATATCGAATGAATCGGCGCTGGCGCCATCTTTGAGTACTTATGAGTAGTGGCTGGTGGCAGCTAATCGCAATGTTCTTTTACTAACTAACGGTTTTATTCCAGCTTCAAGATCAAATCGATAAACTAAAGCGATGGTATCTCCGCTCATCATTTTCTTGAAGGATCGATAGAGAGATGTGAGTTGAATATAATCATGTTTTTAATATATAGCTATCTATATTTTAGGGCTGATTCTTTGAAAGATATTCGTAAGTATAAGCAGATAAATTTGTAGTTTATCGATTTAATAAATTCATTCATTTGAAAGAAGGTCAATTTCGAAGCAATGTTCAAACACAGGAGAACTTCTCTAGTCTTCCTGTTGTTTACGTGAAGAGCCATATTACCGAACAACGTAAGACAACTATGGGTCCTAATAGATATATATATATATATATTGTGTTCGTATTTTAGGTATTATATGGCCACAACAGCCCGGTGCTCAAACGGTTGCCAATGAAACTCCCAGCATACAGCCAACTGATTCGTCACTGCAAAATGGTGAACCAGAATTGTTTCAAACCGCACAGATAACTTCTGACCGTAAGAGCAATCCAATCGTTTCTCAATCTTTCAATAACTTCTTTATAGACCCGTCAGTTGGGGTTCAAAGAGCAAATGTTCAAAATGGTAAAGCTATTTTTCATTTGATAATAAACAGTATCACTTATTCTACCTTGAATTTTAGGAAATCTATCAGAGAATGATGCACCACCAGCGAATAGAAGCAAGAGACCCGCGTCTAAATGTACCAATGGCCATCAATCAAAGAAGAGACGTGCCACTGTGCCACACGCACCGACTCCAAGTAACATACTTTCTTTGCTTATAACAAGAGTCTGTTACTCACTATTTGCAGCTCACGAGATGGCTATTGGTTTATTATTCCCATTGGAATCCAAAATAGACAAGCGTAATGAACGACCCAGTAAACTAATCGATTGTTTTGGATGGGTTCCCCGACTGATTTTAGTACGAAATAATAACCTCATACCTTTGTTTGATATCTTAACTCTACCGTTTTAGTATGGTAATTCACTGCCCAGTGAAATTGATGTAGAACTGGCATCAATTAGTAAAAAAAGGGAAGGTGTTTATTACTACAGTGTCTATCCATTCGTGGAGTATCAAGAAAATCCCGTTCTCAAGAAGTTCGTGAGTAAAATACGTCGTCGAGTGGCAGTAGAAATGTTATGCGACGGTATTGGCATCATCCGGTGAGTTTTCATTTTGTAAAGCTAGTTAAAAAAAAACGATATCGTAAATTTCAACTGTGCAAGGCTTGACAATATCTCTGTGCAAAATCAAAGAAGCGAAATATTGGGAAAACCGAATAACAAAAAATTTCCATTAAAGAGCTATCCATCAGGTAAAAACATTTCTCTTAATGAAGTCGAATTTTGATTTTATTACTTATTAATAGATAAAGAAAAATACATTAGAGCCAAAGGTCCGACGGCTTTTGTCAAGAGATATAATCTAGCTAAGCCATGTCTAGCTATTCGTTTATTTCCTACGGGTTCATCGGTACCAATAAAAATCAATACTAGTGAAGAAGATCGTTACACTTTCTTTTCAAATATTCTTACTCCAGGTAACTATAGACCTCCTTACTTTCTGAATGATCTTCAAGGCTTATCAATAGTTCCGAATCTTTCACAGCCAAGACTGGACGATCGCTCGAAAATAGAAGTTAAATATTGTAACTCAAGTGCATTTATTGGCTCTGATGGTCAAAACCGCTTTAATATCAATTTCGTTATCACAGTCTGTATTTCAAAACCATGATAACTACTATAATAATCATCCTTCATACAAATATAGTTCCCTGAAGAAATGCTTGACGAGCTCAAAAGTAATGGGAAATGGTTAGAAATTTCATTGCCAGACGACCAAGAACTACACCACAGTTATTTTATCCAAACTGAAGATGGTGGTAGTAATTCAGTGTGTTTATATATTCAACACACAATCATTTCGTAAGCAGCCGAAGTTTTCTAACATCAAACTGATATATCTTTTTTTAGGTTAACAGTTACCATCCTTGAGTGCAAGCTTCCAGCACCTGAAGAAGTTATTTCCACGGAATCAGCGGATGTTGTATCTACCGGTAATCTAGAAATGTTCTCAACTATGAATTTATTTTCCTTTACTTCTTAGATTTAGTATTGGCTCATTTAGCTAGTGTTCCTATTCGTACAACGAACGAAGTAATGCCAACGACGCCATTGAAAGTTCGCTTTCAGCTGGTACATACAAAGCCAGATGCTAATGGTCTCAGAAAAATTATTCGTTGTCCTGATATGCCAATATGGGAAAATATTATCAATATCGAACGTATGTCTATTAGTTTCATTTCTAAAAAAAAGTTGATTTTACCTGTATAGCAGATACTGCTTACTGTGATATATCGAACAATCAATCCGATGCATCAAATGCTATTTTATCTGAGTAAATATAAAATTCAACATACCATAATATTTTACTAAAATCTTGCATCATTTATAGACAACCGGTGATTCCATCAAGTGATGATTGCAATGAGCAATAAGCACTCAGTGACTATTTTTTGTCTTCTCATTTTAAACCTTTCCCTCTTTCGTTTTGTTCAGTCTAGTTTTACCTAAAACATAAGCTTTCTTTTACTAAAACATCCCCATCTTTATTAAACACTTTTCAACTCATATTTTTCACTCTCATCCTGTGCTCCAGCAAAAATCACAATAAAGATTTGATCTTCCACACCATGTCACTTGTGATTCGATAAAATGTGAACCGTATTTGCACCATTCGATTTTCTGACCATGTGTGCGAATAGAGATTGTAGATTCGAGTCTGCTTCGTACACTATTTTCACAAGAGAATAATCGGATCAAATTCAAGTACTTGTTACACATATCACTCAGGTATTTTATTTTACGACTTAAGCATGTTATAAATCCTTGTACAAACGATTACATCTTATTCCACTTTGACAGCATTCCGAAGTAAATTGATGAGCAGAATACGTGCCGAAAATTATTCACCTCATCGAAATTCTATCGGTCAATAGTACAATATCTACATTGATTGTTGTCGAAAACAAATATATTTTTCAATGGCCATACATCAATTATACGCCGTAACGACCAGTTCATGCGAATAACATAAAAGGAATCATCAATATGGTCAACGTAGGGGACAAATATACATGTTATAAGATATGTGTTGTTGCATTCAATCATAAATACAAATGATATTATGAACTGTCGTATAAAATATTCTCATTATCGATTCATTTATCCGGATGATCAGTTACGTCAGCTTCCAACGTACATGAACTGGTCCGACGCTTACGCATGATTAACAAATGACAATACTGAAAATATATCGGCAAAATAGTTATTTGAAAGAAAACTATTCCTTCTCTCTTTCGTTATTCATTCATTTCAAAGGATACCAGCTGTGAGTGATTTGTTCTGATCAACATCTAGCGCTCTCTATGAACGTTCATATATGGATTGCTTCACCATTCGACCACTCTATTAAGAATTAACATGGCCGTTGTTGGTTATTATGTGCATGTATGCGCGAAAAACTCTCTCCCTCGCTATTCTCTTCTCTTTTTTTCTAAGGAAAGAGAATTTTGTTCTTCACCTCTCGTCGACCAGTGTTTGTTACTGCTCCTGATTTTTTTCTTCTTTTCTTCTATGTCTCTTTTTTACTTTCTTTCTTCGCTTTGGTAACAGAGCAGAATATATACCAGTGTTCGTTCGTTTGTCTGTCTCCTCTTTTGCGCCTCTTTATCCCTTTCGTTGACATTTGACATCTGCTGTTGCTTGATGCATACGTATGTAGAGATGTGTGCAGATATATACATGTACATTTACTTACTTTCGAACAAAAAAAAGAAGTAACTGGGTCACACTATACAATCGAAGGACAATGACGCAGCACATAATCTTTCGGTTTCTCTTTTCTTTACTCCATCAATTTCAGATTTATCTTCCAATGAACTAAGACGAAAGGACGTTATTATCAAAAAATAAGTAAGCATTTGTCAATTAGAATATATTATAATATTGATTGATTCTGTTCCACAGTGGGTACTTATATTGTTGAATTTGATTATATTGCTAAATCATCGGATGAATTGACTATACGAAAAGGAGATATTATAACTGATGCCATACCAGCAGAACAAGGATGGCTAAAAGGAGAATGTCGTGGTACATTTGGGTATGTTGATAATTATTCGAATGTCTTCAATTCGAATCTTTCGTTTCATTTTAGTCACTTTCCAGAAAATTTCGTTACTGTGAGTAGAAATTTCTCGATGAAATCGATCGAAAATTTGTCAATGTTTTTCACAATAGCCATTAACGAAAGAAAAAGCAAAAAATCGCACATTTGCAAATGAACTTGGTGCACGATTACAATCGGCCGTTAATGGAAATAATATCGGTAATAAGAGTGGCACATTACGAAAGCGGCCTACGAATGATGATACCCGTGAGTTGAATTTTAATCTTTCAACTTCTCTTTTTCCTTCTTTAACTTGCTTTTTAAATTTATTCTTTGTCTTCTTTTTTCATACCTATAAAGATCTGTATGTATTTGCTCTCTTTCTCTCCCTTGTTCAATAATGACAAAAGGAGAACTACGCTTTACATTTTTATCGCATACAGTGCTTTGTTTTAACTCGTTTTCTTTTCTTTTTTCGTTGTTAATGCCCGCTGCTATTTTGTCACTTTGACTCCTTTGTTTACATTTTCATCTGCGTCGTATTTTAGTTTTTCAAACACAACAATCGAACAATTTACCTAATGGAACCCTGTTTCAAGTTAAAGTTGCCTATGCTTATACACCTGTCCACGACGATGAATTACCAATCAATCCAAATGACATCGTTAATGTTACACGAATGGTTTGTCAAGTTCTCTGTTCATGTCCTGTAATCAAACATCTTATATTTAGGTCGAAGAAGGTTGGTACGAAGGAATTCTGGATGGCAAACTTGGCCTATTTCCATCAAATTACGTCACGCGTATTACTGAAGAAAATAGTAAGTAGAAAAGAACGAATATTTGTTTGGTTTGAAAACAAATTGATTGAAATAGGTAGCAAGAAAGATCCACCAGTTAAGCGTAAACCAGTGAATGGTGTCGGAGTAATGTTTAATAAAGATGTATGTATTGAATTAATCGCATTTGGTCAATAATTCGAATTCTGACCGTAAAATTTAGGTTGGTAAAGCAACTTCGCCAACTTCGATGGATACACCATCATCTCACCCAAAGACTCCACCTTCGCAAGCATCAAAGAAGACGACACCGATCAAAGCACGTGTTTTATTCGATTATAAGAAATCAGCCGATGATGAGTTGTCGCTATCTGTCGGTGATATCGTTACTGTATTAGAGAAACATCTCGAGGATGATGGATGGTGGAAAGGCGAACTCAACGGTCGCATCGGTGTATTTCCAGGTTATTTTCGTCTTTGAATCATTTGCACTCAATTAGTTCTTCTTTCTGTTTTTATATACAGATAATTATGTCGAAGAACTTCCACCGTCAACAATGCCATCAATAGTATGTTGATTGATATGTTGTCAACTAAGAAAGCAAGAAAAAAAAATCTTTTGCCTTTCTACAGAATACAAAACACCGTCCAAATACACCCGAGTCAGGTGGTAGAAACCTTTCACAAACATTGCCGAAGACCAAATTAACTAATGGAGGTAAACAGTTTTACTGATTAAAAAGTGAGACAAACAAGACCTACATTCAGATTCTTCGCATGATTTTTCAAATGATTCTCATCATGTGAAAGGAACTTCAATTAGCGACGAAGAAGGTAAACAGAGCACAAAAAGAAAATCTATTATATAAATCATCATTTTTCTTTCCTTAAGGATATTCAACACGTAATCATTATGCAGAGATCAATAATCTTGATGCTGTCGGTACGACAGAAAAGTTAGGTGGTTTTAACAAAGCACGGCCATCATCGTCCAAGAGACCGCCTTCGTCAACGATACGAAAAAATGTTTGCTAAAACCATTCAAAAGAACCCGATCGATTGATTTTGCTTTTTGAAAATAGGAAAATGGCTTCAGTAAAACAAATGGTTCACATGAAGAAATAAATCACAATTCTCACCCACAATTCAATGACATTAAGGTTCGATCTTGTCACTTTCTTTCTGACGAGAAAAGTAATCGATTTAGAAGAGCGTAAATAGGACAATTTCCGGTACAGTGAAGTATTCCCTGCGGCAGAACTTGTTCAGATCCTTAACAAAGAGAAATCACTTCTGCGTCAACTTCGTTTTATTTTTCTAATCAAAACATTCACTTCATGATAATAATCTTTAATCAATTTGTTTAGAATGAAAATAAAGTTCATACGCCTTCGCCACCGTCATCCCAACGAGGTAAACCGAAGTCTTGGAATTCGTTTCTTTAAACTTCTCGTACTTGTTCAGAACCGGGGCAATTAGAATCACCACGCTATACCAATCGTCCATCATCTCTCCATTCAACTCTAGCTAATAACAACCATCAAGGTAACTCCTCGTTAAATGGGACCACGGAAATCGTTCCAACCGTTACGAAGTCATCGTACGTGAATTCGAATCTCTACAATAGTAATGGTACAATTACAGTCGAACAATTACACAAAGATTTCCAGAAAATGAAAGTTTCGTTGGATGAAATGAAAATAAAATTCACTGATCAAATTCGTGACCTCGTTGATGAACTAGACGAAGAGAAGAAAGCACGTGCAACGCTACAAATCGAACTTGAACGTCTTCAAAAACAAATTCAAAAGTCTTCACTTGTTAATTAAACGAACCCCATCAACAAAGATCAAAAACAACCAAGCAAAGACTATAAAAATTCAATGTGAATCCAATTTCTGTCTTCCTCTCGTTCTTCATACATCTCAAAGAGAATTTGTTTTGTTTCGTCCTCCTTCGCCTCTCAGATACCTGTTATGTCTTCTTCAATCATTGACTAATTTTCGAAAATTCTTTTTTGCTCTATATCAGACTGTAGTTCTTTATAACATTCCTCTTCTTTTTCTCTCGCTTTGTTCACGTGAGCCAGAAAATTGCGAACAGTTTTTTATGTTCATCTAGTTCAGTATGGACTGTTTGCGTAGTTGATGCATATGTCTTCTTTCTTTCGTTCTCCTTAGAAATTCTTCGCTTTAACACAATGTGAAAATAATCTATGAAGAAGAACACAAGCAGAAAGAGAAATCATTCGAACTAATTTCTTCTTTGTACATGAGTATTTTTGTAAAAAGTTGTTTGTTGGTTTTTTTTTTCTAATCATATAGATTAAACATAACATACTTGATTATTTGTCATGTTATACAGTAATAGAAGAAGGACTTATTTCAAAAGAAAAAGCAATATATGCGTATCTATAAAATAATCAATTGTTTGTTTATTCGAACTTGACTTGTCATTTGGAATTAATTAGCAAATGTCAGGGATATATTTGCTCGTAATTCAATTTGCGAATGTGTTCAATTTCATTATGATTTCTGTCGGTGGTGAAGATGATAGTTTTCTTGACATTAACATATTCATTCGATTTATAATTGTCTTCTTTCATCATTCGGTACTTAACTTGTTATAGCTTCAGTTTCGTTATTCTAATCGAAGCTCTACATAGTTAGGACATTCATTCCCATAGGGATTCTTACTTACTTTAAACGAGTTTTTCTTTGTTTTCTCAAAAAACAACACATCTTATGTAATCATCGAGCGGAATGAGTGAGATTTGACAAGGAAACATTCGATGAATTCCTAATAGACATGGCTATTATTTGTATAGTCTACTTTTGACTGTCATTTATCAGAAAAGATTTTTGACAGAAATGCTATGCATCATCGATATGTTCTTCTTCGCATATCCTTCAGATAGTGTCATTGACTTCCATCTGTACTTTTTTTGACAAACTGCAAACATGTAGATAAATCATTCGTCGAGACTCAGTATCGGTATTATCAAGTAGATCATTCGAGACGAAGCAGCTAGTTAAAATTAAGTTGAAAATTAAGAACGATTTTCTGCATCTGCACTTCTTTACAATCAACATTATCATTAGGACAATGTAGAAAATCAGTGAAGCACAACAGAATATGAGATAACCTTCGACAATTCTCGTTCGTACGCTCGAAAAAAAACCGTGTGAGCTATTGTGTTGTAAAACTTTCATGAACATAAGTGGCTCTTCACTTATGCTTACAACCAAATGTTTACTACAATAATTATAACTGTTTTCTGAGAGTTTTCAGAGTACATCCTCCGAAGGAAAGTAAATGACAGCGAATAAAAGCTTATACTAATCCAGGTCTTGCCATATATTCGCGAGGAAATCATTTGATAACAATCATGTTTTGTCAGGTTTCTGCCGAATGTAAAAACATTCTATCTTATCTTTTTCTGTTATTGATAGAATATCTATTCTTAGACGAAGCCTATGCTGATTCGGTTCGACTCTTTGGATTCATATCGACGGAAACATCTTCTTTTTTTGTTTCTTTTATTGAAATGACTTTCTAGATCAAGAAAAACAAAACAAGAAGCGAGAATTTTTGAGAGAAATAAATGATAACAAAGGACACACAGAAAAACGTCGTCGAAAAAAAAACGAATCTTTTCTTTGTTTATGAATTGTACTAGAAAAAGAAAACAGACACTGGGTGAACAAAGGTAGATAATGATAATAATAATAGTATAACAATGATGATGCTATCAATCGCATATTGAAGAATAAAATCAATGAAAAGGAAAAAGATTATGCTCACAAATCATTTCTCTCGTTGTTATCCAGTTACGGTATGAGAAATAATCAAATATCATTACATGATTTCAATGATTATGAGCAAATAAACGTAATGAATTGTTTTTTCTATATACATAATCAATGAAAGGAACAAATAAACAAATAGCATTGTTCTATTTTTTGCCGATTTTCGATTGAGTTTGTGCTCCTGCTGATGTTGGTGCCGATGTCGTCGGTGCACGCGGAGGTGTCAATGGTCGATTGGTATTTAAACCCCCATATTGATATTTCGGTTTCTTTTCGCTTGGCTTTAAAATCTAATTGTACGAAGATGAAAATAAATCATCTCTCGCAGAAAAGTCATGATTATTACTTGAAAAGAACACATAAGTGTTTCATCAACAGACATCATTCCACCAGCATTATCGAATTCTCCACAATAATTAGGTGCTGAAAATAGCGTTACTAACTGACGCTTAGCAAAAAATTCATAACCATCTTCGACGACCTATTTAATTATAAATACGAAAACATGTTGTTTCTTTTTGTCCCTTCTTCTCCGTTTACTTGATGTGCCCGACAAATCAAATCCATATCATGTCGATTCAAAAACTATAAACAAATCCAAAGTCAGCTAAGTAGAAGAATATGCTTGACTCACTTTAGCGACGACATCAGCGCCGAACGTAAATGAAACACCGCGATCATTTTCTCCCCACCCTTGAGTTTCTTTATCAGGATCGGACCTGTCATAATAATATCGTTAGGAAATCAACAAAAACAACGCAACGTATTAATCACGTACCACAACAAATCGCAGAGTAAACCTAAAAAACAAATACGTCTACAGGCGATTTCTATCAATAAACAAATACAGACCTGTATCAGGTACATCTGTCGGTCGCATAATTCGCCGAATTTGTTCCATCGTTTGAAGATCAGGAGATAAACCTTTGAATTAAAAGAGAAATGAATCGAATATGATCATATAAAGAATACATACCACCATGACAACAAAAGATCTTTTCATCAATAATCGCAGCTATTGGTAAACAATTAAAACAATCCGTAAATGTTTTCCATAGTTTGATATTGTATCGACGTTTGCCTAAAATTTGACATGAAAAATATTTGTTTGTTTTACTCAATAACTCTGCTCGTCCTGTCTTACATTCATCATAAAATCCGTAAATTCGATTAATTGACGCACATTCATGATTCCCACGCAAAAGAAAGAAATTTTCAGGATATTTTATCTAAACAAAACAAAAACTAACGAAACGAAATGTTCTTTACCCTTACTTTATAAGCAAGTAACAAACAAATTGTTTCTAATGATTGCTTTCCTCGATCGACATAATCACCAAGAAATAAATAATTGGATTCAGGTGGAAATCCACCATATTCAAACAACCGTAATAAATCTGTATACTGTCCATGAATATCACCTGAAGCAAAAAAAGCGATTGAAGACAAAACGAATCGAACAATTCTGTTTCATACCACATATTTTTAGTGGAGCTTCAAGTTCAAGTAGAATTGGTTGACTGAGAAATATTTCACGAGATTTTAAGCATAAGCCACGTACTTCACCTTCTGTCATTTGAACTATTTTGCCTGGTCGACATCCACGCACTGAAATTAAAAGTTTTTTTTTTAAATTGGAAATCGATCCTTTTCATACGGACTGCTTTACCTTCAAGTAATCGTGCTATTACACTGTCGATGTTAAGATCAGTATCTCCAGACATATTCATAGAATCTAAAAATCAGAAGTCGTTCATGTTTTTCGCATATTTGAATGCATATCATTTTTAAGACAAATCGATTACTCTCAACGTTTTTCTTTTATTGGCGACTATGGTAACGTTTTGTAAGCATTTTTAATCATATGAATGCTCTCGATTGGCAAAAGAAAGAGAAAATAAGTGTGCAATAATGATGCATGGCGATAGAAGGAAGGGTTTGCACTACACAACTATGCGCTACGTGCATGCATGAAGGGTATATGATATGATGATAGACGTATAGAGGGAGGGAGAACAAAAGTGATGAAGATGTCGTTGTTAGTTACATCGATCAAATAAAACTCAAGAAAAAAATTTTAAGATTTCATTTCAATTCAAATTTTTCGGATAAAATTCAATTCGAAAACGGAAAGAATTGATGAACTGTCTCTCTTTAATGATTGGTCTATGACTGCAATCAATGAATCATGGAATAATTGTTACATTACACCATCGATACGACAGTATTTAGCTTACATCATTTATTTCGTTGTAAAAAAACAGACGCAATACAATGTCCGGACGTCAAGGTGGCAAATTGAAACCATTGTAAATTCTCATTTTGTATTGTTTTAAAATGATTTTACATTAATTTCTTTAGAAAACAACCCAAGAAGGACGATCGAGAGTTAGATGATGATGATAAGGCATTCAAAGAAAAACAACGTGAAGAACAAAAGAAGCTTGAAGGTAATTGAAAAGTCTTCCTCATGACCGTTCGTTTCACGTGATTTTCACTTATATAGATGCAAAAAAGAAAGCAGCTGGTAAAGGTCCAATGAAGTTGGGCAAATAATCGACAATAACTTCTGTTCATGAAAAGAACGACGACAGACTGAAACATTTTTTAATATCTATTGTGAATCAGTCTTTTTTGTTCATTGTCTAATAAACATTTGGAAAGATTCTGGGCCTTTATCTTGTGAATATTGTAGATAAAACTCTTGTTTTTCCAATTGAATGGGATTTTTGAAATTTTATAGAACTCGCCTTTCGCCTATTGTTGCTTTCACAGCTCTCCTTATCGGTATTCATATATCTTGGTGGTCAATTCAACAAAAGTTCGTGACGAATTATTCAAAGGGAAAACATGAATCGAAAAATTGACATTCCTCTTTTTTCTAGTCCAGCGTTAGTGCCACCTTCTGAACGTCGTCGTCATCTACTAGGTCTTCGCATTCCTTATTTATCGCCACCTGCTAACGAGAAAGAAAAGCAAGATAGTGAATGAGTACACAATCATCCACCACAGGATACGATCCATTCAACGTTAAACCATTACAAACTCGAACACGGCGAATCTTTGCTCCTACTGGTGGATCCATTTCCTTCACAACTGCTTGTTTACTTATTGGAACTTTTTCAGCGTGTTTTTATTTATTAGTACCATTAGAATATATCAGGTAATGCAACATATCAAACGACATTATGTCGGATGAATCGCTGATTTGTAGACCACAAATTATTGGTTGGAATCGTACAGGACGTACACGTCAAGAACTACTCACTAAGAAACAAGAACAGAAATAGAAACCTTTGACAATGGGCTTAATTCGCGAAGGGCTGTTTGCATTTCGTGGTCGTCGATTTGTTGAATGGCTTTTTGTGGATCGTCCTCAAATTCCTCTTTCCCTTGGTTTAGCATTCTATGGTCTAATCTATCTCCAATATAAATATGACCTGTTGGCGCGATGGAAAAATGAACCAACTTATAACGATTAGTATGTATCTTTTGCATTATTTGAGCACTTGTACATATGATGACATTTGAATGTTTTATTTAGTTCCTATGTTAGAGAGGCTGTTGAACGTGAACGAGCTCGTCTCGCTAAACTTTCATCGTCTCCGACACCCATCGAACCTTCATCCACCGGTGCCAAATAAAAATGTCATCGTTTTGTTTTCTTCTCATCGGTGAACATTTGTCCTTCCTATAGAATTTATTAAAACATAGGATAGTTCAATGAGAATTTGACACATCAATAAACTAAGTTGCAACGAAATGTTGAGTTGATCTATAAAAAGACTTGGACGTTCTTCTGTTTTGCTAATGATAATAATTTTTATCATCCTACGAAAGATAAATATTTCTATATCTTTTCTTACTTCATTTCAACGAAAACCACAATGTCTAGTGCAACAAACCAAAACTCTCGGTGTGAACTCCCTGTTGCTGATCAGCATCTTCAAATCGTTCTTGACAGTCTTAATCATTTAATTAATCAATCGAACCAACAGATCATCGATGAAAAACAGTCAATGTCTGATGTTGAACAAAAAAAATTGGATCAAATTCAAGTTTTGCAGAGCGAAGTTCAACAAATAGAGAATCAAATTGCTTCTTTGCATAATGAAACTGAACAATTGACGCTTGAAACATGTTCAATGGTAGTCCGACAAAATGAAACAGCCCTGATTCGTCATAATAAATTGTTGAAGGGAACGATCGAACATATCAATCATATTTTAGGTAAACGCTCGATCGTCAACGATCCACTGTTCGATCAATTGAGAAAAGATTTAACGAGTCAACAGGAGAAATTATTTCTCATTCGTAACCAATTAGATATCGATCATAATCAATTAACAACAAATGTAAGTTTATTAAAAGAATGTCAAGAGCAGCGAAAACAACTTGAACAAGTTATGTTAGAGAAACAAGCGGATTTACAAAGTATTCAGCAAAATCAAGGTAGGTGATTCTTCCTCTGTTCTCTCTCTCTCTCTCTCTCTCCCTAATTCATATTTACTCGATAATAGATGACTACGTACAAAAACAATTGAAATTGCAAAAACTGCAGTTTTTAATCCAGCAACAAACTCGAATTCGAAATGAAATACAACAATTAGAAGGATACATCGCACCAAAACAAGCTTCACCATCGGAAAATAATAGAAGACAGCCAGACGTGCAGCGAAATAAAACTCAACTTCGAGAAATTGTTGATGACAGTGATGAAGAAATAGTCAATGCTAGTAAAGTACAAGAATATCATACGAAAAGTCGCACATTTATGCGATTAAAAGACCATCAGGATAAATAATTCCTTTTTTTAAATGGAGTTCTTTTCATAAAATCGAATTAAAAGTATTCAAAGCATTATTTTTCTTTGTATTGGTGACTTTTACTTTATGACCTACATTATAAAGAGATCGATGCGGGAAAACAGTGATTTTTTAAAATTTCAGTAACAATAAAAGTACCAAATCAATAAAATAGAATTTTTTATAACAACGCACGTATTGAATAATGGAAATTTCAATCAAGTCTAGGTATTTTTTGTATTTTACTTTGTCCGTTCTAATCGCCATGATATACGAATTAGTAGAGAAACGTTTTCTATACTAAATAACCGAATATCCATCGATGATTCATGTCAAATTGCAGTAGAGTTATTTGAAATATTCGTAACAACTGTTGGAAAAACGATTTTCTTGTGAATCAATATTTGAATCCTATCAATTTTCCTTTTTTTCAGTTTGATTGATCAATAAACGAATTGGTTTTGTCGAGTAAGTGTATTTTTAAGTTGTTCTAATCATTTCTCATTTACATCTAATTCAAACTCGTTTCATATCACTTTGAAATAATTGATTCGAAACAAATGAACGTTAACTAACGATTTGAGAAAGAGAATCAAAAGCATCTGAATGCCAAACTTCGAAATCTTCTTGGCATTGTGACTTAAATATATAGACATGGAAATGTTTGGCGAATATTCATTTGTTCAGTTTTCATTTCTATGAGATATAAATTTCGATTGTATCATGATTGGAATGAACCAATATGTTCTTTCGTCATTTAATGACGAAGAATGTGTTTTATTCGAATACCGAGCAAACAAGCGATTGTCCATATAGTTCGCCCGATTCCAATCAACTGATATTTCATTTTCAGCAATTCGACGTGTCATGAAGCAGCTGGAGGAATATCCAAAGAAGAAAAAAATTGTATCTAACGTTTAAGTTTGCAAAGCAATCTTATTAACTCACTCGTATTAACAATGTATAAATCGACACTACTCTCCACTTGAGAATGACCACATATACCTAAAGCGAAAGGAAGAGAAAACGAGGCAGTAGTGGATACGGAGAACTCAACCTGCTGCCCAAAACAGCGAACGGTCATTTTTTCTTAGTGACTGGATCAATCATTCGACAAGATAGCGTAACGAAAGAGACGCATTCCTTATTTCTTCAAATGAAGATTCTCACTAAGGATCAAACTATGTAGTTCGTTTAATCATAATGTTGACAAAGAATTTCTATTGAAATTTGCCTTCTTTTGCCTTGGTATTGTCACTTTTTCATATCTTTCACCGAAATTTTGTTTAGATACTTTCCATAATCGATTCAACCTACTTACTTGATATTCTCTTAGTTCACCCGAACCATCAATGCTATCCACTAATCTTTGTAATTCGGTTAACGGATTGTAACTTATTCTAACAGCGCGAAACTGAATACATTTCTGTTAGAAAACTCCGGTATCATGGGTATGTTTAGGATAAAACACACACCCTTCTTGAATAATGCGGTCTCTTCTTGCGTATAAAATATTTACAGGTACACTGGTCGTTATATTTCTGTACAACAAATAAAGAAATAAGAGAAAGGAAAAGTAAAACGAATCTATTTTCGTCTGATTTATTTTCTATATAATCATCATGATGATTCATACCTGGGTCATAAAACGAGATGAAGACATTACGCTATATATCACCATTCCAACCAATAAACTCTTTACAAACATTGAATACTTTAAATCGTCAACACCATTGAACTTTTCTGAAAGCTACACAATGACAAATGTTCATTTGACATAAACACGATGAGATACACACTATCTGGTGTATGAGAAGAGTACTATAAAAGATCATTGTATAAGGATTTGTAATCACATCTGTTGCCTTTATAAACTCAGATCCACCGGATCGGTGAACGATGAGCACATGTCTGTTTACATCCATAATATCTACGAAAACAAAACAAATCATAGATAATATGAACCAGCATGAATAGAGAAACACACCCACACCCTCATGACTGAATTGCAACAGAAGACCGGAGTATCTTTTCATGAAAGTCATTTGGTTCGAATATGTGCAATCGAGTGAGTACTGCTCACTTCGTTGAAACTAGGTGAAATATGACCTATATTGTTTAGGTTCACTTTTCAAACTTTCCTCAAGTCCCTAACCATTGATGTCAACGACGGGAAGACGTACGAGATCGTATTGAGGCTTATGTATGTTCTAAATTCAATTCGTGAGAGTACTGCTGCCATGGAAGCTTCAAAATACGAAGAAACCGATCGCTCTCGTGCCGAATCCTTTGAACTGTAATATTTTACGTAAAAAAATCTTGCGATAGGTTCAGTACCAGGTAATTACGATTTTAAGTAATTCGTGTATTGTTATTTGACTTAATTGATGACAATCATAGCAAGTCAAATCTCTTTTTTTGTAGTAGCTATCTTTTATGGAAAAAAGAGAGTTCTCCCGATGGAATTAAAGAGCTTACCAATCAATTATGTGGCAATGACAAATATATGTAAATCCTGCTCGTTTCCTCAATCAATTTAAACAATTTATTCTTCAAAATATTCGCTATTCGGTAAAATAACATTGACATTGAAATATTTTATTTATACTGGGCTTTTTCCCCCTAAAGATATTCATCCACTGGAATACTTGATAAACTATGAACGGCACAGGTATCACTTCGAAAATAATATTCATTCAAAATTTGTCAATCAATAGATCTGTCAGGTAAGGTAAAAACCTATTGCATGAAAGCAAAAAAATTTAAATATGAAAAATGATTAGTGGTAAATGTTATCATTTGAGTTTCGCATAGTTTCTAATCATTAGACAGGTAGAAAATGAAGCCTTACAGGTTTTTTGAATACTGGAAGTACACAACTATTTTGTAGAAAACCATAGTTTTACTCCTTAACCTCACCATTGTTCTATGCTGGTTTATTTTATGAGTTTAATTTTAAGCCGACGGAATCATTCATTAAAAGAGTAACTTTTACAGGATTACAATAAAATTAGAAAGAATAAAATCGAGTGTCTCAAATGTAAATACTATTTAGAAATTACCGATCATACGTTCATGTACTTAAACAGTGTAAAAGTATGAAGCACAACGTTTTTCTTCGAGTGACAGTGCTCACAATGAGAACAAAGGATTCTGTCGTGAATATTTTTCTTCGTAAAATAGAAAAAGAAAGATTAAAATTCTCTTATGGATATCGAAAATCGCGTTTTTACCATAATCACCATCCCATGAGCTACAAGAATAGCTTCATTCGTCGTTATTTCAATTGTAAATGCCGTGCGAATCTTCTATCGAGTTTTTCTGCATGTTGAAATCCTGCTGTAAACATCAGTCTATATTAATATTATCTAATGTTTGTAAATACACGATGTAAGTATATGGTATAGTTCATTTCACCCACGAGGACATGTAATGTGTATATTATTTTTCAGCAATTTCTGTCCTTATTCAGTCTATGTCTTTTTCTGTAAAGAGATGACATATATGCCTATTTTGCTTTTCAGTTGATTAGTAATCGTCTGAAATAGATTACGGTTTGAGTTTTTTTTTTGGATAATTCCCATGTCGTGTTGTACAAAAGAAACGAGAATAATCATTTCTTTTCAAATAACGATATAACCTAGACTAGCTTTTCATTTGCGTACTCTCGAGAAATCTGTAATCGAAATGAAAATGATCAAAATGCGCGTTTCCCTTTAAAATAAGTCGACAAATACCAAAAATCTAGTATAGAGCCTGGGTTTTCTTTGTTTATCTTGATGGTTCGTAAGTACTCGATATCCCTAGATATACAAGGAACAACAACACAAGGAAATCCCTACAACAATGATCTTTTCATTGTTTGTTGATACCCGTGAATTGAGTATGCTAAGGAGCATATTACACAGTTATGTTCTGTTGATGTTATCAGTAAAAACATGAGTTATACACGTAGTCTTTTCTTTCTTCAACAGTCTATTATCTCGAAATAATGTAATAGAAAAGACGATAGCAAGCAATTAAAACCGTTGCTTTGACAAAGAACACTCGCGAATGTACTGTTTCAGATTGGTGTCATTATCATTCACAGTAGGCTTGCCTAATGAAGAAAGATCAATCAAATTCATGTACTTTAACAACACATAAGGTCTTAATTTTGGAGAAGTTTGTGAACGAGGAAAATGTCTGCAGTTCTCCGGGGGATACAAAAGCAAACAGTGAAGAAAGAAGTAAATCAGTCTCGGGAACGTAAAGGACAACTAATACAGCAAGACGAACTCGTTTCAACCAGCTTGTCAATCGGAGATTAAAAGATATCGTCAATGAAGAACGTACGTGATGTTATTTTCTTTGAATTAGGATTTCTAACAAAGCAGGACATATGCTTCATTAGACATGCAATTTTCTGCTATTCAGATTAAGTTTGATGTGATACAAAAATATGTATCGAGATAGGGGAAAAGAAAAGACAAAACTAAATTAATCAGAGATTCCATTCTGGTTTAGAATATAGAGGATCAATTTAATATACGATTGATAGAGATATCTCTTTGAATATGATTCCTTTCTTAACAAAATTTCTAGCCAAAGAACGTCGATCGTGGAGAATTAATTCATGGTAATACTTACGAACTATCAAACGAAAAGTTTTCTGCCTTATATCATCATGTGCAATTTGTTATTTATGTCTATTTAGGACAACGACTTCGATAATTTTGATGAGTCTCTTCCTATACTGTCTTTAATGTATGAAACCGATATATTATCCCCAAATTATTCCCTACTTCTCGGACCAACATCGGTATTCAACAAGACTGACATATTCTTCTCAACTTCATCCAGTAATCATGTTCATCGACATCCACTTCTCTACGGTGCAGCAATCTATGCACTTCTCTTGATCATCGTCGGAACTATTGGTGAGTAAATTATTGCTTCGATTGGCTCATTAATTGTGCCTTCTAGGTAACATGTTAACAATCATTATTCTTCTTCGAGCCAATCTACGTCAATATACAACAATGCGCTATTTGACTGCAGTTGCATCTGCTGATCTCTGTTCATTATATTCATGGAATTTGAACTTATTTTATAAGCATTTAATCAATCCTTATCAAAATGATTTAGAAGATTCATCCATATTTACATGCCGTTTAATATCATTTATTGCATTTGTTAGTTTACAGCTTTCATCTTGGTATTTAACATTAGTTAGTGTTGATCGTTGCCTGAATATACATTTCCTCTTTTGGAATCGACAATTAGGTCGAGCAGATCGTTCGACCTATATCATTCTTACAATAACCATTATTATTATTTCATTAAATCTTCACTTATTATTTCTAAATGGTTATCGACAACCGAACTGTACTCCATTTGCCAAACGTACATGTTATGTGTGTTACGCCCGTCCGAACGATCGACATTACATATTTCCAAAATGGGAAAAAATTCACGTGATTATATATAACTTTATTCCTTTCTCAATCATGTTAATTTCCAATTGTTTTATTATCCGTCGATCAATATTATCAACTCATCGGCAAAGATCCATGTCAGCAGTTGATTGCCGAAGAGTTTCAGTGAAAAATACATCAAATCGTCAACGTAAACAGCGGCAATTAACATATATACTTTTATCTGTCACATTTCTATTCGTTCTCTTGACAACACCGGTTATGATCTACAACGTTTTCTTACGAAACTACTTAAAGGATCGTAAACCATTGAAATACATTGTATTAGGCATACTCTTATGTATACAATTTACCAGTCATGCGGTAAGTTCGACAGAGATAAGAGAACGAACTCAAATTCTATTTTGATTTTGTAGATAAACTTTTTTGTTTATTGCTATGGTGCATCGAAATTTCGTCACGAACTAAGTGCATTCTTTTCATCGCTTTTACGACGAAAAGGTCAACTTGTTAATCAAGCAAGAGCAAGTGTTGGTTGTTAGGAAGAAGATTAAAATAACATGGATATTCGATCTTCCTACCGAATAACTCTTCTATTTTTCTATATGATTATCTTTTCATTTTCGAAGTATTGATACGTGAGAGAAAACAGATAATTGTCAGCATGATTTTGTCGTACGAGGACAACAACACATGAGATATTTCACATGTTACATGAGCATGGTACAAGGACTTTTGTTTGAAGCACGATGATGTAACATGTTCTATAAATATTACGTGCTTTTTCTTTTAAATCAATCAAAATTATACTGATCACGATATAATTTTGTTTTTCTTCTTGTCTGTTCGATTACCTATTGTTGTACGTGTACAGATAATTGTCAATGTAATACGATTGATTCTATGTTGTCACAGTTGTTCTTGTTGTACTTTCTTTATGCCAACGTACGACAGAGAGGAATAAATGCGTATTTTTTATGAAACTGATAAGAAATCTCGATGACTAAGCTGATTTCTCGTTTTTCTCTTCGTGGGAGAGAGGCCAAATGATGCGTTTCTCTCGGGACACGCCTTCGTGAGAACAACGAGCAACGCCTCCATGATAAAAATTGAATTGAAGGTTATACATATCAACTGAAGTTGCTTATTTATTTTTAATCAAACTCAACGAACAGACGTCTTCTATCCTAAGAACAATATGGCTTTAGATAATGTATCTGAATGGAAATACATTAGTAAAAGAGATATTGGTGTGACATGCGTGGCATTTAGTGGTGGTCAACCAAGAGAAGGAGTAGATATGGGCCCTGAATATGTCCTGAAAGCAAATTTAATTCAACAACTTCAAGATATGAATTTCAATGTGATGTTAACAGATAATAAAATTCATACTTATAAAGAATTCTTTCCCGAATCAGATCAACCGATAGGTATTGTTAAACGTCCGCGAACTGTTGGTGTTGTTAACAAAATTCTCACGACACAAGTTTATAGTCATGCCAAAGAAGGCCGATTAGCTTTACAAATAGGTGGTGATCATTCCATGGCTATTGGAACTATCAGTGGTATGTCACGAGCAATTAAAGAACGGTTCGGACGCGATTTAAAAGTTATTTGGGTTGATGCCCACGCTGATATTCATACCGTTGAATCAACTGAAAGTGGCAATATACATGGAATGCCTCTATCGTTTCTTCTTGGTCTCGTCAAAAAAAGCATCGAAGGCTTGGATTGGATTGAGCCTTGCTTAAAGCCGGAAAATCTTACCTACATCGGTTTACGTGATGTTGACAAAGCGGAAAAAGAAACTCTAAAAAAATATAATATAAAAGCTTTTTCAATGCATGAAATTGATCGGTACGGTATTGGCCAAGTTGTGGATATGGCTATTGATTATTTATCACAAGACGGCGATGGTCAAGGACCAATACATCTTTCATTCGATATTGATGCACTTGATCCATCTGTTGCTGCAAGCACAGGCACTCCTGTTCGCGGTGGATTAACGTTCCGTGAAGGTCATTATATATGTGAAGCTTTGCACAAAACTGGACGATTAGTTGGATTAGACATGGTTGAAGTTAATCCAGCTATTGGTAATCATTGTGAAGACACAGTTACGGTTGGATGCAGTCTTATTCGAGCAACATTCGGAGAATCTCTGTTGTAAAATGCAAATACAACGGTCTACCGATGATTCCTCTACGAACGCTTTTTTCACATAGTTCAGCTGAGTAAGAAAAATTTATAATGGCTTTTTTTTATTTGTTCATGATTTTGCCATTGTTCGATAGGCAAAACCGATTTTGATTTTGATTATTTGTATGATACTTTAGATAACGGGTGAATTACAAAACAAAAATAAAATAAATAACGAGTAGTAGAGATTCTCATGCTGAAACAAAAATAATGGCGGAATGAGAGAAGAATTTGAATGCTGAAATCAGGTTCTTGAATACGAGTTGTATTGTCGAGAATGATAATATATCTATTGTGTTTTCGCTGCAGGACGAGCGCGAGGAATATTCAATGGTTGATTTGCAGGAACGACTGATGATGCATTCGCTACTGTTTCCGATACTACCGGTGCTTGCACACTAGACGAGGATGTTGAAGGGGTTTGTTGAGGAGGAATTGACTGAAAAAGAACGAGTAGAATATATCTTATTTGAATTATTATCTAAATTCAATTACAGTTGAGATAGGGGGCATGTGTTCTGCGAAACGTTGGTATTCTTGATCAGAGAAAACAGGATTGTCTTCAATCGACTAGAAGAAAATACGATTTAGGAAAAGCATTTCATTGTGAATATCTTACCTTCCATCCTTGATCGTTTTTGGCATCTTTCCCATCGATGCCATGTTCAAATTCTTCGAAGGATAACATTCGATCGTTATTTTTATCAAATTCTCTCATCACGTGCTGTCGCATTCGCTCCATTTCTTCTTCTTTCTCAACGGGATCTGCATCTGCTGGACCGTCATGGATCTTCGCTGCCTAGAATCATAAAAGGGAAATGAACGAGAAGGAATTATCTTTCGTCTTCTGCAAACCTCTTGTAACATAATCGCTTCGATCTCTCCTTCATCTAAAAATCCGTCGCCATTTATGTCATGTAATTTGAAAAATGCTTTCGGCTTAAATTGGTTTGTTTCGAGCTTATCTACTTTTGTCCAAACTTCTTCCATTTGATCACGACTGCCAGGATGGTTCACTGGACGATGACGTTTCTTCTGTTCTAGCGCTTCATGGTGTAATTCTTCTAGTCGTTTTCGCTCGTCCTTAGTAAGTTTCTGTAAGAGAGAAACGATAATTGAGAGAAGATGAAGTCGAAACTTACAGCTAACTTCGCTCGTCGTTGATATTCTTTACGTAGTTCGTATTGTTTGAATTCTTCTTCCCGTTGACGATCAATTTCATCAAGATCTTTCGATGCATGTCGGATCAACCGTTCAAGATCAGCTTCATTGAAGGTATCCGAATTGTCATGATCTAGATGTTGAGGAAGTAGTTTTCTTATTTGTTCTCCATTGGGATCAATTCGAGCCAATGCATTACGTTGTTTATCTAGAAATAGATATTATCGAACTGATGATTACAAATCTCAATGAGTCTTACCACTTAGAGTGCGAATTTTTCTTCCGATTAATTGTCTCAATCGCGCCATTTCTCGTTGCTTTGCTTCGTCAAGTTGCGAACGAATATTGTGCTGAACAAGACTCAAATGTTCTGCAATGTTTCCCGACTGAAATTGAAGAAGATAGTGTTACGGCAAACTTCTGCTCATATCAAATACTTTAATATCATCGGCAGACGCTTTTTCGAGTTTCCTTTTGAAATTCGGATCACTTTCCAGAATTTCCACAACTTCTTTTAAATAGCGTCCATATTCAAGCTTGTCTATCTAAAGAAAAATAACAGATAGATATTCGAAATTGAAGAATTCTTCAAAGATACCATATCATCAGAATCTTCATTATTACTTGAAGGTGCTGGCGCTTTTCCTCGTCTAGCATTTTCTACAACAGGTGGAGCACCAACAGCAGCCAGAAGTACACAAACATGTAATAAATAAATTAATAATTTCATGATTAATCTAGAAAATCTTGAAATTAAGTCATATGAACGATTTATTTTATGTTTGAAACAGAGAATTTAACAATGAACCGTTCGATTTGACATGAATTGATGTACAAGCCGTTTGTTTTAAATTTGGCGTTCAGTTTTTAAACATTACACTACATGAGCGCTTATTCATCGTTCCTTTTCGCAGAATAGACGCCAATTGTCGTCAACATCCTTGATCAACTGTGGATTGCGTTGGATGCATTTTGCTGCGCCAATAAAGAACAGAAAACTTAGAGGCCGCTCAACGTTTTGACAAATTGGCAACTGATGTATTAGCAAAATATAATCAATGAGCATTCAGAGAAAATGAACAAAAAAAAGCAAATACTGAGTTTACAAATCATCTAGGTTCGAGCATCTTTTACGAAAACTTCATTTCTAGATTAGAATTCTTATCGAAAAAGCAATTGTGAGAGAATTCAATACTTTCTATCAGTAAAAGTATGTCATGCATTTCTTTGTTTTGTTGCTGTTGTTTGCCTATAGATAAACTATTAATTAAATTTCGACCTTGACAACGAAACCAAATCTCACTTTACATATTTAGATGTTTTTTCGATATTAGAATTCGAGAAACATGTCAGTATATAAAGTGGGATAGTATAAACGAATGTCAAATAGTATACATATCCCTCAATTTCTCAAGCGGACTTTATAGCGCGGATTGTACTCTCAGTCTATTTAGATGATTCGTATATTTTCATTACTTCTTGTTACTTCAGCATTCATTTATGCTATTGAAAGTAAGTATATGTGTTCAAACTACATATATCACTATGATAGATATTTAGGTGCGACAGATCATAAACCTGTAGCTGCTGGTGCAAAGGGATGCGCACCAGTCAAGTGTCATGGTAAAACGAAAACATGTCCCTATGGTTATGAAAAAAAGAATGGTTGTGAGATCTGCAAATGTCATGATCCGTGTAACCCACAGGGAAAAGTATTGAACGAATTGTTTGTCTTTGCATAGAGGTGATCGGGTTTTGCGTCATTTTAGTCAAGAGTTTGTGGCAAAAAGGAACGATGTCACGTTGAAAAGAAACCTGATGGAACATTTGGAACTCGTTGCGATGCAGCAGCGAAAAAAACAGGCAAATCTGGAAAATTTGATCCTAAAGGTAATTTTGTCCTTGCCATATTTCATCATAAATGAAACTTGTTCGTTATTTCTATCTCGATAGATTGCCATTTACCTTCAGCAGTCGGACCATGTAGGGCAGCGATACCACGTTTTTATTATAACACAGCCGCGAAAACTTGTGAGGAATTCACCTATGGAGGATGTCTTGGCAACAAAAATAATTTCAAGTCGAAATCCGAATGTGAACGTTCATGCAAGCAATGATCAATCTTCATCGGAGTAGACTAAATATTTAGTTTGAGATTCCTACACTGATAGGATATTTCATTTGTGTGTGTGTGTGTGTGTGTGTATGTCATATTAATACTTTGATTAATATTAATCTTTCTTTATGAAAATAATCATGCATTGATTTAGTTTTTCAAATTTCAGACTTTAGCTACTCATCTATAAGGGTGATGCTTTCACTTCGATATGTTTTGGTCATTTCCTTCTGCTTCTGTATTAATAACAAACATCTTGTGTCGAATAAACGAAATTGCTATTCGTCGATAGGACGCCGTCAGAATATTCATATATATTTGAAGAATACAGGCGAGAATGTCCTTTGGAAAATGTCCGCGAACGAAAAGAAAAAGGACATTTCGTCCGAGGACATTCTGGACTGTTACCTATTTTTTGAAGAGCATAAACTTGTGCCGAAGTTGTAAATCTACTCCTACCGAATTTTTCTTTTCTAGATGTTTCGTCTTTTGTCTTTGATCACTCTCAGTATAGTTTTATTCTATACTATTGGAAGTAAGTTATTTATAATCAAAACATATTCCAAATCTTGATCGATTTCATCTAGGTACTTTGGCTGCTGAACGATTTGTTACTGGAAAAATTACTCATGATGGTGTCAATCATATCGAAAAAAATTCCAAAGTTGAAGTTAGATTACAAGATATTAGTCTGATGGACGCAGCAGCAAAAGTAATTGCATTAGTAACTATTACCCAAGCTACCGAATTTCCCATTCCATTTAAAATCGAATATAATTCAGCAGAGATCAAATCTCATCGTAGTTATTCAGTAGCTGTTCGAATCAATGGTCCTAACAATCAACTTCAATTCATAAATGACATGAATATACGCGTTGATCTCACTAAACCATCACCAACAGCTGATGTTCCTGTTATTCGAAGTAACTGACTACAACATGTTGATGGGACAGATCTTCAATAAGAGTTATATTCTTGTAGTCGGTAAAGCCCCTAATATGGTGTCATCAAAAACAAAAGATAAGAAGGTATGCGGACCGGTGAAATGTCCCGGTAAATCCAGAGTCTGTCCATATGGATTTCAAAAGTTAGATGGCTGTGAAATTTGTAAATGTCACGATCCATGTAATCCACCAGGAAAGGTTCGAATTCACTGGAAAATGTTCTTCTCAAAAGAGTGTATGTTTATCTTTTAGCCAATACTATGTGGACCACATCAACGATGTTTCGTTCAAAAAAATGCTAATGGTACATTTGGTACACGTTGTGATACGGTAGCCAAGAAACATACTAAGAAGATAACCGATCCAAAAGGTACTTTGACTTTTCCTTTCAATTAGAATGAATATATCATCGTTCATTTTAGTCGTCTGTAAACAACCCTCAGTTACTGGTCCATGTAAAGCCTATTTTAAGCGCTTTTATTACAATTCATCAAAGAAATCCTGTGAAAATTTCGCTTACGGAGGATGTGCTGGCAACGAAAACAATTTTGCCACCAAAGCTGAATGCGAAAAAACCTGCAAACTTCAATAGATGAACAGCTACGAAGACTTTCATTTTCCCCTGCTGCTTTCGTCTCATTAAATAATCAACATTCATATTATTCTGAGTGTAATTAATCGTTTAATTCTTCAAATTTTCTCTCTCTTTTCCTCCATACACATTTCAAACGTATACTATTCGACTGCCGATTTTCTTTCTTTTTTCCTTCATTTATGCGTGCGTGTTATATATACCAATGAGTCATAGTTAACAGAACGAAAAACACAACGATTTACTAAGCAATATTTGCTCCGTAAACGACTATAAAAACCCTGTTGCAGCACTGAAAACGTTAAGATTGTACTTCACAGGATCATTTTCTGTAGTACATATCGACAAAACACCCATAGCCAAAGAAGACCCAAACAACCCACGATGACGAGTGGCAGTGGTTCTTCTTGAGCGTGAAGTAGGATGGGGCTGCTCTCTTCTCGAGAGCTCGGCCTGCTTCCTTTGATGATCGCACCTTGTTGCGTCCTCGTGATGCGGCAAGGAGGGAAGCGACCACATTCAGAGTGGTTGGCTACGGGATTTTCTTTTTAAATCAAAAATAAAAGAAAAAAGTAGAGCCGGATAGAAATATACTGATCACGATATGTGCTTCGTTTTCAGCTGAGTGTTGTTTTAATTCTCATTGGCACACATAGTCTACGAATAGCAGAGATGGGGAAGTCAAGTCAAACTTAACTTGATTCGATTTAAAATTAGGCTACTAATTCAAATTCAGTAGGAGCCATAAAAGGAGCGGTTTTAATGAATATTTTGAACTTCTGTATCACTATCATGTTAGAAAAGTAACTTATATTGGCTTATGGTCAAAGCCAACTGGACTTCACGTTGTTAAATTTGACTTGACTTGCCGATATCTACTTTGTAGCCATTTATTTCAAAAATGTTTAGTGCTTTGTCGTTAGTTTCGTACATTTTCATGTAAACGAATAACTTATCGTTGAATTATTGGCCTTATGACACTCTGATCAACAATTTATTCTCATGGACTTTTCTTTTACGAAATAACAAAGAGTTTATATGAAGTTGCAATGAACACTGGCGCTTGTCAAAGATGAGGATTACCAAAGGTCAGCACATTATTTGGCAGTAATTTGAAGCTTCACGTGGCGCTGAATGTTCGTCGACAAATCAGTCAATGATCGTTGAGCTACAGCTGCTAGTTTACCATTTCGTGTGGATGGTTCAAATGATAATCTGATATTTTATCGAGTGAGTGCGGTATTCATTAGCTCCTTCAAGACCGGATTATTTTCGTCTAATCAATTATAATCCATCAAATATAGAAAAATCTATCCAATGACTTGCATTCTTGGATTGAATTGTGCTTATTTGTCTTTGTAGAAACATGTTCGAACGCGCATATGCGTTTTCAAGTCTCGAAAGACTAAAACCCTTGCGGTTTATATTATACATACTCGTTTTGTTTTACATTTTTATTTTAATTTCAGGAAAGAACAGAAGAAAAAATCGTTTCGTGTCAGTCCACGCTTGTTCATTTAAAAGAAGACTTTTTCTCAATGACAAAAAAGGATATGGCCATGTTCTATTGATCAGAGTTATTCTTCACGGATACCTTCGCTTCATCTACAAATAAAAATGTTATTGTATGCATGATTAGCATATTTAGATTTTAACTGCGCTACACACCCATAATAGTGTTCTCAACCATCACATTCGTTTAGTTTTCGCCGTATTCCATGTCGAAAAATTCGATGATCAGATTTGGTAGGCTCCGTCTAGAATCGAGAAGTACCTGTCAGAACCGGTAACGGCCACTGGCTCCTTCAGCCAGATTTCAAGCATTTTCTGACCGTTTCGTGAATATATTTGCTTATTATCATGTTAGAATCCCACAACTCGTTCATTCTGAGCAGAGCAAGATTGCCTCTTTCACACATTCGGAAGCCACTGAAAAGTCGTGTTCAATGATATAGATACAGAAACGGTGATATTGATTGGATGTGAGCAATATACTACGTTTTTTTTTCTTTCCTCTACTTCTTCACTTCATATAAAATTCACAATAGAAACGCAACTTAATGACATCATTTCATTTAGTGACTATACAGCCATAATTGAACGAAAGAGAAAAGAGAAGTATTCATAATAAGAATTTATATCCGTTAGAATTGTAGTGTATATTATAATTTAAGTTCCACAGTCCACAAAAGTTACTCAGATAGTGCCTCATTCAGATCCCTCACATAGATATGTAGTTTTTTTTAATCTGAACGCACTCTAGATGTACATCAACGTCTTAACGAAGTACGCGTGCGTCGCAGAAAAAGATAATAATGAATAGATCTAAAACGATTGTAAAAGACGCATTTGATGTCTTTGATTCGAACTAACTACATCTATACCGATGGATGAATATCGTTAACCGAACGAAAAACACAACGATTTACTATGCAATATTTGCTCCGTAAACGACTATAAAAACCCTGTTGCAGCACTGAAAACGTTAAGATTGTACTTCACAGGATCATTTTCTGTAGTACATATCGACAAAACACCCATAGCCAAAGAAGACCCAAACAACCCACGATGACGAGTGGCAGTGGTTCTTCTTGAGCGTGAAGTAGGATGGGGCTGCTCTCTTCTCGAGAGCTCGGCCTGCTTCCTTTGATGATCGCACCTTGTTGCGTCCTCGTGATGCGGCAAGGAGGGAAGCGACCACATTCAGAGTGGTTGGCTACGGGATTTTCTTTTTAAATTAAAAGTAAAAATGACTGAGACATTCTAACTCGCACGAGTTATTCAGTCTAGTCGATGAAATTGTGTTTTCAATTGATTCAATAGGGTATAATAAATCAACAGATCAGCCCAAAAGTATTTCGATTTTATGATCATCTACTCATTAAATATTAAACTCAATTATGAATAGTCTGTTCACGGCATGTAGAGTGATTTAAAATCGCTGGAACATTGAAACATTCTTTTTCTGTCTTGCTTCCGGAATAGTAATTTTCTTTCTTTCTTTCTCATTAAATTCTGATGGTCCATCATACATGATGAATCGAAAGAGAAGAGACACAAGCATCTGATTCGATCCATTAACTTTCTGACAGATCAAAGTATTAACCATACGATGTGAACAAATGTATGAAAAATTATCAATTTTGCTTTTTGCATTTAATCAAGAAAAAAAAACACGACGAAGACCGATTACATTTATGTTCTAACTTTAGTCATAGTCTTGCAATAAACTTAATTTCCAATCTGACATTGACATCAACAACGTATGTCTACTTGAACTCGAGGCGTTAATCAAGAAGTTGTGTCTAGAAGAAATCGAATGACCTCCATCATATGACAGATGACATATCCCCTTTCTACTTATGCTTCATCTTCAGTTGTTCAGCATGTTTTTCCGGTCTCTCGTTCGTTCGTTTGACACATCACTAATTCGATTCCATCGTTGTCTCATGTCATAGTGAGTTAAATTGAAAAGAAAGAAGATGATGGAGAAAATCAAACGGCTATCTTCATCGTTTGTCAATGTTCTTGAATTTGTCTTCGTTTTTTTTTGCTTTCTAAATCTAATCATGCGACAATGATAAAATGAGTGGGTGGTCGGCAGTTCACAAAAAATGAAACGCCCGTTTTGCATGTATACATATGTTCATCTATTTCACTTTCATGATAAGCCAAAGGCAAAGTTCGTTTGCAGTTTTATCAAGGACTTTCAATGACGTCGGCTACAGAAGTTGACAAAGAATGACTATTATTATGAATGGAAGCTCGATTACTTAAGGCGATGATAGATGAACTATGGAGAAAATCTTGTCGTGCGTTCAAATAGATATATATGTTTGTTCAGTTCAAGGTTTTGTAGATCATAGCTAGCTGTATTTATCTAAGTGAATAGAGTAAAAAAGAAAGATCGGATGAGATTCTAAATGCTTTTACTCTTCTTTTCTTACAAATGCGGATGCCCTCGATGAGTAAGCTCGACAATGAATATGAGAAAGAAAGTCTAATTAGGGCGTGCCAACCATGTCAATTAAGTAGAAGGGCGACATGAAGCGCGCGCATGTGTGTGATTATAATGTTTCTCTTCTTCTCTCCTGTATACTGACCAGTCGAACACGCACATCTCCAAACAACTGACACATATACGCGTGTGCTTCAAATCTTTTTTTCACATTACATCTGACCGAAAGAGATTGAAGAAGAGAGGCGGATGATCATGAAAATATAGTCCATTAGCTAATGATGATGATCATCACTATTACTACCGGTAGAATGTCGAAAAATGATACTCCTACTTGTCACTGTTTCTAACAATAACAACAGTTTTCAGTTGTTCTCTTTTCTTCTACTTCTATGGCGTACGTTTGCGGTTTTATGCTCATCTTTTTTTCCTTCTTCGTTTCTCTTTCGCTTACTCTGTACGTCTCTCTCTCTTGTTCTGTTCATTCAATATACGGGGACGAGAAAAGGAGAGAGGCAGAGCGAGAAATGAATGGATGAACAAAATCGTCTCTCTCTCTCTCCTCCGTTTTCTTTATTACCACAATTAAGTTTAGTTCTGCGACATGATGAGAGAGAGGGAGACAGTGCAACAAAGACTATACTGATGCTTGTCGCTATTACGACGAACAAAATGACAAGCGTAAGTATATGGCACACACACATTTTCTATCAAAGTAACAGGTGTCTTGAGAAATGACAATAGGATAGACAGACATCTCAGCTCTCTTGTTCACCATAGGTGGGAGACAACAGTCTGATTCGACACAAACCATATTTCGTTTTAGATGTAAAATAATGAATAAGAAAGCAGTGACTTTTGTCGAAATCGAATAATGNATCATCTACTCTTTGCTCGATTGATACTCGATAGTCACGTAGTGATGCTTACTTCCGTTCAACAACTGACTTATTTTGACAAAATGTCTTATGCAAGACTTTTCTTCTATTAACTTCCGTTGTCCTAATGATGACTTGTCGTTTTTCTTTCTTCTAGGTGAATGCTTCGATGCTGACGATGACAATGCTCGTATTTGTGGATCAATCACGCCTGATACAGTTTTGTATACACTCTTCCGGGGTAAGATAATAAAATCAGAACAAGAATATGTAACCTGTCCATCACAATCGACATTAATTAACAGTAAAGAAAATCCGGTAGTGCGTGCGTGATAGGATAAAAAAAGAAAACGTCCATAGGCTATGATAATCTACTCTCTAGTGAACAGACAAAATACTGACCGACATAACACATACATGGAGCAGCTGAATGTTCACTGACCTAGATAAACACAGGAAATTAGCGAAGCTCCCGGCGCCGCCAGCTCGCCCGATGAAAGTGAATTTACCACGAACGAAAAAGAAATGTTTGTATCGAGATGGACAAAGTCATCATACATATGTTATAATTCAATTACAAACATGAAGAAATATTTGTGAACATGTTGTTTGATTAGATAATGCGGAATCAACTTCATGTCCTTTTGAACAATCATGGTATTTTGACAAAAATCGCCAACTATCGACATCGTGTCAACCAAAAGCATTTCAACATTGTTCTTCCTCGAATACATTCCAGTTAACGTACAACAGTCGATGTGCAGCAAATCAAAGTAAGAGAGCGATTGATTCGAAGATATTGTCTCATCGTGTGAAATAGATGTAAGAGCAACATGCTTCGCTCAATTCACTGATGGAAACGTCAATTATGTCGTGGCTCGAAGTCTCGATCGTCAACGATTCGTCTGTTTTGTAAGTTCGAGACTTTGTCACAAAATATAGTCATTGTCCGGTCGTTTTAGTCATATACGAAAACAAAACGTGATGAACAACATATTGCGCCTAATGAAGTTTATCTATCTGCTGATGATACATGTCGAGATCTACCAACAAGAGAGTCCGCTGTTGTGTTAAATGTGCTTCCAAGTATTAACTTTCTCTATATTCTGCGAAATTTTTGTAAACGTGATATCCTATATAGGTTCGTATCAGCATCAATTAGAATCGAATATTCATTTACCCACATGGGTTCACGGTCGCTGGTTAACTGTTGGAACAAATGGTTTACATGCCAATGTAGTTTATATCAATAATAGTCAATTGCTTGTAAAAAAGAATAATGATCAAACGGTTGTTCATGATTTGAAATTCACACGTTTAATGACCAGTAAACGACCCAACGAGCAGATCATTCGCATCAAAGCAAAATCTATGGAACAATGGTAAGAACTATTATTCTTTGGGTTTTATGCATAATTAAGTGAAATTTTTAGTTCATCTATCTTTTATTGTATAAAAATTGTCCATCGCTCCTCATTCGTCATCGATCTTTCAATCGGTAAACGCTCTCTTTCTATCGATTGAAAAAAAATATCATATATTTTAGGTTTCGATGATCACGGATGTAAAGACACTCATTTGCATCAGACAATTTTCAGTAAGAACTTCCGCTATGAAATCATTCGTTATATATTCACCTTAAACTTCTAGAATCTTCCACGATCTCCAATGTTTCCTGTCCACAAATCGGTATTTATAAATCTTCAAGTACTTATCGACCGCTTATCCCTGTTTCCACATGTACAACGGGTGTTTGGATCTTGTCAATTGGATGTGAATCAACAAATAAAAGTGAATTAACCTTTTCGTCCACATGTCGTCATGAAACTGTACCTGATGTTCAAATCATAACATCAATTAAAGGTGTATGTTTGGCATCATGGCGTACAGACCATCGGTTTCAACGTACGATTATTCTTTACGAACAAAACCGAGCTTTTTGTCTGGTAACATCATTTCTCCATTTCTCTTTCCATTATAAAAGTTTCCTTTGCATAGATTCAACCATTGAAAAGTATGACAGCAAGTTGGATTATATCCGATTCGAGCTGTACACATTTCAGTGCATCATCAATCAATGTTGAGAATAGTCTCAGATATTCGGATACGTGTGAGCAATACAAGAGAACTTATCAATATTTAACAACAAATCATAGTTCAATGTCGAGAATATCATATTTATTGTTTTGTTTTTTATTTGTTCTTTTTCTATGCAAGTATTAAAATAAATAAAAATAAACATGATTTTTTTTCTGTGAGATATTCTCTTTATTTCAAAAAAGAAATACACGAGTTCATATCCGAGAAAATCTTATATGAAAATGCATATTACACAAAATTTGACAGCTTGATTTCATATCTCATAGCACAAATGGATCTTTTTTCAACACAAAATAGATATACGCCTAGTGTAAGAGCAGAAGAAAAGCAACCGTACAGAGAGATATATAAATATACACACTGTTTAGAAAATGAGAAGTATGTACAAAAGTAAAGGAAAACGATATGATGTTGTTAACTGCTACAACACCCATTACGTCGTGGTTGGACATTCTGTGCGATTTCGATCGGTTGACTTTGATTGGAATTGGCAGATTTTGGACCTGTTTTCACTCCGTCCCATCTGAAGAGAAGAATATTCCGAAAACAAAAACGATTGAAGAGGAAATACATACCCGCTTTGAACATGTATGCGTCCTTCGGTGAGCATATCGTAGATTTCGCGAGCTATCATTGTGAATGCTTCTTGAACGTATAGAGATGATTTAGAAGACGTTTCAATAAATGAAATATTATGGAAATCAGCAAATGCTTTGCCTTCTTCGGTTGTCACCTACGACAGAATAAGATTTTGTAAGAAAGAACTGAGTGAATGAGTTTATCTTTACTTGACGTTCCGATTCGCGATCGATTTTCGTACCGACAAGCAGAAAGACTGAATGATAAGGTTGAATTTGTGCACGAGCTTCATTTAACCAACTTGTCACATGTGTAAAACTCACATAGTTAGTTGTATCATATATCAGAAGGACACCGACTGAATTTCGATAATACGCGCGTGTTATACTCCTACAAAATACAAAGTTTCATGTGTTTATTTCAATAAAACTATCATACCGAAATCGTTCTTGTCCAGCTGTGTCCCATAGCTGTAGTTTGACTTTGACACCAGGTTTAACTTCAACAATGCGCACATTAAAATCAACACCAACAGTCGGATCCTATTCAGATGAATATCGTTTTCATCCAATTGGAATCGATATTCAACGATTTTACTTACGGGATCTTGAGAAAAGACGCCATCACAAAAGCTCCGTAATAGTGATGACTGAAATAAAAAGCGAAACTTGTCAAATTGTTGTCAATTCATTTAATATTGAACTTACCTTTCCAACTGTTGAATCTCCCACAACTATCAGACGAAATTGATAATCATAACTGTACATATTATCCATTATACTATAGATATCTGGATTTTAATCGACATAAAAGAAGTTTGAAAACAAAATCTGAAATTTTTTTTCTAAAATGATATGCTTAGATACATCTCGTCCGGAATTGACGAATAAATAAGGAAAAAATCATGTTCCGCATCGTTTTTTTCTCTTCCCAACAGATTCATAGAATTTCTCTGGAGAATTTTTTCGATAGACGTCAGTTCAATAATAAGAAGGAAACTCTTTGTTTCTTAAGATATACTTTGCTATGTTGATTAGTCATCAAGTTTTCGAATGTTTTACAACGGAAGAAAATAGCTCGTCAAAATCATCTTGGAGAAGAAAAATACAAGGAAAGGATGTCAACAGCTGTATACAAAAGAACGAAGAAAACCGAGAGAGAGAGAACGAATCATTCGTTCTCTGACGTCACTAATCAAATTGCTCGATTTGAATGCATAGAAGATAAACCCTCAATTCGAAACCTCTTAGATTTCATATTAGTAATGATAATTTCATATCGAATGACTAGTGAAGGTTATAAAAAGGATAAAATATCTTTCTTATGAACAAAAGCTGTCATAGTCAGGTATTTCATCGATTGTTGGACGTACATCACCCTTTTATTGTTCAACACATTTCAAATAACATATGACGCTTGTCTGGAACATTCGCGTATGTTTGGAAAATTTCAATGAATAAATTGTTTGGCATATGCGTCGTATGCAACGTGATAACATGTATCAAATGATCTTATGTTTTAAGAGGATTTGATTGATTAAGCCATTGTATCTCCTCACGTGCGAAATAAACTTTGTTGGAATTGGTTTATTTTTAAGCAATTAAAATGTGAATACGAGTTTCGCTTGAGTACGTGAATAGATCAAAGATTCAAAATGGAAGGAAACTCCAGTTTTAAATGAATTATCGGATTTATGGATAATCAGCTAATTCGGAGTGGAATGATAGATGTCGATAATATCAGTATTTTTATGGAAGTGATGTTGTCACTGAAAATGAACGAATACGATGAAGTGAAGTGAAGTGAATGATTTCGAAGGGAAAAGAACATCTATTGTATTGAAAAACTGTCGGATTCTTTTGCGATGACGATAAATCATTCCGACAGAGTAAAAATCTATTTTTCTTCTGTTTCAACGAACATCAATGCTAAAATCGCAAGATTGATGGCAAAATTTCCAAGAGAACTCTTTCTTCTTCATCAGTGTAGCACTGGTAGAGAAAAGCAATAACATGAAAACAGCAACCATTGATGATCTTTCGAATCTTATTATTATCAAAGGTGTTGACACATAGTACGTCAGAGCAGAAGTCTAGGATTAATGGTAGAATTAACAAATCAACGATAGTCCATGATCTTTACCAATTCTGGATACGATTCATTGAAAAATGTCATTTTTACGATGATGTACTTGAGAAAAATATTTACTTTTCGTTTTTATCGCTTTGATGATATCTATTAGAAAACGGAAAACACAACATACGATTGTTTACATTGGTTAAGCAGATCCAGAGATGTGCTTTGAATATGGAATGTTTATACTATGCCTGTTTTTTGTTTTCTATGTCGAAGTCAGACGGGTTTATCTATTAATAACAGAGTGTATACTGTTAATAGGTGTTCGGGAAGAATTTTTCCCTTTATTCAGGCAAAAAAAGAAAAAGAATAAAGAGAAATCAACAAATCGTGTCAGTGAAATATGCTAGAAAGTCCCATATGTTTATCTCTGGCTAGACTATTTTGTTCTTGTATTTGTTTTCTTAAAGATATGAAGGCTTCAACAATTTACACACGTCAAAGAACACGCGGTTGCTTTGTCAAGAAATATAGATAGAGTACGATACTAGAAGAGAAGACGAAGAAGAACAGGTTAGGCAGTTAAATTTGTCTAAGTAGGAATAAACAGAGACATAGAAGAAGAAAACAAAGGTTGAGCTGCAAAGGTTTCTTTCCAAAAAAAAAATACAACTTGAAGAAATTAAATAAAACAAATAGATTTGTTTCGAGAAAATTTTCTTTGATTTTCACTTTTTCCACGCGGACACACACACGCACGCCAGGACAAATACGTATATATATTTATAATATGATTAGTGTTTATTTAACCATTTGTCTAATTTCACGATTGATCGACATGTAAGCTGTATGCAGCAGTAATCTCTCCTTTGTCGTTTGAAACAGTTACGTGATATTGACCTTCATCTGTTGCTAAGACAACAGGAATTTCGAATGAAAATTCGGTGTCAGCATTAGTAAATATGAATCGACTTGATTCGCGATCAAGAGGTTTGCCATTGAGATGCCATTCAGCTATTCGGAGGAGAAAAAGAATATATGAAAATTCGGTATGATGATTTAGAGTCTTTCCTATTACCAGTCATAGGTGTTGAACCAGTAAGTTTGCATGAAAATTTAGCTTTACCACCTTCCTCTAAACTGATACTTTGTGGAAATTGACCAAAGCATGGATCAAGTGGTTCTTCATCACGAGCTAAGAGACAAGAACGAATGATTTAGACTCAAGTGTTGTCTTTCATGTACCCTGAATGATGACTGAACAAGCTGAGATACGTGGAGTTGTTGCTGATTGACTTTTCATCAGAGCAGAAAAGACACCAGAATCTTCGGGGAACCTAAAATATCGAATAGAGATCAACCAAAAATCGACATCAAGATTTTCTTTTATTGTCCATTACACTTCAGTGACGACTAATTTGTGTACATTTCCGTCACGTTCTCGTCGAAAATCTGGATTTTCTGGGATTTCTTTGCTGTTACGCAGCCATGTTACTTCAACTTCTTCATTACCACCTGAATATAAATAAGAGAAACATTACCTTTTTTCAAGAGATAATTAATTGATACTCACTCTCCACGGAACATTCCAATGTTAATGGATCACCTTCCATTAAATTTTGTGATTTAATATGTTTAGAAAATTTCGCTTTGGCTTCAGCTGGTTTCTCTTGTGGTTCTTCTTCTTCTTTCTTTTTCGGTTCAGGTTCAGGTTTTGGTTCTTCTTCTGGTTTTTTCTCCGGTTCCTCAGCGGGTGCAGCGGCAGGCTCTTCAGCTGGTGCAGCAGCCGCAGCCGGAGCAGCTTTAGACTTAGCGTCTTCGGCCTGTAATTAACAAGATAAGTAAAAATAATTTGGATAGTACTACAAAATATGTCAACTGACTTTTTTCTTGTCATCGACAGCTGGTTTCTTAGTCTTATCATCAACTGGTTTCTTCGCAGGTTCTTTCTTTTCTTCCACTTTCTTCTCTTCAGCTTTCTTTGCTGGTTCAGGTTTTTTCAAAGCAGCAGCTCCAACTGGTTTCTTTTCAGGCGCAGCGGGAGTGGCTGGTTTCTTTGCAGGAGCGGCTTTGCCAGCAGCTGGCTTCTTTTCAGGCTCAGGTGCTGGTGCTGGGGCTGGAGCTGGCTCAGGTACTGGTTCGGGTGCAGCAGCAGCTGCAGCTGGTGTTGGCTCAGTGCCAACGGGTGCTTCGACTGGTGTAGGTTCTGTTGTAATGTTGGCACTTTCGGGAACCTCGGCAACAGCTTCTGATGGAAGTTTTTCTTCAACTTTAGCAGCAGTTTCACTAGCAGCTCCTTCAGTTGGTTCGGGTGGAGCAGCAGCAGCAACAGAAGCTTCTTCACTTGCTGCTGTTGGCGCTTCAGCTTTAACAGCTGTTTCATCTTCTTGTGCTAATGATGCAGCGTATTCTGCTTCATTATCTCCAGGTACATGAGCTATAATAGTAAGAATAATAAGAATGAATGAATGGAATCGATTGATTAGTTATCGAGTCGATGAATTAGAAAGATACCTTTAACAGTGAGCTGAGCACTGGATGTATTCGAGCCTTCTTCATTTGTGGCTCGACAAATATATTCACCACTATCATCTACTTTTACTTTTTTGGTAATGAGTGTAGCTACATCATCATCGTAGCTTTCTTGAAAACGAGATTCAGTTGGCAAAGACTAAAATGAAATAGTTTTTCAGTTTGAAGATGGTTCGATATTCTTTCCAGAAATTCTCACTTCGCCATTCTTCAACCATTCGATTTTAGGTGTTGGTTTACCCTTTACTTCACAACGAAGTTTAGCATTAGCGCCTGAATAAACAAAATGAATGCCATATGTATAACAAATTCAAGCTTTTGATTGACGTACCTTCGTAGACAGTAGTATCGGAAAGTTGTTCGCTAAACGTCGGTGGATCACGTCGTTCTTTGCGTTCTAAATGACAGGGACAATAAATTCTTTATAATGAGAAATCATTTATCAATAGATCAACTAGGGAATGCAGCTTTTTTTTTGTCTATCTATATTTGTCATTGAGATAAAAAGAAACCGTTTCCTCTTTATGTTCGTATGGTGAGATATGGCTTATCAAAATATCAGAGTAATAGTCGTTAGATGCCAAAGAAATAACATATCTTACTTGGTTTTTCGACTTCAAGTGTATCACGTGAAGATTTCTCGCCAGCACCTAATTTATCACGCCAGTTTCCGTCTCTACCGGAAGCACGTGGTGGCGAGGGTGAACGTGCTCGAGTTGAAGTATCACTTTCGCCTGGTCGAGCTGAAACAGCTCGTCGTGTTCGACGAATTTCTGAACAGAAGAACAACGTTTGCCGTTTTCTATAGCAAAATATTCTTTTAGTCTACCTTCAACATGAACTAAGGCAGTTGTTTCATCGGTACCCAACGGATTCGTAGCGAAACAACGATACATCCCACTATCAGATGCTTCACATGCTGTTATTTCTAACGTGCAAACACCGTGAACATATGATGTTGCATAATGTGAATCATGATCACTCAATTGTGTACGATCTTTAAACCATTGTACCTAGGTGACGGTAATGAAGAAGAAACATTGTCTTTGACAATTCAACAAATCCAATTATTACTGACCTTTGGTGGCGGTTTACCACCAACACAACAAATTAATTTACAACCGACGCCTTCTTGAATAAGACGTGGTCGTAACATGAATGTAAAGATAGGTTTCGAGTCGGGTTCGCGCCATACATCAGCTAAGTCTGGTGCAGGGCGTCGAGTATGGCTTGTAGCTCGATGTTCGACATGTGGTATTTCGGGAAGTGCTAAACGAAAACATAGATCAATTAGTTTACAACTACAAATGATTTCAAATGAAGAAAAAATGGAAAATTGCCGGAGTAAGAACAAGAAGAAAAAAAACAAATTTTCCGCTTACAAATTGGACCAACGGACTTTGCACGATGAAGTAGCCGTTGGCGATAGAGTGAACGATAAGCATATGGTGTTTCGAAATTATGATGTCGTGATGAACCACCGTACATAACACGTGAAAAGCTCGAATAATTCGATGATGAATCGTAATAGAAGTTGTCCATCTCTCCCTCTTACAGCAGCTACAGCAGTAGAGGAGTGATGATAAAAAAACAATAAGAGAAGAGAGAAACGCAAGCAAACAACCTAAACAAGACTATCTAAACCGCATGAAAGACGAGAGAGTTGTTGGCACCACATATGGTGGTTCCCTTTTCTCCATGCTGATTCTATTAGGACACATATATATCTACGCAGAAGAAACTACATAGATCATGTCCCTCGAACTGCGCTATACGCATACACACGCATGCACAGAGATACACGCAAAATGTCTGTTTTACTCAATGGTATTGGCTCTAATAGAATAACATCATCATTATACGGATGCTCGCGTACACATATACATAAGAATAGCGAAGAAGATACAACCACTTCTATCCTCTTTCTTTTAGGAAGTCCCATATAAATGCAGAAATATTCTCGGCTACCACCACCGCAAATCAACAACAACAACAACTCTCCTAATACCCATATCGTTAATTATTCCTCTTCAGTTTTTTCTTCTTTCTTTTCTTGACTTTTCCATCATCAACAATTCTTTTATACCAAACCGAGAACACGACGAGAAAAAGAACAAATACAGCTCGTATCCTGCCTGTACATCATATCATCTTACTTCTCCTACATGTTCTTTTCCTCTTGATTTTTCATATTACTGATCCAGATATATCCCCTACATTTTTCTTCCATTCTTAGCCTTCTGATGAGAAAAACAACACATCACTACTAAATTGTTTCCTATATAGAACTTTCTCGCGCCTACCAGTTCCTGATCAATCTAAGATGCCTACGATTTTGTCTATAACCACCATCAAAAACACATTAATATCCTTCTCCGATTTTTCTTCTATACAATAAAATATTTCAATAGTAATTCATTGACAACCGAAAAACAAAATAGAGCCGATTCAAACAGACGATCTATCTGTATATCACCATATCTTATGTAAAAATATTCCAAGGCTATATTTGCTTCCTCGATATAGAGACTGATGACGTCGACAATAACGACATTGCTGAAAGTCAAGAGTCTCATTAGGAACGTGCATATCTACCCGATACGACATTGGCAAAAGCAAGAAGCGATTGATAGAATCTATCGATAACCTACAACCAAAAAGAAGGATAGGAGGCATTTGCAGACATAGGGAAATCTAATTCACATCGTGTAATCTTCAACGTTTAATGGTGTTGACAAATCTGTTCTATCAGATGTCGCTGATACTAAGATACAGATGGCTTGCGTTTAGAGGATACGTTATGTAATCAAGAAAACGCGCAGAAAGTTCATTATATATATAATGATAAAAACATAATGCTCGCATAATCAATTGAGAAAGATAAACTAACTATGTTATACAATAAGCGAATAATTGTGAAATAATTGAATCGACCGATACTCACATTCAACAGTTAAGAAGACAGCGTAATCTTTATCGCCATAACTGTTCGATGCTCGAACGATATATTCGCCTTTATCATCTTTGACACAGCGTTTGATTTCAAGTTTGTAATTATTTCGATCGTATTTCTTCAAATGTTTTGTTGATTGACGAATTTCCAGATTGTCACGGAACCTGCATAGATACAGTGAGCACTTTTGTTTTTCATGAGAAAATCGATCGTTACCAGGAGACAACTGGTGGTGATACAGCAAGAATACGACAATCGAATTCAGCATTATTTCCTTCTAAGACATGAGCATTGCGAGGACGAACAACAAAACGTGGAGCAGCTTCTCGACGATCTACAATACACGAGATTGCATTGATTTCGAATGAAAAGATATGACTTTATACCCCAAGAAGTGCTATAAATCTTATAATCTGCTGGTTTATTCTTTCGAAGTGAACTCCAGTTAGCCATACGGCCAAGACCAATCGCTGGATCGGGATAATCAGCCTATAGATCGATTGAAAATAAGTTCATCGAAAATTTTGAAAAACAAAAGTCATACATATCGACCACGAATACGTCGACGAACATCATCGTATCTACTTGATGGAATTCGTGAATCGAATTCAGGACGATCTTCGCGTAACCATGGATGATCAAGTGCATCGTGTATGGTCATACGTGCGCTGGAAAACATGGATTGCCTAAATTTCTGGAATTCAATATAGAATTAATCTTACTTTCGATTTTTTAATAAAAGTTTCTTGATAAAGTCTTTGCCATCATCCGATATACCACCGAAGACATCGTTCGGAAAATGTAAGTCACATTTACGTATGCTGTCTTTTGTTTGATCTTCGTTATCACCACCAAACGGCGATAAACCACTCAAACTAAATATAAATTGAACGCAATCAATTGAGAACATGTTTTTTCTTTAACAACGAACATCACATAAGTGAGAACACCTGCCGCCCACATATCCGTATAAAAGCCCACAGCATCATGCTCGATGATTTCGGGTGCAGCAAATTCCACTGTTGCTGCGCTCACTTTAACAACTTCATCTGGATCAAGTTTTGTAGCTAAACCAAAGTCACATATTTTAACATTCGTGCTATTTTTGGTTTCACACATAATATTCTCCGGCTAAAGGTAGAACAAACATACATTTCCTGAGAAGAACTTGCATTATTTCTTACTTTCAAATCAAGATGAACAATGTTATTTTCATGCATATGTTTAAGACCTTGACAAATTTGTCGCATATATTTAATTGCTTCTGCTTCGGTCATTTTGTAATTTGGATCGGCGATACGATCGAATAAATCTCCACCAGCAATAAATTCTGTAACCATAGCCATCTCGGCATCTTCTTCAAATGCATCATGTAGATTCAGTAGTTTCGGATGGTTCATTTTCGACATGACATCAATTTCACGACGAACTGTTTCTTTATCAGCTGTGGTGGGTGTCGCAATGAACTTAGCTGCGTAAGTTTTTCCCGTGGCCTTTTCGATACAACGATGAACAACACCAAAAGCGCCACTTAACAAAAAAATATACATTTTACGATTAGAGTAAACAAATCTTAGTTTCGATTTACCGTCCAACTTCTTCGAGAATATCATAATAGTCGTAAATACTCGCATGTTTTAATGCAGCTGGTTGTGGTTGACGGCCTTTGTCCCAAATATCCCAGACTACAAAAATTCAATCGAATAGAAGACGATGGTCTTACGAAAACGGAAAATACGTACAGCATCGATCGTAATTGTCGAGTGGCGGAAGATCATTTCTTCGTCTTCGAGATGAATCGTCATCTTTTCCTGGACGTCGTCTATTACTTGCGTTTGAATCTAGAATGAATATCGGAAAGGAACGATTGTTTTTCACCTGCAATGCAATTTAAAATTACCTTGTGTTTGAACTGTATTAGTTGGTTCAGAAGGTTCACTTGCTCCTTGAGTATTTTCCGCAGTGATGCGAAATTGATATGGTTTATTAGACAATAAATTATCTACTGTACAACGAGGTACTCGACTTGTTGCCGCTCTTGACCATTTTCCTGTGTCGGGATCAAGTTTTTCAATAACGTAGTTTTTTATAAAGCTTCCACCGGTATCTTCTGGTGGTTGCCAAGACAACGTTACTGATTCATCCGAAACTGAATCAACTTGTGGACTGCGCGGTGCGCTAGGTACATCTGGAACGAAGATGAAGAAGCTTAGTCATCGATTAGTACGATAGGATTTTTATTCTTACCTGATACACGAATACGTAGAGTAGCTTCATCTTCTCCTAGTTCGTTATCCAACTTGATTTTGTATGGTCCACTGGTATTTTTATCTGTATTTCGGATGGTCAGTGTAATACCGCGACTACCAACGTCAATCGAAACGTTTTTATCCTTAGTAAGGTCTTTTCCATCTTTAGTCAGTGTGACATTGGGTAATGGACTACCAGTATATGGAATTTTGATAACAATGGGTTCACCTTTATCATATTCGAGAACATCTTGATATTTCGCTGGTAAACGAAGACGTGGTGGTGCTAGAAAATAGAACATTATCAGTTGAAATCAGTGCGAAGAAATTGTAGTATCTTACATCGAACATTGACATTACAGCGACTTGTTCTTGAACCACCTTTATTACGTGCTTTAATACTATATTCGTCAACATCATCTGGCGTTGCATTATTGATGATTAAGATACATTTGTCACCCTCGCGAGTGATGCTGTATTTAGAACTTTCCGATAGTTGTTTAGTGCCTTTATACCTGTATGAGAAAACAAGATTATTATCGTTCTTCGTAGACAATCGAGGAGAGTCTATACCATTCGATATCTGGTGTTGGCGTACCGACGACTTCAGCTTCTAAGCGTATAGTTTTGCCTTCATTACCTTCTGCATCTCTTAATTTCGTGATAAATTCCGGCGGAGTAGATGCATTAGGGTCTTTGATCTAAGCAAGCATATTATTTACATGGAAAGGAGAACAGCGTTATTAGTTTTACCTTTGTCATTTTCGATGGGTCCGATGGTGTTCCTCTACCAGCTTCATTTTCTGGTATGACACGAAATTCATATAGATGATCTTCCATCAATGATGGAACCGTGAATCGAGTTGATTGACATGGAGATATGTTTACTGGTATCCATTTATCTGTATTCTGTTCACGTTTTTCAATATAATAACCAGTGATGGGACCACCTACATGTTCATCGTAGATTACTTTCTAATTGAACGTATAATATTCTTACCTCCATCTGAAATTGGTTTATCCCAAACTAATGTAGCAGTATTGTTTGTTAAGTCAGTTACTTCTGGTTGTCCTGGTGAACCAGGTGGTTCTATTGATTAGCGTCAAAGAGAACAAGTGACTATTTCTGAAATGAAGTCAAAGAAATTCTACATACTGAAGTTAAGTTGAGCAACGATCGGTTTCGATGAACGTAATGGATCACTAGTACCATTTTCATTGATGGCCATGACACGAAATTCATATTCATGTCCTTCAAGCAATGAAGGCACAGTAAATGTCGTATCTTTGCAATTTTGAATTACAGGTATCCACGCATCCGGTCCTCGAGATGTATCACGCTTTTCAACCACATAACCAGCTACTTTACTGCCACCGTCGTCTTTTGGTGGTTTCCATGAGAGAGTTGCATGATCTTTCGAGATATTTGATATATCAAGTGGACCAGTCGGAGGTAGTGGTGGAGCTAATTGACGAAAACAAGGCGTTTTTATGTGTGTGCTATTCGGCATTGAAACGTGAACTTACCAATAACTTTAACTTTGAGTGGTACACTACATGAACCTGAGTCATTGGCCACACTGATAGCATATTTGCCAGCATCGTCTCGTTCGGCATCTGTGAAGCAGATGATTGTGAAATAGAATTACTTATGAGATGAAAATACGAACCAGGAATAGTAACGATAATGCAATCGTCATGTTCTTGAATACGAACTCGATCATCATCCTCTAAGGGTTGATCATTCTTCTTAACTTTAAATGAGAAAGGACCTTTGCCACTGATTGGAATTTTAACTTTTAAAGTCTCGCCCAAATGAATTCGTTGTTCTTCTGGTTCTCGTTGAAGTTTGGGCGGTGCTAAACAGAGAGCAATATATTTCTCCAACTAAGTAAATGGCAAGTTCGTGACTTTACTTTTAACATGAAAAACTGCTTCACAGGAATCTTTTCCCAGTGGATTAATAATTTCACAAGTAATCTTTGAATTATTATCGGTTTCCCATGCTTCTGTGAATGTTAATGTAGACTTTAATTCATCTGTTTTCGTATTAATACGATAACGTCCAGATGATGATAATTCCAAACCATTGCGATACCATTTGACTTCCGGCGCTGGGCTTCCATCGTATTCCACAATGAATGTTGCTTCGCCATTGATTGGCGCACTGGCATCGGTTACTTTCTTCACAAATGTTGGTGCTCGACCATCTATACAAAAAAATCAAGCGATTTCAATTAAATCAATTGTCACAAAATAGAATTACTTGGAAATTCAGTTATTTTAACGCGACCAGTTGTAGAGCTTGGTTCACTTTCTCCAGCTCTGTTTACTGCTTTGACACGAAATTCAAATTCTCCATTTTCTGGTAAATCAGTAATCATCACATCGTTGTCAATTACATTGTACGGTACTGCTTTTGTCCACTGATCGCTGCCAACAGGTTTCTTTTCAATAATGTATCCTAATACTTTTGCACCACCATCATTGGTAGGTGGTGGCCACGCTAATTCAACATAATTTTTACCGACTTTCTTCACTTCTGGCATGCCGGGAGACGAGGGTGGTACTAAAAGAGAATGATGATGCTTATCTTATTTTTCCTCGAAGTCAAGTAAATTTGACATACCAAAGTCAGGTTTAAGTGTCACTGGGCGATCGAGAGTGGCATAATCTCCCCATCCGGCAGCATTTTTTGCTTTAACACGAAATTCATATGGTTTTGCCATTTGCAATTTCTCAACAGTGAAGTCATTGCTTTTAATGGGATAATCATTGGCAACTTCCCATGTGTCACTATCTGGGCTTCGCATTTCTACTTGATAAGCAGTTATTTTTGATCCGCCATCACTCTTCGGGTTATCCCATTTCAATCGAACAGAGTTTTCTGTTTGATTACCAATTTCGAAATTATGTGGAGCTTGAGGCGCATCTAAACAAGCAATCGTTTTTTAAAAGATTGAGTCACCTATCCACAACATCACATACTAAATGGGTGTTTTGCAATAATCGGTTTGTCGCTTTCCAGTGGTTGACTCTGTCCATAAATGTTTTCAGCTGATACGCGGAATTTGTATTCCGAACCTTCGTTCAGTCCCGTGACTTCATAGTATGGCGTTCGACAAAAGCTTGACACTTTTTGCCATTCGCCTTTCTTCGTATCGAATTTTTCGATAATGTAATTACTTATGGGCGAACCGCCATCATTCTTCGGCGGTTTCCATGTAAGAACACATGAATCCGGTTTAATTTCGCTAATAGCCAATGGTCCTTCGGGCGTATCTAAAGATTTCAAAACGAAGTTTCGTACGATATGCCAAAAACAGCCGATAAGCAAACCTGGTTTATCGACAACAATAACTTTCGCTTGTGCTGTGTCTTGTCCAAGATTATTTTTTAATGTGCACGAATATAAACCACTATCGCTGCCCTTCACTTTAGGTACGAACAGTTCGGCAACGCCATCTTTTACCGTGATTGCAGTGTTTCCATCTGGTTTTATTTCATCGCCACCTTTAGAAAATGTTACTTGCGGTTCGGGCGAACCAACAAACGGTATAGGGATCTTTAGATCTTCACCAGCACGAACAATAATTTCCTTTGGACCATAATTACTAAAACCGACAGCATGTGGAGCTACATCAGGTGGACGAGCTTGAATAGCACCATTCGTTTGCGCTAAAATGAGAGAACAAACAGAAAAGTTTGTAGATTGACTATTTCGACTTACCATAGTCTCCTGGTCCGGCTTTATTCACAGCTGCTACGCGAAATTCATATTCTTTGCCATTACTTAGATTCGGCACCATATACTCGACAACTGGAACTGGTTCGCGATTGACACTTTAAGATAGATTTATTCGAGAGAACTGACAAGGAAAAACGAATTCTAACTTACGGAATCCATCGATCAGTTCCCTTTTCTCTCTTTTCAATGAGATAGCCTCGAACAGGATTTCCACCATCGTTTTGTGGGCGTGCCCATTGTAATGTTATCGAATCGCTTGTATGAGCGATACATTCCGGTGTACTCGGTGCATCAGGTGGTTTAAATGGCCATTTGGCTTTAATCGGCGCATCAACCGCTAAAGGTTCCGATAGACCATTATCATTTTCGGCAGTAACTCGGAATTCATAGTTTTTTCCGTCTTCCAAACCTTTGACATCACATGTAGTACCCGAAATAGGCGGACCGACTTTTGTCCATTTATCGGTTCCTGCTACACGTTTTTCAACCACATAATGTTTCAAAGGACTACCGCCATCATCTTTCTATATTAAAAAAGTAACGCATAAGCAATTCATTCGTTCGATTTCGAACAAAATTCTTTCTTACAGGTGGTTTCCAGTTGAGAGTGCATCCTTCTGCAGTCACATTGCTTGCCTCCAAAGGACCTTCGGGCTTGGTTGGTGGAGAAAGAACATTGACTCGAAATTGAACTTGACTAGCACCTTCACTATTTTTGAGAGTCAATTTATACAAGCCTGCATCACCTCGTTCAGCTTTGCGATTTAATAAAGTAACAACATTGTCCGTTGTCTAAACCAGTTTGTATGTAAAATACTGGATTGAATCGTTTAGAAAAAAAACTTACCTTCACATTCACACGACTGTCTTCAACTAAGTCTTTTTCTTCAATTAACCATTGAGCTTGTGCTTTAGGTGTTGCTTTGTACGGAATATGTACTTCGAAATCTTTGCCGGCTTTAACTGTGATATCTTTGATACCATGTAAATCGAGAAAAGATGGCTTTTCTAAAAGCAACATAAATACAATGACCTGATCGCAATGAAAACCGAATGATAATATGTACCAGGTTGATCTTGAACAGTAATTGTATCAGTCGATCGACTAGGATCACTAGGACCAACGGCATTGACAGCGCGGACACGAAATGCCACTTCACTACCTTCTGCCAGATGAGGTACAGTATAGGATGTTTCTCGAGCTGGTACCTGAACAGCCTCAGCCCAATCACGACTACAACAATAGATAACATCTTCCAATAATATCTTCTCTTTTAACATTTCATCAAAACCGACCTATCTGGTGTTCGTTTTTCAATGATGTATCCAGTAATTTTACTTCCACCATCGTTTGCTGGCTTTTTCCATGAAAGTGAAACCGAATCCTTTGTTATTTTATCGATCTTCGGCTGATCTGGTGCATCAGCGACAAACATTGGTACTTCAGCTTTTTGTCCTCTGGTGGGTTTTGAAGGTGCTCCTGGTCCAGCACCATTCACAGCGGCAACTCGGAATTCATACGTTTGACCTTCGCGTAAACCCGATGCAGTGTATTCTGTTCCTTTTGTTGGAAGTGTATTGCATGGTACCCAATTGTTACTACCCTTTTCACGCATTTCAACATTATAACCTGATATTGGATTGCCACCGTCGTTTTTTGGTTTATCCCATTTGAGTTTCATATATGTTGAATTATATTCGGTGATTTCAGGTGTTTCTGGTGCATCAGGTGGATCTAAACAAATCTTTTCGTAGAATCGAACTTAGAATAAACATTGTTTACCATATGGTGGTTTAACCGTTATCAATGATGTTGTTTCTAATGGCTCACCAGTACCATAGATATTTTCAGCTTTAACACGAAATTTGTATTTTTTGTTTGTCTCTAAATCTTTAATTGTTCCCTTTGGTTGTACAAATACACCAGGAACTTTCTCCCATCGATCCGAGTTCTCTGGACATTTTTCAATTACATAACCTGCACAAAAAAAAGGTTCACTGTATAAAAACGAGCGTTTGATACTGTCGAATTTTACCGGTAATTTCAGCACCACCATTGTCCTTCGGTGGTTTCCACTGAAGAGAAACCGAGTCTTTGGTTGTCTCTGTTGTTTCCAATGGTCCTTCAGGCTTTCCTGGTTTGTCTAATACAATAACATCGATGTCACATTCATCTTCGCCAGAATCATTTTTCAATTGAACTTTATATTGTCCTGTATCCGAACGTTTCGATGCTGGTTTATGTAATTTCGCATGAACGTCATCGCTTTCTAACTGAATACTAGATAGAATAAAACAAGAAATACATGTTTAGATCAAAATTTATACGTTTTCCAAATGAAACTAACTCTCGAGCTGCTTGAACAGGTTCGCCATCTTTTGTCCATGTTACGGTAGGAGCAGGTGATCCATTGATAGGTAGATCAATTGTTAACGGTTCGCCCGCTCTGATACGAATTTCTTTCTTACCAAGTCCACCATTCAATCCACTAAGATCAAATGTTGGCTTTTCTAAAATACAGACGAGTTATGTTTATAAATGCTTTACATAACAAAATGTACTCATTTCTCTTCTAATATGATTTATACAGTTATCAATCTTACCTTTTTCTGGTCTGGCAGCAAGAATTTCCGATGGATCACTCGGCTCGCCTGGGCCTGCCTCATTAACGGCTGATACACGATATTCATATTCTTTATTAGCTGTAACATTGTTATCAACAAAATTCGTGCCCTAGAGAAAGAAAATAGATACATGATCATTTTTTCTCGTTCTGCATTGTTTACATATGTCTCGAAAATCGAGCGGACAGGAAAAGCAAAAAGACATCGATTAACTGTGCAATTTATGCATCTCCTGTATACATATAAACATCGGTGATCATTCGAAAAAATTAACTCTGATTCCGAAACAATCACACGAAAATCTTTCGCCTTTTACTAAAGATTTCTGTGTTTCGGAATATTACAATGAGTCTTATAGACTAATTTTTCTGCTGCTCGCTTCGTGCGGGCCTTCAAAAAATCAAAAAGAAATTTTCTTACTTTATGAAGATCATCGCGAGATATTTTCGTCCAGTCTCGCTTTTTCGCTCCTTTCTCTCGTCGTTCGACGATATAACCTTTGACCGGATTACCGCCGTCGTTTCGAGGTGGATTCCATTTGATTTCAATATGTTCACGATCACGTGTAACACATTCAGGTCGACCCGGTGGACCAGGCTCGTCTAAACAAAGAATATGTTAGAAATACCAACAAATGAAACTAGAAACTTACTGAATGGATTTTTCACCAAAGTGGCTTTATCTGTGACTAATGGTTCTGAAAGACCATTTACATTTTCTGCCATAACACGAAACTCATATTCATGTCCTTCTTTTAATTTTGATACAGTCACTTGAGTACCATTAATTGGATCATTACAGCGTACCCAATCACCGCTTTTCTTATCTCGCTTTTCGACAACGTAGTTCCTAGAAAGACAATATCAACACGTGGACATTCTCTCATACATTTCTTACGTAATATCTTTTCCTCCTGTATCTTCTGGAGGCGACCATGAAAGTGTCACAGTTGATTTCGTCACATCTTTGACTGCCAATGGTCCCCGTGGTTTCGACGGAGGACCAAGAACAATAACGTCACATTCTGCTGTATCTTCGCCTGAACTGTTAACTAGACGTATGAGATATCGGCCCGTATCCGATCGAACTGATTTATTAACGACTAGTTGAGCCAATTTATCTGTTTGTGTCATTTGTATACGATCATCAGCGATGAGTTCCTAGATAAATATAAACAGAATGATCAAAAGAAGAAAAGACTTATAAACAATACTTTCGTATCACGTTGCCAAGTCATGGATGGCAATGGTTCAGCGACATATGGAGCATCTAATGTTACAGGTTGACCTTGTTTTACTGTAACAGATTTCAGATTAATCTTATTGATACGTGGTTTTACTACAAGAGGGAAGTGAAAGATAATTTGTCAACGAAGAAGAAATTCGTACAGAAACGTGGCTTAGCGATGATAGCTTTAGATGGTTCACTAGGTTCAGATGGGCCACCTTTATTAACGGCAATAACACGGAATTCATATTCTTTGCCTTCAGATAAACCACCACAAGTGCCTTTCGTTTTATCACCGTCGATTTCTGCTGCCTGATAAAGAACAAAAACAACAGTAATCAATGTTCCACGTATTCACAGAGAATATTACCTTTTGCCATTGATCGCGTCCTTTTTCTCTACGTTCAACAATATATTTTTCGATGGGTGCACCACCGTCTCTTTTCTAATAATAAAAATAAGAACGTTATCACAGATAAGTTTTTGCTTCATAAGTATTACCGGTGCTTCCCATTCCAAATCGACATGATCTTTATCCCAATCAGTAATATCTGGTTTACCAGGTGCGCTTGGTTCATCAAACGGATTTTTTGCTAGTGTTGTTTCAGTTGTTTCCAATGCGTCACTTTCGCCTTCCTTATTGACAGCACGTACTCGAAATGAATATTCTTTGCCTGCTGCTAATCTGGTCACACGTAATGAAGTGCTATCGCCATTGACTTCGCCAGCTGGTGACCAACCACCACGGCCAGTATCTTGTTTTTCGACAATGTATCGTTGAATTGGATTTCCACCGTTATCCAGCGGAGGTTTCCAGGAAAGAAGGCAGCCATCTTTAGTAACGTCACTGACTTTGATCGGACCTTCGGGTACAGTAGGACGATCTTGAAAGAAAAATCAAAGTCAGAACTTCAGCAATTCATTTATGATTCAAAATTACTTACCAAGAACAGTGACATCAATGGGAATTTTGACTTCGCCTTTTGCATTTTTTAGTGTTAATTCATATTTGCCTGTATCATCACGTTTTGTCTTAGGACTAGAATAGAATGACATGTGAATGAAAGAGCAACAATCGGTACAATAAATTATCTACTTACATATTTAATTTGCATCGTTTGGCATCTATAGACATTTGACAAGGCGTTTCCGAGCCAGGTTCAATGACTTTTCCATCTTTTGTCCACGTCATGGTCGGTGGCGGATAAGCATCGAAAGGAATATCAAGATCAAGCGGTCGACCTGCTTTGAGAGTAACTGATTTCGAATAGCGACTTGCATCGATTCGGGGTGGTTTCTCAGCTAATCAATGAACGAAACAAGTCAAGTTTTGTTTTCGAATATTGGATAGTTTTCTAACATACCTTCTCTAACCGTTATTTTGCAACTATCCGTCAAATCACCACATTGAAATGTTATTTCTCCTGCATCTTTCAACGCAATATTTCGCAATTTCAATCGATATTGATGGCCTTCACTAAGAACAACCGTACTAAAATCAAGAAGATATTTTTCATTTAGGAAATATTTTTAAAAAATGTGAATCAAGACTACTTTTGATCTGGTAAAATAACTTTTCCATCGCGATACCATTTGCCTCGACTATCAACTTTGGATAATGACACTTCCAGTGCTATTTCTTCACCTTCGATTGTGTCAATATCCTTCAAGCCTTGGTCAATACGGAGTGCAGCTGTAAAGAGAATCGTTCGGTAACTTCAATCATCATGTATTTCTCCAATGTAAAAAATCTTACCGCGAGCTGTTAAATTACATGATGTCGTCATGACACCAGTCTTGCATTCATATTTGCCTTTATCAGTAACAGGACTTGCATTATTGATAATCAGTTTACGTATCTTGCCAGTAGAAATGATTTCGTATTTTCCTGGATGTGAATCCAAATCGATTTTCTAGGAAGGAAACCAATGCGAAAAGAAACTGAATGATTTTTTTTCTGCTACTCACTTCACCCTCGTAGAACCAATCGCATTCAGCATCTTCATCTTGGACACTACATTCAAGTTCAACTCGATCATTCTCATCAACTTCTAACATCGTAGGTAGTTTCGTTTCAAAACGCCATTGTGGTTCTATTGAAACAAGTCGACATTTTCAATCATTCGAATATGTTACTTTCATACCTTCCACATAGAGATAACCAGAAGTTTTGATACCTTGTTCATCATCGATTTGACAAGTATATTCACCTAAAGTGAAGAAAACATGTCAATGCGAATCGACTTTCATATGAACATTTACATACCTTCATCAGTTTTTGTTGTTTTAAGAATGCGAAGAATACATCGTGTCATATCCTGATGAATTTTCATACGCTTATCTTGTTCAGTCTAGACGAAATAATTAAGTTATTTCATTTGTAAATTTTACTACGTAAGATTATTTATTCAACTTTTTCTCGCATTCTTCTACGAAATATTTCCTCAAGAATACGGTCGGTTCACAATCGAAATTTCCCTAAGTCAAAAAAAAAACTAGTCCATATCTTATCTACTCTACATTCTATATCAGGAAAACTAAATTAACATTCCAAGTACATGTCTCAGAAGAGCAGAAATTCGAAGAAAAACAATTTCGATGATATAGAAGAGAATTCCACAGATTCTATTCTGTGCGGTGTCTTACATCTATCGGTACGCCATTTTTAAACCATTTTACAGGTGCACTTGCATCGTTGACATGGCATTCGAGCACCGTTTGTTTCGTGCGAAAAACTTCCATTTTCGGAGGTAGTTCTTTGTAGAAATCGTACGATGGCTTAGCAGCTAAACAGAAACAGATATGTCAGTTCTTCTCCTCTTGATGATATCATTCGATACTAACGTGTAACTTCAAGCCATGCGGATGTTTCAGTTTCGTTAACACGACAAAAATATTTCCCTGAATCATCAGGATGTAATTTATAAATAGTGAGTTTTTGTCTAAACGGAAAACTGTTTATCTTTGATCGATCGGTTTCTTCTGCCTACTTTGCCCCGCTTGAGTCAAAATGATATTTCAACCCGTGGAAAATTTCGACCTTATTTTTCAACCTAGATAGAAGATTAATCGTTTCATTTATAGAAATCTAATTTAGTCGGAACTTACCATCGTATACGCGTACTGGGTTTGCAGAATGTACAATGAAAGGTTATCTCCCCATCTTCTTCTTTGCAATGAATGTCAGTTAATGGTTCGACAAATGATTCTTTTTCCTAATTACATATAAATAGAAGTAGTTATACTAGTTTGTTTTGCATTTACAATTGTTTTTTTTACATGCTCATGCATATTTCAATTAAACAACGAACGAGTGGTATATTCATGCATGCGGGATTGATTTTCGCGCAGTGAATAGATTCACGACGGCGAATTCGAAAAGGTTCACCTTTTCTGGTCGCTTGACTTTGTTGAGTGATGGCCAGCCAGGTATCACTTCTGACATAGATGGTCGCTGTGTTTTCGAATTTCGTTTAACTTTCAGAGAATTATCCAGATCGACAGGACGAAGCGAGGGTCGTCGTTCGTTGGTACTAGAACGCCGTGAATCGCTTCCATCGTCGCTAGTCTAATAATCAATGACAAATATTTCCTCAAGTCAATGTTATCTGTGTACTGTATGCACTTACTGGTTTATCGGGAAGTAATTGAGCATCTGCAACCAACGTTTCTCAACAGCTGAATTCATTTTTGCTAGTGATTTAAATCGCTTACCTTGTTTAACTCGACGTGGACCAGCGTCTTCGTACACAGGTTCTTCAGCTACAAGAAACAGTCATGTTTCCAATTCAAGAACGAATATGTGAATCGTTGTCCTACTTTGTGATTTAGGTGTTTCATCTGCAGCCGCACCTGAAGCATCGTCTACAGGCGCTGCTATGGTCGGTATAGCTAGAAGACAAAGTACCAGTCGTTTTGTCAAATCGTATAAATACGACGATTACCAGCTTTTTTCTCTTGAGGCTTCTTCTTAGAATCTTCATCTTTCCTAAACAAGAAAAAATTTCCAATAGAAATCATTTTAATATAGTTAATTATCGTACGGTGGTTCTTGTTCAGCATCAATAGTCAAATTAACTAATGCTTGTGAATCCCCGGCATCATTTTTCGCCAAAATTTTATAGACACCGCCATCCGCTGGTGCAGCGTTCTAAAGATACAAAAGCCGAGCTTGTTTCCCAAAATATTCAAAGGAAACTTACAAGAATTTCCAGAATGAACACATACGTATCATCTGTTCCTTTTGTTTTACTAATCTTATATTTATTTAGTTTATCTTTTATTTCAGTTTTGTCCTTTTTCCATGTAATTTTCGGCTCCGGTTTTCCTTTGCAACGACATTCAATCTTGATCGATTTTTGTTTCGCATCTTTGGTAATTTTCGGTTTTTCAAATGCCGGACCAAGACGATCTACTTGATCCAAACTGGCTTTATCTCCTAGAAGATAGAATGAAATCTTTCTTCATGAATGAAAAGGCAATCGACAACCAACTCACCAGCAACTTTGAGACCAATGTTAGCAATAGCTGTGCCAACTTCATTGGATAGACTACATTTATACACTCCACTATCGGATGTAGCCAAATTCTATGAAAAGAAAAACAGATTGTTATCAGAAATAGAACGGAATATTAACGAACTTTAACATCAAGAAGAATGGTATATTTATTTCCTCCTTTTGGTTCTATACGTGTAACAACTTTATCAACATTCGATAATTCTTTTCCATCTTTTGTCCAATACAATGATGGATTAGGATCAGCCATAATATCGATTTGTATCGTAGCAGTTTTAGTAGCTTGTTTTATTGTCGGCTTGCCAATAAACGATGGTGCAAGGCCATCTGGTAGTCTGAAACGATTAATCATTTTCGGATCGCGATGAGAAAGAGAATGGCAAAATAACAAACTTGAAATTCATTTCCCCAATATTCAATTCAATATTCGCAGATCCATCGCCTTTGACATTCTTTGCTGTTGCTTTGTAAAGTCCTGAATCCTTCTTTGTTAATTGAGTAACTTCCAGAAAGATCGTATGCGTATTTCCTTCAGTCAATATGCCCTGTTTATATTTTGTTCCCATAGTAAGCGGTTTGTCATCTAATGTCCATGTGAAACTCGGCACTGGGTCAGCCGTACATCGACATTCCAAAAGTGCAGATTCTTCAAGCATACGAACTCGCGGCGCCTGACTAAATGTCGGACGACCGCCACTCGCACCTTGATCTTGCTCTAATTTGACACATCATTATCATTAGAATGGTAATCGTGTCAATGAGAAACTTACGGTCGAGATTGAGAGTAATATTAGCATTACTTTCTCCTAAGCTGTTCTTGGCTGTTACTTTATATTTGCCACCGTCGGATGTATTCACATCATCGATTTCCAGACATGCTAAATATGAATTATTTGGTAGAGCGTCACAGTAGATTAAAAAACGGCCAGAGTTTTCGACTGAGACATCGTCACGTGACCAGAATATATCTGGCTTAGGTTCGGCAGAGATTTTACATTCGAATATTAAACGTGTTCCATCATTCTCCTGTTTAATAATTGGTTTTTGGATGAAAACTGGTGCTGAACCTTCCGTTGAGCTAAACAAGATACCCGTTGACGTGTGTAGAACGAAAAAAGAGAGAAAAAAAGCTGCTTACTTATTTCCATCAGCTGTTGACTCAACGGCATCGTCAGTTGCCAAGTTCAATGTGACATTTGCAGTAATTTCACCAGCTTTATTTTTAACGACAATCTTGTAGATGCCCGTATCGGTGGCAGCTACTTCGCTGATCTCAAGTGTAACGTCGTATGTGCTGCCCGTCGAAAGTTTAATCGTTTGTTTGAATTTTGTGGATGCACTTGAGAGTTCTTTATCATTCTGAAACCATTTGATATCCGGCTTAGGTGTACCTTGTACTTGACATTCGAGGAAGAGACGTGTAGAATCATCCGGGATCTGCCGAATGGCTGGCGGTTTAAGAAAACGTGGTGCGCTAGCCGCCATTCGTCGCCTTTATCTCGTCAATGACCTACTTAATAATTATCTATTTCAAGATAACAAGAAAAAGAAAGTTAGTCGAATATGTTAGGGTAAAAGTAGTTTGACAATCGATCGATCGAAATCAAAAGAAGCTAAGAAAGTGTAAATACTGCAAAGAAAAGAGAGAGTCATTGATTACTGTCTCGCGTGGATTTCCGATGTTGATCATTTAGTGTCCCGATGAAAATATGTACACGCATCTGAAGTCGAAGGAAAACGAAGAATGGTACAATACAGTGGTAAATAAGAAGGCAGAACATGACGACGAAAGTTTCCTTCTCCTTTTTCCTCTTCTTCGTCTGCTTATGTATGATAACTATTACATTCTAATGTGGTTTTTTTGGTACAAAGAACAGAAAAATATCTTCTAATGGATTCTAGTAGCCAATATTGGAAGTCGGATGTTTTTATTCGATGGCTCGGTAAATGGAAGAGATTTTCTAAAACACGCGAGACCAACGATGGAAAGATAATTGACAAGATAAAAAAAAACAACTAATTCGGTGATATATTCATCCATGACTAACGAGAAGAAAATGGTAAGTAGAAAACACGAACGTCTATTGTAATTCTATGATATCAACAGACAACGAGCAAATGTATTCCGATAAGCTGTACAATCTGATCGACATTCGGATGGCGATGAAGAAAGAAAGAGAATACTAATCGTCCCTGAGTGTCTACAAACATAAATAATAGAAAAGGCTTCATCGCAATGATAATGACCAGTATAGACATCATTGCCTAACACTAATGTTACAATATGCTTTTGTATACATGAGAGAAATTATTTTCTTCTCTCTTGCTCTCTCTCTCTCTCTCTCTTTGACTATGTGCATGAATGAACAAATAGAGTAAATTTATATCAAGAATAGAAATCAGATCGAGTTCATCGAAGTTATCTATGCATATCAATCTATTAACAAACGTTGATGGAGCAAACTCCTGTAGATTTCTGCCGAAACGGTTCTATCATACAATGAAAGCCTCATTTATTTTCTTCAGAACAAAGAAAAAAAGAGCTTGAGATGTGTATATTGTGATAAGCACAAAATTTACACAAACACATTCGCCATCATCCAACGAATGCCTACTCGCTTCACATATACTATCAATGTGGATGTCTGCAATTGATGCGGATAATCATAGTAGTGCAAACATAAGATGGCTGCACATTAACGTTGTCTTCATTAAAAGAATATTGTTGAAGAGCTGATGATGATGACGATGACGCGGTAATATTAGCTGCATATCAGAGATATTCTTATGACAAGATTTTTCACACATCAAAATAGTATCAAAACAATCGTTTCAGATGAAATCTCTTGTGGATGTTATCATTGACGTAACTGAGACAGAAAGAACAATGACAGTAGGAAAAAAACAAAGTCATATCTATTTCTTTGACGAAAGCGGCAATGTACGCACTAGTCGATTCCGATGGAAATGTAACAGATTAAAGTTCGGTCATATTTCCAGTTATCATATTCATCGGACACTTGCCAGAAGATGAAGGCCAATCAGAAAGATTTGCCTCTTCGAGCACACTCTCTAGCAAGCTTTCGTTTTCTTTTTTCCTTATAGAAACAAACAATCGGTCTATTACTCAAGGATCTGTACAATGTTTCTCTTGCACTAACAAATATTGATACCATTATCTAATGACCTTCTGGAGTTAATCTTCGAGTTTTCTCTTTTTTTTTCATTCATCGACCGAACGACATACATGGGATACACATCGATATGTGTACGGATTGAGTAATCGATCACCCACATTCAAGAATGTCGTACAAGAACAACAATAACAATAATATTTGTCATCAGCTCATGTTTATTCTACGTCTCTTGATTTCACAGTACTTTTGACATAAGAAATATAGTTGGATAGTTGAAGCGTGTAATTTAAAATCAATTTCGTAAACATAATACAACACACAGATTGGCACACATAAAAGTGTCAAAAGACATGGAAAAACCAAAATTATAAGAAGAATCCAGTATTCATTGAGTGGTACATGATTATTCTCATGTAAGATAACATGTTTCTTCAATGTAGAAGATGCTAAACATGACTGAAGAAAACAATGGCTCAATTCACTCTTCGTGAATGTATCGAAACAGTGATGTCGAGTCTGACATGAACGATTTCGTATTTTGTAACCTAAAAACACACAAAAATGTCATTCTATCTATTACAAAACTCAAATATTTTTCAGATATTATTTTGATAATATCAATCCTCAGACAATCTGACATAAAGATAATTGCCTTGATAAATGATATATTAACATGTGGTGAAATTGGATCAAAACAAATCTGACAAGATCATATCCTTTTTTCTGTGTTTTTACACCAATAGGAAATGTATCTTACCCATCCCACATGTTACCGAACATGAGCTCCAATGTGACCATTTATACTTGATGTTATTCGACAAACATGTTCGTGAATGAATGAAACAATCAATTAAGTAGTTTAATCTATTTTTCAAATCCTTATCATTGATATAACGTCGAAAAAACCGGAATGTTCTTTGCCGTTTGCATTTCTCAAGTTGCTGCGAACAGAGATATTGCAATCTTCGTCGAATCATCGGATATCGTGATAAGGCTTGTAAGATTAATTCAAACTGATATCGATCATTCTCATTTGAACGGCATCCATTGATTATCCAAAGAAGTTCAATAAGAACAAATGAATTATACATAATATCGAGTTAAGTGCGCGCTAAATATCCATGGAAAGTTGTGTTTTTTTAGACTACATGAAACTGTCTTCTTTTATTTTCTTCGAAGAAAAGAAAAGAAACAACAGGACACACGATACAAAGAATTAATACATATATATTATGAATAAAGTTCAATAAAATACGAAGGTAAAGGAGTGCGCATGTACACCAAAAAGCTCATTTATCAGTCTAACCGACAAAGAACAAGAAAAGACTAGATTAGATATCAAGACAACATATTCGCGTGATTTTCTCTTTTGATTTGCAAGACAAGTTAATGTAAAATATCTGAATCCTATGATGTCATTGATTAGCGTAAGAAAAACTAACCCTAAGAAGATAAAATATAGACAAAAGTCCAGAAAACATGCACAATATATAAAAGAAAAGAACGAAAGAATCACCACAGTACAAAAGCACACAAACATAAATAGCGAAAGATTAGTAAATATGACTATATGAGAAGCAAATAATTCGTGTCAGCATGGGCACAGAACATTGAGAATGTACTTGGTTAGCAGGTCTGGAACTTGAGGACTATCTTCATTAATTGCATGAAGAACTAGGAAAAAAAAGAAACACATCGACATTCCCACAAAGGAATCTTTTTCTCCACTGACTTTTATTTAAACTTTGCAAATGATCGACAGACAAATAAGTGGGATGTTCGCGGTCATATGGTATCACCGTGGTTAAATACTAAAATAGACACAAAGAAACGTTGAAATGATTAGTGTTCTATTAATTCTTCACTAAATTTAAATTCGCATATATACATAGCATGAAAAGCATATGAAAACAACAACATGTATTGATTATATAAATATATGAATAACGGTTTTGTTAACCTGAGTCTTTGGAAATATTTCATGCCAGCTAGTTGTCAAAGCTTTGAATACGGGATGCATCGTAGTCTATAAACGAAATTCACTTTCGATTTTGTGTTTTCGATCGAACAAATCTCGAGCATTTGCCAACTGTTTTTGTGACAATGATCAACAATATCTCATAAGCTATTCTCGTGTTGTTCGCTTATTGATGTAAGCCTATTAATCATCCAGGTGGACAAAGAAAATAGCAATATGCTTTCTTTCAGCTATTGTTTAGTAGTTTCTATATTTAGATGAAGAAGTTTTCTTTCGATTATCTCCGACGATTTGTATGGATTTTGTAGAAATAGATTGCTCACGTTTTCATCAATTGATATGAATAAGAAATCAAATGATTTCTTTTTCTCTCGTTCAAAACAAAGAATTTATTTAATCAGACAAACTAATCGAATTGTTTGCCCTCTCTTTCATTAGTTACTCTGATCAGACAAATATGAACTGATGACCTCATTTCATTCTCTGCACTTCATCCATCCTAATCCAATTATGAACCATGGGATAGAAGAAGACGAAGAAGGAAAAAACGTTTGCGTTTACAGTCAGCTCTTTAATAATAAATATTCATCTAACGTCCTTCTCGTTCTCTCTTTCAAAACAGGACAATTCTTCGGGGATTCGGCTCATACGTTCATATTAATTGTATCTGCAAGTGAACAAATCATACAAACTATTGGATTTTATTACTCGCTAGCAATTATACGAGACGCAAGAGAAGGAAATATGAGTTTATGGAATATTTACCGTTCCCGGTTCGACATAATTGCTGTTTCCCAATAACGAACGACGTTTCGGACGTTTCTCTCCCTGGTGATGATGTCGACGTTTATTCTAAATGAGAAACACGCTTGTCATTTTTCTAATCAAAAGCAAACAATTCTCCTAATGATTTTACTTGAATGCTCAAGACTAATGAAATAAACGTATTTTTGGTTTCTTTTTCAAACTCAAGTTCATCCCGGACAGCTAATTCCTAAAATTGAAAGAATAGATTAAAAAAAAACGAACAAACAACGATGTGTTCAATGTACTTGAACAAGTAAACTTGACAATTCTTTCACAGATGCATTCAGTTCATCATAGAGTTCATTTAATGAATAAATCGTTTGTGATTTCAAATCGAATTCATCATTCTGCACACTTGCTGATAAGTATTTCACACGTCGTGTACAAATATCCAGCATATCTGTTGGCGATTGATCATCACAATAACCCGAATCAGGTGTCATGTCTTGCAACATGAAATCAATTTCACTAATCACTTGTTCAGCAGTTAAGAATGGTTCGTGATTAGCAGCGAGTATAACTGAATGCATATCTAATTGTTCACGTAATTCTTCTTCTTCGTCTTCATTCAAATCATCGATGGATGTTATATTATCATCATTCATTTTTGATTGCTGATTTTGTTCGTAGATACTATTCATTGCTGTTTGACAACTTTGAGAGATATTTGGAAGTTTCAAATCATTGCGAAGTGATGTACGGAGATTTTCAATCAGTTGCGACCAGGTACTAAAAACGAACGAACAGTGCAAAATCGATGTGACACGAATGAAGACATACTTTGATGAGGCAACAAGATCTTTTTGTGGAATCGGTAATTCTTCTCGAATTTCGACGACTGGTTCCGTAGAAAAACAGGCATTGATTGTATTATCAAATGATTTGACGAGATCTTCGAGAGACAATGATTTGAATGATTGTTCGCCTAAATCGAAAGAAAAATTGTTGAAAAAAGAAAGAAGAATCTATTGATCAACAAACCAAGGGTAGGATTTAAGTGAGTTTCGTTATTCATATTTGATATCGTTTGATCGTCAGTCATGTCATCTACGTCAAAGTCATCGAGATCAGTTGATTGAGAGTTTGTTTTCGAGAATTTTACAATTGGTGCACATGGATTATCATATAAGACACGTTTTTCTGTTATTCCTATCGACATAACCAAAACACATACACTGTATATTATTCGATGGATATAACAGAATGGATATATGCGATTAACTAGACATGTTTTTTTGTTTATTTTCTCTATATTTGTGACATAGCCAATCAAATATTTTCAGTCTCAATTCAAATTTTTTTCGAACAAAAAACGAAGAGCAACTTGGATTCATCTAGTTTTTATTTTTTTCTTAATTCCACATAATTGGAGGATCAGGAATGAATGCTATGGTAGAAGAACTAACCAATCAGATCGTCTGTCAGCCGATCATTATGAATCATCGGAAGGGTCTGCGAGAGAAATACTAAACATAGCGTTCTACGTTCTTGTGCATCCAGCTGTCAATTCATATCGCCGTGATATTATTCTCATCGTACTCAACTATTAGTTATATTTAAACAATCGGCCATGGACATATGTTTCTATGGATTAGTTATTTAGCATGTCTTCGATAAAGAGTACGACGACTTTTGCATAAGATATTAGCTGATTGGTATTTCGATGCTGAAATACTTTTTTGAAGGATAGAAAACATATGTAGATCAAGAACGATTTAATAAGACTAATTTTTATGTTTTGCAAGAAAACAACGATATGTTATTGTCATTAGTTATGATTTTTATGGGAAAATTTTGTTTCGCATGAAACTCGTTTTAAGATTAATTCGTTTTAGATCGACAGGCCCTTTGTTGTTGAAAAATGCAGAACGAACTAGGACCAGATCTGAAGTGACACATGAATGACATTTATGCTAATATGGAAATCTTCAATATGCATGAAATCAAATAACACTAAACGAATGTTTTTTTTGTCAAACAAAGCTCATTCTTTCGTCAACCGCTTTATGAAATGAAATTTTGCTTTTAATGTCTGCACAAGATGTAGAGCTTTCTCCATAATGATCGAAAGGTCGTTCCTGGCAATGACTATTCGATCGGTTTATTCTATATAATAGAAGAAACTTTAGTTTGCATTCGACGGAATTTAAATAAAGCAAAAGATAACCCTGATAAGATGGTTATCAGAAGATATTTTACAACGGTTGTTTTGTTTTCTCGAAAAGTATACTGAATTTCATTTGTTATCATGTTAAGAAGTAGTTGCGTGTTTGCTCTAGTTATTTTCTTTGCTATTAATATTCTAACGCTTGATGCGCGTTCGGTAACTCAAGATCTGACTGAGTCTATTCTCAAAGATCCGAGAAATGACGATCATCGGAAATTATTGCATGCGTTCACGGGCTATCGACATCGTTTCGAACAATCACCGAATTTCAAAGAGCTCCGATGGAATTTAAGAAATTTAAATATCGAAGGACTATGTGAACTGTGCGACTTGGGTGTGCCAGTAGTGAGTTGTTATAGGCGTTTTTATAATAAATCTAGAACATTGTTCGTTGATTTTAGATTCGACTTCTATTGGAACTGAATGAAACAGCGCTTATTAACGAAGCTGTCAGTTTCTTTTGCAAAGAATACAAATCGTTAGACGAAGCTGTTTGTCTTGGTGCTGCTCATGAATATATAGTAAGAAGGTTTTGTGTGGAATGTCTTTTGCAAAGAAAAATGTCTTTGTGTAGAGTGTGGTATTTCAAGTCGTTCAATTAGCACCGTTAACAAATAAACAGATTTGTGCATTAGCGTTTGAATGCCAACCACAGCGAGATTTTCCTGTATTTAGCTGGAATGTCACCTTTCCCGATAAACCGAAACCAACACCACAACCACCCAAGCCTCCTTCGGTATGCAGAATTTTGATCAAACGGTATTTTAATAAGATTCCTTCGTGAATTCTAATTTGATTTTAGCCAGATTCGCCTAAACTCAACATTCTACATCTGTCTGACATTCACGTAGACTTTTTATATAAACCAGGATCTCAGGCTGACTGTGCTCAACCACTCTGCTGTCGACAAGGTCAACCAGGTCAGTAATCATTACATAGAAGATCCTATTCTCTATCGGAATTCTTTTAGCTCCTGGTCATATTGGCGCTGGTTTCTGGTAAGATAGTTCGACTGCACGAAAATGTGTGTGATAACTATATGGATGTGGTAGGGGTGATTACCGTAACTGTGATATTCCTTATTGGACTGCGGAAGCAATATTAAAATATGCTGCTGCAGTTGAAAAAGTAACTTCATTTTCATTGTCACATGCTGTGGTCTATCTAATTGTTTTTAGGCTGACTTTATCTATTATACCGGTGATTTACCAGCACATAATGTTTGGAATCAATCTCGCTCTGATCAGCTCTATTCACTGAATACAATCAACCAAATGTTGGCAAGTATATTTCCAAACAAAACTTTCTATTCAGCAGTCGGTAATCATGAAGCTGGTATGACTCTTTATGTTCGTTTTGCTTTTCGTTTCAACTTCTCGTTTTTCTTATTCCATAGCACCATGCAATCTATATCCAACGCCAAATATCAAAACAGACAATATTTCTTGGTTGTACGAAGCACTGGCTGATAGTTGGATAAAACTTGGCTTACCAGAAGATACACGGCAAAGTATTGAAAATGGTGCTTTCTATACAACTTTGATTCGACGTGGACTTCGACTGATATCGCTGAATATGAACTATTGTACTTCTGATAATTACTGGCTAGTGATTAATTCAACTGATCCTCTCGGTCAATTGCAATGGGTTAGATCCATTTTTGAATATATGAAAATAAGAGTTGATTGATTTAGTTAATCCAATGGTTACAATATGCAGAGGATCATGAAGAGAAAGTCCATTTGATTGGTCATCAACCACCTCATTCATGTATGGCAACATTCAGTTGGAATTTTAACAAGATTGTCAATCGGTTCGAAGCTCCGAAGATTTGATTTTCATTTTGTTTGATTTTTGTTATAGGTATGAAAATACCATTGCTGGTCAATTCTATGGTCATGCCCATTCTGAAGAATTCATGGTCTTCTACGATGAAGTTGATAGTCAGCGACCGGTCTCAATGGTATGTCCTGTTCGTTGTCTACTCAATTCAATCGTTATCTTCATTTTATAGGCTTATATTGGCCCTTCCATAACAACCTATTCATATCTGAATCCAGGTTATCGTGTATATACTACTGACGGCGATTATCCCGGAAGTTCGTACTGGACTCTTGATTATCACACTGTAATTATGAATCTGACTGCGTCAAATATGCAAAATACTACCGTATTTCTCAGCGAATACGATGCTCGCGATGCCTATCAAATGAACACTTTATTTCCCAACGATTGGAATGATTTCATTCAACGCTTAGAAAAAGACATCGATGGGCCATTGATGGGTTCAGTTTATCAACATTTGACAAAGTCGTATCAAAGTGGAACTCAATGTGATCATAATTGTCGACGAGGATTGATCTGCGATTTCAAAACAGCTCGCTCCGAAGATCCGCATGCATGTGATTCTGTTCCACCATTCATCTAACTGACTGGATGTTTCTTTTTTTTTCTGTGATAATCTATCTGCAGTTCCATGCTTACAAAAATAAAATCTTGATTTCGATTTAGCACATTGGATACATATGTATGTTTTCCTCTTTGTCTGTTGCAGTTATTTTAGCTCATCATGCTATTCTTCACATTCCTACGATTTCAAATTGTCATTCTTGTTATTCTTTATTTCGCTGCCACTGATACTCGATCCGTTCCTGATAGTGATACTAAGCAAACGATTATCAATCCATTCACTGACAATGATCAAAAACTGTTTGTTACTCTTGCAAATTACCGACATCGATTCGAAAGATCAATGAATTTCAAAAAACTACGATGGACATTGAGCGGTCTGAATAGTTCAGCATTATGTGATGCTTGTAATTTACTGGTGCCTGAAGTGAGATTTATTTTAGAAGTTAATCATTTACTTCTAAGACTTGCTAGATGCGAGTTCTAATTCGAATCAATCGATCAGATTTAATTGACAATGTAGCAATAGAATTCTGTAAATTCTACAAATTACTCGATCGAAATGTTTGCCTCGGTGCTGTTAATGAATATAAAGTAAGTGACTTTTTTTTGTTCAATTCAGTTAAATTTTCTTCCGGTTACTCAGAATGCCGTGATCGAAGTACTTGCTTTGTCTCCACTGACCAACAAAGAACTGTGTTCATTAGCATTTGAATGTGCCGCACCACCCTATTTCCCAGTCGTCAATTGGAATGTCACCTTTCCCGATAAACCAAAACCAACACCTCAACCGCCACAACCACCAGCAGTACGCGTTCTTTGCCGAAAATAGGATATCGATAGAAGAGTTTATACTATTGTAGTCAGGTTCCCCTAAATTGAACATTCTGCACTTATCGGATACGCATGTTGACTTTGCTTACAAGCCAGGATCTCAAGCTGATTGCTCTCAGCCACTCTGCTGTCGTCAAGGTCAACCTGGTATGTCATCGCTTTATTGCGACTATCGTTTTTTATCAGCATCCTTTTAGCTCCTGGTCATACAGGTGCCGGTTTCTGGTAAGATAGTTTGATTATTCGTAGAAATATGCTATAGCTATGTGAATATGGTAGGGGCGATTATCGTAACTGTGATATTCCATACTGGACAGCGGAAGCAATATTAAAATATGCTGCTGAGTTGGAAGAAGTAATTCTTTGATTTACTTTGAAAAAGAAGTTGTTGAGATTCCGAATTGCTTTTTGTAGGTTGATTTCATTTATTACACTGGTGATATACCTGCTCATAATGTTTGGAATCAATCTCGTTCTGACCAAATCTACGCTATCAATGCAATCAATCGTATGCTAGCGAGTATTTTTCCGAATAAAACATTCTATTCAGCAGTCGGCAATCACGAAACAGGTAGAGTGATGAATTTAGCTACTGTTTCCATTGTAAGTGTTCTTTGTATCAAGCTCCATGCAATCTGTATCCAACGCCAAATATCAAAACAGACAATATTTCCTGGTTGTACGAAGCACTGGCAGATAGTTGGATAAAGTTAGGTTTACCAGAAGACACACGTGAGAGTATTGAGCGCGGAGGTTTTTATACGACATTAGTTCGACCGAATCTTCGAATAATATCGCTGAATATGAACTATTGTTCGCGAGAGAACTTTTGGTTATTAATTAATGCAACTGATCCGCTCGGACAACTTCAATGGGTATGAAGTTTGCTCTTAAATTAATTATACTTGATAAGTGTTTTAGTTAATTCAATGGTTACAATATGCAGAAGATCATGAAGAGAAAGTTCATATCATTGGACATCATCCTCCGCGGTCATGTATGGCAGCATTCAGTTGGAATTTCAATAAAATTGTCAATCGGTAATAGATCAGATTCACCTCCGAACTATTTTGAATTAGCTATTTTGTTTTCACAAAGATACGAAAACACCATTGCTGGTCAGTTCTATGGACATACACATGTGGATGAGTTTTTAATGTTCTACGATGAAGCTGATCAAAATCGTCCAGTATCAATGGTTTGTTTCATGCAATACTTAGAGAATCTAGACATTCTACTTTCTGTGATACTCTAGGCGTATATGGGCCCGTCATTAACTACGAGTTCGTATTTAAATCCAGGTTATCGCGTGTATTCAGTCGATGGTGATTATGCGGGAAGTTCATTTTGGGCACTCGATCATCGTACAGTAATCATGAACTTAACAGCATCGAATATGTATAACAAAACGATATTTATTGATGAATACGATGCTCGTGATGCATATGGACTGAAATACCTATTTCCCAGTGATTGGAATGATCTCATTCAAAGATTCAAAAGTGATTTAGATAGTCCATTGATGGGCTTAGCCTATCAGTTTTATACTAAATCCTATCAAAGTGGTAATCAGTGCGATCGTCAGTGTCGCCGAGGGCTTCTTTGTAACTTCATAACCGCTCGTGGAAATGACCCGCATGCATGTGATTCAATCCCTCCATTTCTTTCGTAGCATGGCTTTGCTTTTTATTGCATAATGTTCAAGACTATTTTTTTCCAAAGAAGATTTCGATAATAAAACCATAGCTAACAGAAATTCTCATCAACAGCAATCACTTGAGAAAAACAAGAAGAACATCTTTGATTGATGAATAGATTACATAGTAAAATGAAGTCGAAATTATACTTAGCGGCGAATCTTCAAAGTATGCATTGGCAGTAAATGATGATAACTGTTGTTGCGAAGGATTGGGCGACCGATGGAATTAACCTGGAAACGTTCTCGAGTACATTGAAATGGATGAGTAAACACCGGTGGAATAGATCGAGATGAGTTTGAATGAAGGTATCGACTTATTGTTAATGGATGAGGAGCACGAAAGAATGATGTTGGATTGACTAAAATTTCAAAAAGTTTCTTAGCGTTTTTCAATCTCATTGTCGTTCGAACCTGTTTGCACACGACCAATAACGTTTGGATGAAACTTTTGTGGATGAAGAAAGTTGTCAACTCCGTGCGAAGCCAACAGAGATGAATGTTTAGGATACGAATGATAGATCAATGGTTCCATTTCATTGTTTATTTTCCCTATGGTTGCCAAAGGTCGAAAATCGTCCTAAATTACCGAAGATGTGAATGTCGTGTGTCGCTGCAGCTAGAGCATACTCGTACTTCCGATAAAATCGATGAATCATTTTTATATCCCAGTTCAATTGGTTTTAGAGAAGACTTGTTTTCTGATACGAATCGATTCGATCGGTTTATCACTTGTCCAATCTTTCGTTCCGACTAAATTTTTCGTCAAAAACTTCCACGGAACTATTTATTTTTCACTCACTCCAATTGGTTTCACATTCGAAGTGATATAATTCGACACATGATGTTGATTCTCTTGTAATAACAACAATTCATCGACACTCAGATCGGTTGCACTTGTCATTCTCTCGCTGTTTCTATAGACGAGAACCACAGCAGCAATCCAAAGGAAATAATTAATTAGAACTTGCCGTTTCTGACTTCGACTAATTAGATATGATTGTTTCTATGCATTCGCAAGCATAGTTGCAAGGCAGAGCGGAAAATTCGACTGATTTCTTTATTATTTCGAAATACAAAAAAGTGATAATTGCACTGCACAAAGACTAATTTGAAATAGCGTGACCAACATGGCACTTATCTACTCTTATTTGTTTTCGAACAAGCAAAAATAACGTCAAACAAACGTAAATCACGCATAATACAAACAAACCGCACACGCCATAGGAGAAAACGAAGAACAAAATGAAGAATGAAATCAATCGAAATCTAATCTACTTGAGGAACATCAAGAGAATATCGTGGTTCTTCTTTGGTTAATTGTAAATATTGTTTTGGTGATGTCTCGCGACGGATCCAATGTAAAACAATTTCCTGATCCGACGGACAAGATTTCACAAACGCATCAAGCTCATAAGCGGAATTCAAATAACGCCACAAAGCGGTAAACTCAGCAGGAATCGCTAGACGTAGAATATAATCAGCCGCGACACGAATATGTTGTAATTTCGGCCATAGTGAACAGTCTAATCCTGTGATTTCATTTCCGCACATGAACTTCGTACCACGACGTTGAAGAAATGCATCGATTTTTTCTAATTCATCCAACAATGGTTGAGGATTGTTCGTCACATCTTTGATTAAATAAGTAAAACGTGTAAACACATTCGACTGTACTTTGAACGCTTCAGGATCTCGATTAGATAGTTTAAAATTCGAAAATGACGAATCCAGATAGTCTTCAATGTCATCAACATCATTTAGAACGATATCACCATGAACAAGTGTTGGTAATTTCTTCGAAATTTCTTTGAATTCTTTCGGCGGATTTGCGCAATTAATTGTGATAACATCGAAACTGAACTCATTGTCTGCTTCGCGTTTGATGAGTAGTTTCAGAAAAACATCGTGACAGAATGGACATGCGCCTTTGGATCGACCATCTCGGCCAGCTAGAAAACGCAAACACATGCATTGCATGATTTCGAGTTCGTCATTATACCTTTGATAAATAAATGAAGTTTTTGATCGTCTCCATCGTTTAGAAGTGTTCGCTGAAAAGAAAAAGAGATGAAGATAGTTGAAATCGACGATTCCGAACTTACAGGATCGAATTGCTCTTCATCACTCTCATCTCCCATGATTTCTTACTCTAAACTATTATTATTTTCGTTTCTAAGATGCGTATGAAGATGTTTGTGATGCGTTGTAAAGAAATATTTAAGTCACCTGATGATAAAACACCTCGGCAAACAAATGTCTTTTTTTCTCCTTTTCTTCATTCGATACGAAGAATACTCGCATCTGTATGCTTAAACTCATGTAAAATGAGAAAAAAAACGAACAAGGAGAAGAAGTCAAATAAAATTTTTTGCATTCTACCCCGCGTATATCTATTTGACTACATGTAGTTTCTATGTAAAGAGAGACTATTCAATTTGCATTTGAAAAAAGAAAATAAATACTAATTTTCTTTAAGCTTGTCTTCTTTTTGAGTCAGAGACACTTACTGACGATGACGCTTTGCTATGCATGATATGCAATATGAACAATGAGCAGATATGTATAAGTATAGAGATAGGCGATCAAAGACTAAGCGTAAGTCAAGCGAAAAGATATGTGAAGTCAAATCGTTTGGTAGTACGTAACACTGCATACGGTTTTAGTAAAGAATATTGATGACAAAATGCTTGATAGATGTGTGTATAAACTTACAGGGATTGAGCGAAATTGATTGGTATGAAGAATTGATCTTGGAAGAAGAATCACTTGCATTGTTTTGTTTAGTAATTAAATCAATGAGAAAATGATGTCTTGAGCATCGCTTTGTTCGGATATTTATCTATCTGTTGCAATAGATGGACATGAGTACATGTTAGTAAATGTATTCAAAATTAGATCGACATATACATATAAGCGAGTATATCCTGTCTCTATTGAACATGATGTACACTTTCTCTTTACTTTGCTATTTACTTACGACTTCTCTTTCTCTCTTTTTCCTTGTTTATTGGAAGTGATTAGAATTTTCTTTCTCTCTCTCCCCCCCCCCCTCGTCCTATCCTTTTGCCCTATGAACAACGTTTTCTTTTTCGTTCTGACCATTATCCTATTGATAAATGTAGAATAATCATGATTGCATTGCGAATTGAGTTCGACACCTTTTGAAAGAAGAAGAAGAAGAAAGAAAACGAGTGCTTATGATCCAGCTTCTTTTGTTTCATACGATGAAAGAATTTCATTTGGCCTTTTGTCGACTATCGTGCTGTACTAGATTATTCACCTTCGTATTTAATACCACAACAAGAGCATGTATGTATCAAGTGAAAGCTCAACTCCATGCACAAAGCGAACAAGCAAAAGGACAAATGAATTCGTCTTATCATTCATTCATCATCAACAGTAAATTGAAAAAAGAAACAATGAGATGTACACTTGCATGATAATTCAACATGCGAACAGTCTGTCGATCGAGTTATTTCAATCAAAATCGAAACAATACGAGACAAGCTAATACCTTCAATTGACTAGAGTGGCCAGAGATTGATATTTGCGAAATCAGTTCGATTCATCGTCGAGATAAGAACTAATGAATTTTTTTCAACTATACAAATGAGTATTTTCTTTCTAACGATCAACATCAATTTTGGCATTTACTATTCACAGGAGATCTAAACGTGATTCAATCCATGTGAATTGGTTACATCATGCAACATATAAGTACAGACAAACTGTAGCATTAAGATCTATTACAATTCGAAAATCGATCAAGGCTGATGCACATGAGAATTGTTCATCTCTTTTTTTTTCTTCTTCTTACTAACAATTTCATGTGCCATATATTGTTACTATGAAAAATAAAAGTACAAACGAAAAAGACAAACAAGAAGAAAGCACGTTTTGTTGCGAGAGACTTGCTTAGTTTATCTCTCTTGATTGGAATTTTGACCCTATAATTTCGAATATCAATAAACAGCGGAAAATTGTTTTGTTCCAATTTTTTCATGACAAAACACCCGTTGAAAAGAAGGGTGGTGCAGTAACTGTTCTGTCTGATGACAAAATAAACATACAGTTCTTTTTTATCCATTAAAAATCAGATTTTTTTCTTTTTCTTCTCGTCATCGTTAAAATATTTTACTTCGCTGTAGCATTGTTAGTTTCTATTATTTTTAATCTCCTCTGCTGCAACGTAGCAGCACTCATTTTTTTGTATACATTGTGTCGCAACAACAAGTGCATCGAACAGAAATTGCTTTAAACAGTCGAAAAATCTTTGTACATCTCAATTTAGATTAAAAGTTTTCGAAAGTAAACTTTTCTCTCAATATGGTGTAAGACAGATCTAACAACTTCCATACGGTTACATCGCAAGTCATTTCGTTTCGTTGTAGAACAGTGCAAACACAGCCAACTGGAAATGTTTGGTCATTCGAGAATGAATGGAATACCGCTGTATGTGGTTGTTGTTATGATGTTGGAACGTGTATGTTAATGAAAAGCACTCGTCGAATGACGAATCAATTTTGTTTATGTTTAGGTTGCTATGCTCATTGGTGCTTTCCATGTTTTATGTGTAGATTGCATTCACGTACGAATGAGTGCCTATGTACATGGTGTTTACCCGGAGGTTAGTGAGTCAGGTGTGAAAAGATGTCGATATGTATTGTTGCTTGGTTTTTACAGGAAATACTGGTTTAAGAACGAAAATTCGAACAGGATTTCGAATTCAAGTAAGAAATCGAATGTTTCGTTTCTCTTCTAGGAAAATCTGCTTCGGTTTGTATAGGGAGGAGTGGGTGGTGATGCACTCATCATGTGTTGTCTTCCGTGTTGTGGAGCGATACAAATGTATAATGAACTCGATTTTCAAGGCCTGTGATACACTAATGCATGTAATTTTTTCTTTGCTTTTCATAAAGTGACAATAAATAAGTCTCAACGTGAGCGAGCACATGATTTTTTTTGCTATGCATGAATGATTTATCATCAGAGAAAGGAAAATAGGTAAGCATCAAACACATTGACAATACGTGTTTCTGTCAATGATGGTTTCGTTTTTTAATTCGAAAAACTTATGGGAGCCCGATAGACTTGTGTGCAAATCAGGTCGTGTAGATATTTTCATACAAAATCGACCGATCGTTTGGAGTCGAACATGTGCAGATTGGTATTCAAACTTGATCTCCGCCAAATGGATATCGGTACTATCGTTGATCATGGCTGTGTTTCTCATTAGTTGGACGTTGTTTGCTTTGATTTGGTATGTCATCGCATTTTATAATGGAGATTTTCGTCCCGATCATCTTCGTCCAAATACAGATCATCGGCCATGTTTAGTTAATGTTGGAAATAGTTTTCTTGCTTTTTTTCTCTTTTCGTTAGAAACTCAACATACGATTGGTTACGGTTATCGACATGTTAATGATGAATGTAAAGCCGGAGTCATTCTATTGATGATTCAATCAGCTTGTGGTGCTCTGATAACAATCTATGTCGGTGGTATTGTTTTTAATAAATTAGCTCGACCGAAACAACGAATGAAAGTCTTAACATTCAGTGAACGAGCTGTCGTTGCTCCACGTGACGGACAACTATGCTTTATGTTCAAAGTTGGTTAGTGGGAAGCATTTCTTCTTCAATGAATAAACTCATTGACTATTTTAGGAAGTAATATTGTTACTCAACTGACACGGCCAGCTATTCGAGTGATTTATTATAAGTTACAACCGACAGCAACTGGTGATGTGATTCCAGTTGAAAATTTCGACATGGCTGTACATCCATCGAATACAAATCTAATGCTCCTCTGTCCGTTAGTAATCGAACATAAGATTGATCAATCTTCGCCATTGTATCCAATATCACCGTTGAAACTTTATAATTCCGAAGGGAATGGTACGGATGCGTTTGAGATTGTCGTTTTAATTGAAGGAACAATGGAATCGACAGGAGATGCATGCCAGTATCGAACAAGTTATAAACCACGAGAAATCCTGTGGGGTTTTCGCTTTAAACAAACAAGTTTTGTACTCAGCGATGGCAAAGTCAATTTTGATATGACATCCTTCGAAGAATTCGAACCAGTCAATATGGATATATATACTGGCAAAGGGAGAGGGCCGAAACTATTTGCGCCCGTACTATCAGATAAAATTCATCGCCGACGACGACGAAAAAGAAAATCGACTATCGTTGAAAATGATGCGCCCGTACGCGTTAATGCTTAATTTATCTTGAATTTTCGATTTATTCTAATAAAAGAATTATAATTTAGTTTTGGATGAGAATTAACACAAGATATTCGCTCTTATTGTTTGTAAACTACCACGAGATAATGTCACTATGTTGGATAGACAACATAATCAAAGTAATCGATAACAGATTGTAATACGATTACTCGCAAAAAATCCTTATGTCCAAGTTGTGCTGACATTTGTCAAGAAGTTAAAATTGTCCTTAGTTGACGTTGAAAGTGCTTCTAATTTAATCAATTCTTGCTTTTCAACGGTCTCTAATAGGAAATTACTCGTGCACAAAAGAAAAGCATTAATCATTTACAAATACGATATGTATAAACAGCCGGTATTTGTGTATTGCTGTTAATAAGAATTGTTTGATCTTATCAGCAATGACAGATTTGATCTTGCTTAATGATAGGTTCGAAGAAGAAAACGAGGAGAAACTTTTTTATTGATGTTGTTGATCGGTGAAAATTCTTCACTGATCGTTTAACTATTTATCTAAATTAATGTAATGCAGATGCAGTCAAACATTCGTATAAACTTTTAGAATTTCATAAAAAAAAAGCACAAAGCAAACACACGAGTACGCGAACGCAAAAGATGAATATCTTTCTTGTCATAACAAGTCGATTTCGAAAAAAGAGGAAAAAAAACATCAGAGAGACAATGTCATGAAGAAGTATCAGCTAGAACAGGTTTCAATCTTAAATTAATTTTTACTTGTTTTGTCACACGTCGAATAACAGGTAAGTAGACCATACATGGCACGAACGTATGAGAGAATTTCGGATCTTCACTTTCGAGTAGAAATGGTTGCAGACCAGCATTGGCTTCCGATTTGGTTGATGAATTGTTTTCCGTTGACGAATGACTTGAACTTCGTTTACGTTTCAGGGTGTCGATGTTACTATCCGTTTCATCATCTAACTGTTCCGGATTCGTCAATGATAAGAATGGATTAGCGTTTTCATTCATCGTCGCAGCTGTTTTCATAAATTGAATTATTGTTTGATAAGCGGGATCCGATGTATCGTTATGTATTGTTTGCATATGAAATAGATATAAATATTTGGATGGGAAATCTTTTTTACATAATGAACAGTAATTATCTGAACTATCGAGATTTTCGTTGATTTGTTCGTTAGATTCACTTGTTGTTATTCCATGTACTTTTGCTAAAAGAAATAATTGATATGATTTCTGCTGTTTTCGTTGAAGAACTCGTACCTTTATGAGTTTTCAGGAAGTATTTATTACAAACTTGTTTATTACAGATTTCACAAACAACTCGATCAGCCATTTTAGCTGAAAAGTAGGAATCGTTGATAATTCCATACGATGCTGGTGGTGTTTGACCAGTGACAAGTTTCTGAGCAAGTTGACTGCTAGTATCAACAAACGGCGGGAGAAATCCAAGATTGGGGGCTGGTAAACTCGGAGGAGTTGCTGACATTGGCTTTTTATTCTTTTCATTCGGATGAAATGTGTTCATATGCATGCGAAAGAGAGCTTTGTTACGAAATTCTTGGTCACAAATGTTGCAACGGCGAACTGGTCGTTGAACTGTGACACTGGGCGATGTCGATGCCTTCATTGTGAGATTTGGTGAGGATGGAATAGGAAAGAGACTTTGGATATCGGATGGTCCAGGGTAAAATGGATTTAATAGAAGTGTGTTCGAAGGATTCGATGAAACTAATTACATGAAGAGAAGTTAAACAAGATTGAAATGAAATGTGAAGTTTTACTTTGAATTGCTGATCGACTTGAATTGGTTTTCGCGGGACTTTCATTGGTACTTTTCTGTAAAGATTTGATATAATCCGTATAAACACCGTGACATTCACCTTTATGTTTCTATAAAAGATAAAATCAAATCAGCAAAAGAAACTTTATTTGACTTCATTAACAACTCCTTCTCTCGTTCATTCCTTAACGAATTGTTTATTTTCTCTCGTTTCAATAGACATCCGTATGCGAATTGAAATTCATTCGTTTGCGCTTCTGAATAAATAAGCTTATTAAAAGTCAGATAAGCTCTTCTTTTTCAATCTGTCCACAACACAATGTCTCTCTCCAATATTTATATTAGAACATCGACAAGAGAGAGAGAGAAGAAACAGCGCACATACCAAGTCGCCTTAGATAAAGAAGAGCAAAAACTGTAATCTCAACAAATATACAATCGATTAATAATAATAAACTTACACGAAGATAATATTTATTACAGAAATGTTTCTGACAAATCTAAACATTAGAAAAGGACGATCAGCGAATTGTCTTCTTTCAAACAAAACAACAAACCTCACAATAATCTTCATTAGATTTTTCAGTCGATTTGCTATTATTAACAGTCGACGATTGTTGATTTGTAATTAAGGATGCAGCTTGCTGATTTGATAAAGGTAATGATGATGACGGAGACAATGATCCATTAACATTATCATTTCTTTCTGTTAATGATAATGGAGAAATCATGCTCAATCCTCCATGTTTTTTGGCCAAATGTGTTTTCAGAAAATATTTATTACAAAACGAACGTTCACATAAATTACAATAAGCTTCTGATTGCTGTCGTGATTGATNATAACGAACGAAAGAACATTCTGCCAATAACAGGTGCCATTTGGTTAGATCGATAGAAGTATCAACGGATATAATAAGGAATGAATTTGACATTTTCTAGGTGAGAAAGAGAACGGCCTTTAATGGTTGATTTTGATTTTTTTTTCAAAACGACAGAGAAAGACAGCAAACGATTATGCTGCGATAAAGACTGATATGTACTTTGCAACAGTAGAGGTATTTAATCACATACGAACATGATTAATGTCAAAAAAGAAAATAGAAAGAGAAAGACTGAATAACAAAATGAGATTTTATATGCTAGACGAATTTTCGCACGTAACTGTGAACGTTCTTACATTATTGACATGATAGATGCATCACTGGGAAGAAAGTTTTTGTTTCTAAAAACTTATCTTCATGTCGACATCGTTATCTTTTCATATGCTATAAAGGTAACGTCTCAAAATGTGTCATGAGTTTGTTTTCAAAGAAACATTTTGTCGATTGTGATGGCACGATTATTATGCAGCATTGAAGTGATCAGCGTTGTGCTGTTCGCTCTTAACATGCTATTTCTAGTTCTTGGCGGTTCAGTGCTGGGATTTGGAATCTATCTGAAAGCCAGTAAAAAGTTTGATGTTGCTTTGTCACCACATATCAATGCGCAAATCATTGGCGGCGAAGCGATTGAAATCGTAGGAGTTGCTTTGATCATCATCGGAATCTTTACGGTTGTTTTGTCAGCACTCGGCTGTCTCGGTGTGTAAAAAATGATTTTTCTGAAGAAAAGAATTGTTTTGATTTGTTTTATTTCACATAGGTGCTATACTGAGAAATCGATTTTTCCTGTACCTCTATGGTATTATTCTCACTCTCTTAATGCTATGCGAATTAGCTGCGTTCATTATAATGATGAGCGCACGTGTACGTATACGAGATAGTTATGAGTCTGGCCTTTGGAACGTTTTCAGCAGAGCGTACAATACTAGTCAACAAGATGTCATCGATGCTATTGGAGAGTTGCAGCAAGAGTTCCAATGCTGCGGCGTTTATAATCTTGATGACTATAAGAAAGTAAACCGAACAGTCCCTGATTCATGTCATATGGGTCAGTCGGCTTTACAGCCCGTGTTCGCTAAAGGTTGCGCACAAGCCTTCATTGATTGGATGTGGGATGAAGTGCCCATTATTGTCGGTGTTGTCGGTGCAATACTAGTGATCGAAATATTTGGTTTGATCGCGTCGTTTTCATTGGCAGTGGCAATGTCTCATTTTGCCTATGGACGATTGCGTGGAACATTCGTTTCGGAATCAAATGCTTGAATTCTTTTCTTTTTTTTGCTTTGTAGCTACTGATTCATCTAATGAAATTTATATAGAACGCTGTTCTATCATGAAGATTATTCTCATCATTTGACAGAACTTAAGGCGAGGTTTGACATGTTTTAAGCATATTTCCCGACTTATTTATGGATCACAGTTTACTATCATATGACAAAACTTGTTCTTGATTGTGCAATACCACTCTATCTGTAATATTACTCATTTAAATCTAACTTCTTATCTTTCTCATGTCATCAAAGTCAATAGCACAGATATCTTGGCCTTTATAATAGGCTAACTGTCACACGTTTTTTTGTCACTTTTTAACATCTATATAGCAAATTATGGCACAATTATCGTGTGGTGTTCAATGCACCCGCTCACTCTTATTAGTCTTGAACGTTGGATTCATCCTCGTTGGCTTCTCTGTCATGGGTGTCGGGATCTACTTGAAAGTTGGTAACAATTTTCGTGCTATTTCAGAGATCTCCGCTGTCTCTCAAGCATTGGACGGAGAAGCAATGCAGTGGGTTTCAATCGGCATGATTGTTCTCGGCGTCTTTACTGCACTTCTGGCCATTTTTGGATGTTTGGGTGCGATGTCGAAAAATCGATGCTTTCTGTACGTATATGCAATCTGCTTAACGTTGATTATACTCGTCGAATTTGCTGCGGTTATCGCAACGTTGATCTATCGTAATGATTTGTACAAATCCTTTGACTCTGGTTTTATGGAAGTCTTTCAACACGCATATTCAAAAAATCAAACTGAAGTGCAAAAGGCAATTGAAAGTTTGGAAGAAAATTTCAAGTGCTGCGGTGTTAATGGTCCTTCTGATTACAGCAAATTCGGTTTCAAAATGCCTCGATCATGTTACCGGAATAAAGACGATTTTCCGATACCATACAGTGATGGGTGTGCCTTAGCAGTAGCCGTGTGGATTTGGAATGAATTACCAATCATAGCTAGTGTTTTGGGCGTTATTCTATTTATCGAAATCTTTGGTGTCATATCGGCACTGGTACTTGGTGTGGCCGTCTCTCACTCATCCAGTCCTATATATTATGCTAAGTTTTAAAACAACAACATCTGTTTTATTTTTTTCTAAAGGAATAAATAACGAGAGAAAAAGCAAAGATGTATTTATCTTTAAACTAAGAAGCATGAAGTAAATTTTGACATAAATGGAGTAATTGTGTACTGAAATCTGCCACACCTTCATAACCTGGAAAATAATTAACATCAATAACAGCATAGCCACCGGTGTTTCGATCGATAATTATATCGATTCCAACAAGATTCAATTGAAATAAATTTTGAACAGTTTTAACAATATCATTCACGATTGCATGATCGAAAACAATTTTAATAGTCTGTTCATTGGATAGAAGCATATGAGCAGCTTGAGAGCTTGAGACTTCATTCGAACGAAATGCGATCGTATCTCGAGAAGTATGTGTATGGAGATTACGAATCGAGTTTCTTCGTACTATATGATAATTATTTGGGCCAACTAAAAGAAAGTCAAACGTGGATATCTCTTAATGATTCATTTCGATATTCTTACCAGAGAAAACTTTGAAAAGAACACCATCATGATCAATGAATTGTTGAAGAACGCAGGGTTTATCAATATCACTTAAATGTTCAACATCGAAGATAAGTTTCATGTCATGTGATTTATCTCCATGTGCACGAATCGGTTTACACATGATTGGAAACGTTATCTGATGTTCGATTAACATTTTCTCGATCGCTGATTCATTATCATCGGCTGTCACGCGAATGAACGTTGGAACATGATAAATATTCTTCTCGGTATCCAATATTGAATATTGTTCATAGCGATTCAATAATCTCGCGATGGAATCGAATTCATCGAGAATAATCGTTGACGATCTGGACAACGAACGGATTCGTTCAGTTAGCGAACGTGAAACAACGTCATCTTCGAGTTTATGAATAATCAACTGTGGAATGCGAGCATCTGCCTGTTCAAAGTAAGCATTCGTTAATTCGACTGTTTCGATATGAGAACGTTTGCAAAGAAGTAGAAATTGATCAAATCGAAGTTTGGAGAGCTTTTTACGAGACAAATAATAACCAATCAATGGATGTTGTTGTCGTTGAAAGTGTACCACTGATGGAGACGGAGTGCCACTTTGGCTGTCTTCCATGTCGAACGTAGAGGAAAGAAAATCTACAGAAGAAGAACGCCGACAATCCAAGAGAAAGAGAACGAACGTGCGTGCATGTTATGCGAGAAATCGTCTTTCTCGTATTTTTGTCGCTCGAAAGCATGAATGCAGAGAAGGCGAAAGAGGAAGATATATATCCATCTAAATAAGAAAAAGTGAATATTTTACAGTAAATCAAAACACTAATATGACGAAGTGTCGACGATTTTGATATTGACATATCCACTAGTCCGGAACCGACGTAAAAGAAGATAATCAATTTGTGTTAAACAATGGTTACCTTTCAAGAGTGATCAGGGTATATTTGGCGAGAAATATTTACGATTAGTTAGTATTTATTATGAGAGAAATGCCGTTTCGAAAAGACTCAACTGATAAATCTAATGGCTTATCAGTCACCGGAGACTCGTTTATGATTGGATAAATCCCGAAGTCAGTAGAATATTATGAAATATTGACTTTGGTTATCATGATCAAAGTACAAGTGAGAATATGCATTCCATTGTTAAAAAGCTTGCTTTCATGTGTGTGAAAAAAAAACACTTTTCACCAATCTTAGATCGTGCGAAATTTTAAAAACAATGTTCACCTTTTGTTCCGAACTAGACGAAAACCATCAAACTATCTGACCATTACAATGATGTTTGAAGAGCCGGTGTATACAAGTGCAAGCTGAGATTCTTTCGATATATTTTTGTGTTTGAACAGGTCGATGAGTGTGATTTTACGCGTTAAATTATCACATACATTTTACGTGAAGCTATGCTACGAACTAGTCTGCATTCTTCTATTCTATTTATGGTCTTCGTAACCTGATCATTCCACCAGAAAATTCCGTTATCTCAATATCTATTCGAAATAACAGTACGAAGCACGTAGACGCATTCAACTGGAAAGCAACTTTAATAAGAAAACAGGTGAAACATGATAAAAAAACGATGCTTTTCTTCTTGAATATTCAAAGTGATTCTATACTTGTGCTGTCAAACTAAGATGACATTATGATATTTTGTAAAAGTTAATGTACCAGAATTAGGAATATGTCATGAACAATCTGTAGCTGCTCACAAAGTTTTCTAAACATTGTTGTACGTACGTTAGCAATTTGAATCGATATACCACGAATTTATTTGGGCGGAAAATTTTACTCGCTTCGATCATGAGACATGAATAAAGAGGATAGGAAGGACATAATCACAGGAAAAATCATTTCGTTCTTAGAGATAATCAGGAAATGGTTGGATGAATGGTGACGGTGGAAATGGTACCAGGAAAGATTTCATACGTTGATATTTGAGAAGTTTCGCTTTATGATCGTCTAATTGCGTTGTTGATGTTTCAGTCTAGAAGGGAAACTTCATTATGTATTACATAAAGGAATAATCTTACTGCAGCGGTAGTCTCGATCGGAGTAGCACTGACTTTATATGGCTGAAAGTCAACAACTAGACAAACGATGAGAAGAGTTGCAATCCAGTAAGATTGAAGACGATACATGGTGAGCGCAGTGTGATTTGATTGTGCGAGAGAAGAGTCCGTTTTGTGTCTGACTTGAATTTTCTCGTGTGCGGGTATGTTTTTTCTTCAAAAGAATCTTCTAGATAAAACAGATTGCTTTTTCCAGCTCTTTTTCTTCGTCAAACTCGTCGTTTTTAAAGTAAACTAACCGGCGGATAAGGAACATCCGACGGCAGATTCTTTTTATAAATAAAATCCTTTTTCTCCTCGTTGATCTTCACTGAGAATAGAGATGAAATGACAGAAGATGTGTGTCCTCCTATTGCATTGTTTATTCTACTCGAAAGATACGACTCACAGTTCAGAATATGGTTCTATCAAGAGATAGAACTATTCAGAATGCATTCCTTCCTGTTGGGAAGATACACTACAGGGATATCAGCAAGAAACGATAATTTGATGATCTACGGGTATCATTCTGATGTTGACATCGAACAATTATCTAACGATTATATCAGAAAGAATTTATCAATACTTTATTATGAAACATTCTCTTACTTAATAATGTTCCTAAGTAAACATGAGCACAGTTCGATCATAGACTTGCTTCTTCACATCTCCAACAAGATCGTTATTGATAATTTGTACTTCGTTTTGTAAAGTTTATTAAAGATGACACATTATCATCATACTCGACATCATTACTGTCAATATATATGTGTCTGTACATTACGCAGCTGACATAAACAAGCAAAATTCATAATTATCATTCGAGCATTAACAATTTTACGTATAAGTTTCGATAATAATCCACTTAAATCATTTTCTAAATATATAAAAAAAAATCAGTGAGTTGTCTGTTTGCAATCATTATTTCTCGTTCAATGAACGATAAAATTTCTAGTATTCACACAATATAATCTCGTATTTGATTGATATCTAGGTAAAAGAAAATAAGCATATATTAATCGTTCGTCTTTCTTTCTCATCCTTTTGGGCAACATATCTTCTAATTAAATATCGAAGGATTTTCTAGAAGTACTCGAAAACGTANTAAAAACAAAGGAGAAGGCTGGTGAGACAGTCTGTTGTTATTAGAATTGTGGATATGATGTTCGATAGAAATGTCAAATATGCGACATCATTCTAATGAGAAAGTCTCACAATGTGAGACACACTGAAGAAAGAGAAGAAAAAGTTAATCTTTTCTCGTTCACTTTTTATTTTTATTGTTATGACTTTCCTTGTTCTCTCAACAAATATCGATTTCTCCTTTCTAGATCATGTTTTACTACTGTTTGTTGTATCTATTTATTTCGTCGATTCAATCCTGTCCATTGAAAACAGTTGATAGTCGTTCTGGTTGTTATTGTGGTATAGAAATCGATGGAACAAATTATATTCAATGTCACCCGTATTCGATCGAACACATCCCTGAATTTACACGTTCGTATGTACATGATAAATTAAATTTATCGTACAATTTCATTCGGAATTTGTCAAGTCAATCATTGAATCAATTAAAAGTGAAGAAAATTTATCTTCAACAGAATCTAATTGAATTTATCGATAAGCAAACCTTTAATAACAATCTTTTGAATTACCTAGAAGAACTTCATCTCGATATGTTAAATAATGGAAGTTTAGAATTTCTCTGTTATGGCTCATGGACGAAACTTCGCGTACTTCATTTATCCGGTTTTAATTTGAATCGATTTCAAAATTGTTTAGAAAAATTCTCTCGATTAGAGAAATTAATTATTCAGCATTCGCAAATTGATATGCTTTCATCGGCAATATTTAAATTACCCAATTTACATGAAATTTCATTGACGAAGAATCATTTGGAACATTTAAAATTCGATGAAGATCTTTCTGTATCATCATCGATTCGAATATTTAATTTATCATCGAATCAACTTCGAAATCTGTCAAACGATCTGGTTCGACGAATGACGCAATTGAACATCCTTGATCTTTCGCAAAATCTCTTCCAAACTCTGCCAATTCTAAACCAAACGCATTCGTTTACGATGAATCTGAGTTCAAATTTGATCAATTATATTCATATGAAAAATCAGGAGAATTCCTACGACGTTTCCTTTAATCCGATTTGTACATTAGAAAAAAGTGAAATGAATCCGACAATCTCACTTCATGGAATCACTCAATTACATTGCGATTGTCGTTTAGCTTATTTTCTCAATGAAAATTTAGTGAACATATCGAAATTAATCGAAACTAATCAGTTTTTGGACAACGAAACAAAATGTTCGACACCCACAGCATATCAAGGCGTTTTATTAACTCATTTAACGTATGAACAATTACTTTCAACCTGTTCAGATCAGTTGCCAAGTCATTGTAAAGAAGTAACTCGTTTCAAAGTAATTGAACAATATACCAAAGATATTCTTGGTCCGCGGACAACGATTTATTCGCCAACAAATGCCGTACAAAGTAAATTCAATCTCGAAGGGAAATTATCCAAGAAAATTTTGCATTTAGAACCAAAAACAACTACGGTTATTCCTCCGGAACTCTCCTCGTTTCGTTTAACTTCATTTTACACAACCTACGAAGAAGACAATCTAATCATTCATTGGGATTTTGATACTAAATTATCTTCGAAATATCTGACATTAATCAAATTTCAAATTGTTCTTGAACAACAGTCGTCATCCAACACGCAAGTCGTCCGTCGCACAAGTTACATCTCACCGCATTTGAAACAATATATCATTCATCATATACCTGCGAACAAAAACTATTACATTTGTTTACTTTTAACACGATCTTCGTTTGGTACGGATAAATATTGTCGAGAAATACGAACAATAATCACATCGTCAACGATATTGAATCCAATTCTATCTAAACAAGCATTTGTACACATGCTGTTTACCAATCGTTCGATTGTGTTTGGATTTCTCTTTGGAACGATACTCACGACCGGTCTCCTACTGACATTAGCCTTTATCTGTCATTTACGTTCGAAACGACAACATTACCGACGTGCAAACGTTTCAGTGTTTCCTCATACTCATCAAAAACAACAAACGTACTTATGTATTGACAGGAATAATAATGATGACGATGGAACCTATTCCAATTCAATCTTTTCGTCGACATCCTCAAAATCGCATCATTTTCGAAAACCTTGCCGTCGAACATGCTTTCCACCAATACCATCCGATCAATCATGGTATCGTCGAAGTTTAAGACAGCTTCCATCAGCACCGCCACTACCACCACCTTGCTGCTTTCATCATCATCACCGCAATACACCCGATGCATCAATTTGCAGCAGCACAACAACACGACGAATAACAACTCTATCTTCACAATACAGCAATGCAGTCGACAAAGAAGCAATGACATCAACATCGATTATGAGCAGTGCTAGTTCGGATGAGCCAACAATTAGTAGTCCAACGAAACATGTCTACGAAGAACTAGGAGATGAAATGACAATATTAAAACCAAATCCCGCAACTGATATATTTCTTTAATTTGTAGATTTCACCATAATGTGTGTATGTATCTCGTTCTCTTTTGTGTTTTTCACGAAATATTTTATTGAACAACAATATCAATTGGTTTGACAAAACTTTCCTATGAGTACTATACTTTTCTCCGATAGATTTCTAATCAGATGGCAAACATGTACTTGTTTTGTGTGTTTATCGAAGAGATCAAGTCAAAAATTCATGCAAATAATACTAATATACGGTATTACCTCGAGGGAAATCATCGTTGTGTAAAGACAGCTCTTGTCGAAAGAAATCTTCATTATTATTCTATATTGATTTTAATCGAATATTAGTTCTGCTACTGAGGAAACTAATTTGTTTGCTGTCATATTCGAATAACATTATCAAAATGAAATGTTAACATTTGTACAGATCGACTCAACTACTAGTGTCATCTAGGGTGAAAGATTTTTAAACAAAAACACATTTTCTTTGTCTTGTTGATAATCTGTGAAGAATACAAATAAAGTTTTGTACATTATTTTCACGATGAAGTCGTAGATTGTGTTCAGGAAAGTGTTAGTCTCCAATAGATGCTACCTGCAACACTACTGGGCAAGCCATCGCTTTGTTTGGTCAGTTTGTTGCGGAGGATATATTGGCCGCGATTTTCTTGCAGTTAACTCAATCCAAATAAGCAACAGCGTGTTTTTGCTTTACAATTCAAATGGGTAAAAGAAAAACGCGTTTGTCTTTGTTTTCGACTATTGTTCAAAAAATCAATGAAAATGAGAGAAAACTGCCGTCCACTGACTGTCACCGGATCGATAATGAATACTTTACTGCATTCAATTCATTGGATGATATTCAGCAATTTCATGCGAAGGTGACTGAACAACAGCAGAAGAGTAGCGTTGATGAAGAAACAGATGTTCAAAACGAACATGACGATCAGGATATGGATATGAAATCCTTTGCACAACAATTTCTGATTGATTCGCCAGAAACAGAAGATCTAAGTTTGATCCGTACCTCTTCACAAGAGATATTCACTACGGATCAACCAATCAATTGGTCACCGAAAACCGATGTCAATAAAAACTTCAGTCAATCCGCAGGTAAATTTGGATTATAAAGATTTCAATGATGAAATCTCAATTATTGTATTTTAGATAATAAAAGACGCAAATCGACAATGCCTGTGAAATTACCGGTTCAATCGACGCATAAAAGACAACGTCGACATATTCGAGATTTACCACAATCAAGTGACTTCATTTTTACGTCTGACCACAATCGTCGAGATTTATTAAATGTTTGTTGATGAGTTTCCATTCAATTTTCACGCGTCTGTTTTCTTTTAGACTTCAAATAGTATATTTGATTATTCGCAAACGGAAATTACCTCGAGCAATCATCATGGTACGAGAGGGAGGCATCTTTTGAAGGATAAACGTACAAGCTTGATTTTAGAATCCACGAGGTCAAGCGATTCTTCTCTAATAAAAAATGAACCAGTTGAATCTGAACAAGTATATAGAATGATTTCGATTTGACATAAATAATTCAATGATTTTAGGTATTAATTGAGCCAAAAGAAGAACCAGTAGACGTTCACGTACGATTCAGGATATCTTCTCCTCGACTTTTTACCATCTTTTTGTTTAGATGACATCTATAGGTGCCATGAGCTTTGGCACATCACAATTGTAAGTATTGCTAAAAAGTCGCATTTCAAAGAATAGTTTAATGGTTTAGTTCGGGTGATCTCGATAATTATGTTCATAATATCCATCTACTTCGCCAATCGTCAAATTCCGTCGAATCTAATCCATTAGTTTCTTCTCGTCCGAAACGAATTCGTAAACGAAAGAAACTTTATATCGAAGAAAGTGAGCTACCAACAAGGCCGAATAAGATCAAAACAGCAATTCGGAAAAAACGTCCATTACCTCAACTCCCTTCTGCACTCCAATTAACTGATGCAGAAATTGAACAACAATTCGGTGAACGTCTATCTGTAGTTAAATCAGAATATGATAGTGATATTCAACAACGTATCAATAGTCAAGTTGTTATAGAATTCGAACCTGTTTCGTCAACACCACAAACGCCGATGGAGAAAGCACGAGCAAAACTAACTTCGGCATTAGAACGTATGAGAAATGCCTTCAATACTGAGACTGTGTATATGCGTTTGATTTGTAGGTGGACATGATCCTGATACGTATTTATTGAAAATTCGTTCCCGTGAACATAAAATAATTGAAGTTCAGTTGGCAATTTATGGTACCGCTGATTGGTATTCACTACGAACGAAAATATTGACAAAAATCGAAGAAGTACGATAGAGAAATGTTCTTGAAAGTTAACAAACTTTTTGTCTTTTATATTAGGCACTACGTGGTCTTCGTGTAAGTTGGACAAAAATTGATATCGTAGTTGATGATTTCGATGTACAAATCTCCACGTCATCGCAAACTGCTTCTATTACTCCGCCGTCCTCCATATCGAATATGAATTCATCGTGGTTTTTAAAAGCACTAAGTGAATCGGGTCCGTTGATTGTTCATATACACGATCGTCGATATCCTCAACGACGTCTTTTGATCAAATGTCCATGTGCGGAATGTTCACTGACGTCTACCGATGACTCTTTCCGGTAAATTAAACTAAACATCTCGTCTCTTCTCTTCTGCAATCATACTTTTCATTTAGTTCATCGCTACCTGTCATTGTCAATGCCTCTCCAGCCACTACACCGACTCGTCGTTTAACAACGCCAAGTATTTTGAGTAAAACTTCTCAGTCGAATATTTCCTCATCACATAACATTGCAACGACATTCTTCAATGAGCTTATCTACCTATATGGCAGAAATACAGTTGTATCTGTGACACAATGTGTATTAGATCTTGCTTTGATTGTGAGCGTTCATGCGTCGTTGCCCAGTCTTTGTGTTTCGCCGAATTATTCCACGGAAGAATATAAGAAGAAATATCAACAAATTATTGATCCGCTGAAATGTACATTGAATGACAATGAAAAAATCTTATTGAATAAAACACCAATGATTGCGCGTGTTGTGTCTGTAAATGCAATAAATAATACACAATCGATTGTTCTCTCCAAGCCACCGGATATTCTCACTTTTTATGATTCAATTCGGCAGAGCAATGCAAAAATAAGAAGTGCAAAATGTAAGATGAACTTTGCTTTTGTAACTCTATCAATGTTATATACAAATTCTAATTTTAGCAATGAGAAAGTTGATTAGTACATCATTTGCGTCACCTATTTCGCCTCCGTCTCAATCAAATTTGCTCAAAACTCGAGCGGTAATTCTTCCGAAACCAGCAACATCGTTATCTTTGGGACATACTTCGTCAGCGATGAATGTGATTGAATTAAGGAAAGTAAATGAACCAAACCTTCAAGCTCAACGACTTTCATCACAAATCAATCATTCTGACACGAATGAATTAAAACAACGGACGGTTTGTACACCGATCATTGAATTAAAACCAATCACGAGCGGATCGTCAGTAATAACACAAAATATTCATTCGCTTACTCGAGATTCACTAGCTCATGAAGTGAACAAAGAAACAGCTACCGAGCGAAACGAATTACCATCTGTAAGTTGACGCTTCAATCGAATTTCTTCTTAGAATATGCTATTCTTTAGATTTCAAATGAAACAACATCTTCAGCAAACACAAACGCTCGTATCATTCGTCTTTCGATTGCGAAATCTACATCAGCCGATGCACAACGACCATCTACAAGATCACCTCCCACTTTTCGACTAGTGACATCACCGAAATCCAATTCTGAATCAACTTCTTCACATTCCATTTCATCGACGAACGCTGCGGAAACAGTACCGCTCGTGCCGAAACAAATCAATATCATCAAACCATTATCTTCAACACCTACGTGTCTCACACCTGCCGTGAAGCTTTCGAATCCCGTTCTCATTGCCAATAGATCTCAACCGCCAACGACAAAATGATATCTGTGTATACGTATATGTATTCTATCGGCTTTTTCTCATTTGTGATTGTTTGTATATCTAGTGAAATACAGTTAAAAACTCTTTTTATGATGAACAACTCAGACATGTTTGGAAATGTTTCTTGAAATCGTTTCCATACGAACAAATACGACTGGCTATATGAGAATCGATTTATAAATATTTATTAGTGAGATTCAGTTAAAAAAAATACAAAATGAGTTAGAAGAATTATCTCATAGTTCATTAATATCGCCCATAAAGCCGCCTGTTTTCGATGCTTGAATCGAATGTGGAGTTTCAACAGAAGAAAACTAAAAATATTATCGATGAATATCAAAAAACAAACGAACGAATTGAACCTTACAGTAAGCAATGGCTGTTGTGATCCTCCTTTCTTTCGACGTCGTGTAAATGAATCATGATGTATTGGTTCGAGTCGTTTTTGCATTTCTCGCTAAAACATACAGATCTTTCATGTATTTAGTTTCGATAAAATTCGAACATACTTTGATCCATGGATGTTGTAATAATTCGTTAGCACTGATTCGTTTTGTTGGATCACGTTCAAGCATTGATGCGAGAGCTTCTCGACATTCCATGGAGATTTTCGGTAAGAGATTAAAATCAATAGTATGATTGATCACATTAAATATAATTTCATCATCGTTATCTCTATAAAAAAAAGTTTCTTTCCTCTACCAAGAAACCCCATCTCAAATTCTATTGTTTTCTTACCCATCATATGGTGCCAAACCACTCAGAAGAGTAAATGTGATGATACCCAATGACCACATGTCATTTTCAATTCGATAACTAGAAATGCAAGTCGAGATATGCTTCATTATTTTCAAAATAGACTAGAAATTTAGAAAACATGCTCAAGAATTTCTCTCTTGGTAAAAATTTTTCTGTCGCTTGCAGTTTATCCCTTAGTTAGACATTGCAGGAAAGCAAAAAAGAGAAAAAGGTTCGAGCGAGGTTTGAACTCGCGACCTTCTGCGTGTGAAGCAGACGTGATAACCACTACACCATCGAACCGTCATTTTTCCTTGGCTTACTCTCTATTTTCAATCACTTCAGGCGCGAGATACATCGGAGTACCACACAAACCACTTTCTTCATGTTTCGGTGCTACTGTCGGTATTTCGTCCGTTAAACAATGTGCTAAACCAAAGTCGGCCAATTTCAATGTGACACTTTGATCAGAATGATTTGCAATCTAGTATAGGAGAAATAAAACAAGAAAACATCGTGAGCTGCTTTTACATACCAAAATATTATCTAATTTGACATCGCGATGGACGATATTCAATGAATGCAGATGCTTTAATGCAGCAGCAATTTGACTCAACATTAACGCAACATCATGCTCACTGTATTTATTCATGGTTGTTACAGCAGTTAATAAATCACCGTTCTGCAGTATATACATAGACGTTGTACATTAGCAAAACTAGGTGAAGACTGGAACTTACTGATACGTATTCGAAGACGAGGAAATATTGGAGATCTGTTTGAAATTCTTCTACGAGTTTAATTATATTTGGATGTTTGACACGTCGTAGAATGGCCAATTCATTTTCGATAAGATATCCCTGGCAAAAGATATTGAACAGAATTTTCGATCGGCGACTCTACTTACGTATCCTTCACATTTTGTTTTATCAATAATCTTCAAAGCTAACTGAATTCCTGTTGCCTTATCTCGACATTCGTAAACACAAGAGAATCTTCCATCACCTAATACATCACCCACACTGTAATGGCGTAATAAGACTTCTGGACATGTTTGCAAATCAAGATCTGTCGCCTGTTGTCCGTGCACTGACGATGAACGACGATCGTCTACATGAAATGGTGTACTTCGTCGAGATGTGCTACGTGCTCTGTCAACCGAAGAAGGCTTATCAATAAAATATGCTTGTTGACGCAATTGATGACGAACTGTTTCCAGTCGATTGATGGAGGCAATATCTTCATCAGTCACATTACATTCATCAAGAACCATATCTTCATCACGCGAGGCAAAATACAATCGACCACGACGTAGTAAATCTATTGGATCAGTTATCTAATCGATAGATATCGAAATTTTTCCTACAATTAAGCAGTGACAATAACTTACTTGTTGACCTTTGATATCCCATAGTGTTTTAATCGTGTCATGATCGAGTAGGAGTGCTTCGTTGACGATATCTAGAAATGTATCCATTTGTTTATGTTGTTGATAGTCAATAAATAGACGGACGGCGTGCCGTCCAGGTCGATTAGATGACGATGACATGGCACTAGTAACTTTTAAACGACACTGTACGATTGTTATGATCTGCGAGGAAAGATACTGAGATGAATCTTTTGGTTGTTTATTCGTTTGCCAATCGAGAACGGATGAAGTGATTTGTTCATCGCCATCCTTAGGGTTATTGATTGGTGGTGCTGTGAATGGTAAGACTGATTTATGTGAAAGAAAACTGTCAGTGATTTGACTGAGAATATCTTGATTGGCAAAATAATACGCTGGCTGCTGTTGATGCCTTCGACAAAGATCGGAGGGTTGTTGAATCACGTTTCGCGTATTTGGTTCTGATTCTGGTTCCGCTTCAGTTGGTTTTGTTCCATGTTTTGGATTGATTAAAGAAAGCAATTGTTGGCCAAGTTGGTTAAATCGAGTGGAAGAAAAGATTTCATATTCAGTGTAATGATTAGGTGTTGTTTCGACTGAGAATGACATGATTGAAATCTGTAAATAGAAGAAAGATGCTTTTATTGAAGAGTTCAAATTAGGGTTGAGTAAAGAAATACAACACATTTTGGTATTAACTTGTCGTGAAGAAATGTGTTATACAAAAAAAATGTGAATATGTTTGAAAAGAGATACAAGTGTGTTTTTTGCACAAAGTAAAATTGGAAAAAAAAGACAGAAGACTCTTGCGAAGTGTTTTCTATGTAGGTTCCTGTTTCATTCGTCGTAGTTTATGACGATTGGCATCATAAATTTTCGTTTTCACTTCAGGTTCATCTGGAGGTGATTGTTTCGTTGGATCGTCATCCTTGGTTGAATCACTTGGAGAAAGTGTAGACGATGCAGATGGTGGTGGTGGTGGTGGTACATTAGATGCGCTGTCGTCAGCTGGTCGATTAGAATTCGTTGAAAATGGAAATGCAGGTGGCGGTGGAAGTCCTGATGGGAATGATAATTTTTCTGTTGGAAGATCGGATGGTGGAGCTGGAGGTGGTGCTGGATAGCCCAACTTCGTAGCCACATCCAACATAGATGCATCTATATCACGTGGATTTGCTGCTGCTGCTGCTCGTTCAGCATAACAACGATGGAATTGTTGCATAGTGGAATTAATTTTTGCTGGAGAGACACCGGTATTTGCTTGAAAGATACCGTAGTTAAGCAATGTCATTGGGTCTGCTGAGTCGAGTTTAAGTGAGTATGCATAAGCACGTTCAGCATTATCTGAATCATTGAGTTTCGATAATGCCACACCTGTTCGTATGAACATAAACGATCGTAACTTATATCAGATGAGTTCTCGAGAAATTCTACTCACCTAAGAGAGCATAACTTGGTGCGTGTTTTCGATTGATTCGAATAGCTGACTGAAGAAATATTGCTGCGGATGCATTTTGCTGTAAATATAAATGTACAAGTGCCAAATTATAAAGTACATACAATTCGAATGGTGCTAAATAATTCGCACGTTTCAAACAGCTAACAGCGGCAACAAACTTCTTTTTGGAAAAAAAGCACATGCCAATATTATTCCAGACTTGTGCACATTCCGGCTTTCGTCCATAAATAATTCGATATTTCGACAAGGCTACATCTGCATCGCCATGCTTTTGAATAACTTGACATGCTGCCATAATAGCGGGAATATGCGTTGGACAAAATGTGAGTGCTGTGCCGAAACACTCAAATGCTTTTGTATAATGTGCTCTCTAATACAAACGAAATCGATAAGATAGATTTTTCACGCTTTTCGATATCATACTTCAAATGCCAAGAGTCCAATATGTGTAAATAGTGTTGGAGATTCAGGATTACGTCTAGCACCTCGTTCGAAAATAGCTTCTGCTTCGTCGCGTTCACCTTCCAGTAATAAAACTTTCCCTAATGCTATGTAGGATGCTTCTTGGATCTCAGAAACTTGCAGTGCTTGTAAGAAATATTGTTTTGCTTCGTTAAATTCACGTAATTGCATATAGCATAAGCCTAAATTATGAAAGACTTCCCAATCATTCGTTGTTCGCGTTAATGCTTCCTTGTAGGCATCAATAGCCACACGGTAACGACCTAATAATGCCAATGATTTTGCCACTTGTTTTATATTGACCAGTGTTGGATTTTCTACCACTGATTTTTGAAAAAGATCGAGCGCTTCAGCAATTCGTCCTTCTTGTCGATTTACGAGCGCTTGAACGTATGTCATATAAGGATTTGTTTGTGGTTGAACACGTATGAACTGCTGAATACGATCGTATTCTCCTCGACCGTACATGACGTGCAGTAACCAATTGTATTTGTCGATTGTGGATGGATCATTCGGCCATTTCGAAGTAGCTATTGAGCGAGCCGACGGTTTAAGAATCGAAGGTGGAACAGCATTCGTTGGTGTTTCCATTACTGAATAAGATTAATGATAAATTCTCAGTATAATCCGTCCGGTGATCAAATTTACATATTAGCCATCGTGGCTTACCTATCTATAGTAATACCTCTATTGAAGGAAATAAATCGCGTTTATAGAAAATAGCAGATATTAGAAGTGATTTTGTAATGCGAGAAGCTAGTTTTGACAGGAAAAGATCATTTATTTAACGTTTTAAGAAGGAGGACGATGCCGTAGCAACATGGTACGACCTTAACAACCAATGAATTTGCATTCATTCAAATGAAAGAAACAAGCATGATTATGATTAGAATTCTATTTCAACCTACTTTCTTCTCGTTGTTTTTCTAGAAAAACGTGTCAATCATGGCTCTTTATTCAGCTGAAGATGCCAAGTTTCTCAAAAGGTTCGCTTCGAGAATATTTTTACAGTTGATCCTATTGCTCTTCTTTGCTTATAGACGTATTCGTGGTGGACAAATTGACGTTCATCCAACAGAAAAGGCACTTATTGTTAACTACTCCATTGAAGCAACGGTTTTGGATGAATATCAAAATACGATGATTGGTGACAAGAAAGATGCACAAAAAATGTAATACAAGATGAACTCTATCCGACTTTATACGTAGGATTTATTTGTTTTATAGAATTCGGCTCAAGAGTCTGGGTCCTACGACTGACATTCGCGCATTAGCGAAAGAAGTCGTCAATCGTTGTAAACTAATTCATCCATCGAAAACCGGCGAAGTCGAACAATTACTATTCTATTTACAAAACCGTCGTGATACAAATCTGACGAGCGAATCTACAGCAAGTGGTCCACAGAAACCTCTATCGGATGAACTCGAACAGCCGTCTATTGATACACAAATCAATGAAACAGCATCATTAAATGACATCGAGGATTATGCAGAAATGTTGTACGAAGATGTTCCTGACAAAATCAAAGGATCTGCATTGATTCTACAGTTAGCTCGAAATCCAGATAATCTTTCTGAAATCATTCAAAAAGGTAAGAGATAAAGATGAACTTTTGTACAGAATTTCATTTCATTCCATTTAGAGAGTGTCTTGAACGTGTTAACACGTGTATATCGAGAAGACTGGAATCAAAGCATTGAGTTAACCACAAATATTGTTTATATATTTTTCTGTTTTTCGTCATTTACGGATTTTCATCCGCTTGTTTCGCAACATCGTATCGGCGCACAAACAATGACGGTAGGACATTGACAAATGAACTTCTTTCACAGCAAGTTCTCTTCCTGTTCAAAGATCATTGATGCTGAAATGAAAAAATACGATCAGTGGATGGACGAAATCAATCGTGAACAGAAAAAGAAACAACGAGATGCGCGTGCCAATGTTACCGTGGATAATAAGTACAAAATACTTATACGAAAACAAGAACAGTTCTTGCGAGGTAATCATCGAATGATTGAAAATAACATTGTTGTTTTCATTTCTACCGTTGGATTTTCAGTGGCATTTTATTTATTGTTAAACTTGGCCGAAGATCTCAAAGTGGAATTAAAAATGCGTAATAAAACCATTATAAATCAGTTAATCCACGCACTGGATCGTGACAACAATGATCTACTCATCTTGGTTGTTTCATTTTTAAAGAAATTGAGCGTGTTCGTTGAAAATAAAAATGATATGGTAAGTGTTTCAATATTATGTTCATTTACCTTGATCATTGGGTCAACAATTGAAAGTAACGCAATCAGATTGACGTGTATACATATACATAAATTTTTCTGATGTAATCAATTATGATAATACTTGAAAAGGTCATTTGATAGACAAGTGCAAGTGACACATAGAAAACGTCTTCGGTGAAGAAAGACGAAACGACTGAACGGAATTGAATTTTCGTTCCTTAGCGTTTACTTTTCGTCAACTGCACTTTTTTTTATCACTATAGTTACTCCGAACTTATTGTGAGAATGAGTAGCAGTACTTCTACAATAAACCACTTAACATACTCGCGCGCATGATGCATATATACAAACACCTGTGTAGCACTCGTCTTGTTGAGTGTATTATGCTAATTTCACTTCAGTCACATATGCTTCATTTAAAAACCGACGTACAACCTTATTGAACAGGCATGATTGCAGCATGTGCGAGAGAACGCGCGACAGAGTTCGAGGCAGAGAAAGAAACATATATGAATTTGAAGGTCGTATCTTATGTACAAGGCTATTTCATTCTGTCTGCGCTCCCACCAACTGTTTGCCGTCTAGATTTCCTAGTTCAAATCGTCGTATTATTCAACAGTGTATTATAAACATAATCAATACAGAACGCTAAGTGCTAACTAGTGTTTGTGCTTGCATAATTATAGAGTATTGTTGAAAAACACAACACATAATGGTATTAGTTTTTTAAAATATTCTCTCGTCTTTTACTCTATGAGAATATGTATGTGTATATATATTTATATATACATCAATGAAATATACCTACTCATTTTCTATGCAGCTCTTTCTCTCTTTTACCTTTCTTCTCTTCTCTCTCGCGTTCATCATACGATAGTAATTTACATTCTCTGTCCTTTTTTCTTCCATATCCTAGAAAAGTAAATACATATTAGGATGTGTCGATCTTCATACTTTCTTCTTTTAGTGATTAGCATCGTTAACTGACATATGATGAAGTATTCGTACGCTTTATTTACTGTTGTACTTGACGTGCTGATAATAAATAGAAACGGAGTTTATATCATTGTTGATTGAGAGAAAGAAATGTTATTCTTTGTAGGCGCATTTGAAAAAAGTGTAGAGAATGATGAAATCTCATTGAATCTAAACCGATGATAATCCATCATTTTCTTTGTTCACTAATTTGTCCCGCATTTAACATTGTCGTTACAAAGATGTTTGATCTTCGTTTTTGATTATAGGATAAAGTAAAACATTACATCGTTAATTACAGTTTTCAATGTAAATTCCTTCTTTTTCTCTTTCCTCAGGGTTTTTTTTGTTAGAAATGAGTAATGATGATCAATGAGATTTTGTTTTGCCTCTACTCTGTTCGATACGAAGATAATTAGTTTTCTACGTCAAAACAATCTTTTCGAGGGTTAGTACAGTCAATAATTTGAGATCATTGTCACTGTCCATCTTCATTCATTCATCCATACCATCTCGATGGCGAGAACGAAAGAAACAATAAAGCCCGCGATATACTATAAAAATATCACTTCTAGTTCTCTTTTTTGTTTCTTTATCAGACAAACAAATACAGTAGCTGCTTTTGTTCGTTCCGTCAATCGTTAGATAAACATCATTTCTCTGTTATGAGTAGTCAAACAATGACTAGATCTAAAATATTTCGTCTGTTTTTATATGGTATTACTTATACTCGTATTCCTCTTTACTTGGATATTCTCCTTGAGTCATATCTTTTCTCGTTGTAAACTCAGACAGAACAACAACAGAGAAAAAAAGAACTTAGATAGCAGCCAGCAACTGTTTGACAGAACCGCAATAACTAAAGACAGATCTCATCTGACATCTTAGTAAGTTTAGCAGTACTAACAACACCGACGACGACTTGTTTTTCCTCTTTTTTCTCTGTCGAATTAACAAATGAAACTATGACAAATGACTTCGTTTTTGACTCGTGTTTATTTAAGAGGCAAGAAAAAAAAACTCGATCTTCAATCATTTCAAAACAAAAATTGAATTTGATTTTCGAGGTTTATTGACGATTAAAATTCTCCTCTATATACACGACGATGATGATCATCACGCAACTTCGCGGTCGTTTTTTTTTTGAGAGTGTGTATAGATGTGTGATGACAATTACATAACGATCATTTTTTCGCGCTGACATCTGATCCCATTCACCTTTTTGAGATCGTATACGATAATCAGCTTTTATGACATTATGTTTGTTCGATATAAAAATGTGTCATATCTCTAGAAAAGAACACGAGAGAGAGAGGAGCGACTTATAGATCATCGAATAATTTGTACAAATGCCAACAACAAGTGGAGACGAAGGCGATTTCGGGCCTGAAACCCATCGAGGTTTCTTTCATCGTTCATTATCACCCCGCTCGTTCGATAGACTACGCACCGAACATAGCGACTACTTTTACAAGCCTAAACGTGGCCCGTCAGCGAGTAAATCAAATATTACCATAACAAGACCAATTAAAACATTCGAGACAGTCACTGAACTCGTTGAACTATTATCGAAAGGTAATGCCGTTAAGAAACCTGAAAAAGCTTCCGTGGAAGAAATGGAATCACCGCCGCTATCAAAGAAGTTCGATGATCAAAGATCAACATCGCATTATTCAAGTTTTTTATCCATGGATGGAGGAGATCTTTTCTCGTCAAGCCATTCTTCCGCATTTTCGTCTCGAACAAATTCTTCCATCTCCACCGTGGCTGAACAAGACACTCAAGTAATTATTATCGATGAACCGACGGTACAAGTGAATCCTACGAGTAAGTCATTATGTCTAGACGTTTAAACTCATAAGAAAATACATTAGATGCAAAACTCTTATCAATATCGACGAAAGAAAAACATGAAAATTATTTCTTTATTTACTTCAGTTCTACAAAAGAAAATATTAACACTTTTCAAGAGAAAGAAATCGATTTCGATCAATATTGATTATTTTTACTTAAAGGACAGACATATAGAATTAACAAGGATCGTATGAGAAATGTAATTCGAGAAAGATTAATCTAATTCGGATATTCAAGCAAGTCAGCTGAGAAGAAAAACTGATCTTGTCCATTAACCTTGAGGAAGTTATGTTGCTCTACATCTGTTGTATTAGATCGCGAAGGTTTATAATTAACACCCAGTCTGAGAGATAGAAGAGACTCGAAGAACTTGCTCTGATTGTTATCTTTCGTTTGTTATCTTTCGTTTGTTTTCTTCTTAGCTTCATTATCTTCGATATCCGAGCCGAATAAAACCAGCACTGACGAAGTTAATCAGAATTATTCGTTATCTCCATGTGATGTACCAGCCATTGGATTGAATATCACAAGCACTGGTGTACATCTTGTTTTGTTAGAACTCTATCCTCAGAATGTCAATTATTCTACCATTGTTTTTCAACGTTACCTTATATCATTAATTCTTGACCATGAACATAATGATTGGTCAATATTGAATGTGGATTTACGGACAATCACTGAACAAGAAGGCAACTTTCGTCTATTTTCATTAACACATGATGAATTTCAACTGATTCTCATGCGTTTACAATCATTTGTGAATTATAACTCCTCGTTAGCATCGTCATTTGTTCTCAATATCGCACTTACTGGTGAACAAACAAGTGAATATGAGTCGAAAATCTCCTCTCGCTTAAGTAAAATCAATTTAAATTTCGATATTGTCCAATATCGTGCTGAATCCTATATGATTGGATTAGACTTTCTACTTCATAAACAAAAATCTATAGCTAACGAAAACGAATTGATCGAAATAATCAATTCCAATGAGAACACTCATGACGACAAACATCAACTTTATCCTTATATACTGGTTCATGCCGAAGCTGCTAGTACTTTTTTCTATATTGTCCATTCATCGAATCATTACTCAGTAGTCACATCGAATAATCTATGTTATAAAACTTATTCCAACTTAACGAAACTTCTTCAACCTGGTTTTGATACGACAACTGACGAAGAAATGTAAGCGAAATTCTTTCTGTCATTCGAAATTGTTGTTCATCTTGACTTCTATCTAGTCCATCCACATCATCTTCTAAAAGTACTTATCTAACATCACCGTATTCATATCGACGAGCATCTCCTCCACCGTCTTTTGACGTCACTTGCAAAGATTTATGTAAAAATTGTTCACGTTCATCTTCCATTCATTTATCTCAAATTCCGATCACAAGTTTCACTCGTATATCACAGCGATACTTTCCAGATGATTATACACATTCGGACAAGCCACATTATATCTATCGTGGTTGGTCCAATCGACGAAATGCTTCTCACGATAAGGAGATTTGTACATTTGATGTTCATACCCAAACAGATGATAGTTTCCTTCAATCGTCATCTGCGCCAACACGTCTCGCCATACGTCGTTCATTACTATCGATGTTTACAATGAACATCGCATTAACGATCAAATTAATTACGAAACTTTATCCATCTGTAAAGCGTTGTATGTTAACGGGAGAATTTTTTCAATTAGAAAAGCAAGCTGCACAAGATTTATCCTTATTTTTACAATCAATTCTAGGACAAACCGTTCTACATGTTTGTCAATTGAAACGCGAACCGCTTGTCGCAGCACTAGGCTGCGCACTTCCTCGAGTTTATTTCGATGTTATTGATGACGAAGGAGTTCTAGGCAATGATTGTATCAGTTGATATTTCATTGAGAAGATATAATATTTATTTATTTTTAATCTTCTGATTGATCGAATCAGAATTTAGTTTGTGTGTGTGCCTGCGTGTTTTTCAACAGATATAGAATGTAGCTCGACCTATTTTCAATAGGCTTTTTTTGAATTTATTACACATTATTTTTCTGACTATAATAAATTCATAAATAGTCATCATAAGATAGAAGATACTGCAGATATCGATTGACTAGGATCGACATTCAGTTTGAGACACACATGGCAATCTTCTTTTTGTATATCTAGCGTGATCAAAAGTTAGTTCTGAAAGTTGCGCGATTGATTCCATGTCCACAAGCTGATTTATTGAATATTACACTTCGTCTCTTGCTGAATTTATCGTTCGATCGGGATATTCGAGCACAAATTGTTCGTATTGGTTTATTGCCAAAATTAGTCGATTTGATCGGTAAAAGCTCATTCTCTGATTCAATTTCCATTATGTTTTGTTTCGATTCATAGATGATGATAATCAACGTTTGATTTCTCTGTGTTTATTGTACCATCTGAGTATGGATAATGCAAACAAAGCTTTCTTCACGTATACAAAATGCAATCAACAAGTACGTATAGTCGAGTTTTGCTTTCTGAAATCATATTTAAATGATTTAGTTGATGAAACTCATCATCGATTGTAAAGAAGATACCGTTGAACCTGAAATTATTGCGTTAGCAATTAATCTCGCGTTGAATCCTGGCTGTGCCGAACAACTGTGTGAATATAAGCATGGCAAAGGTTTAAAGTTACTGAAGAAACGAGCCTATAAACACAAAGATTCATTAATCATGAAAATGATACGAAATATTTCGTCACACGCATCGCCCGATATCAAAAATCAGTTCATCGTAAGAAAGAAGGGCTATTTTATTCATTTAACTGAATATTTCCGTTTTTCTAAAGCCATTCGTTGGCGAATTCGGTGAAACCTTAGTCACAGAAAATGACGAAGCATTTCTTACCGAAGTCGTGGGAACTTTGGCGAATTTAACATTACCTGAAATTGATTATGAAGCATTGATGAGTGAATACGGCTTAGTTAATTGGATCAAATCAAAATTGAAACCTGGATCAAGTGACGATGAATTATCATTGAACGTGGTTATTCTGGTTGGAACGCTTTGTGCTGATGATGCTTGTGCGGAAGTGTTAGCTAAGAGTGGGATCATCCAAATCCTCATTGAACTTTTACATGGTTAGTATAGTTAAAATAATGACGATCGGCAGATTCTGAAGAGAGTCTTTCAATTCTAGCCCAACAAGAAGATGATGAAGTTGTTTTACAAATATGTTATGTGTTTTATCAGCTTTGCTTTCATAAATCAACTCGACATGTGATTATTAAAAAAACTGGTAAAATCTTTGGCAATCGTTTCTATTGATCTCAGTCCTTTGGGTAATTATTTTAGACGCACCGGCTTATTTGATTGATCTTATGCAAGATAAAAATAAAGAAGTTCGACGTGTTTGTGATATCACATTGGAAATTATCAGCGTACGGATATCGAAATGTTCATCAATAGTCAGAAAGAATGTTTGACTTATCTCTAGGAATATGATCCTGAATGGGCTGACCGTATCAAAGGTGCTCGCTTCCGTAATCACAACCAAGCATGGCTTGAAGCGATTGAGCAACAGCAAGTATCTTATGACGATGACGAATCACCCGTCATGAACAACCCAGGACCAGGTAGCTTCTATTCGACGGCAGTTCAAGATCAAGACGACTATGTCGATCAATTCGCTTACGGTGGTACGATTGGACAATCTTCGATTTATCCTCATTGTTGATTTTGTTTTCTAGATGGCTATCCAATGGATGGTCGAGAGTCACCAGATGTCAATCATTGGAATTCAATTAATAGTGGAGCTGAGATGGATATTGATAGGTAAACAAAGAGAATATAACCCATAGGTCGTTTTGTCTAACAAACTGTACTTTTTTGCGTATTATCAATCATTTAGTAAACCTTTTGCTCGACCTGAGCTGACTAATCAAGCTACTCGAAATACTAATCGTTCACAAACTAATCCTACAACGACAACACGAAGACGTGGTGTTTACGAATAACATTATTCTGTAAAACATGATTCAATGACAAAGAATGTGTATCTGTTTTCTGCATCTTTTAGAGAACCATATACATACATGCGTGATGATTACATGGGTATGGATATAGACGCTGCGAACTTTACGCAAGGTCAACGAACATATCATTAATTAAAAATTTCTTTCGACTTTTTTTTATCTTCAACTATCCCAGATAGATTTTTCTCGTCTGCTTGTTGTCACAATCTACCTACATGTCATTATTATTCTTTCGTCTGTAATAAATAAAGAGAAAATCTGATGAATGGTCGTCGGTTATCATCTGGATTGTTGTTGATTATATAAATACAATCGAGAGAAACAAAAGTATAGACTTGTAAAGTTGCTCGAAGGCAAGTTATAGTAAACAAATCGAAGAATTTCAATAGAACATCGATGATGTTGATGGCGGCGAAGTCTGAAAAGATGAATCAGCAGACATTATACGAGTTTCTTTTTGTTTTAACAATCTCTTGAAAAAGTCTCTTTTCTTCTGAGCATAGAATCGAAAGAACTTTCATCTTCTTTACAATAGTGCAAAAGCTGATGAGGTATTTGTTCTTTTCATACTTGAATTTGAAAAAAGAAACGAACGAGTTCGTTTTACTTCATGTGATCATTAGGAGAGACGTAATGCGTATGTGACTTGCTGTAACATTTTGCGATAACTAATCACAGTGTTTAAATCTCTTCATCTTTCTCTCTCTGTGTACTCAATCGCCTTTCATTCAAAGAACAATTCTATACTTTATTTGACTTCACATCATGCGACCTTGTCTTATCGTTTACTTGACAATTTCAATCATCAGTTTTGAACATGTTCGCGCCTTCTTCAATATGCCAGTGTCGACTATCATTGAGCAAACTGGAAAGTTATCATGTGTAATCAATTCTACTGAAGGTCACTACAACGATTTTCAACTTTGCGCTATTCGTATTTACACGGCACTGGAGAGCACCAGTGAAATAACTGATGTTGTCGTTCAAAATGGTATGTGGTTTATGAATGTTTTTCGTCGATTGATTGCTACACGGCAATGTGAAGGTTTCTCGGAAACATCAGATATTGGAACAGGCATATGCAACCCAATGTCGTATGAAACCGCTGACCAAATGACTTTATGTATATGTGCTTCGGATTATTGCAATTTAGATCTTGAAACATGTCAAATTGCCAACAAAAATCTATTCAATGTTAGTCTTTTGCCAGAACCCTTGCCTGTACTAAGTGATACAGTTGAATGTAATCAAACATCCGAAGTATCTGAAGCTTGTTACGAACATTCATTGATCAATCAAGACACTTGTAATAATTATGTCCACAGTCACAAGGTTCTATGTACTATCGGCGTCAGTAATAATGTGATAGTACAAACAGGATATCTCGAAGAAAATTATGGAATATTTCTTGACAAAAAACTTCATGATTTAAAACCAGTTATACAAGCCTATCCAGAAAATCCATTGATAGATGCACAAACGTATGTCTATTATATGTATTCACTCGGTACTGACCTAACATCTGAAGAATGTGCCTGTACCCAAAGTTCCTATTGTAATATGAATATTACCTTGTGTGCACCTTCAAGCATACAGATAGACGCAACAGCATCAACTCTAACTATGACTGATGATCTCGAATCTGAACATACAAGTGATATGCTATCCGTATCTATGAACACTCAATCTATCGCAAATATTGTGACAACGGATAAGTATACTGCAGAAACCAGTTCTATTCAGACGACAACTCACTTCGTAACTGAACGCTTCACAACACCAAATGGTACATCCGAGATAATATCAATTTCTATCAAAGAATCGAAAACATATCCAGCCACATCAGAAATTGTTGAAACATCCATTCTCGACGAAGCAACTAGTTCTACAACAGAACCAACAATGATGAGTAATACGATTTCACTGAATGACAATGCTATTAAATCGACTACTATAATTTATTCTAACGGATCAAGTAAGTGACTATTTAGACTATGATTTCAAGACAAATTCGATTATTTGTTTTTCTAGATTCATCAACTGTAATACCGAATATGAATTCTGGTCTAATCATTGGTATTATTGTCGGTGGCATCGTCTTTCTTGTCATCGTCTTTTCATTGATTTGCTGCCAATGTGTTCGATTAGGTATGTGCCAACGTACTTTTACTAGTCGAGCAGCCAACTATCAACTATAGATTTCTATCCAAGCACTTGAAAAATCATTTCAATATTTATTTACTGTCTGAATTTCATAAACTTTTGTTAAAAAGAAATTCGCCTCAGCACTTTCTTTTTCTCTTGTACATTTGTTTATTTTTAAGGACAAGTTCTCTCTTCTTCATTCATTTTTTTGCGATGTATGATTTTTTTTTGAAAAAAATCCTTTCATTCCTTATTCAATGAATCACAACAACAAAACCAAACAGAACACTCATGTGTACACAAATATCCACTCGTTCTTTTCTCTACACTCAATCAACCATTAAAACTACAACGTACAGAACCACCGCCATTACCGTGAATTTGAAATTCTACTACATCATCGCGCTGAACCAATCACTTTCCATGTCATTAGTATGCTTTGACTACCGTCATTCGACGAAATACCAAATTAGCATCGCATATACATCAACAACATGAAGAAAGTAAAACAATATGATGAATGGAAGAAGATAGTTATTTGTTATATTAGTATCAATCACTGTAAACATGTCTGCTTTCAGCTGAAGAAGAAAAGACTTTTCTAATGATCTTTCATCGCCTTTTGTTATTCACTCTGGTTTATTTCGAGCAAATTCAATCGGGATATATTATCACTGATAGTGATATTTCATTGAAATAAAGATAAAAAATAATTATCGCTTTAGGTAGATGCAATCATGAGATATGAATGGTCAAGGGAAATGAATAGATATTGATACATACGTTCACTCGGAATCGTTTTGTCCATTTTGATTAATGTTTACACTATTTTACATTCTGTTTCTGTTTTTCTTAGTCACTTTTCATTACTCATTTAGTTTCTTTGTTCGTGACAGTCACTAAAGCTATTAACATCGATAAAATCTTATTCACATGAAATATTCATACTACTGACGAGCACAATTCAAACTATTTTTCAGTTTTTCTTTCCTGTCGAATTATTTCAAGTTCATTGTAATTGATTCTCATGTATATTTAATCTCACTTTTGTCCATCCAATGGAAATCGATCCTATTTAATAATACATAGCAACAATAATGGAATCGTATTGATTAATAATTTATCTCGAGAGAAATAAAGCAAGAAATCTCTCCTCGAACGAAGATGATTACGTGCTTGTATCGACTAAAATCACGTTCGATAAGTCGATAGAATAGGAAAGTTCTTGATGATGGATAGATTTATGATTGATAGTTCTAACACTTGATAATACAAATATTGTTCTACTAATTCGTCAAGAGAGAGAAAGACTAGTAATCGAATTAACAAGACTTATCAACAAAAGGAAGAGAATTCTTGTATGAAAATATTTGGATAATAGATTTTCTTCTCAACTTTCAGTGAAAGTCAAATGTCAACATGGAAATCAAAATAAATCATCGAATAATTATTTATCGCAGATCTAATTTCTCCAAGGAACCTATGACGTAATTTGCTCTTAATGGGAACATCTTTAACACTATTGATTGCGAACATGGAACACATTATAGACGTTGATAATCTCTATGTATTCAACTTCGATAACTTAGCGAGAGATTGCTTTTGATCAACGTCGAAACATACCATCAGATACTAAAACACTAATAACAACATGCCTTGACCGCATCGATTGACTCGACAATATAATCATCGTTAGAAGAAACTTCAGTAATGCGCAATAGGAAGGCTGATATGTACATCGATGTCTCTCGTTTGTTTGTCTCATCATCATCATCATCATCTTGGAACCATTTCCAATATCGCTCGACGCTGGTAATTGGTAAAAGCATCAGAGAAAAAGCGAAGAAAAATGTCTGATAACCTCCATTATGTATATGCAAAGCATATTTTTTTTCTTCCTTCTTGTTCTTCTTCGTCCTTTCTTTCATTACTTGATTATCTTTCTTATATACACGGTAGTATCGAGCGCGTATATGGTCTTTTTCTTCTTCTTCTTTCTTGTACACACTTTGGCACCAAAGTGAGAAAGACGAATATAAGAGTGAGAAAAGAAAAAAGAACTCGCCGCGTTCTCCTCTCCCTTTTTTTTTGTGCTTTAACCATTTGATGTATGTACGTGTGTGCGTACTGTACAGTTATTCCTTTTCTTCTTCTTCTTCGTCTACGTATTCTTCTTTCTCATACAGCTAGTTGTGCATTGTCGTCTTTTTGGTATAGATTTTATTAGACAGAGAAAGAGAAAAAGAAAAAAAGTAAGAAGAAGAGCGAGAGAGAGAAAAAAAAGAAAGAGACGAACATATTGTTGAACAATTCGGTCTTCATCAATGATGATGTTAGTAAAAGCATTACTGATAGTTAGTTTCTCGGTGTCATCGATATCCTATTATCGTGCTTGATTGTTTCCTTATACTCTCGTTGATAATTCAAAAACGTTAATTATCAAATGGCAACAATTGTTCCAAACTCAACTAACAATACAATTACATCCACTTCGAGTGAATTGAATGGAAATAAAAAGACTGACACCGCGACCGTCAGTGATTTAACTGGTGACAACGAGAAGAAGATTACAATCAAACAACATCATAATGATGAAGGTGAGTACAAACGAACTAGACAGATAATGAATGTGTCATTCAATGTGATTGACAATCGTATTTCAACAAGAGATTCTCATCCGTGTCTAATTACAGTTTTTGAATTTCATCAATAGAGGACTATTGTCAATGACAGAAGGGTAGAAAGCGATTGTATACTGTTTCATTGAATAAAGACCTTCATTTTAGTCTCTTTATACTTGAATTTGACTTTGAAATTACGAATACAATTCCATTTTGATGGTATTGCTTACATGATTTCTATCTTTGCTGATCACGTAACTTAAACAGACACTAACCTTTTCTCTCTCCCCTCCATTTCTGTTCTCATGGGCCAGATAGTCTTTATCTGACACACACATACACATCTGTTCATTGTTCATCATTAATCTTACCTCCTATCAAAGCAGAGAAAAATGAAAATAATGTTTCAATTGCCTATATTCGATAATGACACAATATTGATTGTTTAGAAATTTTGTTTTTATTTATGTAAATACTCATCCGATATGCAAATAGACTTTTCTTGATTAAGACCAAGCCAAAATAACTACTTCTAGTACACGTCCAGATTAAATTTCTCTTCTCATCTCTACCTCGTTCGTTTTATTCAATCGAAATAACGTCAACTGTGATAATAAGAAAAGCAATTGCATATGGAGTTGTTGAGCAGCATATATAATAATATTGCTCTTAATATATAGTTTAACTAATAGAATAAAAAACCTTGAAATTATGTCAGAAAGAGCACATGCATGCGTGCTCACATATACATACATATATATTCGAAAGTTGTCAACTATTCAACTCGTTATCGCTCACTCCGATATGCCTATCATCGTTGTACAATAACGGTTAAATTACCTAACCGGTCGTCGATACTTTTTCAAGCATACGAGTAGTACTCTTCGAATAAAATAAGAGAATAGAGTAAATCAACAAACGTGTGCACAGTCCGTTCTTCTACTTTTCAAATAAGCCAATATTCATTGAATAATTATCCTTGAAATTTACATTACATATCAACATGTCTATTTAGAAAATCTTACGGACACAACTTCTGATCCAATTATTGTATGTGAAGCACTTCGTCAACAAAACGATGCACTTCGACAAGAACTTCACGATATACGACGGGTAAAAAAATATTTATATGACATAGTGTTCTAAATGCTTGAAAAGATCAAGCTCTGCCAATCGTACACAGATGTGCGAATGATTTCTGCTATTTGGTCATCATTTACAGGCCTTGTTTCTCAATCAACAGTGCTCATCTAATCTTCTTTGTTTCTTTTAACACTTCACTCTAAACATAACTGATAAGGTCAAAATAAATGCATATAGAATAACATGTCAAAAGAGAGAAATACTTGTCAATGACATCGCTAATCTTTCTTAGGAAATGGATGAGATTACTGATCAATTTCGTACGGAAGATGCCGAAGAATTCAAACAATTACAAGCAGAATTGGAAATCGCTGGTTCGTGTCGATGGATCTGACATTGATGAAATGAACTTCTTTTCTTTTTGTGTTTTATTAGCTAAAAATTGTCGTATTCTTCAATTCAAATTACGTAAAGCTGAAAAACGAAATGAAAACATTGAAGCTGAAAAGACAACATTGGAAGGTAAGATTATCTCTCGGCTGATAAATAGGAAAACATACAAGATNCGAGTGAATTGAATGGAAATAAAAAGACTGACACCGCGACCGTCAGTGATTTAACTGGTGACAACGAGAAGAAGATTACAATCAAACAACATCATAATGATGAAGGTGAGTACAAACGAACTAGACAGATAATGAATGTGTCATTCAATGTGATTGACAATCGTATTTCAACAAGAGATTCTCATCCGTGTCTAATTACAGTTTTTCAAATTCATCTTGAGGGGGCTATTGTCAATGACAGAAGGGTAGAAAACGATTGTATACTGTTTCATTGAATAAAGACCTTCATTTTAGTCTTTTTATACTTGAATTTGACTTTGAAATTACGAATACAATTCCATTTTGATGGTATTGCTTACATGATTTCTATCTTTGTTGATCACGTAACTTAAACAGACACTGACCTTTTCTCTCTCCCCCATCCATTTCTGTTCTCATGGGCCAGATAGTCTTTATCTGACACACACACATACACATCTGTTCATTGTTCATCATTAATCTTACCTCCTATCAAAGCAGTGAAAAATGAAAATAATGTTTCAATTGCCTATATTTGATAATGACACAATATTGATTGTTTAGAAATTTTGTTTTTATTTATGTAAATACTCATCCGATATGCAAATAGACTTTTCTTGATTAAGACCAAGCCAAAATAACTACTTCTACTACACGTCCGGATTAAATTTCTCTTCTCATCTCTACCCCATTCGTTTTATTCAATCGAAATAACGTCAACTGTGATAATAAGAAAAGCAATTGCATATGGAGTTGTTGAGCAGCATATATAATAATATTGTTCTTAATATATAGTTTAACTAATAGAATAAAAAACCTTGAAATTATGTCAGAAAGAGCACATGCATGCGTGCTCACATATACATACATATATATTCGAAAGTTGTCAACTATTCAACTCGTTATCGCTCACTCCGATATGCCTATCATCGTTGTACAATAACGGTTAAATTACCTAACCGGTCGTCGATACTTTTTCAAGCATACGAGTAGTACTCTTCGAATAAAATAAGAGAATAGAGTAAATCAACAAACGTATGCATAGTTCGTTCTTCTACTTTTCAAATAAGCCAATATTCATTGAATAATTATCCTTGAAATTTACATTACATATCAACATGTCTATTTAGAAAGTCTTACGGACACAACTTCTGATCCAATTATTGTATGTGAAGCACTTCGTCAACAAAACGATGCACTTCGACAAGAACTTCACGATATACGACGGGTAAAAAAATATTTATATGACATAGTCGTCTAAATGCTTGAAAAAAATCAAGTTCTGCCAATCGTACACAGATGTGCGAATGATTTCTGCTATTTGGTCATAATTTACAGGCCTTGTTTCTCAATCAACAATGCTCATCTAATCGTCTTTGTTTCTTTTAACACTTCACTCTAAACATAACTGATAAGGTCAAAATAAATGTATATAGAATAACATGTCGAAAGAGAGAAATACTTGTCAATGACACCGCTAATCTTTCTTAGGAAATGGATGAGATTACTGATCAATTTCGTACAGAAGATGCTGAAGAATTTAAACAATTACAAGCAGAATTGGAAATCGCTGGTTCGTATCGATGGATCTCCTATTGACGAAATCAACTTCTTTCTTTTGTGTTCTATTAGCTAAAAATTGTCGTATTCTTCAATTCAAATTACGTAAAGCTGAAAAACGAAATGAAAACATTGAAGCTGAAAAGACAACATTGGAAGGTAAGATTATCTCTCGGCTGATAAATAGGAAAACATACAAGATCTTTTTCTTTGATTGGTTTCATAAACGAACATGAAGTTGCCATTGAAAGGTTTCAATATGAACAGTTGAGAACAAGAAACGACTCGTTTTCTCTTTCTTTCAGAGAAAATTCATCAATTAAGTCGCGATAATTATCGTGTCCGTGATCTTGATGAAGAACTATTAATCGCAAAAGAAGTTAGTGTTCGATTACATACTGAATTAGAGAAAAGCGAAGAATCAAGAATGATAACAGAAAAATTGAATTCGGCTTTGAAACAACATTTGGATACACTCAAAGAATCATTCGACGACAAACTTTCGATTGTAAATACGATCATAACAAAAATATCCTTCTTGATTTCGAGTCTTTCGTTCTGTTTTAGAACACGAATGATGATTATCATTCATGGCAATTATCTGTTCATTTATACGAATCACTTTTTCGAGAATATGTTCTCATGGAAGAATTAGCATGGTTCAATTCAAATGTAAATAAAACCAATCTTTATTTGAAATCATCGACGAATGTTAATGGACATGATATCTCAGACTTAATGAATGCATATCAACAGAAAATTTCCATACTTAATGATGAAATGACTCAACTTAAACAAGATCTTACCAGTCGCGATAATGAAATCTCTCAATTGCGCATTCAATATAAGATATTAAAACAGCGTAGTCGGAGTGTTGACAGAACGTCCAATGGTAACAATAATAATCATGGCAATGATGACGGAAATCGATCACGGCGTGGCGTGAGTGTTGACGGAGGAGGAAATCTTCGAGAACAATTGGATGCTTCATTTGACGAAATTCGTTTATTAAAAAATAAATTGCTCAGATTAGAAGACGAACTGAACAACTCAGTCTTGGTAAAGCTCACTGGCGAATCTTTGTTTTCTAATGTTTTTTTCTTCCAGGAGAAAGAAACTCTTTTGGTTAAACTCGATGAACAATCGAAGCAAAACGTTGGCGATGCAATTAACGAAGATCTTCAATTATTTACTGATAAAATTAGTAAAAGCAACCTCTCTTTCCCACACGCAAACCGCAATCTCACTTTTCGTTCTCTCATTTCTAGACAATCTAATCACGTTCATCAAAGAAAACAAACTTGACGACAAGATTCTAACTGATCTACAACAATCTCTACGACCCAATCGATGGAGTAAACAAGCACCTGTATGTTATTTCTTATCCGACGTATTCATGTGTGAAATTAGCTTTTCTTCTGAGAAGAAATGGATGTAATGGATTTTGCATCATGCTCAAGTTGTTTAGCAGCTCTAGGCTGATTCCTTCAGACAAGAAAAGAATAAGTTTGTTTAAACGTTATGCAATGGAAGTGGAAGCGAACTACTCGAAAAAAGAAAGTTCGAGTGAGATCAGTCATATCTGAATAAGATGATTAATATGCACATTTGACGAGATAAGATGAGCGAAAATAATCAGTCAGACGAAGATTTTTACGCTAAATGAACAGGAGAAGGAAATACTGAGCAAAAATTGTGTACTTTTCTATTAGGAAGAAGATGTTTCAACAACAATTAGCAAATCGAATCAACAAACATCGACGATTGTTCACCAAGCAAATGAATTTCTAAGTCTTATCCAAAATAAACAGGAAGTTCTCGATAAAATCCGCTATCGATTAACAAATTTAACTTATGATGCCAGTGATACTTGTACACTCCTTGAAGAACTCGATAGTACTAAACATGAACTCGAAGATACTCAACAGATCTGTCATCAATTACAGACAACTATCGATAACATACAGTTATCATCGAAAAAAGTCGAAGAGCAATTGAAAGCTCAAATTACGGCGACTCAAACATTGGAGAAGAATCTTGAACAGCAGAAAACGGCCAATAATGAATTGCAAAAAGAGAACACACGGTTAGCAGCATTGAACGCTAAACAAGCACAAGATACTCGACATGTTGAACAATTACGTCAATCGATCGTTACATTCGAAAAGAAACTTGACCAAAAACAAACACGTGTCAATGAACTATCAATGAAAATTATCGAAAAGGAAGATATTATTGAAACTAAAGTGAAAGAATGCCAAAAGCATCGAATGGAATTACGTGAATTAGAAGAGAAGTATTACACACTTGGTAAACAATTGGAAGAACAAATTACATCCATGGCCAAAGAGATGGATAAGTTAAATATGGAAAAAGAAATGTTACGATACGATCTGGAAACTCTACGATTAAATCAACAAAGTGTAAGTTAGCTATCGAAGGATGAAATCAGCATCTCAACCAAAATATCTCTCACTAATTCAATTTCGATGATCTTTATCAAAGATAAATGTTTCTTCTCGCAATTCGATAAACTAGATTTGTCACATCTGTCCTCTATCACAGTTTTGTCGTCGTTGAGAACCATATGTTTGAGCAATACTTACGATCTTGTAATACTACGAGTTCTGTATAAATCATCCAACACATGTCGTCGATGAGAAATGACACTTTCGAGTAGCATATTTGTCCTATGAACAGATGAAAGAGCGGTAATTACGTTCAATAGGCTTGTAGTGACAGGTTGTGACTACTTTATTTTTTGTGTTAATGGTTTGTTCGCGATAGATGACAACTTGTGTGTATTGAATATGATGTGTTTAGGAACGACCAAAATCATTACTGGTAGAAGATGAAATTGCGCGCGTGAAAGCGGAATGTCGACAACAGATCATTGATGCTGAAATAGAATCGCACAAACTTCGTCTGAATCAATCCAACAATGAAAAGGATGAGTTATTGAAGATCATCAAAGATCTGGAAAAGAAATACAAAGAATTACAAGTTAAATACGATGCTGATGGACATGCATGGGCTAGACTGAAAGCAGACATGGCGGAAAAACAACGCAAAGTACTTGAAAGACTGTTATTTAGAAAAATTCATGACATTCTTTTGCTTATAGTATGATGAAAGTATCAAATTGAAATCTGAACTGCAGAATGCGGTTGATCGTCTCCGTCAGAAATTATATGATCTTGAACTTCACAGTCAAGAAAAACAAAATAAATATAATATCGATAAGCAACAATGGGAAATACAACGAGTTGAATATACTGGAAAGATTAACGAAGTAAACGAGACAAATGTTCGGTGATGTCGAAAGAAATCTTCTTTGTTTAGTTGGAAGAACAATTATCCAAAGTAACAAAACGTCAACGAAAAGATCTGGATACTGT